AAGGACACCCATGGCGCCAGTCTCAATCCCTTTACTTCAAAACTCTGGATGATGATTGAAGTTATGAAGATCAGTAAGGTCAAGAACCGAAAGAAGTTGTTTGATAGCTTATGCTCTCGAATCAATTTTGACCCTGCAAAGCTCGATGCTATTGAAGATTTACCACATCATCTGGATTTTGCACAATTCATCATTGAAAACCTAGCCTTCTTCGAATACCAAACTGTGGATGAACTATTGTCAACCATTAATTCAATGGAAAAATTGGTGTCAGCTACGGGCACTGGTATTGCTCATGCAATTGAAACAGAGATCCTTCACATCAGCCTCGACCAACCACTGAATGAAACCGACGCAAATGGTCATGTTCGTCCTGAAGTACCAAAGCGAGATTTGATGCGCCTACAACAACTCACTGCAATTTCAATCATGCTTACAAATCTATGGGAGACTCGAACATATCTTCGTCGACAATTTGGATTGATGAACAGAGATGGCAAAGTTAAAGGCGTAAATAAAGATCTCGGTCGAGCTCCGATTAAAGTGACAAGCGTTACTGGGGACAAATTTTGGAGTGATGTTTGTGTTAGGATGACTAGCTATGATTCCGAGGACAAAATGGAAGAGCAATGTCGAGCGTTCGTGGAATTACTTAATGTAGATCACGACTTCAAAGTCTCCGCAGAAAATGACGAGGTTGATGAGAGAGGGAGAATGAGTACGCCAAGTGATGATGAAGATAGTACACCTGGTCCACCGGGTGGCAGCGGGAGAGGGCGCAAGAGGAAGGCGAATGCCAATGGAGCTGCAGGAGGCCGAAAGAAGAGAGCTAGGTCCAGTTCTATTCCTAGAGGAAGAGGTAGACCAAAGGGGACGAGTTCCGTTACCGGGAAAAGAGCTTCCGTTGAGCGTAATGATAATGAGGGCGAATGGGAATAAGAAGGTTCAACTATCTATGCATGGTTTTTGGAGTGGCTGGCTTGTGGCGTTTGCTTGGTTGCTAAAGTGAGTACACTAGTGGATTTGGGATGTGGGGAAAGTTATATTTTATCATTCGAGATACCTGAACATTCATCCCTTTGGATGGTTTACTTATTTGCTGGATTCATTTTCGTCGGGATGGATAATTGTTGCAGGAAGTGCTACCTAAAAGGCTGTGCGTGGCGGGTATTTAAAAATGGGTTATCCGGTATGTCGAAATGATAGCATCTAGCTTGGTGCTGAGATGGCTTGGCTACATAGTATCAATAGAGAGATCTTTGGTTGACTTCATTCAATCATATCATACATTAGTAAATAGTATTAATATAAAGAACAAATTTATTTTTTGCAAAACAAAAGATCAGAAGTGGTGATGGGAGCTTGAAAAGCTTTTCTCTTTTTTGGAAAATTCATTGTCAGTGTTATATCAAATCATTGTTATATTGTAGAGGGTATAGGTATAGACATAAGGTTTCGAGTTTAGAAAAAAGAGATTGTGTAAGTTTTATCTCGTTTATCATTTTATCTAAATCCGAGTCTGTAGAATGAATCTCGGAATTTTATTCATCTTTCTATCCGTACATAGAAGCTCAATATGACGAGGCGCACGATGGTACATCTATAGAGTATATAAGCGGGAATCATAATTAATACTAGTTATGAGATAATCTTCCTCATATTAAAAATATGCAATTTGAAATTTCCTAATAATTTAAAATTTTTTACTTCTTTTTGTTATATAATTTTTAATTCGGGTTTTAAAGAGGAATATATATATTGATTGAAGAATATAATTAAATATATTGAAAAAAAATATTTATAATTTATTTTTGTTTATTTATTTAACATCAAATAAATACTTTTAGTTAAATAATAATAATAATAATAATAATAATAATAATAATAATAATAATAATAATAATAATAATAATAATAATAATAATAATAATAATAATAATAATAATAATAATAATAATAATAATAATAATAATAATAATAATAATAATAATAATAATAATAATAATAATAATAATAATACTATATTATACTTTATTGAAATCCAACTTTAATTTATATATACCCTTATCCCCACTTTACATCTACAATAAGCCTTTCACTAGCCTCAAAAAACATCCAGTAAATGATCTGGCGTTCACGGAAATAATTCCTAGACCTCGGAATATTCAAGTGATATGTCATTAGTTATCAATCAATACGGGTACAGGGGTAGGGAAAATCTTCCCTATGGCCATGTGGATGTGGATGTGGATGTGGATGGATAGATTTCTTTTAGAAATTGGATATCAGAAATTTGACTAATGAGGCGGCAGTTCGTGTGTGGAGGGAGTATCGAGGGTGCGGATTTTTAATTTATTTAGACTCTAGAGTGGGATCTTGAAGCTTTGATGTTGTATCTTTTGGTGTACTGGGTAGATGCTGGTGTTTGATGTAAATTCTGGAGTCTAGTTTTTAGTGGATATGTGGTTCTTTGGGTAAGTGGAGTACGAGCGATAATGTATGGATGGCGAACTCCAAGTTGGGATTTCGGATATTGTTGGTTGATACTGTAAAAGTGGTAGGTCGAGATACGTGCATCCCGATAGCACGTTGTGAGGGGGAATTGGAAGAGAAAGCTGAATTAGATTATATCGTGATACATTACTTATAAAGAAAACAAAATTCACAATGATTTCAGGGTTGAAGTTATATAGATTCAAATATATATATATAGAAGATTGATTATTATAAAAAGAAGAAACAAAAGCTTTTTTTTTATATTTAATTATAAAAGGTTATATAATTGATTGATTAAAAACCTCTATGTATCTGGCCTATAATTCCAACTTTCTCACAATACATAGGTAGTTAGGGTTATAACTAAGGATCTAGCTTCCTCTTATTAGGACTTCTTTTTCATTCTGTAATTTCTTCATTCTCATTCGATTTGAGAATTTTGTAATCTTCTAACGCAAAGTTGTTTAAAATAAGTTTCCACTCAATACTGAGGAAATGTATCTTGAATTCTATCATTGATGTTCGAGGTTAGATGTGGGTGATCCGTGTTCTTGGCGTTGGAGCTTTTAATACATTTGGTATTTTTAGCGAGGAAAGAAAAGAGGGGAAGCGAATAAGGAAAAGACGGAAAGAAAAAGCAGCTCGTTGAAGTTTCATTTCACCTAGTAGCCGATCTGTCGATCCGCTAATGCCATATACTCGTCTCCGGTTTCGTGGGATATTTTTTTTTTCATGTAACTCTACAGAGTAGTACTCTACTTTTGGATCACCTCTTTTTTAGACTACCTTTTTACATCAAAGATAACGATTTTCATCTATCAATAACTCAACAACAAATGAACAAAATCAACTGAAAATTTCAATTACAATATCATTATATAAATATGAAGAGATCCTAGAAATTTCAGATTTTTCATGATTTTATTGATTGAGATATTGAAAGTTGAAATTACGATTTTCAATTTGTATAAGATTTATATATAAATTTGAAAATCTTGAAAATCTTAAATAAATTTTTAATAAAAATTACTAAAAATAAACTATAAATTGTTTTGAAATTTTTAAAATCAAGTATTATATAATAAATTGAAATTTTGAATTTTGAATAAAAGATTTTCTATAAGTTATTTTTTTAAAAGAATTTAATTTATTTGGTGAATTTTGATTCAGAAATCTTGAAAAGGTTTATAGTTTATTTTTAATTATTTTTGTTGAAAAGTTATTATAGATTTTAATAACTTTTTAAATTTGTATATAATTCTATACAAATCGAAAATCGAGAAATTTAAAGTTATAGATTTCAATAAAATCAATTGTTAAAAAGCTGAATTTTTCAGCATCTATTAATGACTATATAAATCTATATTTCAAATTTCATTGAATTATTTTGATTCGTTATAAAGTTATTAATAGATGAAAATGATGGTTTTTGGTGTAGACAGGTGGTCCAAAAGAGGGGTGGTTCAAAAAAGGGTACTAGACTTATGCCTTGGACTAGATCCAAATAGGTCGCTCCATTGTGCCCCTCCATAGCCAACCACAAATGGAATAAAATGTGTCAATACCTTTTGACCCGCAACGCTGTGACCTGACGATTCACGGGAGCACCTTGGCCAAAATTGTAATTCCTGGAATCGAACAGTTCAGCCATCAATGAGATAATCTAGCATATATCTAACGGAGTCTTTATTCCGCTGAAAGGAAGTGCATTGATATTTATTGTATTGAAGCTTTGACAACATGACCTGTGCTGTTCTAAAGCAGATTTCCCAAAAACAGATCGTCATCTGTTACGGCACGGTCCATGATCAGCACAGCCTTTGGTGATTGCTGGATTTATCAAAATTTGACCAGACCAAACATTGATTTGTGCAAAACTACAAAACGTCATGTGCAGCTTGCCAGCGAAAAAAGCGCTGCAAGCAGCCACTTTAATACGTCTCCGTTCATTTCAAACTACAGATCTAAGCAATACCTACATTATAGATATAATGATTCAACGAAAAGCAAGCCGGATGTGCCTGCATTGGTGTTGGCTAGAAAATACTAATATGGAGAACTCAGTGGGACCGGGAGCCAAAGTTGATGATAATGGTAGATGAATAGACCGCATTGCAGACTTTAGTGAACAAAACCAAGAGTTTACTCAGCACGACCGCAGAACTTTAACTCCAAACCCAATATATTAGTTTTGCTACTGCGTGAACCATAGCAAGCATTGTTCATTCCACAGCCCTACTTCTCCGTGGAAACGTGAAATGTAGTAGGTTCAACCATGAAAATATCGTCAAGTGCCAAAGCTACTAGCTTTAGATTATCCAATCCGGGTAATCTATTTGAAGTTTCGATTGACAGTTTCCCATTCCCCAGAAACAAGTGGAACTGTTGGGGTCGAAAGAAGGCATTTGATAGACCATATACATTAAATAGACTTCTGCATCTGCATCCCACGGTTATTGATCTCTTGAACGTTTTATATACCACCGGTTACGAGGAGGCAAATTATGGAGGACCGCCAGATCCAAATTGTCGCAGTGGTGACTGTAGGTTTGGTTCTTGCATGGCTGAGTGTCGGATTAAGATGTTATACGAGGCTATTTGTATCGAGGACTTTTGGAGCAGATGATTACTGTGCGGTCATTTCTTTGGTGAGTGTATTTGGAAATACTGATGAGAATTTAATCTCAAGTAAGCCTTGGCTAATCGAATTTACAGGTTGGGTATACTATCACATCAGTTTTTGTATATCTTAGTGTTCATTATGGAGCCGGGTTGCATACCAATGAACTTGGTTTTAATGGGTTAGTCAGTGGTGTAAAGGTATACATTATGAACTGCATTTCATCTTGATTTAAAAGAGATAGAAAGATATTAACGGAATTCAGTACACAATTATCGTTGAACTTACTTACATCCTTTGTACAGCCATAATAAAAACCAGTGTCGGACTCCTCCTCTTTCGCATAACCTCTTTCAGGCCCTTCTACAAATATCTCATCTGGGCCAGTCTTGCTATAATTTGGGTATGGACCATCGCGACTTTCATTGTTGGATGCATACAGTGCAGACCATTGAAAGCGGCATGGGATCCATTGACCAAGGGAAAATGCTTGGATGCTAACATTATTACAAACTTCGCATATGCTATTTCCGCCCAGACAATTTTCTTCGATTGGCTATTTGCTCTCTTGCCAATACCAATGCTGTGGGGTCTCAATATGAGCTGTCAGTTGAAGGTGTCGATTGTGATTATTCTAGGTTTTGGAATCATGTAAGCAACGAATGTGGCGTATTTCAAGTATCGGGAGCTGATACGGGGGATTCCCCTCAATAGTGCAAGTTCTGCTACGATAGTTCGTTTTAAGTATTTGGTAGCTCTTGTAAAGGTTGGAGATTCATTGTGTAAGTCAATTTTTCTGGAAGCCCCTCAGTTTAACAACACGTTCTCATTTTTGCTATTTAACTAACCTCTTCTTTTCGTTCAAAAGACTATATAACTCCTCTCTATCTCTGTTCCACCATCGAACTTGCCCTGGCCATAATTGCAGCGTCAATCTCTACACTCCGACCCCTTCTATGCAGATGGCACATCCTCGGTTTCTCGAACGACCGTAGTTCAGACCCTGCACCCGGGGGACCACGGTCGGGCTCTTGGGGAGGATATAAGAAACGACCTTTCAGCCCAAATAAGCCGAATGGAACCCCTAAATCAGACGCACTACAAAGTCCACGGGATAACATACAATCTTCGGATTTAGAAGTAGAGCAGATTTGGAGCAGGAAAAGCGAAGAGGGAATTTTCCGAGGAGCAGACGAAGGTAATGGGGAAAATGGGAATGTAGATGGAGATGCCAATGAGTGTAGACGGAAAAAAGAAAACGAGGGTTTTGAATTGGTTTCGAGACCGGATGGGAAGATTTTGAGGAGGACGGATATTCGGACGGATTATGATGAGCAGAGGATAAGTTATATTGGTAGGGATATGGTATGACGTGATCTGATGTTTTCGAGCCGTGGTTGGGTATTTCCATAGGACGGAGGAGTTTTGTTTGTCTGCATATTTTGTTTGTAAGGGATCTATACACTATACCCTAGAGAGCTAAACAGTATATACATACTACATAGCTAAACAGTATATACACAAACACATTCACATCCCTGTATTCTTTTGTGTAAGAGTTTCCATTTGCCAGGATTTTTCTTCCATTTCTATTTACCCATAATTATTCTTGAAGTCAAGAAAACTGTAGATACATGCCACCAACATAAATAGTATTATCTTGGTTAAAAACGTCGGCAATGTAACTTGTTACAGATATTCAAAATCCAAATCATCGCAATAGAAGCTAAATCAAAAAAACCCGGCATGTAGATAAGATCAGACGCCCGTCATTCAAAAAGTCTGCACTAGCAATGCCGAAAATTGGAATTTGGAATCGACCGAATCCTATTTTAATAAATAAATAATATAGATTCTGAGATCTTCTCCGGCTTGGTAGCTCGAGGACTTTCTTTCCAGTAGAGCGTGTAAGATTCCGTAATCCGATGATGGGTACAGAATGGATGTTCGAGCGGAGATGATTGGGTTTGTGAGGTCGTGCTGAGGATCGTCAGATGCTTGCATGGTTTAATAGGGTTAGCGAAAATCAAGACTTACGGTGTTTGGAATAAATTGTGGGATTACTGGCAGGAGTAGATTGAGATGTAATAGAGTGCTGTTTGTGAATTTTGTGACTGGGGATGGATGGTTTAGGAGGAGCGAGTAGTTATTTTGCCATTGTCAAGTATTGCGAAACGTTGTGAGTCTTTGAAATGTTTGAGCAGTTGTAACAATCATGATATGCTCTGAAGGCATCCTTACCAACGACAACAAATGGACAAATTACAAGTCAGTACAATCTAATCGTAACTTCAAGACCGTTGGTACCGGGTAAATTATCTTTAAGCAGTAGTATTCAAGAACCTACATTGGCTCTAACAGAAGCAGAAGCTCCGTTTAGATGCCAACTGAAAGAATGGTTTGACAAGTGCGGCGGGGGGGATTTTGTCCGATATTCTCGTGTATTCATGCGTTGGTTCAATCCAATCGGTAGAGATTAACATCAACGCTCTCATTTTATAATTCAGTAAAGGATAAAATCTGATTATAGGAAAATATATTATAAAGACAAATTCTTTATTTATAAAAGATTATAAAATTAAGTTTAATTACTTTTTTTTATATATTATCGATATCAAATGAATATTTAAAAAATTAGATTTTTTATACAAACAGTCCAAAAAAAAACCCTTAATAGTTTATTAAAAAATTAAATAAATATTATAAAATATATATAAAATAGTTTATTAATATATACACTTGATATCTTCGCATCTTATCTAGAATTTCTCTTTATATAGAATTCAATTGATTGAATTTTAAAGTCCTTTATAATCAGATTCTTCTATCCTTACTGATTTCGTTTACTCCTCAATTAACAATCTTATCAAAATCCAACTTCACAGTATCCACATATCCGACTCAACCAACGCGTTGAATGATTCTATACTGTAGATGTGAAGAGGGTTGTCTTATTATTGGAGCTATGATTCCTGATTATATAGACCCGCTCATCATAGTAGTTGCTTGCTATATTAGACCTAACAGTGTTCTCCTCCGAACCCCGCATTATATCCACTTCGCAGGTTTTTTCATTTTTATTTCAGGCACTCAATTTGCTGATAGTAGAATATCGTGATGAGTAATTTAGTCACTTATTGCTCTTTCGTGCGTTTTAGTTTTTGTGTGGGAAAAGAGGGAAAGCAAAGGACTAACTGTGGAGACTTGAGGAATTTGATACTATCGATGGCGATGATATCATTTGCTGACTGTATCTCCCTGATGCTGCCGACGTTGTATTTAAAACATCCGCAAAATCTTATCTCCTTCAACAGCCACCGCGGATGTACCCTACGTCTCTCTGCCGTCGCTATATCCATTTTTCATGACGTCAGTTCAGTCTTCCGTATTGTTGTACGTGACTAGACTTTGTCTAAAATATAGGTGATTATTCGAAGCACAGGCTGGCGAGGGTATGATTGAACAAGTCGTATGGTTGCCAGCGCCGTCTTACTGCAGCCACCCCTGCATCGCTGCCTTTGCCAACTCAAACATAATCTAACAAAATACCTGCTATGAAAAGTTTTTGTTTTTCAGAAGATTGATAAGTAATAATATCTACTAGGAAGGTAAAATGAAAAGCTCAGCGAAGGTGAGGTTTTGATATAGGAAAGATAGAACTTGGTTATTCATGGCTTCTAGTAAAGGAGACCACGGCTGCTTCGTATAATCGGAACGGCTCGGCTACAATTGCGAAAGTTGTTCGTTTCTATTGGGCATATAAATAAAACACCAAACTAACATTGACAACCAACAATACAATGTAACATACATGTACATTTGTAAGGTTACATATTTTATGGAAACGGTAATTGATTGCTGCCGCATTGTATCAAGCGTCAGCAGTAACCGCTTATCCGAAGTCCTTGACAAGTCATTGAACCCCGCTTGCATTTCTTCGTTGGAGTAATATCACTTTACTTTTATTTATAAAATGTCTTCTATATCTGTATTAGATGTTATTCAGAATGCAACAATTTTAACAACTTCGTTCTCTAATAATTTAATCCACTGCGCTCCTAAGATTCTACTTTCCTATTTAAGTTAAGCACCAAGCTCATCAAACTCATAGTTGTCTTTCCCACTCTTTGAGATTAATTATACATCCTTCAACATGTCTACTATCGAATCTCTGCTCTCGCAGCTCAAGGAAGCTGCGAGAACAGCAGACTTGTCAGTCCGCTTTCAACTCAGTGAACAGCTTCTTGCCCTTTCACGTTCCGTCGCTACGCCGAGACAAATTTTACAGTATCATGGCTATTTGTATAGTGAGCATGTAACGGCCAAGATTGCCGTTGACCTTGATCTCTTCACCATTCTTGCAGAAAACAACGGTCCTTTGAATACAGAAGATGTATCCAAAAAATGCGGTGGAGATCTTACACTGATTGGTTTGCAAAAATATCAACTCAGGATTACTAAAGCTAACTCCCGTCAGATCGTATCTTAAAACATCTTGCTTCAACCTATACAATTACACAAGTAGGAGAATCAAGCTTTGCCGCCAATGAGACCACTCATCTACTGGCTTCTCCTGCAGGTAAAGGAAATATCATGTTTGGTTTCAACATCCTCAACAAAGCATTCCAGGAGTTACCAGACTTTTTAAAAGAGAATGGATATAAGAGCCCTGAGAATCCTCTTGAAACTGCCTTCAACCGAGCTTTTAATACGAAGGAACAATTTTTCCCCTACATTCAACAGATTCCGGACATTATGCGAGACTTTTATCCGTCTCTTACTGCATTCAAAAGCCCCGTTCCATGGACATCTGTCTTTCCTTTGGCCGAAAAGCTGCGGGAAGCGGATAAGAACGTACCTCTCTTTGTCGACATTGGTGGTGGACACGGTTATCAGTGTGATGCCTTTCGCAAGGCAATTGCTGAGTATGATTTTTCTGGCCGCGTGATCAACCAAGACCTTCCAGGAACATTAGCTTCAGCTCCAAAACACGACAATGTCGAGATGATGGCTCAGAACTTTAATGAAAAGCAACAAGTTCAAGGTTAGTGTTCTCGAAAGCAAAATAACCCGTGAACCCCTACTGAGTCCCCCTAGGTGCAAACATATATTATATCCGGCAATGTCTTCATGATTTTCCAGACAAGGAAGCAAAGCAAGTTTTACAAAATATTCGCGATGCTATGTCTCCGAAGTCTCTTTTGTTGATCGACGAAATGGTCATTCCAAACATAGGTGCATCTCCATTTTCAATGCAATTGGATTTTACAATGATGGCTTTTCTCAGCTCGGCTGAGCGAACGTTATCACATTGGCGGAAGCTACTGGAAGAGGTAGGGCTTCAGCTCATTCAAGTGTACAAATATGACACGGAGTTAGAATATAGTATTCTTGAAGCTGTAAAGGTCGATGTATAAATTCAGGTATAAAGCGGGTTGGTGAATAAATTACAGAAGAACCTGAGTTGATACGAGGGCATTTTTTACAAAGAGTTTGGTAGTTTGTGAGGTTGAAAATATTAAAAATCGGCTAGCTCTCCATTGCCCGTCGATTTCATCATCTAACGGAGACCGGGTCAACTAGATCCAGCAGATAAAACCGCGAAAGTTTACATAGTTAGGACTGATTATCTAATATTGATCCCATATGATACTAGATTCTAGCAGTGTAACGATAATGTTAGAATGAGTACAAAAGCAAGATGAGTCTATAGCAAACATCCCCAGATGTTATAAGCCGCTTGAAGATGTCTAAATGTTGACGTCGTAAGTCGAATGATTACTTACCAGAGGGATTGACAAATTTTAGCGCAGGAAATAAGTCTACAATCCAAGCCCCTAGTCTCTTGGGATTACTCTCTTACATTTTCCTCTTCTTGTTATTTGAAAAATTATAAGAATTCCTAATAGGTTATTGAATCACTTAGTAATATCAATAGAGTCAATGATTAATTATAACATCACTTTATATATCAGTAATATCGGTCAATATTATTAAATTTCATTATTATATAAAATTAATTATATATTTATAACAAATAGATTTTTTATAAAATAGAATAATATAAAAGTAATAAACCTCTAAAATAATAGATGAAGAAAAAAGCAAAACCTAAAAGAAGATCTCAAGAAAGATTAAATAATGAAGAGTATTATAAAAGTGATAAATCGAGATATATACATCCTGATAATATATTATGAAAGGGAATTGAAAGAGAAAGCTGATTAGATCATATTGTAATATATTACTTATAAAGAAAACAAAATTTATAATAGTTTTAAAATTAAAATTATATAAATTCAAATATATATATAAAAGATTGATTATTATAAAAAGAAAAAACAAAAACTTTTTTTTTTATATTTAATTATAAAAGATTAATTAAAACCTTTATGTATATAGTTTATAATTTTAACTTTCTCACAGTATAAGGAGTAATGCTAGATCTATAAAATTCAAGGGCTAGTATAGTGAATGGGTTTAGAGTAGTGAATGGGTTTAGAATAATAGTGGTTCAGGAGGGTTAAGCGAGGAGTTCTCCTGCCTCATTCAAAAAAGCTAGAAATACAAAAGACAAGGTAACATATTCACAATCATTGAAATTTTTCTTATTTCCAGAGTCTACACCAATTATTATCTAGTATCTTTAAATATATATATATATATATACAACACTAAACCAGTCAAACTATATTATAAAGTTTATAAATCTTATATCTTTAAGATATATATCTAAAACATATTACTCTTTCTATATAAATTACCTCATCAATAATCACTCACTCAATCTATTAATTAATTTATAAATTTAACAATCTCTCTCTTCTTACTCCTTCTCATATATAAAAAAGAAGATGTATAAATAACAAAGTCCTCAAATTTACACTTTAATTTTAATTACTTTTAATTATCTTAAATAACCCAAATACTTATACCCTTCACACTCACACATTTATACACTCCCACATCAACTATATCTACAACTACAAAAAAAAGTAATAGAACTTAGAATTTCATTTTCTTTATTTCCTTTATTTCTTTACTCTGTATAAAGTTACGAAATCATACAGTCGCATTAGGAATCATGCTTCAAGAATTTTAAAACTCAACAAAGAAGAAAAGTAAGAATAATTTTGATGATAATCTTTATTTCTTTCAGGATTTTGTAGGGGAGGGGTTGTCAAAGCTTTTGCTTTTACTTTTGCTTTTGCTTTTGCTGTTCTTTTGTCTGTTTTAACTTTTTGCAATTGAATTTTTGTAAAAGCTTAGGTGAAGAAGCTTGAGGGAAGGAAGAGAAGAAGTAGACTAGAGTAAATGAAGTAAGTGAAGAAAATACTGATTGCGCTTTTGATACTCTATAAATTTTATATCCTATTATCATACTATTATATTTCAGACTATTTTGCTTCCGGCATGGGAAAGGAGGACTTTGATATTGTTTACTATAATTGCAATTGTAATTGCAGTTCTTAATTGAGGATACGAGGAATATCTACTTGATACTCGAATATTTGATAGTTGGCTGCAGTTTTTTTGATAGTATTTATACGTTTGCTGTACTTGCCTCTTCCACCTTTCTCTACATTCTCCATACTCTTCAAACCTCCTGTTATTTCGCCATCTATTCACCATTCTTCATCCTTATTCTCATCTCTCGCTCCTCCCACCAACCCGAGATCTTTAACATCCAACCACCACCCACCTCAAACCAAACCAAATTATACCCATCCCCCCACCCTCCCAAAACCAAAAAGAAAATGGCAATCACCTCCTGGGACCTACGCGAAGCCGAATCCCGGCTAGTAGACTACCACCGCTCACTTTCCAAAACCCCCAAAACCATACGTCGAAATAAATGGCGACCAGATCCGGAATTTGGGGGATTGGAAGATCAGGTTTTTGAGGGGATCTTGGGAGTTGGGGCTTTTGGGAGCGTTTGTATGTATTCTTCTTTTTTCTTTCCTTTTTTGGGTTTCGTTTTTGGTGTGGGTTTTGTTTTACGCTTTTTGTGATTTTGGAGGAAGGGGCGGGGGCTGGTTAGAGGAGAAAAAAGGGGGGAAGAGGGGAGTGCGGAGACGGAAGAATGAGGATATATGAACAGAATATCCTCGCAACTCAAAACACCAACAAACCAGCTAACCCCAAATCCCTACTCTAGATCGCGTACTAAACCAAAAAAACCAAAAATACTACGCATTAAAGATCCAATCCGAAACGGCCGAACAGCGACACTCACGACAAAAGCGCACCGCAGCGCCCTCTACATCCTCCTCAGACGACGACACCCTAGCCTACACCTACACACCACCCCTAACACCCTCCTCAGAAGCCAGCATCCACTCTATCCGGGAAACGTCGATTCGAAACCTGATTTCCAAACGCCATCGCGAAAACAGGTGTTATTTACAATACATCAAGAGCGGACATCCGAACATCTGCGCCCTGGAAGCCTTTCTCGATTTTACCTCCGAGATGGATCCCCATGAGAAGGGGCTCGTGATACTTGCGAGTTATTATGAGTACTGTGATGGGGGAACCTTGCAGGAAATAATTGAACGTTATGGGGATGGGTATAAAAAAAGCGCGCGGATTGTCGAGGAGAATCGACAAGCGGATCTCTTCAATCGGCTTACCCTCTTGCCTAAATCGAGGTGGCAAAGTATTCAGGAAGTACCTTGTCGGAGACATCCTCCGGAATTATTTATTTGGCATATTTTTACGCAGTTAATGGGTGCTATTGCGTTTCTTCATAATGAACATCCGGATTATATGGATAGGGAGGAACATCGTACGAGAGCCATGGTCATGACCGCGGATTTGTCGCCTGCGAATATTTTTTTGAAGTGGAATACGGAGGATTTGACCCAGAGGAGGAGAACGTATCCGGATGTTAAGGTGGGGGATTTTGGGAGCGCGAATTTTTTGCCAAAGGGAGGTCGCTTGGTGGGTGAGGAGAGGTTGGATCTTGTGTGGAGCAATCCACCTGAATCTGATGCTTATGATGGGAAAACTGATGTGTGGTGTGTAGGGGCTATGGTTTATATGCTAGGTACTCAAGCGAAGATGTGTGAGTATATAGAAGGGAAAGTAAGAGCTGATGAAACGAGAGAATGGGAACGTAAAGATGAACGGATGGAAAGAGAAGCAAGACAGAGAATCAACCCAGAAAGAGTAGGTGAATTGGAGGGAATGTATAGTTCGACGTTGAATAAAGCGGTGAAAGCAGCGTTGAGGATCGAAAGGGATAAAAGACCTAGTTCGGGAGCTTTTTGTAAACAACTTCAAACTTCTTATGGAATGCGTAAACTGCTTATGTTTAGAACATTGCCTGAATGGGCTTTATCGGGGAGAAAGATTTTGAAGCATGAATTTCCTGAAGGAAGGATTGAGAATTTGATAGCTGGGGAATTTGAAAAGGAGGATGCGAAATATTGGGAAGACGAAATGAAAGGGGTGCAAGCACAAGAAAGACAGCTCGCGTTGATGTGGGTTGAGAAGGATAGAAAGTTGAGATTTGGACTGAAACTGGAGGAATGGGAGGAGGGTGATGATGAGGATCATGCGAAATATTTGGAGGAGACGATTAGGGATACCCCGGAGTTTTATAAGGAGCTTTTAGCGGAGGCGAGGATTAGTGTGCCGAGTCCTTGAATGGTGACAGGGAGAATGGGTTGGGTGTGAAGTTGTGGATGAGTAGAAATTGAATATGATATATATATTTCATTTTATCTTGTAGTTCAAAACTATCAGTTAAACCGTGCATATTGATAGATAGTATGAATAGATGAGAGTGAAGTAAAGTAAAATGAAGTAAAATAATATTTCTTCTACAATTTCTATCTGAAATTATCAAACCACAAGCAAGAATAAGTTAAACAAAGATATAAAAGAACGAATATATAAGCGGGAAGATTGTAGTGATTGAACTCAACGAAATATCCTCCAGATGACAATCCCTCACGAAGCTTTTAGTGTTTACAGGAATCTCTTTGCTTGCGACACACCATTAATTGGAGGCTCAATTGTTCTCTATATATAACTACGAAGCTGGTGATAAGTGACCAATCTCGGAATGAAATTGAATTATTTATATCCTTTTATCTTTCCAATAAAGTTTATATAGAAAAAGAAAGTTAAAAGAGGTACTTCTTTCCTTGAATAGTAGTCTAGATTTTGCAAAAAACCTTACTTGCCGCAATAATGATGATTCGAAGAATTGTAAATAGAGGACTGGGAACTCCAGTCAAAATCCTAACTTAAGAGTCTAGAATACACAAGATTAATGAATCTATGTTACCGATTCTTAGTCTGAGTGATTGAATAAACACAAATATGTAATCGATGAAAGTTCTGGAGGCTCTTGAAATTGACAATGAAGAAAATTTTGCATTCGAGATGTCCTTGTGACCAATGCCATTTGACAAGTATGGTGCAGTTTGACTTTGAAGCATCACTCAGGATTTTTAGAACTGAGAATGTCAATTTGACTGGATAATAAGCCAGGCATATTAATGTGATTTAATTTGATATATAGTGAGTCTTGCTAGGATGTTCCATTCCTTCATTCAAGTTAGAATTTGGATAATCTTATTAGAACGTAGAAAGAAGGAAGGATTCCAGTAACGTGTTGATTTCAAATAAGTATATTGATGCTATCATTATGAATTCAAAATGTTTTCATAGAAGACGGGAGTGTTACTTCACTTGACCTTCCTGAAGAAAGAAATGAATGTGAGGCCTCTGCAATCAATGTGGAATGTTATAAGTGTATGCATTATACACAGATACATGAAGGTATGCATGATACCAAACCTCTCATCTTCCCAGATAAGATGACATCTCCATCGATTCACACCACATGCCCGAGAATATAAACCACACCGCGGAATAGAGCGAACTCGGAGCACTCCTCCAGACTCGCGCACCAGGCCCGAAACGGCTCCTCCATTTACCAGGACATATCCACTCGATAATCTGGTACTTTATGGGTATTTCCCTACAACTAAACACGCCGAGTCTGGAGAATCGGACCTATTATGGATCATGGGGTTCCCGCTCTTCAGCACAGATCAAATGGTCAAGTGCTTAACCAACTTTGGAGCGAGGTATTGTGAGCATTGGGCAAGTGCCAGCGATGTGGACTCGTGGAGTATACTTATTACCCCATCTGGAGATGAAAGAGAGACGAAGCTGAACGAAGTGTGATTGTGAAGATGTGGAGGAGGTAGCGGATCTTGATGTTGAGGGAGGAGAGTCTAGATTTGACTCTAGATTTCTATGTAATAGATACTGGAAAGTTGAGTGTGCCCAAACTCCAGTACGACAGACAAGTGGCTTCTCATATATCCATATATCCTTATCGGTACATCGCCGGCGTTGATGAATTTGAGAAGGTGTAGTAATGTAGGTAGGGAACAAGATGTAATCCCAATGAAAATAAACAACCCAGTCGACGCAAGCCACAATCACTAATCATGGCACACGGCACATACACAGTAGGGTTGCTGTACCAGATAAGATCGAGCCTCAAAACGGCTCATCGCTTACATTGCCAGAACTTCCCCAATAGTAAGATCTTATTTGCCCTCGACAGAATCTTCAAGCCACATTCACCTCATGACAAAAATAAACGTTTCAACACATCTAGAAACTCTTTGGACAATAAATTAAGAATAACCGACGAGAGCTTGTTTTAACCTTGGATGAAGCTTGTTCTCAGTAAATGTGAACCTGGTGAAGAAGACTTAAAATTCAGCTAAAGCAAGATCAAGGCTTTTTGCCGACGAGGTGCCATGTTTAGCGTTGATGGTGCTTTGATGTGGTGGTAGATTAACGCGAAAGTGACATTTGTGTTGGATATTGCGCTAGAATTGTACTAGAATTGTACTAGAATTGTACTAGAAGCAGACTAGAATTGTACTAGAAGCAGACTAGCAAGTTTGGAAATTCACGGCATGTTTTCGTGGGCGTTGTCTAGATTTTGATTGAAGAAATGAAAAAGGGTTTCGGGAACATTTACTCCTTCCCATTCTTTTCGGCATGTCCGTTGGCTTTTGATATGGTGTACAGAGTATACGGTTCCTATGCAGCTCAGGCTGTGCTGTATGCTGCACCGGTTATGGATGTTAAGCGTATCATAGGTGATGAGAGAGAGATCTTCAACTCCCATCATCCATCAACATCTTTGATATCATATAACAACAACCATTGGTAGATTACTCTGACCAGGATCACACACACTCCCCGCACCAAATCCATTCCCTGTCTGCCCCCGCTAAGTTTATTTGCCCCTCTTGTCTCGTCTCTCACACGGATACAACCCTCCTATGGAAAGGAAGAAAATAAAGTAGATGTCTCCTCCAGAGTCCATGCATATGTGAGATAGTGGATGCACTATTCATCGTGCACCATTAAGGTCACTTGATCAAGCTACTCAAGAAGGGCCGTGATATTCAATGGACCATAGAGGTAATAACTTAATAAGTGTGTCTGGAGAAAGGTACTTTAACCATTTAAAGATTGATCCGGATAAATTGACTGAGGAGATGATGCTAAATGGTGAAGCTTTGCATGAAGCTTACTAGGTATCCGCAGATATATTAATTCTCTTCTCTTAATTAGCTAGCTTCCTTTAGATCTTCTTAGCTTACACGTTTTCTTCAAGAGATCAACTGCGGGACTTTCCTCCTTGGGTCAAAATTCTCGGAGTGTCCTAAAGCTATTAAATCATTTCTATTATTCAAAAGGAAAAGGAAAATAGGAATAAGAATAAGAATAAGAATTTAAAGAACCAATTAGATAATCTCAATTTCGTCGTCTCGTCAACGACTAATCTGAGTCCGTTTAACACTGCCGATATAATGGGATTTGGTCAATTCAATGATGTGAAAGTATTATATCTACTTCTTATTTGGATAACATGGTGCCGAATTACTACTATGCAAGTAAGCTTGTTGATTTACTCTAGCGATGCACTTGATTCGATTAAATCATTCCATACCATCCATTCAAGGTCAAGGGGGTTAAATGTCTAAAGTACTAAGGATTGTGGATGAATAGACCATTTGTATATTTGTATGGGTCTGGGGTAATTAATTGTATGGAGAAATGGAAATGGAGAAATGGAGAACTGGGGTTCGGGGGAACTTCATCATGGATGGGAAAATCCTATAAAGTTGGAGTAGGTAACCCAGCTTTTAAAGGTAACGTCGTTAATAACAACATCACCATCTTCTTCTCTTTTTATAATAAGAACCTGGTCCTCTCTCTCTCTCTCTCTTTTATATAGAAGGTTTTGGTTTATTTCTATTCTCTTCGTTCCTCTCCTCTTCTTCCTATTCTCTTCGTTCCTCTCCTCTCCTCCCTTCTCCCCTCCTCTCCTCTTCTCACTAAACAAAACTCCCAATCAAACCCCCAAAATGGCCGGTGGAATTCCCATATCCACCACCCCCCTCTCAACGGGTTTCCTCCGAGGAAAAGCCCTCATCTTCCCCCTCTCCCTCGTCATCTCCCTATTCTTCCTCTGGGGCTTCTCCTACGGCCTCCTCGATGTCCTGAACAAACATTTCCAAACCGTTCTCGACATAACCAAACTCCAATCTACGGGTCTCCAGGTAGTTTATTTCGGAGGCGGATATCTTCTCTTCTCGCCTATTGCTGCCGAAGTCATGAAGCGCAAGGGGTATAAGATAACTATCTTGATGGGTCTTTCGCTCTACTCACTTGGTGCTATTATGTTCTGGTAAGTGTAACCTTACAAATGCATATCTCAGCATTCATAATATCCACATCCACATGATAACTAACGCTCAATCCAAGGCCAACCGCTCATTTCTCCACATATCAAAATCGAATCGCCTCATTTGGAGGGTTTTGCGCTTGTACATTGGTCATCGCATGTGGACTGGCTACTCTCGAAACAGCAGCCAATTCCTACGCCGTCGTAATTGGAGACCCAGCATCCGCATCCGCTCGTCTCCAATTCTGTCAATCCTGGAACGGCGTCGCCTCATTCATCGGCCCGTTGATCGCAGGAAAATATTTCTTCACGGGTGAAAATGCCCACAATCTAACCAATGTACAATTCGTCTATCTAGCCGTCGCATGCGCTGGAGCCGCCATCGGGGTACTATTCCTCGTCGCGAAACTTCCCGAAGTCTCAGAAGAAATGCTCGAATCGAGTACCGTCAAGACGGAAAACTTCGCCCTGGATGAATTCGGGAATGAAATCGGTCAAGGACCAATATATAAGCAATACAACATGATATTCGCCTTCATTGCACAATTTTGCTACGTCGGTGCTCAAGTAACCGTTGCTTCATTTTTCATCAACTACGCTACGGAAAATGCAACATATTCCTCTTCTCAAGCATCCAATATGCTTTCATACGCACTGATTACCTTCACGGTAGGAAGATTCATCGCCACAGCGCTCGCGACGGTCTTTCAGGCCGATTTCCTCATGATGATTTATGCTATTTTCGCAATAGCTTTTACAGCCATTGTATCCGCATGGCAAGGAAAAGGCGCAGTGGTAATACTCATTCTGCTCTTCTTCTTCGAAGCTCCTATGTACCCCACCCTCTTTACACTCGGCACCGCAAATCTAGGCCGCCATACTCGTCGCGGAGCAGGAATTCTCGTCATGGGTGTATCTGGCGGAGCTGTATTTCCGCCCATCCAAGGAGCGATTGCCGATTCAGCGGGCACGAGAATCTCGTATGTGGTTCCGCTGGTGGGCTTTGTGTATGTGCTGGGTTATGTTACTTTTCATTGGGTGAGACATGGGAGGAATATTATGAGGGTTAAGGATGTGGTTTCTGTTGGGTTTGAGGGGGGTGCTTTGGGGGGTGTCGTGGAGAATGTTCATTATGATGGGGATAAGGTGATGAGTGTTGAGCAGAAGGAAACTATTTGATTAGTTGGTTTTGATTTCTTTCAGTTTTATGAGCTTGGGAATGATGAATGGATGGATGGATGGATGGATGGATGGAATGGCTTCACTTTATTGGTGTTTGGGCTGGACATAAGCATAGCATAGCATAGCATTCATGATGAGGATGAAATTTGCTGTTTATTGTATATAGTTTCTTTTACTTGCATTTGCATTTGCATGGGTTTCTCTTATCAATCTCTTTGTTAGATGAGATTCGATGGATGGATGATGGATGGACGGATGGATGATTAAAACACGATACCACGATATAAAATGGAATAGAGATATAGATTTCTTCCAAATATATATACATCAACATATAAGAAAATAAGAAATATAAATATCACCTTATAATATCTGTTCTTCTTATTCAATAATACCTCTTCTCCCTCACGCCTTCCTTCTTTCCTCTCCCCTCTCTTTTCTCCCCCCGAACATACCACACAATCCCGGCATCCTCACCCTAACCAAAACCCTAAACCTTTAACAACAACTTCCCCGTCGTACCTCTTCCCTCAATATCCGTATGTGCCCTCCGAACCTCCTCCAGCGGATAAATTTCATGAATCCTCACATTCAACTTATCCTTAATAATAAAATCAAACAATTCAGCAGCGTAACGTTCGAATTCTTCACGAGTAGCTATGTAGTTGAAGAGTGTTGGACGAAGAACCTTTAGGTTTTTTGCTGCTAGTTTGGAGATTGAGAATGGAGGGACTGCGCCGGACTAGGAGGACGTTAGTGAGTTTTAATGAGGCAAAGAATATGGGATGGAAAAGATGGAGAAAGAAGCAAGAAAGACAGGAAAAATAAACAAATAACTCACCGCATTACCAAAACTAACTACCGTTCCCTTCCTAGCAGTAACTTCCAAATCCCCCTCGAAAGTATCCTTCCCCACACTATCAAAAACCGCTTGAACCCCCTCACCCCCTGTAATTTCAAGAACCCTCTTCACAATATCCTCTTCCTTATTATTAATACCCACCTGCGCCCCATTTTCCTTCGCCAACTCTAATTTCTCCTTCGAACTAGCCGTTGCTATAACTCTCGCTCCTACAACCCTCAACAATTGACATAACCATAAACCCACCCCACCAGCAGCGGCATGAACCAAAATCCAATCATTGCGTTGAACGTGATAGGCTTCGCGAATGAGGGTTAGAGCCGTGAGACCTTGGAGAAAGGCGGCGGCTGCTATGCCGGGAGCAAGTTCAGAGGGGACAATGTGTACTTTGGATGCGGGAATCACGGTGTATTCTGCGTAGGTTGAGGTTCCCATGTAGACTACTCGATCGTTGGGTTTGAGGCTGGTGGTTGTGGAGGGACCCAGAGAGACGATGGTACCTTCGGCTTCGCGGCCGAGGATTTCAGGTTTGGGGGACTGGTAGAGACCGGTGCGGAAATAGCTGATGGGGAGGATATTAGTTGTGGACTGTGGATAAATTTAAAGATTGAGGGGAATGGGATGGAACAAGGCATCTTGATCAAGACATTTCATCTCTAACATCAATAAATCCATTACTCATAACTCATAACACACCCCACCCCAAAAGAAACAAAAACCTACGTATCAATATAATTAATCCCCACAAACTCATTCCTCACCAAAACCTCACCCTCTTTCGGCACCGGAACCTTTAAATCAGTCTTATAATCCAACACCTCCACCCCACCCGTTTTCTCAATCAAAACACCTTTCATCGTCTGCGGAATCGAAGCTGAAGACATATTGCGAGTTTGAATTCTCGGTTTATTATGAATAATCAATGAAGAGGTATGAACCGGTCTAATGCGAGAATTTTGAAGCCGTGAACCGCTTATTGATCTTATTGCGCGTTATATTGAGGGATGGATATACGTGAAGATATTCTCCCTAGAAATTTAAGATTCTTAAGATGACAAGTTGTGAAAGTTCTGTGTAGAGGTAATCTGGATTCAAGAAGATGTATAGAATTCGACATTTGTAAATTGGCTGAATCTCTTAATCTATTCAGAAGAATCAGAAATGTCACAAAAGCAAAGCAAAAAGTAATAGAGATAGAAAAGTATAGTACTTTCTAGAAGAGCATTCTTATCTATCTTCCAGAGCGGAGCGTTGCTTACAAAAATCCTGATGTACAGTATATCGCGCAAGTGCGGGTCATTTTCGATATCCAATACTCGTATCCATTTCACATCACATCACAGGGGTGAAGCGGGGTGATTGTTATCGAAAGCTACTGAGTAGTAAAGCATCCAGCTAGACTGACTGTATTAAACTTTCCCCTTAACAAGCTCCCGGTGAGCTCCCTAACCATTTCTTCGATTATCCTTTCCTTGGTCTTATTAGTCTTCCTAGTACCCGGGAGCTTAGACTTTTCGTTCTGCCTTATCCGTACTTTCTAAACATTTAGCACCCAACGTTTAACGTTTAAGGTTACAATCAGGGGTTTTATTTTAAGCCTCGTGACGATCACTTCTTTACCTGCGACCACCAACATATATAGAAATAAATAAATAAATAGTATGAAAAGAGATTTATTTTATTCTCTAACTGGTCGTGAATGAACTTATGTGATATCTATAACTAATGTAACCTCATGCAAATGCTCAAAATGAATCGTGAATGCCCGTCTCCAGCCAGTCTCCCAAACCGCAATAGTCTTTTAACAACCTCCGTGCCTTACATTAAGTATTCTTCTTCAAACTCTCCTTGAGATCCTTTAATAATTGCTCGGGAGGATCTTGACGATATCCTTGCGGATTATTACTAACCCATTTCCATAAATCCTTACAAGCATCCTCGAGTGTCAATTCGGTCTTCCACTTCAATTCTTCATTTGCGCGAGTAGGGTTGGCAGTCAAATCCAGAACATCACCGGCTCGGCGATCAACTACTTCATAAGGAAGTTCCCGTCCTACAACATCACTAAATGCCTTGATCATTTCGAAGACGGTGGATCCACGACCAGATCCCAGATTCCATGCACGAACACCAGGTCGTTGATTGCGGAGATGATTTAGAGCGGCAAGATGACCTTTTGCTAAGTCGACTACATGGATATAATCGCGAATAGCTGTACCGTCGCGAGAAGAATAGTCTGACGAGAAAAATTTGTTAGCTTCTTCTCGATCTGGGGACGGCCGAACCGAGGTTGGGGAACGGAGAGTGGGAGGTGGAGTATTATCGGGCGGGACTGGGTAGACTGGAGAATTCCTTACCTTCACCATATACGAGCAATTTCTCTCGTTTTCCAGTAGCAACCTGACCCAACAATGGCAAGAGGTTGAATGGAACACCCAGAGGATCCTCACCCATAATACCACTTGGGTGAGCTCCAGCTGGGTTGAAATATCTCAGTAAAGCACCATTCCATTGCTCATATTCCTTTCCCTTCTTCTTCAAATTATTTCTTTGCGCATTGATATGATCAATGATGACATCTTCAATCATGCTCTTGGTACGTCCGTATGGGTTTGTGGGTCCAATTGGGCAATGTTCGGGGATAGGAATCATATTTGGAACTCGAGTCGCATCACCATAAACAGTGGCAGATGAAGAGAAGACAATGTTGGGAACATTATATGTGGTCATGCATTGTAAAAGAGTGATTGTTCCACCAACATTGACGCGGTAGTATTCGAGTGGGATTTCGGAAGACTCTCCAACTGCCTGTTGCACAAGGGTTAGTTGGTTGATGAAGTTGTTCATAGGATAGGAAATCTCCCACCTTCAAAGCAGCGAAGTGAATAACACTGTCAATCTCAGGATGAGCAGCAAAGACTTTTTCTAACTCCCTTTCGTTTGTGATGTCGACTTCGTAGAAATCTGGACGCTTGCCGCATAATAATTCTATACGATCCAATGCCGCCTCTGAAGAATTGTATAGATTATCAACAATCACCACTTTATAGCCATGTTCAAGTAAGGCCAAAGTTGTGAATGAACCGATGTATCCAGTACCTCTATGAAAAAAGTCATCAGTAAATAGTTCAGCGTTGGCGGCTGCATGCTCTAACTGATGGCGGGGTTAGATCTTCAGATTTCCCCAGTTTCTCCAACAGATAAGATGCGAAGACTAACTCATAACTCGACCGTTGACAACTTTACTTTTGAGGTGTCGCAGTGCAGAGGAAAGATATAAACTCACCCGGTGATCAAGACTGTTCCAACTGACATGATTGCTGGTTGATTTGAATTATTTTGAATGTGATGGAGAGGAAGTTTCTAAACAGCGGAAGAATGGAATAATAAATCAATGTTGGATTATCGGTCATCGGGGGGCCTTGCAGATCAATGGGTGGGGCATGTTCAAGGTTTGTGTATCATTGTATTATTGGATTCGAAACTGGACCAACAATGAATGGCCGGGTTCAACTGGTCGCGTCGAGATGGGATGGATATACGATATACAGGGGCTGGTGAGGATTACCTCATAAAATCCAAGCTGCTAATAAATTATGATATATTGAGCAGCAAATCACCCAAATAGTGATAATCATATTTAATTTGCGGAAAGTATGTAGGTACGTACGTACTGGTGAGTACAGAGGGTAGATTACATTGATGATACTATATTTATTGAGTATTGTGTTCGAGGAGGCAGCCAGCCTTTCCGATTTAATTGTAAGGTTGCGCAGAACCACAACAGAGTAGAGTCAGTCACCGGAGGGTAAGGTACGGAGTATGATGACCAGAAATTACCTAGTGGAGTACAGTTTATAGTTCTGATTAATAGTCCTGATTAATACTCATGCCACCAGAAGATCCTTTCCTTCCATATCCGCTCGAATGAGATACGTCGTATGAAGAAGACTTTTACGAGAACAATATCACATTTGGATCTTTGACAGCCAGCTAATGGAGAGTCGGGGGAATGGTTTTCCCGACGGCGGTTAACTGCAAATAGGTACGAGGTGTACTTGTCATTTATCTAGCAGGTAGGCAAAGGCATCATGAGAGTAAGCTTATTGACTTCAAAAGATATCGGATCTAGAAGCCATTGACTGACTGCAGGCATGTAAGATTCATGTCTATTTATGGAAAAGGGTAAGGAAAAACATATATCTGAAGTTTGGAAACTAATGATTCAGAATTAGCTGACGTCGTTGACATGTTTTAGACTTTGATCTCTGCCAAATTGTACGGAGTAAAGGTGGAACAATGGAGAAATGAGCCCGGTGATCTTTTTCTGATCCTCTTCAAAGGGTGAAGGAAATCATCATTTCAGTTTGATTAGGCCTTATCATCAGTCTTACGTGAGTCCTTGTGGCTAGTGACACAAATCACATGCAATATATCTATGTAGCAGTGGCTGACGGTATGAATCATGCCATTCCATTCCTGTCTTGTCTGATAGATACCCGCAGACTCTCACAGTCTCACGTATACGTATGATTGATTCTCTTCTACCAGAGCGGAGCGTCATCAATTGAATTAACAGACACCACCCACCAGCATGATTGTTATTCCGTCCCGCGCATGGAGATACAGCCCTTGCAATTGCATCTGCGCATCAAACTTAACCTTTTGCCGGTGAATCGACTGTGGCTGATGCTCTTCACATCTGTCGGTACTTCTTCATAGTGATAAACCCGACGATGAACTAATCCTAGCTAATTGGAAAAACATGCGGTCAAATCATCCGAAGTAACGAGGCTTCAAGCTTGCAGGTTTGGGGCTGATTGATTGCTTCTGGTGCTTTGTTCCTAGGCTCTGTCTGTACTCTGTACTTCATATTTCATTGAAGTACAGAACTTCTCCAACATTCAAAGAAATCAAAGCTAGAAATGAAGAAAAGAAAAGCAACTTCTTACCAAAAGTCAAAGAAATCTTCCTTTGTATTTTAACCCTCCATTTGACCGAATCCATCATTACTTTGTACTCGATAAAATATTATTCAACTTTCCTAGCGAGAAAGTCTGTTTGCATCCTTAACTTAAATGGCCTTTGAAGCTATTGTGTCGTTCAATGTGTTCCGCGATATCGTGAACCTCAATATATCAACGCGCGCCAAAGAGTACAATCAACCATAAGAATTGTCGCACATACAATCCAAATGCTTCACCATATACAGTTTTGATCTCGCTTCTCATTGAGACGCGTAGCCCCAAAAATATCGGCGTGTCGTTTTGCTTGAAAAGTGAATTTGACTTCCTATTGTTCATACTGTCAAAATTATCCGGATAGCTTCACAAGAGCAAAGAGCTACCGTTTTCCATACTCGAGAAGCCGTACTGCTTATAAGACTTCTCCTTATATCATCTTGCTTCCGGCTTCTCGCTTCATCTTCTTTTGACATCCGCAAGACGAGATTGTATGAAAGTTAGTACTACGATTTACAACAACTTCAAGGGTACGACTCTGCTATTGTTTTCATTCTTTCAGTCTGCATTAGCATCCTTGGTCGGATTTATGCAGTCTTATTCGGCTGCATCTTTCGAAATACTGAAAATTCCATACTAATTCGTACATCTGCAGATATCCATCCCTGATCTCGAGTCTTTCGGAGCTCTCAACTCCTCACGGTACAACTGCTAAGATAGAAAATTCAACAAGAAAATGTCTACAAGACGAACCACACGAGCTGGCAGTCGCGCTGCTAGTAGTGTTGGCGGAACCCATGCTGTTGGTCCTGAAGATATTCCAGCCGCTCGAACACCAGGTAGAGGTCGTCCTAGAAAATCAGGTGGCTCAGTAGCTGGTTCTGAACGTGGCAATGGTCTCCCTCCTATGGCAGCTTCTACTAGTACTGCATACGGTACAAATACACTTGCACTTCCAAATTATGCCCCAAGGAGTGCACCTTTGGCCAATGATATTTCTTCCGTAATCGAAGGTCTCCTAGAGCCGGAACCTGTAAACAGGGGAACCAGACCTAGACCGGTTTCTCCTCGAGCACCAGTTCCCGATAGTAAGTTTTTTCATTTCGACTTTTACTTCTATGGTTTTTCGCTAACTTTGTAAGTCGATGCCCCTGCTGCTCAACCAAAGCCTGGCGCTCCCGCTCATATCCCCACTATGCGTTCGAGGTCTGGGCCTACCAAACGAAGAGTTCCTCCTCCTGCTGTTGATCGGAATTTTCAAAATGAAAGTCAATTGTATGACAATGCTAGCATTATGTCGGGTTCCTACCAACAAGACGAATTTCATGTTTCGGGCCCTTCCTACGATGAAGGCGAGCTGAACCGCCGCACCGCGTTACGAGGCATTGCCCAGGAGCAACAATACATGCGTGGTGGTGCTCCAGGGTGGAATTTTTTGGATCTTGGTGATGAAACTACTTTCGACTTCAAACACGCTCTAAGATCACCACTTAGCTTGTGAGTAAATTTGATACTGTAATTCGGGCAATGGAGCTGACATAGTATTTTTATAGCTTCAAAAAGTTGGGAAAAGCCTTCTTCAGCCTTTTCGGCAACATGACAAAATCTTTACTGCCGTTACTTCTCCTTGGCTCTATTATATTCATCTCATGGATAGCCTATCTAAATAGCGGGGGTCCTAGCATACATTGGTATGGCTCCGACGTCTCGGCAAACATCAAACAATTTATTCCGTCGCAAATTAGACATCCGTCTCGGATTTTCGCCCCGGAAGATCTTAAAGATGTTTACCGTCGGTTGGATATTGCCGAATCTGACATCGTGTTCCTCAAACATCGTTCTTCTATCGACAAAAACGCTCTTGCAGAAATTCAGAAAATTCTTCCCGATTTCATTGCTCTTGACAAGGACGATAACGGCAAACCAGCTCTCCCAGCAAGTCTTTGGCAAGCCATGCGAGAAAAGATTCGGGCTGATCCGTCCCTTATTCCACCCCCTGTCATTATGACTCCTGGGCGTTCTTCCGATACTTCCACTAAATCCGATAGTCGCGACAATGAAGTGTTCAATTCAAAACAATTTGATCGATATCTTGAGAGCAACAGAGCCAAGATTCAAAGCTGGGCCGGCTCTGAGTTTGATGTTCTCCATCAAACTCGATTGCAACAACTTATCAAAGATGGCAAGATCGCCACAAGAGAGAATGTTGTGGAATTAGTCAAAAAGAGTTACAGAGATGAGGCGCGGGAAGTCAAATCAGAACTCCAAAAAGTCACCAAAGTCTTAGAAGAAAAGGTGGCAAGCCTTGGAAAACAAGCGCTTACTGCGGAGCGAGTGAAAGAACTTGCGAACGAAGTCGTTATCGCGCAGGTTGAAGCTATCACCAAAGCGAATGTCAACAAGAAAACCGTTCAATCCCTTCAACGCATGGATCACTTTGCCAAACGTTCCCATTCTGCAGTTATTCCCCGTCTCACCTCACCATCTTATCGTTTCCCACATATGGACTTTGGCTTCATCCGCAGGAGCATCGCTCTCATCGCCAACCATCCCATCCCTCTCCCCAACCCCGCTGATGCAGCTCTCACCTCATGGGAAGACATTGGCGATTGTTGGTGCTCAGCACAACAAAATGGCAATGGTCCTACACTTGGTGTCATTACGGCCAACTATATCTGGCCCGACCAAGTCGTTGTTGAACATTATCCTCAATCCGGCTACGTCAATTCTGGCCTCTCGCCTCTCTCAGCACCCAGACAAATGGAGTTACTGGTCTACATTTCTCACAAACCCACGTACCTCAAGGTTAAATCTATGTCGGATCAAATCTTTCCCGAAGCTAATTACCGTGATCTCGAATCTGGTTGGGTACAAGTGGGCGCATGGTCATACGACGCTTTTGGTTACACTCAGCAAGCTTTCCCCTTACAAATTGAGCTTAAGGAATTTATATCAGAACCGGAAAATAATCTCAAAAATGATACCTCAGCCACTAACAAGTTTTTGGTTAGGAGTAAAGGAAATCATGGAAGGGGTGCAGTGCCTTATACATGTATTTACCGCATTCGATTACATGGAGATGTTCGACCTGATGAGGAAACATTTTATACTCCTGATGCTTCACAGGTTTGAGGTGCATAAGTAAATCAATGGCGTTTTCCCTTTTTGGAACTGTTGGGTTTGGTTCAGGTGTATTTGGTGGGGCCTTTTTATATGGTGTGGAGTATTGGGAATGGGAAATGAGCAATGGGAAATAGGAAATGGATTGGGTCAAGTGGGTGGTTGTACTTACTTGATAACTTGTTATATGAATGAAGCTGGATTGTACGGTAACGCAACGCAAGGGATTGGACTGGACTGGCGTTGCGTGATCGGATACCTGGTGTTGAGTATTACTCGGGCGTTGTGTATGAAAAATGAACGTGGATCTTTTGAATTATTTTTCCTTGGTCTCTCTCTTTTTATTTCATATGAATGATTGTTAGGCCATGTGTTATGCATGCAGTGTGATGTATGATGTATGAAGTGTGATATGTGAAACCCGAATATGTATATATCACACTCAAGTGTATGTATATAAGTCGATTGCGATTGCACGAGTATATACACGCCTTTAATTTTCATTTTCATTCTCATTCATTCATTCATTCATTCATTCATTCACATATTTATAAAAAAAAAAAAGAAAAAGAAAACAGTTAAAAATACCCGGAAAAAAGAAAAGTGTGAATTTTCAATGAATAAATGAAGAATAAAATATACAGGATACAAATATATACGAAAGACCTGGTGGACGGACTCATGTGTGTATGAAACCCAGCTCTCTATACTTTCTCTCCTTTACTATACTAACTATACTAACTACACTATAATATTCAAAATCTAGTATTCTGTAATCTTTCTTCCGAGTGGATTGATCTCCTGTCTAGTGGTATCGTGCATATGCATCTATTATCCATTCTCTATTCTCCATCATCATCATCCACCTTCTTTCCCATCGTATGTTCTCTTCCTTTCATATCTACTCTACCACGTACTCCCTTCTCCCCCAACCTTCACCTTTCTCTTCCCATTCGAGTAACGTACCCATTCCCCCATCTTCAACTCCCAATTCAATCCAATACTAAACCATCTATTACATCCCGAAAAACTCAATAGTCCCTTCCTAATCTCTCCTCCTCATCCTCAACCAATTCATAAGCGGGTCTAAATTTCTTTTCCTCTCCTCCTTTCCCATTATCGGCTACTAATACTGGATTCGGATGTGTATCTGTTGTGCCGCCTAATGATGTATATCCTTGATCGTAGAGTGGACAATAGGGGATTTGAAGATGGCGGATGAACTATTCAAGATAATATCTCGTCAGCCTTATTCATGATAATATTTCCCAAAATTATCACAAGCACCAATACAGATCTAATAAAGAGAAAATAAAAACTCACCCCCCAAATCTCCCTATAATGCCAATCAATCACCGGATGAACCCTCATAAACCTCGGCCATCCTCCATCCGTCATATCAAAATGCGTTAGATTTGCACCATGTGGATCCGTCCTTCTAGTCCCTACCAAAATCGCCTTTACATGTGTATGATCTTGTAGATATTGAGTGAATGCTTCTTTCATGGGTGATGCATAGCGGGAGAGTTGGAGATGGTAGTGGGAGGAGGAAGTGGCGACAAAGGTGTCGACTTCAGGGAAGGGGTGCGGTGAGAGGATGTAGACGGAGGGAAGTTTGTTGGGGAGTGGTTCCGGTGGGGGTTTGGAGGTTAAGGAATTGGATGGGGAAGAGGAGGTGGTGGATTGGTGGTTGGAAAGTGCGGTGAGTAGAAGGATTAGGAGGACTAGACAGTCTTTTCCTCCGTTGTAGGAAAAGGATATTTCTTCTAAACTGTTTTGTGTTCAATATTAGCATATCTACAATGTAGTATACAATCACTAATCATTCCACAAACTCATCGCACGAAATCGCGGACCCTCTCGTCGCATATAACATACCTATATCTCTGCAAACACTCCTCGATAACTCCCAGCGCAATCCTCGTCTGTTTCTGTACCTCCCTCAATACCTCCTCCTCATCCCCAAATTCCTCTTGTAGAAACCCATTTACTTTTCCGGCCACCTCATCACATCTCCCTTGTAAATTCTTCAACCCACCGACACCGACATCCACATCCACATTCATATCCGCATCCTTATTCCCATGCCCATTCTCAATCTTCAAATTCGCATCCGTATCCGGGTCCGCAAATCCCAGACCCCTCTGAGCGCAAGCCGCCTGCCATTGCTTCTCAATATGACTATCATCTCTTTCTTGCATATTATTTCGTATCAGTAACATTTCAAATTAAACTGCTAATATCCATATATCTGCAAGAAAAATAAGCAAAGCAAAGTAAGAAGTAAGAAGTGAGAAGAGAAGGGGAAGTTTTGTACATGAACATGTGTAAGGGTGGGTTAGCCGTGCCGTCAGATTAGTCGGAGTACCTCCGACCTTGTCCCCGTAAAAAGTCGGACTCTAACATGAGGTAAGCTTTGATGAGTGATAAACCAATGTACCGATGGACCAATCATTGAGCGTAATTGTGCTTTCTAAGCGATTATGAACGGGGCTGGAATGTGGGGGTTAGTTTGGAGGGGTAGTTTTAGGTTCAATTGCACAATTAGGGGTCATGCTTTGCCAGGTATCTGATGGTAAATATTCGAGAACTAAAAATATAAGGGGTATATAAAGTCTCCATTTTGAACCGATTATCAATGCTATCTATTACATTTTATGCTTATCCCAATGCCGAAATTAATTAAGAAGACCGGCAGCCAAAGCCTCAAGATCTTCCAATGTCTCAGGCTCATCCGCCGCTTCAATCACGCGACTCTTTCTCTTGGCAACTTTCCTCTCATCATCTGAATCATCCTCAAACCATTTCTTAGGTCTCTTCGCAGGTCTCGCTGTACTATCCTCATCTTCCCCATCTTCTGGAAGTGGTAATGATCTAAGAAGAGCCATAGGATCTTCGTCATCTCCAGCATCAGCCAATTCAGGTGCTTCCTCATCATCATCCAATGCTGCTTCTCTTGCTTTACGTTTTTCACGCTTTTCTCGTTTCTTGTCTTTTGCAGTTTGTTTATCGAGAAGATCTGCTTCACGCACTCTTTCAGCCTCTTCTTCCAAGAATTTGGCCCGTTGTTCCTCGGCTGTACCCTTGGCTCGGAAATCCTCTTCGTCCTGTAATTCATACACTTGATGAGGATTGCCTTCCTCGTCAAACACCAGTTTAGTTCCTCTGTCTTTGAGCTTCAATAACTTTTTCTTGGATTTCAGAAGTTTCTCTTTTCGTTTCGAGTCTATTACAATAGGATCCTTGGAGATACCCTCAATAACCTTTCCTAATGGCCCAGTCGCGGCCACATCGTCGTCATCGTCGTCTCCATCGTCGGAAGTATCATCCTTATCCACAGATAGTACTCTCTTGACTGACAAGAAATCATTGTCCTCGTCAGCATCAGCTGTACCATCCACATCTTTCATAGGAGTATCATCTGCTATCATCTTCGAGTAATGACCAGACAAAACATCTTGGTTACGGCGCTCAAACATTCTATCGTATTTCGTTCGTACTTCATCCTTCTTCTTAGGTTTCTTCTCAGTTTCACTATCTTCATCGCTAGACTCAATCGCAGCTCTTGGTGCATTTTTTACGTTCTTCGCATCATTTCCTTTCTGAAACTTGATTTTTGGCGCACCGGGAAGACCCATACTCGAAGCATATCCTTCCAAATCAACATCGTTGATATTGAATATCTCCTTGTCCTTTTGTAAGAAAACAGATTTGGCATAACTGACAAATGCTTTCTGACCTAGGTATTTCAACTCGGGATCTTGGAAACACATATTTTGTAGTTGGTTTTTGATATCTTGAGTCTTATTCGGTCGGATATTGATCTTTTGTATCGGTACTTTTTTATGTTCCAATCGTTTCAACATGCCTTCTTCCTCTGAAGGGTCCAGGAATAAAACTGCCCTGCCTACTTTCCCATAACGTGCAGTTCGCCCAACCCTGTGAATATAGGTATCAGCATCCTCAGGGCAATCTAATTGAATAACCCAATCAACTGCAGGAAAGTCAAGACCTCTTGCGACAACATCGGTAGCAAATATACAAGAGTTCTTGGATGAGGAGAATTTCGAGGTTATGTCAAGCCTTGCGGTTTGCTTTTGCCTACCGTGTAAATGAAGCAATGGAATACCAGGTTGTAAGTGTCTCAAACTCTCGTAGACAAAACGCACTTGCTTGCCTGAAGACATAAATACTATTATTTTAGCTTTCAGATTAGCTCTAATGAAGCCAAAAAGAGTGTTTAGCTTTTCAGGCAGAGGCACCACGCAGTAGTGTTGTTGTAAGGTTGTGGGAGTAGCGGAGGATGCAGCTTCGTGCACTGCAACATATTCGGGTTCCTTTAAACTCAATCTTGCTAGGTCTGACACTTTCTTCGTTTGAGTAGCACTAAACAGCATCGTCTGCCTTTGTTTTGGTAAATGTTCCAGTATCGCATCGACGGATGTTTGAAATCCCATGTCCATAATTCTATCCGCTTCATCTAGGACTAGCATTTGAAGGTTATCCACATCGAATGCTGCAGTTTGATCCATATGCTGTAACATGCGCCCAGGTGTACACACAAGTATATTCATCCTCCCCAAGCGTTCCCTTTCCTCTTGTAGACTTCGACCTCCAATAATTAGTCCTGCTGAAAAGGTATGGTATCGTCCGATTTTCCGTAAAACTTCGAAAATTTGTATTGCCAATTCTCGAGTTGGCGATATAATGAGAGCACCGAGGCCATCCAATTCGGTCCATTTCTGTCTATAAAGATTCTCCAAAACTGGCACTAAAAACGCAAGAGTCTTTCCACTACCAGTCTTCGCTGCACCTAGAATATCTTTTCCTTTCAGCGCAAGAGGTATAGCTTTTGATTGAATATCGGTCAGAGTCTTAAAGTGAGACGCTTCAAGTCCAGATGAGGTCGGTTCAGATAGGGGGAGTTCGGAGAAGTTTTTTATTTCTGCTTTCGCGTCCTAAAGAGAGTGAGCGTATGTTGACAAGAGGTATAACTGCGCCTACAAGCTCATCAACCGATTTTTGAAGTTTTTCCAGATCTTCTTCAACCCTTTTCCTTTTAAGAGTGCGCGCATCAACTTTGCTTTTGCTTATATTCTTAGACTTGCGTCCAACGGATGGTGGTGCCATATTTTCAAATCCGTACAATATCAATTGATTGCTCAATGTCGCAAAATATTTCACATTTATTTTTCTAATCTGCCTTCAAAATTTAAGGTTTTGCGCTAAGGAAGGCGGTGAATTGACGCACGAGCCATATCAGAAAAAAAGTTGAACTGATAAGATTTTGGATATCCTCAATGCTTTGAATGCTGCTAATTTGCGCGTGCTGTGGAAAATTACGACAATCAAAATGCCTCGTCGTGCAGCATCCCCCGCGCTTTCAGAGAACGATTTTGATATTACAAAATCCCTCTTCAATGACGATATAGATGGGGACGACGACGATTTCGGAAACACAACTACTAAAAATGTAGAACCTTTGGATGCTAATGGTATACTGGACTTGGGGCTTGAGAGTGATGGAGAGGGAGATGAAGCTTTCATATCAGTACAGCAAGCAGCTGCGAACCGAAAGGCGTCAAATTTAAAAGGGCAGAGTGTCAAGAAAGGTGGTGGATTTCAAGCAATGGGTATGATATTCTTGCCCGCGGGTTTTCTGCGCAACTGTGCTAATCCTCAGTCTAGGATTGAACTCTCATTTGTTGAAGGCAATTAGTAGAAAAGGATTTAATGTACCTACACCAATTCAGCGAAAAACGATACCTTTAGTCCTCGATAATCAAGATGTTGTTGGCATGGCTAGAACTGGTTCCGGAAAAACTGCTGCCTTCGTCATTCCAATGATTGAAAAATTGAGAGCTCATAGTGTACGTGTTGGTGCAAGAGCTTTGATTATGTCGCCATCTCGAGAATTGGCATTACAAACATTGAAGGTTGTTAAGGAATTCGGGCGAGGAACTGATCTTAAATGTGTTCTACTTGTTGGAGGTGACAGTCTCGAGGAACAATTCGGATTTATGTCCGCCAATCCTGATATTGTTATTGCTACACCCGGTCGATTTTTACATTTGAAGGTTGAAATGTCTTTAGACTTATCATCGATGAAATATGTTGTTTTTGATGAAGCCGATCGTCTGTTCGAGATGGGATTTGCTGCTCAACTTGGCGAAATTCTTCACGCGTTGCCAATTTCGAGACAGACTTTGCTATTCTCGGCAACTTTACCAAAGTCCTTGGTGGAATTCGCCAGAGCTGGTCTTCAAGAGCCAAGTTTGGTTCGTCTTGATGCAGAAAGCAAAGTTTCTCCAGACCTCCAGAGCGCATTTTTCAGTGTTAAAGGTGCCGAAAAAGAAGGTGCTTTATTGCATATCCTTCAAGATTTGGTCAAAATGCCTACCGGTCTACCAGAAAATGCACTGAATGCGACAGACAATTTTAGCAAAAAGCGCAAGAGAGGTCCTGATGGGCCAACTAAGAAACTAAAACCCACAGAGCATTCGACTATCATATTCGCAGCTACTAAGCATCATGTCGATTATCTCGCTTCTCTATTACGTATGTCTGGATTTGCTGTTTCTCATGCTTATGGTTCGCTTGATCAAACCGCTAGAAATATCCAAGTTGAAGATTTCCGGACTGGAAAATCAAATATATTAGTAGTTACTGATGTCGCTGCTAGAGGTATTGATATTCCTGTATTAGCAAATGTCATTAATTACGACTTTCCACCGCAACCCAAAGTTTTTGTTCATCGAGTTGGTCGCACCGCAAGAGCTGGTCAACGAGGTTGGAGTTACAGTTTGGTTAGAGATACTGATGCGCCATATCTTCTTGATCTACAACTATTTCTTGGAAGGAGATTGCTTCTCGGACGCGATTGTGGCGGCTCGCCGAACTATGCTGAAGATGTAATTGTTGGAGCTTTACAAAGGAATGAGGTAGAAAGCAAATCAGAATGGATTACTAAGCTTTTATATGACGACGATGACCTTACTGCCCTCCGAAACGTAGCGGGAAAAGGAGAAAAACTGTATGTCAAAACCCGTAACTCGGCATCCAGCGAGAGTGCGAACAGAGCCAAAGAAGTCGTAGCATCAAAGGGATGGATGGAACTACATCCACTTTTCAGGGACGTTACCAATGGTGCTGAACAAGCTCGATTAGAGATGCTAGCAAAAATTAGTGGTTTCCGGCCCAATGAGACTGTCTTTGAGATTGGACAAAAGGGGAAAGCTGCTCACAGTGAGGCTGCAGAAATCATGCGACATCGAAGGGAAAAGATCATTCCGCGAAGACAGAAGGAGGAAGACGAAAAGGCCGCCGCAGCAGCAGAAGAAGATAACTATGATTCTCCAGCGGAGGGAAATGATGATGATAATGACGATCTTGAGGTCACAGTCACTGGAGGAGATGACGATATGGCCGAAGCATCCGATGGTGAGCTTGAAGTTACCTTCTCGAAAGCAGCGCAAAAAGGCAAAGGCCGAACACTATCCTGGAAAGACTCCGAAAACTTCATGTCATACACACCAAAAACTATCAACACAGCAGAAGAACGTGGATACGGTGTTCATTCTGGTTCATACAACACAGCATCTCAAAATTCGAATTTCGTTGAGGCAGCTAGAGGTGTAACCATGGATCTTACTAATGATGACGGGGCGAAATCCTTTGCCGAGCCTTCCAAGGCAAAGGGCATGAGATGGGATAAAAAGAATAGCAAATATGTTGCTCGAGCCAATGACGAGGACGGATCTAAAGGAATCAAATACATCCGTGGAGAGAGCGGTCAAAAAATTGCAGCAAGTTTCCAAAGTGGTCGATTTGACAGATGGCGCAAAGCACACAAGGTCGATCGCATGCCACGAACTGGTGAAGCAGAACGTGAGGGCCCTGCAAGTGCTGGTGGGGTAGGACGAGGTTTCGGAACACGATATAAGCATAAGCAAGAAAGGGCGCCAAAGGAAGCCGATAAATATCGGGATGATTACCATGTAAGGAAGAAGAGGGTTGCAGAAGCAAAGGAAAAGAGAATCGGTTCGTTTAAGGATGGAAGTGGAAAATCGGAAATTAAAAGTACGGAAGATATTCGAAAGGATAGGAAGTTACAGGAGAGGAAAAAGGCAAAGAATGCCAGACCTTCAAAGAAAGGTAAATATTAGTAATATGGCGTCCGCCCCTGTATTGTGTAGAGAAATATGAGATGGGTATTTCCCGCCCTGTTGTAGCGCTTGATGAGGCTCTCAGACTATTGATATATATGTGCATAAATGTGACATGATTGTTTGGTTGGGCGTCAAGTGATTGCAGAAGGATTGCATCCCCATCAAGGCCGCCATGCAACCCAGCGGGTAGCCGTGTGAAAAGCGTGTACTACAATAAGCGAGCGGTTCGTAGAATTTCGTCATACATGGAGTAGTTTCTAGAATGAACTCAGCTAGCCGTCAGTACGGCATTTCCTACACTATGGTATTGATGCGTATGGTTCAATGTCGTTCTGATGGTACAAAATCGACTTGGATATCAGTATTAGATCTTCTTATTTCATCTCATACGGCGATGTAAGATCTCGGGAGAGTATAATTATCTCATCTAATTTATGAATAGCACTCACTCTGTTTATCATCTAATTCACGGAAATTTATATACACATGAACTTCCATTCCATTCTGTTTTTTTTTTCGTTTGTTGTAAAGTAACTAATTGTAATACATGTATAGGTGCTGGTGATATTGTGCAAATTCAAAGTTCCATCAAAAAGGGAGAAAAAAAGATATAAAAAAAAATTTAATAAAAAAATCTGAAGAAAAACTAAATAGCCCTAGAACTATACGGAACAAAAAAAAAATAACGTTGACTTTTGCGCCACGCAACACAACACGATCAACACAGCACAGTATACACCTGACCCCGTAAGAGAAGATTTATAGAAATTCCGCGACGATTCCTTGAGATCTTTCGTTGTGTTTTAGTAAGAGAGGCCTGTTGATCCTCTACCTGAACAGAAAAAGAGAGAAAAAACAAGAGAAAAAGAAAAAGATACGAGTGAATAATGGATAGTTACAAATACCAGCCGTGTTGAGAAATTTGGACTGGAAATTGGAGAAGAAGAAGGAATTTCGCGCCCAAAAGGAGAATATCGCATCTAAAAAGAAATACTATAAAGTTTGTAAACTGTAAATCCCACTGGCACCCATACTTAAGTCTCAATCCTCAGCCCTCCTAGGAAGAATATCGCAAGTCTGTCCCCATTATCCCTTAATCGTATGTTTGAGTTTGAGTGAAGGGGGTGAAATGAAGATCGCAGTCAACCGAATCAATTCTTCCTATCAAATCCCAGAATCATGCATATCGTGAAGATCCATATCCGCTTCCTTCCCCACTCCCTCTTCCTCTCCCCAACGACCGTTCATCGCTATCCCCATGCTCCTCCTCATGATCCACACCTCTTCCTCCCCCATTCCCCACCGCACCTTCCCATCCCATTTCACCCCTTCTTCTTCTCTTCCTGCTTTCCTTCTCCAGACAATCGAGCTCCTCTCCCATCTTATCCTTATACCCCCAATTCAAATCCGTATCGCTTAGTCCTAACGCGGCACTACTTAAAGTATCTGAAGCGCGGCGTTTGCGGGATTCATGAGGGGAGAGGGGGGACCAGGGGCCTGGCTCTTCTGGTGGTGGTTGTTGTTGGTGGTGGTGATGATGAGGTTGGATTTGGATTTGAGGGATGGGGATCGAGAGGGATGGTAAGTTGGTTGGAGTGTTGACATGGGGATGAGAGGCAGGGTAAGAAACTCGTTGAAATTGAGTTGGGTGGTAGTGTGGGAGAGTTTGGGAATCACGTTGTGAAGGATGATAGGGAGTATAGTGCGATGGAAGCGGCGGAGGTGTAGGCACTGCTGGTGGTGGTGGATCAAGGTAAGAGGTAGAGGTGTGAGAATCGATAGATTCGAGCTGGAATGTAGTCGTGTAGGGTTCGGTATAGGAAGGGTATGTAGATCCAGGTTGTGACGTAGTCGTATAAGGCTGCTGAGAGGATGTGATAGGATACGATGCGGGAACTGATGATTCAGAGTAGGAAGGTTGATACGGAGATGATGGCCGTGCTGAGTAAGGTCTCTGGGTGCTAGAAGATGGTGCTCTTGTTGAGTAATGTGTTTCTTGAGACCCTTCGTATCGACTAGATGGAACGAGAAGCAGCGCAGTCTCTCCGTTCGAAGTCCGAGAAATTTGATTTCGAGACCGAGGTGGAGATCCACTACTTGACAATGCATTAATTAGCTCATCACCGCAGCTAACCAAATCACAAGCAGAAAGTACGCAACTAACCTCCGACTCGATGAACCAACATCAGCGCTATTCGAGCCAAAATCTGTGAAATTGTGTGCTTCCATACTTTGACTTGCACGACCAGCAAGCTGACTCCGACCTTCTCGCTCGCTAGAGTCGCTACCTCGCAAATGTGATCCGCTTCGTAAACGCATGTATGTATATACGTATTCAAGTAGCCCAAATGCTCAGCTATTGAAACACAAAGACAAGAAATATAAGTCCCAATAGGCGAGACATGATCTTACTTATACTTAGGCTAGCAATTCATTCATATATACATATAGGGCATAATTTTTCACACAACATTTCATCCAGGAGAAAACCGGTTGAAAAAATGCTCAATACACAGCATCGCCCTACTACCAACAATGGAACGCCCCTGTTTACCTATAAATCGGAACATATTCCCCATATACATGTTGGACCTGGTGCCGTCATATTGTGTTCAGCCCAGCCGGACAGGGACAGCGTCAGGCTTGCTCGGGTTCAATATGTCTTTTAGCCGTTTCTTTCTCGTTCCATCACATAGAAACTCATCACATATCCATCTTCAATAATGACAGTATTTGCCACCCGGGCCTGGAAGTTGGGAGATCCTATGTAGAACGACGGAGTCTTGAGGATTTCCTACAAAGGACTAGATGTGGCTGGTCATTCAAGCCAAGCATCACACAAGGGCTTCAAGCTTCTGCCCATCGCAAGGCTGACAGTGGCTTGGGGAGATTGTGGATGACTGTCGGTGTTTACGGTGTTGTTGTGTATTCTTCAGCTTTTGGCCCCCATTCTGACAGGGGTGAGATGGGATTTGCTGAGCCGCCGAATGAGGCGCATCTTCGAGATACCATGTAATGAGCATATTCTTATTTCGGTAATTAGTTAGTATTGTTGTGAGTTAAGAAAGAAACTGTCATGCGGCTAGAGCTTTCCATGGACATGATGGTACAATGCGAAGTTGTAAGAATGCCGACATGGCAGGTCAGGTGAAGTGCACGGGAAATGGAAGGATTTTGGTGCATTACTGCACAGCCCGCCCACAAGATGTTGATTGAGAAAGCCCTGTGCCTAATTCTTTTCCTCATTAATGTGCCTCAGTTCTGGCTTTTTAATATACAGATGACTCACCAAGGAACTATTGACGTCAAAATCCAAACCAAATCAAACCCAGATTTCCCTGGTTGAAGAAACGAGCAAAATTGTAAGAGTTCTGGTCATTACTCACCGTACCCCTTTTAAATTTCACCTACACTTTTGAAAATTTAATATTAAATCAATATTATAATATTTTTTATTGAAAATCTGATAATATATTAATAAATAATAACTAATCTTTTTATTTTAATTATATTTTCTAATTTATAAATCAATCTCTCGATATATAATTTGAAATTTAAAGGATCAAATATCTTCTATAATCTTTTAAACTTTTTTTTCAATTTTTTAATAAAAGTAAATACAAATAATAGTTTTTAACTTTTTTATTTAATATTATACTTTTTCAATTGAATTAAGATTTGAAGAAAAGAAAGATTATTGAAAATCTTTAATATTATATTCTAATCGAATTAATTTAATATATTTTAAATGAATCTTTATATTATTCTTTATAAATATATATTCAAATTTTAATTTATCAAATAAAGGAAATATAATAAAAATAAAAATTTAATTTTAATATATTATTGAATTTATTTTTTATTATTAAAATTCTTTTAAAAGATTAATAAAGATTTATAATTTTAATCAAAAATCTTTTATATTATTACAAAAACCCTTTCTAATTTGTATATTAATTTAATATAATTTTTATATATTTTTTTTAATTTTATAAATCATTTATATCTTATTATATTTTCTAATCTCGAAAATGTTTTTATTTGATTATATAATTTTCCTTCAATTACTCCTTTTAAACTTTTCAAAAATTATATTGATTGTTTTTTATTAATAATATATATATATAAAATTTAATCTCTTTTTTATTTATTTTCTAAAGATAAATAATTTAAAACAAATTATATAATATTTATAAATATATCGATATAATTTATATTGAATAGTATATATCGAAACTTTAATTTTTAATATATATTTTATTTATTCAAAAATTAATTTTTTTATTTTATTTTTATTAATTCCTTTATAATTTATTAAATCTTTTTAATTGTTATTATAAAAAATTAATATATCTTCTTTTTATAAATAATTTTAAATAAATTCGATTTAATAATATTTTTTGTAATACTTTAAAGTATATTTAAATTTTATTCGATTCAAGATTACGATTTTCTATTCTTTTTAGTTTGAAAGATTTTAGTTTTACAAAAAGTATCCCAATTTTGATGAAATTTATAATTATCATTCTGATTTTGAATTTTGACAATTATTTTGAGTTTGAATAGAAAATATTGAAAATTTGAATTTTGATGAATTATTTATAATTGAAGATTGAAAATAAGGTTACAGTTATTTCTCAATAAAGTGTGCGGTTAGAAGTTTCCAGAACTCTTACTTTCTTGTATACTAAACCCTGTCTCATGGAACCAAATAATTTGAAGAGATTGAATAATGGTTACTTGTGGTATTCTCGAATTAATCTATCTTACTTATGGAAAGAAAGTCTGTATGTCAATAACAGAATATCCTGGCTCTTATATCTCGAATTCTATTACCTAGCTTGATTTTTCTGTTCCCTTGTACTTCAAGAATCTCGCTAAATTCAATACTGCTTCATCAACTCTCGAACGTAGCTCTGGAGACTTTCTTTTATCGATCGTTTTAGCCATCTTCTTACATTTAGGTAAAATTTCCTCTAAATGTTTGTCAAAACCATTTCCCCAGAAAACGGACTGGTCAAATGAATAACTTTTATCGGCATAAATGTCAAAGATTTCGTTAAGTGCTTCTACTGCGTGCGCCGCAGGCGTTTCGGGAACACCAGCAAGCAGAGTCACAAGGAAGACACCAATTTCTCGATTAAGTTCGGTAGGCGCAGGCTCAAGGGCGAGACTACCTAGTACACCGATACATTTGACACCTAAAGACTGGAAAGCTGAGTCGTCAAGATCCGTTGCGTCTTTCTTGCCAGTCTTGGAATCGGTTGGAGTTTCAAAGCCTTTTGAAGCATGGTAGAGAGCCATAAACTTTCTGTGCTCATCCGCTCGTATCTGAACACGACCTTGAACACTTTTACAAACGGCCCAGGCAATGCTTGTAGTAGAAGCAGCCAATTCAATATTCGCCGTATTGGACGCAAGTACACGACAAACCACTTCATCCCATATACGTTGGGCAAGGCTAGCCCATGCCTTTTGCAGATTTCCGAGATGACTTTTGGAAAAGTCAATTGATGAGACGGTCCATGCAATATTATTCAGAGCTGCCAAGGCAGGGGTTTGTACCACATCATCCTCCACTTTTGAGTCCTCGGATGGCTGCGCAAGTGCTATAACGACAGGACAAGCAAGTTGGATAAGCTGATGGAGTGTGTCCTGATCATTAGATGTCTCCTCTTCCTCCGAATCATCTCCCAGAACCATATCCATGTCGGCCTCCATATCTTCTTGGGTCATTTCGTTCTCCCCGTCACTCAAGTCACCTTCAGACAGATCTGCGTCGCCGTCAACCAGCTGATCCTCATCCACTTCCTCATCATCTCCAAATCCTTCAAAAACCTCCTCCTTTCCATTGCCGAGCTCAAGGGCTTCTTGAAGGCTAGTCGCGATCGATGCGGTAATCTCCAAGGCCATTTGCAACACTCGATCTGGACTAGAATGTGTCGTGTGACCGTTTTTACCGTTGGTGCTATTTATCTGTTGTGCTTGTTGCATCGACTCAATCAAGGTAGGAAGAAGAATAGCATCTGAGGCACCGTCCATAGGAGTATTGCTATCAGCCCAGTTCATGACTGTAAAAATATTGTGAAGCACTCCACAAGTAGCAACACCCTTGAATCCACCAGAGTTCTTCAGTCGCATAAGTAGCTTAAACCAATCATTTTGCTCCGTGATAAATTCGACCAAGGTTTTGTTCTCTTCCGTTAAAACTGCCAAACATGATAATGCTTCGTTGTGAGTTTCCAGCGGAGTAGTATCGAGAGACAATAATCCGAATAGGAAGTTAACAATTGTAGATATTTTAGAAATAGCTTCGACAATTTCGATATCTGCTTCAGATAGAGAGGTCAAAAGTGTTATTACAGAACTTGTAAGATTCCACAGGAGATCTTGTTGAGGTTTTGGGAGTTTCGATAACGGAAGGTCTTTTGAATCGATCGTTTCAATGATCTAGTTTTGTTAGAACATTTAATGAAAGTATGGTAACTATAGCTTCTTACCGATTTCACAGCCCCTTCAATTGCAGTCAATATATCCTGCCTATATAAATGAACACAGAAGTCCGCTTCCTCCTCCAATGCCAAATTTCTCATTATTCCCCATCCTGCGATTCTAGTTTCCATGCTTGAGTCTGTAAGGGTTTGTTCGAGTAGAATACGAACAATTTGCTCTCTCAAGAATAACTTTCGACATTTTGCATCGTCAACGAGGTTCGCAATGGCAGTTGCAGCAGTTGATCTCTTTGATTGGTCTGCACTTTGTAGATCTTGGAGAATTGGCAGAATTTTGTTAACTCGAATCGCCGCAAGCTCTGGGTCAGTGGGTGGTTTAACAGTTTTTGCGGTAGGATCAGCGCGATGCTTCGTCTTATTCCTAGAAGCTTTGCCCATATTGAAGGTTGTTTGAATAAGAGTAGAGTTGTACGATTTGTGTGAGAAGAAAAAAAGATTATTTATGGTATATTCTATGGGTTAGTTCTTGAACCGAGCCAAAAATAAAATTCACACTTGAGCAATGGAGCCAAACTTTTTTCTGCCCTCCAAGATGCCTGAGGTGACAATTTGAAATAGCTAGAACCCCAAATTTCCCCGCCAATTTGTTATTAACCTTAATTGCCAATTCACGCGGGACCAGCATCCGCAATTTCATTATTTGAGGCATTTTGTCCCTATCCCTTATCATTTTGAGCCATTTCCGAACAAATTCAACCCTTTAAATCAAGACTACCCACCTCTTTTACGATGTCTACTACAACTACAATCACCCAAGCCGAGCCTATTACTGCTCAAAGTATTCTTCGACTCTTCCCCGATATCGATACCAGCTCTGCAGAACTTGACGGACACGATGAAGAGCAGATCAGATTGATGGATGAAGTCTGTATTGTTCTAGACGAAAATGACAAGCCTATTGGAAACTTTAGCAAAAAGATATGTAAGAGAATATGATTATTCGTCGCTTTTACATTTACTAATTATACCAGGTCATCTCATGACGAACATCGACAAAGGTCTCCTTCACCGCGCATTCTCCGTCTTCCTTTTCAACTCCAAGAATGAACTACTCCTCCAGCAACGTGCAACTGAAAAGATCACTTTCCCTGATATGTGGACCAACACCTGCTGCTCCCATCCTCTCGGCATACCGGGCGAAGGAGGATCTGAGTTGACTGAAGCTGTCATGGGAGTGAAGAGGGCAGCACAAAGAAAGCTTGACCACGAACTCGGTATCAAGGCTGCGCAAGTGCCTATCGAGAACTTTAAGTTTTTGACAAGAATTCACTACAAGGCACCCAGCGACGGAAAATGGGGGGAGCATGAGAGTATGGTCATCAATTACTATGAACTTTTGATGGGAGTATTATTAACATTGACCAATTTTCACAGTTGATTATATTCTCTTCATTACCGCTGATGTCGACATGGAGCCAAACATGAATGAAGTTCGCGATACTCGCTACGTTACAGCCGATGGTCTTAAGACTATGTTCAACGATCCGTCTTTGAAATTTACCCCTTGGTTTAAGCTTATTTGCAACTCTCTTCTATTTGAATGGTGGGAGCACAAAGATACCGATCTCGAGAAATACATGAATGAGCAAGATATTAGAAGAATGTGAGGACGATTTTCCGGGGGAGGAGGGGCAGGGAAGACGGCGAAACGGATCAAAGAATGAATCATGGAGGAGTCATTGAGAAGCTGAGAGTCTCGCCAATGCATATTGCATATTGGCATTGAGGTTTGCTGCAATACCAAAGTTGATACCCAACACAAAAGCGAATCACTTTAATACGCCCTAATTAATATCAACCAGTACGATCAACGCGGGGCAATTCCGAACATTTTGCTTTCCAATTGGGCTTTGACACTCAACAATATGCAACACAACATGCTCTTTTGTGCATGCTGTTCCCAGTTTCTTTCTCTATCTTTACTACTTTTGATTATGATGATTTTCTTGATCTAATGCTATCTTTCGTATCTCTTTATCTCGCTATTCACACTTTCATCTTATCTCCCTCTAGTGAAGTGGAGAAGGCTAACATCAAAGTCGGTGGACCGGACCTCTGAACCCTTAAAAGACCACTCCGATATCTAACCAGGTTTAGGAGGTCCAGCCACAGACGCTTTAGGACCAGATGATCGCGCATGGCGTCCCCTGTCAAACTTGACGAGTAAAGTATTCAGGTATTGGCTCTTTTAAGGTTGACATCCATTCACAAAGTTGCAATAATCCAATCGGCTTATGGAATTCCCAAGAATTATGCGGCAGCTTACATTGGCATTAGAGGCCCTCACCAAACTTAACCTCGTTGGTCATCCTGAGCCTGCGGGCTTACCTCGTGCTAGCAATACAAGTGGGGTTATGCAGCTGTTTTACCATGGCATGGTTATCGTTGAGGAGTACAATAAAGTTCTACGTCTGCCGTCGTCACTACATAAACCCCGGCCCAATCGCCTTTTCCCGAATTCCTTCCTTTCCAATTCACTAAACTTTACAGGAGATTGCAATCACAGGTTTTGTTAACATCACTGAACGCCAAATAAACAAAATTATAACTCGGATCTCAATTCCTCTTAATTCATCCCGTATCAATCAGTTCCTCTTGATCTAGCAAGGACAATACTTACCTGCCTTAAGATTCCATTACTGCACAAGTAACAGTCAACAACTATCTTATCTGCAGGTGGAACGTGATTCTTTAAGAATCATACATCTCCCCAGTTGAAGAGTACCCCTTGTTTCCAATAACATCTACATTGATGTCGGTTGATTTTCGTCAAAGTCTCAACTGTCTACGTTTCCCATCTCGATACATAACGGTATCGAGAACCCAGCTCTCGATAGTCCATACAGGCGATTTAAATAGGCCAGCTAATAAACCGGATTCTTGTTCGTTTTCGATCTTCCCGAGTGCTCCGAGTTTGCCATGTTAACATACCATACTGCAGAATTACCCCGAAATCTTAAGAGATTTCATCAATAAACCGCAATCATGGCGCATGTTATTAATAATAATAATTCGACACTGATTCTTGAGAAGAAGCGCAGCCTTTCTCCGGCTACGATGGAGGAAGTCCGTGTAGTAGGTATTTCTGAATATGAGGGAGCAGCTCAGTGTCTCGCTGAAGCTTTTGCTACAGACGAAGTGGCAAGATACTTCATTGACACCGATGACATGAGTTCTTATTCCGAGAAATACAAATGGAAGCTTCATTGCGATATTCTCAAGTACATGACTGCTGCTCATTGCTACAAAGGCATAGTGACGACCATCGGTCCAAACTATGATGCAGTCGCTCTATGGTACGCCCAACAACCGTTCAAAATCTTAGAAATGACGAATTAACAAAATCAACAGGATGCCCCCTGGTCAAGACATGGACGACTGGCTCACCTTTTTCCGCAGCGGTCTCTGGAAACTCTACTTTAAACTTTCCGCCGAAGGCCGAAGACGTTTCTACGATGAATTCATGCCCCTCCTTCACCACACCATCGATCATGTCATGGGCGAGCGCAACAACAACTTCTACTACCTCGTCTATCTCGGCAGTAAACCCAGCGCTAGAGGAAAAGGATACGCGAAGAAATTAATCCAGCATATGACTGATCGAGCAGATCGCGAAAATTGTCCTACGTATCTAGAGTCGAGCGCCGAGATCAATTTGAGCTATTACCGCAAGCTGGGTTTTGAGTGGAAGACGGATATTTTGATGGAGCGGGGCATCAAGCCTGTTAAGATGCAGATTATGGTTAGAGAGCCGAGATTCGTCGGAGAGAGCTCCAATGGAAAGGAGGATGTGGAGATTAGGATGATTGAGTGATCTGGTGTCTTCGCTTTGTGGTGTCACCGAGTATTGGATTTATTTATGAATTTGACATTTTTGAATTTTCTGAATTTTTCTTGATATCTCGGGCTTTTATTGGAGCCGGAAATTAGTGCTTTAGTACAAATCTCAGTTTTCGAAATCAAGGTGGAGGCTTTAATCTGGGATGTTATCCATCGAATATTGGATGATATAGCAATTTCACAATTAGTCTTTGGCTTTAACAATCTAGCAACCTTATCTGGTATATTTTCTCATAAGCTCATACTTCATTCATATACAGCCATTACATTTGTGCAAATGCCACAATCCCATCCTGCAACGCCAATTATGCCTTGATATGCCCCTCTTCTAGAACTCCATTATAGCCCATGTCTCATCGTCAACCGTTGTATAGATGCAGCCCTCCGCTAATAGCTGATCTCCACATTTATAGACTTCTGCAACTGGCATGCCAAGCCTGGTTGCAATTATATTTACATTAACACCCTCGCTATTTTGAGGCTCCAATTGTAATAAATTGAACACAGCTCTCGCATTAGGTGTTACATGCGCGGGTAATGCTCTACCACGGGGAGCTGTGCCGACATTGTTGCCACCGTATGAATCAACAAAGATCCCGTCACCGCTCTCTGTCTTGAATGCAGCTGCGGTAGGAATAGCACCCCGTGTAAATTGTAAATGTACCAATGTAGCTTCTAACCCGTGGAACGTAACTTCGTTCATGTCGGTAATGGGTCGGATAATATGAGCTCCTACATGACGTTTATCGTGGAATGATTTGAGACGACCCCATACGTGTATATATTGACCTTCTTGCGGAACAGATTTTGCATTGTCGGGCTCAGCGTCATTGTCGATCCATTGTTTTACTTCGATAAGGCCGGTGCCGTCGTCAACTTTGTAGGTATTGTTTGTAGCTTGCTTGGAGATGGAGTGGACTTGGCCGATGAATGAGAGCTGTGATTTGTAAAGTTAATATGCTTGTTTGACTATAAAGGATAACAATGTAGAAAAGGGTAGAAAGAAAGTCTGCACATACCTGAGTTACTTCTGATCCATCGATCTTGAAATCTGCATCAGGATGTGGCTGCTCGGCATCAAGAATTTGCTTGATGGTTACCGGTCGCAAAGTATCTTTGCCATATGTCTATACATCTCATCAATATAGGCAGGTAAACTTTGTGAGCGACCAATTGTACCTTTGTTCCTCCAGGACTATCTTGACTTCCTCCCTGCGATCCACCATCCCCTCCTTGAACAAATCCACCGCCATCAGCCCCGCCTTGCGCGCCGTAAGTGGTGGTTGAATAATTATTTTGGTATGTGTAATTGTTTGCTACAGACGAATAAGTTTGAATTTTGGAAGAGATTTATGGGTGAGTCTTACACATGATTGCTGTTTGGGTGTGGATTTTGGATGTTCGATGCCTTGATGGAGAGAGAATGTGATGGAAGACGCGTTGACCGCGACGGGAGAAAAAGTCGCGTAAAGCGGAAATTTGAGTGTCATGTGACTGGCGCCGTTTGCTACGTTCCTGGTTCAAACTTCGTGTATTATATTAGACGCATTGGACAAACCTTCATCATTGATATGCCTTAGTGTATAGCAAGGATCTAGCTGTGATTTCATGTTTAGATATCTAACTGCTAATCAATCGAGATTTTCATCCTTGAAGTAGCAATCGCCATTCACAGGCCTACACTTGAAAAAAGCCTCGCAGAGGAGTGTTTTGTCATACTGGAAGGAGGGCAGAAAATGGAGATTCTGGCCGCAGCAGTCTGGGCTTTAAACAGTACATTCCACAACACTTCTCTCGAAAATCAGTATCGATTGGAAATGGAAGACTGAAATTCGAAAATTTAGGAGACCACTGCTTATTCTTCTTTAGATTTGGTTGCTATCGACTCAAAATAAGCATAGTTTCACGGCCCATCTTGCTAATATTTTCTTGGTCGTTGTGGATTCATCATGCGCCTGATAACAATTGCACATGGTGGTTCATAATCCCAAGATCTTCTACTACTGCTATGTATCCCGCATCTTTGACGCTTTTTCACGCTATTGGATGCTGTATCTGGAACCTGGGTCTGTTGCGAAAACGAAAGCCCGTCCACTTCAGACCAGTTAAGTTATATGCCTCTCTCGCTCACGTTGTCAAGTGGTTATCCAATTCGCAAGCTCTGTGTGCTCATAAGGGGACGCCAGGCTATCGAACGAGAGCTAGTCCAAAAGCCTGTGTCTCGTATAACAAAACCTACTAATGCGGAAAACAATGAGGACACACGGCTGTCTATCAATATGTTAGGATTTTAAGAATGAAAAATATGTAGGGTGCAGACGCAAGAACAATTGCGTCCCGATATGCTGGGAAACAAGAGAACGTTCCAGTGTATTCCTGCTTTATCTTCTACTCATAAAGCCCGAAGGGAATATCTTGGGATGATGGTTTTACACTTATGAAGGGAGATTAAACTACAATCCGTCTATCGTAAGCGTTTCTGAGAGTGTCGCTGCCGGAAGGTAAAATCAATGGCATCTTTAGTCTTATCATGACACAGTTCCGACTTTAATGACTGGCCTGGCTTCATATCTTCTCAATTTGATTGTGTATTGTAGTCATTCGCCGTATACATAACGCGATAAAATCAGCCCTTAACCATTGCTAATTACAGGGTACTCCCAAGCTTAGACACACTAAAACACCGCTGCACTGACTCACCAGGCACTAAACCCCACTGCCGCCCGCGGTTCAGCCAATCAAACCTCAAATCCCACTTGCTCATTATGAGTCGAAAGATTGGTGGCATTATTCGCAAGAAAATATAAAGACTAAGAAGTTACATAATATAGCCTATCTGCCTCATCTTATACTTACTCAAGCGTTTTATCTTGACAAACAATCCATAGACATCCGAGACAATGAACACCATAACAGCCACCCGACACAAAACCCTCACACCTCCTACAACTCCAGCCAACAACAGGCTTCCCAGCCCATTTGTCGTCTGCATAATAGGGGCTAGCTCCGGCATAGGCGAGCATATCGCTTACTCCTTTGCACAAGCAGGGGTATCCGGTATCATTCTAGCCTCCCGCAACACCTCCGAACTTACACGCGTCGCCGAAAAGGCCCGTCTTCTCTCCCCAACGACACGCCTTGAGATATTTTCTTGTGACATCACATCGTCTAGCAATATTTCTGATCTTGCGAAATACACTAAGGAGACGTTTGGCCGCCTCGACGTCTGTATCCCCAATTCCGGATATGCAGGTCCTGTGACTCTGCGTGTTACAGAAGGTGATCCAGCATGGTTCCAGGGAAACTTCGACATTAATATGATTGGGACATATAATTGCGCGCATTATTTGATACCGCTGCTGTTGGAGACTGAGAATGGGGCGAAGGGCTTCATACAAATTGGATCATTGGCTGCGAATTTAACGGATGGACCAATTGCTAATACAGGGTATTGTGTGAGTAAATTTGCACAGAGTAGATTTGTGGAGATGGTAGGGTCGCAATTTGGAGAGGAGGGTTTGGTGGCCGTTACAGTGCATCCTGGAGCGGTTGCAACACCAATGGCTGCTGGGAATACACCCGAGGTCTTCCTACCTTGTGAGTACTTTTCATATATTCTTTGGGACTGCGGAAGTGCTAACAAAGATACAGATTTGGTTGATAGTGTGGAACTTTGCGGTGGATTTTGTGTATGGTTGAGTAGGAACATTAGAGATTTGAAGTGGCTCAATGGGAGGTTTCTAGACGCTAGGTGGGATGTTGCCGAGTTACTTGAAAGGAAGGGAGATTTTGTTGAAAAAGATTTGCTTAAGTGGACATTGAGGACTTCGTGAGAGATGAAAATCCCTTTTAAGAAATAGCTTTCAATGGTTCGGACAACAATCTGGCTTTAACCCTTTTGGCTTTGTTGTGGAACCTTGACAGTGGCCTACTTTTTTTCCATGGGTATATTGTTCCACATGAGTCAAATTCGAGTAGTTTTGGCAGACAGAATGAATTCGGAATTGGGGCTCTTATTTTAAGACAGTCGTGCGCACTGATAGAAAAATGCTGAAGAAGTAAGTAATCATACCTTCTTGGGTGAGAAGAATAAGCTAGCTGATTCAGATATGATCAAAACAGGTGCCCATATTATACTTGGTACCGCTGTGATCAAGTTTGAATTGTCTGAAGAGCATGATTAGGCAAAATTATGTGAAGTCTAAAGTCAAAGTGATAAACCTAGGATAGAAAAGTCTCAGAGAAGCTTCTCGCAAAAGTATACTGAAATTAAAATACGGGATAGAGATCAAATGCAATGTTCACAGGAGATAGGCCAGAGACATCCAATAGCCGAACCGTAGTCAAACAAGGAGAGGCTTTAGATTCTTAAATTCAGTTGAAATATGAAAAACATTAAAAGGGTACATCCAGTATTAGTTTAATACTCCGACTGTTGGACACTAAGACAGAGACCAGCATATGATGCCAAATAAAGAAAGTCAAACAGGTCGTTAATTCTAGAAGATATCAACAAATAGTGAGTACGTTTCGCCAACAGAAACCCACAAAGGATATAGTTTATCCTCTGCATTTGAAGAGAATCAAGAATTGTGTATATATGGAGTTACGCTCTACCGGTTTCCAAAGAAACCATGAATCATTCCCTAGATAATCACCAGCATAATTCAAATCTCAAATCCCATCCCTCAGACTCGAATCTCTACGAGTATTTACACCACACTATCTCACAACCATGGATCAAATACCCGCGCCTACCAACGGCCACACCACATTTGAGCCTTCCCCCTATTCCAGAGAAGAAGAAATCAGGAATATCACTCGGTATGTGAGATGGCTGAAGAGTTATCAATTCACGAGAAAAACTAGAATGGCTATTGCGGGGATAAGTCGAATGATGAAAGATGACGAGCTCGATCGCGATATTTTGGCTTTAGTCGATATGAGGAATAGCATGATAGATGAGGGATATCAAGTGGGAGAGATGGAAAAGAAAGCTAGAGAATTGACGGATAAATGGAGGATGTTGAATGATCAGCTGTCTGATAGGGTGCAAGGGAGGGAAGTGGGGTTCTTAGCTGAGAAGAATGTGGGAGGGTAGATGATCATGATGATCGTGATGTTGGGGAAAAGGCAGGAGCTGTTGGAAATGTGGCATTCAGATCACAGTGGATATGGAAGATTGTGGAGGCTGTTCGAGTTCTAATCGAGATTCATTCCACCAATTAAGTGTCAGAATTCAGAAGTTTGGAGATTGTCAAAAGGATGCTGTGTGTTAATATTTAGAGAGAATAGATGCCCTATTGTTGAAGGCAAAAAACTTCCTCATTTTCCAGCTGTGTGTGAAAACTAGAAAAAAATGCTTGCTCCTCCCCTCCACTATCCAAGCCCTGGAGCGCTCATCTATATCGCACCTATAATTCCTCAGTTATTTCTTCTATAAGACGATCTCTAAGCAATGTCTTCATTAAACCCTCTTTTTAAAACAATAGCAACAACAATATCTGATATGCCATTCTTTCAAATACCTTGAACTGCAATTTAACAATGAGCTTTCTTGCTTGATTTTATATATTGAAATCATTCACAGCTATCCACACTCGTCATAAACTGTTCTCAAAGATCCGCAATCTCTCAAATATTAAAACTCTTTCCATGTATTTAATCAACTAGTACAGACTACTTGTTGTACCTTTTCCCAATATGTCTTCCAATTTTCGATGTGATCATTGATCCTGGCTGCAGAATACTAGCTAAACTATCTAGTCGGTGAACCTTGTCGTTATTTCTCGTTTCTAGAACACCTTTGCTGTCGAACTCGGTAAAGTAGCTGATTACATCCAAACATTCAGGATCCTCCGCGCATTTCTGAACACCAAATCCCATTTCAATGCTCCGCGAGTTCTTACAGTAAACATTCAAAGGCACAGACGATTTTTTTCAATACTAGTAGATACGGGAAACACCAGAACTACGGAGTATGGAAGGATTTCAGCGTTGTTGTCAATCGACACTCGCTGTCAAATCTAGTTGCCTAGATCCGCAGCGGGATTTTCAGTCCATCATATGCTTCGTTTAACTTGTGCATCTATCCGTAGAACACTCGCAGCACAACGGAGCTGCATGCTCATTTGAATTCCGCATATTGTTCAAGCGATGATACTCCCTGTCTCAAAATCCCAAAATACATCACAGCGACCTATAAAGTCAGTCAATCAACTTGCATGAGAATCTCACAAATCAGCATTCTTCCAAGCAAGACTTACAATATATCCCACCACATCCCCCCGCTTTTATAGTAGCAACACCACAGTTTGGACAAGCTTTAGTCTGTGATTTAATCCACGCCTCTGATTCCCTATCCTCCTTCAATTTCAAACCCCCAACTTCCTCGCATGCTTTGCCATCGTGCCAAGGTAGTTGGTGAGAGTAACAAGTATCGAATCCGCATTTTTGGCAAGTCATCTTTGGAGACTCGTCACCCGGAAGATGAACTTGTCCAGACCGACAGCCAGGTGAGAGACACCAAGAGAATCCGGGCAGATTGCGCAGGGCGTAGGTGCTCATATACTCTTTGTAGCTTTTGTGTTATTAGTCCTTGGAATCATTTTATAGGACCAAAACAGTACGAGTACTGTACCTATCAAAGAGGTAGCTTACTTGGCAAGCATCTGCCCGCTTAAGTACGTCAGCACAGTGTCCATCTTCAACTTTCCCGGACAAGTGGACACTTGATATTATCCCAATGAGTACTTTCAAATTGCATCGCCACATGAGCTGCCACACAAGTCGTACAAACAATGTGAGAGCCATGAAAAAGGCACTGTTTCGAAAGTCCGCCCACTTCATAATTAGCATAACCCTTTCTGAACATCCTCGCGGGTAGATCTTCATAGCAAATTTGGCAAGTTCGACGCCCTAAAGTAAAGACCTCTTGTCCAGCCACATCGTATTCTTTCGAGAGTGCCGCGCGGGTGATAGGTTGCTTGTGCAATAGCAATATTGCGACGGCGCTTCGTTCGTGGAATGTTACTTTGGATTCAAGATCGATTAACTCCGGTAAAAGACTCTGTAGAGTTGATGTTTTGCGGATACTCCCTTGCTTGTTGAAGATGACAAGGATGTGCTTGGTTGATTCTAGGGTAAATGTCTCTATTCGTTGACCAAAAATCTTGCTTGGAGGCTGGTCGTTGGAGGTATCGCTGTCGGTATCGTTGAAGGTAGCTGATGATTGATTCATCGTGGCAGTGATAAAAATATACTCTTTAATGGCTTGAAATTGCAATTTCTCTCTATCTCTGTGTGTGTTGGACTGTATTGGGTTGCCCTGAAATACAGTTTGAGATTAAGGTTTTGGTGTTCAGTTTATGCTTTTGATTTGTTATTGTTTAGTAGGATTTTAAAATGTACAAATTAGGAAGGAGGAAAGGGTGCAATTCACTTTCGCCGATATATTAGATTGAGCCTCGATCATACGTGAGGACAAATCATTTATTAATATTGGTGTATTAATATGTGTTGTTAGTGACTGTCGGACTTTCGATTTCAGTGGAGACCAATATTATGAAATAATTGTAAATGATAAACTTGCAAACTCTTATCTATATATGTTACTATCTTATTCAATGCCATTTGATGTTGTTAGCTATAAAATCTGCCACTTTCTAGCTCCGGTAATTTAAAGTCGCATTACGCTAGCCGAAGCTTAGAGTTCCTAAGTAATTCTAATTCGAAATGTTCTGAAAACCTCTCATCCTTTCAACACTCTTGCCCTCCAATAACAATTTTCCTCCATTGTTTCTCAGATATTCGAAAAGTTTGGACGAAATTACTCGACGAGGTTCTATACTTGAGTATCAAAGCCTCATGAGTTCACGTGTTTTCATCTGGCAAATCAAGTTTAGAGCTGCCAAGAACAATTTTCTCGCTTACAGCTTTACTTATACATCTCATAAAGGCCAAACAGCCACGACTAAATTAATGGATACTGTAAACTCATATTTCACTGTAACAATAATTTCATATGTCATGATACCTCTTGTCGGAAGTCTAGATGAGATTTGGCAAAGTTTTAGATATTGGGCCCAGCTTAGTCAATTATAGTCCAAGTTGCTCTGAATTAGCACACCTATTATTCACTTCCCATCTAAGTGCCCATTTTTCGCGGACCTTGGGATTAAATCCACTGTAGGAGCCATTTTTCCGGTGGAGTGAAAAGGGAAGCACCGTAGGTTCTAACTCTATCATGGATATCCACTCAGCTTGCTTTATAGTCCTTCAGTCAATGATCCAGTTTTCAATTTTAGTAATCCGTGTATTCCAATCTATGTTCGTGATTAAAGAAGTTGGTAGAGCCTCATGGACAAATATCATGATTAGATGATTATATAAGTTGAAGTAGTATTATACTGTAATTTTAAAGCTGATAATGTAAATTTATAATAATAGTCATCTCAAATAAGATAAAAACCCCTGATATCTTATCTTAAAAAGAAGACTGAATAGTACATGATAATAGTTGTAAAAATAGAGATCTATTAGATATAGATCTAGTCTCAATATATTGTATTAAAATACTATACAAACGTGACAGGGCACTAGAGCATCACATCGCCTAAATCTAAACTCGCTAGAATGGAGTCCGTGCACCCTCAGACTTCATTTTTATTTTGATCCCTATATCGAGATGAGTTTTGTGAAGCTTTCGGTGAGGTTATGTTAGATTTTAAAATGTGAAAACTGTTGAGTATTTAAATAGATAAAGGTATAAACCACATTCATCTTCTTTCAATTACCGGATTGAATTTATATTCGGTTTAAGGATCGATTGGAGGACGATGTCTTGGTATATGCGGACGTCGTGTTTAAGCGCATTAATGCAGGATAGTGTACAGATTAATTCCAGATGTCGGATTCAGAGTAAACTAATCCTATATTATTGAGAATCCTGAACTGCTATTTCATTCTACATTGTAGTGTTGTGACTTTATTGAAGGCCACCATATACACATCGAACCTAGGCATAAACGCTTCAAGATATATCATCTAATCCGATGACGAGAAAAAAAAGGAGCAGGCTACCGGATAGACGGAGTACTAAGTTAATGGCATTTTACTCGTTGTTTCATTTTCAGAAGAGTAAATTCGCTTCTCCAGTGTCCTGGTAGTGCTGTAACTTTGATAGGCTTCGAGCGCTCATAGTTCGGTTATAAGCTTCTCTCCGTTCACGACTTCAATCCTTTATCTCGTGCTTCATGTACCATATTTAGACCTTTGCTACTCCTTTTACCTCACTAATAGCATATCCAATCACCCTTTCATGTGAAATTAGATCACCACTGGTTTTCCAACATCTAGAATTCATTCTAAGTTTTACTTTCAGTGGGGAAAACAGCCCTGTAATACTCATGGAAAAGAGGACAAGTCTCTCTCGCTTCGAGTCATGAAGTTCTCAAAATCTTTATTTTTGCGAGATAGTCTTGTAAAAGAGACTCCTTTTAGCGGTTGACTTGAGCTCCGCCCAGGCGAAGATAGGAAGTCTGGCTCATATTGTAAAAGTGGTAGGTCGAGATACGTGCATCCCGATAGTACGCTGTGAGGAGGGAATTGAAAGAGAAAGCTGAATTAGATTATATTGTAATACATCATTTATAAAGAAAACGGGGTTCACAATAATTTTGGGGTTGATGCTATGTGGGTTCAAAATGTATATATGTAGAAGGTTGATTATTTTTGAAAGAAGAAGCAAAAGCTCTTCTTTTATATCTAACTATAAAAGGTTATGTGATTGACTAGTTAAAAACCTTTATATATTTGGCTTATAATTCCAACTTTCTCACAATATGTGGACTAATTTCAATCATCATTTTCCGAACTCTGTTGAGATCATCTGAATTGAAGGTTTCATACGAGAGAACACTTGAGATGAGTCTAGGCTTGCTATTTTTATTACTATGGCACAAAATCAAGACTGCGAATATGTATTGCTGGAGCTCTTGCAGCTAAGATGTTGTGAATCAGAATGTCGCTAACCACAATAGCTTAATTTTACCACTTGGGGGTTTTGGAGCGATAACAATGCCTTGGAGCGCTAGTGAATTTCTTGCGCCTTGTGATGAGGAGAGATCCAAATGGATTGTTTTGGAAATGGGAGAGTGCTGATGCTAGGCTTGGTGCTGTGATATTATTCACAATTCGCGGCAATAAGACCCGCAACCCATAAATTCTTATGTGCTACGATTCACTCAGGCTAACGACTAATGAAAAAAGAAATAGGAGTCTATATTATCTGTGGAGCTTGGAGTGAAGTTCATCGATACAAAAAACCTCACAACCATCCACTTTAAAAACCACCAGATAATTTGGCTTCCACTGGGGATAAACTTAAATTTAAGAGGACTAAGGTTTGGGCATCAAGACAAGCTGGCTTGAGTCCATGTTGGAGCCGGATGAATCATCAGACGAAACCGACTCTTCAAATCCAGAAACCAGGCTGGAGAGAATGTTAGAAGTACCGCATCTCAAACAAGCCATTCGCACCACTCGTTTCAACACAAAGAATGCTCCTAATGTATCGATTCATGGATTGCGAAGGATAGAGCACATGGTCAATCGTATTACCGACGAGAGGAGAAAAGTCGTCGGAAAGTGCAACAAGTTTCCTAGACTCATCACGATTGAGTTTGCTATTCGCGGAGTTATGTCACTATTGCTTCGATGAGAACGACAAAAGAATAATCTTACCAGATAACTATGCGTACCGCACTGCTTTTCCGGAAAAGTTATTTGCTTCTCTAAATAGCTCCCGATATCCTACACACGATCTTACAACAATTTCCCTGAGGAACTTACAGAATGTCAATGAATCGAGTTTAACCGAATCAAGCGATTTCCTTGCAGTTCCAAAACGAATCACGAATTTACGTCTTAGGGTGGTTACTGAATATGATGATCAATCTCCGGAAAGATCATTATGTTTCCCCAAAATGCATGATTTCTTCGCTGAATTATCCTCTATGTGGTTAACACCCTGTGCTAATAATTTTGATTTCCTGACTATTCACTACAATCAATCATGAGGATATTTCCCAAAGTGTGATTGGGGAAGAGTCCACTTCCCAAAATCGAAAAGGTTGGAATTGGGAAGCTATAGTTTCTCTCACGACTGACAATTAGATTAGATTCTCTCCTATGGAGACACTTTGGAGGTCTGATCTTAACACTCGATTTATGTCCTATACTTTCAGTTGTTAGACAATCCGGAGAGCTCGACGAGGAAAAATGTGTTATCGATCCTACTGTCTATGGGGGGTAAGAACTTCTCATCACTAAAATATTTTATTATGCTAACGATCATAAGGTGAAATGAGTACATGGCACTACCAAAAAAAATGGTCTGACTATTACCTGAGGATACAAAGAGGTCTCCCCAAACTTCGAATCCTCAAGACTGGAACTGGAAAATGACATAAGGCCAAGAATTTTGACGGTACTAAGATGCGTCTCGCTGAGAAAACTGGTGAGATGAGTGTTTACTGGAGTGATTATACGGTTGGTTCACAGCCTGAATACATATAAAAGTATTTCAGAAGAGGTTCTAGTCTGCGCCCATGGTTCGCTAAAGATGATTTACCTGCAGCTGCTGCTAATCAAGAGACAGGTAACACCAACGCTCCTGAACTTGACACAACATCTCAGGAAGAGAAAGATCAGTTTGGTTATAATGGTGAGTCTTCCTCAATAAAGTCATTGATGGCGCCTTTAATCCCTGCTAACTACAAGTTTTAGTATTGACGACCATAGCGAGTCGACTCCAGCAGTAATTACCCTTTTGCAATCAACTCCACGAGCTGTCTATCATTCGCTTTCTGGTATTACTTAGGTGGGATAAGGAGATCCTATAAGTGGAGATACTGTTATCGGTAACCTTTAGTGTTTTAATGATAATTTATTCATACCATGTTTTACTTTGATAGAAGCTTTTAAAATGCAGATTTCGAATTTGGTTTGGAACTGGAGGTTCAAGTTTCGACATGAAGTCCTAGAAATATAAACTATAGATGCTGCATTTCAGGGATGGAAGTACTCGAAATGGGGGAGCTTGCTCCCATGTAGTAATCGGATTACTGGGTTGTAAGTGGTACTTCAGATGCATGCACCATGAACATTTTCTATGACTCCTTAGAGATTCAACAATTACTATTACAGTTCTCGGCAGATTTATGATCCACCCACTACTTAAATGCCAATGCAAAAGGCTACTCCCCTTACCATCATTAATACTACCCCTAGCTCTCGAGATCTAACACTTGCTTGGCAAAGTCCACAACTTGTTGATCTGCAGCTGAAGTGATATCATCTTTCCACGCTTCGCCTTTCCTAACATCGAACACCATACCCGGGAACTCCCAACATCTCTCCCATGTATCAGTCCTGAACAAACCACAGGCCCAGTCTACCTCTTTGATCATCTTATCCACTAGAGCACTGGGCATCCAGGCACGTGCTTCACGTGCTTCAATATCCCACTCCACAGTACTCCATACAATCAATCCGTTGTTTCTGAATGCATCGAACTTGGAACCTTTGAATTTGCTGTCCATTTCGTCACCCCAGGTTGGATCCAAAAAAGGGCGAATGTTTACCGCAAATGAATGGTATCCGAAATCACCGAAAGCTTCAAAATACGTGTGACTCCAGAAGACGAGTATGAGGTTAGTCGGCCATTCTTGGTCAGCCACGAAGCTGGGTAGTGAAAATGTATACCTGAAGATATCGCTTTGGGCTGGAATAACCGAAGATGTTAGAGCAAAAGGTAGAAGAGGCATGAATAATCGCGTGAGAGTTGCCATTTCGTGGGAGAACGGAATTGTGCACAAGCCTCTTGTCTTGTGCGGCTGCTTCAATGCTGAAACGGAATTCGGTGATATTCTTGGAGGACGACAGTCAGTGACAACTTTGTTCTCGATGATATTCAAAAGAATCTCCGACATCCAATGGGATGGATAGTGAAGAGATCGTAATTGATCCATTAGACGGAAAAGAATGGTAAGATTGAGAGGAGAGAAAATAATTTTAGAAACGTCGAGGATGTTAATGTTGTATGGCAAGGAAAGTCTGAAGAACAGCGCGTAAAACCACTTCTGGAAATCATTTCTAGGCAACATGACCGACCAGTCGTCATGGAAAATTGGCAGAGCAGGCGTATACCAGTTGTATCCGATCAAAGGAAAAATCCTGTCCTTGAGAGGTTCGTTAATCACGCTAACACCAGTGAGCTGTCTTAGCATTTCTTTGTCTGTGATACATTGATAATCTGCTAAAAATGACTCAATGGAGTCCCAGCTTCCTGCATTGCGCAAACAATTGGACTGCAAAATACTGGATGGCGCGAATTTCATGATTGGTGTGATATAAAGAAATGTGGATAAGTGGCCGCCAATATAGTCACTGTAAATTGAGGTCAGCTTCCATGTTGTAAATTTGCCCAACTGTAGGGCCAGGGAACGCCATGGTTTGATAGAGGAATAGAAGAAACAACGAGGCTGATCTGAGGATTAGAGCTGACTGACGGGATACTACTTAAGTGAATGACGTCAAACTCTGTAGGGAGTTTCTCTGATCGTGGAACTCTGGTGGGTGACATGTTAAAACGAAGCCATTCGGCAATTTCAATAACATCTCCACAGAGGACTTCAACGTGAAGCCTTTGCTTCATCTTTTTGATTGCATCTGCTGCACCTTTGAATAAGGGTACTATGTAATCAAACAAGCTTGAGGGCTTCTGTCCCTTGTAAAAAGATTCGAAATGGTTAAGAGCATCGAAAGGATCGTTACCGAAATCGAATTCATTAGGGCGACCCCTTCTTTTTAAATCCTTGTACCAATCAAGATCCATCATGGTTGGATTGAATTTCCAGTTTTCTTGAATATACCCACGAAGCACGCTAGGTTTGGATGGAGTTTGTAAAAGCTCCAGCAAACTTGGCTCAAAAGAAGAAAGGATCTTTTCTGGGGGTCGTAGAAATCCGTATCTGGTGTACAATTGCTTCTCCTTCTTGCAATTTCGATCATGAAAAAGCGCGCGTTGGGATAATGCAATTCGTATGCCATGCATGACCTCCAAGGCAGTAAAATTCTGGAAGTCTTCGCCGATCCAAGATTTCAGGACTTCGATGTATTTTGGAATATCGTGTGCATGAAGTGAGACCCATGGGAGTGGCGAATCGCCCTAAAACCCAGTTAGTGGATGCAAATCAAGCATTACCAGCCATCTACAAGAGATCGAGATGAATATACCAGCCGTTGATTCTGAAGGCAACAAATCGGCAGGTCAAGGTAGGCTTAAAGACTGAGGAGAGTGAAAAGAGGCTCGCAAAGGAAACGGAAGAGAAAACCATCACAGCCAACCAGAATCTGAAAAATTCGCATACCTTTTCTAAAGTGACAAGAATGTTCTCCATCATCGTGCGCAAGTTTCCATGGATGTACTTGGGCATTAGGTATGATTCATAGATGAAAAACATGGTAGCTAAAGCCAGCAGGCCCTGGTTGGAGTCGTGTGCCAATGTTGACAGCTCGTCTAGTAGCTTCCAGATGATAAGGTCCCTGGTGAGAGCACATTTGTTGATATCGTTTGCGACGAAATGATATTTTCGGGGAGGAGCAATTCCTTTCTTCTCTGATGCATGGAGATCGATCATGGTTGCATACAAATGGCGAGCATCACCAATGCCACCGAGAAAAAATGACATTGTTTTATCATCTCTCCGAGGGAAATCCTGAAGAAGTACATTGAAGAGGCTTTCTGCAATATCGTGTCCGACAGTGAAATAATGCACCGTCGTGTACCTGAACAGTAGTTAGCCAAAAAATACCACTGAAGAAAAAGTTCTAACTGCTCACAAGGAAGCACGGTAACGCGGTAAAGAAGCAGAGATTTTGAGACGCCTCTTAAGCTTTTCCTGTTCGGAAACCTGAGGAATGTGTTCTATAGATCTCTGTACTCGTTGTGCAAGTTTTGCAAGGATTAATTTGTCCTCTGGCATATTCTCTTTGATGATTTCGATTACCTGCTCGGTCATATCACGACATGAAGTATATCTACCGAGCTCAAAGTAGGTAGCAGTCATATTGCGACAAGGCTTCAGAGTACATAGGCCAGCGTTATCGTCAGCTGCCATGGCTTCTTGATATTTGATGACGGCTATATGTCTTGCTCAGTCTGATGACAGGACAGAACATAAAGACTACAATAGGAAGGTAATTGTAAAAATTGCATACCTTCAAGAAGTTTCCCCGATTTATACAAAACATTGCCTTCATCATTGAGCTTCTCCACAGCTGCAACCGTTGCTGCGTCCTCTTTGCCTGACGTCGCCGACATCATGAGCAGAAATGTGTATTCAACGAAATTTCGATCAATAAAATGATGATCTTTTAAAGAAGCGTTACTGAAAAGGGGGATTTCAGGCGTTGAGCAATCATGTCTGAAAATACAATCAAAAAAGCAAACAATATATCCAGTGAATTGTCGAGCAAGGACGGGTAACCTTAAGGGAGTCGCGCTCTAAGAGACACGAGGGCACGTGAAATATGGAGCTTAACCTTAACCCACAAACCGTTGCCATTTTTACCATATTTAGCTAGCAACGCGATGATTGGTTTCTGCTTTCTGGTCATCTAAATTGATATTAAATAATAACCTGAGTGTTTTCACTACGTTTGGTATGGCGAGGTAAGCCTTAACATATTCAGCCCATTGTCTAAATATCCAACGTTGAACATGACAACGCAGCTTCCTTTGAATACTCCCATGAGGCCGAGTCTTGACAAGACTTTGCAAGTTATCAACCTAATATCAAACAATGGAAAGGGGAACTGGAGAAAATCACATCAAGAAGGCACTAACGATGTGGATGTTGAAAGATGCAGTGGTTTTGTAACATTAAAGGAGAAGAAACGCATACATACCGCCATAGCTATTTTGAGCGAGTTCTCGAAAGCCAAAGCTAAAACACTGGACAGGAAGTCTGGATCCATATCAAACCTGATTCCATATATGCCACACATGCAAAAACTTGTTCCGCGACACGGAATAGGTCAATGATTTGGGGATCCATTTGGTCGCCGAAATCAGCTTGTCGAGCACCGCGATTGAGAATGCTGCGTTTGGTAGAACTCTACATATTCTTGACGCTACTGATAATGCTATAGAGATGAAATAAACTGTGATAACGAATTCTATTCTTGATTTAATATGGCAACCTAGTGCTGTCGTATCAAACATACCCTGTCTCAGACACCCATACCCCGGAACAAATAGAGCAGCTTAAGCTTCTGATGCAAGATTCTCTGTCTCCGAGGTCCTAACTTACTTGAGAGACTGATTCTCATTGTGATATCTATTATCGGTTGTAATTACAAAGCCCTGCTCAAATTGCAAGTGATCCATTAACTTCCATTTATTCCTCCGTAAACAAATCCCCGTTTAATCTCTCCCCGCCCCTCCGGTATGGCCTCTTTCACAATTACCGCATCCACCACTCCCATCCGCACCACAGCATCAAACAATCTTTGTCCCGTTTTCTGCTCATTGATCCATAGCAAACAAGGCTTCCTCGGATACTTGGCCTTCCAATAGAGGCAGCTTATCGGCAATATAACACTAGCCTTCGAGAAACTGTGCAGGCAACATAAAACCCTCAGAACTTGAAGCTTTCCATAATTCCTCTTCTGTAAAGATTTGCAGGCTGGTAGACTAGCTATAATATCCTAATCTTTACACTTAGAACACCATCAGGTTGAAAAGGCGGTATATTCACGAGGGGCATGCAGTAGATCTTGTTATGCATTATATTGCGTCGATTGAAAGTACTATAAACAGAATGATCTTCGTAATCAAGCTGCCCAGAATCAATCAACAATATGTGGGTGAGTTGCGGATAGTGTGTTACAAAAGCTTGTACAGAAAGTGCCAGAACTGGAGCTGCTTCTTTTCCAAGGTAGAATTGAGAATAACATGGATCTTCTTGGAAAGAGCCGCAGAGACAAGCTTGATGGCCTTGAACGCTTTTACTTAAGCAGTTAATAAGTAACTTTTCGAGGCTTGGTACTTTAATGGTCTCGGTCCGCTCGAAATAAAGAGTTACATATAGTGCTGAGCCTCAGATGCAGATGTTGCAGTCGCGGCAATGTGGTACAAATAGCATTGCAAAGGTGAGCAGACTTCGGCTCAGCGAGATCCTGACCTTGTGTGTCGATCTAAACAGCGACGTACGTTTGAGGTAGAGCAATGATTAGGCTTGCGGTAAGTGATCTAAGAATCCAAAAACATTCTTGTCTTTTGAAACTACGTTGAGGCTGAACGCCGCAAGATTCTAAAAGTCTGGAAGAAGCTCCGCGAAACCTTGTAGTTGACCTCATAATTGTCTATGTCTTCTGTGCCATTGCAATTTCCGCTCTCAATATTTATTGAAGTGGTTTGGGGTAATTGATTTGCATTAATTAGAATAATGATGCTTCGTATTTGTGAGGTGTCTGGTAATAGCGATTGTGTGACAAAGTCTTGTAAGGTAGTAACGGTGAGGAGAATGTCCTGACTCATACTGATATGATTGAAGAGACGATGGCATCAGAGTCACGTCTACGGAATATTTGTATTTGGTTTGGAGATGTGATTTTGGATTGAAAGCACATATCTATGTGGTCCACTTTGGTTTATGGGAGAGAATGCTAAGAAAGCAAAAATTACCTCCAGATAAGCTGCACAAAGATAACCCACAAATTACAGATATCCACAAATAATCTGCTTTACAAACTATCTAATAAATCTACAATCCATTTTGCAAATTATCTATTGAGATTTTAAAGTAATTTATACTATATAAATTATTTGTAGATTATCTATAAATAATTCATTAATTCATAATTAAATATAATTTATATAAAATAAATATAATATATAAAGATTAATATAAAAACTAATATAAAAAATATAGAAATAATTTCAAAATTTAAATGAATATCATTTATTTATAAATTGATAAATTATCTACAAATTTATAAATATCTATAAATAATCTGCAAATAATCTACAAATTACCTATTCAGATTCTTCAATTATTTATTCTATAAATGGATTATCTACAGGTTACTTATTATAAGCAATAATCCGCTCCACGGAGCCCTGGTTGCGCAGCCTAACCATAACTGGGGCAGCTACAGCGCCAGTCAAAGCCAACCAACGACCTACAAGACCATAATGCGTAAACAACATGGCCTTGATAGCTAATTCAAATATCATTTCTGGACCAAGAAGATTAGCCCGCCTTCCTTGGATTTGGTGTTCATGTTTTTCAAGCCCTCTCGAACTTGGGAACATATAGATTTATGAGATGCTAGAAGCGGTTTTGGCTGGATGATCCACAAGAACTAAAGCCGCAAATGGGGTCGTGAAGAATTTCATACGTGGATTCATGAGTAGTAAGTGGTGCCTAATTGCTTCGTGTTTGGTAGGTGATTGGATCGAAGGTTGATGGTTAAAGATTGGGTTGTGAAAAGCAAAGGTGGAAAAGAAAAATTGAACTTTCATGAGGATGGATGATTTATGTGTGGGTCTCTTACTAGCCGTCAATGCCTAGGTATTTTAGCTAAGTAAGGCATAACCTTACCTTGAACAAGATTCATTTCCTACATAAGAGAACAATGTTAAGGTAGTAAATATGTAAAGGCTAATTAATGTGTTTGATTCTATCTATCATTTGTTTTCCAACCATGAATGGTTTGATTCTATTCTATTTTAAGCGACTTCATAACCGATATCCCTACATCTTGCATGACCCCACATCTTGCACGCATTTTATAACCTCAAAAATTATCAATCATATGAATTAATCACTGTTAGTATAACTACACAAGATACTATGAAGCTTGTGCTAGCTTATATTGAAGGGTAAGAGTATTCTCAATATACTTGTACAGCAAAATTATTTGAAATCAATTATTTTATACTTTCTCGATGTTATAAAGGTAAATCGGCCTTTTACAATATAATCTATATTGATTTATATTAATGTTTTTTATTAAAACAAGAGAAAACTTTAATTAATCAAATCAATAAGTTAATATAAAGATCTATATTTTCTATAAATTATATAATAAAGAACCTTGTAGAAGAAATAATAAACTATTCTGTAAAAAAGAATTGGATATCGAATTTTGTTAAAAAATATAAAAAACATCTTCAAAATTAATATCTTTATTATATTGATAATTTGTATATGAAAATTAATAATGTTGATATATTTGAATACTTTTATAATCTAATTTAAATTATTTTGTATTGTTGTTATTATATATCATTTAAAAGATTTTTGCTAATCCCTCTTTTTTATCTATTTAATTGATAAATATAATTATAAAATACAATATATCCTCGAAAAACATATACAATTAGGACGAAAAGAGTTTCATGATTAATCTTGAAAGGATTATAAAGAGGATTATTGTAACGATCTGGTCGAGGCAGCGGCTGCCTGAGGTTTCATATGGTTGGTAATTGTAGGTTAAGGCTATTAATCGCTAGTTATCCATGTGAAAATGAATTTGTTACTAGATCAATTGGAATATAGGTAAACTAATTGATAACTAAGTTGAGCATGAAGCTCCTAAATTATGAAACTATTCTGATTATATACTAATGAATGGAAAGGAGCTTCATGAAGCCCAAGAGCTTCAAAAAGCTTCTGGAGCTCTAGGAGCTTTCCAAGCTCCTAGAGCTCCTTATCACATGATTAATCCTGAAGCCTTTCCTTTCCTGGAACACTTGCCCCAGAAGCTTTCCTCTAAAATACGATATCTTCTAGGGTGATTGTCCTATTACAACTTATTAACTAGAACACTTGTCCTATTCTAATATAATTGCCTAGGATACTTATCCTAGGAATCCTGGGTTCCTATTCGTAGATGATTAGGCCCCCTAAAAAGCAACAGTTAAATCACACCCCCCTATAGTCGGCATCTAAATCACCGACATCAATAATACTATTATAATCTTAGATGTAGGTGATTTGTGACACAATCTCAAATATTACTTTTGAGAATACTTCTATATCATTTATATCAATACAATTAGTAAAGGATAAATTTTAAATCCTATATATATTAAAAGCTCTTTATTGTTTTTGATTAAAGTTTCATCTCAATTCAGATTCTAATATTGTATCAAAGCTTTTCAAGATAACAATTATGAATATAATTAAAACTAATATTTAATCTTATAAAACGAAAAAATTAAAAACAATATTCAAAATCAAAAGAAAGAAAAGAACTTATTCAAAATATTTAAATCTTATAAAAAAGAAAACTGAAAAGGTTTTTTTATATTCATCTAATACAATAAAAAAAGCTAGAATTTATCAAAAAGTTAAAAAGAAAAAGATAATTAAGATACAAAAGAAAACTGATAAAAAAGTTAAAAAACAAAAGAAGAATTTAAAAACAAAAGAAAAAGAAATTCAAAAGAAAATAGATTATCAAATTGTATAAAATTCTAAAAAGAAAATACAAAAGATTTCAAAACGTTCTTTTATTATAAATTTAATATCTAAAGAGATTATAGAACCCTTAAATATAAGAATAATAGATAATTTGAATGAAAAAAAAAAGAGGGTAAATATATATATAAAAAACCAACGATAGATCAAGATTCCATTAAGGTTTCAAATATAAAGTTTTTATAATTCTATATAATAATATTATATCTTCTTATTCGTAAATTAAAGTTCTAGTTTCATATCTTATAAAATCGAATTATTATTAAATTTTGAAATGATCGTAGTTATGAATGAGGAACGTGCAAGATGTAGGGATGTCGGTTACTTTTGATCTACAAACTTTTCCCCACGATACCACTGCCGAACCCAATTTTGCCACAAGCTCAGCCTTAGTGTGGTACTTCTACTGACTGTACCCCACAAAGCGAAGCGGTGGTGATGCAATATCCTTCGGATTTGAGATTTCATAAGACAAGATCGAACAGCACAGTCAAATTGAAGAGGAAGCGCATTCGGCATGAGGAAGTGTTTTGGAGCCTCTGTTGTGATTTCCCTAATGTAGATACTTAGGTAACTTCACTGTATGAAAAGTATGTCTTTGGGGATCATCACACAATTTGAGGGTTGATGAGGACCTCTCGAACGTCGATACATAGCACCGACAGTCGAAGGCATCACTGGCAAATACTCAGAGAAATGGCGCCATGGTCGAAATTTGTAGACCTTCCGTAGTTCGAGCTGCCGTGCTGATGGATTGTTCTGAAACTGTTCTTTTGTGTAGATCATTATCCGCTAAGGATGCGCCTCGTGGGCCACCCCCACAACCTCTACCTGAAGTATTTCTCTTTCCAAAAGCCATAGGGATTTTTGGATTCGGGAATCGAAGATAACGATTAAAAGAGAAACCTTTTGGGAATTGAAGCGGAACTTGATCCTAGGTCTGTGTATCGAAAGGGAGGTAATTGAGAAAGACGACGAGTTCCTATCAGTATCATCTTATTCGGAAAGCAGATAATAAAAAATAGATGAGGCAGTGGACGAATCGGTTGCAACTCCATCTACTCTCGTAACATGATGTCTGGGGATGCACTTCTTGCATTGCATTATACGGGCCTGACATGCACAAGTTCTTGAATATCGTCTCTGAGGTTTGATAACTGACGTTTTAAGACCAACCTTCTCAGTTTAGAAACAGTATCTTGGTGGATATAGACGGCGATTCTTGGAAATATCTTGTGTGGTTTGGTATGTTGAGAGTAATTGAAAGCTTGTGCTTCAAGAACAGTGTTCGGAGCTTTGAAATAGTACTTATGTAATTGCCGGTCTCGAAGATATCTTTTGCTGATGGGTGTCTGACTACGTTGAGTTGTAGAAATGAAACGTCCAAATCCGTCATTATAACTGTGAGTCCAGTGGCGGTTGACTGTTTTTGCCCCAATACTGTTTCTTCTTGGATTTCTAAGCCTCTGCCATGAATAATAGATTGTCGTCGCCATCAGCACAAGTACCATGACACATCTCCTTACATTTCGGTCCAACCAGCATTATCACCACAAGCGCCTCGCCAAAAAAACGACAATTATCACCACCACCTCAACAGGAGTTCTGATTCTCCAACTGACTCCTGTAACCACAGTTGTAAAGGGGGGGAGTTAGGACGAAGACGGAGGGTGTTACTCGGGTAGGACACCATCGTATTAAGGATAAAGTAAGGTCGGAGCTCCTTATTATGCCCCCCTGACTCAGAGCACAATTCCGCATCTCTATCACCTCAACCATCCTCACCACAAGCACAATAATACCATAAACTGAATTCCCATCCTCTTTACCACAAACACCACTAAAGACACCAGAAACTACAACTCCCACCCTTTTTATTAGAAACACCACCAGAGACACCAGAGACCTTGTTCATGACTCCCCTCCTTATAACTCCTCTCGTCTTGACAATAAATCACCAGAACGACCAGAACCACCAAACACCTTCTTTATAACTCCCTTCCTTTACACATTAAAAATCAGAAACACCCCAAACACCTTATTTATGACTTCCCTCCTTTGTACAATCAAAAACCAAAAATATCCCCAAATATTTTGTTTATAACTCCTCTTCTTTGCACAATAGAAAACCAGAAAGGCCTCAAACAATATACATTAAGTTCTTATCTCCCTTTGCGGTCCCGGAGACGTTGTTTATATCACCCTTCCTTTTTTTTATAATTTTATAATTTTTCTTTTTCTTGAGACACGAAGAGAAACTGGTAGATCACTCACTTCCTTCAGGTTTTGCTTTTCGAGTGTCACCCTAGGGTGGAAATTTCTCTCTCCGACATCCTCGCGGCGTCACCTTGGGTGTAATCCACCCGAGCAGCCAGTGCTTCCGCTCGACGCTGTCACCTATTCTAGACTGCAGCCATAGCGGCGTCATAGGAGTCTGCACCCATTCTGCCGAAAAAACCCTTCCAGGTAGAAGGCAGCGATGAAGCCGCCAAGCCCGAGCAAACTGGTCAAAAGTCAGCTTATACTACATTAAAGCATGGGAAAGTGAAAATATACGTCAGAACCTCCCCGGTCTTTCTTTTCAATGATCCAGTTTCCAGCCATTTCCTATCCAAAATTGATACAATGTGTATGAGGAGAGGAAAATTTCATGTTGAAGAATTGCATAGATAGTCGTAAACAGACACTTCTCAAAACAGCAGTTGCGGCCAGGAAACCACCCTAACATATCAGTACGTACTTGCCATATCTATCTCAAACCATATTTGCAGCTCAAATAACGAACAGAATACTAGGTAATTGCAATTAAAATGCTTGTACTGGTTATTTTATCCATCGCGTGAGAGCAAAGAGAGTCCCGAAGTTCGCAGCCAGCATCGTGCACTTGCATCCCATTCCACCAAGTGTAATCGAGGTATATCGGCTTGAGCGGCGGCGGCAAGGGGAGGTAACGAACCTCCTCCCTAGTATCGAAGCTTGATTGAACGTTCCTTCATCATTATTTGACAAGTTCAAGCCAAATTGAAATTGCTTGCAGCGCAGTCCAAAACTGTACATGTAGTGCTGTAAAGGCAGATATCGCAGCCGCCCAAATTAAGGTTCCATCTACTCCATTATGCACTGCAAACATGCTGTTGCTCGGCTGGCTCGTTTGCTCCTGCGCCAAACCAGCGATTTCCAATACCCTCACTCCATATGCTTTGATTAAATTTGATGTAGGCGGACATATCCCTTCGAATAGCGCAGCCAGCTTCCTTGCATTGATATGAGGAGATGCTGGCTCTGTTCCATCTTTGTGCTTCCTCAAAAGGGCATTAACTAAAGTTTGATATTCCTTCGGCGCCCACATCTTACGAGCGTGAAATCAAATCTATCTCGGCGGTAGCAATGGTCACTTCGATCGTGAGGGCGGCCAGTGAAGCTTGGAGCTTTGAAAGTGCCATCGCAGAACGAATTTTTGTGTTTGTAAATGTGCGAAAACGTAGATTCTCATGTCTGTATCCCACAGCCTTGTTCGTGGCTCCGCATAGGCATCGAGGCTCCGCCAGCTGCACCGCCGCTAAGTTGTCAGGCAACATAGCTCCACGAAATCCTGCATACATATCAACGACGAACCAGACACACGGACGGAGAGTTTTCATCATCACAATCTCGCTGCTGGTGGGTAGCTGCATTTGTGCATGCATATGGACGGCCAGTAACATTTACCTTGATTCCTTGGATATAGTAAATCTCTTGCAAAACAGACAAAATGCCACTACATGTTGACTGCAGAATATGAGAAAACTCCAGTAATCGTGTCTTTTCCTTCATCAAACCAAACGAGGCTAGGGATGCGCTGGAAAGAACACCTCCAGTTCCTGCAAGGCTAGTCGGTCGCTACATGAAGCCAAATATAATTGCGAAAAATTAATGATTGCTCGTTGGACATCCGTGCTGAAATTTTAAAGCGTGGAATGACTGTATATATGGATCTCTCACAAGTTATAGATGTATGGTTGATTGCCTTGTCAAATCTTGGTGCGAAAAGAAACGTACCGAAGTGCCCAGTACAATGTGTTTACACTTATTGCAGTTCGATGCTTCCTTTGGCTCGCCAGTTAAATTCACGAAGAAAGTTTCCGCTTGCTTGATACAAAAGCTGTTGTGAAGGCAAGAATGAAAATATATGGTTTTTGGGGTATAATTTTCGTTTTTTCTACTTCAGTAACTAACCTTACCAGATTGGCGGAATATAGGAGAAAGAGCGACGTGAGCAGCCGCTTCCTATTCTGGGACTCAAGCCTCATTCTTAGCTATCTCTTGGCTTTGCCTGCCTATTGCCGTATATTCCGTATATTCCACATATTGCGTAATCCACTTCGAATACTTCATCTAATAGATTACCCATCACTTCGAATGAGAGCTGCAAAATTGCCATCCTAGACTTTATGCTGACTGAATTTCCATCTATTATGGTATTTCTCCTGCCAAAACTACCGGAAGATTCACGACATTGCTTTGATACGGAGCTGCGCAGATATGCCACGGCCTCTTCACCGAAATCTCTCCGCCACCGCTCTTGATTATTCATATTGACTTTGATAATCGCAGATATCCAAACGCCCATCGAAAACGTGGCAGGATGATTAATGATCAGATCGTGATGCACTCCCTGTCAGTATGGGAAGACGTTGGAAATTACTCGCTCACTGAAAAGTCGTCCCATCATTTGTCCCACTGAGTCTTTCTCCCATTCTGGAAAGCAAATCCGCGACCAAAAAAGGTTTCGACATAACAAAATTCTGTAGCACATATCAGCAAAACGTTTCAATTCAGATCATCGTTTAAAGACTCACAATCCCGTTGTGCAATGCTAGCTGGACCTGCTCTTCTCGGGCATTAGCAGTAATTGCAATAATTTCAAGATGTCTCACGATCTTTCCAGACTGTTGCAAAGCTCGAATCTCACGACTACAGGTAAGGCCGTCCATCACTGGCATTTCCCAATCCATGAGTATAATATCCAAGCCTTTCGCATCTTTCACTGGCTCATGCCAGCAGGAACACTGTCTTAATATTTCTAGAGCCTCTAGCCCATGGTTGGCCACGTATACCACGCATCCGGCTCTTATTAATTGCTTTTTCAATAGTCTTTGGTTAACAAGGTTATCTTCGACTAGTAAAACTTGCATTGGTTTCGATTTATCGTAAGAAGATCCTCCGGACAATGCAGATGTCAAACCTGGCCGCGTCTCGTTTGACGGCTCAATACTACGTCGGGCTTTGACATAAAATCCGAAAGTACTTCCCCGGCCTAATTCTGAAGATAGACCGATCCTCCCGCCTTGCTTCTCGGCAAGTTGTTGAGAAATGAATAAGCCTAAACCAGATCCGCCATACTTTATAGAGGTTTTCGCATTGGCTTGTTCAAAACGCGTAAAGAGACGAGGAATTTCTTCGGCATGCATGCCAACTCCCGTATCGATGACTGCGCATGTAAGGAACACTTGTTCTCCGGAGCCCCATTCAGGATTGAGGGTCAAGTCTTCGAATTTGCTATCACAAGGTACCCAGTAAAAGTCCTTATCGAAATTCTTCTCCGGCTCAGTCAGCGTGGCACCATAAGTGATGGTGATATTCCTTTTTGCTTCCCCTCGGGTGAACTTTATCGCGTTAGTCAACAAATTTATCAATATTTGGGTGACACGCGAAGAGTCAAATAAGACCCAGTCAATATTACTTGAGGCGAAAGAAGGTTGAGCTAGTGTTTTGATTGAAATTTCGTGAGACAATAAATCGGCTTCGAACATTTTGACGACTTGCTGCCCAAAAAGAGCTGCCGGGCGAGCAGGGCGTGGTGATATGGACAGTAGCATATATTTGAGTTTTGAAAGTGTTAGGACATCATCCACAATGCGTTTTTGATGACTAGCGCACATGGCTATGGTATTTGCCGCTTCGACATTGTTTTTCAAAATTTCAGCGGCATCCATATGTGATGCATCCTTGTAGGAATTGGCGATCATATCAGCACACTGGAATATAGCAGAAAGTGGATTTCGCATCTCGTGAGAGACAATGTCAATGAATTCTTCTTGTTGACGTTTTGCCGCCCGTGCTTCCGCGGCATTTCTTGCTTCTGATGCTTCGGCCCATTTGAGTTCAGAAATATCCGTGGAGCAAACCATAATCGATTGCACCTTACCATCAACGACATATGGGAATGCCAGTGATAGCATACAGGCGTGATCAGGTACCCCATTCGGTGGCACAAACAAACGCTTGAGCCGCAACGTGACCTCAACACGGGATGCCCCTTCGTGAAGCTGTTGCCAATACTGTAAAAGTTGACTCCTATCCTCATCAACCAACGTATCCAAGAAGGAAAAATTATATGGCACAGTCTCGGGTCCTGGATGACCGGTAATTTGATAGTACATGTGGTTTGCCCAGAGAATTTTCCCCTCACTCGACACTTGTAACATACCTACCGGAGCATTCTGCGCCATGTATCTAATTTGTCTCTCACTTTCGGCCAGTTCCTTCTCTAGACGGTCGGCTCTTTGCTTTGTTTCTTCAGCGCTAGCCAAAGCAGATGCTATCGACGAGACCCTAGAGGCGATAGATTTCATAAAATCACTATAGTGTTTGTCAATCGGCCGACGTGAGTTCGCGCCAAGTATGAGATATCCAAAGACACGATCACCAGTCGAGATTGGAAGTATACTAAAATCTGTTGATGGTTCGTGAATTCCAGTCAACTCATCCTTGTGACCGTGCCATTCAACTCCGGTAAACTTTTCGTCGACAGGATGAGTTGAGATTTCATTGCCTGTCTCACACAACAGTGGGAAGAGTGCAAGGCAGCTGCTGAGCTCTGCCTTCTCCACAGCAAGGGGATGGTGAGCAGGGAAACCAATTTGACCCCGCAAATAAACCGTCGACCCAGAAGGGCTTTGTTCGTCAACCTGGTATAGCATCGCCATGGGAATGTCTAGCGGGTTAGACATTAGATGAGGCATTATGTGACTAGCAAGCGTTCCTTGTTGCAACCCCATGGGGATTTCTAACGAACTCAACATTGAAAGTCTTCTCTCGTTAAGCTTTTGAGTAGTAACTTCAACTGCATCCAGACTTCAGTAACTGCTCATGGTGGAGAAAATTCGGGAGAAAAATAACGGAGTGACGCTAAATTCAGAATTGAAAGACCCAGGACCTACGAAATGAATCGCATACTGAATTGGAAATGAAGTACCTTCTTCAATATCTAAGCTAAGATCCGACATCTAAATTGCCCCTTGAACTTAGATACCTTGGAACGCTCTTCAAAATTTCAACACAGAGTTGACAATCCAATTATCCCTAAGGCTTAAATGCCTTGAAAGGTGCTTTAACATGCAATTCATTTCGCTCAAGGAGAAAGAATATTTCGGTGATGAGAGAAGTGGGGAGTGAAATCAGGAACAGAATTGGGCTTGGAAGACGGTGAAATTTGCGGACCAATTACGAACCTACAGAATTGTAAAAGCCTCCAACTCGTCCATCTTCGCGTCGAACGGGATTGAAGCTTCCAGTAAAATATGACTCCTCTTTGTACCCACTCCTTTCTACCATTAAAGGTATCTCATTGACGTCCGCCGTAACCTTGCTAGTCTCTGCATAGATGAAAACGCCTCTTATGTCGTCCCAGATCTCTGGGAATGCCACTTCAAAAGTTTTGCCCATCAGTGTTGGATGAGTTTTGCCAGCCATAGTGATAAAATGTTCGTTGTATATAGCCACCCTATGCTGTCCCCTAGCGTGATATTGTCAGAGCGTCCAATTTTGGGTAGAGAGGATTCGTCGTTGCATCATACCAGTATAAACACGCAGGTCTCGAATCCGAAAACGTCGTAAAAGTGTGAAGTCGAAGTGCAAGTCCCCATGACTCCAATGGACCAAGGGGAGTTGCAGCCCAATCTGTGCTTCTGAAGAATTGTGCATGTTGGGAGTCGGGGAGATCTAGGGTCCAATCTGCTGGCTTTGAGATTGGTGACCGGTTTATGACTGAGTATGAGCCTGACTGTGCGGCGGATGCGCTTACTGTGTGCGACGAGCGCGAATTCGTAGAATTTGGCATGGAACTTTGGTCTACATCTGCGATACGGATGTCCTGAATGCGAACGTCAACGTTTGGAGTGTCTTGAATGGTTGACTTGACACTCCCCTTACTCTTGCTGTTTGAGACCACCATGGTCAAGGGAGATGACCAGGCTCAAGGTCGAAGATCCTTCATTATCCTTTCCGATGTCTAATAGCTTCACTTGTCGAATTCGTAAATTTGGACTTGGTTTAAAATATTTCGAGGCGAATTTTGTTGTATTATTAAATGGGATTTTCGTCTTCGCGCCGCAGGCTATCGGATAGGCTTGATAGGGATCCGCTAGCGCGTAAAATTGCATTTGATAGCGCTATTCCCGCCCGGAACAACATAACTAGTGGAAGGTTACGCTGGTTCATTTATGGGTAAATGTTTATGTCTCAGAGAGTGGAGTACATACAACATTATGAAAATGTTACTTCGAGTTGTCGGAAGCGAAAATCATGATGCCGTCGGTTAGATCTGGTTGATCAGTAGCATGTACGGAGGTAGTTCGTCTATAGAATTTTACGGAGTGCTATCATCGTTATGATATCTTCCTTCTGTACCGGTAGGTCTTTATTGAGATTGGCTAAACAGGATGTAATCTATTCATCATCCAGGCAATACTGAGCAGGAGAAATAGTGCTTGGTTACAACTAAACCTATAACCTGCTATCTAAATCTCCGAAAAGCTCAAAACCCCAACTCAGGAAGATATGACGTGCATGTCTTGCATGCCGCATACTTTGCACTCTATGTCTCAGATAACATCTTCGTTCGCTTTACGCGTATATAACCTTATATAGTAGCACTATTTGCATCATGGCCGGCTATAATAACTTAGGTATCCATATAAGATCTTACAACAGATATCTGTAAATACCATTTACTACTTGCACTAATGCATAGACCGTTGTGACATACTCCGTTTTGTGTCTGCAGATCGCAATCTATGAAATTTAAGATCTTACATCTCTTGTAGTATCTTTCGGCGCTCTCGCCATTTCGATCCATCCTAGCAGTATATTTGCCTGCGTGCCGTGTTGGGATTTTCGACTTAACCAAGTTTTCCGTGATTTCAAAATAACGGCATATTGACTAATTACGCATCTTTGTAAAGTCAGGTCATCGATGAGAAATGAATGAATTGGTATCTAATATAACAGTACTCCAAGATAACTCCCGTCGCTAGATACTCCTCCAACACCACGCTAACCAAAAATTCCTTACCCCAAATCATCCACGCCTTAATCAATAGGCTGTTGCTTGAACAAACTCTTCCCGGCCAGCCACTTCCTATAAGCCTTGTACCTCTTCTTCTGTCCGTCCTCTTCGAGCACCGTCAATGGATTTTCCGCCACCCTCAAAAAGCTCCTATACTCCTCAATCTCCTCATGGTCTTCTTCCCTACCCCAACCTCCATTGATTCCACCGTTATATCCTCCTTGTCCAGAACCACTATCCCAGCCCACACCTCTGACCCACTCCTCATATTCTTCTACTCCTTCGATGTCATGGTCGTCATCTCCTACAACTAGTGATAGTAGTTGGGGATACTCGACGTAGCGCTCGTAATCTTCTTCTTCGCCTAGATTAACGCTTGGGTTGAGGGAATCGCTGACGACCTGAGTGAATGTCCATTGAGCAGCCTTAGTTTTATCTAATGGTGTCATCTTTTTCTTGTCTAATCCCCCTATATTCCTGCTCAAGTTGATATTTGAAGAGCTGTTATTCAAAGCAGAACTGTAATTATGAAACGAGTCTTCGGTCGAGTGCGATTGCGAATGAGAGGATGTCTCTTTCATAATATTGGGAGGATTTTGATGATAATTTTGCGATGTTGGTGTATGATATGGTTCATTGTCAGAAAGAGGATGAGACTCGTGAATCGGCTGAAGCCATTTTTGAAGACTGATACGTTTCGTACTCATAGCACCTGTAGCACCAGATTTTATCGATGAATCATCCGGCACCTCATCCTCAGCGATTACTTCCTTACTTTCCGGAAAAGAAACTTCTTTCTTCTTGCCCTTTGTATTCGGTGATACATGCTGAATAGGCTGTTCTTCTACATGCGCAGTAGCATCAGCGCGAACTTTAAATGGTGAAGGGTCGTAACCAATCCGGGACTCGTCACGATGCTGGGTGCGGGGCAAAAGGCGGGCGGTGGAGGACATTTTGCCTGGGTAGGTGAAGATTTTAACAATAGAAGAAATGGAGAGCGGTTTATAATATTCGATCCAATAGTCATCAAAATAGTTGAGCGGTTTGTTCGCCAGGGCGCCTTGTGGATCAGAATATGGCGGTAGAGTTTTCTTTTCAAGAAAGGAGGGTGTATACCAGTTTATATAACTTCGGCGAGTACGCGGGGACCAAACACGTGGATCGGTGTGATGAAGATGATAGTCAGTTGTTAAATCCCATAGCATAGGCTGTCCTTGTTCGTAGACATAATTGCCGAGGAAAAGATTGTAGGCCTCCTGTCTTTGACCATCAAGAAAAGAGTTATTATAGTATCTTCGGAAACTTTCTACCATATCTCGAGATTGACTAGTCCATTGATTAATCTTTCGATAAGTTTCCATAGTGTTAACTAGCTGTGAGCCTCCATATTGGATTGCAATAGTGTCACCGTGTCCGTGATACATGGATGTAAAGAGATTGATTGCATCAGTGTCATAGTTGATTGAAGGTTCACTAATAACGCCTAGAGCATGGAGTTGATGACCAAGAGCTCTTTTGCCGATGACGAATTGAGCTGCATTAGTTCGGTCCAAGCAATCGATACAATTCGTCCTAGCAACGCCGTTTTGCACCGTTGGTATTGTTGTTTTACCGTCTCCATTGTGGAAAATCCCAGTGCGAGTGACAACTTCATTACCCATACTCTCAAGCGTACCAATCACATCCTGGTCTCGACTCTTCGAAGCTCGACTCATATCCCATGGTTTGTGAATAATCTTCTTGTCTGCCGGAAGGAACTGGTTTAAGTAGTTGATTGCATCTGTGAATTCATATAATAGCTTTGACTCCCTCGGAGTCCTTTCTTTAGATTTCACCAGATTCAATACAAAGACAGGAGCTCCATATCTTTCAAACAGGTTATCAAAATGTAGCGCAGCTGCACTGTAGAATGGATCGACCAGATTCAGCTCAATAGGAGGTTTGGGTGTCACACCGTTGTTATCCTGAGTCCAGTGCAGTGGGATACTTCCGCGATGCTGCACATAAGAAGTGTAATTGGGACTAGCATAAAGCTTCGGCCCAGGAGCATGTAATGAAGTCGTCGTGTTCTCCGAGACAATCTGCTCAGTCTCGACATCATTTGCAACATATCCCTGTAAGGATCAGCACATTGTTCGAAGAAAATAAATTGGGCCACAATACCATATCATTAGCACCACGTTTCAGAAACCGAGCACCAGCAAAGTATCTTGAACGTCTTGCAATAATAGTGATGTAAACAATCCGTCCCCATACTGGTAAAGCTGCTTGTGCAAGGTATCCGTGGATGACAGGTACACACCAGTCATAAGTATTCTTCAAGACATTTTCTGCAGGCTTGAGTAGGTGGCTGTTCCAAACGAACATAGAATTGTAATCTTTGGGATGAGGAGAGGGTTTTCCTGCAGCTAGAGCAGCTCGCTCTGTCATAATATTGTGTTGCAAAGTCCTCGTGATATCATAGGAGTAACTGAAATAGAAAGACTTGTTCAAGTCAAGTCCGTTTAAAATACTTAGAAACCTGGACTCCTCGGTATTACGAGTATCTGATGACTTGAACCTAGAGTTAGTGGACGTAGTCAGTGGTATAAGCTCTGTAGCCTCGATAGTGTATACGAAATGGCCACCGACCATAGCAGTTTGGTTCCTTTTGGTGATCATATGCATATAATAGCAACCGGTGAATCGGATAAATCCAAGTATACCCCAAACAGCACTCTTCAGTTTCATACCTCCCGAAATCTTGTTGCCATCATCAATAGCATTAAGTAACTGGGTCATTTCCTTCTTTGTGTAAACGATCTCATCTTCAGTGATATTCAAAGTCCCTATCTCTGCGGTACGATCGATCTTCAGAATTCGAAATCGAGAGTCGAGAATGTCCGCTCCTACAACATAATACCTGGTAGCTGTCTCATACAACGAGAACTTCTGCATTGTGCAAACACCCAAGTCTCCCACCTTCTCGTATCCCGCTCCTTTATTTCTTTTCAGGTCAGAGTTTGGACTCAAAGTTCTCAAAAAGGGTTTGCAGACTGAAGTGTCTTCATCTGTGCCATAGCCACCGATTGAATCCCTTCTTGAGCCCTCCTCGCTGTGCGTTAAGCTATATGACAGAGTTGGTAATCGTGGTACATCTTGTTCACTCCTTTCTGCGTCTCTAAATTCTGAAGTCAAGGGAGAGGTCATTGCAGAGGTTGATTGTGAGATGGTAGAGGTAACTATGCTTTCATCGTCGAAATGAACATGTCCATCATTGAGATCAGCGGGGCCCGGTGAGTGCCCTCGTGCGGGACCATCTGCTTGGTCCGCCATATTGACCTGGCAGTTGCTATCACCGTAAATTCATCATTCTAGCTAGAATTAGTTATGAAATTTGTTAAAACCGTCGTCTCTTTTTTGTTTGTTGAAGTTATATCGAGGTTGCACATTTATGACAGGCATCCAAAGAATCAAGCAAACAAGGATATTTTATTTCGTCACCTCACAGTCGTGACTGATAAGGATTTACGATAAGAAGTCAACAACCCTTCCACAGCAACGATCGCAAAATCTATTCCGTGCATCATCATCGCAGCTTCATGCAAATAAAGGCACCTTTAGCTCACCATGAGTGAGCTATTCAACTATCTCCTCAACAATGAACCCCAGTTCCGTCGGTAAGCGGTCAATTCCCACGATGTTCCCTTGATCCTCCTACAAACGTATATTAAACTAATAACCATCTAGAGCGCGTCTTGCAGCATTGTACTCAGATTTCCGTCAACAACAGACTTTGAATCCGGATGGTTACCAGGCAAATATTGAAGCATGGCGGAAGGCACTGGCAGATGCGGCTCGAGCAGGAGTTATGCCATCTCAAGGGTCGAGTCCTGATTTACTGATTTTAAGCGCCGACGACGAACTATTGCGCGCATTGGATACGAACGAATGGGGAAGACCATTATCTCTAGGAGCAGTTGTACAGGAAGCTATTGCGAAAAAACACTTAATGCCATTGAAGGAATTTATGGATGCAACTGACAGTATTTATACGACATCATGGACTATAAAGCCTTGGGATATAGTAGCATGGGGATTGAAACAGTTTGGTATATCATTTGGAGGGAGTAAATTGCCGGGAGGAAAATTGGTCATTCTTGAGAATGTTGAAGAAGCTGCAAAAGTCTTTGCAGCAAAGAATATATCGAAGACAGGGAGGGTGGGAAGGATATATCCCAGAAAGATGTTCAAGGGGGAGTTTGGCAATGTACTGGGGGAGCACACTCTTTCAGAAGTCGATATGGATGCCTTTTTGAAATTCCTCGCAAGGGATAAGAAGATCATAGCTTATGATGGCGAAACTATCAAGCTGAAAGCGCCAACAGACTCCAAGAGTCCAACAATTACTCAAGAGGATACCTCGATAGCATCGTTGAAATCTTTGATCGCAGATCTTGAGACCCAAACAAAGCTGTTCGCTCATAGAGTTGAGACCATGGATTGCGCAGCCAAAGAAGCTGTTGCAAAGAAAAACCGCGTATCGGCACTAGCAGCTTTGAGGTCGAAGAAAAGTGCCGAAACCACTCTTGCGAATCGTCACGCTACACTATCACAATTAGAAGAGGTACTTTCCAAGATAGAGCAAGCTGCTGATCAAGTGGATCTTGTCAGAATCATGGAATCGAGTACGAAGGTACTATCAAGTCTCAATAAAGAGGTTGGTGGTGTGGGAAGAGTAGATGATGTAGTTGATCAATTGAGGGAGCAAATGGGACAAGTTGATGAGGTCGGAAATATCATTGCGGAGCCGGCACAGAACAATGTCGACGAAGCCGAAGTGGATAATGAACTGGAGGCTATGGAGAGAGAAGAAGTGAGGAAGACTGAGGAGAAAGAACGTTTGTTTAAAGAGGAGAAAGAAAGGAAAGAGGCTGCGGAAACAAAACGCAAGTTGGATGAATTGGAGGAATTGGAACGAAAGGCAAGAGAAGCGAGGAAGGAAGAAGTTGTTGAAAAGAGCACACAAGATATACAAGGGATGTCTCTAGAGCCAGAGCCAGTACCTGAGCACGCTTGAGGTATTTGTAATATTTTTCCTGTAGATCGGGTTTTTTTGAATAGCATATTAGGATTTATGAAGTACTCTTCGAAAGTTGGGATCAATTTTGTTTCCTAATGTGTGAGTTAAACCTCGGAGGCCTATTTCCTCCAAGTGGACCCAAATGCTGAGCTCAAGATAGTTTATAGACGATGAAAATTGATTGACTGTAGAGCTCTCCTAATGCAAGGTATTAGTATATTTTCCGCAAGGTTTTTAGCCTCATTTTCACGTAACTCCATGGTGAGCTTGAACCCTCCAGCATGGAAAATAGCAACAGATTGACAAAGTTGTGCAGGTCACGAGAAGTCTCAAGGTGGGAAGCCGTTCTTGTCTCGTGTCACCGAAATTCAATGGTATATTAAAAGCTGGAGAAAGACAATCATAACCTCCTCCAATCGTCGGTTTAAGTCTTCAAAGCAAAAGACAACAGAAGTATTCCCAGATATCCCAAATCTCCTTATGCATGAGAAGTACCAGGCTTATATTTTGCGCATCTATCGATTGCACAAGAAGACATGAATTTAACTTTAGATCAGTTTCATGGGCCTTCAAGCTTTACATCATTCAAATATTCGTAGTAGATAACCTTGTATATATTATTACCACAAAATAATCATGTTGATTCCTACAAGAAATTTCTACATCCAGCCGGTGTCATTTCAGATGTTGCCAAAATCTCTCAAAAATATGACAAATACGGTGTTAACCCAGGCCGCATATGAGAAAGGCCGCATATGAGAAACGCCTCCATATTGACATGTTTGGCATGAATCCATTTCAAAATGTCTCTAATGGGAACGGGAACTTTGTTAAATGTAAACGTGACAGTAGGACTTAGCAGTCCCGGTGAGCTTTACAATCTCCGGTAACCACATACATGCATGCATGATTCAACTCATCTTAAGTTTCTCTGAGCCAAGCACAACTCAACTTCATTCCCGAGGTCTTTACAGCTGGTCATATACGGCTTGATGTCCTTTGCATCGGTTTGTAATCATGCTCGACATCGTAAAGTATCAATATTCCACATTATCTCGTTTATCATCATAATAAACTGCATTTTATGCGCGCTGTAAATGGCAATACGGAAGGATGTCATAGGAATCTGAAAATTCCCACCGAAATAAACAGCCCATAGAATTCTTCACACCCTTAAAAGTTTCAAAATTATTGGAGATGCAGTTCACCACCCTCGTTGTCCATTCCATAAGCAGTAATGATCTTTTATCTATCAGTGGGAATACGCTGATTCATACTCTTATGTACATCTTCGTCTTATACACAGAATCCTCAACTATTTTCTGTATTTCTGATTTCAGCGATCCACTCCCACTCGCTGCTACAATTTGATAATCCATCCTCCCTGTACGAATGGAAAAAGTTCTGCTGGGTGGAATTAAAGTCCTTGCTGACCTCTCAATCTGTCACATCCCTGATCTTCAGAAGTTCTCAAGTACAGATGACTGGTGACACGGGAAAAGCTCTAATATGTATAACAGATAAAGTAGTAGCGCCATATTAGATCAAGAGTTTCACCTTGATAACCTATGAAAACAATGTCACGTCAGATGAAAGGTAATCTTCGTTCAAGCATCTTGTAGCGGTCTTATGTCCCCAGGATAAAAGGGAGTCACTCATGAGATGATTGGGATAGATCGATGACTCTCTGTCTAAATTGGCATTTCTGTCGTCCGGATTCCTAGGAAATTGGGAACAAATTTGTAAATGGACAAGTCAATCACATTCAGATGCTCATCTAAATTTCTTTTCACATCCGAACCCTCACCATCCTCCTTATAAACAAAAGAAGGCCAAAAACATCAAAACAAGGTTCTCCGCGCTTAGCAATGTACATCCTTGGACTCATACTCAAAATTGTTCAATTTCAACAATAAAATCCAGTCTGGGGTACCACCCTCACGTTCGAGGGAGTTAACATAGAGAATCTAGATATATTTCATCTATGAATGAGCCATGAAGGCTGAGCCAAATTGAGTCATCAAAGCACCTGACGATTGTTATTATCCATGGACTAAAACCGCGTAGGTAAACCTTGAAAAACCATCAGTGAAACATTAGACGAACGCCATGAAGGGGCTCGTAAATTGAATGCAGGTATCGCCAGAGGTGTTATTCGAACCGAACTATCCCAACTACCACTATGGCGCTGTAGTAGTCAGTGGAAGTATGAGGTTATTGAAAATTATAAAGGAGATGGATATCTGCTGGAAATGGGAGGAGAGGGTGTTGAGAAAGGCAAGAGTGAGATGTGACGAGGCGAATCATTACGTTTGGTCACGCTTAGGTAACCCCGTCGAAAATAAATGTGAGCTCCGATCATAAGAAAGATAAAGATAAAAAGACACAAGATTCTCAACGGGACTAAATGAAATATGAAGCAAAGGAACTCTGCAGTCTATGTAGATCCTTTCATACGCCAAATTTCATAGCCTAAACATTATCAATGAAGTAGTGTCATTACCGCCGCATTGCCCCTCGCGCATTCCCATGTTTAATTTTGCGTATAAAAATTACATGGCAAAAGAACATTTGAGTAAACAATATGATTTTATTATAAGAGAAGCGGTCAAATGAGCTAGAAATATGAGAGTCGAAGAAGATGCTTCGTGGTATTTGAATGGAAATAGTGTTCCGCGCCTCTTTTGGCTGCAAATCTTTTGCACATGGAAGCAGAAACCGATATATGTATCCATGTAAAGTGAGTCGGATAATTAAGCTACATGGTGTTAAGAAGGGTATATTATATATTACTTTCATCTATAATGGCTCCAATGGCCTTTTCGTGCTTGAATTTGTACCAGCAACGTCATCCAGCACTTCTTGCGTCTGCATTGTAGGGCAGCTCCTTCTCATCTTGTGATGGTGGTATAGCTGCCATAGTGTGGTCTGGTATTTGTTCTACACTTGCTGTAAAAAACCGCCCTGGCGATAGTGGATTGCTAGCTTCCAAGCTCTCTAGTAGTGTTTGCGGTAGTGGTGTTGGGTTAATTTCAATATTTGCTCGGCCTCCCTGGCTCTCCGTGATCGGGTCTTCCTGCTCCTTCATAAAATTTTGGCTAGGCACAAGACCATGTGAATCTTGGCTGGGTATTGGAGGAATTGTTGTAGACGCTGAGGAGTTCCCTCCGGTCATTTCAGGTGACTTGTTTTTAATCTTCTCACGAGCTTTAGCGATCAATTCATTGAAGCTATTCTTGTGCTCCTCTCCCCAAGCCAACCCGTCAAAGTCTTTATCCTTGATATGGGTTGATAATGCGCTTGGTTGTGGGGCTCGTGAACCCAATGTCCTCTCCCAAGAGTCAAGGTCCCTCTTCAACTGCGCGGTGCCTCTGGGATGTTTTGCATCGCAATTGGCATTCCATATAGTCGTATACTCCGTTAATCTCTTCCTCATCATCTCCCTTCCGCCAGCAGCAGATATTCCTAGGTCTATAAGCTTTTTCTTCAAAGCCTGGTCTTTTATTAAACTAAAGTTCACGACAGGTAATCGGTCCGGCCGTTTGACTGGCCCAGGAGATGAAAATGAAGCTTTCGATAGTATACTTGTAGATTGAGCAGGAGCTTCAGATTCGGCAAGACATCTCCCAATATGGGCTTCAACACTTTTCGCTGTCATTCGTCGATTGCATACCGGACATGCTGTCAACCCATCATCTGTGTCAAGTAGTAAGTCTTTGCAAAAGTAGCATAATATGCTTTATCGCTACACACCAGGTATAAAATCGGCATCGTTCTCTCCATCGTCCATAACTATTACATCCTTTGATGCTTCTGCTGCCTCGGCGCTCTCGAGTCGCCTCGCGGCTTGCCGAGAAGAAGCTCGCGTCTTTTTATTCACCTGCTCATCCAGGCCACATAAATCTAGGATTTCACGCTTTCTTTTAGGAGATGTAACAGTAGATTCTACGGCAGGTCTCCTCGCAAGTTCCAATGCCGCCGGCCTGGCTCTTTTGAAAGCTTCCACCAAATCCTCAATAGCCGCATTGGGTTTCAACTTAATTTCTTGGTCGTTCGATCTACATGTCGGACATTTCGAGTCATTATTTAAGCATCTCCTTATGCAAAGTGAGCAGAATGTATGCGAGCAAGAAGTAATCATCGGTGTTGTAAAGAAGTCCTTGCAGACTTGACATCGTAATAAAGAATCGACATCTGCGAATTGAGAAAGTGGCGTTCCTAACCAATCCGTCGAGTCCGCTATATCAAAAGAATCATCCTTCGTTCCTCTCATATTCATAGCTTCTTCGATAAGAGTTTTTGTTGACTTTTTTGCGACAATTGTCTTGCCTGTCGCATTCTTTCTTCTGTATTGAGATGACATCCTAGAAATTTCGCGTAAAGTGGTTGTTAGACGCGTCGCGACTTTCGACCTGACCTCAACCTCGAAAATAAATCTAGATAGCAGCTCCAGCAGCTTTCGGGGGAAACAATAAAATTCAACAAAATGGCAGATTTTAAAAGTTATCTTGCAGCAAGTATATTGACAGAGGATAAATTAGTGAGTTAATTCTTTGTGAGTTTACTTCACTTTAACTAAAAGTTTCTTAGGTAACTTATCGACTGCTGAGTCGAGTGCTCAAGGTTCATGTAAATGCAGCAAAGGAGTATGTCATTTGAGAGCTTTATAGTGCCTTCCGTTAACAATCTGATAGAATGCTATATGAGTTTCATCGAATCCAAAACGCAAAGAAACCGGGAACAATCCATGCGATTTATCTGATTGCTGGCGCAAAGAAAAAGCAAGCTCCCGTAGCGATTGAAGTTGAGAAGGATGGCGAAGATTGTTACATGCAGAGCAGTCCATTTGTTGGTAGCTCAATGCCACAGTCTGATGGCAGTCCTAGTCAAGGCTCCATATTGAGTATAACACTGACACGGGAGGAGGATTTGGAAAGTTTGAACCCCGCCTTTGGAGGCCGTATCCAGTAGCTAACACATTGTAGCCATACGATCACAATTCGAACACATTTCTTCGATACATATTTACAGTTTAGGACCTCACCCATTAAAGGTACATGTACATTCTGCTTCTATACTTTTTCAAGGTACTAACATACCCTAGGAGCTCCAACTACTCTCAGACTCAACCCGGGAGATTCAAACCCTATTAAAATCCGAAGATCCCTTAGAATCCTACCATAAATACGGAATAATAACCAATCCCAATGCCAAACGCCGTTCGCGAAAAGCACCGCCAATTGCAGCTAATGTACCAATAGTTGTTCCAACCAGACCCGCGGCTACGAATTCTAAGCTCAATGAAGTTCAAGAACCTCCCAAATCCTCCTCATCATCCTCCAAAAAGCCGGAACCCAAATCACAACCTTCCAACGCCAAAGATTTCTTTGGCAACAAGGGAAAAGAAAAGACCAAGAGCAATACACAAGCAGAATCTTCAAAAAAGGAACCTACAACCGCTCCTCCAAGCAAAGAATCGACGCCAGCACCTCCCGTGAATCTGAAGCGAGAATCAAGTAGCATTTTCAAGGCATTTGCAAAAACTCAGCCGAAGAAGGCGAAAATTGAGGGGACAGATTCGAGTGCAAAAGAGGTGGATACTCCTATGAAAGATGCGTCGGATGACGATGATGAAGATACATGGATGCCAGCTCCAGTCAGGAAAGAAACCAAAGCGAACGACCGAAAGTCCAGGAAAGAAACACAGGAAAGATTAAGGAAAATGATGGAAGACGATGACGAAGAAGAGGAGGAAGAAGAGGAGGAAAAAGAAGCCGCACCGTCTCCGGCCCCTGAAACACCAATGGAGGAATCAGGAGAAGAGAAAGCACCAGAGGAAGCCAAGGAGGAAGAACCTGCCGCAACAACTAGTAATGGACGCAGGAGAGGCAGAAGAAGAGTTATGAAGAAGAAAACCGTAAAAGATGAAGATGGTTATTTAGGTACGCATATTATTCAACTCTTCCCATTATCCTATTTTATAATCTATCTAGCACAACAGCTACTAATCCCACTCTCAGTCACAAAACAAGAACAAGCCTGGGAGTCATTTTCCGAAGATGAGCCTCTTCCGGCATCCAAAGCAAAATCTTCGGTTCCAACTACTTCGAAAGCAAAGAAAGATGCATCCAAAAAAGGACAGGGAAATATTATGTCGTTTTTTGGGAAGAAATGAAGTCTCTTACGGAAGAGGTTGGAAGGAGAAATAGCATCGAGATATCTTGTTAGCGAGTTGAGTTACTTATCTTCAATCGAGATGTATTGGTAAAACACAACATATAATAAAATCAACGTTCACGTCTTCAAATACAAGATATGCAAAGATATTATATATTGCTTTTAGATGGCACTCATTACTATAATATCAAATACATATAATGATCCTTCGCTACAGTTCCAATCATCTTTAAAAGACAAAATCCGCTCAGGCCGATCGATTAATCACCCGACAATATACACCCATACATATAACTCCAATCATAAACATCATTTCCATATTTTTATATACATGCACGCTTCTTCCCGACTAAAAGTCTCAAGTCTCAGGTCTCAATCTCATAAGGATCAGCTCCCTCCCCAAACAAAAGATGTGGTTTCCGTTTCGCAAGATCGAGGATTGTTTGGGCGAAAACAGAATTTGCCCCTTTTTGTTAATTATTAGTATTCATACTGAAAGAGGGATCTATGCAATGAAAAGGTGAAAGGATAGGAAAGAGAGGAAGAGAAAAGGATGACATACAAGCAAACCAACTCCTCGTATATTCATGCAAACGATTTACATTAATACTCTCATGAATCAATCCCAGCTTGCTCGCTCTCAGGACAAAATTTAAACAATCCATGATCTCATCGTCGTCATCGGTCGTCATGGCTTGTAAGAGTAGGGACATAGGCCATGCATTTTCAGGGCCGATATGTGGACCTCCTATTCCTTTAAATGCTCTGCCTTCGAGGTAATATGGATTACCATCTTTGGATAAAAGCATCTTTCGAGTGTTTTTGTAGATTTCGTCGTCATGTTTCAGGAAACCAAGGATTGGGAGGGAGAGGAGACTAGGAACGTTGGCGTCATCCATGAGTATTTGGCCGCCATAACCATCTACTTCGTAGGCAAATACTTTGCCCCATTTTTTGTGTTGTACGACGGCGTGCTTCATAATGCCGTCTTTGATGCTTTGTGCGCGCTTCTCGAGGGTTTGAGCTAAATCGGAGCGTTTCGCTGCTTTGAGCACTTCGGCGGTACGCTTCAGTTCAACGGACATCATTGCATTCGCAGGGATGAAGAAACCTAGGATCGTAGTATCGTCTGAAGGGCGAAATGCGCTTCGTATCAAACCGGTTCCGTAGTTCAAAGGGTTGCCAACACCGGATAATGGCAAAGTTTCAGTTCCTTGCTCGGTGCGACGGCTAAAGGTGTAAGCATTACGTTGGAAATGGCTAGTTTTTGAATCAAAGGTAGATTCGGATTGTTGTTCGAGGACCATAAGAAGAGTCTCGAGTGCTGTTAACCACCGTGGGGTGATAAAGTCGATCGACCCTGTGTGGTTATAGAAGGAGTTTCCTATAGCCAGGAAATTTGCAAGGGAATCTAGTTCGTATTTGCATTCGAAGACAAAAGAAGGTTCATATGCGGGGTGAACAACATCATCTTGTCCATTTTCCGTTGCAGCAAGCTTCGAGGGCGGGGGAGGTTGAAATGCGTTACAGTATGGTGACTGAACAACATATTCTGCTTGTGTATTGATAGCTCCCAAGATTAAATTGAAGATAGCTGGATCCTTCTTCGACAAAGGCTGATATTGAAGCAATTGGTTTGTAGAATCTCTGAGCCATTCTGCATTGATATCTCCAGTAACCACAAACGACTGGGCTCCCTGCCACTTTTGACTGTCCCGCACATCCCTAGCTTTCAATTCCGTATGTTTTCCAGTTCCATCTACATGCCATCGCACAGTCGTGTCGAGAGTATTGGGAAAAGCGTTTTCGAATAGTCGCGCCAGATCCTTATCAATCATCTTAAGTGACATATCATCGATGACCTTCTCCACCAAAGGAGAGGAGAATGTTCGACATTGCTCGACAGGCCTCTGGAAAGGCAATTCCAAAGGACCAGTAGACACCGGGCCATGTCTGAAGGTAGAATATTTCTTATAATCCGGACATGCTTCTGCGTACTTATAATGATCGTTTATTGGTTCTTGTTGTCGATGGGGCGATTGAGCTGTTGCGCCTAAAGCTCCCAACCACAGGAGACATGTCTGAAAGGCTAGATTGCCCATTGTAGAAGTTTCAAAGATGTGCCAGAGCTACTGAAGCTCCGACAAGCGTTTTCGAGAGGATAAAACTATCTTGACATTAGAGTAAATTAAGTAGCTATTGCTTTCAACACGGAAGGTCGTTGGGATGAAATCCTGTGGATCCAAGCAATGATTAACTTTTCGTGATGGGAACAGGTCCTGGCTGTTTCGATTGAAAGAACTAGAAGTCGAAGAGCTACATTAATGAGGCCCACAAGTGATTGCAATGTTGGAGCAATAACCTGCCGAGTGAGGTTTGACTATGAAATCATATAGCTTTGTGCCTTGAGGTGTAAGGTGAACCATTAGATGCGAATGCATGGCTGAGGATATCCCATTACCTCGGAGGAAGATCAAGCCGATGTCTTGGCGGTGGGATGTTTCCTGCATAACGTTGGTCCCCGCGTTTGAGAACGGAACAAAATATTCAACAGCTACTGCTACAACCAAAATGTCTACCCATATATCTGGTTTGAATGGTACCTTGATATGTCGGTCGTTGCTTCTTGCGATTTTGATAATTTTCTGCGTCTTCGGTTCAGGTCCGTCCTGCCTCACCCAGCAAGTCTGTAGTATCCGCATACTGGGACTTATGATAAGCTTTAATTTGTCGCCTGGATTTAAAATGCATAGGAGAAACATGTCGCTGGCAAGTGGCACAGTGCTGTATCTATGATACTCGATGTCAAAACGAAGCCAGACAAAGCACCGAGATAAAGGTGGCTCCAATTCAGTATCAGACGACATAGTACCAATTTGATACTATTACTTACACGCTTTATGTATATATATGAAATTTCTTGGTCAGGTGAGAATAAACCATTTCATCGACCGGGAAGAGTACAAGTTGATTATCTCATTTTTGGCCGGTTCGTTGGAAAATTCCGACCAAACTTTGTGTTTCCCGTTTTGGTCATTTACAATTACTCATTCTAGAGTATGATAGTGTGATGGTTTGGTGTATTTGAATCCCACAGTGGTGGTTGATTATTCCAAAAAATCTAGAGCCTTAACTTCACACAATCCTTCTTTTTCGCTCACTCAAAAACGCCTCTGTTCAAACCACCTTGGATTGTGGCTACTGCACTGCCTTGGAGTCAAGGCCATGTCCTGTAGAATTCGGGCTTATGATTAGTCTGGATTCCAGTCATTGTGTTCGGTCACGAAACGCAGCCGTTACCCCTTGCCCTCGAATTTTCTAGTGACCATACAGCGAGCCGCTATGTAGGATGACTGCACCATTCACCGTAACGTGACGCGGAACCCATATGTAAAGGAAGCATTTCTCTTCCTAGATTGTATTATACGTCACCATTTTACCATAATTTTCCCTTCATTGTTTGGTAATTTTACAGGTCAAACTTTTTATTGTTAATATATTGCTTGATCTCGCGCGATCAAGCTTCCTTGAAAAGAACTCCCTGTGAAGCCCAATCATCGAGGGTTGGCATGACTGTTATACACCAGCAACTGGCCCAGTTACGTCAAAACGCATCCAGATCAACATCACCAGTCTCACCGTTCGACCGGCCCAAAATGTCATAAACGTGCAGAGAAGGGATTGTTGTGGCTCGGAAAAGAAGATAAGGACAGACAACATACCCTACTACTTGCGAATTATCTACATCACTCCCGTTACTCCGAGATAAACCTTGCCGAATTTGTTTTCAAAATCCACAAATGTCGGTGTATCTCAGAGCTTTTAAATTTGTGTTTTCTCGTCATTGCTGGAAACGCATACGGGTGCTGCAAGAACTTACCGTGGCGAAAGGTTGTCTAGTGCTTTGCAGTGACAAAACCATCCCTAAATATGTGTTAATCGAAGCTCAAGAGGTCATGAAGTTGGATCAAGGTCCAATTGTCTTAGCTTTGCAGCCACTTGAAGAGGATAGCTACTGGCAAATCAGATGGGAAGACCCATCCCTTATAGAAGCATCATCACAAGATTTTCTCTCTAAAGACCTCAGATTATACGGCGCAATCAATATCACTATCAAAAGCTGGCATCCAGTCCCCATGGTGAAATCTTTGCTTGGATGGGATTAGCCAACGATGCTGAGCTCCACACACTAAAAATTGATTATTCGAAATCCGTGGCAGAGGTTTACCATGAATTCGCCGTTTACAGGATTAAAATCTCCATTCGTGTCAACCTTATGACAAAAGTCCGACATGATAAGCTTGATCTATTCAACCTCACATCCTGGGTCCCTGATTGGACTTTCAACATAAGTTGTCATGTTCCTGCAGAATATTCGGCGCCCTAGAGCATCGGTATACCGCTTCCTTAAATAGTCAAGCATTCAAGTGATCGTGACCACACATCTCAGCATGCCGACAAGCATGCAATTCAACCAGTACCAGAATTACGGGGTTGTAGCTATAAGAGCATGGGGTGCATTGATTGGGACGTTGGCTCGAAAACTCGGGGAAGAACCTTGGACCCATCGATCATTAGATTAATTTGCAAGAACTCTGATGTATGGTCATATTATCACCAAAGCCTATCATTCAGGTTTCTTGTAACTTCTGACGTCCTCGAATTAGGGCAGTTTTTAAGTGAAGACGATATTAAAATGAGTTAAGTGGCATTTAAAAAATCTTCAACAAGTTCATCTCACGAAACCCGAAATTATGGAATTTCAAGCTCGTCTCTTCTCAAAGTATCCATCACCTCTTCATATATTATAATATCTACATGGCATCCCCGTAGCCCTGCAGCTATTCGCATCACTTTTCCTCAAAACAGTTGGACCAGAACATCCGAAGCGTATGAATATAATGTCTCCCTATATTGCTACTTGACGTGCCAGTCCACCTGATTACGATCGGTCAGAAAGAATCTCCGATCCAAAGTCTCTCTTACGCATATAAAGCCATCAACCTGGCATGCCTAAGTTGCATACCTTTCCACTTCGATAAAATTTCATCAAGACAGTGATCCTTGGGAACGTCTCAGACGTTCGAGTCAGGATGTTGTTCCAAATTGAGATTGGTGATTGCGCCGAGTAGTTGTTCATCGCGCCAGCCATGCATTCGCAATACTATCAAGGAAGTTCTCCTCCGCCGGTTTATTTCACTGGTATTCATCGAAATGTTGGATATAGCTATACCTATAGCTATGATCCAGACATTTCAAAAGAAGTATGAGGAGGAGGATATTAGGTTTTTTATTCTCCGACTTCTGTATCTAGTGATCAGCAAAGATAGAACTTCAAACTCGTAAATTTTAAAGCTAAAATAATATCCTCACTAGCTACCTATGCGGAAGGAATGCCAGGAATTAAAAGTGGTGGACCTCCTATGGAATCCGCGCATCAAAAACATAGAGAGGGTAAAGCGTATAAAAAGAGTGGGGTTGAATAGCTTATACCGGTTTCGATGTGAATGGAAATGTAAATATAGGTACAGTATACAGTATGCAGCATACTACACAATTTGAGAGCTGAAGATCATTATCTCGCCTCTACAATTATATTTATGTATGATCATTCGATTAAATCTATCTTGCATGTGTGACATGTAATTAGATAAATCTTTTGTCGTAAGATCTCACTAATGAGTATAGAATGTCCTGACGACTTATCCAAAAAGTGTTACAAATACATTTAGTATAATCCTAATATATATAGTAGGAACGTTTATTTCCCAATGCTGTAAGAAAGATTATCTTGTAATCTTATAGTAACTCACTCACAACTCGAGTACAGTTCTCTTAATCCCCCATAATCAAACCAGACTACCAAAACCATACGTGACAATAAGGTTAATATCTTACTATTGAAGACCTTCAAATCCCTTATACCCCCACTCCACTGCACTCAGACAGGAAATATACTAGCCAATCCTCCTTCAGTCTGAACAAGTGTATCCAATTCTAGCCCAAAAGCCTCTTTCGCCTCATCATCTCCCATCTGAACCGCTGCCACGAAAACTTTTCCCGTTTCCTGAAGTTCTTTCGTGATCTCTGTCTCTGCCTCTACATCTACTATTTTCCTATCCACGGATCTCCCTACTGAATTTGAACGCGTATTGCAGTAGAGGAGTCCCAAGGCCCGTAGAATAAGTAGTCGATGTTCTTTAACACTGATACGTGGCCAGAGTACGAGGATTACTTCTCTCAGTGTCCGTAGTGTTTTTATGATAAGCGATGGTGATGTGTCTGGGAAGAAGGGATTGATTAGGATGTTTGATATGATGGGTAGGATGTTTTTAAGATGTTTTACGCCTGAAATCTTCATCTTCGGGATAATGATACCGATTTGTGATATGAGTATTTCGACTACTGAAGGTATTTCTTGGCAGTGGGTATAAGCAGGGAGAATAGCATGGCGAATTATTTTATCAAGAAAGGCGAGACGAAGTCGAATTGTGGATTCTGCAGTGTTTGTTTTCTGGCTTAAAAGGCTGCTTGTAGGTGCGGTTATGGCACCGGTGCTAGTTTGTTCATCGTCTCTTTCAGGCCATTTCGCATCACATATTGCATACAGTGCTTCGTATCCCACTGGTAATAATTTGAGTGTGTCCTCAACAGGTGTTATGGAAGGTAGGAATAACAAAACTGGGTGAATGGCATCCTCGAAGACTTCACCTAGTCCTGTTTTTATAAGGAGTTTTTTGCCCATTTTCGAGAACAAACTGGGGAGGAGTCGGAGAGCATGGATTCGGATTGGGTTTGAGGGAGAATCCAAAAGAATGAGGAGGGCGGGCACCAATTGTGGAAATACCTCATCCGTGCGAAGGATTTCCGGCTAGTGGTATGTATTAGCATGAAGATGTGAGATAAGAGTATGAAGGCATACAGAGATAGATCCTATAATCCATTGCAGGACTGTTATAGTGTGTGGAATATTTGATCTCCACGGTTGTCTTGAAGGAGAAGATTCGCGGATATCTAGATGACGAGGGGGTGCAGATGATGGTGCTGCTTTTCGGGAAGATGCAGTGATGGATTTTGGAGCGGCAGCCTCGGAAAATATGGGGCGAATGAAAGAGATAAGAAGGTAAGTGACTAAAAATTTAGAAGATTGAACATAAAAACTGTGTTTTTCGAGTATTTTGGTTGCGATTTGTTGAGATTGTGGAGTCGTCCATGGATTCTCGGTGCTGGTAAATGGGATGAGGGAAAGGAGAGTGGAATTCTTCGGTTGTTGCAATGATTTTGAAGATATTTCGAGGAGGTATGATATTGAGAGAATACAAAGGCTGTATTTGTCTCTGCGTTGCTTAGCTTTGTGAACTTGGTCTGATTGTTCCTCTTCTTAAAAATGTGAGCTTATGCTCCAAATCTATAAACTGGAAAGAAAACGCTTGCCGTCATGTTTATCCAATGAGAATACTTTTCCATCTGGCAGTGTCGTGTTTGACAAGTAATCCTCAAACTTCTCGTACCATTTCTCATCATCAGGTCCTTCGACTATGTTCGATTTTTCTTTTAGGCAACTGGCGAGTATGAGAAGGCTTACTAGCTCTTCCTGATGTGCAGTAAGTAGCTAGTCGATGAAAATCCCCGAAAGATGTATACTTACATCTTTTCCTGCTTCATTTTTCTTCACCAGCTCTCGGTACAGATCTTCGAAAGTATAGGATTCTGGTAGAACTAGTCACGTGTTGGTAAATGCTTGGCAGGAAAGCCGGGGGGACTTACAATTAGATGGCAATAAGGGAATACCGTTTTTATGGGATGTCACATCGTAGATCCTGTCTATAGCAGAACTACGAGCAAGCGTGAACATGATTGCACGCTGTGGTACAAACTGTCGTTGTTGGAAAGAATTGATGGTCAGACCTGAAGGGATATCTGAGAAGAAGAAGATTAGGTAATCGAGCATTTTCCTTTCGCGAACTTCTAATACAATTACCGATGAACTTGTCTGCCTCCACGAACAACAAAATACCCATGATTGAGATGATTAATTTGGTATATTCGAATTCTTTAAACGTCCCAAAAATAAATATTTCAGGGAAGTCTCGACTTAGCATGATTGATAATTCTTATGTCTTTATTTCCTTTCTCCTTCTCATGATTTTCTAAGGCTAATTGGAACACTTACAAAACATTCCGATTGTAAACCAGCAAAGTGGCTAAATATTCTATTTTAACTCGCCGCAAAGAACTATCTTGAAGTCGGACGTAATGGCATTGTGCTACTAACAAGCTTCCTGTTCTGTCAGTCACAGAGCGATACTTGAATCACGTCAGTCAACTTGTAAGATTTTACATAAATTTCTACGTCTTACGTTCTGTTACACGTATCTCATGTGCGACATTTTAATTCATTCGGGAAAAAGCATACCTAGTCGTTGCTTTTCGGGTCTAACTCGCGGATTGAGGCAAACTCATAGATCCTGCATAACCGCGCGTTTGATTTGAGGATAGCTTCGACTTGCAAAGTAGTAATATCTTTAAAAAAGACTCAATCCCACATTCTATTGTTGCTTTCTAGGGTAATCCAGGGGAATTCAGCATGTTAGTCGCCTAGAATGACATCGTTTGCCTTGAACCTCTCTTGTGCACTTTTATAGGTTGAATTCTATCCAAGGTCTACTACCGCCGTTCAAATCTATGTATGGAACACCTCAGTCCGGTCGGTCACTGCAACCGCTTCTAACTTTCATGCTTAGCGCGCTACAATCCTTTCCAAACACTTTTCTTAGTATTGTTGGATTATGGTACCAATCACGGCCAACATTGAGATTGGAGATTCGGTAAGTACACTAATTGCTTGGTATCTTTTTCGAACTTGATACTCATACAGCAACGAAGAATCTCCAGTTTCTTACAAACACTTCAAAACTCAACAATTTCACATTTCCAGCATATCTTTAACTACCACCCAAGCCTTTCTCCTTATTTAACCATGCAGGTCGCACGAAAAGCCCCATACAGCCCTTACGAGAACGAGAGCGGAAGATTTTGGCTCAGAATCGGGGGACGCACGTTCAACTTCATCACGACAAACGAGAAGGAAAAGGAAGAAAATGGCGCTGATCCAAATGCAGAGCGACTCAAAGGTACACAGAAATAAGCTCTTTGAGATTACTGTCCACAAAGATTCTGACGATTATCAAGGGCCATTTCGAAGTTGTGTATGGCTTGGATTTGGCACGAAGAAGTTTAAGCAAGACAAAATGAATAGCGAGGAGGTCTTGAAGGAGAATATTCTGTTGGATGAGAAGGGGCTTGATATGAAGTGAAGAGGAGCAGATATCGCTTTGGGCCGAAGTTGGAAGACAAGTCATGGGAGATCCCCATGGTGTAGGCATTGATTCGGGTATGGAGTAGGGTACATGATTGTAAATTACAACTCGGAGCTTGGGACTTCAGTTAGTTGAAGGTGGTGGGATCGAAGGTCTCTTAAGATCGGTCTGTGGAAGTAGATGAAGTGGTATTACATTTGCATGTTTACTACTGACCTGGTATATCGGTTTTCTTCTGCTGCTGTGCTCGTATGACCCGCTCTCTGTCTTGCTATGCACGCAAATGTGCTATGGCTAATATGAAATCAATTCTACAAATAAATTTACCCCTACACCGACAAATCTGCTTGTTGATACTCGGCATCAATTGAGTCATGCCTATATACATTGTTACATTGCACAAATGTCCATACATAACTTTGCATAAATCATTAGTCATTCACCACCTGTCTCCACTTCCACCAACCGGATCCACCAATCTTCTCCCCCACCGTCACACCACGCAAAACCATAACTTCGCGCCTCATCTCTTTCCATGTGAAAGTCCAGCAAATTCTCCCGCCTTATGAAGCACTTACCATACTTTTTCCACATTCTTTTTCCATGTAACATTCATTTCCCAATCATTCTACATCTCACTCTCTTGTGTAAAAATGCTTCCTGTATCGACTCTTTAATACTCGGTTTATTTTATTTATATTTTGTTTCATGTTCCTTATATTGTATCAGTGGAAGAAAGTGTATTTATTAGAATGATTGAAAAGGATGATGTAATTCAATGTGAGTTTTTTGCCTGCGTTTTTGACATGTGATTTTTGTGTTTGGATGAGGAGGCTTTGGACTGATGATGTCGACATACATGGAAAATTGCTGACTTGGGGTTTGCGTTTTGTGATTGATAGGTATTCTTGCTGAAGAAGATGTATGTTTACTATATTTATTATCTTCATTCTATGCGATTGCTGTTGGGCTTTTCTGATGTGTTCTCGTTGCACTCCGCACGTTGGAATGCCGTGGGGCAAATGAGTACCACGCTGTGAGAGGGGTATAAGTACAAGAATCCAATGGTTGACGGCATAACTCATACAGTTATACAAAATACTTGGAGCACAAAGATCTGCTTCATATGCGGAATTGCGACGATGTTATTTAGAACGATCGAAAATATGTCATCCAGATAAAATCCCTTTTCATCCACTTTCTACTCGGTGATTTTTACCCCTCCTCCATAATCCATCTTTTCCTAATTACAACCTCCTATTGTTCCAACATTCACTAACTAACTACCGCCAGTGCATTTCAACGTCTAGCCTTCGCATTCGAAATCCTTAAATCTCCTTCCTCTCGTCAAGCTTACGATTCCACATCTCCTTTATCGTCTTCAACCACCGCCTCTTCGCTACCCACTAAATATCCTTCTCCATCGCTAGCCTCCGACAATCTATTCCGAACCACAGTCTCATCACTTATTCATGATTTTCTCACCGGTGATTTCATTACCATTCGCTCTCTCCTCTCTTCCCTCAATTCTCAATACCCCCACCTCATCAATACCGATGTAACTTCTTCTATTGAGCTGGCTTTTATAAAAGTAAGAAAATTGGTGATGAGAGGAAGGGTTTGGGCTTTATTGGTATATATCGAGATGGGAAGGATATGGAGGGTTCAGAAAAGACTAAGAAGTTTAGGAAGATGGGATTTAGTGGGGAAAGCTAGAATGATGGTTTTATTAGTAAGAGTTGTAGTGGCCGTACCGGTCAGAGTTGACAGAGCTCTGAAGGAACGAGTTGAAAAGGAAAGAAGGGAAAAAAAAGTAGAATTAGAGGCGAAGGGATTGAGCGATGAGCTAGACGAGGAAGAAGAGTGGGTAAAAGGTGGTATTTTAAATGAGAGGATTTGTAAAGTATTAGAGTTTATTGTCGGAGAGGCTGGTAAGGATGAAGAGGGAGAGAGGGACAGCGTTAGGATTTGATATTAAATCATTTGGGATCGGGATTCGGGTGGGATTGCTATGATATCTAGGTATGTATTGGATGATTGGGAAGCAGGAAAAAAGGGGCATCTCACCTTTAGCGACATATCATATCTTGTTTTATGAGGAAGGGAAAAGGCGTTTGTTTGGGTATACCAAAGATGAAAATGCTTTATAGATATCTTTCTAGATAGATATATGATATTTTCTAAAAGAATAGATTATCTAAATGTAAGAGGAGAAAAGGAGTTATGTTTTCTACCCTTAAATCCGACTAAATTTGCGATTGTTTCTTAGGTAATTAATAGAATTTGAAAAGAGCAGAACAAAAGAGCCAGAAAAAAATATTACCAATACCTAGGTAGGTACTCATTGTAAAGGTTTTGATATTATTTTATATTTTACATTTCAGTTATATATAATATAAATGACGGGTACTTGTAAGATCTCAAGTTGGATAAGTTTTGTAAGTTAAATAAGTAGAGCTTATATATATGATGGATAAATTTGTTTATTAAACATCTTTTGAAAATTCCAACAAAGCTCTTTCTTATCTTATAGATAGGCTTATAAATAAGTTCAAGAACCAGGAAAGGAGATAGATGATGATGATGATGATGATGATGATATTTTTATATTATAATTAGATATTGTATAATCTTTACTTTTCGAGGTAGCTATTTAGAGTGTATGAGCAGCAGGTGGAGTTTGATGATTTTGAAGGGCGTCACTTTAAACATCGAAGAATAAATATCTCCAAAATTTCTCAGAAAGAACCTTTTGACAAGGTCACATTCGTAGAAGAATTTTTTGAAGGTAAGATCCTATCTTTAGCATGCTTCACCAAAAAACACGTAAAAGTTGAATACTTCAATAATAATACTCGTAGATAAAATCATTCATTGAATTCATCTCATAGCATACCTAAGTACTCATACATAAAGATCCCAATGTCCATCCCCAGACTTATCTTCAGGCAAATCTATGGACTCCTCAGACTCCTATTTTCGCAATGCTTTCTTTTTTCCAGCACAATCAAAAAGAGAGCCTCTCAAAATAAAATGGTATATGCAGGAAGTGCGCTCGCTTTCATTGATAAGTAATTGTAACCTCACTCTTCCCTTATTCTTGTTCAAAATCGTTACTCGTAACAACCTGATCTCTTTCTTCCGCTTCTATCAAAGTCCCGTGCAAAGGAGCTGATTCGAGACTTGCAATAGGGGGAGGTGCTACTCCGCCCATTAGACTTCTCCGATGCGGGCGGGAATTAAAAGCTTCACTTTCTTCTCCCATCGTTGTTTCTATTCCATCATCGTCTGGCATGATTGTTGCCTGTGACTCGGTAATTGGGTATAAAGTGTTTTCGATCTCATTCTCAAGATTCTGAATGAATTCATTCGCTTCCGAGAAACAGAACAGGCCATCTTTATGCGTCAAAGTAGCATATTTCGCACGAGCATCATCCAGACTCTTTTTTGATTGATGGGGCTTGTCCAGGCTGAGCCAACCTTCAGCTGCCATGATACTCCACATCGCAGATTTCCTCGTTCTACTGCCCCAAAGACCAACTCCATGCCCCTTCTTCGAACCATAACACACCGCGACACGCTCCTTAAACAATGAATCCCCAATGGGACCCACAATTTTGTGTTCAAGAAGTCTGGCGCCCCATCTTGCTGCATCGCCTGTAGCTGAACCACCTCTCACTCTAAGAAGCTCCATTCCAAGAGTTAAGCAGCGTAAGGCTCCATATGGGGCACTGCATCGTGTCATATATGAATACGATGAGGTCTCGAGCATCAAATCGATCGTTTCCGTACGTGTTTTGGCGCTTATAGCGTGAGGCATCATGAGAGTACTAATAGCGGCCATTTCATTGGCTGCTGCATGATACTTCCATGCTTTATCATTAGTGAAATCTGACCGCAAAAAATCATAAATTTGCTGAGCCAATTTCCAATCTCGAAGCATGAACGAGTAGTCTGCCAGTTTTCGCATTAATGCTTCAGGCGAATCCGGTCGATAAAACCCTTGCAAGGCATCATAATTACTACCAGATCCTACCGCATTTGTGGAAGTATTTCGTGAGCTGGAACCAAATGCTCCCCACTTCAAAGTCTTCGATAGACTCATAAATTTTCCGCTTATACCCCTTCGCCGTGAAGCTACCTGGTCGTTCCAAGTTGCCACACATCTTTCCATCGATGGCACAACAGATTGAGTGACCATCTCTCGAATAAATGTTTTTATAGCCGTGGTATCAGATTCATATATACACGGAAATGAATCTTCGGGATCTTCTTGGGATTCTCGCGCCTGTATCTCGGCCATTTCCTCCGATGCAGCTACCCATTCGCACCGTGGAAGTTGTACACTATCATCATCTGTTGCCACACATTGGCTGCTTCGAAGCCTCAGAAGATGGCAATGAAGCCCAAAATGACGTTTCATTTGTTCAAATAATGTAATAGATTTGGTGATATCATCTCGTTCTTCATCGTGTACCAGAACATAATAACGGAGATAATCATCATTGACCCAAAGCGGCAACCGCTTTTCTCCACGACTTGATTCTTCATATAACCTCCTCAAAGCTTCAATCGGATTCTTATTCCGTGAACTTATGGCGATGATACATGCCACTGGATGAGAGAAAGTTTCGTGTGGGGCTAAGGGGATTCCTGAAAGCAATCTTCGTAAATAAAGTGTGTAAAATGGAGAAGGTACTCCGGAAGTTTTAGAGCTATCCTTAAAATTCAAAAAATCCTCTGCACTGACACCCGGGAATTCTTCCGCATTTGCTAAATGACGATCGACAAGTCGCTCAATTTGAGGAATATCGCCCCCCGTCCGCAGCCGCTGAGCTGCTATCGACTCCGGTATTGATTTGGTGCCATTCGGTGACAGAACTCTGCCCTCCCCACTCCTTTGCGACCCAGGTATTCCTTCCGGTATCTCGAGCCCATCACCCAATTGTACAAATCGCACCCCGAAATCGTCATACGTCCTACCAGCTCCTATACTATCTCGCACGTTCACCTTCCCTTGTATCTTCTCCCCGAATGGTCTAATAAGTTCCCAAAGTCCTCCCTTAAACCCTTTGTCTTGCACAAGCTCGTGTGTGTCGGCGGATGTATGTACTGCAATATGAGGAACGAATCCAGATAATATTAAATTTCGTGGGTCGTCTTTTCTATCTGATGGTAAAAGGTAAGCTTCGGAGACAATGCTTCCGCCAAACACGGATCCTGCGATTCGCGAAGGTGTTGATGTTCCTCCGGTCGGGGAGACTGGTCTTGAACTGGAAGGTGTTGTCGTTGATGCAAATAGTGACTGTACGGAAGCATTTGAGGCTCTGTACGGCAGTGAAGCTACAGACGAAGTCATTGATTGCGCATCCGCTGAAATTCTTGTCTTCGGCCTCCTCAGCGGAGTGGGACTGGTCACCGGCTCGGGGGGACTGAAGGGAGATGCATGATTGGAAGGTGTCATGAAGACCGAGGGGCCCGTAGCCAGGATAAAATAATATGCGCTCGTAACTCAACTACCCAAACAATCGCAGAACCATGCGCCTAATCACTCGGAAGCAGACTACTGCGAAAAGTAGGGCGACTGTTCATCCAGATATAGCCTTGTATAATACTCGAACGTCAATCCGTCTTAAATAGTCTATGCTGAAACTCCGGATAATCGACATGAGCATAGAATATACAAGGAGTTTCGAAGAGGTTCGCGATTTGCCTTTCAGGAATTTATTTTGTCTCTGTACTTCTGTGTTCTGTATACGTTGTACTCGATCGCGCAAACTACCACACTCCAACAATTGATAATGCCCTCGCGCTAAAAATAATCCGGCACCAAAAATCCGCACCAACACGTGACTTAAAGAGAATATATCGAAACTTCATGTTAATTCTTCCTACCTTTCTTTATTCGTCATTAATGGTTAGTGGAAATTCAACTTATTGGTTTACTAGAAGGGTTCCTAACTCATGTTATGATTCCAAATTTAACATCTTTGGTCCAGAGTTGTGGAGGCATAAGTATTAGGTCTATTCTAAGAGTCACTACCAGCAAACGACACACATTCCAATTCTCGTCCATGAAACGAAAATACGACGAAGAAGAAAAAATTTACTTCGCAAAAAGGTTGCGAGGAACGATCATGGCTAGTACTACTATTGCTTTGACTCCTCGAGAAAGTCAACTTCGAAATCTGTTGCTTGATGTTGCAAAGTACATCAATGAGTCCAAAGAAATTGAGAAGGAAGTTGAATTACGATGGGCTGGTGGATGGGTTCGGGACAAGCTGCTGGGAATCGAAAGTCATGATATTGACACAGCAATTAATGTTATGACTGGGTATAATTTCAGTTTGAAAATGAGGGAATACCTGGAAGATACGGAAAACCTCAAGAAGCATGCACTGGAGGCTAAAGATGTTAAAAAACTCTACAAAATTGCTGCGAATCCGGAGAAGTCTAAACATTTGGAAACTGCCACAACCAATATTTTTCAATTCGATGTAGACTTTGTGAATCTACGCAAGGAAACTTACACCGAAGATAGTCGCAACCCTCAAATGGAGCCCGGCACCGCGGAGGAAGATGCCTTGAGACGGGATGCTACAATTAATGCTTTATTCTATAATCTTCATACAGATATCGTTGAAGATTTCACTGGAGGACTTGCGGATATGAAAGCTAAACTCATCAAAACACCACTTGAGCCATATACTACTTTCAAGGATGACCCATTGCGAGTTTTGAGGTTAATTAGATTTGCTAGTCGACTGAATTTCAAAATTGATTCGGAATCGGAGAAGTGTATGGGTAATCCAACCATTATGGAAGCTCTAAAACTTAAGATAAGTCGAGAAAGAGTAGGTGTTGAGGTTGAAAAAATGTTAAAGGGTGAGATGTTGATCAATTGTGCTTCCAATAGTTTTAACGTTTTCTTACCATATTCAGGAAATAACCCATGGCAATCTTTACACCTCTTCGATCGACTTGGTCTTTACTCCACAATCTTCACAGATCCTACAGCAGACAATATCCCGGTACCAGATATATCTAACTGGAGGGTCGTTTACGATTGCTTGGAAGAAATGAAGTCAAATGAGACACCAGATTCCATTTACAAATCGCTAGTGCGATCAGACGATGCCAAGTATCTTGCCTGGATTCTTGCCGCATTGACGCCATGGACAGCTGTTCCACCAGCACAAGCGTCAAAACCTGGAGGCAAGGTCCCCCAACCGTATGGAGCTCTGGTTGCCCGGGAAGGACTAAAGGCAGAAAGCAAGTTATGCAGTATGGTTGCCGGTGCATTTAAACAATACGCCGAGATCACGGAGCTCAAGGATGCAATCTTGAGAAATGACTCATATATCCACAAACGAGATACAGTTGGGATGATGATCCGGAAATGGGAATCTCAAGGTGGACAGTGGAAACTACAAGTTCTGTTTGCATTACTTGTGGAGGCTCTAAAGCTAGGAAGTGCTGAAGGTAAGATTGATACTTACATTTCTCTCCGTGTAGTACTAAGTCTTCTAGGATACCAATCATTGTTCTCGGAATGGCAAAAATTCATAGATCATCTAAGGGATCTTGATGTAATGGAAGCTCCTGCAATCCGCGGAATTATAGATGGGAAGATCCTCTCAAAAGCACTAGGTGTGAGACCTGGCATGTGGATGGGACCAGCTTTGAATGTATGCATGGAGTGGCAGTTAAGGAACCCGAACTCGACAGATGCTGAAGCGGCGATTGAGGAAGTCAGGAAAAGGCGACAGGAGTTAAATATACCCCAGAAGTAGTTTGCGAAAGTTCTTGCGAAGTATCACATATTACTATAGGCGCAATGAAATAAGTGTTCGCAGCTGTTCCCCACTGTGTTATGCCATTGAAGGGGAATATTCCATACTGATGTACACTTTGTCTAGTTTCCACGACTGCAATTCAATTTTTTTACCTGTGCGATCAAGATACTGAGTTCGGATCGTTGTCATTGAGAGCTCAGATCTTCAATCCACTGCCCATAACTTCATCAATTGTAGGTTAGCAATTTCAAATTGGCGCCCATTCAAGTGATTGATTCAAGCGGGGAAGAGCGGCAAATAGTTGCTTTTCTCAGAAGATCCAAGTTGCAGCTTTTTCCTTCCCACTATAATAGTTTGAAACAGCCTTTACACCTCCCGCAAGTGTGGGCCTCCGAATTGTCCTTAATCATTTGAAAGACTAGATAAACTTCAGGTTTTCTTCGGGCTGTGCACATTTATGTGGTTCCCTTTCTTTATCCAGCAAATATGATTCAGACGAGTCTTGGGTCAGCCTTCCATACGATCCCATTCCTGCCCGCGTTCAATGTGGATATCTAGGACTGTTTCTCATCCAGGTCCACAATCCACCACGAGTTACCTATCTCGATGCAACCAGAACTATCATATAGTGCGTCCTATACAAGTATCCAGTCGTTTCGCTGGACATACACCAAAGATCCAAAAGTTATTGCGCATTGTTATGTTAAGATGACACTTACGAATAAATCTTCAATGAAATTGATTGGGATCGAAAGTTTGGCTTGAAAAGTCAAACTTCTCCAGAAGTGTCCGCTGATAAAATCTTCAAAGCAGTTAGATTGGGTGGAAAGTTGGGAATGTACACTTGATGAGGGAATTCACCGAGGCGATTTACCTTTTCAGGCTCCTGAAATTGATTAAGAATTTGCAGCCGATGCATTTCCAATAGATCATAATAACTCATATGTCTGGAACTACAGTAATCATGGCAGACTAGGTATAGTGGCAGCGGGTGCAGGAAGCCATAGAAATTGTACCAAGATTGTCTCCGCAATATATATGTAAGATTATAATGATTATAATAATTACATCTTCATATACTGTTTAAGCCCAACCTGTTATTATTCAAGACACTATGATCACGCATGAAATAGGGTTATTCAATTCATTCCTTGCTTTCTTACGAATCACGATGCTCCGTGCATCATTAAAGCTGCTGGGTTCTGCGAGAGTATCAGTTCCAAAACTTGGAGGCGCAATGGTGTTGAAGCCTGTGTACTGTATCAACCACCTTAGAACATAGAATATCACTTTGTTTCGGGGCAGTATCAAAAGTTTGATATAGATTCACAATGGAGATATTGTCACGGAGATAAGTCTTAATTTAGGTGAATGATTTTGCTTTTTATTTCCATTTACTACCTATCTAATGAGTACATAGTTTTCTTCTGATACCATGTATATCGAAAATCCACCCCCGAGATTTCCAACTTAGAAACGTGCACCAAGTCCTCCAAACATCAAGATTTGCTACCATGAAAAGAACAAGAAAACATGAAGAAAAGGAGAAGAAAACATCATATCCTCAAAATCTGCGAGAGGAAAAAGAACCGGGAAACAAAAGAACAAGAAAAAAGAGTATTGAAGTCAGAGCACATGGTCCAACTACAGTTATTTGCAAACAAAAAACTTTCAAGAAAGTGATCTCAGAGTATAGTTTATTTCGTCAAAGGCTCAAGGTCCAAATCGAAGATGACATGGAAAATGATCCTGCTTGACTTAAACCTTATCATCATAGATCAGAAAGTGATACCATAATAGCCCCCAAATGTCAACAGTGTGAACAATACCCCAGTCTTAAAAGCCCCAAAGCAACATGATCAAAGATCAAAAACCAGTAAATCGTGGGAAGTCATCACCTCTCCACAGACTCCCCACAAGTGCGACCTATCAAGTGAAGTTCTTTTCAGAACCCCCCATCAAGATCTGGATTCGCCCCTCATGAGAAGCGACGAATCGTAACCACCCGTCAGTAACTTAGATCTCGGTCTAGATGCACAAGAGATGTTAGAGGGAAGTTCAGAACCAACAGCGCGGAAACACTTTCTTTTATCAGGAAAGGAACCGTGGTGATCGCACAAATGCGACTACCAAGGTTAGCGCAAGATTCGGTATGGCAAAAGAACAGGTTTAAACCCAACCTCTCTCATACAAACACTCTAAATGCCACGATAAACTGACAATAGAAGTGAAAGTAGATATGAGTGGGCGTAGCGTTGGGCGCTCTCACTCTCCCCCTATGGTGTGGCAGTCATCTAAGTCCCAGTTAAGGGTATAGAATCCTGACCGTGGTGCACTACAGAGTTCGAGGATCGTGCAATGAGAGTACTTAAGTTATCCAACGATCGACCCCGTACCACTCGCAGCAAGAGCATAGATCTCTCACCCTAGATGCACTCGCAAGCAAGTACAAAGGTGTTGTAGAAAGATGTGTCTTTTTGTTCGTGGCAATAGATTGAAGAGGGAAGGAAAAAAATCGAAGGAAGATGGAGGGAACACTTCTTTTATAGACTTTGAATGCCGTAGCTTGATGGCAAAGCGAGTTCCGTTACTAGATTTAAGATTGCGAAATCAAGGCACAGTAAAGGCAAATTTTCTTTGATGGAAGGCGCAGTATATTGAGGTGAATATCATTATTTTATGGTTCTCGTGTTGTCGTCCCGTCTTTTGAAAGCAGTAATCCTAACCTGAAAAGTTGGTAGCTCATATTGTAACACCATTTTGTGCCCGCTAGTGAAGAATATGATTGATCCAATTCCAACTATGGGCTACTAATGCAGTGAAGCTCAGTAAATTCATTCACATTGAGCCACACACCTTCAAATCTTTCAAGGGTGAAGTTAAGGAAAGTTAATTGAGGCTCTAAAGTCGAAGTTCGATTTTGTGCCCAGGACAAGACCGCTAAAACCTGCACATATCAATATCATTCAATGGAGCTTATCGCCCTGCTTACTTTGGGATAGGATTCACTTTGAAGTTATTGGGGAAGCATTTGCTAGGCGAATGTATAACGACTTTGAAAGCACGGATGGCATCATCGAACAATTTCAATTTCCAAGTCATATTCACTTACTATGGAACTTTCTTCCCGGCCCCAGCAATTGCTTTCATTAAAATATTGCCTTAAATGTAGACAAATCATCCACTCGACCTTCATCACTGGTCACCATCCAAATCGGTCATATTGCTTTCCGCTGCCCCACTAACTAGATCAAAGAATGAGCAAACATAGATACTCCCTTTCCCCATGTATCATTACATCAGACTGTGAGAGAATCCTCAAAAGTAACAATCAAAACGCCAAAACCTTACGACGGTCGACGTATTCAATGAGGGACTCCCAGAGACGGCGGCGTTGGGGGATGGTTTTTCACAATCCTGTTCTAGCCAGTCCAGCTATTGCCAGATGGCAGTTGAACGAAACCAAAAACAGGCATGTTTAACAGCCGTACAATCTGGCGGGAGGACATGAGTTATTAGGGTATAAACTCATTTTGCTCTCCTTAATGCAATGTCCCTCTCGGCCTTTGGCATCCTTTTTTTTTGTCTGAAGACTAATACGAGGTGTTTAAAGACTTTTGACTTTTCTCCAAGCAACTTTTCAACCACCAACTAAAGTTTCTAGAACTCCATGAAGAAGTTCCACCAGGATTTCGGCTTCAAGCTCTTAGGGTGAATTAACTCAGAGGCAAAAGCGATGCTACGAGGATTGAGAGACTATCTCTTATGGTAAACAATCTTCTCTAATACACCGATGCCCAGTAGACCGTGAACTTTCGAGGGTGAACAGTCCCCACGAAGGGAAGTGGTTCTTTGTGCATTGTAGTTTGTGCATGGAGCAAATGTAGTACCGACGAAAGCTTTGCACTGTACTTGGTGTATCAAATCTGTCCAAAGGAGCTTCAACAGGCTTGGTATCTCCAGAGCAGAGTCAGCTCACTTAAACCATCGCGTGTGAGCCATGATCTCATATGTGTGCAGCATCTGACAAGCAATCAGCAATCACGAACACAACAACTGAAATATTCCACAACATCCAGAATGTCATGGAGACATAATCAGTACACGCGGCATACTTGCATAATGACAAGTTATACATATGTGAAAATAGCATCATTGTGGAGTACTCTACCTCGGCAACTGTGACAGACGTCCATTTAGAGTTGGAGCTTGATTTAGACCTACTCCACACTCCATAATTTTCCCATCTACGGGTATATTTTTCCGGCCCCTCACTTCTGATCTTTTTAAACGTTGAAGTGTCCAAAAATTCTACTTTCTGAAAAGTATCAAAAGATTTAAGGAAATCATCGCGACTTCTTGGAATTGACATCATCTTAGCAAAAGCTCATAACATCATACATTTACTGTATATACAAATCAAGATTTCCGGACAAAGGACCCAAATAGGAAGCTTACTCCTTCACATACCTAGTATCTTATCCGAGATGCCGCCTCTACGCCATTCCATATCTCAGCTATTTGCACCGCATCCAGCATTTGCACTTCGAGGCTCTCAAGTGCATGAAAAATCTCAATACACAGCTCCATCTACAACTCCAATTAACGACGAGATGATTTCTTGCTTACAACCAAAAAGGCCTACAGTACGTTGGAGAATCTTACCGAGCTTTGCTTAGCCGGTGCGGGGATCACCGAAGAATATGGCTAGCTAACTAGTACCGATCATTAGGTCCCAACACCATCCACATCCTCAGCTCCACCTTCCAATCCACATCCACCTATAAGCTCAATATCCCCACCAACACCCCTCTCTTTTTCATCCCCATCCGTATCTCCATCTCCGTCCTTCCCCGCCCTCACATTCTCCGCCTTAGCTCCTCCCCGAACCCAAATCGAAGCTCTTCCACCACACACAACGCCCACATCGACACCCATAACCACAACCACAACCACAACCTTTGCAGCATCATCTCCCTTCCTATACATAACCCATACAAACGGCAAATTCATCCTAGATTCTGCAAAACGCCATCCAGTTTTCTTTACAGATAAATTGAGGAGAGCACCTGCGGGCGTGGAGACGAATGGATACGGGTATGAGGATTGGAAGGCGGGGAGTCCGGTTGCGAGGGGTTATGTGTACGAAAGTGGTGCGGTTGAGGAGAGGGAGGCAAAGTTGTAATGAGGGGTTTTAAGGTGCGGGTTAAAGATGATTCTTGGGGGGTTTCATTAATTTACGGGTTCTGTATATTAGAGGTTGACTTTGAAAAGAAAGAGAGGCTTTATGGATTGTGTAATCCTGCCTTCTCTGCATTGTTACGAATACTTATCGGTTTGTTCAACGTCACTTTTGAGCCTTTAATGCATGCCTATTCATGAGTAGAATTTCAATTGAATGTCCTTGCAAGATTACAACCCGTCAACGTATGTATACTAGAATACCAAAAGCCGCATGCCAGAATTCCAATCCGTGGTATAAAGTCCCAATCCTAGTGATATCCTCCCCATTTGTCAATTTGAATTCAATTCATGGCTTTCTCCATCCACATTATGCCATCCTTCGCATAGTCCATTTATCCAACGCACTTCCGCCAGCCCGGCAATCCACAACCAAACCCAACAAACAAGTAGAGCAAGAATATAATGACGACTGTCAAAAGTACCATCAGCTTGACATTCTTCCACCACATTTGTCTGCGTAATCCTCTGCTCTTAATCCTGAATTCCGATGCACTTCCGCCTAGTCTATCTGTTTTGTCGACAAGGAGATCGATTCTCTCGCCTCTCTCGAGAAGGCTTTCGATATTCTGGCTCATGATTCCTCGTACATTATCGATTTCTCCTTGTACATTCTTGATCGCATCCTCCTTACCACCCTGGGTCGTTCCGTATTCAATCATCAGCTTCTTGAGCTCCGAGTTGAAAGATCCAGCACCATAACTTCCTAAATCGGAAAAGTCTGTGGTAGAAGGTGGAAAGGACTTGAAAAAGCGCTTTTTGATCTCAAAAAGAAATCCAAATGGGATGCGACGGCCAAGAGAAGCATCAGCGATTACGAGAAATGTGAGTCCGCCGGCAGAAGATTCGGAAGCGGGATATTCGGAAGGCGCAGATGCCATGTAGTGGATGAACGAGTTGTTGTGCGTATATGTTAGTTTTTGAGGTTCGTCATGTTTGATTTTGGGGAGGACAAGGGAGGCGAGAGACGAAGTTTGCGAGGCGGCGGATGCGGTATGCTCGGCGAGGATCGTGGTATTGTGAGAGATACATGAGCTGGATATGTTAGGAAATGATCAAAAGCCGAGAAAAATAAATATGCTTACTAGAGAAGAGGAGTTGGTGGTGTGGATGAGGATGAGGAGGCCATTATTGGGATTTTACTTGCGTACCTAGCTTTAGAATTCAAAAGCTCTTTCGCAAAATGTAACGGCGATCGATTTTCTTAGATATAAATCAAACAGAAGATGAATGTAACAATTAATGGAACTGATATCAAGAGTCGCATGCGATTGAGAACTGACGTTTTGAGAGAAGACAATTGCGAAAGTTTGGATTCGATTGAACATGGAAGTAAAAGGATTGGGGAGGTACAATGACGAGCGCGCGAGAGCTAATGCGAGCTGCGGCCGACGCTAGGCTTTTCATGCATCAATGCTTACCTAATCCCAAAAAAAATAAATCGCCATAGCCATTTGATATCAACATAATTCTGCCCATTTTCACATACAACCGCGCTGTCCGCTGCTGTGATGACATTGGTGAACCGAAGGTTTGAAAAATGTGCGTTTTGTACATTCCGCAGCTTGATATGGCTGAACTCTTCACTTCTCCGACCTAATGGTCGAAGTTTTCATCAGTCTAGCCCTGTGGCGAGGGGCGTTCGAAAGGGTCGCAAGAAGGTATATTACACAGGAGCTGCTACCTTTAGTATCTTCATTTGCTTACCGCTAAAATTTCCAGCGTCCAGAACATCCTCCAAGAAATTCGTACGGAGTAGGGTATGGACCGCCGAGAGACACTCAGGGACGGGCTAGGACGGAGTTTCGAAAATTTGAAGACAATATAGTAGCAGAAGCCCAGGGACTGAAAAAGAAATTCCTCCATGGAACAAAACTGCGAAATGCTATAAAAGACGAAGACTTGGCAGGGTTGGGGGTGTCAAGTAGGGAGGAATTTGTAGCCAAGCTTCAAGAGTTTGAGAAAGAGGCAGCAGCAGCAGGCAGAAGAGCAACTGAGCTGGGCGAGATCGATAGGTCATCCAACCCTCTTTTTTGCAAATTCAAGGATGCATACATTGCAAGGGGTGTGAAAGGGTTAGAAGATGAATTAAGACATTCATTCACGAACTTTACGCTTTCGGGCAAATTCTCAAAAGAGGAGCTTGCAAATCATCAGAGACTGGCAGACTTCCGTTATCCCATTGAATGGTTTCCAGCCACACGAGCGATGCAACGGACGTTTCATCTACACGTCGGACCAACGAATTCTGGAAAGACATATCATGCTTTGCAAAAGCTTGAGGCAGCCAACAGTGGTATATATGCCGGGCCCCTGCGATTATTAGCTCACGAGGTCTATACAAGGCTCAATGCGAATGGAAAGCCATGCTCTTTGATTACAGGGGAGGAGCGACGTATTCCGGACTGTGGAAAAGATCTCATGAAAAGTTGTACCGTAGAGATGGTACCTCTGAATACTAAAGTCGATATAGCAGTTATAGACGAAATCCAGATGATCGGAGATGAGGATCGTGGCTGGGCGTGGACTCAAGCAGTACTTGGAGTGCAGGCCGAAGAAGTCCATCTCTGTGGCGAACTCCGAACGACTGAATTGATCAAAAAGTTATGTGCAATGATGGGAGACAAGTTGGTTATACATAATTACGAGAGACTTGGGAAGTTACAAGTAATGAGCAAGAGTCTTTCGACAAGGGCCCATGAAAGAGACGGCCCGTCTGAGAAAAGTGGGGGACCTGTCAGCAAGTTGGAGAAAGGTGATGCTATCATCTTATTCTCGAGGATGAAAATTCATGCCATGAAAAACCAAATCGAGGCACAGCACAAAGGCAAACGATGCGCTATTGTTTATGGATCATTGCCCCCCGAGACTCGTGCTCTACAGGCCGCTCTTTTCAATGATCCCGATAATGATTACGATTTTTTGGTTGCCAGCAATGCCATTGGCATGGGTTTGAACCTGAGTGTCAAACGTGTCATTTTAGAATCTGTCAGTAGGTTTGATGGCACAGACCTTATAACTCTCCCTCTTTCAGAAATTAAACAAATCGCTGGTCGAGCTGGAAGATATAAGACGGCAAGAGATGCCATCAAAGCAGGGCCTATTGATTTAACTGATGGCATCCCAGCGAAACCCACTGAGCCTCCAGTTGGCCTTGTGACAACATTCTACAAGGAGGATCACAAGATATTGTCGAACGCTATGTCAAAAGACGCCGCGCAAATGTCATCAGCTGGAATATTTCCTCCAGCAGATGTTATAGAACGCTTTGCTGAGCGTTTCCCCAAAAGTACGCCATTTAGTTATATTATACTGCGATTACACGAAATTGGTTCTATAAGTAGCCAGTTTCATCTTTGCAAACTTAAGGATCATGTCGACATTGCAGACATCATTCAAGAATTCAATCTTTCCACTCGAAACCGTCTTGTCTTCATTGCTGCTCCAGTGCCTATTCGCGATTCTGGGGTTGTTGAAGTATTGAGAACGTTTGCTCGTTGTGTAGCTGACAATACTGGTGGCCACGTACTTGATATATCAGAACTTGATATCGGAATTCTAGACGAGGATCCCGATACCTTTACTAGCCAACAACAAAGGGAGATTTACGTGCGCAAAGTTGAAGGACTTCATAAAAACATAACGCTGTATCTCTGGCTGAGTTACAGATTCACAGGTGTATTCCACAGCCAGGCCTTAGCATTCCATATTAAGAGGTTGGTGGAGGAGAAGATTGACCTATGTTTGGCTAAAGCAGAGTGGCAAGAGAAAGCTAGAGTGAGCGCAATGAGACGAAATATAAAGCTTTTGAAGGCCTTGGATCCCACTATGGTTTCCGAGGATAAAAGTTTAAGGGATGCTGTCTCAAATGATACTCCTTTACAGGAGGATGTCTCAGAAGATGTTGAAATTTCTTCGAAATCAGAAACACTACTAGAAGGTGCTTTGGACGATGTTGAGTCATCTTCAGGTGCCAAGGAGGATAGAGGTTTGATCTAAAATGACAGTTTATTGTGGGAAATGTGGCACTCTTCGTAAACTAGTACACCGAGAACGTCGGGAATGAAATGCCAATTTAAGAACGACTGGCTTGTATAACATTTATAACGGAAGTGTTTCTTGCCTCAAAGTAAAAGTTCTGGAAACTTCTAATCGCACATTTTACCGAGAAATAATCGTAACCTTATTTTCAATTCTCAATTATAAATAATTCATCAAAATTCAAATTTTCAATATTTTCTATTCAAATTCAAAATGGTTATCAAAATTCAAGATAGGAATGATAATTATGAATTTCATCAAAATTGGAGTACCCTTTGTAGAGCTAAAATCTTTCAAGTTAAAAAGGATGGAAAATCGTAATCTTGGATTGAATAAAATTTAAATGTATTTCGAAATATTATAAAAAGTATTATTAAATCGAATTCATTTAGAATTATTTATAAAAAGAAAGTATATTGATTCTTTATAATGATAATTAAAAAGATTTAACGAATTATAAAGAAATTAACAAAAGATTAAAAGGGAAAAAGGATAATTTTTGAATAAATAAAATATATATTTGTTACGATTCACGGTTTTCTTTATAGTAGTATTATTTACGTCGGTGATTTGTAGGCTAACTACAAAAGGGATATGATTTAACCATTGCTTTCGGGGGTCCTGATTACCTAAGCTTAGAACCCTAGGATTTCTAGGATAAGTATCCTAAACAATTATAGTAGAATAGGACAAGTATTTTATTTAATTGATTGTAATAGGATTATTATTTTAAAGGATATCGTATCTTAAAATTATAGTTTCTAAAGGGAAAGCTTTTGAGATAAATGTTTCAGGAAAGGAAAGGTTTTGGGATATGAAAGGTTTCAGGATTAGTTATATGATATATTAATTCTATTAGCCCAATTAGCAAAACTAGTATTATAGGAATACTAATTGTACTAGCCCAATTAGTATAACTAGTATAGAAAAAAAGATTAGTATATAATCAAAATAGTTTTATAATTTAAGAATTTCGTATTCAACTTAATTATCAATTAGTTTATTTATATTTCAATTGATCTAATAATATATTCATCTTCGAATAAATAATTAATAATTATTAGTTTTAATTTATAACTATCAATCAGACGAAACCCTAAAATAATCGTTGCTCCAATTAGATTGTTACACTTTGAGTATCGTTATAATTAAAGTTATATACAATACAATAACTTCTAATTAATAATTTATCGAATTATCTTTATTCAATTTAATCGGGATCTTTGTTTAGATTATTATTATTATAGAATATAAATAAACAATTCAAATATCCATTTTTGATTTATTTTATAAAGATTGTAACAAGTATCGAACTTTTGTTATATAAACTGATCTTTATTATATCTTTAATAGATAACTTTTCTTGATTTCTATATAAAGGATTTTATGGTTGATCTTCTTTTTCTATAGAATTATATTCAATTAGATTGAATTATTTTTCAATAATCTAATGATCAAGATTATTGATGATCAGTTGAATGAGAGTATGAAATCTGAGATTCATTATCTCTTTTTCAATTATAAATCGTTTAAATAGGGATTTGATAAAATATTTAAAGAAATAGATTTTGATTATATAATTGAAAGAGTATTACAACAATTTAGATAGATTGGATCAATCATAATCTATATTGTCAAATTTCAATAATATATCAGATATATTATATAGAATGATGATTATCTAAAATTATAATTCTATAAAGGATTGAAGGATATTATTAAGAATAAGTTAACAAGAATTCCGAAATTATTTAACTTTTCCGAATTAATCGAAACCTTTATTCTCATTAATAATTGATTCTATAAATAACGAATAAAGAAAAAAGGAATTATTCAAGAAAATAGGAAGTTTCAAAAACCTTATCGTTAGAATAGGTATCATAATATCAACGATCCAATGGAATTGAATAGTATCGAATGATATTATATAAAGCCAAGTAATCTAAGTGTTGATAAAAAGAAGAAATATAAAAAGAATAATTTATATTATATTTATAAGAAAAACAAATATATATTTCGAGATTGTTTTCAAAAGAAGAAATCATTTATTATAAAAAACAGGAAATAGATAAGATTTGGGAATAAAAGATAAGGTTTTCGAAAAGTAAAGATTTTAAAAGAAAACTTGAAGGAAATGGGATTATTGAAAAGAGATCTATTTCAATCTAATTTCGAATAATTAAAAAAATTGAATATCAATAATCAAAATCTTAGAATTAATATCGAAAACAATATCAATTATAAAAAAGAACTTTTAAAAAATCTTGAATTAGAAAACAAAGAATTCAAAAAGAATCAATAACTAATTGAATTCTATTATCTATTATAGAAAAATGAATTATAATATCTAATTAATTATCTAAATAAGAAACGGATATAATATTATTATAAAGAGAAAAAATCTGATTTCATTAAAAAATATAGAATTTATAATCATTCTATTTTGTTAATACTTTATATAATAATATACGATAATATTTATTGTATAATATTTAAGGAAAATATTAAAATAAACAAGATCAGAAGATATATTATGAATATAGATTCTTTATTCTTTAATAAAATATAAGAATATAACGAATATAATCTGGAAGTTGAAAAGATATAAGAAATCCTATTACAAATCGAGATTCGTTATATCTAACGAAAAATCGATAAAAATAATAAAAAAGCATCAAATCGAGATTATTATCAAAACTTCCAAATAGAATTAATAAAATTATTATTCATTATATTTTATTGATTATTAAGTATAAACAAATATTAATAAAAATAACTGAATCTTTTTATCGAAAAACAAATCATCGAATTATTATTGTTAGAACTCAATAATATTATAAAAATCGAACAATTGATTATAAAAGTCAAACTAGAAAATCAATAGATCAATATTTTAATTGATTTTAGAGTTATAAATATATTTATAAATTTCAATTTTGTAAAAAAAAATAAAATTCCTATAAAATTAAAATAGAATCTTTATTAATTGATATTACTAAAAGAAAAGAAAGCTGGAATTGATAATTGAATATACAAAGAAACCAATGTTATCAAAATAATTATATTAGATAAGTATACTGAACAAATCAAAATGGATTTAGTATTATTGAGTAGATATACAATTGTCCTCGATACTTTATAAATTAAGAAACACAATCCAAATATCGATTGAGTAAAAGATACCTTAATATTTGATTATTATAGTTATAATAACGAATAATTATATAGTCCGAAGAAACAGACTTTCAAAAAGATCAGATATTATATTATAATAATAACAGATCTTTTATTGATCAATAGAATTAATAAAAAAGAAATTCCAGTATAATACAAAAGATTTATCAAACTCTTCGAAGATCTATAAAATTTAAGGGCTTTATTAGAATATAAGTTTTAGAATTATAAAATCAATTTCAAAAAGGGATTCATACTTTTTATTAAGAAGTTGAGATTATACAATCCTAATATTATATAGATATAGAAAAAATATAGAATTAAAACTAAAAAGAAAAGATAGATTAGGAAATCCAAATCCCTTTGTATATCTAATATATTATTGATATTCAAAAAAGACGATCCAGATGATCGATTTTATAAAAACTATTGTCGAATTAATAATAGAATAATCAGAGATATATATTCAATATCGAAAACCCAAGAATTCAGAGATAAATTGAATAAAGTAATGATCTATATAAAATTAGATCAAAGAAACGTTTTCAATTTGATATAAATAAAAGAGAATTATAAATAAAAGATAGCCTTCATTTTATTATTGGGTTTATAAGAATATATAATTATATTATTTAAGTTAACCAATATATCAGTTATATATCAATAATAGAATAATAAGATACTTAAGGAATTCAATTCATTCATAATTTATTATTTAAATGATATTCTAATCTTCTTTCAGAAAGAGAAAGAATACAAAGAATATATATTGAAAGTATTCAAAGCATTTAGAAAAATGGATTCGAGATTCAAATTATCGAAATATGAGTTTAAAGTACAAAAGGTAACATTTCTAAGATATATTATTCAATTAAAACAAATAAATATAAATCCTGAGAAAACAAAGAAAGTAAGGAATTAGAAAAGATTTAGGAATATCAAAGATATACAATTCATATTAGGATTTGTCAATTTCTATCGAATATTTATAAAAGACTTTTCGAAAATGATAGAATCTTTTATCGAAATGATCAAAAAAGGAATAACTTTTATATAGAATAAAGAGACGAAACGAGTTTTCTAGGAAATCAAGAATAGATTTATAAAGGAATTTATCCTTTATAATTATTATAACGATTGAAAAAGTATTATCGAAATAGATATTTTTGATATTTATATAATAGAAGTTCATTTGTAAAGAGATAATAACAGAAAACTATATTTTATTGTTTATTATTTGAATAAGATGAACAAAACAAAGCAAAATTATAATATTTATGAAAAGGAATTTATAGTTATTATAAAAACATTAAAACATTAAAGGATCTATCTTCAAGGAATTAAATTCCTAATAATTATTTATATTGATTATATAAATCTTCGAATCTTTATTATTATTAAGGTTTTGAATAATCGTAGATTGGCTAGATAAGTTGAGGAATTAATAAGGTTTGATTTGATAATCAAATACATTAAGGAAAAGGATAATATAAAAACAGATATTTTAAATAGATTATTAGATTATGAAAACGATAAAACCTATCAAAAAATAGTAATCTTGAAATTCTTATCAAATGGAGATCTTATCCTTAATCTAATGAAAATCGTTATTATAGAAAATAAACCAATAAAGGTCTGAAAAGATAAATTTATAAAAATATAATAGAATAAGAAAGGTATCAAATAGTCAGAATTATTAATAATTGCTAATAGATTGTTTCGAATAGGGAATAAAATTTGATTATCAAATAATATTGTTTTTGAATATATTATAGAACAATATATATTATTAGTTTATAGATATCAAGGAGTACAAAGAATGTATTTAAGAATCAAAAGGCAATATTGGAGTCCGGGATTCTGTAATATAATCAATAAAGTGATTATCGAATATAATATTTGTATTAGAAATAAGGCTTTCTATTATACTTTTTATAGATAGATGAATATCATCGAAATACTATCTATATTATAGAAATCAATATTATAGGATTTTATAGATCTATTATCAAAATCCAAAGATCTAATAATAGAGGTAATATATGATTACCTTTTTGTTATAATGAATAAATTAACGAAATACCTGATATTTGTATTATATCAAATAATATTAATTGTGGAAATATTAGTCTTTATATTCTTGAAAGAGATCGTTGCAATATATGGATTACCAAAGGAAATACTTTTTGATAAGGATAAACTTTTTACTTCGAAATTTTGGATTGCTTTAATAATATTATTAAAAGTAAAAAGAAAAATGTTTATTGTATTCTATTTACAAATCAATAAAAAAAATAAAAGAATGAACCAGATTATCGAAGTTTATCTTTGATATTATATAAATTACTAATAGAATAATTAAATAGAACTTTTATTTTTAATATAATTCATATACAATAGTTCAGTATCGGAAGTAATACAAATCATTTCGAATTATATCAATTATAAATACAAATTGATTGTATATTATAAACTAGGAATTATAAAAATAGAAAACCAGTCTGTAATAATATAAACAGAAAGATTTAAAAAAGTCTATAAAGAAATGATAGCAGAATTGAAATTCGTTATCGAAAGAAATATATATTATTATAACCGGAAATATAATCAAAAGTTAATATTAAAAGAAAGAGATAAAATCTATTTATTTCGAAAAAACATCGAAACAAAAAGATTTAATACAAAATTGGATTATAAGAAACTTGGATTATTCAAAATCAAGAAAGTTAAAGGATTTTTGAATTATAAATTAATATTATCAAAAAGTATAAATATATATTCAATATTCTATATATCCTTATTCGAATTAGTACCCCTAAAAGCATCTAAAACTTTTGAAACAGAAATCATATTTATAGATTAAAATGCCGAATACAAAGTGAAGAAAATATTAGATTATAAATATATTAAAAGCAAGATTAAGTATTTGGTAAAATGAGAAGATTACCTTAATTCCGAAAATATATAGGAATTCGAGAAAGAGATTAAATATTTGAAGCGGTTCTAAGAGTTTTGTTGATAGAATCCGGATTTATTCAAAAGGAAGGAGAATTCATTGTTTTTTGTAAAGAAGAATTGAAAAAGTCGAAATCGTTTATAGGATTTTTATTAAAATTGATAAAGTCAATTGGTAATTGATTAAATCGATCAAATAGATTAGGGCTTAATTGATTAAATTGATTAAATTGATCAAATTGATTAAAGAGATCGAAAGAAGTAATAAATATAAAAAATATAACAATTTCCTGTTCCTTTTCTTTTCTTTCTTTTTCTTCTAAAATATCGAATTTATTTATAGAATTCAATTCAGCTATAATTATCTTTTATTTTTGTTTATAAAGAAATTTCTGTTATTTGCTAAGATGAAGAATTTTGAATATCGTTTCAAATTGATACTAATAAAGAAGATCCTTTTTAGCATTTATATATTTGATTTAAATATCAATAGTTTTTTAATTAGAAACAATAAGTATTTTGTTCAATTCATAAACATCATAGGATTTATTAAAAATAATATAACGATCACAACAACAATACTTAATATCACAAAGAAAAATACATTCAATATTAACATTTTTATATCGAATACAAAAAACCATCTTCTTTTCAATTAAATTAATTTCTTGTTCAAGAACTTTATAATCAATACAGAATTGAGAACGAATAGATAATATAATGAAAAAAAGTATTCAAGATAAATTATACAAAGAATAATATTTCTTTTCAAACCTTATAAGTGATTGAAGATAATATTTAACCAAAACAAAGATAATATCATGATTCATAGTTTTCTTTATAATAGTATTATTTATATCGATGATTTGTAAACCGATTATAAAAGGAATGTGATTTAATTGTTGCTTTCGAGGGTCCTGATTATCTAAGCTTAGGACCTCAGGATTTTTAAGATAAATATCCTAAACAACTATAGTAGAATAGGATAAGTGTTCTATCTAATTGATTATAATGGGATTATCATTCTAAAGGATATCATATCCTAGGATTATAATTCCTAAAAGGAAAGCTTTTGGGATAAGTATTCTAGGAAAGGAAAGGCTTTGGAATATGAGAGGCTTTAGGATTAGTTATGTGATATGCTAGCTTTGCTAATCTAATTAGCAAAGCTAGTATTACAGGAATATTAACTATGCTAATCCAGCTAGCATAGTTAGTATAGGAAAAGAGATTAGTATATAATCAGAATAGTTTTATAATTTAGGAGCTTCATATTCAACTTAATTATCAATTAGTTTATCTACATTCCAATTGATCTAATAATGTATTTATCTTCGAATAGATAACCAGTGATTATTAGCCTTAACCCACAACTACCAATCAGACGAAACCCTGAGGCAGCCGCTGCCCCAACCAGATCGTTACAATATTAAAGGTTAAGATTTCAATATATATTATTCGATATAAATTATATCGATATAATTATAAATATTTTATAATTTACTTTAAATTATTTATCTTTAGAAAATAAATAAAAAAAAGATTGGATTTTGTATATATATTATTAATAAAAGATAATTGATATAATCTTTGAAAAGCTTAAAGAAAATAATTGAAAGAAAATTATATAATCAAATAAAAATATTTTTGAAATTGAAAAATATAATAGAATATAAATGATTTATAAAATTAAAAAAAATAAATGTAAGAATTATATCAAATTAATATATAAATTAGAAAAGATCTTTATAATAATATAAAAAGCTTTTGATTAAAATTATAAATCTTTATTAATTTTTTTGAAAAAAAATCTTAATAATAAAAAAGTAAATTCAATAATATATCAAAATCAGATTTTTATTTTTATTATATTTTTTTTATTTGATGAATTAAAATTTGAATATATACTTATAAAGAATAATATAAAAATTCATTTGAAATATATTAAATTAATTTGATTAAAATATAATATTAAAGATTTTCAATAACTTTTTTTTTCTTTAGATTTCAATTTAATTAAGAAAGTATAATATTAAATGAAAAAGGAACTAAAAAAACTATCATTTGTATTTACTTCTATTAAGGAATTGAAAAGAAGATTCAAAAGATTATAAAAGATATTTGATCTTTTAAATTTCAGATTATATATTAAAAAATTAATCTGTAAATTAAAAAATATAATTGAAATAAAAGAATTAATTATTATTCATTAATATATTATCAAATTTTCAATAAAAAATATTGTAGTATTGATTTAATATTAAATTTTCAAAAGTGTAGATGAAATTTAAAGGGGGGGCGGTGAGTAATGACCAGAACTCTTACAAGTATGCGCTGCACATTCTTCGACGAGAAGTAAGCAAAATTATTATTACTATATACGTCGCATTACTTCTCTTATAGTGCCACTAATCTTTTGCCCAATCTATCTCATATCCTACTATCTGGAACTCTCGCAGCAAGATCTTAGTTTGCAAATTGAAAGCCAACAATAAATACATTTATTACTTCTTACACATTCAATCCACAGCTTTCTCGTCATTTCAGAAAATTAGATGTTCGAGAATATCTAAGGCCTTTTTCATGATATACCCATCCAAGTCATGATAATAATATATCAAAGATTAGCACGCCACTTGCTGTTCAAATACGCGAGCGAAACACGTTCCCTTCCGGCCGATCTGTGTTTAAGCGAAATGTTAAGAATCTTCTCTATGCTATCTGGTTCGATTACGGGTATGATTAAGGAGTGTATAATAGTTGATCTGTGTATATACAATGATATACAATACTGACACAGCTCTAGATCTAGAAAAGTCCTAGCGCGAACTAGTGGGATGTCAGTCATGCCCCGAAAAACGGCAATGGCTAGAGGAGGGGAGACTTACAGGAAGCAAAATATGACAAGCGACTTGATTAGATAGCGGTACTATAGCTGTAAAATCCGTAACCTCGTATCCACGAGGTGCGAAAGCACCCAAATATACCATGCCCGCTAAGATTGGAACAATAGCCAAATACATCCACTTAAAATCTCTAAATATTTTATCTAAACCGATTCTAAACCCACCTGCCTCGACTTCTTTAGCCGTGGCCGTCCATTCCATTTTGATGCTGAAAAAGTGGCATAATATAGCAGTTAAGAGGTGGAAAGAGATTCCGCCGAAGAAAAGGATGAACATTGGTGTCCATTTTGCCGTTTCGACGATGGAGGAGACGAAGACTTTTTCACCGAGTCGGTGACGGAGCATGGCGAACGCGAGGGGTGAGAGCACGTTGAAAATTACAGCCATGCCGACGAAGATTTTCCATGAGGTAAGATAGAATTGGTCGAGGGAGTCGTTGAACCAGCCGACCATTATATAGTTTGCGAGGGTGAGGGGAATGGCGCAGGCAATTGCGTAGTCTGATGTGGGGTTAGCGTCTGAATGTGAGGTCGTATTGTAATAAATACTCACAGGTTCCAATGTAGGCTAGAATTGTGATTTTGGAGGTGAGCTTGATATCACTCCAAAGGAATCTCATAAAGAGCTTGGTAAAGGGACCTCGCCACCACTTGTAAATGGGGTTGAAGACTAATTCATTGCATCCGTAGGCATACTTTTCCCATCGAGCGAGTTCGTCATAGACGGTGAGGGATACACCTTCTTTAAAACCACCTTCGTGGTAAGTTGCCAATCTGACGATGAATTTCGCCATTTGAAGTCGTAGGCTCATGTCAAAATCTTCGGACACATGATCTGGCATGGCATCAGTCTCATGTTGCAAAAAAAAAATGAGCATGGGGCTGACGTACCATCGGACCAAAACTTCAATTGTCCATCTTCTTTGTAAGCTACGCTCTGTACCGCCTTCCAGCGCAAAAAAGCATTATGCCCAACAAATGGAGCACAATCCCCATTTCCTACTGCGAAGGTGATGGACATGTAGATGAGATTCGTGAAGTAGGTAACTATGGGTTATTAGTGATATATCTCAAATCACTTCCGATATAAATACATACTTCCGTTCTCGAAAGGGTTGTGGGCGACCTGCATGACACCAGAAGCATGTTGCAGGATAGCCACTTCAGGACTCTCATGCATTTCCAATGCGCCAAGAAGAAGACAGTCCTCAGGCTAAGCCCATTAGCAATTGATCTACTCTATGATAGAGGATACTCACAACTCGGGTGTCACTATCGATGATCAAAATTATATCACCTATACGAACATTGCCTCCAGCCATAGTCCTTCCTTCGTCTTGCTCAAGACATGTCGCTAAAGCTTGTTTATAAAGTAAATCCTCCTCATCTAAAGTGATATCACCTTCTGGCCGGTTCTCAGCTACAGATTTTGCGGCAATGAGTCTTAGCAGCTCATCCTCGACTCTAATGGAAAAACTGAGGCAGTAGTTCATATTTGATGCTTTTTTGAATTGGCCCTTTCGCTCGAATCCTTCAGGGTTATCTTGTACCTTCTTTCCTTGGTACCATTTCTTTTTGCTATGGGTGTGCTTGGGGCGTGAACAGTATCCGATATTATTCAGTTCATAAAAAGTCCTTCTAGCTTCACGTAACTCGGGATCTACAGCTTGCATTCCATCTTCGTTGACGTAGATTGAAGCGGAACCTCCTTGTGCTTCATAGTATCGGATAGCAGCCAGTATGCTCGTTACAGTTGGGATAATAACACTATCAAATAGTCAGCGATTTTTTTCAATCAGTTTCACATATGCTCTTACCCTTTCAAACCTTCTTTGTAGACAGGCATTTGAATAGTGATATGTGGAAGCTCCAAGTCTGGGTAACGACCCCTCTTGGGCGGCTTGGCCGAATAGAACCGAGAATTCTTTCGAACATAAGTCAAGGGTCCAAATAATTGAAATAGACTCCCAGCTATAACAACCATGAAGAACTGATCAATAAAGTGTTAGCCATGTTCGGAAAATTGTCGGTAGTTCTCTCGTGTTCTCAGGCTAACGCCACATACAAGGAGGCTTGAGACGTCTTACCAGAGAAAAGCAAACGAAAAAGGGAATGACAGCAACCAGTGCAAAGCGCAGTACACCACTATCCCATTGATATTCTGTTATAAGTCGTGACGCGCAAAGCATTTCTACGAAAACCACTAAGGTCATGGCAAATCCAATGACGCCAGCATGTAATAATAGGAAGGGTCTCTCCGGCGGCTCAGCGGCCTCAATATCTGGATTAAAAAGTGTGTCCTTGTTCTCTTCGCGCTCTATGGCGGCTTGAACAATACCCATTTTTTCATTGAATTCACGATCCTCACTGATAGCAGATGGTGTTCGTCCTGGGGTTTGACCTGGCGTTTGTTCAATAGGTGGAGTCATGGATGCGAATGGAGAAGTAGCTGTCATGGTCCCAATATGAGATCCCCAGATCTACCTCATTCCTAGTAAGTACAGCTCATATAATTGTTCGACTGATTCGACTTACCATGCCAACGAGGATACTTTCAACATCTGCGCCGTGAGTCATAATGCTTTCAACAGACTCATTCCATATAAGAACGAGTCTCTCCTCTCTCAATACGCACAAGTACGATTTTTTGGACACGCCACTCCCTCCATATGCAAGTTCTGAAAGATTTTGGACAATGGGAAGTCTAATCCCTCGTGGATGCACTTGGAGTTCAGTTTGAAAAGGGCCAATCTGATCCATCAATGCCGCAGTGATATCAGATGACATTGTGAAGGCAACTTTGCAGTTGATGTACTGCATCACAGTATAAAATTTGTTGTCGACATTTGGTGGCTCGGTGTAATAGCTCCCATCCGGAAGCCGCATAGCGACACCGACCCATGACGATTCATTGATAGTGCCATCCTCCTCTTCGATAGGCTGAAGCCATTTAGCTGCCGCACATCGTCTTTGAAGGTATTTCGCAACCTATAAACCAACGTTAGATAAAAGCCTGAGATTACTTGGAGGTTTGCTTGAGTAAAAAGAAAAAGTGGGTCGTGGAACTGAAAGACGTACCAGAGTATGACGATCTCGGCTTCCCGCAGATCCTGTACTCATGATGCTATGGGGTCGCGATAGTGGTATTAAACTTTCTGGACGTGATCTTGGAGGGACTGGCACACTTTGATGTCGTTCTGTCATTGTAGGGCCATCTTGGAGTGTTGCTGCCAGTTCGCCAGAGGGCGATTGAAAGTTGAATTCTTCAGACATTGCGTTAATGATGGATGGGCCGGCGTGAAAAGGCCGAATTCCATCAAGGTGGTAAGAGCTGCAAGTTCGGTTCGAACAAGTGGAAACTTGAGGTTGTGGTATTTCACTAAACTTAAAGGCGATCAACGAAGTCTGTCAAGAACGGAAGTCAACATTTCACTTGCCAACACATTCGCTATCGCGGCCGGAGGGGGAAGTCAAAGTCCATAACCTTTTTCTCCTTGGGATGTTTGAGCTAGTTGAATGATAGCGACGGAGGAGTGAGAATGGGCCTAGACTAAAGAGGGTTACTGAGTGGAAAGCACGAAAGTAGCTCAGTCAATACATCTAAAATATCGGGCTTGTGGCTCACAGTCCCAGCACGCGGTCGCCACATCCTCTGCATGAATCCTATACTATTGGCTCAGCTTTGCAGATGTAGAGTATCTTTGGACGAAAGTATTGCATTCCAATCAATATCTCAACGCATGCAGGATGCCGAATATTGGACTAAGAATAGGATTCTGGTTTGACGATAAGGCAGAAGGCTTGGGGAACGTGTAGTGTCTCTGGGGCTTTCCATAGCATAGATAAGTGTGTCGGAAAGCTTTCCCGTTCACCGGATTCACAATACGAAGTTTGGAACTATTGAGAAATCATTCTTGACCAGGGGTTGTGGTACACGATAGATATCGACTATGTTCTAGCAGATAGGCCAGAATACGAAAAGTGATTAAGATCCTTCATCGATCTGAAATCGAAAGCTTGATGATGTTGAAAAGAGTACAAATGGAAGGGTAGCAGCAAGGCACTAGCCATCCAACTGTCTAGACTTTTCCCTCCGTCGTTTGCTCTGATATGTTTTAGCTAATCCGAGATTAATAGTAACGCATATAAGCGAAATGTATTGAAATTCACTAGCTCCTCATAGGACGAGAGGGATCAAACGCTGTCAATCCCTGGCCTCTTAGTACGGCAGGGTATACTTATGAACATTTTGATGCCAAAGACTTCAGGTACAGACTCTGGGGTGATAATCCTAGTGTGGCCTTTGGTTATTACACAGATCCACTATAGGCTTCTTTACCCTAAATCAATCGCTAACATACCCCGGCGCTTGTACCATTACCCCTCGAAATTACTACATGTTACTCTATAACACCGCAATCCTCCTGTTGGTTGGCTGATGAATTTGCACTCACACGGGCAATCGGACAATTCAACGCTTTCGCACTCTGAAAACTCGTCGGTAACCTCATCTTCTTTATGAACTATGTTTATATTCCGACAAGTCAACCACTTCATTTTCTTGGTAGCACCACAAAACTCCAGCATGTATTTATCCTTAGGAATTATCTGAACCTGTAGTTTTGGGAATTGGTTTAAGCTCTTATTGGACCTTTCCCTTCACACCAATTCTGACCTAATCTATTCTCTTCAGCCGTTTATCTCCCATCCCATCAAGTTCCATTACCACATACTTATTCGTATTTAATCTCAATGATCACATATATTTTTATAGCTGCTACATTAGCATCGTCAATTTGCCAGCGTATCAATTTTCTTGTGGGCTAGTGGCTCGGACAATTCAATCATTATCGTGGATTGACATTTTTGTGATTTCGAATGTTACATCCGGTCATGTTGGAGCCTCCTAAGTTATTAAACATTAGGTGGAGATGGTCCACGGCTACTGGATAGCGACAGATGCTAGCCTAGTTGGCCAAACATAGCTGAACCCTTTTCTGTGGCTTTATAAACAAAATGGTTGTTGTTGTTCTCGATATCGCGTGCAGTCCCCTTTATCGGCGATTACCACTGCATGAAGATTACAAGGGCGACCGTTCCGCCTAATGCACCCATTTGTTTTCGAAACCTGGCAGTAGACGCTCCTACCGTCAAGGGGTGATGCAAGTAATTACAAGGTACCCTGCCGCCTACGCGATATTTGACATTACCATTATTGAAATGGATCGATTACTTTTAGCTTTTGTTCCGGGCTTTTCTTATCTCGGAATCAGTTTTAATCATATCATATATCTTACTTGGGAGATTTGAGTGGGCCGGCGGTAGAATAGAAGGAGCCAGTTGTGGAAGACGAGGCCATAGTTCTTTGATAAGTTAAGAACAACTTGTCCCAAATTTCTCAAAACTGGTGGCGAAGTAAGATTTTAAAATGTCAACATACAGCCTGTCTCTGACCGCACAAGAACCGCAAACGCAAACTCACCGGGTGTCTATACCGGGAACACCTCAACCATTATCTCAACCAGGAACGCCTAATCACAGATCCTCTCCTCCAAGTACACCAAGTAATCGATTTTCATCGCCTGTCGAGGCTTCTTCAATTTCAGGTATTAAAATCGAGCTTTAGTTGAAGCAACTGCTGACAGTTGAAGATGGCTTGGATATCGTACCTCCAAGGCAACGCCGTTTCAAAAGCGCTAGACTTGTTGGCGAGTATGTTGAGGAACTCTAGATCAAATCAATGGATACTGACTATGGGAAAGTTACGAAAAGCCATGGCTAGAGAAGTTTGCCACTGATGGAAAGCGCAAGAAATTGTCTGGACGAACTTGGGATTCTATAATCTTTTGGACAAGTATTGCCATTGGATTTGGACTAGGAGGGATTATGTGTTACATAGGATTCACATCAGTCCCCAAAAATTTGTACTGCCTCATGTTCGAGGATGACTTTCATAATATTGACCCAAGAATATGGAGCTATGAGATCCAACGAGGCGGGTTTGGGTATGTGATGTCATATAATCATTTTTGGGGAGGTCTGTTAACTGACAATCCTAGCACTGGGTCTTTTGAATGGACCACAAATGACCCCCAAAATGCTTACACTGATGCTGAAGGGCTTCACATTGTCCCAACATTGACAGTGAATTCCACCAACATCACACCCGCTCAGATTCTGAATGGGTATACGTTAAACTTGACTACCGACAACAGAGCTGATGGAGTATGCACTTCTGATGATGCTGGTACATCTTGCTCTATGTACAGCAATATTACCGCCGGTACCATTATCAACCCTGTTCGAAGTGCGAGATTGTCTACAAAAGGAAAAAAGACTATAAAATATGGTAAGATTGAAGTCGTTGCAAAAATGCCAAAGGGCGATTGGTTATGGCCAGCCATTTGGTATGTTTTTCTCCTCTCTTGGCCTTTGAAGTGCTTAATTTCAATAGGATGATGCCCGAAGATTCCGTGTACGGGCCATGGCCTGCCAGTGGTGAGATAGATCTTGCTGAAAGCAAAGGTAATGATGGGGCTACGTACGACGGAGGTCGAGACAGTATTATTTCTGCTCTAGTATGGACTCTATAAATTGTACCCAGACTTGCGCTGACTGTGATGAAAAGCATTGGGGCCCAATCCCTCAAGTGGATGCTTTCTGGAAAACCGATGGAAAGCACAACATTCGACGAACCGATTATACTGAAAGCTATTACACATACGGATTGGAGTGGAGTGAAGACTATATCTTCACATATATCAACAGTCGTCTCTTGGTATGATTTCCATAAATTTTGTAGTTGTTACTTGTGGCCTAGCAAAAACTGATTCTCGTGCAGCAAGTATTCTACCTCTCTTTCAGCAAGGGGTATAATAGTATGTGGAATCGAGGAGAATTTGGTAAGACAATCGTGAATAATTCGGCTCTACACGACCCATGGAGCCAAACAGGTAATCCTGCAACTCCGTTTGACCAGGCCTTCTACCTCATACTCAAGTAAGACTACCTTGAGCATCAAGCAATATAATATAGACTTTACTAATACAAATTCAACAGCGTTGCAGTGGGAGGGACCAATGGATATTTCCCGTGAGTTTTCATATAGCCCCAGTTTTAGAGACAATAAAAGCTAATGTCGGTGATAGAGACAAAGTTGGGAACAAGCCGTGGGGAGATGCTAGTCTTACGGCCCCAGCAGAGTTTTGGAACGCTTCAAGTCAGTGGGGCCCGACGTGGGGGCCGCCCGAAGAGAGAGGTATGACTATTAAAAGTGTCAAAATGTATTCACAGGGGGCTTGTGGAAGCGCAAGCTGAGACATAAACTCCGGAAGAATAACGTCGCTGGAGTAAGCAAGATAAGGGTGTTAAGAAAGCTAGGATAGATATTAATTGGGTTCTAATACTGTGTAGTAATATAGATCAAATGCTGGGGATATAAACTAAAAAGGTAGAAGGGTTATAGGTAATGGATGTTCTTTTTTCACAAATCACATATGTTGAAAGTAGTCAGTAGTCAGTAGTCAGTCGTATGTATCTATATTCTGGAGCTAGAGCCACATTAGGTTTATCGCTATTTTATCCAAACGACGCATATCATCTCACATGCAAGGGTTCAACCTCATTAAAAGCTCCTTAAAATTCAAGCAACAATAAGATGTACATTTCTGAAACTAGACCTATGTGCATTCTATAATTATGACAGTGATCAATAATTCGAAAAGACACTGTACATTCTTATACATTCCTATACATTACCACAACAGATGGGATGATTTACTGATAAGAAGTGCATACACGAAGACTAGGCATACAGAAGTGGTGTTTCCAAATGTCCAAAAGATTAATAAGATGGTGCTTCTTTTGCATGTGGTGACCAGATAAATGTAACCTACCAGTGAGAATATCATGATTTCCGGGCCGATCAACTAGAAATTCTGAGGGCGGGCTCTAACTTTACACATCGAACGAACTTTTGTTGGTATGACTGCGTATATTAATCCCTTTCTACTCGTCTAGATGATTATATGAAATTGTCTGATGCTACTTTCACGAGATATTAGATGCACATTGTTGAGTATCACTATCCCGGGTAGGTTCGATTGTAGATAGTATACATATAATTTTCTGCCATGGATGTTTATATATTTATATGACACAATACCCAGATTGACGGGAACTTCTCTTAGCTTCATTAAAATAGCTACGTTACGTGCATGGCCTGCAAGTTTTAGAATTGATTTCCCATCTCCCTTTTCGTGAGGGCGAAACTATCAAATGAGTTTCTTCATTCGGTTACACGAAAGTCTAGTGGAAGGGGTTCTCGTCTGATAATGCTCCTAGCTTTTCGCCGTTTACGCTATATTAAGCTTATTATTAGGCTATCAGAGATTTTTGCCCTAGCTCATAACCTAAAGCTTAACCGAACGTTTTTTGTCAGAATCACGAGTACTGCTACACATGAACATCTCACAACCAACAAGATAACGTTCTCCGCCCCAAGAAATGTCAGGATGCTCTAAAACTAATCGAATATATATTTGATTTTTCTTCGCAAATATCCTTCGATCCTGCACTATTAAATCTCCAGCACGTCATCTCACCCACCAGTTCCACCCTATCAAGCAGCAGGTACATGCGGTACATCAATATACGATAGAGTACCTATGCAATTGTTACACAATAATGGATAAGCTTTGCATTTACCAACCAGATGATCAGACTCCATATTTGCAGTGGCGATCACTATCGTGATTGCTACATTCGCAAGTTCCCCGTGAGAGTCGCGGCACGGGCACACAGATCCTCAGCCGTCAATACTTTACGTATCTGCACAAGCAGTCATACTTCTAAATTTTTATTTGCTAGCCAAGCCAGTGGCGGACGTTGTACTGCTTTCGGTATGTAAGCCGAACGGTGGAAAATGTCCGAATGAGATTCAAAATCGCAGGTCATCAGGAACTGGTCAAGCCGCGGACGAGGATCCGCGAAAAGGACAAGAGGATTGTACCACTAAGTCTCGGGACATGCGCGGTCGTATTGTTTGAAAATAGCTTTTTTGTACCATACACCATTTTAGAAAATGTGGATATCACCATAGAAGCTCCACGAGGTATACCTCAGACCACATGAGAGCATTTGGGGCGGGTGAGGAGGTGAGAACTATACGATTTTGCCTTTTCACAGTGAACAATTCCATACTCAGCCTGCTTCCAGTCAGCCTTCATGGGTCGAAGGATCAGCGGTCCACCATGTCCAAGGTCCTGGCAATTCTTGCCAATTCTTGTCACTGCAATCCAAGCAAGGCTGTAAAGAAACTCGATGGACTTCTCTATCTCCCATGCTGATCTCCCTTTTTCTTTTTCTATTTCTTCTGTATATCATCTAATGACAACCGTCCTGGCGTGTATTTGAATATCTGAGCAAAGACTGTAATTACAATAATGGCACAATCCTTTTTTCGCCTTGCCTTTGCGGGGCTCGGAATATCTTTATCTGTACGTAAACAATCTCTCTTAGCTTTAACTCTATATTCAATCCGCTAATCTGTTCTTGTCGATAGTTTACTTGTTCCGAAGCGTATTCAGGGAGTCGTTCTGTCCTACCAAGGACAGATACATGGTCATATGTGGGCTGCTACAGGTAAAATATACATTGTTACATTGCCAAGCACAACTCCGATTTTCGTTGAATCTTCCATTTCTTGAAGATAAAGATTCCAATGAGGATACAAGGAATTCCTCTGGGTTAGAATAATTGATGCCTTGCATTTTATACCCTTCTATCAATCTGCTCCAGATTGCTCGCATGTCGCAAATGCAATGCAGAAACTGGTAGCCGGGTATATCGAGTGCATATCATTTTTCCCATTCTCTTTTCCCATATAACCTTGTTTGAACGACCTCATGTACAGTTTTGCTGATTCGCTGTCGTTAGCGACAACGTGGGGGCTCGCACCCTCACTACTAATGTGGCAACTATGGGAGGAGAGGGAGGTTTAACAGTTGAAATTTGCCAGTCTACTTGTCAAAGTGTAGGCTACGTACTTGCTGGAGTTGAATATTCAGGGGAATGCTGTAAGTTATTAGCCCCATCAATTTTGTAGCCTAAACCTTGACAAATCGCAAGACTGTGGGAATAATTTCTACAATGGCGGGACCAAAGCTTCTGATGGGGAAGTTGGTTGTAATATGCCTTGTAATGGGAACCCCTCTCAAGTCTGTGGAGGTTCTGGTCGCCTCAGTGTCTATGATTTGAACAATGCTATTATCTCACTTCCTACCCTCACGACAAGCTCCATTCCCGCCCCTACTTACACGGGAGCACCAACTGGGTGGGCACCTCTTGGGTGCTACAATGATAGCGTGAATGCGCGTACTCTCAACACGCAAATATATTCCATTGCCGGGACATCCATGAGTGTCGATGCATGCCTTTCCGCCTGCATTTTCGGAGGTTATAGACTTTCAGGAGTCGAGTATGGCAGTGAATGTTATTGCGACCACGAGATTTATAATTATGGTGCCCCAGCCACGGGTTGTACCATGGCATGTGGAGGAAATTCGACACAATTTTGCGGAGGGTAAGGATTGCCTATATGTTATTGTTGTACATTGACCTTGTCTTGTACATCCGATTGCCCAATTTTTCTCCGAGGCACTTCATGATAGACAATTACTGAATACCCAATCTTCTAGGGCCGGACGGATAAACGTATACAATTACACGGCAACGAGCTTGCCACCTACTCCAACGCCAACTACAGTCAGTGTTACTATTCCTACGGCCACGATCACAGATCTTCCCGAAGGATGGAGCTACAAGGGTTGTTGGGTCGACCGAGCTCTTGGTCTTGGTAGTATTCTTGCAAATAACCTGCCTAACGATGCTAATATGACTGTGGAATCGTGCATACAAAACTGTATCACGGCAGGATATAGTATAGCTGGAATGCAATACTATACTCAATGTTATTGCGACTCTGCAATCATTAATCAGGGTGCCTTGGCATCCTCAGATTCACAATGTAACACTCCGTGCGGAGGTAATCCAAACCAGTACGTGATGGATACACAAATTTCGCCGTCTTTCACAGCTAAAATTGCTCGCCGGTTTTAGTTTCTAATATCCCTTTTTCTCGCACATACCTTCTTTTCCTAATACACTTAACTTCTTGTTTCCCTAATAGTCTGTCTTCAATCGGTATGCTGACTCAATCTACTACAGAATGTGTGGTGGAGGGGATAGGATGAGCGTTTATTCCAATCAAACGGATATTAATGTGTTACCATTACCAGTGATAGCGAACAGGGCCTTACCAGGCAACTGGAAATACAAGGGCTGTCTCAAGTAAGTGTAACTTCTTAATTTTGATAATTCATCGTATATGGCGTGCTGGTATGGCTACACAACGGCGAGAGCTGATTATCGCGCAGGGACAATTCTCAGAATAGGGTCTTTCCCTATCTAACCATACTTCCGAATAATAACACAGCCACGAACTGTCTTAGCCTTTGTTCTGAATATGGATACGGTGCTGGGGGAATGGAATTTTCGAACCAATGCTGTAAGTTCGCATTTATTCTACTTTCCACCACATGTTGGAAAATTGAACCTCATGCGGCTGAATGCTGCTTGGTACCTGATAGATTTTTCGATTCCCGCCTGCTTTTGACATTTAAAGTTATCGTTCTTTGGTGTAAAGTTACAGGTTGAATTTACATTAACTTCATTTACAGTCTGTGGGGATGTACAAAATGTTATCGACCATAGTGCCGCATCGGTCAATGATTCTCAATGCAACATGCTTTGCAGCGGCAATCGTGACACATACTGTGGTGGACCTTCCTTGATCTCCTACTACGTTTGGACAGACACACCACTTAATAGCTGGACGTTTGAGAGTGGAAATGCTGCCGGAAGATACGAGTTTCTTATAGGGGGTAGGTCGCAATCCGAATAGTATTTTGAAAGCATGACTAATATTTACAGGACCAATCGTTCCTTTAACATCTACTGTTGGTATCAACGGCAAGGTCTCATTCTTAGAAAAGTTCGGCACCTCGCTTGACAAGAATAGTACCGGTGCTTATGAGCTTGACCTTACTCTGGTTAGTAACTTTGATGCTGCATGGCGTACCATGCATGTGAAGACAGACGTCTTCTGCTCCGCTAGTATCGTTCTCCCTGATCGGCTTGCTCGTCAAATCAATATAGGGGGCTGGTCAATTCCGTCGACTATAGGTATACGGTTCTACACTCCTGATGGCGCGCCAGGGGTAGCGAGCAAAAATGACTGGGAAGAGAATTATCATGAGGTTGCTCTGCAAGAGGGCCGATGGTATCCTTCAGCAATGGTTATGGCCAATGGGAGTATCCTTGTAGTAGGTGGCGAAGTGGGCTCTAACGGAGCAGCTGTTCCTTCACTAGAAATCATTCCTCGACCTCCTGGAGCAGGCACTATCTTTTGCGATTATCTGGCACGTACAGATCCGTTTAATTTGTATCCATACCTCATAGTTCTTCCTTCTGGCGGCATCTTCATTGCATATTACAATGAGGCGAGAATTCTGGACGAGGTTACTTTGCAAACTCAGAAATTGTTACCGAACATTCCTGCTGCAGTGAACAACTTCTTGGGTGGTAGAACATACCCTATGGAAGGTACTGCTGTGATAATGCCACAGAGTGCGCCTTACACAGACCCACTTGTAGTTATGATTTGTGGAGGCTCAACACCGGGCCCGGAGATTGCCTTGGATAACTGTGTATCACTCCAGCCAGAGGTAGCTGGCGCAAAGTGGACTATTGAGCGCATGGTATGCTTTCTTCTCTATTTTCTTCCTCGATCGGTTTAATTAACGAGAAATTACAGCCTTCAAAACGAGTAATATCATCTATGGCATCCTTGTAAGCTTTTCCTTCATAAATTCTCCATTGTTCGATTGCTAACTGAGAATTCTTAGACCTGATGGTACGTTCCTCATTATAAATGGTGCTCAGCAAGGCTTTGCTGGCTTTGGGCTTGCCACCGATCCCAACTTCAATGCTGTTCTCTATGATCCATCCAAGCCCCTCAATTCTCGAATGTCTTCTTTAGCCAACACAACAATCGCTCGCATGTACCATAACGAAGCTGTACTTCTTCCTGATGGTAGAGTTTTAGTTTCAGGCAGTGACCCTGAGGATCCTCGATACCCTCAAGAATATCGCATCGAGGTATTCGTACCTCCATACTTATTAGGTGGAGTCACCCAGCCAGATTTTACCTTGGAAAACGGCAACGATTTCGGCTACGGAGACACAATAACCATAGCCGCTGTCCTTCATCAAGGCGGTCTATCTACCATCCGCATATCTCTCATGACAGCCGTAGGCGCCACCCACGGAAATTCCTTCGGTCAACGAACATATTTCCCGGCATTTTCCTGCTCTGGCGCAGCAGCAAATGCACAATGCACAATCACTACACCACCGAATGCCCATGTGTATCCACCTAGCTGGGCCATGCTTTTTGTGTTGGATAATGGAACGCCAAGTGTGGGACAATGGGTCAGGATTGGGGGAGATCCAGCAAGATTAGGTGAATGGCCTAACTTCCCAGATTTTACGCTTCCGGGAGTCGGACCTACTGTTGGAGCTGGTGGTCCGGTAAAATTGGGGTCTAATAGCACATCTAAGTAAATCTTCTGAAGGTGTAAGAAGGCATACATAAGAGGAATGAGTCTTGCTGTCTTTTTGGGGCAATGAAATTGTCGATTTGGCTTGGCTTTTAAGTTAGGGTGAACTGCACCGGAGCACAATAAAGGTTTTCATTATATTTTACTCTCGTTTAGGTAATTTTTAAATATATATTGTAGTGTTCATAGTATATTAACCGAACACAAATACTTGGATACTCAAAAAAATTCCAAAGGGTTGGTTTTGCGATCCCGGTGAGCTTCTGACCGATGCCCAGGATATACTGAATGCTAGAATGACTTTACTTCATATGTCATACAGCACTGTATTTTGCGTGGTGTAAGAATAGAATGAAACTTTGTGACGAGAGAAAGCTTGCGGCATTGCCACCATCCAATTTTAACTGTATTCCTCAAGTTCCATCTCCAACATTTTTGTACTTCATTGGACATCATGAAGGAAGAATATCACTGATTTCCTGGACTTCTACGTCTACTCCTGCTATGATTTACGTCAATGGTTCAACGGTGTCGGTTGTACTTATATTAAAATAATGATGTGAATTATCACCGAGAAAAAAAGCTTCGGAACCACAAAATAGACTAACTGTTTCTATGACCGAGAAAAATAATGATGTTTGATTATTATCACGGGATTTTAAGGATTCTTTACATCCCTCTTGGCTATGTTCTCTTTCAAGTCAGTCTTTCAGCATGACTGTGAGTAATGCTTGCGGCTATGACAATCAGAGTGGTGCAATGCACGTGCTCCATGATTTATGTAGAGTGTTCTGAGCGTTATGTTCTCAACTGCGCATCTCATATATGAAAGAGCAACCCTGCAGGTTGAGTGATCGAGTCGCGGAAACAGCTAAGCATGAGGCGGAGACACAACAGACGAAGATAGGAAGGACCGGTCCGATGGAAAGCATGACTTAGATGTTAAGCTACTATGGAAGTGGAAAATTGCGAATGGAGTTATTATTTAGCTTTTCAGGTGTGCTTGTGGAATTATTACTGATGTTAGTGAGTGCTGCATGCATATATGTTCATAATTTTTGGCTTCATCCTCAAGTAAGGAAGAATCATATTTCTTATCTCTTCACTAGCTTCAAGTCCCCTTCTCTCTCACTGTCTAACTGTCGTGTAGAGAGTTAAGCGAGTTATATACAATTCTCTAATTCAAATGCGATATTGAGAAGTCTCACCTCATCACTACTATCTATTTCAAAATGAAGCAATGAAGTCTGACTTTACTGTAAGCTTTCTATCTTACTTTTATGGCTCCAACAAGTGATCTCTGCCTTTATATCAAGAAGGACACTGATGTTTTCACTTCAAAGTTGGAGATCTCAAGCCAATTAGGCAAAATCGAATAACAGCCGTAACGTGAACTTTCAATATTACATACTCGAGGCTTTACCACACAACAAGCCACGAAGCTGAAATGGTAATTCTCAGCACAAGCTTCAAATTGGAGGTAAGAGATATTAAATGCAAAGACTCTCGTTCTCTGTACGAAAACTGGAGTCTGCAGACTCCCACTTCATGAAGCTCGCCAAGCACAGTAGCTAGCTTAACAATCTCGAACTTCCTACTCGGCTTCCAGTTTGTTCCCTTGCATCCCCATTAAATTTTCAGATACTACCCTCATCTCTCAAGAAATCAAACATTAAGCCAGGGCGCTTCCAAAACACATCAACCTCGCCCTCCCTTTCTGAGGATTGCTCAGTCAATTTCCTTTTCCAACATCACTCTACATGCCATCTTAAGCTCCAAAACCATCTTTTCTATCTTTTCCAGCTGTTCCTCCAGAGCTTCCATACATCACGATTCTTCTTTTCCTTCCCATAATTCACGCCGGGCATGGTGAGCTTGTGATTTGATTGAGTTGCGGATTTTAGATTTGCGTTTGGCTCGAATTTTGGAAGTATAGATTTTCGGGGAAGGCCAAGTGGATGGTTTTTTGCTTCGAGATTGGGTTTTGGTTCCGTGTTTGAGGTTAGGGGATGGAGGTTCTAGATTAGAAGTTCTCCGGGGTTGCGAGTTATTAGCTTCTAGATTTAGGACGGTCCGCATTGAGGATATAGAATAGGTCGTTTTTATAACTGGGGTAATTTATGCAGATTAACGAGTTTGGTGGTATCTAATTGCTATGCATCATGAAGACTTCGTACGGAATTTTTTTTATGGTCATTCCAGTATAGGATCCATCTAAACTATTCTACACGATTGTCATCATCCATATTGTGGCAGGTTTAGGGATGTCCAACAGCAAGCTCCCAGTCGAGCAAACACATTCTACTCAACCTGCGCAAAGCCTAAAACCCCAAATCAACAGAAATACTCAGATATTCGCCAATGCGATTTTACAGTCATCCGCCTTCTTACAGCTTGCTTTTACGCCTAAAAATGATGCACTGTCTGGTCATTTGCTCTTCATACTATAATTTTTATATTATCTAGTTCGCTCACCCATTCACTTGCATTCTTCATCCCATCAATCACAATCCTTCGAATATGAAAAAAATCTAACATTTCTTTTTTGATTTTTCAGCTTAGCATCTTCGTATACCTAAATGCTTTACCAGTTTCTATCATCTTCCCAGTGCACATACAAAATGCATATCTAAGTCCTCCTTTTCCCACTAGTAACCCTACTCAAATCCAACACTCATCCTCAAAATTCAATTTCTTTGTCTCGCAACGTTAACAGCCACCAAATGCCTGTCTGTCAGTACTTAATCAGTAGAATCCAGCTAAGATTAACACTGTCGACTAGCATAGACCTTCGAAATAAGTTCTTACAAAACGAAAGAAAATATAAACAAGTCAAATGACCTGAATAATAATCTTACAACAATCTCAATTAACACAGAGCCATGAAGGCGATTAGTATCAAACTTTCAGACATACATCCAAAAAAAAAAAGCAACCTCGGGTCTAAATATAAACTAAAATGAAGTGTAGCGAGCTCAAATGAATCCAGTCCTGGTAATTAATTACGGAATATAATCGAGTATTTGAGAGTTTTACATTTACCACAAATAAAAACTCCTAAAGATATCGCTAACGTTGCGTTTTCCAGGTTCTATCTACAATCTAGCAGGTTGATTGCGTGCAATAATTTTGCAGAAATTCACGGTGAGAGTGTTGTAAGTATTTCTGTGGGTATATTGTGAGAAAGTTGGAATTATAGATCAAATACATAAAGGTTTTTAACTAATTAATCATATAACCTCTTATAATTAGATATAAAAAAAGAACTTTTATTTTTTCTTTTTATAATAATCAACTTTTTATATATATATATTTGAATCTATATAACATCAATCTTAAAATCATTATAAACCTTATTTTCTTTATAAGTAATATATTACAATATAATCTAATTCAATTTTCTTTTCCAATTCCCTCTTCGCAATATGTTATCGAGATGTACGTATCTCGATCTACTACTTTTACAATATGAGGCACAGCTTGGGTTTTGTATATATTTGTTCGTTTTTGGGTGTCATCTAGGGTAGAGATCAGATGTTCGAAGTTGAGGAGTGGGAATGTGCTGTGAAAAATGGGGAGTGAACTAGTAGTTGTAAATGCAATTGATTAGAGATTATTCGTTGATTGATGATTAACTTGCAAACTTATAAAGAGGTTCCTGATGATTGTAAGATCTTAGTTGCTAAAACATTCCGTCTGGTGTTTGATGTTTCAGTCATATGCGTTTGCTCATTCTTTTAGAATTTTAGATGATAATTTGAAAGCCATTTATTTGCTAATTGCTTAAAGACACACGTATAATGCTTTTAAAAATCTCAGTTCTTTAAAATCATTATACCATGTGACCTCATCCTTCGCCTCATATCCTCATATCCTTCACAAAGTCTCTTACTTGGGGTTAAGGTTGTAAACAAGGACCACTCTCCGCCGAGCGGCCTAATTCACTTTTTTAGTCAACGAATAGCTAGTACTAGCTATGAGAGCATACTCCGGAGAATTGAGCTGTATGGGAACTAGGAAGTTACCACAAAAAATTATCCTTGAATTCGAAGCGTCAAAACATCAAGGGGTTTTAAGCGAGCTAACTTAAACCTACTATAGTAGACGTATAATAAATAAAGACGAAAGACTATTTCGCAACTAAAACAAACTCATATCCAGAATACATATTACCTTAAAAGTAAAAAAATCACAGACCACAATTCCCAGCGAGCTCAGCCCCTATCCATTCATCTATCCATACATCACCTCTCTTCAATTCCCCACCCCCAGCAAACCTTCATCACCTCAAATCAAATCAGTGCATCTCGAAAATTGTCCTCCAGCATATCAAGAGACCACTTCGTCTTCCGAAGTCATTGACAAGAATTTCCCTGTCCAAACTTTTAGTCTACAAGAATCTGTAAATTTCTATTTCTATTTCTATTCATCTGTCGATATTCTTACATTTATATATTTATATTTCCATAACTCTTTTCTATCCTCTCTCATCTACACTAGTAAACGCGCATTTCCATCATGAGATATTATTACTATGTAAATCTCTTATATATTAATATATTATCTATTGAAAGTCATATCGATTATAAAACAAAAAGTTAATCGAGCTACTCGAGTATATTTTTGTAAATTTTAGAAAAACGAAGAATTATATATAAGATCTTAATATTTTTTTGAAAATTAAATTATAAATTAAGAAATTCAACTTAAAAAAGAAAAGTAAGTTTGAAAACTTTATATATATTATAATTTTAAAGAACTATTATATAAAATTATATATTGTAAAAGTGGTAGATCGAGATACGTGTGTCCCGATAGTATATTGTAAGGAGGGAATTAAAAGAGAAAGCTGAATTAGATTATATTGTAATACGTTATTTATAAATAAAACGAGGTTTACAATGATTTTGGGATTGATATTATATAGGTTCAAATGTATATATGTAGAAGGTTGATTCTTATGAAAAGAAGAAGCAAAAAGCTCTTCTTTTATATCTAACTATAGAAAATCATATGATTGACTAGTTTAAACCTTTATATATTTGGCCTATAATTCCAACTTTCTCACAATATATATCAAATTATTAATTTATATATATAAATTATTTCTTATTTATTAATTAATAATTAATCAATATCAATACATCAATAATATTATAAAACTGTCACGATTCACGGTTTTCATTATAGTAGTATTATTGTTATCGGTGATTTATATACCGATTACAAGGGGGATATGATTTAACCGTTGCTTTCAGAAGGCCTAATCACCTAAGCCTAGGACCCTAGGATTCCTAAAATAAGTATCCTAGGCAACCATATTAGAATAGGACAAATGTCCTAACTAATTGACTGTAATGGGACAATCACCCTAAAGGATATTATATCCTAGGGCCGTAGTTCCTAAAGGAAAGCTCCTGGAACAAATGTTCCAGGAAAAGAAAGCCCTCAGGATCAATCACATGATGAGGAGCCCTAAAAGCTTGGAGAGCTTCTAGAGCTCTAAGGCTCTACAAAGCTCCTTTCCATTCATTAGTATATAATCAGGATAGTTTCATAGTTTAAGAGCTTCATGCTCAACTTAGTTATCAATTAATTTACCTACATTCCAATTGATCTAGTAACGAATTCACTTTCAAATGGATAACCAATGATTATTAGCCTTAACCTACAACTACCAACCATACGAAACCTCAGGCAGCCGCTGCCTCGACCAGATCGTTACAAAAACAATTTTAAAATCTTAATATTAATTTTATATAAAAAAGATTTTTATTATAATATTAATTTAATTAAAGAAAAGTTTAAATAAAATTTATAAATAATAAAAATCTAATTATATACTTTTAAACATTATAAATTTATAATTAAAGAAAATAATAATATTGATATTAATCTAATTATTTAATTATTATTATACCCATCTATCATCTATAATAATTATCAAATTAGTCATATTTATCTATTCGTGTCAATCATCATGTCTATATCACAGTCATTAATAAACTGTCGGTACATTATATGATCAACCTCGAAAGGGAGCCGTACACAAAGGGAGCCGTACGGCTAGTGTATTCTAGCCCGTACCCCTTTCAATATAAATAGATCTCTCTCCTCTAGATAGATAATAATCATCCATGAATAAATACAGAAATACTACTATACATAGCACAATATCATTGAAATGATGCCAACATAAACATATCGAGGGAAAATTTATATTGAATAAATCTCTATTTCTTGTGAGTCAGCCAAGCGTACAGCTATATCATATTATAACCAAATAACTACAGAGTAGTTTGGGTTTTAATATTTGATAGTATTCGTCTTGGAACTATTCCTGCCTTATTACCTTTCATCTTTATGTTGTTGATCTTACAATAAAACAATTTAGAGTCCGACTTGTTTATCCACTATTACTATGGATATTTTTCACTTCTTACTTTGTTAATATAATCTTATCTCGAGCCTCATTAATCCTCTGCGCTTCCACGCCCTCAAGAACCATCACTATAATATGAAAAAGAAAACGAGTAAATGGAAAAGAGAATTTGTTGCGCCCAAAACACCATCCCAAACATGCGCCAACCATGTGGGTATACCATATAATACACCTCTGAATCCCAATGAAACCTTTTCCGAAATATCTCTTTATACACTTTCCTTCTTAACCTTCGTTTGAACCCTCACAGTCGGTAAAGCCCATCCTATATATTCCCTTTCAGAACCGAGAGCGATCTCCTTCAAAGTTCTTTCTTCCCTCATAAAACTCTGCTTAAAATCTACCCATATTCTTAATATATCTTCTGGTTCCATCCTCGGTTCTACAAACTCAAAATCTTCATTCACTTTCCCACATGCTCTTTGGTCCTCTCTGATGATTAATTTGACCAAATCGAGATTTGGGAAAGATCGTAATAATGTTGCTTTGTTGTATGATTCCCACGGTCTCTTGACCTCCACATCCACATGATCGATCGCGATAGCCTTAACATCATCGAGGAGCTCCGGTGTATTTAAAAATGTACGAAAGTCGCGAAGGGTTTCATCGTATCCCATAGCACGATGCCGAGGAAGGTAAAGAACGTCGATATAAGGATTGAAATATATTGTTGGATCGGAAGTCGTTGTGGCAAAAGAGAGTGTATATACACGTAAAGCTTCGGTTCGTGATTCGTGACTGGCTTGGAGGATTGCTGGAGGTGGACTAATAGAACGACATCGATCGATGGTTGGATCATATCTAACTTCGACAGTACGACTTGTACAGGCATATCGCCAGACGAGGATTCGAAGTTCAGGTAGAAGATTTGGAAAGAGATGGAAATCGGTGAGTGGTTCTGTGGTTGGTGACATGATGGTAGATTTGGGTTTGAATGCCAATCGTAGGACTTGAGGATCCATTGATGGATTATTTTTGATATAAGATGTGAACATTTTGAAAATGAATTATACGAAAACTTGTTTCTCAATGCTGTCGCTAAAGGTATGAAAAAGAGAAACAATTACTATTAAAGTATTATAGGGCGACCCTTGAGCGGTTGTAAGAAGATATCATGCGGAATTGAGGATATCAAAGGAAGTATTAGAAGTTTAGAAGTGACATGGGAGCATTGAAGTGTTGAAGCTATAAGTGAACTGATGCAGGCTTTACTTGAACCCTTTGGGCATTGACACATGAACGAAACAAGCTCGGAAGGTTAAGGAAGATGAATAGATATATATGGAAAAGGCTCACTTTAGGACGAAAGCCGAATATCAAGATGAAATATGGATATTGTAATGTGAGCTGACATCAATCAATCTAGACTTCCCTTGACTTATCAATGATGCCCAAGTCAAAGAGGTGTACAAGTTTCATCCTAGCGATACGCAGCATATGGGGTTGCCAAGACGAGAATTGATAGGTATTATTATATGTATCTCCTTGTGAATAGATCGATGAAGGAACCAGATCAACCGCATCTCCGCTTCATTTAGCCACAGAATGATCTATATCCAGTAAAGGTTGGGGGACCAGCGTATGAGAGCCATGTGAGCCGTGTGAGGAAAGTACGTGACGTTCTGTTGTTGGCGATGATTCTGGTGAATCCTTGTTGGGTCGAAGAAAGTGGTCTGATCTGGGTGGAGAGAGACTTATTTTTACTTAGCGAGGATTGGCTGATGCTCATATTCGATTGACGCATGGGAAAATTAACAGGGAAAAACCGCTGGGAAAAGATCAAAATGGGGTGACATTCTCGGAATATTTTATATTTTAAAGAAAAGGAAAGAAGAGGCATGAAACATAATTTAGGAAATAACAAGGGCGATAGAGATAATACCTAGCCCCATGAAAATAATAGAAAGAAAATACGAACAGAGGAAACAATTGATGAATGAAACTGCTCATTACTCGTACTGCTATGTATCCTACCTATCTCTGCCTAGCACATCCACACTCGGTACTCCGCAGACAAAGCTGTGTGGGACGACGTGTTTGACGGAGAATTGAATCAAGGGGATTTTTAGATTTTTAGATTTTTACCTAGGCATTTCTACTATGGATATCTACCAGGGATTGGCATTAGGGATTAGGATTATGATCAGGCATTCTAGAAACCCCAGTCTCGAAGGTTTTAGTGTGCACACTCCCGCAAACCGGGTATTACCTTAGCCTCGTGCATATTGCATGGAGAACAGACAAGGCTGCGATCAACCCCACCCTTAACTTATTATAGCAATCATCCCTTCGTGCAAAATATTCCGAGACATTTCAATCAGGATTGAGGGAATTTTGGTGAAAACAACTTTCGCAGATGATGGCTTCAAAATCCCCTATGCCCTCGGCTTTGACCTTCGACTTGTTGGCCCGCTGTTCTGTAAGCTGTCGTCGTTTTCGTTTCTCATCACCGCTCTCTAATTTCTACGAAAATGTCAGACAACGAAAGCAAGAGCCGCCAATTTGACTTTACCTCATGGCCCAGTTCAATTACCCATGTTTATGCCCGTGGCCACACAAGCATCTTTGAAAGGCTTGACACCGCAACAATTGGAAGATACGGGTTGTCGACTGTGCCTGAATAACACCTATCATTTAGGATTGAAACCGGGACAGGAAGTTTTGGACAAAGTTGGAGGAGCGCATAAGCTACAAGGATGGAATCACAATATATTAACGGATAGTGGAGGGTACGCTTGTCTACGCATCAATCCACTCTCCTCACCCCTTACTAAATCTGACTTGGTGTACATAGTTTTCAAATGGTTAGTCTTCTCAAGTTGGCCAATATTACAGAGGAAGGTGTACGATTCTTGAGTCCGCATGATGGTTCCCCAATGTTACTCACGCCTGAGCATTCAATGTCTCTTCAAAATTCCATAGGAAGCGACATTATTATGCAACTCGATGATGTTTTAGTTACTACCTCCCCTGATGCAGAAAGGATGCGAGTAGCAATGGAAAGAAGCGTTCGATGGCTCGATCGATGCATTACTGCACATGCGAATCCGACTACACAAAACCTATTCTGCATTATACAAGGGGGGCTAGACCTAGATCTGAGAAGAAAATGTTGCGAAGAGATGGTAGCAAGAGGAACACCAGGAATTGCAATAGGTGGGTTGAGTGGTGGTGAAGCCAAGTCAGATTATTGTCGTGTAGTAAATACATGTACAAGTCTCTTACCAGAGAATAAGCCAAGATATGTCATGGGAATTGGATATCCTGAGGATTTGATTGTCAGTGTGGCTTTAGGTGCAGATATGTTTGATTGTGTATGGCCTACTCGAACAGCACGATTCGGAAACGCAATTACCAAACATGGAGTCATAAATCTACGACACGCCTCTTATGCGAATGATTTTGGACCAGTCGAAGAAGGTTGTGGATGCATATGCTGCAGAACAGGAGATGGTGGTCTCGGTACTACCAGAGCATTTGTTCACCACGTAGCCGCCAAAGAGACTGTTGGAGCACATTTACTTACCATGCATAATGTTTGGTATCAGTTGGAGTTGATGAGAAATGCTAGGAAAGCTATCATTGAAGATAGATATCCAGCTTTCGTGAAGAGGTTCTTTTCAGATCTTCATGGTGGAGAGAAATCAAAATATCCAGATTGGGCAGTGGAGGCATTGAGAACAGTCGGTGTCGATCTAATGGAAGAATGAGAGGTGGTTTCATGACTAATTACAGAAGAATAGATACCCCTTATTAGAACATTTTGAACACAGAAATTGCTAGAGAATGCATGCAATGATATCCCGATGGAAAAAGAAGAAACAAAGCCTATCCCTTCATAACTACAGATAGCACTTGAAACAACGGTGCTTCTACGAACATCAGAGAGTGAAATACAAAATTTCACTGTGTCCTTTAAATGAATTTAATGTATTTCCTATGAACATTGAAATTTATTTCATTTCTTCTCTTCAAATTATAAATACGAGATTAGACCGTTGTTGACAGGGGTTCGCGATCTGCGCCAATACGCGACCTACTCTTTGCTGCATATTCCATCGTCATAGCTTCTCTATTTGGATTTGGAAACTTCGCGACAAGAAGAGTGAATAGAGTGAAGGATTAAGAATTTCAGTGAAGGTTGAGCTTTCAGCTCAACACACTTCATTCATTTGTTTGCAATGGCGCACTCATCATCAAACAATGGCAGAAATGCCAGCATTTCACCCATTCCTTCGCCCCCGTCTACAAGCAACAACGACACTCCGTTATCAAATTCAATGAGACGCCTCTCAATCAATAAAGGTTCTAGAACTTCTCTTCCTATTTCACCGCAAACTGCGTCTGAAAGAACTACATCGCATGGTGGTCACTCGAATCTCTATCCATCACCAAACGGTAGAAGTCCTGTTCTCCCTAGCCCCTTACGCCGAAGTGCTAGTTCTGCGAGTTTCGACCAACGTCGCTCATCTACCTCCAATCTGTCTCGAAAACCATCTTTAAATTCCCTCAGCGGTGGGGGATCAGCCACAAATACAAACACACTCAACAGGAGATCATCTACACAATTTGCACATAGATCGCCATCTGTCATGCGTAGCAGATCACCCCTCTCCGAAAGGGAGGAAGATATGCGCGAAGCTTCTCCACGACATACTGCAGCATCTATCGCAAGTTCCCATTTCAAGTCGGAATTGGATCTACAAGATATGAATAATGGTTCAAGGTCCGCAGAGACTATTGTTATACTTCACGACTCGGTCTACGGACATCGTTACTCCCGACCTAAAACCTCAAGAACTGGTTTGAGTGTAATCGTCGAAAGACCTGAACGAATTCATGCTAGCATACTGGGATTATCCGTAGCATATGTTCGTTTGGGCGAAAGACACTCTGAAGGTCGTTATCCTCTTCGCCCTGGAATGGAGGCTACTGAAGTACCTAGCACGCCGTTTCGCATACGCAAAACTACTCGACTTATGCCTCTATCTTCTCAAGCTGTTACAAATGTACATGGGGTCAAATGGATGGAAGAGTTGAAGATTATGTGTGATAATGCAGAAGCAAAACTTGCCATGAACGGAAAAGAATTGGCCAGACCTGAGATGAACCGAGGTCCAAATGAAGAACCTCCTTCAAAATTCCACGAGGGTGATCTCTATTTGTGCTCGGAGTCCTTGAATGCCATGGAGGGTGCTTTGGGTGCTGTATGTGAAGGTGTTGATGCAGTTTTTGAGGGCTCTTCAACAGGATTAGGACCACGCCGAACTTTTATTGCGATTAGGCCACCGGGGCATCATTGTTCAGCTAGTTATCCTTCTGGATTCTGTTGGTTAAACAATGTCCATGTTGGTATTTCACATGCTTCACTAAATCATGGTTTGACTCACGCCGCTATTATTGATTTTGATCTTCATCATGGAGATGGATCTCAAGCAATTGCCTGGGAACATAACGCTCGCGCGAATGGATTAGCAAAGAATGCATTACCGTGGAAAAAGACTTCGATTGGATATTTCAGTCTTCATGATATTAATTCATACCCATGTGAGATGGGTGATGAAGAAAAGGTCAAGAACGCTAGTCTCTGTATTGAAAACGCACATGGTCAAAATATTTGGAATGTTCACTTACAACCTTGGAAAAGCGAAGAAGAATTCTGGGAACTATATGAATCAAAGTATTCAGTACTTCTCGAGAAGACACGGAACTTTCTACGCACACAACATGACCGCTTGCAAACATCCCCTAATGGGCCCAAACCAAAGGCTGCTATTTTCTTGTCGGCTGGTTTCGACGCTAGTGAGTGGGAAAGTTCTGGTATGCAACGTCACAAAGTCAATGTTCCGACGGAATTTTATGCTCGTCTGACACGGGATGTTGTCAAACTTGCAGCCGAGGAAGGTACAGGGGTAGACGGAAGGATCATTAGTGTTCTTGAAGGTGGTTACAGTGATCGTGCTTTGTGTACTGGGGTTTTGAGTCATCTTAGTGGCTTATCAGGAAGTGATCCTGTAACTCATGCGGAGAAGGGATATAATGGTCAAATTTTTGAAGTGGGAGAGAAACTTGGTGTAGACGCATTGAGCGCTGGACCTGCAACTCCTTACGGGTTCATGCCATATGACCCATTATGGTGGTCTTTAGGTCGATTAGAGCAGCTTGATGCAGCTATGAATAGTGCACCACTCCCTGAGGAACCAAAAATCCACAAAGCAGCCGGACCTACAGGAAACTTTGCGTCTCCTACACAATCTTTTATCGCTAAAGTTGTCAACACCCCTACAGCACAACGCAGTGTATCAACTATGGGTATGAGAAATATACCGCCACCACGAGCTTCAGCTCCTAGGCCACCTACTCCACCGCCGCCTGATGTTCATTGGACTGTTGCAGCTCACGAATTGAGCAAATTGCTTATTCCAACTGACAGGCAGACGAAGAGTTGTCAATGGGAAGATCTAGCAGCTGAAGCAACTAGAGCAAGAAAGGAACGTCAATCTATATTGGAACAAGACGAAGGCGGTCAACAACCTGCAATTCCAGAACCTACTAATGCTAGAATGTCCTTACGAACAAGAAAGCCTGCACCGAGGTTGGTTGAGAGTATTGAAAAGGATGAAGTTAAAAAGCCTGCTGCAAAATCAAATCGTCGAAAGACCGTTGCTGGCTCGACTGCTTCACTTGTGCACAAAGTATGTAGTTGCATTACGCTGTACAGTCTCAAACTAACAGTCAATAGGCTCCTGAAATCCAAGGCACGACTCAAGCATCTGACGCGAATTATAGCCAGTCAACGCAACAGTTTGCTAGGCGACTTAGTTCTGTATCAACCACTGGGGCAGTTCTTCATCGACCTCAACAAGCTCCTGCTGCTAACAGGACGCCCTCGTTCTCTCAAAGACCTGGTAGTGCAATGAGTGGACGACCAGGATCTGCCATGAGTTCTCGTGCAAATCCCGTTCCACCCGTGGTCGTGAAGAAAACAAGAGCGCCTGCCAAACCTCGAACTGATGCCTCAAAACCGGGTCCAGGCCGACCACGCAAGAAGTCTCCCTCAGTGACTAGCTCTGACACTAACACAAATAATGCTATTGAGGCTGGCCCAGCCGCGGAAAGCAGTAACTATTCTTCTGACGTAGACAGTTTAACTTCCGGTATGAAGAAAATCAAGATTAGTCTCCTCACTAAAGCCCAGAAAGAAGCCAGGGATGAAGAAAGGCTCAAGGCAAAGATTGAGCGAAGTCAAGTTGCTGGTACACCATCCTCAACTATGTCAAATGACAAATCACCTACAAGCGTTGCGTCTGAGACGACCTACAATCAATCCGGAACCTCTACGCCAATGAAGAGCATCTCACCAGGCCCTTCGACTCCTCAATTATGTCTTCCTTCAGATGTTCCTCTTCATATGCAGGAGCCTGAACAAGTTTCTTTGCCAAGCAGTTCTCCTGTGGCTCCTACTGCGGACCCAAATGAAACCGGAAATTTTTCAGATCATTCCTCGGAATACAGCGCAGACAAATTCATCCCCTTCCAGCCTCAAGGCCCTCTCCTGGAAACAATGACACAACAAGAGCCACTTCGATGGCTACCTCCGAATACCAATACGCCAGCTGCAGCGAAGAAATATGATCTTCCAGTCTTCACATCCACCTCCACCATACCATTTGGCCCGAACTCTAAGGTCGTTGGCAATCAGAACGAACCTTCAAACTCACACGTCAAACAAGATTCTCCTTCCGAACCTACACAATTAGCTCCCTCGATCTGGGACAATTCACTCACACCACGAAACCAATAAATTCTTTCTAGGAAAATCTCCTTTGTATGCATATTAAATTCAATCGACGTTGGTAAAGAAACATCCATTCCCATGTTGGTTATACAAGCCTACAGTCTCCATTTGTTTATGATACCCCTTAGAAGGCAGTTTTAGGGGGAAGTTTGGGGGAGTAGGTCTGTCAGGATATTTGTATGAGTTCAAGGTTTTTCAAGTAGAGAGCAATTAATTATAATTATCAATGTGTTGTGTTTTAGGCGTGTAAATGTCATCGTCAATGTCTATTTCGTCTGTCTAAGGATGTTCGGGTGGATTTATAAAACAAGCCCAAGTTCAGCCAAGGACAGACTACTTGGTAATTAATTTCTTGAACAACACTCTTCGCGAATTAAATTTCTTCATACTATAGGTGAGCAGTTACAACCCATGATCGAGAACCATAAACATACGGGGTTGTGTTCCGCCCAAAATATGACGGGGAATATCACGTGAACATTAAAAAAGTACGCTAGTGCACCGGCTAGCGAGATCGTGAACTTTTCCCACACAAAACAATTTTGAAGATTTTGCACTTCTCAATCGACAACCGCAAGAACTTTCGACAAACCACCACCAACAACTCCCCAAATACCGTAATCATGGGTCGCGTTCGTACCAAGACAGTTAAGAAGTCCGCCAAGGTCATTATCGAAAGATACTACCCAAAGTTGACTCTCGATTTCGAGACCAACAAGAGAATCTGTGATGAGATCGCCATCATTGCCTCCAAGCGTCTCCGCAACAAGGTAAATGAAATCTTCAATTGAGCGAATTTCGACAAAAGATCTAATAATCGATAAATAGATCGCCGGTTACACCACCCATTTGATGAAGCGTATTCAACGTGGACCAGTCCGTGGTATCTCCTTCAAGCTTCAAGAAGAGGAGAGAGAACGTAAGGATCAATACGTTCCAGAGGTTTCTGCTCTCGATGTTTCCAGCACTGAGAGCGGACAACTCGAGGTTGATGTTGAGACAAAGGAGCTCCTCAAGAGCCTTGGTGTATGTATTTTGCGCAATGCGAAACTTAATGTCTTTTCTAATATTTTATCATAGTTCGATTCTATCCCATGCAACGTCACCCCAGTTACTCAAGCACAAACTACCGAGCGTGGACCAAGACGATTCGGCGACAGACCTGCCCGCAGAGAATAAATTTATGCATTTACAAAGGGTATGGGGGATTTTATTCGGAAACACATGGATCTGATGGCTACTGGCGTATAAAAGGACAGGAAGTGTATACAGATCAATGTGAGAGAATTCCTCCCAAACTAGGTGTCGCCTGTGATGCTCCTTTCTTAGGAGTTGAGGCTTGATTGCCATCCTTCGGGAAAACTTCTCGCTTTTCGTGAATGTGATGATCTTCTAATGATACATGCTGTGAGCTTGATGCATGCGGTGGCACACATGCAGAATGAGCTCCGGCTCCCATGTGCGACTCCTTCATGCGATTCGTCCTGTTCAGTGGTAAGTTTTGCGTGCTCGATTTAGTTACCGTCTTGATTTTACGGAAGTCGAATCACGCTTGGAATTGAACTTCACCAATAAGGATTGGTTAGGTTAATCTATGTCATTGATCGTGACAAACTTAGGGGTATCATATTTTAGTCCTTCCGCCATGAGCTCCATAACTCCAAATAATACAATCATATTTTCCAATCTGTATCCATTTCAGTGTCATCATCGTCATCATTTTCTCCGAATAAATCTCCGTATCTGCTCCCAGGTTTAAATGTAGATGTATGGCCCTCGAGATCCAAATGCAATGTACCCATCCTTTCAGAAAGATCATTCGAGTCGAGCGTTGGAGGTTTCACATCACCCAGCTTGACCTCTTTCTCTATTATGGAGAAACTCGTAACGTGCCTCGACTCTTGACCAGTTTCTCCCCTCTCTAATGCAAGATTTCCAGATTTTCTCTGGTTCTCTTGGGCCTCTTGTTTGTTCAAGTCCAAATTCCCGATTCCATCCATAACCAAATCCTCCTCCGTCTTGGGTTCATCCAGTAGATCTATTTTCGTAGCAGAGCTTTCACCACTCCTTTCCCAGGCCGGGCATTCGCTCAGTTGAACCCGAATATACAAAGCACGCCTGGCACAAGTATCCGAGCACCATTTCTCAGCATCCTCTTTCTTAGCAATTCTAAAATCCTTTGCCTTTCCCGACATCCCCAACAATCTCCATTGTCCCCCTTTATTATCCCGAGGTCGAGGATTGGCACACAACGTGTACCCGCAGCGACTATCGAGGTTACGCTCGAGAATTAGGGCATCATAATCGCTGGGTTGAAAGGGTCGAAGCATCTCTTTGAATGCTTGCGCGTCTGACGGCGATGGGTTGGAGGCATCATATGGTGCGGTTTCGAGGGGGAAATCAATGAGTTCTTCGGTTGAGGTTAGGATTTCTAGTTCGATTTCTTTGCGTTCTTGGATGAGGCGCGCGTGGTAGAGAGCTACTTCGCGGTCGCGCTCGGCTTTGGTTTTGATGGGTGGGTGATGGGTGGTTTTGGGGGTGTTGGAGGTGGCGGGGTAGGAGGCGGTTTGCTTTAGGATTGATTTGGGCTTTTGGGGAGTCGACATGTTTATGTATATTTTTGGGTTTGTGCGCAGGTTGGAGGTTGGGGGTTGGAGGTTGGAGGTTGGAGGTTTGTTTATGTTTGATGAGATATATGATATGAGGTTTTGATGGTTTTATCCTAGAGCTAAATAATCGATTGATTAGTCCGATTAAGAGTAATCTAAGCAGCTAGTAGGGAGTAGGTACGGTAATAGCCTAAAATATAGGGAGCTTTGTACGGCATTACTGTAGGTAGTTTCAAGTAGCTTGGTTGAAGAAAGAAATCAATGTCATATCGATTTATCAATTGGGAAGAAAATAATAATAGAAATCCTTCGATTCAATGTAAATAGTAATAAGCTGTAGAGTAAACTTCAAATCCGTGAACCGATTAGAAAACCCTTGTACTCTTGAGCCACTCTTGCTCACCCACTCATAACTCGTGCCTGTGCCTCAAAGTGCCACATCCATCTAAAGTACCTACTCAAGCAAGCAATATTGAATAACTTGGAAGCTTCTTTACCCACCAGATCATGCAACAGGTCATATAGGAAATCTCCCAAGGAGCAGCGCGCAAAGCACCACAAATCAAACCATACAGCATACGCCGCCTTGCAAACCTTCATATTGCATACCTTGGTTCCCCTCCAATAAATCTCTAGTTAATGTATTGATACCTGCTTGTTTACAAAAGAAAAAGAACTACATACTACAGATTGAACATTACTCAATCAATAATTAATATTTAGTTTAGCTTCGGGAATTCTCACCTCTTGGTAAGTCTTCTTCTATATGTGGTCAACTTTCAAGATACATCCCGTTTATGCCTTCGTTTCATTCATGCGCTGACGTAGACTACCTAGCAGAGTTTAGATACAAACACCGCCCCGCCTCTTTCAGATTTCCCGACATTTTCCTCCCCTTCTCTACCATTCCAATTCAGTCAATATTACAAAAGAAAGATTGTGTCAATTGTATTCCATCTGGCAAAGTTTCACTCCTTCAATCCACCGCTAGGTTGGTACGAACATCATCCGTTACAAAATCGGACTTCGGTGGTTGGTAACTCGTTGGGACCGAGTTACAACATCAACAATAACTTTGAACCACAACCTTTACCTTCAACATGTCCATTCCACCATTCAAAGTGAAGGCGATATTTGAATATACGTCACCGCATGAAGATGATCTTCATTTTCCGAATGGTCAAATTATTACCGTGACGGAGGAGGAAGATGCAGATTGGTATGCTGGAGAATATGTTGATACATCAGGAGTCAAACAAGAAGGTATCTTCCCACGAAATTTTGTGGAAAAGTATGAACCTACTGCACCTCCAAGACCTATGCGTGTTCATCGAGCAAAGAAGGAGTCGGAATCAGCTCCTGCTGCTGTCGCTGCCGAACCAGTGAGAGAACCAGAACCACATCTTGAACCCGAAGCACAACCTGAAGAGGTTCCCGAAGCTCCTGTTGTACAAGAGAGACAACTTCCTCCTCCTACTCAACGGGCTCCACAGGCTAAAGCTCCAAACCCCGCCTCCCCGCCTCCGCCTTCGACACCGGCAGCTACAAGACCAACTCCAAGTCAAAAACCAGCTTCTCCTTCTGTCAGTGAAAAGCCAAGCGGTGGGTCATTTCGGGATCGTATTGCAGCTTTTAACAAGGCTGCTCCTCCGCCAGCTCCATTTAAACCCACGGGTTTTAGTTCCGGAAGTTCGAATAATTTCATCAAAAAGCCATTTGTTGCCCCACCTCCGAGAAAAGATGCTTATGTTCCTACACCTCGTGAGCCGCCGCCACAAAAGATTTACAGACGTGAGGAGGACCCCGAGATTGCAGCAAAGGAGAATGAGAATCAAGAACAGGCCGAGCGAGCAGGGTTGGCGCCAACTTCTCCAGGTAACAATAATGAAGAGGAACAACCCAAGCCAACAAGTCTCAAGGAGCGTATTGCTCTTTTGCAAAAGCAACAGATGGAACAAGCTTCTAGGCATGCGGATGCAGCACAAAAGAAAGAAAAGCCCAAGCGCCCACCGAAAAAGAGAACAGAGTCTCATGAAACTACCGAAGAGGGTGATACTGCTAGCTTAGAACAACCGGACACAGGGGATAGGCCAGGAAGCATTTCAATGGATTCCATAAAGGAAGAAGGAGGCGCACTACCACGAAGAACCAAATCATCTCGCGGACCTATTCCTTCAATTGATGATGGTAATGAAGCGGATATGTCTGGAGCAGCTGAAACTGCGGAAGAATTGGAAGATACTGGGAAGGATGATAGCGACGATAAACCCAGAGCCAAACCTCCTCAACCACCCGTTCGTGCTCCAGCGGCTCCAGTTGTAGAGCCAGATGTTGGCGAGGAAGAAGGGGCTGTTGAGGAACCTTCACCTATTGAGGCAGGGGAGGAAGAGGAAGAAGATGATGATATTGATCCCGAAGTAAGGCGCAAAGAAGAATTGCGAGCGCGAATGGCAAAAATGAGTGGTGGCATGGGTATGTATGGAATGTTTGGTGGTGGAATGCCAATGGCAGCTCCTCTCCCACCAAAGAAGAAGAAACCATCAGTACCCATTCAAAAACGTGAAAGCGCGGCTGGATTAGAATCAATAACTTCTCCAGTAGCCAGCGCGCCACCTGTACCAATGATTCCTTTGCCTGGTATGTTTAGAGTTCAAAGCCCTGATCCGTTAGGAAAACAAGCAGATGCGGAAGACGAGAAGAGGCCAGTCTCATTTGCGCGTCCTGCTGATGTTATACCGGATGTTGAGGATGTTGTACCTGAAAAGGAAGTTGAATCGGCCCCACCACCAGGTATATCCCATGACCTACTTTGTTTAGTTTCGAGACTAATATTCTATCAGTACCATCTCACGAGATTGGTGTGGCACCCCCAATTCCAGGTGGACGACCAGCCCCTCCGCCTGTTCCAGCTGATTGTAAGTTATATCTATGAATTAATGAATCCTCTTTACTTATCATTCACTAGCTCGACCTGTTCCTGCACCTCCTCCAGCCCTATTGTCACCAGGTACCGGTTATGAATCTGATGATGAAATGACTGAGAAGATCCCAGTGACGGCTACAAGTGCTGAACCACCTCAAGCCCCTCCTCGACCTTCTGAGGCACCAGGTTCCCCACGATCACCGCCTACTAGAAGAGCCTCATACTTTAGCCCTGACCAATCACCGCGGTCTCCGGAATTGGTTGGTAGGCGTGGCAGTAGGGTCCCACCAATTCCAGCAGGTATTCCTACTCCATCATCTCATACTCGAGCACCTCCACCACCTCCACCTGGGGTGGGATTAAGCCGATCTTCAACTGGTGATCAAGAAGTCGTGCCTCACTCAAATCCACCTCCTGTACCTGTGGATGATGAAAAAGAAGACGAATATGAGGGTGATTATGATACCGATATTGCCTCTGCGGTACACCATAAAGAAGCTTTGAAGCATACTAAAGAAGCAAGTGTTGATGATACTGCTCTTCGATCTCCACTTGCTTCTCCAACATTTGCTCCTCCTCCCCTTCCTCCACCTACAGCTCCGAAAGCTGTACCACCACCATTGCCATCACATCCACCTCCTCGTCCATCAGGAGACGTTCCTAGAGTTGCTCCACCAGCTCCACCACCGCCACCGCCTGGGAGGGCACCAGCTCCATGGGAACCTGATAATAATGAATTTGATCCTTATAATCATTCAACAGCGGCAAGCGCACCAGTTCAGGTTGCTCCAGCTACACCAAAAATGGAACCTGTTGAAGATGATTTATATTCAGCTTCCCCACCAAGATCATTTGCCTCACCTAAACAAGGTCGAGCTCCACCTCCACCTTCAAATAAGCCGTCAATTAGGCAATCTTTAGATCTCAATCGTGCTGCTGTTACTGGTGCAAGAAGATCTGTGGATCTAAACAGAATGTCTATGGATCCTGGTTTTATGGCTAATGATGTTGACTTGGCGGTTGGTAGCCAATGGTGGACTGTTAAGAAAAGTCTCCCACCTGTTTTACAAGCTCGAAAGGACATTTTGACAGAATCGGAAGATACATCATCAATTTCTGATACGAATCAACCTGTTGTCACAAGAGAACTCTATGTCTTATTTCATGATTACTCTCAAACAATTATCGCAGCTCAATACAATCCAAAGGATCCTTCGGAATGTCAACTTGAACAAAAACATGAAGCACCGCCTGCTCGTTTACGTCAAGATCAATTGGAAGACGCTCATGAACGTTTTGGTAAACGTGTCATTGAAGCAGTAAGTGTTAGACAAAATACTATTGTGGGTGATGGTACTCCTCAAGGATTAATTCTTGAATTGTTAAAACCATTGGCCGGTGTTCTTATGCCAGTAGGAACTCGAGCATATGGTGCACTTGTCTATAGTAATATGGCAAATGCATCAACTCAACAATTTGATGAAATTCGACCTGGTGATATTGTCACGTTGAGAAATACTAGATTTCAAGGAAAACATGGATCCATGCATACGAAATATGCAGCAGAGGTTGGTAAACCTGATCACATGGGAGTAGTAGCTGAATGGGATGGAACGAAGAAAAAGCTACGCGCTTGGGAACAGGGACGAGAGAGTAAGAAGGTTAAGTTGGAGAGTTTTAAGTTGGATGATTTGAGGAGTGGTGAGGTGAAGATTTGGAGGGTTATGCCTAGAAGCTGGGTTGGTTGGGGTGAGGGAAATTGAGATGTGATGTTGGAGTGTGGAGTTTGCGGTGTGTGATTAGATTGTGAAGGGAGGGGGAAAGTGAGGGACGAGAAGGACTGTGTGCGTTGTGATATTAGGATGGGACGATGGGATGATGTGGTTTTTTCGCAATTGTGAACATGTTCTACATATCAGACGGGAATGCGATTGCGAATGGAATGGCATGAGATGAAATGCGATGAACTGATTTGAATCGAATTGATGAAAAGATATCGATTATAGCGGTTGGTTGGAGCGTGTATTGTGTATACAGTTTATTAGGCAGGCAGGCAAGCAAGCATAGCATGATTGGTTGATTTGATTAATTAATTAATTAATTAATCCATGAAAAATTCACATTTTTCCTTTTCCCGATCTGATCTGCTCTTCTTCATTTAAACTCTTATGCATGCTAGAATATGGCAGATCGTATCGTATCCTGTCTGGATTGGTGTTATGGAGTATGTACGCGCAATACTCTGTAGAGTGCAAATTAATAGAATAGGAATACGAAGGGAAGGAAGGAAAGATTTTCTCCGCTTTTAACTTTTATTGGGTTTGCTGGTTTTTAGTAGAGAGGAGATAATGGATAGTTGATAGGATAGGGGAGATTGTTGTAGGGGAGATAATGGATAGTAGATCGGGAGTAGATAGGTGTGCAGTGCGTACGGATATGGAATATTGGAGTACCTATGGAGTTATATTTCCTTTGCCCCTGATTATGGTATTAGCGTATTAGTGTAGTGCAGTGTGGAATAGTGTAGAATACATAGTGTGGCATCGGTATCATAATGTCTCGACCTTGTTGAGCTTGTAATGCTATGGTTTGATTTGATCTGATGTGATGGGGAATTGGAGGGGGGTGGGAAGGGTGATAAGGCGAGGGAGGATATTAGATACCTGGTACTGAGGTAAGGTAAGATCTTAGCTAGCTAGCTATCGCTTAGCTATCGTATAAAGTGCAATCTCGAAAAAAAGCGGATTTAAGTAGAATTGCTATTGTACGAGTATATGCATGAATATCGTAGCGATTTTCCATATCGATTTTGCGATTCGGTAATCTGCTCTGTATGGAACGGAAAAGATTGAATTTCCGCCACACCCACGCCTACCTAACCTTACAATGACGATCGATCGGTCCATAATTCATCCGTAGATAGAGAGATTTAACTTTGTACCTTCGTATATATGGAGTATGTATACTAGGTAGGGATATGTGGAGAACGCATTAACATCTTTCGTATTTTCGTTTTTTATTTTGGGTCTTCGTATTCTTTGACGTGGGTTGCGTTACTAGGTATATTGTGCGCCTTTTTAGTCTTAGGGGGGGAAGGATATACTGATTATATTATATTGTGTATAATTACTTCGTGGAAGTACCTTTTTCTGTATTTTGTTTTATTTTGTCGTATTATATTTTATTGTACTATATTCTGCTGTGTTCTATATATATATAATCATCACTATATCTCTTCTCTCTTTCCCCTACGGACTATTCCCTACCCCCTATCTTCCATCACACATCACCACCACAAACCACAAAATGAAAATTCCAGCAGTCACCAGCCTCCTGGCTCTAAACGATGTGCAAATAGCACAAGCATCAGAAGGTCACTCATCAAATGTAGTATCTATGCCAATTCATCTTTTATATGGAAGTTTGAGTAAAGTCACTACGTCGGTTATGGTGGGGAGTGCAAATAAGAAGATTGGACAGAGTATTGAGGTTGTGGTTGATTATGGGAGTTCGGGATTTTGGGTATGTTTTTTTCTGTGCTTTTTTTTGGTTTCTTTTTTGGTTTCCTGGGAGAGGGGATATTGGGTACTGGGGCATTGGGTTTGATGGATGTCTTTGCCCAAGATGGTGGATGGATATACAAGCCCGAAGCCCCCTTAAATTATAGGGAGTCTTCGAATCCAGATCCAAATCCAATATCACAAATCACATAAATCATCCATCACTATGAACACAATCTAACAAACCTAGGTATTCGGTCCCAACGCAACCATAAACTACGGATCTCAATACCTAGGATTTCAAGGAGCATGCAACACCACACCACAATTTTACTACCACACCGATGACTTCAAAGTTTCCAATTTCAGCGGTACCTATTCCTACGGAGGAAATTCCAAGATCCTAGACGCGGACAAAGCCGTCAACGATACATTGTATTTCCCATCCTCCCTTCCAGGCCCCTCAATCCCCAACATCAAAGTCGCGCTCGTGTCCTCAGGAACCGTGCGTCAATATGTTGCAGACGGAGATCCATGTCCAGGACTCTCCTACGATTATGGAATCATGGGTCTTGCATCTACTGTGGGGGTAGACTCAGGACCTAACATCAAAAGCGAATTATTAAGCCAAGGACGTATATCCTCCTCAATCGTATCCATGTATTTCGACTCCCCCCCAGCCAATTCTCCCCCAACCTACAATTATACCGGAACTGTTCTCTTTGGCTCCCTACCTCCTTCTTCCTCCTATACTGGATCCCCAGTCTCGGTTCCTATCGTCACACCCGCCGGTGAAGGCGAATATTATATTTCCCTCCCCACAATCGCACACGGAAATACCAGTATCGCATTCGATTACCCAGACACAACATGTCTAGTCGATTCCGGCTCATTAGCACTATCCCTCCCCTACTCCTCCGACAACACCGAATTTTTCCAAGCAACAGGTTTCAGCAATTATGATTATGATGTTGCGTATCCAAGTGCATGTGAAGATATCCCCAGGGATTTAACATTGGATTTTACCTTTAAGAATGCAACTACGAGTACGACGGTTAAACTTCCGTATAGATATCTAGCACGAGGTTCATCGGGGCCAGGTGGTGTCACGCCAGAGGGCATGTGTATTATGAGTATTTCGCTGGGAAGTGAGTGTACGTTTGGAGCGCCTTGGTTTTTGGGATCGAGTGTGGGGGTTGATGATGATGAGAAAGTGGTTTGGATTGCGCAGGCGAAGTTGTGAGGAGGAAATTATAAGGAGACAGTTGTGAGCTAGAGGGTTCCAGTGTATAAATAGAAGCAAAGAAGTCAGGCAAAAGAACGGATGAGTTTTACCCAGGCGAAGTTGTGTGACGAACTTGCGAGGAGAGACTTATGAAACAAACTCACAACGAAAAACTATCAAAAACAAGAAAACCTCCCCATATAAACAGAAGCAAGCAAAAGCTCAAGTCAAGGCCCTCTCAAAAAAGAACGATAACTTTCGCATGAGCCAAGATCTATCTTATTTATGATACCTCCTACACTCATCAAGGATCAATTCCTCGGAAGGAAGGAAGGAGAGGGAGGAGGGAGGAGGGAGGGAGGAGGGAGGAGGGAGGAGAGGAGGAGGAGGAGGAGGAGGAGGGAGGAGGGAGGAGGGAGGAGGAGGAGGGAGGAATCGATTGAAGAAATTGAAATTAAGAGTTAGAGTTAAGTTTTATTTTCCTTCTGTTTGGGAGTTGATGGGATGATGTTATGGATGGATGATGAATGTAATGTAATGTTGAGATATGAGTGCTCAAGTACTCATTCTTACTCTCACTTACATGAGTTGAATAAGAGTATGAATGAATGGAACACGTTAGGTCTGTCTGTCAAGCAAGCCCAGGCATCGACTCTAATTAGGTAGGTATAGGAAATCAAGAACAATATAATACCTCTCTAGGTATCTAAGACTGATGATTTCCACCTATGAGTAAATATATATGCTATATAATTGACATGACATAGCATCTGTATATCATCTAGCATTCTCATAATAAATTCTTTTAAAATGTAAGATTTTACATATGTAACATAATATACATACAACCATTCATTCATTCCTAAAACCCACTCAAACCATAACCCTCTCCACTACCATTCTGTTTCAAAAAATTAGTCTTCCTAACAGGTGGCGTAAAATTCCATTGCAACGGTTCAGGAATCTCATCCACCTTATCCTCCTTAATAGCAATGGCATCTCTATCCGCCGGTAAGATCGATAAAACAATCTTACCCTTTGAATCAATATAAGCATGTTTAGGTTCGACCCAAGTTTTAGAACCTCCATATTTCTCCGGCTCGACATATAATAATCCAGCAACTTGTTCTTGGCCTCGCATTCCATAAGCTTGACTGGGTCTTACATCAAATTGAGTAAACCCAGCTGGAATATCCACGACGACTCCTCCAACTCCCAGAACGGGGGCCGCTCCAGATGCATTCTTAGGCATGACGATACGAGCTTCGACAGGGGGATGATGTGCTTGTGGTCCATAAAGTGCGTGATTGTATGTCCAACTGCTACTTCGCGAATAGGATAATCCAGCCGAAGGATGGGTTTTTGGAGGACCAGATTCGGCGTATGGAGATGGGGAGGTGGGAATATCAACAGGTCTGGGTCTTCTGGTCGATCCTAAATCATAATAATCGGGACTATCTTCTTCGGGTATAGGAGCTGGTGAGGGTGCAAGATCGAGGAAGGCACGGATTTGTTGGTACAGGGTGGATTCATCATGTCGAAGATGACGGATATATGAAGATAATTGATCTTCAGTGATTTGATCCGCGGTTATCTCTGAGATATTTGTAAAATCCCCATCATTCTCAAGTGCTTTAGCACGAGCCTTAGCACGAGCTTCACTCGTAAGAGATAAGGCACAAGATTCCCTAAGAAATTGTCTGAATTCGCTCTTTTTCCTGCCCACCTCTTTCGCAATATAAGCTTGGAATTCTCCTTCTGTGAGACCGGCAAGCCATGGTCCCGAAAACTTCCAACGTGTATCATCTTTACCCTGACCTATAAGTGCCGGATGAATAGAATCACTCCTCACTGTCGTATCGATATTATCCTCAAACACACTCCTATGCCTAGGAATATTTTGATCCCTCGTAGCCACCAATATCAATTTACTAGGTCTAGGAGTCGAGATGGGAATATTCATTTCCTGCCATTTCCGCAACGTCAAACTATGATCGGCCGCAGAACCAAACTCGGTAACGTGCTCGAAAGTATCGATGGATTCTACGCGTATGATGGGTGTAGATGTGCGCGTGGTAGCTCGTAATGGTAAGGGACGTTTGAAACCCCAATCACCTTTGGCGAGGGAGGATTGGGGAGTGGTGATTGATTGATGGATTGGATGGGGGAGGGTCGCAGTATTGGAATCGAAGGTTGCTTGAGAGGAAAGAGTGCCGGTTGGTCGTGGGAGAGGATTAGGAATTGCGAAGACTCTGGATGCTCTTAGAAGTGCCCCGCCGGGTGACATACGAGTTGATGCCATTATTGAGGATTCGAGCTCTTCTGAGCTTTGAGATGGATTATTGTAATATTTGGTATACCACTTCCTCTAGAAGTTCACCCCCTCAATCTTCCCTGCCTTCCTTACTTATCGTAATTGTTGTGCGTGGGAGGCAATGGCACATTCAAAAATTATAATTATGACGGGACACAATCTTGAGGTTCATGATAATTTTCAAGATTACACTAGTCTATTTTGGGATTCGACGATTCCTTAATTATGAATGAGAGGTCAAGGATAATTTGAATGTCGGCTTGCCGACTTCATAACCTTGCTGTACGCGAGGTTTATTCGGTGGGTGATGGAAAATGAGAAACTTGTTTAAATGAGTTGCGATTCTGATAATCTGATTGGTTTAAAATACTCTGGTAAATACTTTGGTAAATAAATCTAACAAAAAGCTTGATATAAACCTTACAATTTTAGGTAAATCTGATTTGAAGCTTTTTTTAATTCAATTCAATTGAAATCATCTAATTTAATTGAAATCATTTAATTATTACAATTTATAATTTAGATTATAATAGTATTATTGATATTAATGATTTAGATATTGATTATCAGAGAGGTATAATTTAATTGTTGTTTTCAAAGAGTTTAATCGTTTAAAAATAAAAACTTAGAATTTTTATATCATAAATCACTTACATTTAAGATTATAATGATATTGTAAGTGTCGGTGATTTAACCGTCGACTACAGAGGGGTTCTTTATCGCTATGATTAGGAATCTAGGACTTCTAGAATTAGTGTTCTAAATAATTATAATATAATAGGATAAGTGTCCTAATTCTACGAAATAGATTAGAATAAGATTACTTTAGGATATTTATTCTAGAACAATTCCTTTAAGATATCAATTATCTTAAAGAGGGGATTATCTTGAGGTGATTACGGTAGGAAAGGATTGCTAGAATTAGCTTATCAGGATGGAAATCATGTGATAAAGCTTTCAAAAGTATAGACTCCCTTAAGCTCCTTGGAGTCCTCAAAAACATAGGTTTCTTAAAGCTTCTAGAAGAATCTAGTATATAGTTAGAATAGTTTTATAGTTTAGAAGCTTCGTGTTACAGGGTAACAGTCAACCTGTCCACATGAGCTTAGGCCTCATCAAAAAGCAAGGCGATTCGTATACAAATTTGTATGGTAATCGCCTCATGTGGTCTCCCCACCCTCAGCAAGCTCGGACATATGGTCTGATCGTAGTCACGTGATTGATCATAGGATCTAGGGGATCTAGAGAATCGTATTCTAGATTCACTAGATCCTTATGATCCAATTGATACGAAGGTCTATATAGCTAGGAAAGGATTCCTTTTGTAAGAGCTTCGTGCTCAAGATCAATCATTTAGTATACTCTACTATAGTTACGAATTGCAACCATTGATATTATTTAAAGCCCCTGCTTGACGCCTAGTTATAAACCCTTCGAGGATCCAGGCCACTTCCACATGATCTAGATCGCATCCCTCGTAACACTTCCCCTTCCCCTCAACACATCAAAACACCAACAAGTTAAAAATCAAAACACAAACAAACAAACAAACAAACAAACATCATCCCTCCCTCCCTCTCCCTCCCCTTCCCTGCCCTCCTTTTCTAATCCATCACAAATCCTCCATCAAATTACTGCCCAAAATCCAAACCATAACCATAACCATAATCATAAATAACCTCAAACATCTACCACTACCAATTATATATTTAGTACTGCCGTACAAGACTACAAGTAGAGTAAAAATATACCAAGATATACTTATCTATCTAGTATAATATAAACAAACAAACAAACAAACAAACAAACAAGTCATATAGTGATACAAACAAGTGATACAAATAAAATGACATCCATCACTCAAAACCCAAAGAAGGTATCACTCACCTACTCACCCACTCACCCACTCACTCACCAAATCCATCCATCCAAATCATTACAAAAAAGAACAAAAGACAAATAAGTAAATTCAAGCATACGCCCAGAGATCAGCGATTATAAACTCTACACCAAAAAAATTTAATCTTACCAAAGCATATCGCTGACTTGCATCTCGGGTCAGATCATCCATGCATCATAAAACGATGGCCTAGGAATCAGGAATAGGAATATGTAATCTCAGTTAAAACCCTCATAGAATAGAAATCATAATGTAATCATACATACATATCTATCTATCTATCTTTCCGTGTCGTATATCCCCCACGCTTTAGGCCATGTGATTTTGATCAGCATGAAATCCCAACGAGTCTCATCATCATCATTATTAATATCATCTGACGAAGAATTTTCGATCAGTCAATAATATAAATTACGACGAAGCGAATAACACAGCAAAAACAATGATGTTTCCATAGTCCACAAAACGTCCCGATATCCAATCCCAATATGAACATTGAAAGATCAACACCTTTAGTTGTACTAACGAAAACGTTTTTCACACGTGCTCCGCATCACAAGTTTCAGTTTAACTAGTAGATCTTGCTGTAACATTTCATAGCCTCTTATGCGAAGCTGAATTTTTAAATAATAGGATTTTGATAGTGGATCGAGGATCGAGGATCGAGAATTCCTATGGCGGTTACATGTTCCACGCTGATCTTATAGGACGATGCCTTTTCTATATACATATATGTGGGGTGGAATCATGCCTAAACGTGGTGATGGAGAAAAATGATAGGATGATTTCTATAAAAATATGCCGAATAGAAGGCCAGAGCCTCCTTTCCGAGGTTGGGTTACATATTCCGTTAAAGTCTCTTATCCGTCGGAAGGATATGACTTCCGGAACTGTGCCACAAGTAGAGTTTATAATGGTTATCACAACATACTTGGATCGGCAGAATTTATACCACTCGGAAATCTTTTCGATATAATATAGTTTTGAAAAATGGGGTTTGCTGTACGAAATACCCCGCATGAAAATCCAAACGATCATTCTCGCATGACTAGTATTGAAGTCTGGCGAACCATGGTAAGTACCATAATCTTCGAGTTTAAAGCCTTTAAATAGCTTATTGTCGGTAATTCTTGAGAGTGGCACACAAGTAAAGGACAGCTGCATAAGATCTGGTCGCCTTTTTTTCGGTGGGACATGTGGTAGACCGAGAACGTGGCTTTGATTGGAAAAGTAGTGAAGCACAAAACCTGCTCAAAAAAATACGAAATCCTCATTTGTTCTACACCAAAAATGTAGTCATGAAAATTTGGAAATCTTTAGATATTGGTTCTCCGAGTGAAGCGACGCGGCCCAGGAAATTGGGCAAGATGGTGAACTTTTCTAAACTCGGACACTTGACAGCGAATCAGATGTGAGTGGTAAAATGTGGCTTCTATTAAAAACACAAATGGTAAAATGCCACACTTGTAAAATTGCATGGCCGTTGTCATGCACACGGCAGAACCAAGATAGTCAAAAGTTTGATGAAAGATCGAATTTGCCCTGATTTCCGCCATATTTCACGATGAAATAGAAATAAGAACATCAGTCTAGATCGCTCGCCCCGTAACTTTGTTGGCCCCGTGTTCCCAAGACTTTTGAGTCTTCTCAAGACATACGAAGCAAATCATGGCTGAGATGAAATGGAAACGTACGCATTTCCATAGAAATGGACCACACAAGAGAGTAAAGATAAGATTTTCAATATTGATAGAGATTCATTGGAAGAAAACGGTTATAAAAAGTTATAGGGCAGCAAATGGAGTAAATTGAGTGGGGTGACTGGTCTTGCATAAGGGCGCGTGAAGGAAGTTCTAAATGCTTTAACCAATAACCCAATGTCCAGGGCAACTAAATCACATTTGGGTCAGCACAACCTTGAACCAAGCCTCCCTCTCGAATGCTAGACTCAGCTTGCATTGTTGCTATTCGTGTTGAGGCTGACTATCTCAGTAGGTAGAAAATAATTTTAATGGAGTAACGTCTTTTTTCAGATGACCCAAGCAAATGACAAGTGAGCGGGTGAGTGAGTGAGCTACGATCGGGCATCGAATCGAATATTCCTTTGGTAGGCAGAATGGCTAAGAAATTGGCCGTTCGTGATAAGATTTGGTAGAAGTGAAATACATGTATGTAGAACTCCGTCATCCAGTCAATTGAATGAGCAAGGTTACATTCAAGGCTATGTATGTAACATGGTCGAGCGGCGAATCGAAAGGAAAATAGATTCCGACAGAATTTACTTGTAATGGTTGGATGTATGTATGAATGAATGAATGAATGAATGAATGAATGAATGAATGAATGGCTCACCGCAAAGTATTTCAATCGAGCTGTGCGAGCCGACGGAGCTGTCCCGATGCAGACCTGAATCACGGCTCCTGTGAGAAGGGTTTGATTGTTATGGAGTATCACCGTGTGAAGTCTGTGCCATTGAAGAGGTGAGTAACGATCAGCTACTTCTTACATTATTGTGTACTTTTGAATATGTCATCGTGCACGCCAATCTGCCACGAAGGAATTGTCGGTGGAGAGAAGTCGAGATGTGAAACTCGAAAAATCCATCGGTAAGGAGTTAATGGGTATGGAATGGGTATGGAATGGGTATGGAATGGGTATTGTCGGTGGAGAGAAAGGAATAATATTTCCCAAAGTCGAAAAAGAATCGGTCGGAAAATGATGGATTGGCACATGAGTGGCTTAAAAGAAAAAACTCCGTACTCCGTAAAAGAATTATATTACTTTAATCGGATGATGGCGCACATCACGCCAAAACTAGTTTTCTGATCATGATCCGTTGGAAAAAAAAGAAAAGAGGGAAAAAAGGATATAGTCCGTAGCAGAAGAAATGCATGCCCCGCTGCGTGCTCAAATAATGTGACGATGGTTTGATTTAATTGTTGCTTGATGGTTGGTTCGTGGTTGGCTGAGGTTAAAACAATTGTGTCCAACGGTTGAAATGATATTCCCATCCTATCCTATCGGAAACCATTGCGCTTGTCTTTGGATCAGAAGGATGGAAGAAAGGAAAGAAAGAATGGATGGAAAGGATGGAAAGGATGGATGAAAACATTAGGAGGGTGATAGACAAATAATCATAATAATCATAATAATCATAATAATCATAATAATCATAATAATCATAATAATCATATAATAATCATAATAACACATTGAGTGACCAAAGGAGCTGTAGAAAGAAAGAGGAGTGCGAACCCTTCCTTCTCTCTGGCTCGAGAATGCCTCAAGTGACGGAGAGTTTTATGGCGGCAGGTCTTTTGGGGAACTTGAAGCGACAATGATTTGCTATGAATTAGTGCTATGAATGCTTATTACCGGTAATGGATGCAACCTTTATCATGATGGCTTGATCTAGACATTGGGATCTTCACTGCTCCCTTGGCATGATGTTTTCTACTGGAAGAAGCGATACGTGATATGTTGATGTATGGAAAAGGATGAGTAAGAATTGTGTTCCCATGTCAGATTTTATCCACAGGGGAAAAGAGAGAGAGAGAAGTAAAAGCAGTTGAATGAATGAATGAACGGATGGATTGGTGAATGTTGTTTCCATCTCCTACCTTCTCTTTTACCTCGAACCTCTTCTTCTACCATTAACCTCGTCTTCTACCATTAACCTCTTCTTCTACCATTAACCTTCTCTCCTACCATTAACCTTCTCTCCTACCTTCAACCTCCTTCTCTCCCTTCTCCCTCTCCCTCTCCCTCTCCTTTCTACCTTCGCCTCCAACCTTCTATCATATTCTTGCCGTGCCTCTTCATTACATCCATCCATCCATCCATCCATCCATCCTCCATCCATCCATCCTCTCTACATCTCACTACTCTCACTGCCTCACACGTATCTTTCTGATCGACCCACCCACACAACGCCTTCCGTCTTTTATTCCCGCCCCCATACTAATTAATTAATTAATACGGAGTGTGGTGATGATAAAATAAACTTGGTTCAGGAAAAGAAAAGAAAAGAAAAGAATCAACTCCACCGCCGTTCCACTTGGAATCTTTGACTTTATCCATTATCCATCCATGATCCATTCACCACTCCACATATCGGAATCGCATTCTCGATATATCAAATATCAAATATCAAAAGCTCCCAAAATCCATCAACGCTACCAAAAAGTATCCACGTTTTCATCTTAGTGGTTTTCAAGTGTCTCAACTCTTCCGAATGCCCCTCTATCGCTCGAATCATATCAACATCAAAAGGTCCAAGCATCACAAGTATCCCACTTACTTAGGAACAACAACAACACCAACACCAACACCAACAACAACTACTTTTTCTTACTTTTACTCCATATCCTTCTAGAATAATACTTAGCATTACCAATCCGGAGTCTTGGAATATTGCCCTTGAATCAGCTTCATGCCAAATCATACATACAATTCGAAACACCACGTTTTCTACCACGTTATTGATGTACCACCACTTGGATTCAAGGAACCAAAAAAGATACAGTCATGTTAGTGTCTATGGCCGGAGTCGTCCGTCATCAATAAGTTGATTTACTTTTTTACCAAAAGTGTTGAATACTACTTCAACAACCCCTCAATATTCACTCATATCCATACCTACTCGAATATAATTCTCAATTGACTACTTCGAATCTACATTACATACTTTTCCTCTTTGACAATCCACTATCAATACACCGCACCGAATCTATCTTACCTTTCGCAAGTAAACCAAACCAAACCAATTTCAAAATGCCTCAATACATGCGAAGATATACTACCGATCATAGTACGAGTAGTAGAAATTCACGTCGGAGTGATGAATCTTCTCAAGAATCTCATAGCACAGCACCTACCTCAATATATGGCAGTCCTCGACCATCAATCCATCAATATTACGCCGAAAAACCCATCTACTACCAAAAGGATAGTATAGAGTTGCCTCCTTATGACATATCCCCAGCAGCAACACAGTATCCTCGATCATCTCAAGAAACATACGCTTCAACCTCTCCATCTCAAGAAGATCTTTTTGACGAACCTGAAGATTTTGATCCAGAATATGAAGTACCGGAATATAAAACTGTGGTTGAAAATAACTTGAGACCATCCACCGCTCAAGATTTCGCACATTTCTTTCCTTCGACAAAACGTTTATACATTCGTCATGATGATACTTCTTATGATGGAAATATGAATCTTCGCGTCGAAACTGAAGATGGCCATGGTCAAGATAAAGAAGTAATTCAACTCTTTCATCTTCGAATGCATGATCTCAAGAACAGAGAATTTAGTCTTCGTCGATACGAACGCTCAAGTGGTCGAGAAGTTTGTCATTCGAGTATGAAATACGCAAAATCTGCCGCTGAAAGAAGACCTTCTTCATTAACTCGTTCGGTTAGTAATGCTTTTGCAAGTATTCGCAAACCATCCATGTCAAGAACAAATTCTGCAGTTTCTACTCATAAACCTACGGGAGGAATCAAAAGACATGATAGTGGTTATGCGTCAAATTCCGATTCCGATTCCGACGTCGAAGCATTCATGGCTTCAAAAAAACCAGCCGCCTCTCAGATCCCTACCAACACTACCAAGCTAGAATTTTCCAATTACGCTCAAGTAGAAGTTAAGCGTCGTGGAGCAAAAGCTTCAAAACGTTATGAATTCGAATATTGGGGTCATTCATATTCATGGAAACGTGTTGTGGAAAAAGATGGAGAAGGAAAAGCTATTTCCTATCATTTATTCAAAGGGGATTCCGGAGCAGCTGTGGCGCATATTGTACCGGAATTGAGATCACCGGCTCAAATACAAGAGGAGGAATTAGTTGGGGGTTGGGTACCACCTTGTCAGATGTGGATTAGCGATAGGAGTGTTTTGACGGCTGTTACAGATGTTGCTGAGTAAGTATTTCATTGTTTCTTTCGTACATATTCATCTTCTTTCCAATCCTACCCACAGAACAAATCTAACGTTCCAATAGCGTCATCATCTCCACTGGCCTCATAGCCCTCGTCGACGACAGCATAAAACGACATTTCGACCTTAAACCCCACTCCAAACCCACCTCATCTCATTCCTCCCACTCCTCCCACTCCCACTCCCATCCCCACTCAAACTCGCATTCAAACCCCCATACAAATCCAACCTCACAATCACATTCCCCCCGCACCCAAATCACCGTCCCCCTCCACCCCCTCAAAATGGACATGGAATTCGTAAATCCCCGCACGATGGTCGAACACATGTTTAAGCGGAGAAATTCAGGAAGTTCAAATAAATCACCCACGGAAGAGAAGAAAAAACATTCTCCGCTTAGATATGAAGAGAGGGTTGCTTATATGGGGAGAGTGTAGGGTTTCAAGAGAGAAACCGATATCGACAGATGTTTTTGATGTGTTACAGATTTGGATATGGATATGGATACGGATATGGATACAGACAGATGCAGTACAGCACAAGTACAGATTTGGATTACAGGACATTTTGGTTGGTTAGTGGGTTTTGGTTGGGTTGGTTGGTTGGTTTTGGTGGATGGGTTGGTAATTTTGATAATTTGATGGTTTCTGAAGCGAATGAAATGGGTGGATAGGATGCGTATGCTGCAGGTGTTTAGGATCGGGATGGGGATTGCGGTATCACTGTTAAAGTTAAAGTTAAGGCTAAGGAAATTTCACAAATGGAAATGGGAAAGGAAGTTTTGTTCGCGATCTTGGTCGTAATTCATTTATTTATTCCTTTCTTTACGATTTGTTTTTTTATTTGTTTATTTATTTACAAACACAAGCAAAAGAAGAGTACAAGCGCAGGCTGGAACACAATGGGAAGCAATATATGGATGAATGGATCAATAAATATGAGGGGGTTGAATTGGTACACAGTACACAAGTATATGTATGTTATGTTATGTATATTTAAATGAATGAGCTTGGATAAAAGAAAAGAAATGATTTCGGATATCAAGGCAAAATGCAATCCAAAGTCAAAGTCAAAGTCAAAGTCAAAGTCAAAGTCAAAGTCAAAGCCAAAGTCAAAGTCAAAGTCAAAGTCAAGAATTCAAAGGAAGAAAGATTGATTGATTGCATTATATATCTGATACCACCCGATAGTACCCCTTCCTCCCATTCCCATCTTCCACCTTGCCCTCCCATCTCCAGCTTTCCCTTCCTATCTCCCCGTTTGCCTTCCTCTTCACCCATTCACCCATCCACAACCTACCTTTCCACCTATCATACCTCCTCCCTAACTACATATATAGATAAATATTGAAAAAAAGGACATATTAATAAACACCATAGCCTAGCCCACCCAACGCAACGCAACAACAAGAGTCATTTATGCCCTATTTCCCAAATTTCCCACCTCATCTTTCCTTCTCACTTACCTTCCCTTCCCATCCATATCCCTACTCCCATATCCCACGCCCACAACAAAATCCAGAAGAGAAAAAGATAACTTGAACAAAAGCTATCATTATCATTGTCATAACATGCTCCAAGATAACCCAAAATCAAAATAACAAAAATCAAAGCTTGACGAGTAATTTTGTCGATGCTCAACACAATCATGTAGAGCCCCCCTGATATCCCACCTGACCCAATGAATGAATTGAAATTGAATCATTCCATTTAAACTCCCACTCTTCAATTCTTTCAAGATAAAAAATATTGATGATTTATTTTCATCAATTTATCATCTTTGAATGCAATCTCCAAGACTTCAATTTAACTTCAACATAAATCCTTAATTCCAATTACCAGGATGTCTGTCAATAACTTGAACCCAAGTATTTTGAGATGGTGCTCCAAATTGTGTAGCATTCCATGGTTGACCTGCATCACCGAATGATTGTGTAAAGTTTTCCATGTTATGAGTATTCATTGAAATACTTTCCAAGTCATCAATCCATGCATCGAAAGGTAAGATTGAAGCAGCTGAATCTCTATTCCATCCAGTTTGAGTACCTGGTGGTGCCATATTATGAGGTTGGTGAGTCATTGGAGGATGATAATGACCCATTTGTTGAAGTTGATTATAATTTTGAGCCTGTCCTTGATTACTATAAGGTGAGTTAATACTTGATGCTGACTCGCCATTTCCTGGACTAATCAAGCTAGGTGGATTGGAATCTTGATTAGGACTTGGTTGATAAGCTCCGTTTGGTATATATTGCGCGCCAGGATTTTGTTGCATCTCCATAATGGTGTTGCTTGAGGCATTGATAGGTGCCCAATTAGAAGGTGGTCTTGATCCTGTTCCTTCAACACCTTGCATAGGCTCGCCATTAGGATTAGGGTTAGTAGTAGTAGAACCAAGGTCGCTAGTACTACATCGAGAGCGGTTGTTTGGATAATCATCGGAATGAGAGTCACCTCCGGCGGTATCTTCAAGGCTACCAAATTCCTTCAAATCTTTTTCAAATCCCTTCCACTCATCCAATCCACCACCTTTCCATGAAACATCTTTCTTATACCTCTTAAATTCATTCTTTACCACCTTGTAGTATTTCATCATCTGCTCAATCCTTTTGTGGTAAGCTCTTGCCATTGTCAACCTCGGAACCATATCTTTTAGGATCTTGATAGGTAAGGCGGATCGACTTTCACCCATATAATCATTTGGATCCATTTGTGGGAAATGGACAGAGTAAACACCGGTAAACGCTGCATGGAAAAGGGCGAAAACAAACAATGGTGATTCGGGCAAAGCGTTATTGTCCTGGCAAGTCCTCATGATATCGACAATGTCCCTTGCCGATGAGAAAAGTGAATCGGCACTCTGTTCCCAAAATCCTTCCGGTATATCGAATTTATCTTTTGGGAATGTTGGTTCGTCCAACGGACCAGAAGGTTTATCGGCCCGAAGAGGGATGAAAGGTATATATTCCCTGTGAAGCATGATGCGACAGAGAGATACGAGCGTATGCAAACTTGCATATGTGGTCGCATTTCGTTTTTCCAAATGTGCATTCAAGTTGTCCTCAGAAAAGATAAGATTCTCTGGTAAACCACTGTAGAATTCTTCCAATTCATGGGAAAGTTTATAGAACTGTGTGGATTCATCCCATGGAGGTAAAGTTTCTGTTCGGCGACCTCCGTGAAGACTCCACTTCGAAAGTTTACCCCAAATTTCCACCAGACGACAATACCTGCTGAGCACACCACCTTCTTGAACTTTAGAATCGGTCATGGTAACTTTCTCGAAATCTCGATTCAAGTAACCTGTTTGGACAGATTGAGTGAATAAGAATTGATCATCAGAACATGGTAATTGCACTCGCAGAGTCTCAGACTCAACCATAGTAGGTCTGGCCTTTCCAGCGGAAAGCATACGATCCATGATAAAACAGCTCCAAAAGGTACGTCTTCTCACTTCCTTCTCAATCGCAGTATCACGTGCTGGATGCTTGTTCACCTCAGGTCTGTATGAACTAGCGGTGACTACGGTCTCAGACTTGAAAGTTCTAGCTGATGGATCATCCTCGTAAGGTAGACCCATTGCTTGTGCTAGCCTAGTCGCAATGCCAACGTAGACCCAAGCGCTAAGGCCTCTAGTTTGACCCCACTCGTAAAGACCAAGCATCAAGAGCGCCTGGATCCGTTCAGTTGTAGGAGTGCTTAGATCCCGGCCTCCAGCTCCGAAAATGGTCGAGGTTAAAGCGGTGGCATAGTAATCGCTTGCAGCCAATGGGTCATTGGGCCGAGGGGAATTCGCTGGTGCGTGGTATGCGACTAATTCGGGATGGAATCGGGCGGTAAGTGTAAGTACACCTAACAATAAAATCTTAGCATCTTGGAAAGCGGGAACGTCGGCGAGTGTGGAAAGGTCTCGTGGGTGAGATGCTTGGCGCATGCGATTTCGAAAGGATGGAGGGTGCAGGAAAGGCATCTCGGTTGAGAAGTTTAGCTTGAATATATCATAGACCTCATCCCACACCTTCCTTGTCAGTATTGTGGCCTCCAACGGGTCCTCCCCTTGTCGTTGACTATTCCTGCGACCAGAATCTTCATGCTTTCGAACTCGCTTCTTACTATCGCTTTCCCCTTCAACCTTTATTCCCATGGGTGGATCGGCTCTCTTGGGCGTAGAAGCCGCCGCGCTTGGATATGTACACTCTCGGTTTGAGGATTCACAAGCCCTACATATGGAATTGACACCATTATTGACACCTGAGCTTGGAATTAGTCAAAGCCTTTGAGGTTGAAGTTTATCTTACTTACACTTCACCTTGCTCCTTCTACATCGTGCGCAGGCTATACTAGATCGTACCACTTTACACAGAACATGTCAGCATGACCATATGATTTGTGGGAAGATCAGCTCACGATAAACTCACTTTTTGTCGGCTTCTTCTCCTCTATCCCACCTCGACCACCACCACTACCATCGTCAGCCCCTAAGCCGCTGGCGCCTAATGCGCCGGGGCTGGCAGCTCCGGCAGAAGTTATATTGGACCGATGTTGTTTAGGTGAAGCGGGATGTAGATAAGTTGGATCAGTCGTCGAGAAAGCTTCGGCGTGTGAACGTTTTGGACTAGAAGATCGCGAAACACCAACTGCCGATTCCAAATCAGGTGGTGCAGAAGGCGAGAGTATCGCGGCGAGAGAGTGAGGTGAGGGAATGTTTGCGGTTGGGGGGGTCCTCGTTGAGACCCTTAACTTGTTGGTAGAAGGAATTTATTATTTCTTAAAATGGTCTAGAAAGATTTTAAGAAAATCAAGTTACTTTCTCATACGGGAGAGAGATATTGGAGGGATGGCTGGGTCGCTGCAGATTTGGTGGGAGGGTGTTTTGGTAGCCCTTCCACGCTGTAATGGTCCACGCTGTAATAAGTACCTTCTGGTGTGACTCCGAAGCGAATGCCGCAGATGCAATGCGAGGTTCCGGGTCAAGGAATACAAAGTAACTTTGACATAAACGATTGGACAATTAAAAGGAAGAATGGGTGTAATAGAAGGGATTTCTTGACTGATTTGTGGGAAGAAGTTGAAGAAAAGTTGAGAAAAGATTTGAAATAATGAATATAATTATTTGATATCTTTACTTTTTTAATCTTTGTGGAATTCTCGGCAAGGAATAATGAATTATTGTGATGGTGGTTATCTTGATCTTCGGGATAATTGGTCCAGGTAGTAGTTAGTTGGTTGGTTGATTGATTGATGTTGACTGTTGATCGAAACTTGGGACGGTTATATTTGTTGATGCTGGTCTTGATAAAATTGATTTGATACCCGCGTATTGATGTTGTTGAGAGTATACAAGTGAGGTACCTCTCGGAGTGAGTGTTGTATTGTGTTGTGCTAATAAGTAGTTTGTTGAGTTCTCGTATCTTTTGAACTTCCTTCACGGAAGATGATGGACGGGATGTGAGTGATGGAGCGAAACGAGAGAAGCTTGGAATTTTCGGTCGGTGGGCAGAAGGTGCGAAAGTACGCGTGGGTGGTCGGGGGTCAAGGGAACTTTCTTGCTGGAGAATGTGGATCCTGTTTGCTTTGCTCTGCTTTGCTCTGCTTTGCCCTACTCCTTTGCTTTGCGGGAACGGGCAAGGGGAAAATGGGTGATTGGATTGATGGTTTTGCTGAGGAAGGCTTCAGAACGTAGGGGTACAAAGGCGGAAGGTTATATACCGGGAAGTACTGTAAAAGGCAAATTCCCAATTCTTTGCCAAGTACACCGAGTAATCAGTCCTTAGATCCTTAGATACCCAAGTAGGCAATGAATGATATTTTGTTTGGGTAAGACAGATGATTGATAGATTGACGGATGGATGCTTTGATCGATAGATACATTGACAGATGGACAGATGGATGGTTGGTCGAATTTGTTTATTGAATGGAATGAACCGATTGACTTTATTCAAAGAGGAGTGCGAGTCAAGTGAGAGAGAGAGAGTTGCAGTACGGACGGGAAGGGATGAAGCCGAAATGTATAGGATGGATGGGATGGTGGGTCGGTAGTTTGAATTTCCTTGATCTTTTAAATCTTTTAAATCTTTTAAATCTTTTCAATCCTTCAATTCTTGTTCCTTACATGCTCCTAGGTAGCTCTCGTACCCTTTTCCTATTGTTATCTTTCTCTTTCTCGGTCAGTTGTAAGCTTAGATGCCTTCACCGGTATGGCTATCGGAATAGCAGTGTGAGGGGATCAAAGAAGAAATGAATCGAGCGGTGCAGTTGAAGAAAAAAGATCCGAGCAAATGCGCGATCTCGGCCGGATGAAAAAGAGGAAACTGTGCTAGACTTGGTTGTTTTGTCATCCGATTATTGATCAAAATGGATGGGCCTTGGGGTAGGTTGTATCGGTACTAGGAGGGAAGGTCGGATAAGATAATGGAAAAGATGATGATTTGATTTAAGAGGGCTCCTATAGGTTTGAACAGAGTACCCAGCATTGGGATTATGAGTTAGATACTCGTCACTGAATGGTTCATGGTTTATTAATAATTATCATTCAATCGAGTCATCATTATACACGAGTATCTATCCATCTACACCTCAATCCAACCTACCTACCTACCTACCTCCCTCCCTCCCTCCCTCCCTCCCTCCCTCCCTCCCTCCCTCCATCTTGTACAATCCAAACACGACAAGAGTATCTAGCAGCCAGAGTACTTGTACTTGACATGCAATTCGATAATCATCAGCAGTGCAAGCCAAACATCTCCAATACATATAAGGGAGTAGGATTTCTGCCTTCATTGCATGAACATCTACATTATCTGTGGAACTAACAATATATCTATCTAGACATCTTTTATATTCACATATCTCAATAACCTTTTCCAAAATACCCCTTCATTAAGAAACATTCCTTTTTCTTTTCCTTTTCCTTCCATATCCCTAAACTACTCTTCATTGAGAAGTATTTCCGTCCTCGTCCTCCACCAGAAAAAAAGAAAAACGCCAACATGAAACTCTTCCCACTTTGCGGGTCTGGCAATGGCTTGTTGATCTGGGGAAATATTCGGAGACAATCCCGTATATCATTGGCTAGGTGGGTGACTTTCGTATCCATCCATCTGGATACTTTCCTACACAGAATGACTACGTGCACACTACCAATCGTACATTTATTATATATTACCTAGGAATTCTTTGATCCCCCATTATGCAGTGCTCAAAAAGTTACCCGCCTGGGCGTGAATTATATTGATTTGGGTTCTCGGATCTTCAAAGTGTAAAGAAGGTTTATTGCTCGAATGATAGTTGGTTGATTATATTATTCCTACCTACTTATCTTTATTCTTGGAAATATGAGGAATATTCATAGCCTACACAAGTCTGGACTGAACGATGAAATCTTGGACTGGTCAAATACGGGCGAATCATCGGGATCAATCATGTACTCCGTACACCATGAATCAATACCCTTGCTCTTGAATTGTTTGGTAATATCATTCATTACTTTACAGAAAGCTGATGCGGGGGAATCCAGATCATAGTTTTTGACTCGAGAGTTGAAATCCCCTAGTTGTACCTTGTACTCGAACAATAGATATTTGACTTGTATATTGATCAGAGTATTCGGGATGGAGAAAAATCCTTGAGTTACTTAAAAAGTCGATATTGTCACCATGTGTTACTACTTCATGTCAGTTTGTTTATCAGTCTATCATGTACTTCTACCCCGTGAGATATCGAGATATCTTGACCCATTTGAGCTATCACTTACAAGAGACATTGGAAGGAAATCTCATGATATATATGTGCCCAAGATTCTAATCTCCAAAGCCCTGCCTCTCATCCAGACATCTATGCGTATATAAATATGCAAATAATCTCATCCTTTCCACACCTCGATAACCGTTCCAATTTCTTACATACATATGGATACAGATATCGAACCATGGATTCGAATAGATTCGCTTTTCAACCCTTACAACAACCAGGTATTCATTCGAATCACCGGATCTCAGCCAAATAAAGTCCCCTCTTACCAGAATGTCAATGCTGACGACTCGATTCGATGAGTCGTGCTCGAAAGTTTGGTATCACATACAGCGGGTAACGGAAGTATTAAAGTGCAGTGTGCATATATAGACAGCTAGCATACCTTACCTCTTCTCTTGCATATAATATCCAGTTACATTGTCCAAGACACTGTCAAATGAACATGAAATGTAAGACTAGTCTTACGCCTAAGTATATGAACTCCTTACCTCTGGATAGAATAAAATAAAACATCACAGGGCAAACATCCATGCTCGAACATAACAACAATATTGTATGGTATATGTATATGTATGGTACATGCTATGACATGGTAAGATACCATTCTAGATTCCAATCAAGCATGCAACGACGCAAGTCATATAGCCAGCCGTACTACCTCAAAAGCCAATCCAAGAATCCCAACCGCAGCTCTCTCTGGCATACATATCGGAAGCCAGAGCCAAAATACCGTCGCGAATATCGTAGAATACCAAGACTATTGAGTAACTTGACCGTGCTCCTACATGTATGATAAGTTGTCCCTGTATGCCCAATTCGGGGATCCAACCACCCACAAGATATCTCGAGGTTGATGGTCCTCCAATGATTTACAGGGGAGTCATAAATTGCGGTCCCCGTTCTCTTCACCAGAAAGTCTCCTATGTTCCGTTTCTTCGCGAGAAGAATAGAAGAAGAACCGTACCAATTTACTTACCTACCTACCTACCTACTCTATCTCGAGGCTACATTACTCCTGTTATCGGTGGTTGATGGTATGGTATGGTGGGGTGAAAACGCTTTGATATGGCTTTTGGAGGAAGTAGATATGGGGTTATGATGACAAATCGTTTGAAAGGGTGAAGATGAATATCGAGGAATAACTTTCGTCGATAGGAATATCATTATCACCCATAGTATCACGAAGAGGGATCTTTGGGTACAGAAACCTCACGAATTCCCAAATCGGGCATTTTAGCATGTTTCTTTTTCTATTTTTCTACATTTTCTATGGGGTGGAAGCAGCCACTTCTTCGGCCAGAAATGATTATCGCTACCTTCATCGAGATTGGAGACTTGGTTTGGTGAGAGGTGAGAGGTAGGAGGTAAGACGTGAGAGGGTAACTCCAATCTTCTATTTTAAAGACTGGAGTTAATTTTCAATTCTTGGAATCCCAGGTACTCAATCTTACAAGAGAAGAGTGAATGCCCATGATATGATAAAACCTGATATATGAAACCTTTACAAGAAAGAATGCAATCGTGATGATAAGCTTGTCGTTAGCTATGATATGATATGATATGATATGATATGATATGATTGATGATGTTCACGAATTCTTCGACTCAGCCACCTTCATATGGAAGGAGGGGCAACTTTTGTAAACGCCCTGATTCTCATATTCCTTGTACGTCATCGTCAATTGGTTCTATCGCATCTTTTCTTTCTTGGCGACCACCAATTGTTTGAAGCGGCTAGGTAAGAAACTCTATTATGAATGACCTTAACCGCTCTTTTGGAGTAAGTGATAAGAGTTATTTGTTGTGAAAAGTTAAGTTGATTTGATTTGGAGATCTTTCTGTGTTTATTTCATCTTCATCTGCTTCTTTTCGCAGCTAATCGCAAACTTACCGCACTCCCTCAGCCCAAAAGGTTATTGATTCTTCATTATCTACAAATAAAAGGGAAGGAGTGTCTAGATATCATATAGTATCACTCATACTAGAAACCAAGATGGCGTCAGGACATAATGTAATATCCCTTTGACCAATTCCCTAATTTCCTCACACGCAGATTCTAATATCACATAGGATCCCAAGCTCCTCTATGCCATCAATGGTATCAATGCATATCATATCGAAAATGGCAAAGAAGATTCCCTCACACCTAATGGACCTCAAACCCTCTCCCTCCTAATGGTTCCCACCTCATCCCCCTTCTCAGGTCTCTCAGTCGCAGATCCACAATCCCAAACCCCAGAAGAAGACTTCTACCTGCATCTGCATCTTCCTCCTGAGCTTGATCTACCCCTTCCAGCCACAACCCAAATATACCATCAACCACCCAGCAGCTACCTCATCCCACGATGGGATCTAGGACCCGAAAGTGGTGTCTTTACCAGAATCGAGTTCCCAATTGTGGGAGCCTCGAAAATTAGTCAGGATGATATCGATACTTTTGAAACGATTTTGGCACAATGTACGGCTTTTCTTGAGCGCGCTCCACCTCCACAATCATCTCGTCCGAGAAAGGAAAAACTTAAATCTGCAAAAGCGGAGCCTATACCTGCATACAATCCATCCGATTTTGCTCCAGGAGAAGCTTATGTTCCTGGAAGTTCTAGTTCTCACGTAGGTGGACAAATCGTTTTGATTGATGAAGAAAATGGTAGTGTGGTTGGTGAACTGGGTGAAGGTTTTCATGTAGTTGAGGATGCTAGAATGAAACCGGGATCGAAAGGTATGTATTTCATCTTTCATCTCCTAGCCTCTCCTTCCACATTTCTAACAAAGACCCCCTTAGATCCTGTTGAGATTACCCTCCCCCAAGATGGTTCCCAAAACATAGGCGTAGCTCCAGCCTCTCCAGCCTATCTCGAAATGGCTATGCATCCCGCCTATAAATCCTCTACCCTCGTTTCCAAAGCCGCCATGGCTTCCCGTCTCATTGTAACAACCTCAAGTTACGTCTCTAAAACCCTCACATCCCAAGCCGAAAGCTACACTTCCAAATCTGCTCCCACCACTAAGCCCATGACCTTTACTCCTACCACTCATGCACACATTCGCAGAGTCCACACATTTACCGAAGGCGCCGCAGGACTTTCCGCAAAAACCGTAGGTCAAGTAACGAAATACGCACAAAACATAGGAGCCTCCCTGGCCAAACGCAACGCAGCACAAAGATCCTCCAAAAGAATCGGTCCAGACGGCAAACCAATCGATGATTATAAACCCGGCCTCCTCAATAAATCCATGATGGCTTTCTCTACCATAGCCGATGGCATCGACCAAGCAGGACGTAATCTCCTCACTTCCACATCCACTGCCGCAACTACAGTCGTCGAACACAAATATGGTCCTGAAGCAGGTGATATATCTCGAAATATCGGCGCGGGTTTCAAAAATGTTGGATTAGTTTATATTGATGCGGCGGGTGTGAGTAGGAGAGCTATTGTAAAGAGTGTGGCGAAGGGAATGGTGGTTGGGAAGGTTAGAGGAGGTGGGGATTTAATTGTGGGGGGTGGTGATGGTGGTGCGGATATTATGAGGGGAAGTCCGCCTGCTGGAAGTGGAAGTGGAAGTACGTTGGGTGATGGAGGAGTGGAATGGAATGGAATGGAATGGAATGGAATGGAGGGGAAGGGATGGAGGGAGGGGAATGGGGAAATGGTAATGGAAATGGAATGGAAATGAAATGGAAATGGAAGAATATGAATAATAGGATTTGGAGAAAAGGAGAAAGGAATAGGGAGAGTTTGAGTGGTCAGAATGTAGGATGGAGGAAAGGACTACAGTAGCTAATTAGCTCGCTTGGATGGTTGGTTCTACGCTTTTGAATAGGGATAAATGGAGGGTATACGATATAGGAAATAGGCTAAATAGTAAAGCGAGGAAGAAAGATCATAGCATCTGAATATGAATAGCATATGGAAACGAATATACATAATTAAATCTACCTAGTACAGATATAATAAGCATAGAGAGAAACTAGTATCAGAATAATAATAGAAATGATATTTTTATTATATTTATATTTATAATTATAATTATAATATTTTATACTATTAGAGTTAAACATTTATACTCTAGTCGAGATATTTAATCTTTATAAAGTGATTATTAATTATATATATTTTTTAAAGTTTTAATAGAATAATAATTTTTCAGATAAATTTATTTCTGTTTTTTTATTAAATATATTTTATTTATTTATTTATTTATTTATTTATTTATTTATTTATTTATTTATTTATTTATTTATTTATTTATTTATTTATTTATTTATTTATTTATTTATTTATTTATTTATTTATTTGATAATATAAATATAAATAAATAAATAATTAATTAATTTTTAAAATATTATTATTAAACTTTTTCATTCTTTTACTATATGAAAAATCTATTTGTTTATAAAGCTAGATTATTAAAGTGAATGAAAATTAATTTTCTTTGTTTTAACCTTCCTTTCCTTTTCTTCATCTCCCGCTCCAAATCCTCAAAAACATCAATATCAGTATCAGTATAAGTACTGACATCAATCTAAACATACATATACACATATATAAATATCATAACATCTCTTCTTTCATTTTTTATTTCATCTCATGACATGACATCACATCACATCTTATCCCATCACATTCTATCCCATCCTCTCGTTTCCCTTCCATCCCTTTCCCTTCTCCTCCCCTCCCCAAACCACAAATCCAAACATCAAACCATCAAATCATCATTAAAATAAAAACAAGAAGCAGAAGCAGAAACACCTTCATCCCAATATGCCAAGTAAATGCCTGAAGCCACCAAGCCCACAAGCAAACAAGCATACATCAATCGAATCGAATCGAATCAAAACATATCATATCATAAAAACCTCCAAACCATCCCTCAACCAACCAAGCCATCCAAGCATCCAACCAACCATCCCTTTCCTAATCCGAGGTATATCCTTCCATGGTATAAGGGTATCGGTATCCCGTGGTATCAAAACAATTCTTCTTTTCCTCTCCTCCTCCTCCTTCTTCTTCCTCTTCTTCTTCACTTTATCATCACATCTATTCCTCATTTTCCGCACCTCCTTTTATATATTAATCATTCCTTTCTTACTCTCCTTACCCCAAATTTCCCACTCCTCATCCAAATCAATCAAAAGAAACAAAAATTCCACCCTATAGCTAACCCCTCTTAACCGCACTCCCAACACTACTAATCCCATCACTAATCTTACTACTCCATCCACCCATCCACCTGGGAACCTTCATCGTTAATCTAATCCTTCCCTCCACAATTGCCTCAATACAATTAATAATTCCAAACGCACTACTACCAACCGCTCTAAAGAGTGCCAGAGCCGCCACGGCCCACAGTAAAAATGTCAAGTAATAATTCGTACCCAGATGACTCGCTCCATATGCTTCACTAACACCCATTGCCAAAATTCCATTCGCAATCATCCAAACGAGAACCATGTACGTACGAACAGATTTATAGTAATCTTCTTGTTGTTGAGATTCCGAGATGGGAGGAATGGGAACTTCGAGTCGATCACGTAAGTTACGAAGAGCTTCATCATAACCGGAATCAATATCGAGTTGTTCCGATGGCATTTCGAGTTCGACCGTTTGACCTTTTCCAGAAGCCGCACCGAGATCAGTGGACATGACGTTATCTCCTTTGGTTCCCCATGTAACATCGTGAGTATTGCAAAAGGCGTATACTTGGAGCGTACAAATGTAACTCGGAAGGAGGGCGAAATAGGAACCGGAACTGGTAAACATATGCCAAGGATCTAGATAGAGGAATGACATGAGGAAGTAGAGACCAAGTGTTGAGCAGAGAGAAACGACAAGATTGGTGAATAGATTATTGCCTAGTTTGAGACTACCGGCGTTATCATGAACTTCCCGGTAGACGATATAAATGGTTGAGAAAAGCGTGTATACCATGATTACCGAATAAATGATCATGGACATATAATATAATTTTCGTGCTCCTTGTGGTCGATTTCCCATAGATAGAATGAATTGTGTTGCCGTAAGTAGAACACAGACATATTTTAAAATGTAGAATATATATTTTCCGATATTATGGCCGAATGGATCCATATCCGGAACAGACAGAGAACCAGCAATGAAGTAGAATGTGAGGTAGAAGTTGGCCAGAGAGAAGTAGGTGAAGAGAAGTTGAATGAATTGATAGATGAATTCGATATGAAGAAGAACCTTTCGTCCGAGGGTATGATCTGTATGCCATACTTGTCTGAAATGAGCCAAAGAATAAACAGCTGCAAAGAAAGCTCCATTGAGCCATCTTCTTCTTTGGGATACGAATTCAGGAACGGTATCTAGAAGAGGTCAGTAAATATCAGAGAGATAAAAGTAGTTAAACTTACCCGGCACATCAGTCTCTCCAGTACATCCCTTCACATACTTCAAAACCCATCTTTCATCTCTCTTAGCAACCAATTCCCAGCACAAAATACGATCTTCAGCCAGATACATGTTCGCAGTAAAGACATCTGCATTTTGACCATGTAAAGTTTCTCCCTTGAAATACTGACTTAAAGGACCATGACCCGTATGATCATTCTGCAAAGCATGATATCTGTATGCACTCAATGCACCAGGTAAGACGGTAATATAACCAAACACACTCTCGATAGGTTTATCCAGAATATTCGACATCTTATATTCGAAATTTTGAGAAGCCACCAAAGGATTAAGAAGTCCTAACCATCCCTTTCCCTTCATAGCTTTAATCTCGCCACAGGCACCAGCAACATTAGAGTCAGTATCGAAAGCTTTCCATAAATGATATAATGAATTGCCTCCAGGTTTCGTACCCACATCCAACATGATACAAATATTCGGTGTGAGAGCTCTTCCAAAAGCATTAAAGAACCAACGATGAGAATTCAACTTCTTTGCATTCTTCTCCTTGAGACAAAATAGCATCTGACAAGGAACAATTCCTTTTTCAGCACCTTTAAATTTAAGGTCTGAATCTAAGGAGACTTGGGTTGTGTATTCATACACGTGAGCTTGTACTTCTCGACCATTAACCAAATTTTTGGCAATTCCATCTTGATATACACCCATTGCAGCTAGAGCATCAAGTGTTCGTGGATGAATTTTTTGTCTTCCATCCGAAATGATGGCAACAACAATTTTTTGCCATCCATTTTCTCCCCAAGTTCTAGATTTAGATCTAGAACAAAAATGAGAGATATTCTTCATAACAGCATGCATGGTTCTCGTAAAATCAATCTCCGTCTCATTGTACATGGTTATACATATAAAAAGTTCGGTTTCTCTCGCGGTTGCTCCCATATTTTGACGTAATTTGTATCCTCTTGAAACAAAATCATCCGGATCACATGTAACGGCTGTATATCGCATGTGTGTGAATTCGACTTCATCTCTTCGAGGTAAGAAACTATAAAGAATAGTAGGAATTTTACACTCCAAAATAAGCTCTCCGTTAATGAGCTTAACCTCTCGTTTCTTCATTTGAGTCGTCCTATTAGCACCCCTTCGTTCTTGCTTTCCTGAAGGAGCTGGTCCATAATGTTCATAATCCTTGGCACTTGCCATATCATCGGCAAGAGTGGAGTATGATAGCCTTGATCTCATAGTTCCTCCCCTAAATTTAAAGTCTGGATTTTCCGGCGCAAAAACATCATCATCTAGATATTCCTCATCTTCATGCTCGAGTGGTATGTGAATCGTCGCGTCATCTCCGAATGGCGACCGAGCTCCATTAGGCGCAAATAGAGGAGCAGGAGGTAATGGTCTTCTTGGACTTCCACCATAAGATGTCGAAGGTGTGCCAGGCCTTGGGCTTCCATTTAGGTCAGATGGTTCGTAATGATAACCCATTGGGGGCGGTGCAGTGAATTCGGAAGAATTCCTTTCTCTCGTTGGAGACCAAGTCCGTGCTGGGGAGGCCCGACCTGATGGTGAATATTGTAGAGGGGAATATGGACGGTATGCGCTTTCGGGAGGAGGTAAATCTGGGGCGTTATCTATAATTGAAGGAGCTCTTCGATGATCGTCATATGTGGTTGCAGTTGGAGGTCTTCTATGGTCGTCGTATGTAGTTGCTGTCGGCGGTCTTCTATGGTCGTCGTATGTAGTTGCTGTCGGCGGTCTTCTATGGTCGTCGTATGTAGTTGCTGTCGGCGGTCTTCTATGGTCGTCGTAAGTAGTTGCTGTCAGCGGCCTTCTATGATCGTCGTATGTAGTTGCTGTCGGAGGTCTTCTATGGTCATCATATGTGGTTGCAGTTGGAGGCCTCCTATGATCATCATAAGTGTTTATCGACGGAGCTCTTCTATGATCATCGTATGAATCCGTGGACATAACCGAAGCTTGGTAAGATCTGCGATCCGAGGAAGTCCTAAGATTTTTAACAAGTGAGCCATTTATATTTTTATTTTTCAATTGAGATTCCAAAGTAGACAAAGGAGAGGAAACCGGGAATCTGAGAGATCTTCTGCGCGAAGGACCATCCGGAAGAACTGGCAACAGATGCGCGATATCGTTGGGGTCATTGGCATTCATCGTTGAACTATCCAGTATCTTCTTTTCCTTTTGCAACTTGCAAGATGAGATGGCTTCCTCTTCTTCCTTGAGAGACGCTAGAAGCTCGGGAGTCGTCACAGTTACGGCTGTGAGGGGTTTCCTGGGAGATAAATTAAGAGCTCGCGGTGCGAGTGGTGCTACATACGGACGGGTATCGGGATCATCGTAGGAAGTCAACAAACGAATTTCGGAGCCATGGCGATTATGACCTGCAGGTATGGGATCGTATTCTTCTGGGTATATTTCTTCTGGATACGTTTCTGAATACATTGGAGGCATCGAAGGAGTATTTGACCGATCCATTTTTAATTATGTTGATGGGTAAATTTGCGACAAAAATGCGCCAAAACCAATTCTCGGGGAATGCGAGTGTTTATTCTTCCATAAATGGATGTTGTTGATACTGAAAAGAGAAGCGAATGTCTTGGGTGTATGTATGTAAGTGAGGAAATGAATGATTGAAATGAGAGGAGGTATAATTAACAATTATTTCGTATTGGTAGGTCCTCGTGTCTTTATTTTTTCCTAGTCCGCCAGTCAAACCGTCAAGCAACTGATCACAGACAGATATATTTTCCAAAGGAAATTGACAAGTGGAGAGAGGGATCTGGTGGATGTAGGTACAAGTAAAGTACATAGGTACATACACACATACATACATACATACCTACTAACCTTAGTAATTTTGGACAGGGCAGCATGAAAATGGATCCCCATCACTCACTCACTGGCCTCTCTCCACGAATTCGAATGGCGGGAGGAATAAGTTGGTGAGTTGGCAGGGCAACCAACGATCATCCATCTTTTTTCCCAGCCACGTTTTCCCACTCTACCAATAATCCAGGTACAGCAGGTACGGTACAATCATGAGAACACAGCCATGAAAATGGAGACTTGGGATTTGATGTGACCAGTTTTTGGAGATGTCTAAAAATACTTTATGCAGTTTTATGCTCACTATGCACCATCACTCTACTCTCTATGCATATTCATATTCATATTCATGTTCACCCTAATGCATCCCCATCAACTTATCCACCATCCACCGTCTACCATGCATTTAATTCCCATCTATTAATCCTCTACACAAAAACACGAATAAAACCCCATCCATCATCGTATAGCCAGCTACCTACCTAACATTTAAAAAGAACCAGAAACTACTTAAATACACACGACTTAAATACACACGACTTAAATACACACTACTTAAATACACACTACTTAAATACACCCCATCAAATACACCCCATCAAATACACCCCATCAAATACACAATATATATCCAAGCATCCATTCAACACTCACTGCACCGAATAAACAACTACCCAGGTAACTAACTAATCTACACAAACACCACCTGTTCACACCCCATTACTCCTACTCCGTACATAAAAACCCCGAGCCGACAATCCCGCAAAATCAGTATACATAGCCAAGACCTAGTACAAACTCGTACTCCATGCCTATTGCTCCGTATACCTATTCAGTATTCATCCATATCCATCATCCATCCATATCCAATGGATGCGAACCAGATAAATAAAAAAACAATCCAGGTACCCGTGTAGTCTAATCTAGCTAGCCTGGTCTAGTCAGCTCATTCATTCATTCATTCACTCACTCCTTCCTCTATCCCTCCATCCCTCACATCAAAATATCTTTCTTCAATTCTTCAATTCTTCAATTGATCCTTTATTTAAATTTTCATCTTATTCACTCCTCACTCCTCACTCCTTACATCACATATAAACAAAAAACATAAATCCAAAACCTCAATATAACCCCTTAAAAAAATCTCTTAATTATTCATACATACTCACATTTATATCGATCTACCTACAGAGTACCTGCCTAGCACAGCTCAGGAGTTCTCATTCCGTTCATCCTCATCCCTAACCCCGCCCCCGCCCACGCCCAAAATTATTACCTACTATAACTATATCTCCCCCAACAAACCGCGGATACACATAAACAACCAAAACAACCAAATACACAACCAAACCAAAAAATAAAAATAAATATTATAAAAAGTAAAGAAATAAACATCACTACAAAAAAAATTACCTAGGCCAGGTAAGTCTTATCTCGCGTACAACGACACAGACTCAAATAAACATACATATATACCATACATACCATACATACATCCTCAAAAAAAAATTAATAAGAAATAATCCGCGTTTCGTAGGGTTCGTAAATATACACAAAAGCTTTCTTTAATCCTCTCCTCTACTCTCTTCTCCTTCCTTCCTACCTGTCGACCAAGTCCACCAGTCCACCCACATCCACACCAAATCTTATCTCTCTCTCCCTTTCTCTCTCTTCTTATATCTTTCTCCATTCCATCCCATCCATCTCCATCCTATCCCACCTACCCACCTACCCACCTACCCACCCAAATTTACCCAAAATAGAAACAAAAACCTTCTGTATCAAAAATCCAACCCCGAAAATTTTGAGGAAAGATTTTATATATGATGCCAGAAGGGGGTATGAAGTATGAAGACGATACCCAACGCCTAAGGATTTATGAATGCGATTGCGGAGGGAAAAAAGAAAGGAAAAAGATGAGCGCGATGCTCGTATTCAGACATTTGATTGCTGAGAAATTTTTTTGATAGAGAGTGCATATGATACAGTGAGATAAGGTTAAGATTGATTGACTTGATGTACTTTTGAAGTACAAGTTGTGTGAAAAAAAAAAAGATTATTAAAGTGACCATGTTCAATTCCATCCCAAAGAATTTTCAGCCATCATTGGTGCTGAGATTTGTTGCGTTCGAGCTGAATTTCCTGCACTTCTTCCACTTCCTCCACTATTTCTATCATGTCCTGCAGCACCAGGAGTCAGACGACCACCAGACATGAAAGCACCACCAGTAAAAGCACTAGATTGTCTCATCTCCGATGGATTCATCATAGAGTTTGATCGACGATGGCTAAGCTTGCGTTTCTTGTATCTCCGAGCGATAAAGAACATGGCAGCACCATAGGCAGCAGCAGCTCCAGCAGCTCCAACAACGATACCAGCAGTAGTGCTCTTAACCTTTGGAGATGTGTTTTGAGCATCGGTATTGAATACACCACTATTTCCACTAGAAGCGCTTGTAGTTGCTGCAGATCCAGAACTACCAGTTCCAGTTCCAGATCCACCTTCAAGAGTTGAACCAGGTGTTAATGGAATGGAAGGATTGATATAGTTAACAAGTGTGTTAATAGATGGATCAGGATTGTTGTAGATAGCTGCTGTTGGAGTATGTAAATCAAGTTGAAGAGTGCTGACCAAGTCGGTTGGAATATAAGCGAGGGCCAAAGTTGTGATGAACCCCAATTGAGATTGTGTATTGTAAGGAATGAGACTGTGCATGATAACTTGTTCTTGTTTAATTCCTAATCCATTTGCGATACCAATGGGAAGATATTGAAAGATTTGTGCCGATGAAAGTGAATTGGCAACAACAAATGCGTAGTTAAGTTGGTAGAGGAAACCAAGTTGAATTAATGTGGAATTTTCTGGACTTGATGGAATAGAACCACTGGGAGTGATAACCTTTGGTAGAGTTGTCGCAAGTGCAGTATTGGTAGGAGTAGCTTGATTTGTGGATGATGATTGAACAATAATGGTTTGTGGAAGCCACATTGATGTAGCATTATTTGTAGCTGTTGGATAAATTGTGAGAGGAGCAGTTGTCTCGCTAGGTGTTTCGGTTTTTACGACTGCTGTAGTACTTTCATGAGTTGGAGAAGCAATTATTGTTGGGGTAGTTGAGGAGGATGTCGATGTAATTCGAGCTGTACTAGCTGAACTTCCAGATGTGACAGTTGCTGATGAAGCAGCTGTTGAAGAAATATCAGATACTGTCGTCTTTGGGGTCGTTGTCGCAGAAACTGATGTTCCAATACTTGATAGACTTGAAGCTGAACCAGAAGAAGCTGAAGGAGCTGAAGAAGCTGAGATTGAGGTGTCTGTGGAATTGCCTAATCTACTTGTTGCAGAAGTTTGAGATGGAGTTGGTAAAGTAACAACTCCTGTTCCTGATCCTGAACTAGAGTTGATTGTAGAGGATCCAGTTTCAATGCTGGTGGAGAAACTAGTTGCAGATAATGGAATAGTCCCATTACCACTCGCACTTGTTGGAAGGACAGTTCCTGAGATTGTTGATGAAGATCCAAGGCTTATTGAAGTGCTTGATGTGATATCTGTTCCAGAAATGATAGCGGTAGCATTTGAAGCACCGGTAGCACTGGAGATATGGCTTGTAATCGTGGCTGATGAACCACTGCTAGTACTAGATCCAAGAATACTCGATATTAAACTGACCAATGGTGTCGAACTGGAAGCAGAAGGTGTGGTAGAACTAGCTGCAGCGGACGAGAGACCTGTGGGAGAGCCAATGACAGAAGTGATACCAGAAATAACAGTTGTCAACAATCCTGTAGCTGATGCACCCTCAGAAGTTATTGTAGCCGATGCAGATATACCAGTTCCGCTCAAAATTGTTGAGGTAACTGATCCAATATCTGATGTGACCGATCCAAGAAGAGAACTTACACCAGGAAGAAGGCCAGTTGATATTGTGGCAGATGATGCGGTAGCAGTAGAACTAATTCCTGTAACTGGGCCTGTAATTCCTGCTGAGGATGCTGAAGCACTCAAATCCGTAGCAGTGGCGGTTGGTAATAAACCAGATGTGACAGATCCAAGGTCGGAAGTGATCCCAGATAAAAGGTCTGTAGCAGAAGCAGTACCTGAGACACTAGCACTGCTCAAAGTGCCTGTAGCGGACGCTGAACCACTAACATCTGTCCCAGAAATTGAGGCAGTACCGGTTGGAAGTAAATCAGATGTAACCCCAGATATAAGAGATGGAAGTAAACCAGCTGGAACTGTAGTAGATGCAGACCCACTAGAAACAGCCGTAGTTGCTCCAATAATACCTGCCGAAGATAATGAAGCCGCAACACTAGCAGCTGCCCCAGGAACTGAGGCAATACTGGTTGGGAGTAAATCAGATGTGATTCCGGAGACAAGAGATGGAAGTAAACCAGCTGGAACTGTAGTAGATGCAGACCCACTAGAAACAGCCGTAGTTGCTCCAATAATACCTGCCGAAGATAATGAAGCCGCAACACTAGCAGCCGTTCCAGGAACTGAGGCAATACTGGTTGGAAGTAAATCAGATGTGATTCCGGAGACAAGAGATGGAAGTAAACCAGCTGGAACTGTAGTAGATGCAGACCCACTAGAAATACCAGTAGTAGCTCCAATAATGCCTGCCGAGGATAGCGAAGCCGCAACACTAGCAGCTGTCCCGGGAACTGAGGCAATACTGGTTGGGAGTAAATCAGATGTAATTCCGGAGACAAGAGATGGAAGTAAACCAGCTGGAGTTGTTGATGCAGATGCACTAGAAATACCAGTAGTAGCTCCAATAATGCCTGCCGAGGATAGCGAAGCCGAAACACTAGCAGCTGTCCCGGGAACTGAGGCAATACTGGTTGGGAGTAAATCAGATGTAATTCCGGAGACAAGAGATGGAAGTAAACCAGCTGGAGTTGTTGATGCAGATGCACTAGAAACAGCCGTAGTAGCTCCAATAATGCCTGCCGAGGATAACGAAGCCGAGGCACTAGCATCTGGGAGCAAAGTTGGAGAAGTTGGAAGATCAGATGTGGCAGTAGATACCAAAGACGATACACCACCAATCAAAGATGAAAGTAAGTCACCAGAAGATGATGAGGTGGCAGTCGATCCTGAATTTGAAGATACGCCTGTAGGAGCTCCACTAATTCCAGAAACTGTATTGGAAGGTGATGAGATACCAGTCGAGGCACCAATAATTCCGGCCACACTTGAAGGTGCCGAACTACCTATAGAAGCAGTGCTTGATGCTCCAGTAACTTTGGCAATTGAACTTGAGGCTGGAGTATTCGATGGTAAAATAGCAGTTGTGATTTGAGATACTACCGTTCCTACATCTGAGGTCACATCACCAACCAAACTGCTTGCTGCGGTAGCAACAATTCCCAAAAGGCCAGTTGAACTAGTAGTATCAGAAGCAGGGGCGGTGGTAGCTGCTGAGCCTGAGAATGATACTCCAGAAGATGAGGCAGTTGGGACAGATACTGGCGATGCATTTGTGTCTGTAGAACTTGCAATGACAGAGCTTGATCCAGACAAAACTCCACCTGGTCCAAATGTAATTCCACTAGTAGATGATGAAGCAGCAGCTGAAGTTTTTGATGCGATTTGAGAACTAGATTCTGAAGTTATAGTAGGAAGAATGACAAGAGATGGAATCAAGCCTGTAGAAGCGACGATTGGTTCCAAAAGGTTAGGGCTTGAAGAACTAGCTGCTGATGGGCTAGATGACGGGGACACAATTGTACTTGGGGCTGACCCAGTTCCGATGGCATCAATGGAAGTCGAAGATGATTCAATTGGGGCTACAGAGGCTGTTGAAGATTCCGTGGATTGAGAAGTACTGGAAATAATCGTTGGGGCTATACCAGTAGGTGCTCCGGAAATGCCTCCAGTGCTTGAGCTTTGGATTGGAGTTTCAGTGGATTGAGAAGTACTGGAAATAATCGTCGGGGCTATACCAGTAGGTGCTCCGGAAATGCCTGCAGTGCTTGAGCTTTGGATTGGAGTTTCCGTGGAAGTTGGAATTGAGACTGGAACAGTTGTTGATGGTCCAGATCCAGTAGGTACTCCGGTGATACCTGCAACTGAGCCTGAGTTTGAAATTGAAGTTTCCGAGGCAATAGGTGCTACTGAACTCGAGCTCGATTTTGTGGTTGAAGATTCAGCAGCTTTAGTTTCACTAGATTTTGCCAATGTGCTGGTCGATGGTTTAGGGATGGATGCACTTGAGGAACTCGGAGCACTAGTTGCGCTCGAGGCTGTAGATACACCAGTAGAAGCTCCATTTAACCCTAATCCAAGAGACAAATCGATTCCACCACTAGAACTGCTGGGTTCGGCAACTGACTTTGTGGTGGCTGATGAGAGCCCAACAAGGACATAAGAACTGGACGATGGTTTGGAAGCGATCGAGGAACTAGATGCTGCTCCAGTTGGGACTCCGGTAATTCCTTCCGGGGTTGAACTAAAAGTACTAGTAGTTGTAGGAACCGATACAGTTTGGACTGTTCCTGTCGATGCGCCTGAAATCCCACTTAGTCCAGCATTAGAACTTGATGCAGCGCTCAAAACTGAAGTGCTTGTGACAGATGGAATTGACTCGCTCGAGGAAGAAGAAGAAGCTGGCAAGGAAGTTGATTCAACAAATGAAGCCGAAGTCGAAGTCAAGGTCGAGGTTGGGGTCGAAGTTGAAGTCGAAGTCGAACTGGAACTAAAACTGGAACTATAACTAAAGCTGGAACTCGTAGATGGTAAAATTGTAGGGGCTTCACTGGATCCAGTTCCTAAATTCGCCGAACTAGTAACCAAAACAGTCGTTGCATCATTTGAAGATACTGCAGCGCTTGGGACTGATGTACTCGAGTATGTAGTGCTAAAAGTAAAGCTTGTAGATGAACTCGATGAACTCGGTGTAGCTGTCGATGCCGTAGTTGTTGGACCTAAATTGAACATGGATGAAAGTGAATCCAAGAAAGTATTACTTGAAGAAGAAGATGCCCTTTTATTTGTCGTAGTATCCTGAGCCCCATCATCCGATTGCGAACTTGTGGTTGATAGGGATGAAGACGTAGTTGTGGAGTCATCCTGTGTCTTTGAAGTTTGAGCTGGAACATTGCTCGTAACCGTATTGTTCGAATAAATTTGTCTTTTGATTTCTCGTGGAAAGTAATATTTTGGTCGATCCCCCTCTGCGGAAGCAAATGAGGAAAGAATGACCACAGAGGCCAAGAATAACGAAGGTGTATGCATAATTGGAAGTTATCTCAAATAAATTCGAGTTTATTATTGAGATATTAGTATTTGAAAGTATTGGACGTAAGTTTAGTTCGATCTGAACATAAATTAGTTGAAGCTCCAAGTAAAGAACGACAATGTTGATGGCGTTGGTTAGAGGAGAATGGCCGCGGCCATCAAGCTTGAAGGTTGACGATTGAAGATTGAAGACGGAAGACTAACTGTCAGGGCGAATAAGTAATAACGAGTGTACTTGACAATAAATGTCAAAGATTGTATCTATTGATGATTGCCATTAGTATGTCAACATAGTGAATATCGCATGAATGATCAGCATAAATCTTAATGGGACGAGACTTTGCGAACGAATTGATATCGAATTGATATCGCAACCCCATATTTGGTAAAAAGACGGTCATCATTCAAGTCAAACCAACATTTCCCCTCAAACAAACAATTCAATATTTTGGTGTGAACGAATATCGACTCACTTCTTAAATTAAAATTCTACCAGATCGTGGATGTATGAGCAAAGAGCGAGTCTTAAATGAGTGTCGTGACGAAAAGTCGTCAATTGTTTTTTGGTTGGGTATATCCTCCTTGCACAACTTCGAATCGAAACCAAATCATCTACGAGCGACCATTATCCATAAGCCTCCGGAGGCTATCACAAATTAAAGGCGTTGACAATCTTCGTTGAGAGAGAAATTCGTATCAGGAGCTTGTACTTTTGAATTCGCTTTCGCTTTCGATTTCGATTTGTTGGTTGATTTTCCTGATGAGGAGTCGGGGTGGGAGATATAGAGAGAGAGTGGTGAGGTCGGGGGAGGAGGGTGATGGTGGAGAAGGAGGAGGTTTGATGGAATGAATGAAAATGAATGAATGGATGAATTGAAGTGGCCTCGATTCGTGAGAAGCTTTTGCCTTGGGGCCTTGTGAAGCTTTCAGGGCGAGGATGAGAGGTTTCAGTGGGTACTTTCACGTTGTGGAACGTAGGCGTAGGGACCAGGGAGTAAATCTACTAGAATTATAAAGGTTAGGTAGGGGGAACGTCCGTTGTATAGTATACTCCGTAGACCAGGAACCAAAAGATAAGTAGTAATAATAATAATAAGCCAGGGGGGCCGTGAGATGAAAAGAAACGGGAGAAACTACGGACTGAAAGATGGTGGATGGTGGATGGTGGATGGTGGATGGTGGATGGTGGATGGTGGATGGTGGGTGTAATTGTTAAATGCAAGTACGGAGTAGATTGAGCACGAGCACATTTAAAATGGTATTGTCTAACCAAACGGTAGAATTGATTTGAGTACAGAATAAGTAGGTGCGAACAGAGGCTATGATGAAGGTACACAATACATCAAAAGGATGCGATGAGATGACTTAGGATGCGATTCTATTGTAACTGTAGTTACCAGCACACAGCTTTCTTTACAATATGAGATGGCAGGCAAGCAAAAGGAAACAAAATATACCGAGTAGCTGAAACTAAAACCATAAAATCAATCAAATATCAATTATTAATTATACATTTATTATACATTTACTTATTCCACCGTTCATATCTTGATCTTTGGTCTTCTTTTAGCCCTTACTTGATTCACAATTTGCTTTCCTTCTCTCTTCTCCCTCTTTCCTACCAAGCCACAAGAAAATCATCACCTTTTCAGCCTTTTTTCCTTTCCCCGTGTTACTCTCGCCTAAATGGAAGTCTAGTAAATTGACTTCTTTTAGACTCAGATCATCCAATAATATCTAACAATACGTAGCTAGCGTGTTTTAAATAAGCCTTTGATCACACTTTTAATATCCGGAATTCATGAATTAGGCTTACTCTGTACTATGAAAACAAGGGGCCGGGATGAAAATGTATATAGAAGAGTACATTCTTTTCCAATATGAGCAATCCATGGATTTAAGCAAACTGAATTCAATGAATGCTGGGAGAGGGAGAGGGAGAATGTTCGGCAATTGTTTTGAATACATATACTTGTAGTACTGTAGTACTGTACGGAGTAGTACCGTAGTACTTCGTACCGTACGTACCTAGCATCAATCAAATTTGAATCATTTACAAGGCTGGATGATGATGACCGACCCAGTAATTGTTTCCTTACGCAAAATGGTTCATGACATAGCATGGCATGGCAATTAAGGAATTGATCGCTGACGGGATAGAAACTAATTGTTTGAGATGAGAATGTACATTGTACAATTGCAAAAAGACTACGAGTTCATCGGAAGAATGATATGCGCAGCTGAGCCACCACTTTCAAAATGTGATGAGGACGCGCCAATAATCCAACATTTGGTGAAAATCTCCTGCTTTATGCATGGACAGCGGCTTTGCGTTATCTGCCGAACTTTCCCCTTCTTTCTAGTGAGAACGAACGAACGAACGAGCTTCAATATCTTCATTTACCTCTACCAATATGTCGGTACCGATACATGACAATAAACATACTTTGCAAACGGATACGCTTATTACTTAGCCATCAGTCCATCGTTACAAATTCATGGATAAACATCTGAACAACACCAATAATCAAAGGTTGATAAGGTCTGGCTGCAACAAACTACGGATCAAGAACAATCTTAGACAAACTGAACGCTCAGGTCCCTGAATAAGAAGATTATATCGTAGATCGGTTTAGTCCAAGACCCTTCTCAAATGAGAAGTTATCTCCCCACACACACATATCATCACACACCCACGAGAATCCACTCTTTCATCCACTTTCCCACTACTTTGCTGCAGTGCTGCACTGGTGCACTTTGCTGCAGTTGGTCATGTTCCCCATCTTAACTCTCGTTCCTGTGTCTAACCGCTAGATCTAACGCCATTTTCGATATCGTGCCTCGTGGGTTCGGTACCTCGTGGTTTGTTCATCTGTAATAGTTGATCCTATTAATACTCCAACGGGTCTATCCTCCATAGTATAATACTATTTGCCCAACCAATGGTAGAAAATGTCCGTGAGAGTGAATTGATTGGATAATTAATAATGCCTAAATGGAAATATTGATATCTGAGCAATCCGAGCAACGGACATTTAGTGAAGTTATATTGATAAATATATATAATAGATAGCCCGGAACGTCTGAGGCTCGTATCATTAATCACGCAGGATTTGAAAAAGAGGTTACCATGATTACGGAAATGAAGTCTCTCCAGATTTCCTCACCCAAGAACTCTATTGAGAAATGAATCGACTAAAACAAACATTTCACAAGCGACAATATAATAACAATACAACTTTATAAATTGTCCAGCCCCAACTCATCAGGGACCGCCCGAGCCCAAGCCTAGCTTTGCGATTTGTGATCTAGAATTAACAAGACTTTTGGAGCAAAGAACTGCCAAGACGAAGTCGGCGCTACCAACTGTTTAAAATTACCACGAACCTTTACCCTCCATGCATGGAAGAGAAACCATTGGAAAAGTCAATTATCTGCTGGGTAGGCTACTTACTACTTACTAGGTAGTCTTGGATAATGGAATGGATAATTCAAAGCTTCACAATATTATTATACAGAGGACATACATCCGGGAGCCGCGAAGCATACGAAGCGCAAACATTGTCTCATTTTATTGATTTTATTACATGTACAGAGTAAGTTGGATTACTCATTACTCGTAGTTGATGATAATGCAATCAATGCAATCTATTAGAAACATGTCTAGAGCTATAATGAACAAAATTGTTTGAGTCTGAGCACTGTAACAGAAATTCAAGAAAATAGTAAAAAAGGTAATAAAAAAATAATCAATCTCCTTTCTTATTTTCCATATTCCCACTTTAGCCATCTCTAAGAACGTATTGTGTTGCGCATTTTCGCTAGATCTTACAGTACGGAGTATATACGATACGATATGGTACAGTACCTAGTAACTTTCTTTTCGTAAAGAATACCGAATTTGTATAGGTAGGTAGGTATCTTCGCATTCTTCTCTTCTTTTTCATACTTCGTCACTCTTTCCTCGATACTTCATTCCACGTTCCTACTTCCGTTGTTTCAACCTTCAGGAGAGAGCTCAAGATTGGAATGAATGGCGTCATACATTGCGTTTCATATCCGTACACTAACGTAACTATACATTCCATTCATATTCTATATTCCATCTATTGATACCTTACTATACCTTACTATATCTAGATACCTACATGGCTACCTGGCTAGCTAGCTAGCTACAGTAGTATCTGATTCTATTCTGTAACAGAACTATAGGTAAAACTACAAATATAATGCTAAATGAACAATATTATATACCCAACGTATTTATATATATACATGTATACCCTATATCGTATACAAAGTGACACTCCGTACAAAACGAATATTCTTCCATCCTTCCATCGATCTACCCGCTCCTATCCCATCCCATCCTACCCTATCCTATCCTATCCGATACCAAACATTCCTTTCCTTTCCTTTTCATGCTATAACTACCACTACCTACCTAGTTCACCCCCTTCTATCTTCCATCTTCCATCTCCCTTCCGTCCCGTTTCATTCTCAGCTCTTCCTCCCTTCCCTCCTCCCTCCTCTCTTCCCTTCCCTTTCCGTCCCGTCTTAGTCCAAGCACCGCGAGAAAACTAGGAATTTCCTTGTACATGTACATGTATGTTCTAACTTCCTTCCTATTCTTCAACATCTGTTTCTTTATGCGTGTCTGCATGTCATATAGCATGACAGATATTATTCACAGATAAAATATAGAATTTATCTAGTATTTATGTAACTGAGATAGATAAGTTTCCATCGGGCTATTCGGACAATTGAAGAATTGGTTTATTTAGTTTTGGAGATCAAGTGGATTATTAATATAATTATTAGGTAGTTAGGTAGGTAAAAATATGAAAGATCTACTGATCTTTACATGGTTCTCCGTTTTATTTGGATTTGGGTTTTGATTTCGATCTATATAGTTTCTTTTTCTTTCCCTTTTCCTGGTTTCTATGTACTATACCGATCATCTCTCAGATCAACCGAAATCCAACCCAACTCAAGTCAGTTCATCAACCCCTCCCATCCCATCCCAGATCCACCACTAAATACCACAATCCAAACCCAAACCCAAATCCAAACCCAACCCGAAATACCATACCCCCTTTCCCCTCGCCTCCCATCCTCCCTCCGATCCTCCCTACCTCTAAACTTTAAACCCCTCACCTCCTCACACAAAGGAAAAAAACCCACAGACTCCCAAGCTACCTCCCTATCCGCCAACCTAGCCACTTACCTACCACCCATTGTTTCACTCTCAAAGGCAAAAAAAGAAAAAGCCAAAAGCAAGAAAAAAAACTTCAGATGAAACAAGTTCATCCAATCCATGAATTCCTGAATCCATGATGTTATAATACTATGAATAATACTATGAATAATACTATACAACGTAGTTATCCACCTTGTAGGATCCTACGTTTCAACATGGATTTTTATTTCAGATTATGCGTTTCATTAATTATGGTTTTGTGGAGTATATATATATAGGTAATGAATGAAGTTATGTGATGTTATGTGATGTTATGTGATATTCATACCTACGCATTTATAATACGCTCTTTACTCTTGAATTATAGAATGTGAGGATGAGGACGAGGGTAATTTTATACGTGGAAAGAGAGGAGTAGTTGAAAAAACAAAAAAAATTCTATTTTGCTAGAGAATTTTTTGGTGATTGTGATGGTGATGGTGCTCTCTCTATACACTCACTGATGAATGAATGAGAGTTTAAGTAATCATGCGATAATGATTCTGTTCGACAGAGTGGAAAGTGGAGAATCGAACATCGAAAATCGAAAATTGTATATTATTATACCTTCTCGGATCAACATACTTATATACCCGGAAGACTCTTTACAGCTTCACGCCCTTCTAGTCTTCGTCTCAAATAACCTCACGCATTTTACACATATCCCTACATAATTCAACGCATCCTATAACATCTCCCCCTCACAACTCACAACTAACTCACACCACCCGAATATGCATACATACATATATCCATCCACCGCACAACTCGCTGCTTCCAACTCCCTTGCCCCCTCAACCAAATCCCTTCGAATTCCTCAATCACAAACCCACAATACTACGGATCAAAAACATAGACGTATGTATAAAAAACGCACCATATCCATATCCATACCATCTCCAGAATTTTCTTTTGTGAATAACAAGTTATAATATTATTGAAGCGCTTGCTAGCTTTCTCCCTGGGCTACTACACACTAGGAATAAGATATATCTGGATTTAGATCATATTATAAGATAACTTAGTATATGATATAAAAATATATTATATACTGAGCACTTTTCTTTATCGACTTTATTGATAAGAATGTGAAATATGGTGAAGTAAATCTTCAAATCTACTGTACGCAACAACTTTATATACTCATTCATATATGTATTGAGATTGAGATTGAGATTGATGTTGTAGAAACTACCGATGATAAATATAATATCGTAAAGAAAGCAATGTGTAACACTGCCATATCTTGGCGCAGTTTCCATTCTTCTTTTTGTATGTATGCTTGCGGTTATATCTCTATCAGAGCAGGTGATCTTTTCTACCTCCTGAATGACAACCGCAATCTACAGCGGACCGCTCCGTAATCGCTGATCATCCGCTTGTAGGATCGGCCGGTTCTCATGCCGTTTGGTTTTTCTACTAGATAGATGCACCGGGTCCTGAATCCTGATTCGATCGGCCGGAGTTGCATCGAGCAGCCATTTAATCACTTTCGGATGAATTAGTTGCAATCCAATCCAGAAATGCCATAAGGAATGGTATATTAGAGAGAGATATTGTAACCATAACATACTGCATCATGAGATAGTCATGACTAGGTCTTGTGCCGGTAATGACATATACAAATTTCTCGGCATGCACGTTTAATAGGTGTCACAATATGTACGATGTATGGGTTCAGGATGCAGAGCGTGTAGAATCGGCTTGAAGACAGAAAGGAATTGGGTGTGAAGTGGTTATGAGACAGGGTGGGATTGATAATTTGGGCGGGGGGAACAGTGATGCGTCTTGATATGTCTCGATGCTGCAGTACTTGCAGAATCGACTAGGTATATGGAAGCTATGTGTATTTAAGTGTAGGTATGCATTAGGTAGGTGATAGGATTTGGAAGCCGCAAAGATTAAGGGGGAATTTGGGGTCCATCTGGTTCGACGTGACCCTTGAATACAAGTCGACGTTCTTGGAACTTGATATGCTTGATCATGATAATTTTTGACATAAAGATGCATAAAGATTGGCTGGAGGACACCGGAAAATTACAGATCACTTGGTAAAGACCCAAAATTCATCATGCTGGCACGGAACAAGAATGATGTAGATATATCTCAGATCATAGATTATTCCAGGCGCTAGTCTACTAGAATACTTCCCTTCGAGACCGTTGGTAAAATCAGCAGTATGCTTATTCAATACAAGTCTAGATTTCTGCGTCAACTTTTACAATGGGTTGAATACCCACAACGGCAAGGAATCATCACAGCATCCATATGCACAATGAAAGTGAGAAATCGGCTAGCCCGCCTACCTTTGAGTTTGCCGTGTATCACAACATAATGCACTTTGGTGGATCCAATGCAGGACTTTCTCAAAATGGTATTTCCATATCAAGGGAATCACATGATTCCGTCGTCATGCAAGTGTGACAGCGGCAATAGGCGTGTACTGTTACAGTAGGAGGAATAGAACATACTAAAATGGAGATCCCGCATTGCCAGCAGTTACTAACCTGCGAGAATCATATCATATTTGATATAATTTTATACAAAGACGATAACATTGAATAGAAAGACATCAGGCGCCAATGCCAGGAATTTGTCTATCCGGGCCGACTTGTCTGCCGATGGCGATCTTCTTGTATCCGATATTTCAGCCAAAAATTCTTGCTTGTTCTTATATCACTAGGTATATATCACCCTTACTTCGGCTCAGTGTATAGCTGTGCTCATTAGGATAACCTTTCCTCTAGATCGGTCATTTTCTCCAATCTGACATATCGTTACACTGAAAATATGCGAAATCAAAAGATAAACTGCTGATATGCCTACGAATACACAAACACCAACGCATCCGATTAGTAAATAGATATGCAGTCAGCAGCAGAGTTTGAACCAGAAGGCAGGTGGCCTTTTGGCAAAATATCATAGCCTTGCTATGCGGAGAATGGAAAGTAGGATTTTTGGCTTTTCGTCTCCAGAGTTGAAGGGGATTGTAGATCGTAAAAAGTATAGTATGACTTTATATTGAGATTGTTGGAGAACCGCCATAAGCTAGACGTTATATTTTCGTGGGGTCATTATGAGTAAGAGGCGTTATATCTGAGTACCGACTGGCTAACTTGACTTCAAGGTGGCACAAAAACGGGTGCTGGCCGCATTTAAAGAAACAAAGAGGCACAATCTCAAGTATCATGGACGCAAGGTAAGTGATCAATCCTTTCCTTTGACTGATTAGCCATCAAACAATTGCCACACTTGGTGATAAACTACTCGTAGCAAATTGATGATCATTTCTTGCTTGTTTGTTCCCCTTTCTGTTTGATACGGTATACGGTGTACGGTATCAATCAGTATTATCCGGAGATCCAATAACCGCCCGTTCCTCTGACCATATCTTCCCTTGCATATCCCGTGGGATGCCGAGTGTTTTCTGATCTCAGGGGCGGAGCTTCAGACTTGTTTTCCCCCCACGTTTCCCGATGTAAATTTGGGCGTCTTGTAGGAGATTTGAGTTTGCATTTCGTGATAGAACAGCAAGCATCCATGCGTGGAGAAAGAAGCAATCGTAGGTACCAACTAGCGTAAGGTGGAGTTTACTTGATTTCCGGCGGTAGATGCGATAAACATAATGAATTACTTTTTAGACCAGGCCTGGACAGATCGGTAGGGCCAATACCGGAATATCGGATACATGCCATATCATATCAAGATCGAGGTGGTGTGGGTTTAATCTAGGGACACGGCAAACCCTGGTAACAATCGAAGAAAAGCAGTAGACCTGTTGGACGTACATGATGGTTCTCAATAGGCCTACGAAAAGCTTAAGGCGGAAAGCTACAAAGTACAGTAAGAAGAAATACGGATGATACCCCTACGATACCTCTACGACACCCCTACGACACCCCTACGACACCCCTACGATACCTCTACGATACCCCTACGATACCCCTACGATACCCATACGAGGCTCGGAGGGAGGCTGTCATAAACAAGCCTGTGAGCCGCTTTAAGCCCCACATACTTATCCTTCAAAATTTACCAAAACCGGAACCTTACCAAAATTCCCCCGCGACGCCATTGACTCTAAAAAATTGCATAAAGCATTCACTCTCCCCCTTCCAAACTTCTGATTCCTTCTCTTCGATTTCTTCCACATGTCATATCTGATCTCACGTTTGAGAATATCTACTCCAAAAATTCCAATTCATCCCAAATTCCAATACAGAAACTTCTCTCGCACAAACATCATCATGGGTGTCACAAAGACTATCTTGAAGCAGGGTTTTGGTGAAAAACCCAAGGCTGGAGATACCGTCACCATTGAATACACTGGATGGTTGAAGAATACCAATGCCAGCACTCCTGAGACGCAAAAGGGTAACCAGTAAGTCGATCCAAAAGCCCCAATCCCTTTTCCATGGTAATGCCATACCCTTCTCCATTCTGTGAGTAACAAACTTCTTCGCAGATTCGATTCATCTGTCGGCCGTGGTGCTTTCGTTGTTCAAATCGGTGTTGGTAAAGTCATCAAGGGTATTTTATCCCGCTATCTGATAAAAGTGACGTTGGATTCTTATTAACTGGTTGTTAGGCTGGGACGAGGGCGTCACCCAAATGCAGGTCGGTGAGAAGGCTACCCTGGATATTACTCCGTAAGTGACATCTGCCAATGCATTGTTAAATGGCCAAGCTAATAATATCTTCATAGTGACTTTGCCTATGGTGCCCGGTAAGACCTTTCTAATCCCCAACCCCACCGTTTCTCTTCCATATGTCGACTCAATGAGTTGGACCGTCGGGGAAAAACGGCTACAATACGATGGACGGACGGAATTGCTGATCTTTCATGTTATAGCGGTTTCCCCCCTGTCATCCCAGCTAACTCAACTCTCCTCTTGTAAGTCTCAGATTTACCAGAATAGATCCACAAAGTTCTCCACTAACAACATCTGCAGTGACGTTGAGCTTCAGAAGATCAGCTAAATGCGCGGTATTCAAAAGTGTTCAACCATAGATCGTCAAATGGCGAGGAAGCTCAGGCTCAGGATGAATGAATGAATTAACGAATACATGGTGGTGGAAGCATATAAGCATGCATGAACCGCACGTTGAGTTGAGAATGGATACTACATTGTTTCTCTGAAATTTACCACGCATTTGACTTTTGTGACGGACTTTAAATCTATAAATATTCCTCGAGTATACGAAATTGAGAACGAGATACATGACCAATGAAACTAAATCTCGAGGCGCCCTAGAGCTAGGATTAAGATACCGCCTCTCATGTATGGATAAAGAGGGCCTTTGTAGTGAACTATGATACCGCCGGTCACTATTCCGTACAAGCAATATCAAGAAGACAGGCACAGTGCAAATGAAGTTAGTTCTCCGTCTAGTCTTACGGCTCCAGATTCACAAGTAATTCGGTCAAGTTGCTGCAAATGCCCATATCAAACCCCTTGAAACCATTATTAGCACAGGCCTTAGATGACATCACTCCGCACAAGCACCGTTATTGCTTTACATCAATCCTCAATTGTGTGATACCAACCAAGTCTACAAGTGGCCGGATTATGAACTACTCACTAGCAGAATGACATAGTATATCAAGGCCTACTATATTGTTGCTCAGTTACTGATAACTTAACACGATATATTTTTCCACACCGAGTTGTGCTGCGCAGTAATATGTAGAAGTAAAAAGAAGATGTTCCTCGACCAAAATTCAGTTGTACTCCGTAGTTATGTCATTTTATTAGCTTGGTTACTCTAGATGTTTCCATTTGTCAACCTTAAAGCCTCAGTGGCTGGGGAGCTGCGAGGCGAAATGCATTTTGATACTGTAAGCAACCAGCAGCTTCCAATTCTTCTGATGTTTGTTTCTATCAATCACTTCTGATAAATATCAACTTCACATTTCATCCGCGCATTCATTTTTAGATCAAAAGAGACAACTACAACAAACAGATAAATCCTAGCAAATCTGGAATCACGCAACTCAAATACTTCTTGAGAACCTTATCAGCACAGTGATTTTACTGCACCATTACCCCAACTCACAAGGCGGTAGACCCCACAATATCCAACTACTCACGATCGAGCCTCAAAGTTGGTTCAATTTAGTGAACCAGAAAATCACCCTTTTCTGGAACACTTATCAAACGCCAACATTTCATCAGCAATAGATTCAGACGGTGCTGGCAACCTGGGAAAACGTAAACTCTCCGACGCGGATTCTCAGAGGCCAGATAAAAAGATCATGACGGTAGGTGCAAGCTACCCCTCCAAGGCGACAGCTACACCACGAGTTTCGAGCTTCGATCTCTACCAAATCATATCATTTATCCTACCTAGCATTGCATAAACTAATACAAATTTACTCTCTCTCTAGGCTATACATACAAAAAATACAGACATGGAGACTAAGATGCAGGTGGATGAGTCGGTGGCTGGCCACACCGAAATTGATGAATCCCTCTACAGTAGACAACTTTATGTTTTAGGACATGAGGCCATGAAGCGCATGGGTGCTTCAAATGTGCTCATTGTAGGACTTAAGGGACTTGGTGTGGAAATCGCAAAGAACATTGCTTTGGCAGGCGTCAAAAGCCTTACCCTTTACGACCCTGCGCCCGCAGTCATCGCCGACCTCTCATCTCAATTCTTCCTACATCCTGAAGATGTCGGGAAGCCAAGAGCGGAAGTGACCGCACCCCGCGTTGCTGAACTAAACGCATATACCCCGGTTTCCGTTCACAAGTCTTCAAGGTTAGTAGTTCATTTTGGCGCGGGGTTATACTTTACTAACATCTAGCTCCCGCAGCTTGACAGATGACCTCACTCAATTCGATCGATACCAAGTTGTGGTCCTGACCAATACCCCTCTCAGAGATCAAATCATTATTGGTGATTATTTACATAAGAAGGGGATTTATCTAGTAGTTGCAGATACTTTTGGTCTCTTTGGGTCAATATTTTGCGACTTTGGAGAAAAGTTCACCGTTCTTGACCCCACGGGCGAAGCTCCGGTAAGCGGCATTGTTGCTGGAATCGACGAGGAAGGTTTGGTTTCCGCCTTGGACGAAACAAGACATGGCCTTGAAGATGGGGATTACGTTACTTTCACCGAATTGGAAGGATTAGAAGCTCTGAACAGCGCGGACCCTCGAAAAGTAACTGTAAAGGGACCATACACTTTCTCTATTGGGGATGTCACAGGACTTGGTCAATACCAGAGGGGTGGAATGTATCATCAGGCTAAGATGCCAAAATTCATCGACTTCAACCCATTGTCCGTTGCTTTGAAAGATCCAGAACACCTTATTTCCGATTATGCGAAATTTGATCGCCCTCAACAACTCCATGTCGGTTTCCAGGCTCTTCATGGGTTCCAAGAATCTCAAGGCCGTCTTCCCAGACCGATGAATAAAGAAGACTCTATAGTCATTATTGAGTCTGCTAAGACTTTCATCCAGAACCAAAAGTTAGATGTCGAAGTCGATGAGAAATTGATTGCCGAGTTAAGTTACCAAGCACAAGGTGATTTGAACCCAATGGCAGCTTTCTTCGGTGGTCTTGCAGCTCAAGAAGTGTTGAAGGCTGTTTCCGGAAAATTCCACCCCATTTGCCAGTGGATGTACTTTGATTCTTTAGAGTCCCTCCCCGCCAACTTTCAACGAACGGAGGAAACATGCAAACCCCTCAATACTCGATATGATGGTCAGATTGCTGTATTTGGTAAAGAATACCAAGATAAGCTGGCCAATATCAACCAATTTTTGGTGGGTGCCGGTGCCATTGGTTGCGAGATGTTAAAGAATTGGGCTATGATTGGTTTGGCCACTGGTCCCAAGGGTAAAATCTTCGTTACTGATATGGATTCGATCGAGAAGAGTAATCTCAACCGTCAATTCCTCTTCAGGCCTAAGGATGTTGGGAAATTGAAGAGCGATTGTGCTGCTGAGGCAGTTCAAGCAATGAACCCTGATCTCAAGGGTCATATCGTTACTCTGCGTGATCGAGTTGGTCCGGATACTGAACACATTTTCGATGAAAATTTTTGGCATCAGCTTGATGGTGTTACCAACGCCCTTGACAACGTTGATGCTCGAACTTACGTTGATCGTCGTTGTGTCTTTTTCCGAAAGCCTTTGCTGGAGAGTGGAACTCTAGGTACCAAGTGTAACACACAAGTTGTTCTCCCTCACTTGACCGAGTCATATTCCAGCTCTCAAGATCCTCCTGAGCAATCTTTCCCGATGTGTACGCTCCGAAGTTTTCCCAACAAGATTGAGCATACCATTGCCTGGTCTCGAGAGCTGTTTGAGTCATACTTCGTTAAGCCTGCGGAGACAGTCAATCTATATCTCACCCAGCCAAATTATCTTGAAAGTACCCTGAAACAAGGTGGTCAAGAAAAAGCAACTCTAGAGACGATTCTAGATTTCTTAGTTGAGGATAAGCCATTGTCTGTCGAGGACTGTATTAAATGGGCTCGTCTGCAGTTCGAAAAGCAATACAACAATAACATTCAGCAATTATTGTACAACTTTCCGAAAGATTCAACTACATCAAGTGGTACACAATTTTGGTCTGGACCAAAACGTGCTCCAGATCCATTGAAGTTTGATCCAAAGAACCAATATCATTGGGACTTCATTGTTGCTGGTGCTAGTCTCCACGCTTTCAACTATGGCATCAACACTAGCGAACTGGGCTCAAGCACAATTCACAAAGTTCTTGATAACATGATCATTCCCGATTTCTCTCCAAGTTCTTCCGTTAAGATCCAAGCTGATGATAGTGAGCCTGTAAGTTTAATTTTCGTTCCTTTGCCCTACGAAGTATTTCTAACATTTTTAGGATCCAAATGCTGCAAATAACTCATCCTTCGATGACAACGCAGAGCTTCAAAACCTCACAAACAAGCTCCCATCACCAAAATCAATGGCTGGATTGAGACTATCGCCAGTTGAGTTTGAAAAGGATGATGATTCAAATCACCACATTGATTTTATCACGGCTGCCAGTAACCTGCGTGCCGAAAATTACAAAATTGAGCTTGCCGACAGACATAAGACAAAGTTCATTGCTGGCAAGATTATTCCTGCTATTGCAACAACAACTGCTCTTGCCACTGGATTGGTAATCCTGGAGTTCTACAAGATCGTTGATGGCAAGGATGACATCGAACAGTACAAGAATGGTTTCGTCAACTTGGCCTTACCTTTCTTTGGATTCAGCGAGCCTATCGCAAGTCCAAGAGCTACGTACAAGGGACACACAGGAGACGTCACTATTGACAAGCTTTGGGATAGATTTGAGGTTGAAAACATTACACTCAAAGAACTTGTCGATGATTTCTCACAGAACAAGGGTCTCGATATCAGTATGTTAAGTTCAGGTGTCAGTCTCTTGTATGCCAGCTTCTTTTCCAAGGCAAAGTTGGCGGATCGCATGAATTTGAAGCTTAGTGAACTTGTTGAGCTCATCTCTAAGAAGCCTATTCCAAGTCATCAAAAGACGGTAATCTTCGAGATTTGTGTTGAAGATCAGAATGAAGAAGATGTAGAAGTTCCTTACATTATGATGAAGTTGGGCAATTAACGATACAATGAAGCGGGAGTGGCATCAATTTTTATGGGACTAAGAAAATTAGAACAGCACGCGGATTATGAATACAGCGAAATATAAAATATTTTACCAAGCAACGCGCGTTTTAATTCTGTGAAAGTATCCATGATGTTATTACTATGATATTTGAGATCATCTAGTAATCTGTTTCGGGCTTCAAAAGGCTCAATTTTCCGTGGGTTATGTAAACTTAGTAAGTGCTTTGCAGGAGAAGCGTAAGCAATTGGCAGGGATGGATGGCAAGGATATCAAAGCACACCTTAGCTCCAATCGATGACCAATCTCAATTCTACCCCGCCATCAATGGCACCTCGAGCTCCATATGCTTTCTTGGTAAAGATTACCTCATTATATATAAAGATATAAAGAGTAATAACGTCGCCTGTTTTCTTCATTGCCATAAATTCATGCTTTCTCGACTTCTTCAATTATCTACCCAGCTTCCAACTCTTTCAAAGTTACCAATACGAGCTTTCAGTTCTATTAAATCTACAAATATGGTTCGTTAGCCTCCAAGCTCCTTAATGTCTGGAAACCCGATAGCTCTGAAGCTCTTAGGAAGTATATAAGCAGTTGAAATAATAGCTGACGTGCGAAACATATAGTCTGAGCAAAAAATCACCCAGTGGGTTGCACTTAATGATAAATCTGGAGAATTCAAACGAGGCCAATCCCAATTTCGAAATTTCATCAAGAAAGGAGGGGAGTTCCCACCGGAGAAAGGAAGATACCATCTCTACGTAACTACACCCTCCCAGGCCAAGCTTTTCTCCCGACTAATCAAAAACACCATTAGGTATCTTATGCTTGTCCATGGGCACATCGCACGTTGATTGTACGCAAACTCAAGGGCCTTGAAGATATCATTCCATATACTAGTGTACATTGGCATATGCAAGAAAAAGGATGGAGATTTGCGACTGCTGAAGATGATATCTCCGGTGACAACGTTACTGCATCTCCAGTTGAAGCCCATAAAGGTTTTACGCATTTGAGAGAGATATACTTTCAGGTTGATCCAGAATATACTGGCAGGTTCACAGTTCCGACTCTTTATGATGTGAAGCAGGGAAAGATTGTTAGTAATGAGAGTAGTGAAATTATTAGGATGTTTTATACCGAGGTTGGTTTTAATTTACTTGTTCCTGTCATTCTTTCAAAATTTGGGGTTAGGTGCTGATATTAAAATAGTTTGATGATATTATTGCTCCGGAATACAAGAATGTCGATCTCTTTCCTGCAAATCTACAGAAAGAGATTGAAGCTACGAATGAATGGACTTACAATGATATCAACAATGGTGTCTATAGATCTGGTTTCGCTACTAAGCAGGAAGCTTATGATAAAGCTGTTACTCAACTCTTCACATCCTTGGATCGTGTAGAGAAACATTTGAGTGAGAACGAGGGACCTTATTATTATGGAAAGAATATTACCGAAGCGGATGTCAGGTTATTCACAACAATCATCAGATTCGATGTCGTTTATGTCCAGCATTTTAAGGTATGTGTCTACTCGATTCAACGCATTGAATGTATGTGATGATAGCTAATGTGTTAAAGACAAACATTCGGGACATCCGATCGGGATATCCGTATATCCATAAATGGTTGAGAAATTTGTATTGGAATGTTTCAGCATTTGGAGAGACAACTGAATTCACTCATATCAAGAACCATTATACAAAGAGTCACACTCAGGTATGTACCCCTTTTCCTTTCATGGCCATGTTGTATACTAATTTCAATCTAGATCAATCAATTTAGTATCGCTCCTCTGGGACCTGAACCACCTATTTTGAGGGAAGATGAAGAAGTTCCAGCTGTAAAATATGCTCTGAGTTTGAGGAAGTGAGTCGGACGAGATGTAGTATAATGTGGATTTTCTTGGGAAATGGCTATTGATGAAAAGCGTACGGAGTAAGGCTGTAATAATATGATGAATCTATATACAATCCGATTCCAGTTTGAGCATCGAATCCTTTCGTACATCATACTTCAATACACGAATGCTTTCTCGGTCTCCAATTATCGGTGGGTTCTTCTATTCATCCTGATTGTATTAGGTTGTGTGTTTTTCTATCTGTTCTCCGAGACTCAGAGCACCATCTAGAATATCCTATACTGGTAAGATTCGAACAATGCATACTACATGCTACATGCACTTAATCTCAATAAACCAGCTTAATTAAGCATCTACCCAATCACCTTTACGCAATGCCACATTAGCTCATACATATCTCCATCTTTATAGCCTGCATTGTGTCTACTTTTCCTTCTTCTTTCCACCGTGGTGCTGAAAGGGGAGTGTGTGGAATATAGACTTCGAGATCTACCCATGATCTCAATGCGGAGATGGGTTCAGAAAGAGTTGGATAGGTTAGGTAGTGGAAATCAATGTTCATCATTCGAATGTTTAATACTAACAATTTGCGAGAATTAGTTGCAGCATTAGAAATGGCTGTTCACATGAATGTCACGGGAAGACGGGAAGCTTTCATTTAGCAGAAATATTCAATTTGAGGAGAATACCCGCCTAATCTTCCATGATGAATTTCAAGAAAGCTTGGGATACTTTCACGCCATCATGATCCTTATCAACCCTACTCATTGCATCCTCAAAAGTCGCATCGTCAAAAATACCAGAAGCATGTCTTGCCTCCAACACTTCCCTCACAATTTCCTTTGTAAACTCCGGATGTCCTTGCACCGTCATTAGTCTCCCTTTAATATACATTCCCTGCGTTGCACATTTATCCGTATATGCTAATTGTTCCACCTCTTTAGGATATTCATACACCATATCTTTATGCATTTGAAATATATTCTGTGAAAATAATTAGTCCCAATTCCTTATTTCTTACCCCGTCTCCAGCAAGAATAAGATAGGATAGAAAAAACAAACCAAACTCTCTAAACCAAATATCTCCTTTCCCCTCTCCGTCAATTCCACAGGCGTCACACTAATTTCCCACCCCTTCTCATTCCTCTGAACCCTCATCCCCATCGCCCTTCCCACAATCTGATGTCCAAAACAAATCCCCACCACTCTCACCCTTCCCTGCTCCAAGAGCCCCCTCACAAACTCGACCAATTTCACAATCCACGGCTCGGAATCAAAGGCCGTGAATCGCGATCCACTGATTAATATTGCGTCAATGGACGATGGGCTGGGATATTCCTGAAGCGTTACAACGTCGTAGGAACTTATTTGGAGGGAGGATACAGGGAGCGCTGGTGTAAGGATGCTAGCTCCGCGCTCGAGGAGCATACTGAATACGCCGCCGTATCCATTGTATTTGGCGTCAGTATTTGGGAGGGGGGTATCGCATTCGAGGATTGCGATGCGGAGGGGTGGTTGGGGCATTGTGGTGTGAGTGAGGTTTTGGTGTCTAGGTAGGTAGATGAGGAAAGATGAGGATGGGATGGGATGGGATGGGATGATTGTGTATAGAATGATTAGATTGAGGAAGGAGAGGAAAGGTTAGAATGAGAGATGAGATGGGAACGAGAGATGTTTTTGGATTTGAAACCTTTATGAATATCAATGAATATCAATGAATATGTACAAAAAATTGTTGAATTATTATTTGGTAAATAGATTAATACAGTACCTAGATTAGATTGTTGATATGAGTGAGGTCCGATAATCCTCCGCGATGTGAACCTTCTTATCTTGACTGACTTGTCTCGGCTGCGTATTCCTTATCATATCAATGCATTATTGTATGCCGCCTTATGTAAGGGCTCAACTGACGCATTAGCCATCGAGACATCTAACCCAATTGGATCTCTGTCTCTACACACCCGAAGCTCAATAATTAACTTCTACCCCAACAGCTATTATGTCGGTCGCCTAATTAGGCGTAGGGATCCAGGTGTCAGGTGCATGGAGTTGGCGGGTGAACATCTTCTATAAACCGAGTACGTACTCGAGTACACAGCATTGAGGTCTGCAGATAATGTTTTGCATTTATTATTCAGTAAGATCTTACATATGCGGAGTATCTTGATGAAATAACATGTGCAGTGCAAGAACTTTATGTTAAGAGTTCTAGAATCCGGTCTAGGAAGTATACTGGATATTCTTATCTTACTGCTCTCACCCGAGCAACATTCCAATCCTATTTTTCAATTCCCTTTAACCTCTAGAGGAAATGAAGGAGGTCTTTTGTCAACAATTATATTGGAGGAGGTTTGGGGTGCAGCAGTTAGTGTCTGCAGGAGAATGATTGATCGATTGATCGATTCGGCTACTCCGAGCTCGCGTATGGAGTTCAAACTGTTGGTTTATATTTATATCTTCATCTATATCGATTATTTTTATTTCTTTCCATTGATTTGTTTGTGAGTAAATTTATCGATAGTTTCATACAGGTAAATCATAGAAAATAATCACCAAGCTGGTGGCCTGGATACCACAGGCAGTATCGTAATAGAGAATACACCGTTCGTATTTTCTACCAGAAACGATACACCAACAGTTGAAGAAGCATTGGTAGACAATGATGATGATTCAACAGCAACGGATATCGATCCTAATGGATTCGACCTCTTGTTGTCAAGAAAAACATCATTTACAGCTATAAGCATCGAAGCCAATCCTCAAGAATGATCTATGCTTCGAAATACTCCAATCCACCATCATGCCAACCGAGGATCTAGAAATTCCAGTCATGTGAGCACGAGAAGGAAATAAATTTCTGATTCCATTAGGAATATTCGAGAAACCATTGAAGACGAGGATGAAGAATCTAAACTCCCTTTTCTAGGCCGTGTCGGTGTAAAGAGATTTTGACTCATTTCAGCAGTGTTTTCTTAATGTATAATTACTTTATCTTCATTTGATTCTACAATTACGGTTTCGAGTCATCCATTTATTAATTTACTTCATATTTCATTCTGAGAATAATGCATCGTGGTTTCCTCACATGCACCAGTTTCCAACCGATCTTCGATCGTTTGTCCGATGCCATGGGGACGGAGAAAACCTCTATATCTCTTTTCTCTATTTGGTTTTCACTCTCAACTATTTGATGTGCTCTTGCTCAAAGTAATTTCACAGCGAGTTTTATTATTCCGAGAGCAGTTTGTGGCTTGGGTGCTGGGGGTGCTACGTCCCCGGGCTCGATTATTACAAGTCATCTTATACCAATCGAGATTCGATGTAAGATTACCTATCAATCACATCTGAATATTGATTTTGTATCAGGAGCTGCTTCGGATGCAGCACTAGGTGGTATTATTGCGGGTCATCTTGATGGAGATGGGAATTTGATTTTCAGGTTCCGGGATTGATTCTTTGTTTGTTTGTTTCGTATTTGGTTATTCCCTGTGATTTGGGGTTTGAATAGAGGGATGAAAAATTTGAGGGAGGATTTGAGTGTTTGGATTATATGGGCTCGTTGTTAGTTACTTATGGCTACTATTATATTTTTAATTCTCGCGATAGTAAGTTTCTCTTATAAGCACCTCAATATTATATAACATAAATCTAAAAACCAATAGAATCTCGGCGGTAATATTTATCCCTAAACACATCCTCTAATCCTCCGCTGTATAAGTCTCACCACCATCCTTCTCCCCCTATTCATCCTAGCCGAACACCACGCCTCCCAGCATCATGCCCCTCTCCTCATACCCCACAACCCGCGCTCCTCCCTCATCATAAACAACGCCCTGGCGGCATAGTAAACAACAAAATCCTCTTCAACGTTCCCCTCTACTTCTAAACTGTGCTCCTCTCATCCTATCCTTATCACTAGCACCATGTGCACCCTAACCAGCATCCTCATCACCTAGACCCCGCAATCTCAAACTCCCCCTCCCACTTCTCCTCGGAGTCAGAATCTCGCTCAACATTATCATTATCGGAAGGAACAATCATTCTCATATCCATGAATCGCCATTTTAAAAATTACAAAATTGCGCATACGAATACGTACTCCTATAGTTATTACTTCCAACGAGTATATATGGGATAAGAATCCCAAATGTAGGGATATTTATGAATATGTTGGCTGTTAGTGTGTTGACTGTTCTATTAGTGTTGAAGAGTTGAGGTTATGAGGAGACGAACGATGAAAGGGTATCCTTCTGAATAATTGGATATAATGCTGATATTGATATTGCGATTATGCGATGAAGTGATTAAAGGTTGATAGATAGATATGTGAAGTGATGTAAATAGATACGAAATTGAAAGGAAAAAATAGGTTGATTTTATGATGTCGTTTAGTGCGATAATATGGTATTGAATATAAAAATAGATCGAGTTGAGATCGCGCATTGAGTGGATATTCTGATTGAAATTGGCATATGTACCTATGTTATCCTATATCCTATATCCGAATCCTATTTCCCGAGTATCGAATTTGCAATTCTGAAAGCAATCGATATCCAAACCTTACTCTTCCTTCGCCACATCAAACCACCCACCAAACAACCACTTCTACTTCAACAAGCACCACTTACAACCACAGCCCTCTTAGGCTTCTCTCTCAAAATCTTATCCTCTTCAAAATCCGCTCTTACATTCTTCGCAACCTCATCATCAGTAAGTACATTCCAGCCGACGATCGCCATAGCTTTAGCAGTCACAATAGTAATATCATGAGCTTCTTTGGTAGCCGCTGCTTGTGTGAATTCAGGCGTGTGGTTAACAGCTCTATCGGAGATTCCGTACATGCCGTGAAAGCCGGGACATACGTAGCTTACGTTGCCTGTGGTGAATTATTAGAGGTGGAGTGGAAATATTGGGTATCTGGAGCTTACCCATATCAGTTGAGCCAGGCGCGTTGTAAATGTTTTTTAAGTCACATGTAACAGGGTATTGAAGATTAGACATGGCTTCTGCGTATTGACTGCAGATTGTTTTGTTGGATCGTAGGTCGGCGTACGTGTTTATGCTGGGTAAGGTTAGTATGTACTTAGAAGTGGAAAGTGAAAAGTGCAGATGTACTCTTCAAACTCAACTGTACAGCCTGTTGCGAGAGCAGCTCCTTCAAAACATTTGATGGCTCTGGCTTTGAGTTCATAGGTTTCTTTGACAGTGGCACTCCGGACGTAATAGACTAATCCTGCACTGGCCGTAATAATATTTGGCCTCGTACCACCAGATTCAATCACTCCCTTTTCAAAACATTAGTAATTATGTGACTCAAAATGTATGGCATACTTACATTGATTCTTTCATAAGGTTTGATCTGCTGTCTCAAGACACTGATAGCATTGTAAGCAAGAACAACAGCATCAAGCGCATTAACACCCTCCCAAGGTGCCATAGCAGCATGTGAAGGTTTTCCCATATAACGGATCTTAAAGTTGTGACTCGCCAACGAGGTGAGGTATGCGGAACCAACATGGCCTTGACTTGGATCCCTAATAGACGGATGAACCATCATGCAAGCATCAACATCTTTGTAAGCTCCTGCGTCAATGAGCTTCAATTTACCTCCACCACCTTCTTCAGCTGGTGTTCCCAAGAGTCTGACTCGACCTGGGACATTTTGTTTCTTCAATGCTGATGCAAGGCCCAGGAACGATGCGATTGAGGCGGTAGCAATTAGATTATGGCCACAAGCGTGTCCAATGTCAGGTAGAGCATCATATTCCGCATTGTATACTACAAGGCGACCTCCGTTACCATACTCGGCCGAGAAAGCAGTTGGAACACTATAAGCGCCGGTTGTGACAGAGTAGCCGAGCTCATTGAGCATAGATGTAATGTTATCGTGTGCTTTTACTTCATTGAATCTGAGTTCCGGATTTTCATGGATCTAAAATTAGTGAGATACGGATAAGTATACGTGAGCGTGCGCAATAGTCTTGAATGCAGTTCAGCGATAAGGGACTTTTGAATATTGAAATCATTTTGAGTATTGAATCTTTAAAAACAGTTCGAACATTCGATAAATGTATCGATCAAAGATTCGGTCATTCAAGTTGAAGATCTCAGAGCGGGCTGCAGTCAGGAATATTGAGTAAAAGAGTGTATATGGAAGAGGGGTCACCTTTTGATTGATTGCTTTCAAATTATCCTCGTAGCCGTCTATGGCTTCTTGGATAATTTTAGAAATTGTGCTCTCCATTTTCCGTGATAGTTCTTTTGCGACTGGTAGACTACTTGATTGTTGATTGTGATGTGTGAATGGGAGAAAAGGGAGGAGCAAAGGGTCGCTCACTAGGTAGTGAAGGAATGAAGTTAGTCGATAAGAGATGGCAAGCATGAAGGTAGTGTCTCTAGGCAATAGGTTCAAACTTTGACAGCTCCAGCAATTAAGTATCAACCTACGAGTAGTTTATCCGAAACTAAACTGTCACGGTGTTTTAATTTCTAATCCAAAAAGATTGATATTGCGGGGTAAAATAAAGATTGACGAGCTCTCATTTTGATTGGTTTACCGAGACGACCAGCCGTCTGTGATACCTATAATTTCTAATCAATTCAGTCATCGTCTGAAATTCACTCTATCAGCCCATCTCAGCCCGAACAATCATGGCCTTGACTTGGTCTCAAAAGTTTCCCAAATCTATGCGTTCTCAACTTCAGTTGATCCCGACGAATTGCTTCATGCCGTTGGCGATGGAGGATTTCCCGACATGCGGAGCATGCATGACTGGTCGCTCACTACAGAACAAGGGATTGATTTTACTAAACCTCGAGACATTCGATGATATAGAGTCAAGCAACGAGCGTGGTGTTTGGGAAAGGGAAGTTTGTGTTCAGAACCATGGATTCTGTGACAAACTGCTGGTGCGGATATCCCACGTCCAGATAGTTCATGATCATTTTTAGAGGGTACTTGTCTCAGTTGTTCAATTCAATTCTAACGTTAAAATATATTGAATGCGTAAACTTCGTTACTCCTTGCCATCTCCTTGCCACACTTATGGATGTATCAATGGCGAACTTCTTCTGTTTCAAACTTCCAGATTTTTCTCATCCCGATTTCGAGTGTATTGTAACATGAATCTTTTGACCTAGACTTTTGATAGATCTAGGACTTCCATAATTAATCAAGTTCCCTCAATCCGTGCTGATTGTACTGAGTTTTCTTCATCGGGCGTTGCTTTGGTTAACTGCATTGCGATCGTATGTTTTTCCTTTAACGTCATATTACCTTCTGATACTTTGAGCTCAACCAAAAAGTCCGTTGATAAAGGAGGAGGTAGTGTGCGTGGAAGTGAAGGTGATGGTAGAGAGAATAATGGGGAGAATGTGACGGTAAAGAGGATTCTCTACTAGAATATTCTTTTTCTTTTGAGGAAATTGAAATTGGGTTATCAATGTCTGACTTGCTCCTCGGGCTTTCATTGCCCTTGTATGTATAAGTTTCTTCCGGTAGCCTTTCAGCCGAAAAGATTACAGGTGAATGATCAAAAGCCTCTTCTGCTCGCTTTGCATCCGAAGAGGTTACAAGTGGGTAATTAGGAGCTAGTCTTTGACTGCGATTGACTGCGTATTTTTGGGCAGCCTTTAATGTTGCTGTGATATATAAAAAGAACCCCCTGGAAGCAGCGGCATAGAACAGATAGTGTTACCGAAACCCCTTCCCGGAGTAGTTTCATCTGCTGAATCCCATGGCATTTCCTTCCATCCTTCGCGGAATAATGGGCGTTTAAAATCCCGGCCGACTGTATATATCAGACTTGTACTCCAAAAGGAATTTTAATGCCACACTACAGTCATTCCATAACATTTCTATCATGACTTTATATCTCATAGCCTTCGAGCAATCTTTGTAAGGCTTTCCGAATCTTGCATTTGCTTCACCATCATCATACGATTGATTATTGACATATCGAAAAATACTGGAGAACGTTGCGTCTAGCTGCGAATCCGAAACTCTGTTGGCCCATGATGATCCAACTATTTGCTGTATTACTTCTAACCAAATAAGTGTGATTAACCTAAGATAAAGAGTCGTCCTCGATATCCATGTTGAGAGTCGGAAATATTAAAAAATGGAGTCCAAACATTGTCAAAATCAAACATATAAATAATTAGACTGAGAATGAAGAAGGAGATTAGGAAAGGGAGAATACATGGTTGCAATACTCGGTTATCAAAAAGTGGTAGAGGGAAGTGCAGAGAAAGAAGGAAGGAGCGAGCAAATGATCAAAAGTAACTATAACGGGCCTCGGTACGCCCAATAGTTCGCTCCCAAATATACATTTAATACCATTTACTTATCTAAACGATGAGCCATTCACTGCGTAACAGTTCGAACTGAAGTTCATAATCAAACAAATACCGCAACGACTAGAGCATCCTAGGTAGTCCACGATCAGAACTACTCTACCGAGTAGAAAGTCATTCCCTGGTAATGGGAACAGTTTAAATATCCGCCAATTTCTAGCATAAGATAAGAGCTGCCCAACCTCTGAAGTGTTAGGAGGACCAAATTCAATCGGTATATTGATGATATTACACGGGAGTAGCATTTTTGCTACTGCTCACTGCACTGAGCGAAACTCCGCTCCAACATCCTTATCCATGATTCAATACTTCTTGGCCTCTCGTACAGCATTTGACTAATATACGCACACTGCCGCTTACTTGTAAATTGTAACTTATCTAAAGAATTACTTTATGTGCGGTAATTTCAGCCAAGTGCCCTGAAAAGTTCTTGTTCCTACCGACTTCGAACCACTTGGTTCCACTATCCAAATGTCACATCACTTTACGAGCTCTTTTCATTTCTGCAAAGTTCTCTTTCTAATACATTTTATTCCATTCATTTCATCATTTAATTTAATACATGTATCATCCAAATATCATCCAAATATAACCTCGTTACATCTACCGTGGATATCATAAACAGAAAAAATAAAAATAAACACAGACCTTCCCATATCACCAAATATTATACACACGAGCGCCAAGCGCCCAACATTTCCCAATTTTATGAACTGCGATCAACAGTCATTTCCGACGAAAAGCACCGAACACTAGTTACCCTCAAAAGGAAATCTATCCGTTCTATCAATCTCCTCCTCTATCTTCTCTCTCTGCTCAATGAGTGTATCATCTCCACTTGTTCTTCCACTGTGTTCACCATGAACATGACGATGCAGATGTCCTGAATTGACAAATATGTCCTCATTTCTGCTTTCTCTTCTGAGCTTTTCCTCGCCTCCGATATCTGTGCCGCTGCCAGTACCTTCTTCGGCGTGCTTTCCACCATTTAGTAATGCTTTTGCATTTTTTCTAATTCTTCTTTCGGTCCAGACTGGATTTTCTCCTCTTTCATATGCTTCCTCGAAAATCTCGTCAAGCTTTTCAAGTGGGTATCCTTTTGTCTCGACGAACGTGTACCAAATAACTGGTACGAATGCGAGATTGACACACATGAATACGAAGTATGTCTTCCAGCTGATGCTGTAAATCATAATTGGAGCCAACTGAACAACAATGTAATTACCGATCCAGTTAAATGAAGTCGAGAGACCGTTTGCTTCAGCTCTGATTCGGAGTGGTGTCACCTCAGCTGGGTAGAGCCATGTTATTCCTAACCATCCTAATGCGAAGAAGGCAATGAAGATGAAGATAAACGCGGTAGCAACGTAGCCAGGAGCTTTATAATCTTCTGTTGTTTGTGAAAGACAGACTCCGATGACCATGGATGAAAGACCCATTCCTAGAGCACCGATAATCATCATTTTACGACGGCCAAAGCGGTCGACAATGAACAGGGCGAGAATGGCGGCAGCGAGGTAGAGAGTTCCGTAGCAGGCAGTGAGGAGACGGGCCAGGGAGGGAGAGAAGCCGAGGGAATCTTCGAAGACAGTTCTGCAATACGGCATTAGTACATTCGTGAATGTTTGGGAACAATGTGAACGTTAGAACTTACGTTGCATAGTATGTAACAAGATTGGTACCTCCAATCTGTTGGAAAAGCTGGGAAGTATATGCAATGGTAACTCTCCATCTATTCATCTCAGGACCATTTCCATAAAATTCCTTAAGTGTGAGCTTTTGACCTTTGGTAATAGCGGTAACCCTCTTAAGTTCTCTGACTTCTTCCATGATACGTGGGTCATCTCTCTCGCATTTTTGTAGACGGCAAAGAATTTCGATGGCGTGTTCATCTTTATCTTTTTTGAGAAGCCATTTAGGTGATTCTGGTAATGCGAGGACACCGACAAGGAGGACAGCTCCGAAGAATGCCTGGAAAGCGATCGGAAAGCGCCATTGAAAGGAACCATATTGGGTGATGAAGAAAAATCCATAGTTGAGCCAGTACGATAACATAACTATGATTGGTTAGAGTAAGTTTGTGAGAGCAGGGATGATTAATACTTACTGCCTCCAGCGATCAAAGCACCTTCGAACAAAACCAAGAATCCTCGAATCTTAGGTGGAGCCATCTCACTCTGCCAAACGGGAATTGATGAAGTGTTCATTCCGTTACCCACACCCGTAACAATTCTTCCAACTATTAATTGAGCCATCCCGAAACTCGAAGCTTGTATCGCAGTACCAATCAACATGATAACAGTTCCCAATAACACAGCTCTTCTTCTTCCGAGTTTATCACCAAATCCAATAATAAAGAATGATCCGAATAAACAACCGATTTCGTAGATGGCAACAACCAAAGCTTGAATTGCACCCGATTTGTTGTGTGGTTCCATTTGGGGAAAGTATGTGAGGAAATTATCTTCTGTGATGATTCCGGACATGATACCCTCTGAACACATCGATTAGTTTGACTCTCTGGTATGGACTGGGGATACATACGATCATATCCGAAGAGTAAGAAACCACTTGCAGCAGTTGCGCAGACAAGAGTCTCGAGAGCCTTACCTCGCACTGTGTTCCCGAGGAAACCCGTATGACTTAGTAAGCCCATATTTGCGTAAAGAAAAGGAAAAACACTTTTGTGTGGATTGTCAAGTTGTTCTGATTAAAATTTCATTTATGAGATGGAGAAAGGGACTATATGGGGTCGGGGAGCCCATTTCCCCCTCGAGTCGGCATGTGGAGAGGTCCATAAAAGATCAAAAAAACATTGATAGCTATGATGAAATTCCTCCTAGGTGGACCCCTAGTTGTCCAAGAAAAATGGGTAGATTCATACATGAACAAAATGGAAGTGGTTGTTAAAACTGGAAGTATGATATCAGACCTCGAAAAGGTGCCGCACTCCTTCAAATTATGATATTGTGGTTCCTGCTGCAGGATAGTGTATGTACCATCTCCGGGTAGTTCGGTGGCATTGCGGTCCCTCCCCCCTTTAGAAGTTTTGAATGCCGATCCATATGAAGAATCTGATCTAACGTGGTCATGTGACCATACATCGGGATCAGAATCATGTTAGCGGTCTTGTGAAATAACTCGGGCACCGTGACACTGTAATTATAATGAATTCAAGTAAACTGTATTCCATCAATCTCTAGGGTCCGACATTTCGCCTTTGAGTTTTTTCCAGAGCCTCAGAGTCACCCCTGACTCGAAAACGACTTAGACAAGTCCAAGACAATTAAGCTTATCGAAGACCCACAATGATTTATCAAAGATTTTCAATCATCAAAGACTTCTGATATCATCTTGCAGATGTTCCGAAAGCAAGCAATACTGCCAAGTAAGACCCACACGATCGAAGAGAAATGGCAATGTTAGCGAAAGGTGCCGTGAGAGCGTGCTTTGATTCGTCAGAACCACAAAAATTACTGGCCTAATTCCTGCAGAACGAACTCTTCAATCGAGAATCAGTTATATCATCTGCTTTGTTGACCGCAGAGCGTCAGGATGCTGTGAAGCGGAGAACGACACGCATTATCACCTACTTCCGCGGTGGATAATAGGTGACACGGTCTTCATGAATCTGTGGATAGATGTCGTAGAGGAACCCGTTCGAACATCTCCCATGTATCATTTGCAATGAACTACCATTTCACAGCATGTTAGCTTGGCACGAATCACGACCCGCCGCCGACCCGGGCATAAATGTTGTTGCGAAATCAAGCAAATACATCATTCGACTTACCTTGAAAAGCTTTGCACACCTCGCGCCAACCTTGAATGAAACAATGCTCCTTCATAATCAAGGTAAAATAATATAATAAGAAATTCTCATTCAATATATCCAACTCATAAGGTTTTGTTCTACGGAGGTCAGTTCCAATATCAGATCATTACCATATCAGACCAATACTCCATTAACGTACAAGCACAAACTTTGGCATTCTTAAACATGGGATTATTCATTGTAGACATTGAACATGAGGATGCAAGGAAGTACAAATACCTGAAAAGTGCCTGACATGATGCATAGTAACGTCCGCTGATCTGTGGGCTATCTAGCTACCGTGATAAATTAGCATGATCAATATGGTCCATTACTTTAACATGATGAGGTTATAGTTGCCCTATTTCGCCTGGTTGCAGAATATATGTAAAATATGGAAACAACATGGATAAGAGTTGTCGAGCTTCACAGAAAGATGATATATTGAGCCTGGTATCCGAAAATATTATATTGGAGACTCCGCCGCAATGCTATATGCTGTTCCGTTCCCCGGTCTCTCACTTCGCTTTGCGTTGCCTTCTAGATTTTCCTTTAGAATTCTCCGGCGCTGTTCCTGTATTGCCGGAGTTGTCGGAGGGTTTCTCACTTGCTCCATTTGCCTTTTCAGCCGCCTCTTTCTCTTTCTTCTCTAAAGCTCTTTTAACGGCTTCTTCTCTTTCAACTCTCTCGATCAACTTCTCACTACCTTCCCATAACTTCTTTGCGATAGTTTCGTCTTTGATATCAGAAGTAGCGAAATCTATTTCTCTGCACTCTTTGATGAGCTTTCCACCAGGCCCTCTTCCTAATGTTGCTTCCATAGCGGAGTAGCAAATACTCTGAGCACCTCCTTGAGAGCTTTTCAATATAAGCCAAACATTTTGCCATAACATGACATATAATGCCAACCCCGACAATGTACCCCGGGAGAACCATCTTCTGAAACCTGGTGTGCGACAATATCCGGGGTCCACAAATATGACTCGTGCGTTCATAACCGCTTCATCGGGTCGTTTGTATGACTCCAGATGCTTCTGAAAGGCTTGTCCAAAAATCATCAATGCCATCTTACTCCTGGCATATGCTGCTGAGGGGTTCCAATCTTTCTTCTTTATCGCATCACTACCATCTCCAATAGTGGGACTTTTATTATAAGACGAGCAGGTTGCTAATATAATTCGCACATCCCGATCTGGTGGTTGGGCGCGAATTGCGGGACTGAGAATACTTAGAAGATGAAAATTTGCCAAGTAGTTAACCATCCAGGTTTCTTCTATACCCTCTTTTGTTGTAACACGAGGTTTTCCCGGAGGAGTAAGTGTGGCAGCGCATAGTACGATCATATCCAGTCGTCGTGGTGGTGCATTGTTGATCCATTTCGTAGCAAATTTCCGAATGCTATACAAAGATGAGAGATCGACTTGTTCAGCGTAAATCAATTCGTTCCTGGTTCTTTCCCGCAAATCTTCGATATAGTCGACGAGGAACATATCCGATGGAGATTGGCGTGTGAGAAGAACTATCTGTGCTCCTCGAGATGCTAGTTCTAGAACTGCTGCAGCGCCTATACCAGACGTCCCTCCTGTCACCATAACCACTTTCCCATGCATCTTCCTTTCTGATGTATTTTTCGCTCCCGCAGAGAAAAGCTTCGCCAAGACAATGAAACAAACAATTGGCACTACCTTGGCCATAGTCCAAAGACTAGGAAGCCAGGTAACTTTCCCCCATATTACATTTGCGACAAAATCTACGGGCATTGCTGTGGACTTGAGGATTTGAGCTGTTCGTGAAGTTGTTGCGAGTAAATCAGTATTGCATTATGATCAACAGGGAAAAAACAGACTCAAAGAAAAATAATGTACAACTAAATTGTCTAAGGGCGAATGGATGTGTGGTAAACAGGGCGAATGGATGGTGGTAAACTGGAAGAAGAGACAACAAGATACAAAATTTCATATTTGTTCAGATTGACAAAAATTGGGACTGACAAAGCTTTGTGGCGCTTGTGGCGTAAAATATATTAGCGTCATTGTGGCTATCAGCCCTACCCGACACTTGCTATTATCGATGACATGAAACTTTGCTACAACTAACCCAAAACCCCAATCTACCACAATATGTCAGATGAAGATACTTATGAAATTCCATTGCAAGATCAGAGAGTCTTCGGAGCTGGTATTAAGAGGAAACGCGTTAAATTTGTTCCATCATCGTCATCATCCACAATTCAATCTACGCCATCTGCGAGCTCTGCGAAGAGTATCAGCGATTTATATCTAAGCCTGGTCCTTCCGAAAGACTCACCTGCCCCAGAAGTTACTCCAACAGGGGATTCTATACATCCAGGAGATTCGGAAGTATGCGAAGTCTGTAAGCTACCACTATCCACAGATTCGGAGGCTATTAAGGATGCAGTCGACTCAACAGATATATCAAATCCCACATCTTCTACCAGACCTCGACCTCATGAGGCCTCTCTAGCACATCAAGTGTGTCTAAATCATTCACATCCCCCTTCACATGTCGACCGAAATAGAAAAGGCCTCACTTATCTCTCGTCATATGGTTGGGATCCCGATTCTCGCCTTGGCCTTGGGGCATCGGGTCAAGGTATCCAATTTCCAATCAAGACCAAACCAAAAGACGATAAGCTGGGTATTGGTGTAGTGCTGCCGAAGGAGGGTAAGATCAGAAAGAAGGTCAAAATAAAAAAGCTTGATGCCGGCAAGGTTAGGAAGTTGCATGAAAACGATAGGAGGAAGGGGGAGAAGCTGAGGGAAATGTTTTATAGGAGTGATGATGTGGAGCGATACCTGGGAGGTGGTTGACAGGACGCGCACCTAGTAACTTAAACCCTCTTTTTCATCCCCGCTTCCTCAAAGTCGAACGATTCACAGGGACCGTTTTCCACTCAACACACCTCTCAACTCCAGGAGGTAGGGGTGAAAAGCTCTTTCGGCTTATAGAATAGAGGAAACATGAATGCTTAAGCGTTCTTGGTGGTAAAACTCACAAGTCGCTTGGATATAAGGTTTGTGGCTTTTAATTGGAACCTGGTATGGAAGACATTCTGCTTGTAACAGCGTTTTCTACCTCATTAAAGTTATCGAATATGTGTCGCAGATTTGACCTAGCTACTCAAATTTTTCGTTTATTTCGATCTCACTTCATAATTTACCCCTTTGATGACTAAAGTAGCCAAGGGGGTGTGCATTCAAGCCTGAACAATTTATAGTATGAATTCATCAAGTGGTCAAGAACTCTCCAATGGGCATTCTTCAGAGTTTGCCTCAAAAATATTATGCCCAACCTCTACCTACCCATGTCTAGGTATATAAATATCCAATAGAAGTGCTTACTTGAGGTACGGGGACCTTGTACATTAAAAAGCTTGCAGATCCCGAAACGAACGAATGTTTGTCAAGGCATACTCCGCCTCAGCCTTGCCTTGCATCCAACGAGTACTCGCCCTATCTTAGGGTCGTATTTGTTGGTTCACATGCCACTTATAAAAATCACATTGTTTTCTTTTTCATAAGTTATAAATCCTTCTGGTTCTAATTTTGATTAATAAACTCCGTTCCGTCCGAGTCGCTCTTCCAGAACGACTTTTTCATGTGATCATTTACCTTTGTTTTGTTCACTTTCTTCACGTGTAGATTGATTGCGACAACCTCACCTTCTTCCCTCTTCCTTCTTCCTCTCTACCAAAACATATTCCACCAGTTTACCTCGCCCATTAAATTTTCTTACTTTGACTTCCACTCCTTACCTTCTCTTCAACAAGCACATTCCATGAACCGTTGAATAATTCCTTATCGTAACGACGTCCAGGATGGATATTCTTCCGGAATTCGACTTGCCACAGGTTCAGACAATATTGAACGCGCTCAAGAATATATGTCGCGATTACCCTGCCGGTGGTTCTGTTCTCAGAGAGCTTTTGCAAAATGCTGATGATGCCCAGGCATCAGAAGTGGTATGCATATCTATCTCCCTTTCTCATTCAAAAACTTTTGAATAGTTTCCTCTAATCCAATTTGCAGAAGTTCTTTCTTGATGAGAATTCCTACGAAACAGAAAATCTTCATCCTAAGCTCTCTCAGTACCAGGGTCCAGCGCTTCTTGCTTACAATAATGCTGAATTCAAGAAAGAACATTTCCAAAGCTTATCACAAGTCGGTAACTCGCTCAAGATGAACGATGGTTCGACCACAGGAAAGTTTGGTCGAGGTTTCAATTCTGTATGTATGATGGCACATTTGGGGTTCCCAGCCACTAACGACAAGCAGGTTTACAACTGGACAGACTCTCCATCTATAGTATCAGGACATCGTGTGCAAATCCTGGACCCTCATCACTCTTGGTCAAGCGGTGGGAACGGTTATAACTTTGTAGAACACTCTGAAAACCCAAGTTTGAAAGCCCATATGACCGTTTATCAATCACTTATGAAGAGCGTAAAGCAACCTTTTCCCGGCACTATCATCCGGCTGCCTTTACGCACGGCCGAGCAAGCAAAAGAAAGTGGGATCTCCGATCGCAAGATCACGGTCCAAGAGATGGCTCACGTATTGAATAAATTCACTGAAGATTTTGGAAAAGAGGGGCTTCTGTTTATGAAGCATGTACTCAAACTCAGTGTGATTTCGACTATCACGGGACTCATTGAGGTCGAGGTAGTGAATACAGAAGCAGTTCAGGTGTAAGTGTCATCCTATAATTCACACGGCCCCCTGCTCATAGTCCATTTTGTAGAAACAAATCTCGAATCAATGATGCAATCATCAACACATTGAAGAATCCGTTTCAAGACTTCGATTGTTCCTTTGAAATGGAGCTAAGGTATAAGACACGGACTACCACAACCGAAATGCGCTTCCTACTTCACCACAGTATCCAAGGTAACTCTATGAGCGAGGAGATTCGTAAATGGAGTATAGCTCAGAAATCCTTGCCCTGGGTAGCGGTAGCTGTGCCCTTGTGCGTAAGTTCACCCTCCCCAAATCCCGCAATTCGCTGCGGCAGAGAAAGGAACGGAAAATCATATCTCCCTCCCACAAGCCATACATATTACACTTTTCCGTTTTAATTCTCAACTATCATACGCAGCATTATTGACAAGCCTTCAGGCACCAAAGGTTCCAGCCATAAACGGCTCATTGTTTTTGGTTATGCCTTTGCACATTCCCATAAACCAACCGGCTCTGATTCATGGCTTATTCAGTATCTCACCCGATCGAGCACGATTGTATAAATCTCAGGACCATAGCTCACAGGATCAATTGCCGGCGCAATGGAATCAGTACTTATTCAACAGTCCGATTCCACGTGCTTGGACTAAGCTGTTGGGACACCTTGCTTTATCTCCTCCACCAGACCCAGCATTTAAGTATTGGCCTCGTAAATCAGATGATCCTGACAATTTATCAAAGAACGTACTCACTCAAGTGCTGTCCTTGATTGGAAATCAGCCAGTTTGGCACACTGTCAATGGCTACGTCGGCGCTGATTCTGGGCTATTAGCGACCGGCAACGAGCCACAATCGCTAAAGTTGACATTGGCAAACGCGAAAATTCCAGTTGTTTATCTACCAGATAAGTTGAGAGTGGAAGCCAAGGAGACTTTTTCGAATCTCACCCTTGAACCTCGGACTCTGTGCACTTACCTTCGTGACAAGAACGATTTGGTGGCCTCCTGGCCACAAGCGACGAGGCAAGAGATTCTGGAATATATTCTCCCCATTCTTGACTCATCCGATCTTATAAAAGGTCTAGCGTTATTTCCGTTCGAGGATGGCACATGTCGCGCAATCGATGATCATCTTGCATTTGTGCATCGCGATGATTTTGAAGCAGAACTTTTCAGACGCGATCCCAAACACAATCTTGACCTAAAACAATTTTCTCGGCCGATCTTAAACAATCTACAAGACCGCCTGAGGACTTTAGAGGTTCGTCCTCACATCCGTCATCGTTCTGCGAGCGATTTCAAAAAGTATGCTATGACATATTTCTTCCATGAGGTTCATGATGATGCCGATGTGACGGCTTTGGATCTCAATCAAATATCATTTGTCACTAAGACCTGGAAGTGGATACGAAGAAATTCGAGTGTTCAAAATGACAGCATTGCCAGTCTATGGTTGCTTCCTCTGGCAAACGGCAAATACCGAAAGATTAAACCTAACAATTGCTGGGCCATCATACCACCGCCTGGACAACTTGGTGATACTATTCAAAAGCTTGGAAAAGATGTTGCAGCTCAGCATACGCCAGTGGTCCTCTCAGGTCGTTCCGGTTTAGACACAGTTCTTGTGGAACTGTTGAAAACCACAAAGGCTGGTTCAACCTTGCAGGTCCGTAATGGGGAAATGTTTCATGTCGTATTGGAATGGCTTGCTGAGTCCCATGTCGCTATTGAGAATGCATCCGATGGAGACAAGACTGTCATCATTGAAAATATCGCGAGAGCTATTAAGGGAAAGCTTGATTCGAAATACACAAATAGTAATTCGCTAAACCTGCAACATCTGCAACAGCTTCCAATTTTCCAAGAATTGACGTGCGGAAATGATGGAGGATGTCAGTATGTATATACTCAACATTATTGCTTGAGGTAACTAACAATATTTGAAGGTACCCGTGGGTACGTATCGAGACTTTTAAATCTCAAATTGGGGTCATCGACAAAATGTTTCCTCTTCCTAAATTCAGAGACTACCAATTTTTGGATGCACAGACCATTCCTATCCAAGAGATCCTTAGCTACCAGAATCTCTGTGTGTGCAAGTCGAAGATCGGAGTGTTGGAAGATCATATCATTCCAGCTTGGAGGAAACCTCAAAAGTGCACTTGGTCACCATCATTGAAGGAGCAAACTGCCGAATTGATGCTTCAATGCTATGCTGATTTGTCTGCCCAAGCACAAGCAGCTATGATCAGCCTACCAATTGTACCTACTCAATGTATTGACGGAACTTTGACCGGCAGATTTTCCACCGCTTCTGCTCTGGTGGATCCCGAGAACAAATGGCTAAAGAGCGTGTTCTTCAGTGGCGAGGAAGTATTACCTGCTGATAAGCCATTCGCGCGATATGGACATATTTTCAGAAAATTGAGGTTAAGGACGGAAGCCGATGAGTTGTTCATATACGAACGAATCTGCAAATTCGTAAGTAGTTCTCAACTAGTCGACCGCGAAGAAATCCACAGCTGTGCCAAGAGCCTATTGAAAACCACTTGCTCCTGGTCCCCATCAGAAGCGACAGCGACAAACTACAAGCAATTCCTTAATCGCAAATGGTTGCCGGCCAATTTTCCTGATGGAACTATCGACATGGTAAGCCCAAATCAATGCCGCGGTATTGAAGATCGTTTGCGTGCAGGGTCTAGGCTCCCGATCGTCTCTTTTACCATAACTTACCGTTGGCAAAAGTTCCTTGGCTGGGATACAATCCTACACGACGATATCCTACTTGCTCAACTCAACCATGGCATTATCAATGATGATAGAGCCGTTGTCAACGCCGTGCTTACCTATTTTAAAGAAAAAATTAGAATTGATGCTGTCTCGGATTCATTGAAAGAACTCCGATCTGTTCTCACGGAGAACGGCACATTTGTTACTGCCTCTAAGGCGTTTTTCTCTGGTTGCGCGCTTCTTGGTCCATTCTTGGGAAACATCGACGCGGGTTTCGCGAAAATGCACGAAGATATCTTGAAAGCCATGAATGTGGGATTGAGGCCAGCAGTAAAAGACATACTTGATGTTCAAGCTCAAATTGAGCGGTCCGGCCATCCTTATAAAGATTCCGATATTGAAATTCTGTTGGAAACAATTAAGATGGCCAGTAGATTTTCCAGGAAATCTCTAGGAGGCTTGAAAGTGCTGGACCAAGATGGTGTTCTTTGCCCGCTGGAGGATATAGCTTACAATGATGCAGCGCTATTGTCTGACAGGATCGTCGATAAAGTCAGATTTACCAATTCGCGAATCTCTCAACAGACAGCACAAAACTTGTCGATAGAGAAAATCAGTGAGCGATTGAAGAAAGGAGAACTGCAATTGGCGGATGATGATGACGATGACGAGGACTTCCAACAGTGTGAGTCTATCACTACAAGCATTTCAACTACTCTGGATCGATATCCTATTGAAAGTACATTTAAAGAATATCTAGCAAATGCGGACGATGCCAAAGCATCAGTAGTCAACTGGATGTTGGATCCCAGGCAACATCCTACTGATAATCTCCTTACTGAAGAAATGAAAGATCTTCAAGGGCCAGCGTTGCTAGTTCATAACGATGCAGTATTCCGGGATATTGACTTCAACGGATTTAAGAATGTCGGCCTCGGTAGCAAACAAGAAGATAAATCAGCTATCGGAATGTTTGGTCGAGGAAGTCAGACCATGTTTCATTTTACAGACAACCCGACTTTGCTCTCTGGAGATTACTTGTTAATTTTGGATCCTTTACAGACGTGTCTACCTCTTAATAGTAATTGGCAGGCACGAAAGCCGGGAGTTAAGATATTGCTATCTAAACTCAAGCAATTGCATCCAAATCAACTTGTTCCGTTCCACGATTTATGGGGTTACAATATTGAGTCTGATAATTATGACGGGACAATTTTCCGTTTCCCATTAAGAAAACATACATCGCCTTTAAGAGCAAAGCAGGAGCCTCTAGGCATTAGTTCAGTCCGATTGCTCCTGAATCAATATTTTACACAAGCCCGAATTTCTCTGCTATTTTTGAAAGGAGTCAAAGTGGTCAATTTTATGGGACCCGGAACAAAAGAACTCTTTTGGTCGGTGAAGATGAAGAAAAATTCCACATCTGACTACACAATTTGTTTTGCCAAGCAGATGGTTGGTACGGAGATTCTTGTGACCAAAGATGAATGGTGGGTTCATTCGCGGATTGAGGAGACACCTAGTGTCGAATTCCAATCCAGGATTAGGAAGAATTTAGAGTATGGCGTTGCAGCATTGGTAGTATCGGAAAGTAAACAGGACACAAAAAATTTGGATCTACCTACGCCAATGTTGTTTAGTACTCTCCCTTTGCCTGAAGAATCGACGTTACCAGTCCACATACACGCTACATTTTCTCTTTCCGGAGATAGGAGTACACTCATTACTGGAGGTGAATCATCCGAGGCCTGTGGATCGACCTGGAATTCGTGGCTGCTGGAAGAAAAGTTACCAAATGCTTACCTCAGTTTTCTGGAAGGTTTGACTGAAAAGATTGGCTTGGATGCATTCAGATTCTGGCCACCAAAAGAGAGCCGCCGCTTGGAATTGTTGTGCAAATCGTTTTGGGAGAAACTTCCGAACAGTTCAGCTAGACTATTTCCTAGACGCGCTGAGAATCCCGATGCAGCTAATATGACCATGTCTCAGACGGTCTTTGATTTTCTGCTGCCGAAGTTTTCGAAGCAAATTTCTCCAGTTTTGGAAGTCCTGGAACCAAATATATCCCCACATTTCCCTGCTCGCATGTTGGCCAATATCAAATCGGTTGCTGTCATTAAGTCTATGGATCGCCCCGATTTACGCGAACTCTTGAAGTCGAAGAGAGCTAGTGAGCTTCTCCAAAAGGCGATGGTCAATGATGATCTTTTGATCCGCAATGTCCTGAATGAAGTTATACCTGTTGGTGATGTTTCTTCAGATGACTTGAAGAAATTAGCCGGATGCAGATTGCTCCCTCTTGCGGATGGAACACTGGGACAGCTAACGCTAATTCAGTCACCAATGCCTCAGAATACTCGATGTTATTACGTGGTCACAAATTCAGAGCTGAAACTTTTTGACTTCGCAAAAAGCGTTCTCATACTGAAGCCCGAGATCGATGCATACCACCGCATAGGTGAAATTGTCAAAACAAAGATGTTCAATGTCATGAACCTGGAAGTTACCCATATACCAGAAGTGCTGTCCATGAAGTCCCAAGGATCTAGAGTCGTGAATGATGAGACAGACGAATGGTTGAAATCCTTCTGGGATTACTGGAACAAGTTTTCCTCATCTGCGGCTGACAATTTGTCCAAGGACCCCGAAAGCTTTTGCTCCCTGCCGTTGTTCAAAGCAATCTGTAATGGTGCTTGGGAATATTATACTATGTCGGAATTGGGAACCCTGCCAGCTATCATTGAGCCATCCAAGACGTCGCATCAACGACTATGTGACTGTATCGCGGGTCTCTATAGGTTCAGGCCGGAATTCATGCCCAAGTCCACTGCCAATAATGAGAAGTCCTTTGTCTCTTATAAAGCATTGAGCAGATTCATCGATGCTTTACGAGTCCTGGAGTCTAACAAAAGCTCGATCAAGAAGGGGCTGTTCACTCGACTGGTGGCTCAAGAACAAGATATTGTCAAGGTAATTTCTATTATCCGAATTCTGGCTAAACCTTGCTAACTCGATCTATAGCTTCAAGAACTTGTCATACAGTATGTAGTGACTGGCCACCAGGACAAACGCCATTATCTTCCGTCCTTGCCTATCTGGCCTGCATATATGCCTTTGAGCTCAAGCGAGAAATACATCCCAGCATCAGGTGCAAAGTATACCAAGCAACCAGAATTTTTGGCGCCCTGGAGCAAAAGACTTCCAGACTTCATTGATTTTAAGGCTATAGATAAATATGGGGCTGAGGCATGTCTCAAGGAAATGAACGTCACCCCCATCGCCGCCATAGAGTTGATTCAGATGCTTGACGAAAAGGATTTTCCATCCACGCTACAACCGATAGGTGCAGATACCTATGTACGGTTTCTGAAAGCCTTGATTAAAATTTTAGTCCTGGAGGAACACAATTCACCTCTTTTTAAAACACTGACTTCCTTTCCCCTTGCTGCGGATACGACTGGCAAAATGCACCGGACCCTCGAACTTTTCGATCACGATGATGAAATATTTAAAGCCGCGTTTCAGCACGACAAATCCAAGTTCTTGCACGATTGCGGCAGGGAAGCTACATGGTTATGGAACAAAATAGGTTTCCGCCGACGGGAAAGTAATGGCTTCCTCAAAATCGACGATTACCAAGAATGTCTACTGTCATTGATAAAGCTGTTAAAATCTATGAAGTACGGCACATTGGTCGACCCAACTTCAAGTATTCATGAAAGAATGAAGACGATTTTGTCACCACTAGTAACTCCAGGTTCTGCTACACATCAGTTTACGGACACAGATTGGGACAGAATTGCAGCCATGTCGGTCTTCTTAGTTCGGAAGGATAATTCTCGCGAACCATCGTATCGACGAGAAAACATGGATCGAATCTCAGAATGTGACCCAACAATCTCACTGTCTGATCTTGTTCTTCATGAACATGCAGCAATTTGCTGGAGCAGCAACCCCTTTGCAGTTCTAGAGCCGACTTCCGAGATCTTGAGCAAGGTACCGAGACGTGGAGAGCCATCAATCGGGGAGGTTTGGAATCACCTTCTGCACATGGTAGAGATTTCAAAGAATATCTTGCGTGCAGATATTCCTGATTTCTTGTCAGATCTCTGGGAGATATATGATCACCTTCAAAAGCATCTCGCCCGTAGCAAGGAATACTTTGAAAACTATGGCCCCACCCTGAATCGAGCAAATCTGTGGCTGAATCCACAGGGTGTGGATGCCAATACTATCACCCTCGGGGATTTGCGGTCTTCGTGGAAACCCATCAATCATCTATTACTCATCAGCTCTACTGATGCACCCCCATTCGAGTGTATTCGACCATGCCTCAGCCCGTACGAAAAGTTGCTGAAAGAACTTGGGTGCGAGTCAATTCACCATCCCACCATCGAACGTTCTGCCCCTCAATTAGCACCACCACTTATCAGCACCCTTCGCGCCTTCCGCAAAAACAACGAAATGATAGATATCGTTCTCATCTCCGAAAACACTCGTTTCTCCGCGCACAAAGTTGTCTTGGCATGTGCTTCTCATTACATGAAAGCCGCCCTATCCGGAAGATGGACACATAACGGGGAGATCACCATTGAAGAAATGAAGCCTGACGTGCTCAAAATTCTCATTGATACCGCCTACGAGGAACTAATCAACTGGGATGAGATGAAAGTAGACCAGAAGCAATCAGACCCAGCACACAACGCCAATGACAAGAAACTTGACCTACTTCTCGATCTTCACAAAGGTGCAGATTATTGGCTCATGCCATCGTTAGCCAACGAGGTAGAAGGCAGGATCCTGGATCAATCACGATTCTTTATTAGATTGGACAATGTGGTCGAATTCCAGGAAAAGGCTAGAGATTCCAATGCGAGGCGTCTTGAGGAGTGGTGTAAGGTATTTTGTGAGCGGAATGCTAAGGCTCTGAAGGGTTGGGAGGATTCTGTTTTTTCTTGAGGATACTCATAAGTTCGACGTTGATCTAGGCCTTTGGGAGTACTATGAGCCTGGCAAGCTAAAATCGGGAGGAAAGTAGTGTAGTTCAAACGAATCGTACCATACCCATTTCAGCTCTTCAACATAGAGTATGAATGAGAGAATATCGAGATTAGAATTACAAAATGTATACACAGACAAATAAGAGTTTCCAGAGGGTAGCTAGATTGAGAATACAAAGTGTAAAAATTTGATCATCTTACAATTCAATGAAGTAATAATATCCTAAAATAAATAACATATATACAATCAATAGGTGTATTATATGCGTATGAAATATATCCTGTAAATCCTACATTTCCAATAATGGGAGTAATTAGTGAAGGGAGGTAGAAGAGAAAGCCTATGGGTAATAAATTAATATATAAGTACCCCCGTTCAAGTCCCAACAAACACTATCTCCTCAAAAATTTGAAGATATTTCCAATTATTCAAATCACTAAGAACTGAATTAAAGATTTGAAGTCCTGCCCTGTAAATCAACTAACTCCCAGTGAGTCTTATTTTCTATAAGATCTCATAGTGAGCTTTCCAGATGTTGCTAACATCAAATCTCGATATCAAATCCAGTAGTCGCTATAAAAACATCACATCACATCACCTCAAACCAAGCAGAACATATCAATTAATTTTTCAAATTCGTATTACACGTTCATGCTACTATTATTATTTGCCCAGCCCAATTTCACCATTCTTGTACATCTTGTATACTTCATCTCCCGACTATGCTATTAGTAATGCCTTCAATATCTCCGGCATATCCCTTTCCGTAAATATGGTTTAATATCCTTCGATTTCTTCATTTGTTCTCCACCGACACAGAACATTATCTGTAATTCACATATTTACTCCATGCGCGTTTATTGTGCCTCAACCCTCCATATGATACACAAACTCTTTAACCCCTATCCTAATGATTTCCTATTTCGCATCTCCGTTCATCAACAAGACACCAGGGCCGAAGTAATTACCACTTTTTATTTTTTACTCCTGAAGAAGTGCATTTTCTTTTTCTTCTCTTTCCCATCCTCACCCTTCTTCTTCTCTAATTTTCCAGAAGAATGTCCTGCTCCATCTCCTGTCCCGTTTAGAGACATCTGCTGCATTCCCGCGGTCAAATGCCCACTATCTGGACTCTTCATTGGCGGAGCTGGAGCTCCTGGGCTTCTTGGAGGTCTCACGCCTCCAGGAGCGTGATTTGGTCCACTCGGTAATCCGAGTCCACTTTGCGCAGCCGGTGGAGCTGGAGGAGGATCATTGGCCATGAAAAGATAGGCTGGAGCTTTAGGTTTTGGTCTGTCGATTGGTAGATCTAGTTGCTTCCTGCTGGCGGTTAAATCACCGACTTGTTTTAGGAACAAGTTTGGATTGAGCATGTGAGAGGTTGCTAAAAATACATCTTTGTTGCAATCTTTCGAAATTCCGTAGCAAGCTCTTGCTTCGGAGTAAGTAGCTCCACCAGCTATGAAAACAATGATTCTTTGCATGTTATCTGGTGTGGTACTACGTCCACGAGCCCATGTAGGCTTGGCACTACGAAGTGAAGCTTGTGATTGAAAAGCCATTTCTTCGGATGGATCTGTGGGGGGTTTTGTGTAAGGGAAGATAGATGGATCTAAAGTTCCTTTGGTGATTTCTTCAAGACTACGTTGAAGGTTGGTTTCATATCGGGACAGAGCAAGCTCTTCGTTGATCATGGTGGGTATAGGTTTCGGTGGGAATAACGGGACTGATGAAGCTTTGCTTTTATCTGTAAGTTTCTTGGTGGTGTGTACCCCTAGTAATTCTAGGTTAAGAATTTCGTTCATTTCTGAGAGAGGAAGTCCCGAGTGATGTAGAAGACGTTCTATATCTTCCACAATCAAACCATCTCGGAATATGACATAAAGTATAATAAGCCTTAACCTTTCCTTGGGAGCAACAGCTGGATTATCTAGTAAACGAATGACTTGTGCACCCATCTCCTTAGGCTTCCGGTAATCTTCGTCGAGTCCTGTGGCTAGTGTTTGTTCCGCCAATGCAATATCGGGAAGCTCGTGATGTTGAAAGATATTCATACATTCTTGTGCCATATTCAAATGTAAAGAGTATGCTTCCTTCATCTCCTGAAATTGGGGCAATCCTGCTAACATATCCTTGATCTGATTTATACTGACATTTTCCGCATCTTGTTTGGCAAAATGTGGATTGTCTGCGATAAACTTTTTGAAATCGCTCATTAATTTTTCGATAGTTTTACTCATATGCTGATGCCTGTTTTCTACCCATATCTTGTCCTTCTCACCAATTTCCATTTCTTTCTGTTCTTCTTGTGCAGTTCCTTCATTCAATATAGTTGTGTATGTAACTTTCTCGTGGTCTTTGATTGGCAGGAGGTCGTGTGCCATGGCTTGGTATGTAAATTCGTGTAGTAATGGTGCTAATATATCCATTGATCTATCGGTTATGAGGAGAACACCTTGAGGTCGATTAGATGGCGGTGGGAAACTGGGGTTATATTGCTGGTATGCATCGAGCTCCTCTTGAACAAATCTAGCTAAATGAGAACATAAGACTGCTGCTTCATGTGTAGGATTTTTGGGTCTGTAATATCGTATTTTTGGGGATTCCCCTAGGGATACGCAAATTCCAGTAATCTATTTATCAAAATCAGCCCAAACCTGTAGTTCATGCCATTCGATGGATCCTACCTTTTGCGCTAGAAGTTGCATATGATCGCGCACCAAAGGAGCACATGCTGGGTGAAATAAAATAGGAAAACTCCAAGGATCTCTGAAGGTAATTAAATGTGACTCGCGGGGGTAATAATCTATTGACAAAGTTTCCCAGCCGGCTAATTGTTCTTGTGCTTGTCTAGAGGAGTCGATACGCCGGCGCATCGTTGGATCGAGAAGGGCAACCCATACTAGGAATGATTTGCGATATCTTCGACGTTCGAAGTCTGCCAGCAAACAGTCGACAACATGTGGCTCTGGTGATAGGAGATATATAGCATCCATGCCAGGGTTCATTTCCCTCCTGCTTTCCAGTATTTCCACATCTGCGGTATCTTTAGTAAAGCCCAATCAACCCGCTTAAATATACATACTGGCGATATTCTCGTTGAGAATGTCATCTTCCTTAAGGACATTATACACTATCTTCTTAGTCGCCTCGTCTATAACCAGTACTTTCCACTGCTAATGTTTCAGCATGTATTCGAGCACAGAATCAGAAAACATACGTCGCCTCGAGTGATAGATTTTATGGCATCCAAAATAGCTATAACTCATGGTCAGCGTTCACACATTCCCTGAGATTCGCAAAGTCGAGCTTACCCTGGCGCTGCTCATCAATGACCGACACCCCCATGATGGGCGGTGTATGACAGTTGATGTAAACCTTTTCGAAGTATTGTTGAGCAGTTTAAGTGTTGAAAATAACAAATCTTTATCTTCAGTATTGGATAAGTAGCACAAAGTGATTTATTGTGTATTCTTGTGGCTATTTGGTTGAAAGGGAGTTTGATTATTGGCGGGGTCATGTTCAGATTGGAAACGGAAACATGATGGCTGTTTCGTGAGGCGGCCGCTTATGCGCTAGCTCCTGAGTGAAGACAGCAATAGTATGGGAAGACCCAAGCTCAGTCCAAGCTACGACGACATGTTGTTTGATATAAATTCAAAATGTTTCAATGTGATTATCACAATTACAGCCCAAAATGAATGTTTCGAGCTCCTCTATCTATGTCTATTATTGATGAGTCGGTTCTATGAAGTGCTCATAGTATTGCTACATTAAAGTTCGTTCGCCCCTATATATGTATATATATGAGCGCTCGTGCAGGGCAAAAGGTGGATCATACTACTCTTCCATTCTTCTAAATACCTGGGAATTACTGAATTTCAAGATTTCATGATGTAAATTCTGCTTGTTTCTTGTCGAAGAAGAGGCGGGTCTTCGATATCAATGCACGGTATCCACAAGCTGTGCCAGGAACATCCAGGAGACATTGAAGGGGAAACAATGCAACCTGGGTTTTGCGAGTGTGCAAGTGCACATATTAAACTATAAAATCTTTTTAAAGCTATTGTGCATCTAATTCCCGCTTCACCAGAGTGCTAGCCTGTTTGGAGCTAGGAATGGCGACGGCACTCATCTCACATCCTGCCTGCCAGATATAGTTACCTCTATCTATTGGGAATAATAACTCTGGTGGAAATCATGATAGTTAGTGATTAGGCTTGCAGAAGCAAACATAATTATCAAAGTCTGGGTTCAAGATATCTATCTTAACATAGAAGTTAGCAGTTAGGCTTTGTAGAAGCAGATTAATAATCAAAATCTGGGCTGGGGATATCATCTCGATCTGGAAGCTATCCATACACATTTGTGCTGTCATGGACGATGAGCCTATGAGACAATCCGAATGTTGAATCTATAAATTGAAAGATGTCCTATCCTATCTAGACTGGGAAAACCCTCCAGCCGTCGAATCTAAGTTCGGAGATCATTCTCAATTTGTCCAGACTGGAGCTCGACGATGAAAGATTCTTGGTTCTTTAAATCATTTTCAAATGTCGTATCTATTATATAAGTCGGATCTATTTGAAATGTCAAACTTACTCAGTAAATTGATCCCATCTGGTTCATTCAGTCTGTGGCATGATCAATCATGTTGGAGGACTTTACAGCTTTTCCAAACAGTGATAACTCCCGAAGTAGATTGCAATCCGGAATATTGGATACAGCGGGAAAAGAAGAATCTCATAAATGTAGATTAACTAGTTTTTATAAATTATACCTAACCTATATCTTACCAGCTCATAAAGCCATGTGCCCAGAACACTCAACCTCTAGTCTAATTTCAACATCCAAAACCAGTGATCTCAATGAAGTCCTCCAATAACACCATGTCATCATACCAAATAACAAACCATACTCCTTCCACCCATTCCATCAAACCTCCCTCCACAATATCATGCTCTCAGTCCTGCCCATAAATTAAACACCACCAATTAACATGACTCTTCCCACCTCCTCTCCAACTTCGACATTCCACATGCACACATTACCAAATCCACAATAACTCGTTAATCCCCCCTCTATATCGGCCTCTATTGTGAAAGAAACTAAACGCCCAAATCACAGACGAGCTACGCTACGCTACTATGCCTCCATTCTACCACACTCAATTCAATACCTTTGATCAACAAATGATATGGTTCACAATTATTCAAATACTTAGCCTGAGGCCTGAGGATTTGAGATATCATTCGTCAGTTCATTCATTGCTGCATTGGTTGGTGTATATATTCGTGCTTTGCATACTATGTAGATAAAATGATTATACCTGCTTAGATGAGACCGGTCTTGCACGAAGACACCGCATGCCATCACACATTATCACAATAAGTTCAGAGTTTGAACAAGACAGTATAGGGGTCGTCGTGGTTCAATGTGTTTGAAATTGTCACCCACGCGAGAGTAAATCCTCTCCACATAGATCGCTAGCTAATATGAGGGGACCTTGGTATCGAGCAATAAACCAGAGCACACGATCCACGCCAACCATTCGCCCTGTTTGTTCACTGCTCTTCTCAACGCATAAACGCATCCAACTAACAATTACCAATGCTATCCCTCCATTGATTGTCCAGGTAGTCAATACTCAAGTTAGGAGATACACTAGAAACACACTTTTACGGCCACCATTGACAATCATTCGTTCTTATCCCTTCGTATCCGTCCATTTCCGGTGCCGCTCACCACCCCAAAACCTATGCTTTATGGGACTTTCGTTCACTAGCCGTGTCTGAATTACTGGCGCCTGTAGGCACCTTGTGGAGGAGGTGGCCCACGAGTATCGAAAGGGAATGCCGGCATACCCTCCGTAGAGAATGGAGACATTACAGGCGGCAGGAAGCCTGGCGGCGGGCCATTGAAGTAGGCAGGGTTAAATGGCATATTTCGAGGTCCCGCTAATGCCTCTGGAGGCGGAAAATTGTTCATTGAGCCAGCCATCTGAAAACCCGGCGGCAGTATTTGTTGGGGCATTTGCATAGGACGTGGGACGTTTCCGGCTAGACCCGGGGGAGCCGTTGGACGGAATTGCTGAGGGGGAGGGTGTTGAGAGGAAGGTTGTCCTGGCCAACCTTGTTGTAATTGCTCCAGACCCGGAGGTGGCCGGGGAAGAATGTGTGTAGGTTGAGGTCGAGGGTTGTCATGCTGAGGAGGGGGTCCACCTCGATAGATAGGTTCATCAAAAAATCCAGGTGGCCGACGCTGGGGATTTCCTCGCTCGCGGAGAGCTTGCAATTCTTGCTCTCGCTCTAAGTGTTGTTGTTGATGTTGTAATTGACGACTAGGCTGCTGTCTAGGCGGGTGACCAAGAATAATCTGTTCTGTTCTTTGAGGCTCTGGGGCTGCTTGTGCATCTCTCATCAGACTCATGAGAAATGCAGTTTGTTCAGACCGAGGCTGTTCACCCCTGAAAGAGGATTGGCTGTTAGCATGTTGGCGCTGATTGACCAAGTGATGTAGCATTTCTTCGGGGCGCACAGTCGGTTGGCTACCTGCCTGTTCACGTTGGGCGCTTAGATCATGTAGATTGTGGGAATATGAGTGTGCATTCGATCTCAACTCATCATGACGATCTGGGAGGTGTTGGAGCGTTGGATCGCGACCTTCGAAAGGCGTCCCTGGTTGCTTTTCTTGCGACGGAGGTTTGGACTGCATCATGGGATTCGCGGGGGGAGTTCCGCTCGATTGTAGCATTGCAAGTATCATTGGCATTGCTTCCTTGTCAGTCGGAGATTGGCCATTGTTGTTCAAACTTTCAAGCCTGTAAGATGGTTTTGGTATAGCTGTCTGTGGTTCGACTTTGCGCGAAGGCTCCTCTTGTTGAAAAAATTTGTTGAACCTAGAAGTTTTACCGCCAGGTGCTGCAGACACAGCAGATTTCACCATGTGTTCCGTACCCACCTCAAACTGCGAAGCAAGCCCAGTATCATTCTTTGGCGTAGCCCACAGACGGAAGAATTCATCTTTATTAGTACCGGTATCAAGTGGTGCAAGGATTTTAGGCTTCTGTACGTCAGGGAAAGGAGGATGCTCGTCAACTTTAGGCTGCGTGACTTCTTCCACTACTGTATCACTGATACCTGGCTTGTTCTTGGAGTGCATTGCCTCTTTCCATTTCTGCATATCCTCTGCTGTATGTTTGCGACTATTGTTAGCAGTCGATGTTTGCGATTTCTGGTGGTCATCCCGTGGAGAGATTTGGCTACTTTTGTCTTCTGCTGCCCACTCCGGAACAGAGCGACTATTATCGTCATGGTCTCTGTCCCTATCTGCCCAGCGTCGGTCGCCCTTGTCTCTATCCCCGCGGTTATCGAAATCCTTCTCTCGCCAGCTTTTATGTCGATTATCGAACCTCTCTGCATTCGCAATGCGCTCCCGAGATGTCGGTGGCCCGTCGTTATTTTCTCGAATCCAGGAAGGTTCTGTTCTTCCCCTACCATTTGCAGTTCTGCGATTATTCTCCTGTTCATGGTTCTTATCCTTGTCACGGGAGAAATTTTCAAATCCTCTCGGTCTTTCCTTCGCATCCCGCTCGTCTCGATCCTTGAATCGTTTCTCGTCTCGATGTCTCTCCCCACCCATACGCCCCGTAAAACGCTCAGCTCCTTCGGCACCAAAACTCTTTCGAGGCTTTACCTCCATCCAACCCTCAGGGTCAACACCATCACCAGGTTTGGGTCGCAGCATGTCACGGCGGGGACGATCGTCGTTATCATCGATCTTGGTACGATAGCTGAGTTTACTTTGTGACTCGCTCTCGCGGAGGGCAGGTCGATCTGGGGAATCTATACCTTTAACTGCATTGCGTGCAGGGTTGGCAGACGAAAAGGTAGTTCTGGTGGGCACAAGTTGAATATTCTCAGGGTCTGTCGCATGTCAGTATAAAAGAACAAGCATTGAAGCGAAGACGCTAGATTATTGGCACACATACTTGCATTATTTCTTGCTCTTCGGTTTGTGTGTTCTAGGAGCGGATTTGCATCACGATCTCTAGTTCTGTCAGATATCCTGGCAGAATTGTTTCGATTCGCATCAGGCGTTTGTCTGAAAATTGTCAATATACCGAGTATCATGGCTAGAGCTTCTTGTAACAAACCCCATCCATTCTGCGGTAGACAGTAGACCAGCAGGTTTCACAACCAATGGTGAATCTCGCAGAAATAGCAACTCGTCCCTCGTATACTGACGACCTCCACCTATACTGGGAGCCATTCTATTATGTTGTTCCAACCGTCTTGTGAACTATTCTGATGCTTGGGTTGTATGTAATGAGTGAATGGAATTGTTGACTCGATTCCCAATATTTAGCTCCCGACGATGTTGTAGAGTTTGTTGGTTGTGATTGTGGTTGTGGTTGTGGGCAGGTGTGGACTTGTTGTATGTTTCGTATTGGAGGCTGTAGGATGTAAGTATGAGCAAGAAGGTTTAAAAGACGAGCTTAGCGCATCTACCCAGGTAGGCGCAAAGCTCTATGGTCGTGATTGTTTTAATTTTGTAGTTGTGAGAGAAAAGCTGAGGTAGGGGTTGTGGTGATTTGTTTGGTACGGCGAGGAGGGGTTTGAAATGAGACTCCCCGGGAAGGTTTTGGCTCTTTCAATAAATATTGCGCAATAGATCTGGCTGAATTACTGTTTCTGTTTGTGATTCTTTTGGGTGAGTAATTTAACTTTATGTCATTTGTTTTGACTGTTTGAAGTTGAGATTTAAGGTCTTTCGTTTGCTCGTTGCAAGTCGTTAGAAGTGTTGATGTGCCACAAAGGCAGGTTCCGTTTGCCTTAGCGTTCTTCAGCCTCGGTGCGGCGCAGGCTCCCCTATAAAGGAGGGGCATTCGCCAGTCGTCACGTGACTGTTCCTGAACGAGGTAATATGATGCTAGCTATATCAGCCTTTGAATTTATTTGTATTGTACTGCGAAATCACCTTGGAAACAACATTGATCATATAAATCTCGTGTTCTCGAGGTGTCAAGGTTGTAAGGTGATATGGAAACTCATGATATCTGCATTTAGTGTTATCTCCTAGCGATTATGTCGTACGACTAAGCAATGTTTTGCACGTTGAAAATGAAAAGCATCATAAGATAAGATTCAATATTTAGGGTATCTCCAGTCACATCCATCCTTACTAGCTATTTGCTAACTTGCATTGCTCTCGTGACTATTCAACTCTTTGCGCTTTCTCCCCCTTCTTCCAGCCTTTAATTCTTTGCGTATCACTTGAGTCAATGATTCTTTGCATTAACACCATCAAAGGCGTACCTCCCCCTAAGGCCACCTGCACCTCTAACCAAGTCATGCTACTGAACCTAGTAATAAGTGTGGTACTTCCTCCTTCAATCATGGTTGCACGAAACAATAGCTTGAGAATTTTTTCTTGTAGCCCTTGTGCGATATATGGATTGTTGTATAACGAGAATAACTTCTCAAAGACTCTACGTTTTCGGAATATACCCATATCCATGGGCGTTCGAAGACCAGCAATCATAAAATCAAGAAGCCAAGAGACCTCAGAGTTGTGGTGATCATCGAGGCTCGGAGACTCATCGAGAACCTTATACATCAAAGGTATCTTGTCAATTTGCCAGGTTGGCCCCTGAGCAAGGAACTTGTTGATTTTAGGGTAAAGACAGTGGAGAGGATCGCATAGTACAGCCACGGAATGCGATGCAAAAGATGAAAGGATGGTGGGAAGTGGCTCTCCATTTATAACCTTCTTCGATGTCTCCACTAGCTCACAAAGGAGAAGCCAGACTTGTTCCTTTTCATCGAATGAAGATTCCTTGAGTTTGGCCGCAATCTTTGATATATTGGTTAAACTCTCCTTACGAACACTGAAATGTTCCGACGATAGAAGCATAATTAGTGCCGCAGCATGGCCACCTTCGATAACTTCCTCCACATCCTTCGTCACCCATTTCACCAAAGCGTTATGGTCTTCTTCTGGAAATACCTCTAGCATCATGGCATCTACTTCATTTTTCTCTTTTACCGAAATTGCACCCTCAGTGGTTTCAGCACCGAGGTCTCCAGTGGCTGTTAGTGGTGGCTGCGGAATTTCTATTTCGTCGACCAATTTTCGAGATTTGTCCAAAATCTTTCGGGCTGATGATTTCTCTGGCGTCTCGTCGACCATAGCTTTTGTGATCGATTTTATGATCCTTTTGTCCTCGCCAATCTTTATGGATGCTGCCAGAAATCGTGCGATGAAATCTGCTACATCCTTGAGAGCATCTGTTCCAGTTTTGACAAGAAATGGCCACTGTTCGGCAACAGAAAGTAGTAATAGACTTACAGCAGATTGCTCTTTTTCGGTGTCGCGGGGATTCGAGGTAAGTTCTTCAAGAGAAAATATGTACTTGATTGGCTTCGCAGCACATCTTGAGACGCAGTCATCTAGGAATTCATGGATCGCTTTGTGGTTAGGTGTACCTTGAACATCCTTCAGTCTGGCGATAAATGTGTCAAGCGCCGAAACTGTGGTCTCAGTTTGAAAGATTTGGTTTTCTTGGACAACTGAGCTAAGGACGGATCTCAGCTTGAGCAAAGGAACACCAGAAGGTGCTTCGGCGGACAACTTTAGCATGGCCATGAACGGAGAAACTGAAAGCCCTTCCGCCTTGACGAACCACCGCATTCCTGGTGAAAAATGGGAGAATTGAAATAAGTTTTCTAATTCCATAATTCGCAATGCGCGGTCTTCTTTAGATAACCCGATCCTCTCGACGGCTTGCAATGCCTTCGTGAGAGTTTCTGATACGTCAAACTTAGCGTCCAAAGCAACACGTGGAACCACTTCATAATACAGAACTAACAATTTAGTTACTGCCTCTCTTTGCATCAACTCCGTATCTGACAACTTTCGAAACGTGCTGATTACATCCTTGATCGAAGGAACACGTTGACAAAATTCATCCGTCAACCTCTCAGCAGCCTGAGTCCATATCGATGATGAAGCGGCCGCGGCTTCTTCATACATTTTCAATATTCCGCGCATTTTGTTGAATGCAACTGAAAGAATTCGTATAGCAAAAAAGGCAATGAGATTATGTTTTTGATTTAGACAACGTGTGAATACCTTCTGTGTCAATGGCTGAGGCAATATACTCTCTAGAACAATAGAAGAAGGTGGCGGCAGTCTCGCATACCTCTCTTGGTGTCCAAAATATTTAGGAATCGGAAGTTGCAGAGTAGAAAAGACGAAAGCAGAGTATCCAATCCAGGTCGCGGTAAGTTTAGGATCGAGCGAGAAGGATTTTTTAGTGAAAAAGTAACTTGCGACAAGCTCAGGGGCAGATTCGAGAATAGACAGTAATAGCTCGCTCTGTTTCAAGCTCGACCAAGGCCGGAGATTTTGGATAAATTCAGATAGTATGGTGTTGCGCACTGGAACCTTTTCTGTGAAGCGATCCATCCACTCAATACTATCTAGTCCTAGGTCAATATGTCCAACGTCTGCGTCGACATCATGACCTTCATCAGCATCGACTCCTCTAGGATAGAATCCATTTTGACGATTGAGAACACTTAGATTTGAGGATGTGCATGCGAGCATGAGAAAGTCATGTGCTATGCCGTCTACCGCTTTCTTCCCTTTGTCGGCTTCTTCATCCTCTTGGTCATAAACATACAGTGCTGCTATCCGTCCGAGAGAAGTTGCATTCACGATTTTCGATTTGGCGTCTCTCGGTAGAGCATCGTCCAGTAAAACACTAGATTTCAAAGTCTCCAATATGTCGCGTATTACGAAGGGAGGATCGTCTCTCATATCTCTCGTCAAGCCCATTACAATGTCCCTTTGATTGAGCAGTTCGCGTTTCGCATCCGTGGTAAGGAACTTTATGATTGAAAGAAGGAATCGAAGCGCATTGGTCCGCACGGAAGGTTTCCTGCGATCTTCAACTGCATCTCCTGTGTATTTTAAGCTGAGATTCCGTGCTAGGGTCTTGAAAGTGTAGTCTCTTGATCTGAAAACCTGCTTCGCCAAGGCTCCTCCATCGTAGATGGATAATTCTCGAAGGAGTCGCAGAACTGGGGAAATTACGTGCTCTTTGCTCTTATTCGAAGTAAGACCCCGTGCAATCAGTTCTAGTTGACGCTTCTGAAGTATCGTTCTACTTAACCTCAATCCATGCTCAGCCATCTCCAGTATATTAGATAAAGTCTTCAAAAGCAGCGCTAGTACAGCTGGAACAGCGGAGAGAAGAGATTCATCGTTTGCCTGCGATGCGAAGCTCCATGTTTGCATAATATCAGACAGGAAGACAGCAGATTTTTCCTCATCATCGGCGGGCTTTTGCGATTCGAGGTATTCTTTAAGAATGATAACTCGTGCTGAGTTATCGGCGTCTTCCACGGAGAAGCTGTCGAGAAATGCTTTCAAAGATTGTATGCCTGTGTTGCTGTTAGCAAGGTGCAACTGCGAGACACCAAAGCGTTGTATACCATGTTTTGAACGACCAGAGTCTTGATCAAAAGCTAGAGTCTGCTTCAATTGCCTTGCAGACTGTATATCAACTGAGGTATAAGTAGTTTTGGTAACGGTAGATATCCTTTGGCGCTTCTGGTATGCTTGGTCTCCATCTGCAACGACCTGAGAAGATCTTTTGCTCATTCTCAATGTTTATACGCTTGAAATTTATGATTGGTAAGTTCAATTGTCGATTGCATCGTCCGCGGTCTGGATAATCGTTTTCGTTCTCAAGAATAATTTTCTCGACAGCCTTATCGAAATTTTGATAGTCGGTAGAAATAATCACCGAAACATTTAAGCTCTAATGTAAGATCTTACCAAGTCACAATAAATCTACACCCCAATTTTACAATTCTCACACTTCCAAGCAATAGCTTTAACATTGATGGTATTGATGATTTGATGCTTTGCACATTCGAGCTTGAGTCAGAGCCATGGTCTACAAATAATACCGATCTCGTAATTGGCTTTTATTGAGCCAAGTTAGCTAATGTCTTCAAATGTCAACACTTTTCCCACTGATCCCGCGACGCGGGAACCAACGAGTCTCTCACCTCCGCCAGGTTAGCAATGGCAGCTCTGAGAATGGGACTGCGTTTACAAGCAGACCAGTCACCTCGTGCTCGAGCACAGGAACCATTCAGCACGACTCAATACCTATTAAGCTTCCTGTCGAGAGGCGCTGCAATCTTTGGACACACGATGAGACTTTCTCGAAAGACGAAGTTATTCTAAACCTGGACTTGTTCCCAGATGTCAAGGCGGGGGAGCTCATGGCTATCGTAGCCCTCAAGACAGACTCTGGATTTCGCGATTTTCAAGAAAAGTCAGCGTTAAATAAACCAGACATCGATAGTGCAACAGTTACCGGACGGTTTGGAAGTTACATTTCGAACCAAGCTAGCCATGAACATCGTGGGAAAGGCTCTAAGCATGAAGCGGGCTTTGGTAAACGTTATTTGTTCCTTGCGAAAGATATGCCAAAGGAGCTGAAGTTGAAACAGCCCTCATTGGAGGTATCCCTTGCTAAACCAATCGCTGATTTATTCAATTTGAAGCATCGTTCAAATGTACTACTTTGCACAGTACGTTCTACAAACATTTCGCCCCAAATTCACTACTAATAATGATGGGTCCACAGGCCGATTCAGCAACCAGTTCTGCGTCCCATGTGGAGATGTCGTTCAAAGATCAATACCTTGCTCGATCAGACATGTGGAGATTGACTGTGGGCGAAATGGTGGACAAGGCAGTATACAAAGGGCAAAAGATTTTGTTCATGGGTACCATCAAGGCACAAGTTACTTCTGTTTACATTGGTGGTCGAAAGGTGGAGTCTGCCTTCTTCTCGGCAACCACCAAACCAATTTTCCGGAGCGAGTCGGCGCGTTATGTGCTTTTCATTCAAATGTCAAGGGAAATGTGGGATTTTGACTCCGAAGGTTCAGGAGAAATCATGTTCAACAAAGTGGTGAATGGCTTTCTACCAGCATTGTTCAAAAAGTGGGTACAGCTCAAAGTGAAGCATTTAGTCAGCATAGTCTTATTTACAAGAGTCGAATACGACACTGGATTGGCTTCAGAATTAGCAAGATCGTCCCACGACACCGCTTACCACACGGGCGTGCAGACTGATGGTAGTAAGAAGCCATATAAGGACTTTTATCGAGTTGTAGTCAGTGAGATGGCCAGTGGAGAATGGACAACGATTCTCTATCAGTTGAAGCGCGAGTTTAAATTCTTTCGAAAAGATATCTCTATGCATCGGATCGAGTTAGTCACAGCCTCGGGAGCGCCGTTCCCAGCCACAAATAAAGGTACTCTTGGAACACGCATCGAGGCCGAGCCATCGCTTGCCATGCACGGAAATGTTCTCGAAGCAATCGATCTCGCATCGACTCAATTCGCACATGATTATATTGATCGAGACCTTGTTAGGACTGGAATATCCATCGTCGTTGTAACTCCCTGTGCTGGGCTCTTTGAAGTAGATTATGAAACTCTCCGAAAAACCACTGAAAGTCTCATTGGTAACGGCATTGGGATTGACCTAGTTTGTCTCCCAAAAATGCCACTGCACTCTGTGCCTCTTTTTCGATACAGAAATCCTAGATATGCTCCATTTCAAGAGGCATTACATTTCAAAGCTCTCCGCAGCGAGGACAGCACCCCGCGTCAGACAGCACCTATCTTTGGAAGTTATTCATCTTTAAATGAATCGCTTTCGCCGCCCAAGGTTCGTGATAGAGCTTTTCAAAATCCATCGTACAATAATCGACATGACCCTAGTGAGTGGAGCTACGCAATACCTCACTGGATTGATGTATCTTTTTGGACTGGAGCATCCCAAGATCTCTTATCTACTCATCCTCTAGCTGATTCGAGCTTCTTCAAAAAGCGAATAGCCGAATCCTTTAGCGATTTCGCAATACGTTGTAAGATGTACGAAATGGAAATGGCAAGTGTCATGGAAAATGCGATGACTGAGATTGCTGTTCCGCCTTTACAGCTAGATGTAGTCTTCTCTCAAATGGTAATTCAAGAATCACGTGAAAGTGCGGGTCTAAAGAAACATCCTTATGCTTGGGAGCGCGTGAAGCTGCAGTTAAGTCTCTCGGAATTTGTTAATGGGCCGTCAAAACCTATACTTGATCGACATGCTACCCAAGCCGAAAAGAAATTCGTGAGGGCACTTGATACATACGACGTTAACCATTCTGAAATAATGGAAAGCTTTAATGGCCCGCAACAGAAAAGTTCGAGGTCACCCTTCAAACCAGGAAGTGAGGAAACTGTGCGCAAGGTTCTCACGAATGATCCTAAATTGTTTGGTACCTCTTTCACCGATGATAGTTCAAATCCAAGAAGCATGAACATGCTCGCTGGAGAAAAGCTTGACAAAGAGAAGCAAAGCTTGCAGAGAAATGATCCTGTGCTACCACGTAAGAGCAGTGTAAGTAATGCCATGCCTGCAACAAAAGCACCAGCTGTACGGCCCACAAAATTGAATCGACAAATTAGCCTTGGCAAGTATGGTTTTGGCATCGCCGCGCCTAAGGGTGTCGCAGCTGAATTACATACCGAGAATGCCAGTGCCGCGAAACCAGTTTCTACTTTGTCGAAAGAATCTGATTCAAGAAAGAAAACTACTTTTACTATGACAAACCATCTACTTAACGCCCCAGTAAACCAAGATCGACCGCCATCTTCGAATAGTGAAAGGTCAAAGATGAGGTCTGATAGCAGTTCCATCGAAAGCAAACGAACAATTGAGCTGGAGGCGGAGAAGAGTCCTTCGATACGCCCCATGACCATAAAAAGCGCACTCCAGTCTCTAGATTCAACCAACCAGTTCAAATCTAGATCCGTCTTGAGCTCTTTCTACGAAGGGACCAGAGATGACGAAGATGAAGACAGGAATTTGCAGCTGCAGAGAACCAATGACAATCAAAAAATCTGGAATTCGAAATTGCTAGCAAGAGCTGTTCCCGAGTTACCATCTACTTTATCTCCAACTACTGCTTTATCGCCATGGCTCAGTGTGCTGAATCCGTCCAATCCCACAGATAGTGATGCAATGGGGAGAACAGTCTACAGAAGATGGCAACATGTGTTTCCTAAGCCAATCCGCACTAGAACAATGAAGTGGAAATCCCTCTGTTCCCCTGCATCTGTCCCATTGACGACCGAGTCATTTCCAACAAAGTTTCAACTTGAAACTGAATATCAACAAAAGCCATACAATATCTCACAAAATTTCGAGGATGAACTCAGCGAGGATCCGAACAATAGGGAAGACTTTTTGAGGGAGCTAATCAGCTTACGACTTTCCCAAGGTTTTCAAATCGTTATTGGTCCAGCGGTAGCTGAGGCATTTGGACAGAAGTCGTTGAAGATCGCAAATGTGTTTGACCGTGATCGTATCGCCGAAGATGGAGCCAGCGTATTCATGTCAATGGGCAACATAATTCACCAATTATCATGCGTGAACGGTACCGAGGTTGAAGTTAATATGTTCGTCCGAAAACCAACAGCTTTAACTACACCTAGCCCAGGAACTTTGGATCCATCCGGGTACTATCCGGCAATTCGGACAACTCTGAGTGATACCTACGTATCTCGCAGAATGACGTTAGGACAATCGAAGGATGAATATAATTGGAATTACGTAGATTCCTTCATTGCGGGGTTCGAAGACGACATGAACGAACATCTCCGATTTTGGCGTGCAAGGTTTGTGCTGATTCCTGTGGTGCGCCCAACTCAATCTCGACGTGACAATTTGAGAGGCGAGGACAATGAGGAGGAGGTTCGGCTAGAAGGTATCAGGAAGCTCACCCAAATGTGGCAAAGCCACAGATATGTTCCATCTTCGGAGAGACGTTTCCAGAGCCTTGCTTCTAGGAAAATAAAAGATTCTAATCCTCTCGATATCGTGTACAAGACTGAGGATCCTTCTGTCGTTGTTAGCGCAGAACTCGAAACCTTACCTCTTGTTGAGAGTAGTGAAAATACCAACAGACGTGGGCAATTACTAGAAACTGATCGTTTTCGAAAATCAAAGCTTGATGTTGCCGCCCTGGCCGAAGCTATCCAAGCACCTGTCGAAAAGGGTGGTGTTCGCATGCAAAATAGAAGATGGCACTTTCGCCTCCATTACAACTGTTTTATTGGCTCGGATATGACGACTTGGTTGCTTGAGAACTTCGAGGACATTGAAGATCGTGATCAAGCGGTTGAGTTAGGCAACTTGCTAATGGTCGATGAGACTCATAGGTTGAGAGAGAAGGATCTTGGCAAAGAGAGAGATAGAGATGCAGGAATATTTGTCCACGTTGAGAAACGTCACCCTTTTAGGGATGGACAATACTTCTATCAAGTTACTGGAGAATTTGCTAAACAGCGACCGGACAGTCGTAGTGGTTGGTTCAGTTCTCGAAGACGTGAAAACTCTGTGCCTTCGACACCAATGTCAGATGTCATGCCCAAAGACTCTCCACGGCCAGATAGAGCGAGATCTAGCTCCACGCAAGACGATAGTTCAAATGACTCAGGTGCACAAACTCCAACAACAAATGGTGGGAAAAAACCCAAGGTCTCTCTAAGTAAAGTTATGAAGTATGATGTCGACCATCGAAAACGCTCTTATCGTCCCGAGCTCATCAATCTTCACTATGATCGTCTTCACAATCCCGACAATTGTTACCACATTCGGATCGACTGGCTCAATGTTACAGCTAAGCTGATTGAAGATGCCATACATACGTGGGCAACAACTGCAGAACAACATGGCCTACGACTAGTCGAAGCACCAATTGGCGAGGCATGTTCTATTTCTTCAGTTCATCCATTCAGGAGCCCTTATTTGATCGAGTTATCACTGCAGCCTCCGGATCAACAGCCACGAACATACTTTGATGTCAATTCGTTCACTCCCCAAGTACAAACTACCCAGTCTAATCGACATTATTACCAAAAAGCGATCATGAAAAAGTTTAATTTCGTTCTTGATATTGAGGCAGCGAAGAATTTTCCAAGCAATGTTGATGTGACATATTCATGGGGACGACCGGATTATACCTATACCCAGTACATCCATAGATCCGGGGTTTTACTTGCTCAAATTACAGATGAAGGTAATTTTCTTCTTTTAGCGAATCGACTATACAATAATAGGACGGCATCAGCTAGAGAGTCAGATAAATATATGAAAGTGGATCATACCGGCATCAGTCGGATGGGACCAAGTCCAATAGCGAACAATGCTGGCATTGCCGCAGGCATATCTAGTCCATTTCAATCACCAATCCTACGCGCGGCCCATGCCCCTTCTCCTCTTCTCCGTGCGACCCACCCCCTCTCTCCTCCTTTACGGACGACAGCTGATGTACTAGGTCCTTCTCTCCCCAATTCAAAATTAGCTACCACTGGTAGCATTAACCCCGACATCATTAAAGCTGAACTCGAAGAATTCTGTCACGATAGCTGGAAGTTAGAACTTTTTTACAAAGAAGTTTTTGAAAAAGTGACACCGCCTCATGCGACGCCACCGACTCTAAGGAGCTCATACCCTGCTATGTATCTTGATTCGAATATCCCGACATTAGGACTACCTCCGGGGATTTTGGCGAGAGATGGCAGGGATAGTAGTCCAACACCGATAAGGTTGGAGCGGGTACCAGGAATAGGGAGTAGTTTGCCGATTCTTGGGAGGAGACCCAGTGTGCAAATGAGTATGGGGACTAATGCGAGTGATACGTCGAGGCAGGAAAGTCCGAGGGGGAGTATAGCTGAAGGTTAATGTGTTTGAAAAATAATAGGTTGATAGTATAAAGTGTCAGATAGAAATCATGGGGCTATTTTAGGACATCCGCTCATCAGGGGTATACGCATATTATTGGAGTCGCGGGCATACCATTTAGAGTTTAAAGGTCAATTGCTGTGCAAATAGAAAGATCTATGCAACCGGTATATAGCACTATCTACCAGGACCCGGACTCCGGTGCCATAATCATCCACTGTCTGCTAGAACTCGGAAGAAGCATTTGCAGACAGTCAGTACTGGAAGTACAATGGGTTGATGAAGAAATCTGTGGATAATGAGGACGAAGGATATGAACATTAAGCTAATCAGAAATGGTCATTGTTCAAAGGTACCAAGAACAATGCCAATAGAAACTTTGGACGACAATTGTAGGGTAAGTAAAGTAGAAGCCCAAGCATATTAAAGATGGGAAGAGGCGAGTATTGGTACCTACATAGAATGGATGAAAGGGAATGAATGACAAAGAGGAAACAGGAAATATCATACTTCACTTCAATACCTTACTCCCAACTTCCAACTTTCAACGTTCAACTCCCAAACTTCACTCCCAATATCCATACCCATCAGGTTAGCCGATACCCAGGCAGAAAATTTCAATCGCATTAACCCTAGCTCCCAAGATGGAACAGCATATTTTTTCAATGTCCCTTTCCACATTGCGTTTGTGATCTGATTTTGTCGCGTACTTGTCAACCGTTTTCAACTCCAAAAACCAAAAAAACATTGCAACATCACCTATCAAACAAAAATGAGTGTTTACAGCAAAAATCAGCGAGATCCTAGAGTAGGAGAAGGAGGAGACAGAAGAAAAAGTGACGATAAAAATGATGGATCTAATGGATCATCGAGCCAAAAGTGGCAGTACCAAATGGAGGTGCAAATTTTGAATCTACAGCTCGGGTTACAAGCACAGACTATGCTGAGTGAACATTGGATGGACAAGACAACAGGAATCACAGTGGCTCTCGCTCACCAGATTGACGCGAAACAGATACTCAGGCAATCGTCTGGTGCCCGCTCTGGTAGACCCAGAGTTGGTTTGTCTTCGTCAGACTTGATCGCTAGGGATACAGATAGTGAGTACAATTGCATCACACCTCATATCCAGATTTAGCGGTAGCCCTAAAGAGGGTTTGGTGTATCCTGGTGTGCTGTGAAGGATGAATCGTCACAGTACATGGACAGAATTTTGAAAAAGATGGATCTCGAGACCGAGGTCAAGATTAAGAGGGAAATGGAAAGATAAGGTGGATGGGTACTGGATGAGAGAGTTTGGCAATGCGTTCAATGGGTATTGTTAGATTAGATGGAAACGGCTTTGATAGTTACATCACAATCTATCTACATGCAGTCGACTCGCTTGTTCAACCATTAACCTTAATTATCCGTGAATTTTTTAATGCCATTTAACCTTAGTTGTTTACTCTCTGCCGAATGACTCTCTCGTCCAAGCTTTTTTCGTGCTTTTTCCTTTTTTCTTTTTTTGGAGTGCTGCTTCGCTATTCACCTGCCTGTAGCTGTAGCTGTAGATTCTTTTCTTTTTCGTAGCCTGCTTGCGAATATTGTATTTGTTCGTTAAATCTCTCCCTCTTCGCTTTTCCGAGGCGTATGTTGACGGCTGAAATCATGAGTTATTCAAGATCGAGTTTTCTTGAAATCTGAAATTTTTACTCGGATAGTAAGGTTAAGATCTTACACTACCTAGGTACTTTGAATGTTCCTTCCCGAGATCCTTACGGGAAACAAAGAAATCATTGGAAGAAGGATATGGAAATAGTATAGTGCACAAGGCTCTTCATGCTAGGTAAATAGTATTCAAAAATTACGTATATCAATGATCAATGTAAGATTCAGATTCAGATTCAGATTCAGATTCAGATTAAGAATATTTAATATTTCAATTCAGTTCTTATATAAGATTACAAGCAAAAACAACCTGAACGCCATCTATCCATCCCATACCCCAATTACCGGGTCCGTAGACTCACCGGTCGATAATAATTCGCGCCGTACCCAATGCTCGCTTTGCTTATCCGTACGTATGCAATAATCCCATAACTCCTACAAATGCCCAGTTTCGTGTTTTGAACGCCAGGATGTATGCATAATGCCCGTGACTATGCCTTCCCATATACCATGCCCATATGCTGCGCCCATATATATATATATGCCATGTAATGCTCATATGCATATGCCCGCCTATACCGATTCGATGTATGTACCGTCATTAATTAATCATATATTTCGTGTCTGCCATTCTTCCAGCCATCCATACAACATTCTTTCATTTCTCGTTGTTTCTGGAATTCTCGGCATTCGTATCAGACGCTTTGCTCTTTTCCTGATTCTCTTCCGATGATAATCTCACTTGTTCGAGTTCCTCCATCGAAATTGAAAATTCCTCCTGCACAGGTGACATGGCCGTTACACCGGCCACGAACCCAACAGTTCCTAATCCATCGACTCCCTCTACATCCCACCAACTCCTAGAACTTCTCCCTCTATCCACCGTCACCCCGTTAGCCGCCTGCGCCTCGAATCTCCTCTGCGCCAACTCCTCATCTCTTCTCTTATACGCCTGTCTCGCTTCCCTAGCCATTTCGTTTCTCGTCTTCCCTGGTCCATGTCCCTGTCTCTCTTTCCCTTTCCCTGCAAAGATCACCCAAAATTTTAGACTCCCGAAAAAACTCCCACTCGTTCCGGGAATATGTTTCCATGGTTTTTCTCGGGTGGAAAATAACCAGCAATCTACTGCACCCTGTCCACAGATAAAGACGGTGCTCAACGCACTGAGTGCAAAAGGTGGATTAAGTGCGAAATGATCGTTGAATTGAAGGATGTGAAAGATAAATGGTATGAGCCACATTCCTAGGTAAACTAAGGGGTAGATGAATAGAAAACGGAGTTGACGACGGATTTTTTCCCGAGTACGTATCATTTCGGATACAGCGAAACCTTGGCCATTAGGATTAGGAAGATGCATATCGTAAAAAGATCCTCGTTCTGCTGATTGGATTTGGTGTTGAAGAACAGTTGGCGGTACATAAAAGGAAATATTTGAATCGAAAGATAAGCGTCGGGAAAAACTATCTCGCCAAGTGCTTCGAAACTGAGGTGCGGGCATTGGACTGTGTGTTTGTTGTGGCGCGGGGATAGCTGTAGTCATCATATCTGATATAGGTTGCGATGTTGAAGCTCCAGCATATGAATCAGTAGAAATCTCAGATGGAGGAGATGTGGAGTGAGCTCGATTATGAGAGTGGAATACTGAAGTCCACATGAATTGGTGAGCGTGGTTCCTCATATTTGCAATCGAACTTAAAGTTGATGCTGATCGTTTCCTTCCTTCAGCAATATATATAGCGGCAGGGCGTCTTGGTTCATTTGTAAGTCCATTGAGAGAAAGAGGTGGAGGAGGTATACTCCTTCGTACATGGGTTCGTCGAGTCCTTTCAGTCGAATCAAAACTATCTTGAGAACGAGTATTCTCAAATCCACGGAACCTAAATCGAACATAATAATATATCGAAGCATATACTGTGAGAATTGTGACGAAAATAATGTAGCGAGGAATCCAAGCCAAAGCCAGTTGATACCAAAATGGTCGTACTGGTAAGTAACAATATGTTCCTTGGGCAACATAAGCTTCACGATTATTAACAAAAGCTAGAGATGCTGCTAATAACGGAAACAATATCCAAATGGTGTATGCTATCTTACGATATGGATAGAGACCCCCTTCACCAGCCGAGGATTTAGGTTTAAAAATATATAATGCGGTATGTACGGCAACCATCAGGACTGAAATATCTAAAGTTGAGTTAATGAATGTTGATATACCGATGGAATAGTATATCAAACCTGAAGCTTCAATTCCTACAGCCAGAAAAAAACCACTAATTTGACAAAATTTGGAATTATCCGCTACAGGACCATGTAGAAAGACAACGATTGGAAAAACCATAAACCATAAAGCTTTGAACATATCACTCTGAATTAACAGCATGATAAGACTAATCGGGTTATCAGTGCATGAACATAAATGGAGGGAGGGGGAGGGGTAGATGTAGATGGGTGGGTTATCCTTACTCATGTCTGAATGAACGTCTCATTCTCACGAACCAATAAAAAGCTAGTAGTGAAGAAGCAACACTGACAGTTGAAAAAGTCAATGCAAGTTTTTGGGAAAGGTATCCTTCTGACTCGGATATTTTTTGTCCTTGATTCGTATTATCTCCAATACTTCTGGGGGAACTTTGAAGCATAGTTCTTGCTATGAGTACTGGAAGAGGCGCCATTGAGAATATAGCATCTGGGTCTTTCGTCTGAAATTGAGGGGGAGGGGATGGATGGAGGGGAATTTTCGTTTATTTTATGGATCGGGCTTTTCCTTCCAACTTCTAAATTCCTCCAACATGATCACCAGCGTCGTTTTACACCATTATCGTGATATCCTTCCTGTATATGCTTTCGAGGTTGTTTATATCGTATGTCGTATGTCGTACAAAGATTGGTCGCACAGGAACGTTGACGTCAAAGCTATTGGTAGCTCGTAGATTGAGGGTAATGTGCTCGGTACCGAAGCTTTCGATGTTTTATATTCCGAGACTTGGAAATGTATTGCAGTACTTTCTCAAGATGATATACGTTTTCTTCGTGAAATTTAATCGGCGGTTGGCGTAGTGGGTATTTGAATTCCTTCTTAAAAGGCTGGTCGGAAAGGTGGGTGAAAGAAGCGGTAAAAGGTTCTCTTGGGTTGGATTTGTGCATATACTCTCCTATTATGAGAAAGTATTTCGTATTTTTGGAAAGGGAAAAGTGTAAAAGAAGGTAAGAAGATCAAGTGCATCCAATTGTGAAGTATGTATAATGATTGCATTTGGTGAAGGGCCTGCAGATAGCAATTGAGACTTTGTTCCATATTGAGATGTGTAAATGTTGGGTGTTTTTTTTCACTCCCATCCCATTTAGCTGTCGATCATTCGAATCCAACACGAGGAGAATGATTGACGCCGACCTACGGTATGATGGAACACCTGACTACTTACAACCTATTTAAACCAAGACCTTTCTCAATTCTCATAGCCTCTGAACTTTGAGGGTCATTTAGATGAAGCGGGTATTGGAAAATTTGGAGCCATTCATTGGAAAAATTTGAAAGCTATGAAGATCGGTAATATCAATAGTTTCCCCAAACTTTTTATTCGGGAAGAAAAGCAAGTCATGTAAAGAAAAGCACGCGCGCAACGCGGCACGCACTGTACTGATTTACGTCCTTTAGAGTCCGTTTTCCAAACCTCACCGAGTATTGCTGTATAATAAATGATCAATCTTTGCACTCTCTTTCCACCTTATGGCATTCGTATCAATGAACCTGTTCTCCTCCTTTCGCTATCTAAGCCCTGCCCTGCTTCCAACATGCATAAAAATTCGCGATGACGACTTGACTAAGCATCGAGTACGGTCTTATTATCGAGAAATCCATAAAAGATCCCATCTCGATTCTCCACTGTCGATGCTTTTCTTTTGAAATGAGTTCGTAGGGGCTGTGTGGTTCCGCTACAAAAGTTTACAGCCACCAAAATACTTTACCGAACTTCTACCCCGATGCTGCACGGTTCATGAAGGGGTTGAAGTGAAGTTCTTTTTTATCTCCGATTGTCAGGGGTGCATTGGATTGGAGTAGAAAAGCAGTTTGAGCCCTGAGAGTTTGACAAAGGTCCACGAACACGAATCCAAGAAAAATACAAGCTTCCGCATTCAAGTATCTAATCAGTATCCTTATCGGCAAATCTTGGAAGCGCAACTGGGATACACAGATCCAGATCATAAATCATCTGATATTCGTACATGATATTACACCAACACCACCTAATCCCACATCCATCACGAGCGATGATATAACATAAACACATTTCCCATGATGTTCATCATTCGCCAACTCGAACACCTCATCAGCCGGGAGGCACCAGGTGGATTTTTCCAAGCTCATGTGGCCATGGCATAGACTGAAAATCCTGAAAAACTTCTTCATAATTTGCGCCCATCACCCGCAAGTTCCGTTCACCGACAATGTTCAATCCTTTCCCTGCCAAACTAAAGTGGGCAAGTTCGCGTGAAAGAGAAAAGAGTTTGTCGTGAAAACAACGCAACATCTGACCTTGACCGATTTTATGCAGTTCAAATGCTCCTAATGCACTGCGACCCCGCATGGATATTTTCATATCCTTGAACGCGCCGAATCGAAGGATCGTGAGGAGGTTAGTATTAAATTGGCCAATCACGTGAGCGATATCTCCTCACCGAGTTGATGAAGGGATGCAGAATCTAGATTCTCCGCAGGAATTCCAGATTCTAAGCCGTTTTTTGTCTCACGAACAAATGTGTATGACTCGGCAAAAACTCCTCATATTGTATGTATCAAGATGTCTTGACTTTCAGATGGATGTGGTTCGTGTGCTCTCCCAATTTGATTGAAACTATATGGAACCTCCATTAAACTGCTGGCGAATCGTGATGATCGTGGCGATCCAGTCTCTTCGGTGATGTAAGTACTTGAACTTGCTCGATGGGTTTGATATGTCCTATCCGACTGCCGGGTTAGGCGAGCTGAACCTCGTTTTAAGTAGGATCCCATGCTCAAGCTTGCTTCGTCAAAATCCATATCTCGAGTATCATAAGTATGGTAAGATCGATGATAATACGAGGGTGGATTAGATGATTGTCCAAATGACGATCTTTGATTTGACGATTGAAAGCTTAGATATGATAACGGAAGCATCCGTCTGGATTTTTTCATATCATCAGTTATTTCTATTGTTTCGGCCATAGGATCCGTTATATCACCAATGCTGAAAGATTCTTCAGGTTGTTTGGTCTCTACTTGAAATGGATGTGTCTTAATTGTAGTAGGGTTGTGAGTTGATAATCTGTATAAACTTTCATCCGAAGGTCGCGTCCAATGCCCGAACAGAGATGGGAGAAATGTACAGAAAAATGGTTTCGTCGCCGGTAGTGCGGTACATATCTAGGGTTACCAAGGTTAGTACCATAGATCAATGGGAGTGGGAAGAGAGCAGAGCTAAGGTTAGGAGGTTCTTACTGTCCCTATGAATAGATTCAATACACTGGATATCCATAACGGATACGAGAACCAAGTTCTATCATAGGATGCAAATACTGCGTGTATGTAATATATTCTGACAACACCCGCAGCACAGACAACCAAGCCAGCGGCGAAGATGAGGCAGAGCATAAATTGTTGGCGGAAGGGTATTGGAAGGCTAAATACCGTAGGTATCGGTAGAAAGAAAACAAAGAAATCGGCGCAAGTATTAATTATTGCGCTCGCAAGTAAAAGAGTTCGTTCGTTGATACAATTTTGAGGCGAGTAGGTTACTTTCCAGTAGTCTGAAACAGGGCTATTGTTATATTAGTAGGTTTCGATATCATCCAGTTTTTATGACCATACCTGCAATTGTTGATGATGACCACGTCAAAAGCAATTGCTTCACATGCCACTATTACAATCATCGCAATGGATAAATGTTTGAGTAAACCTGTTCCTCTAGACATAACCCGCATTACCAAGATGAGCAGAGAAATCTTTGTGAGTGCAACAGCAAGTCCAAATAAACATTCCAACACCATATTCAACTTAAGTCCAAACTCAGCATAATCTGGTGTGATATCCCAAACATGACGATTCCATTTCCAACGTTCCTGAGCGAGAAGCGCAAGAATAGCGCATGCTGAAGTTGGAATGACGGAGATTAATAGAAATACATCATCAACTCCAAAATGTTTGGATAGATATAGCCGAGTAAAGGTCCGTAGACCAACCACAATGTACACAATGGGAAGAAAAATAACGGTAATTATAAGAAGTGCAGGTCCTCTAGTTACCGGGTCGATGTAGTTCGGTTGTGGAAGGGTTGATAGGACTTGAGGCGAAGGGAGTTGCATATTGGAGGATCGTTGATTATTGGCCCAGCGATGAAGTAATTCTAATCCAACCTGCTCGGCGAGGGAGGAAAAGAGAAATAACTTTACCTTAATATCAGCGCAGTTCGCATCATAGCTTGGACCCTGTCCCCATATGTGAAATTGTCTTGCATCTCAAAGATCTATGACTTTGCGTTTGAAGGCCGAGAACCATGTTTTATCGGATCTACGGTTGATAAGATGAGATAATTCACGAGGAATTCGCAGATGAACGGGTCTATCAATAGCAGGATGAGAATTAGTTCATCTACCGGTAGGGGTTTTACGAACGCTCAGATGTTATTCGGGATACTAAACCCGTCGGGACATAGATTGCTCGCAAGTGTGAGTGCTCGGATGGTTTGAATGAAGAGTTTCATCAGGAGAGGGGAAACTCTCTTTGGCCATATGAACTAAACATGGTTGAAAATAGAATTTGAACAGAGCTCATCCATCCGACAATGTTTTAGCTCTCCTTTAGAGAAGTAGAGCCGATCAATGAACAATCGACGGACTGCAAATTGACACTTTCTAAAGTAGAAATTAGGGTTCATCTAGTGATTACTTTCACTGTCACCGCAAGCCTTATGAAATGACGGTTCTTGAAACTCAGGAGAAGAAGCAAAGAAAATCGAGTGGGTGATTGGTGATTGGCAGACTTGGGGGAGATTGCATAGTCTCGACGCTGTCTGTGCATTATTATGTAAGCCAAACTAGGAGAAAGACCTCGATAGCCAGCATATGACATAATCAGCTTCTGGAGCACGAGTGCCTTGGTCAGATGGGGAAGTGTTAGCGATGTTATCTCAGCGTAGATAGATTTGCAGTTTCACTCTCACCAACACTCCATGACTCTAGAAATTAGGGGTCTATCAAGTCATAAGCTTCTGCACGGTATACTCTGCATCATTGCGCAGCTGCAAATTGGAATTTGCAGCTTGGCAGCTATTACACTCAACCTAGCATGGATGGTTGTCACAGCAATGCAAGGTCGCCGAAGTACACGGAGTAAGTCTTACCAAAAGGCCACTCATGAGTCACATGACTAGTGTACTAGCATCACTTGATGAGTTACATTTGTTGCTTTGTGAGAAAGTGGTATTAGGATATTTTGGACTTTTGGAAGGATGGTAGTTAATTTGACACTCCTTCTTTACATTCACGTCGTTACGAAAGCGAGGAGCTCACATCACATGACCTGGTTTTGACTGCTACTTGCACGAGGATGGCCGTCACTTCATTCTGACTTCTTCTTCTGACTTCACTTCACCTTCAATCTCACCTATTAACCGATTAGAAATATTCGCTTGCCACAGAGCATACCATATTGTATATTCCTCTTGTATGAGAAACTCTCCGCATCTCAAACTATCCACAACCATTACATCGACAACATTACGTGCAGCTACCATGGAAGAAGACACGTCCTTGACGCAAGTCAAACTTGACCTTTACGAAGATGTATTACATACGATTAAAACAGTATCCTCTTCAAGCCAAATCCACGAAAACAATGATCCATGGTAAGTTTCGTTCATCATACGAACTCTTCTACGCCAACTCACGATACAAGAATTTTTCAGAGTCTCGTAGAATATGGGAAATACTAAGCAAAGTATGCACATCACTTGGTACGCAGGGAGTAAATCTCTTGATTATAAGACAATACTAATAGATATTTAATGGACAATGACCATGCAGCGTTTACTGCTGCTTTCCAGAATTCAACATTGCAAAACCAGGCGGTAGCCTCGACCATACTATAAGAGCACCGTCAGAAATCCCTAGACATGACTTCGGCACATTATACCCATTTACCATGACAGATATTTGGCCGACATGTAAGAGACTTTACACGCCGCGACAACACATGCGAGATGAACACTATCGACTACAAGCAGAAGCCAAAGCTACGCCCTCACATATTCGATAAATGTTACAGGCAATAAATCCGTGCCAGGCCCCCTGATTGGTGAACGAGGGAAATCGATGGTAGAATCAGGTAAGACCCTCGAGGTGTACATACGATTTGTGCAAAATCTTTGCCGCGGGGGAAAGACTACATCCTCGTTGAGCCAGAGCACGCCGAGCTTTCGAAGCCAAAAGACATGGCGAAGCTTCAAAATGCCGTGAATGTCCTACAGAGATGGATGAATCGTCGTCCCCATAAGAGGCTTCTGGAATACCTTAGCAAGCAAAAAAATATCCTGGTAGCGCTGATGCTATGGCCGCAGGATAAAGCAATGGCATAGAAAATTCGTAATTGACGACGTTGCATGCTCAAGTACAGCACATACAGTACATGGATCCTCAGCGAAGAACACTGATGTCATCTGAAGAAGTGAAGGTAGGCACGAGACACAGGGCGGTGCTGGTCCTAGCAACTATGCTATCATCAAGAGACGAAGTGGTTAACACTTATGAAGGACTTCTTACACAAAGACCATATTACGCAAGAGGAATTCTTGTCAATGACGTAATGACATTCTTTCAAACGGTGCAATGCTGTTCTCCATGGATGTGAGATCCTGTGCAAGAGTAATTCTTGATGTTTGCCTAATGCTTATTCGTATGGTGTAAAACCATTTAGAAGGCGGAAACCTTAGCAGGAGAAAATTTTGATAACGACAGTGTAATACTGTTCTGTTGAATCTAAGATTCTCTCAAGAGTAAATCTTGATACTGGTGATGGAATACCAAAGTACCATTCATAAACATGGAAAATCCTTAGCGGGTTTATGTTTCTCTGTCATATTCATGTATACACTAGCTACAGATAGTTAAACGCACGGTGTACACTGGCTGGTTAACTCTTTACGAGTATTTTAAGTGGATTACTTAGATTTAGAGATCCTCATTATATGAATGATTACTCCATACGGATCTAATCTTTTGTACTCTTTAATTCTGCTAGAACCGAGTCTAATCAAGCTCACAAGCTCACAAACTACCCAGTCTTTCCTTCTTCAACTCAATTCCCACAGCTCCAATCTCCATCCTTATTAATTTTCCTGGTTTCTCTATTCCAGCCCGATGGTATGCTATTTCCTTGTCCCTTTCCCCCCTCTAGCTTATTTCTATTTCTTCATTCAAAAGATGTATGTATACCTAATACCTAAATCTCAAAGCATTTTAAACATCCTCTCCAATGGAAGTGACATTACAATTGCAATATTATTATCTCCTAACAAAAAGAGCTCCCATCTGCCCTTATCGATTTCTCCTGCAATGTTTGGCTTTTCAACCATCGTCTATCAATTGATCCAGCATATACGAGATTTTTTTCTCTATATTGATATAAATTTATCTAATTCGGTTCAAGTAAACAAAAAGGGAAAAGAGAACATAAGTTTATTTCGAAAGGCAGCCTGACTTGCTTTCAATAGCATGATCTTGCGCTGGCTCATTCGGCGATCTTCGATGTATGGGTATTGAAGGCAAGCGAGTGCACTTCCATAAATCTGGCCGGTTTTACATGGGTTCATTCTGTGCTCTTTAATTTGAGCCGGTTTAAAAAGCATAACGCAGTGTTCCTCCCTATAAGATGATCCAACGGCGATATATCAGACCAGATGAGGTTGGTCCAAACGAGGCCGATTTCAAAGGACGCACAGCAAGAAATCCATAACATACCCTGGAGTGGCCGCCGCTTCCATTGCAGATATTGCTGGCGCTGCAATCACACTTTCAGATTTCAACTCCGTGCCAAAATGCCTTCGACCCCATTGTGTATATTGTTGGCGTTGCAATAATTACAACCACATCGAACGCTGTTATCCACGAAAGCAAAAACGAAAACGGATATCTTCCCAACGTAGAACAAGTCACTAGTGTGATGAGTGAGACAAGAGAAGATATTGCGGATAGTCCAAGTCCAGCTCGGGAAGCAACAAGTCTTCAAACACATAAACGAAGAACATTCAGCAGATCTACAGTAGTACTTGCTTACAGACAGACCACCAAACAGTCCATTTTTGAAGCATCTCACTCGCGCACACTTCATATATTGGTGTGCTAATCTTAACCTACCTTACCTTTGCAACTACCTTAACACCTCCATATTTATCATGAAAATACACCTCCCACGCAGCACAATAGAATTTATCTTCATAATTCATGGCAGAAATATAGAAAGAGCTTAAAGCCCTTGATGGGAAAACAGGGAGCTACGCACAGTGCATCCTTTAGTTAGACCCAAGCATCATATCAAAACATAGTTAGATACGCTATGTAAGTATTTAACACCTAATGAGAACCGTCCAATCAGACTAGTATTCTCTGGATTTCTTGATTGTTAAATTCGCTTAGTGATATGATACAGTAGATGACATATGATATGATATGGCATAATATAAATATGAATGTAAATACAAATATATTAATCTATAGATAAGGTTATCATTCATAACACACCAAAAACTACGCCTCATTCCCCTTCCCCCATACCAACCCTACCCAAAATCCGCCTTAAGATAACCAGATCAACAGATCTCCCAAACATGTACAAATACCTATAGAAACCAAAAAAAAAAACCAGAGCACAACACAACACCCCGCTTTCCACTTACCATAGGCCATGTATGGCACACAAAGAAAAGTATAATCGATAATCGATATGAATCGACCAACTCATATATCTCCAACCTTACAATATCAATATCAATATCAATATCAATATCAATACCACCCACCAGTGTACCAGTACACTTTCTCTGCATCTACGCCCGCATCAGCATCTACATCTGCATCCGCGACTCCAACTAAGATCTTAGATCTTACATATATTAATCAAGATCCGATGCACTCCGGAAGGTCTTCTGGTGAATCGTGATCGAATCTTTCTTATATTTCAAACTTCAAACTACAAAGTAATCTTAAGGTCTTATAAATTTCGTACTCGGTTATAAGATTAAGATCACAATTATATATATGGAGTTATTATGCAGGAATGAATGACGACAAGTTTAAGAGAAACATGTATGTGTTGCAGGAAAGAATGGAATGTTTGTCTATAAGTAAAGGTGGACTTAAAGATTTATAGTACTAGCAATGAAGGGGAGCGAAAATGGATATGAAGCGAAGTAAGAGAGTAAGTAAGTAGAATTCTCAACAACGAGATTAATTTCTATATTTACTCGAATACACAATCCATCTATCTTACAGAGCCCGCAGTTCCCACTAGACTTCAAATAGAGTTTCGTAAAAACAGAAATACCTAATAAATAAGATAACACCAAAAAACATCTCAAGAATCAAATCCGCGCCAACTTCCCAACCTCCACAATCCTAACCTCAACCCCAACATCCTTCCCTATCTTCTCTATCTCATTCCTATCGAGAACACCCCTCCCATCAAATATCCATCTCGGAGCTTTCATTCCCGTGATTATTTCTTTCCAGTCGATAGTTTGCGTTTCTTTTGCATGTATTCTTATCTCCGTTTTATGCTCGTGCTTGCATTTTGGACAATTTTCCTCTTTTTCGCAGGTTGGTTCGGGGTATAGTCTTCCGATTGGATCGTATCTATCTAAATTAGATTGAGACTTTGATGATAGGTAATTTCGTAGATTTAATAAATCAATTTCCGATGGATGAGTTAAAAATGGCCTTGGATCTTCTAATTTCGAGTTTGCGTCTGTCGAAGATGTTTCCAGTTCCCTACAAATTAGTAGCGCATCTGCTTCTTCACACGCAGTATACAAATCCTCTTCGGCTATTGCTCCCTCAACCCCACTTATTTCCTCCCTCAATATCTCACCCTCGCACCCATCATCCCAGGCTACAATACATCTTGGTCGTTCCTCCACCAACATTCTCACCACCTCCCCCGCTAAACTCTCCCTCACATCCCCTGTCCCCCTCTTAAAAGCATACCCCAAAACCACCATCTTCTTCCCCGTCAAACCACCTCCCAAAGCCCTCACAATCCCCTCCACCCATCTCCGTTTCTGCCACTCATTAACCGCCAAAACACTCTCCCAATACCTTACCACTTCCTGCAATCCCAATTCCTCCGCTAAAAACATCAAACTCTTAATATCCTTCCCAAAGCAACTACCTCCAAATCCTATACCCGCTTTCAAGTATTTATCCCCAATTCTAGAATCCATACCTACAGCAGTAGCTACTTCATTGATGTCCGCATCGATGCATTCACAAATTGCGGAAATACTATTGATGGAACCTATTCGTTGTGCTAACATGGCGTTGGAAACGAGTTTTGCGAGTTCGGAAGAGTAGGTTGAGGTGTGGATTATTTTGGATGATGGAAGCCAGTGGTAGAGCGATGCGAGAGAGTTGGCCGCCGAATCTGAACCAGGGGATGAACCGATTAGGATGCGGTCTGGATACAGAAGATCGCGAATTGCGGTGCCGGCAGAAAGGAATTCGGGGGAGGAAAGAATGGGGAAGTTGATATGAGGACGGTGAATGGCTAGCTATGGAGTGTTAGTTACTTATTTCTGTTGGAGTGGAGTGAGAAGATGTTGTACGGTATTTTTGATGAATTCTCCAGTTCTACCAGGCACAGTACTTTTCTCCACAATGATAGCGCCAGCTTTTGCATATTTCCCAATATCTTGCACAGCAGATATTACAGCCGTCATATCCGTTGCTTTACCAGCTCCTATACCATAGGTTTTTGTGGGTGTATTAACTGCAACCATGATTAAATTTGCTTCACGCAGACCCATTTCGATATCTTCAGAGAAGAACAAATTCGGTGATCGTGCAGGAATATGAATATGAGGATTCTGCTCGGACAATTCTCGAAAAAGGGGCTCAACATCTTCTGAAGAATTGTCAAAGAATGAAAAGGCTTTCGATCCATCGCGACATATACGAATGATTTCTGATAGTCCAGGTTCGTGGATTGGAAGGTGCTTTGAATTCCATTGTTTAATCCTTGAAGAGTCTTTATCGACGACTATGATTTTGATGCACGGGTTTTGAAGAGCGAGGATGGCTGCTGTTGGTCCGCCTAATAGTGGATCAATAGAGTTCTTTGGTATAATGGGAGGTAATTAAGTGGATGGAGACTAAGAACTCATACATACCAACATACCCCGCACCCACAATACAAACATTTTCCACATAATGCGCCGATATTTCATCCATGGGAGAATTTTCCAACGTAATGCCATCATCCAAGCTCAAAGCCTGTAACACGGGACTGAAAGTAAGACTATCATCTGGTGTTGTGGGCGCCGTCGACGTATCAGGAATACTTTCGTCTATATCTGGAGATTTCGAGTATTTTGGTGGCATATCTGGATATGAAACCTTCCCTTGAATAGGGGCACTTGATAATGGTATGTAAGAGTCTTACTATTTATCAAGGCCTTCAAGAAGTTTGAACGTCGAGGTATAGGGTCCTGAGTACTGGAAGATGCAAGTCGAAAGAAAGAGGGAAATTTATGGTGGTTTTGGGGATATCTCCACGGCCGGGTCTGAGTTTTAATCAATGTATGAAACAAAAAGGAAACCACAAGGAAGAGAAGAAAGGGCGATAAGATCAAAAAGGAAGGAGCGAGTGATAAACGCAGAACCTGCGCTTCCACCAACCAACAGAAGTTATTCCCATTATCTCAGAGATGCCACCAAGCATCATCAACATATCAATAAGAGTTCAAAATATTATATCGCCCTTAACAAGGATGCAATAAATCAATGTCCCTCAGAAGCCCCATGGAAAAAACAAGAATTAACAAATTCTTATACTGGAACAGCAAGACTGGTTGATGATTTGTATCAAACAAACAAAATACTATATTTCTTCACAGAAAATTACCCTCTTACAAATAGACGAAACGGTGTATTTCCGAAGAGATAACGAATAATGAAACTCTCAAATGTACCTGGAAACCAGAACTAGAATTCCCACGTGGAGTTATGATTCTGTTTTAGTTGAGTAAAGTTAAACGGACAAAGAACTAATGAGAAGAGGGTACTACACAACGCATCGCATTTTGAGAATATGTCCAGTATCATTTACGATTAAAAATAAATGATGCGGAGCAAATAGTATAATGCGATGTAATTGACCCAGCAGAAGAAGTCTGCCTATTGTAGAGCAATAACTACCCAACCATGAGTAAGTATCGCATGGTCTCGAAGTCATATTTCAAGCTTTGCCAATTTGGTACAACATCATTATAGAGAGACCAAGGACTGAAGACCAGGAGGTTCACGCCGAAAAAGACTTCCCCAGATGCCTAAATTAGACTCATGCCCATGTCGATAAATCGTCATGGATAACAGTAGAATCCTGATATGTGCGATTAGTTTGAATTGATCAATGTAGGGCTGAAGGAATACATGAGATCAATAAACAAGGCCGTTAGCCTCCCAAGAATGTATGAGTAGATTCAATTAGTAAACGCTGAATCTACTCGTTTCAAAGAAAAACCACTAAAACCTCCTGCTAAGGTATTTCAAACGAATGCCGCCTTCCAGACAGGCTCCTAAGATGCTCTCTCTAATATAAACATTTATATTGATGTGCAGGTAAACCCTACGGTTAATGTACATAATGATAGCAGGAGGGCATCCAAGACCTTGCGATATCGTTCATCGACGGCGGGTGAAATTGATCAAGAATGCTAGGACAGTATAAAAATCACTGGGATGATTTGCTAGACAAGAATATTTTTAACACCGCGATGAGTCCACCTCAAAATTGCGCAGTAGAAATGTACTTTTATCAAGGAAAAGACGTTCAGAGTAGTGGAAAGGCAGGATTATAACAGGGAGATCGCTTGTTTTTCATATGTTTATTTCCTTTGCATGCAAATCCTGGTTGGTGTTCACATGCTTTCTGTAAATTTAGCTTTACAGCACAGATGCCGCGATAGCCTGGATTTTGACCCCACTGCGGAGGCTGAGTACATAAATTGTAGGGAATGGCATGTAACGGCAAAGAAATATTCACGAGCTGACTTGCATCGGAAAGAATCAAACGGCGAGTGGCGTTTCAGGAATTGACACTGAAAACCAGCATAAAGGGTCTGAGAACACCTCGATAAGATGACTTCAGAATGTATTGCCGACACTGTAAATCGGAATGAAGATCGAAAGAATGTTTGCACCTCTGATTCCATCCTCCATATATTTATATCAGGTTATGCAAGCGGTGCACATTTGACGGGACTCCTTGAGCCTTGACACTGATAAATAAATTTGGGTACGGAAGTATGATATCGGACGGTGGCAAAGCATGGATTCAAAATATCATAATTAGAACATGGAAATGCGTTGCCACCTTTCTTGTACTATATACGGGAGCAATGGATTTATTAGAACCGAAGTCTTGTTGGTTGGTGGCAGATAAGAAATGCGCTGATCCGGAACGATGACACCAATAATTAAGGTTAGACAGTTTGAATGATCTCACATCGGCGCTTAGAGGGAAACTAACGACCTCTCATTTGTTCGCTGCCCAAAAAAGCATCTTCAACAAATTTCCTCTTGAAGATAATTCTCAGCCAGTCGCTATGAAATGGCCCAAGTAAACAACATATGTGCGTGCAAGACGTGCATACATACTATATTTAGTTGGCATTTATTGAAATCTTGCTATGTTTGTGTCACATCCCTCCCGTGTGTAAAATTGTGAACATCATATCATAGTCGAATGAAGAAAGTATGGTTTAGAATATCATCATTCTAATAGACGATAACAACTGAAATCTGCTGGAGACGATAGAAATAATATGAGGTTATTCGCGTTTCGTTGGTTGATGAGGAATGGAATACCGCGAAAAATTTGGAATACATAGGATCAAATCAGCCGGGCTACTGGTTAGCACGGTTGAGCTAATAAAATTTTCCGAAACATCTACTACCCAATGAGGTTAGTACTGAGATAAAATGCACCGATCCGGCTAAGGTGATAACATTTATTTATGCCAGCCGAGTTTGACAAGGCATTGATTGATGATGAGACTCGGAAAGCTTCACTCCTCATTTTCCAGACAACATTGATGTCTCAACAACATGTCGAAAACGATGGAGCCTCCTCATCCCAAGAAGTACGGAGTAGATGTTTTTCATTGATACTTGTACAATGTACATACAGTCGCATCGTGGTGCCGAAATCCTACACGGGTAGAGCATTCCTTTTTGTAGTCGCGGTTCACATTTTTTGTCCCCAGATTATCATTAATGCCACGAAATTACTACAAGCGCTTTGCCCTGCAACTGCCCTTGCCTGTATCCATGCATAGACAAGCGTCATATGCGACAGCCACTCATCTGACAGGCCGTTACCTCCTTGTGTCGATCGCATTCATTAAGTAAGAATCTTCGAATCAACGCTATTGGCAAACGTTTGATCACGCATCATGCGATTGTCCCACTGTCATAGACTGGGCCTCAGACGTCCTGTACATGCTACACACCTCCGTATTAGAGAAACTAGTAATTGTGGCCATATACTTGTCTCTTAGCAGACAGGGCTAAAGCCGAGCTTCCAACCAAGAATCGTAAGTCCGACAAAGTTTGTCTGGGGTATTTACATGCTCATGTATCGAGTGATCAAGATCACTTCCTGGTATGAGCTTCACATTGTAGGTTTTGATACCAAATATCTACGACTTTCTGTAACGGACTCGTGTTTTTCCATGCTAGGCATTCCTCCGTGGCAAGACACCTATTGTATCCTCATCCTTCGTCCCATTCCCTTCTTCTGCCTCTCATCATTTATACATTGTCGCTCTAGCAAACCAAAATATCATCACCACTTCTCCCACTTCAATTTTCGGGCAGGCCCATTCTCTCTCTACACCTTCTTTTCTTTCAAAGCTGTCTCTACGCCTTACTTGAGGCAAGATATCGTTTACAGTTCTTTCTCACCGCCGGCCGGATCAATCAATTTAAATTCTATTAATTTTTAAATCACATCTTAGCTTCTTCTTACTTGCCGGTCTCGTCGTTCTATCATCACTGTTCATCATGTTTTGGCACGCAGCCGCAACACTATCACTTCTCCTTGCCGGCCATGTAAATGCAGGTAGAATCATGGATATAGCGCCGGTGGCTCGTCGAGATAATAGGGATGAGATGTTACGGCGATATATGGACAATATCATTGAGGATCGTCGAAGATCTATCACAGATGCACCGGCACCCGCAGCAGCTACGAATATGTCGGATTGGAATACTCAAACTGAGGTAGCATGCGGTCAGGCACTAGACTTATTAAATGCTCAGAATACCAACCCATCTGGGTTAGCAGTCTGTTATAATCTGCCCTATGTCGACAACACTACTGGTGTTTTTAAGGCTGATCTAAGGCTGTACAATGTCTCAGCTCCAACAGGAGCATTTGCCAATATTCCGAGTCAGAAAGTTGAGGTCGCGTTGAGTTACGAAGGGGCTACAGTATCGGCTGTTAATATGTCGACATTGATGGCTCGAAGCGACGGTACTTCTTTAATTTCATGGCCACGAGAAATTTCAAAGCGACAATCAACACCAGGCAATTCCACAGGGAAGACGTTTAGTTTAGTTCAATCTTATGCTTTCATTGGCCAGATGAATAAGGAATATATTGGCTTGGACATGGACAGGTATGTTACACTTTACAAGATTACAACGCTTCCAATCTAACTTGATTTAGCTCAGCCATGGAAGCACTCCTGACCCCAACCGTGAGTTTGACTGGCAGAGATGTTCAAGGTGGAACTGTGAATACAACCCTCAACACCAACCAAGCATCTTTCGTCAATGGTGCATTTTCTACACAAGCTGCCGGAGTCACAAAAACCGTCGCTCAACCTCCTATCCAGACTCTCGTCGTCGCGTCCGAATCTCCTTTCGTGGTTCCTGGTCTCAACATTCTTATCTTCCCAATTGGTGGCGTCATCACAGGTATATGGGCGATTTTATTCATTGGTACCATTTCTTATGGTACCATCGGTAGAATACAGTTCCGGGACCAATTCAGATCAAGAACTGCCAGAGCCCAGAAGGGGAATATGTCACGAATTTAATCGGCTTTAGGGCTATCATGCGGATCGGGGGAAGTGTATAGGTTTATTTTCTAAGAGGGGGACTATATCATTTATAGATTTTTTGGGCACGAATATCAGAGAAAAGGTGGTTTTGGAACAGACTGAAGATCATGTTGAGGATTGTGTGAAGATATCGTGCTCAGGGTAATAAGCTTGGAGCTTGATTCTCTAAACCAAAGGTTCTTTCTGAAGCCCGGACATATGATCAGTCCTAAGGGCTACAAATCCTCACGCCATGACATTATCGTGTGTTCTTTTGAGTTTATTTGTTTTTGCTTGAGAATGGAGATGAGCAATATTACAACGAGACACGATTTTTACCTCAGTTTAGAGTTTATAATACAAATGGAAAAATAATACAAAATCAAGTCTGTTCGGTTTCTTTCCGGAGAATATGTTATTTTATTACTTGATAACTATTGCTTGATTTGTAAGATGAGGGAGGGGATAACAATGTGCATAGCTAGACAAGATTAATCTGTGGAAACTCACAGTAAATTTCAAAATACCAGACATCGTGAAACAGCCTCAACAATCATCTTGACAAACAGCCTTATAATCAATTTGCTTCCTATACGATCTCACGAACTACAATCCTCCCGTCCAAAATATACGCGAGGTTCGGCATTTCAGGCCTAAGGATTCGCATCAGATTTTGAAGGATGAGATTTATTTGTCGTGTTATAGAAATTTCGCTCCTAAAGTAAGTTTTTGGAATCGGGGTTTCAAAAATGCGACGTGTAAGAGAAGTGTTCGAGCGGGCATGTTTGGCAGGGATGTGACTCCGTTTGGAGTTGAGGGCCGTGAGCGAGGTTGTTGAAGGAACTTTTTGATGCTTTTTGTTGTCTGTGGAGGGGTTGAATTGAGGTTAGATTGGATTTTTTTGGGGATGGCGGATGATTTTACAATTGGATATTGGATTCGATTGGATTAGATTGGGTATGGAAAATGAAGCAGAAAGAAAAATACCAGACACCGACAGAGAAGGTCGAGCACGTGCGCAAGAAGACTTTTTAATCATGTGATATGAACGCTCGGGTCTTCAGGTTTCGAGGAAGGGGTGTCAAAGAACAACACTACGATATCTTTGATGGTATACTTTACTCCGTTTGGAGTTGCTCGATTGCCAAGAGCATCTGAGAGAATTTCTATATCGAAATTAACGATGGCAATGCTCATGCGAAATATAACCTACTTCAAAAAGCTGAGCCTCGATTCGTCATGCCGATTTTTGGGGTACCCTCGAGCATTCAGGACTACCCCAGGTATAATTATATTGCATGAGCGAACATGAGCGATCAAAGCATGATGCTCGAAACGATGAATCTCATGCACATGTTTCTAGTCGATCACTATTCGATGAGAACAAGTATTCATGGGAATGGTTTTTAGTGAAACTGGCATCACCCTTTCAATTTCTAATCTATTAACCTTTTGAGTAAGAAACGAAAAGTGCCATTGTTGAGTTGTCATCTCCAGAAAAACATTCGTTTCTTGATTTTGTTTCTACAATACCTACGGCGACTGGATCGCATTGAATAACTGGAATCGTTATTTTGTGATTGGATTGCTGTGGTGTTCTTTATTCGTTTCTATATCCATAATATTTCATCTGAAGTTCTTTAAGTTTCCATTTGTTCCATTCAAGCTATTTCATTTGACAGGCTCATCTTTACATACTTATACGACACGGCAAGCTTGAGATTGAGCTCTCAAGCTAAAGAAAGATGGTTTCGGTGGCAGATTTAGTCACAGAATTACATTGCAATATTGATGAAATTCACAAGACCATCGCTTTAATAAGTGATACTTCATATCATGATGCAGAAATTACACGACTCGAGAGGGAACGCGATGAACAGCTTCAACAACTGAAGATGGCTCATGAGACCGCAACGAAAGAGGCGGAAGACGCACGACTAAAGCGGGAACAAGAAATCGACGAAGAAATTCAGAAAGAGGAACAAGAGGTAGCGGAGAAAAGGAAACGTGAAGATGAGGAGAGGAAGTTGAGAATTCAGAATGCATTGGAGGAAAGGGGAAAGGTAAGACAAGAGGAGGAAGAGAAGAGAAGGGCCGAATTTGAAAGTCACCATAAAGGAGTTGAAGATGGAATTGATGAAGAGATGGAAAGATTGGAGGATGCATTGGAGAAGCGAATGACGCATGGTCAGAAAGCTTTAGAGGATTTAGATTCTGCTAGAAGAGTACGTTTGCGGCCTGATTCTTCGCCTTGGTTGTATTTCGATTTATACTAATGCTCGTGTGAAATAGGTAATCAACAGACAAATCGATGAGCAACTCAATATTCCGACTGTACTCCCTGTAATTCAATACAAGAGTCGCAGAAAGATTTCGTTGAATAACCGAAAGCTAGATTTGTCATTGGAAAACCAGAAAGTCAAGGATATTGAGGAGAATGAACAAAACAATCCGGTACCAAACGTAGAAGTAACGCTTGATGTGGATGAGCACAAACACGAAGACTCTCAGCACGATGGGGCTAATGATGCAGACAATGAAAGAGATCTTGCGGTAGAGCCAGTCAAGGATTTCGGGCTACAGCGAAATTTCGCGTCAGCAAAGGAGGTTGTTCACTCAGAGCAAGAGGCACAAATTCCAGAGGTAGAACATGAAGAAGTATCTCAGCCTGCCGAAGAAATCCACAGCTCAGTGGCCCAGAAGCACATTGAATTTGAAGAACTACAAGTTGTTAAGCCGGAATCCAAGCTTGAAAGCATTGAGTCAGAACCACAAAATCAGCCCCAACAAGACACGGTACAGCATGTTGAAGATATATCAGAGGAAAACCATGAAACTCCTGCAAATTTTGGGGCCGAGACACTCCCAGATTCCGATAATGCTCCAACTGCTCAAGTCGAGGAGAATGAGTCGACCGATGCGAATCAAAATGAAACCGATGACGCTCTAGAGCGAGACATTCCCTCAGTGGAACCAGAAATTGACGAACATCACGTCGAAGGGATCCAATCTGCTGAAACTTCTTCCAAACATGTCGAAAATGCCTCAAAGCCAGAAAACAGCCCGCTAGAGATAACTAAGGAGACCGAGGCTTTCACAGTTCATGATTTAAATGAGTCTCCAGAAGACAGAGCAGCCAGGGAGGAAATAGCTAAGCTGAATGAGGAGATTCGACGAGCTATGGAAGAGGAAGCTGCTGAAGCAATGATACCTCATGAAGAATTCAAGGAGGAAGATGCATTTCCTCAGGTGGGAAGCGCGCCAGTCGTCACTGAGACCATCGATGTTTCAACTGTAAATGGGAATTTTGAGACAGATGCAAAGCCTGAAATTAATAAGGTCGAGAGCGCTCAACAAGATTTAGATGTCCCAGGCAATGATACCGAGAATAAGGAAATTCTTGAATCAGAAGAGCAAGCGAACAACATAGCACATGATGATATTCAAACACCGGCTGAAGGGCCCCCCTCAGTTGAAGAGCCGTCGTCAGAGCCAAAACTTGATTCTGATCAAACTCCTGAAGATCACGAGCCGTCACATAATGAGACATCGTCTATTCATGAATCTGCAAGTGGAACTGAGAACAGCACAGTCGTAGAGACACTCCCAAATTTGAAGGAAAAGGCAATCTCGCCCACTGTTGCAGTTGAAGAGCCAACTTTTGGCAATGAAGATCATGGAAATGCAGAGACGGAGAATGAAATTGTGCTTGAGGAATTCCCAACATCAGATGAAGAGCGTGACACCAATCAATCATCAACAGAAACAGAGATATTCCACGAACCGGAATTCGCGAGCAAAGAGCCTGCTACTCCCGGGGAATCTGAAGCCGAGGCAATTCACATCCCACTCCCAGAACCAGATGAGACAGAGGCTGCTCTGCTTAATGAGGAACCAGCACAAGAATCTAGGTCCTTGCCGATTGATCAATTTGACAGCGACGAAAGCCAGGAGAAAATCATTAAACCATTGAGCACTGAAGATATCAATCAGGAACTTGTGCTGGCATCGATTGACAATACTGGGCCAATAAATGATGAGACACCGACTACTACCGGGAAGAATATTATTGGCAAGGAGACGTCCGAGTCCGACATATTAGATAAGGAAGTGGAAGCTAGAACCGATGGAGTAGTTCCAGAGCAAAACCTCATTGAGCGAAATGAAGAATCTGAGAAAGATGGCCGGGATGCTGCAAACAGAGAGTTTAACACCGAAGACAGTCAAGAGGAAGTCTCTCAAAACATTTTGTCCGATACAGGAGAGATGAAAAGTAGTTCAGATGAAACTTTTCTACAATCAGAGCCAGCGCCGGAAGTGGTACAGTCTGATATTGACAGCCATGAGGCTTTTGAAGATCATATATTATCTACCGATTCTCAGCTTGTTGCCGAGAGTAATGATGATATCAACGAGAATGCTCTTTCGGTACAAGAAGAGCCTAGTGTCAAAGATATTGATATTGATATTCTTACAAACTTTACAACCGACGCCGATTCAGATGATGAGACGGAGCTCCCAGAAACTCGTGATATCGCTTCGGATAATAACGCCGAAGAGACCGAGGTAGCTTTTGAGCCGGTTATTACTCTTCCTGACCGTATGCAACATGATCAAGAAAGCCCACAGGAGATAGCTGGGAGTGAAGAAATCAACACATATGAGCCGAGCAGCCCAGTCAGTGATGATATAGCTAAGGATGGTAATCATAGCAGCGGAAAAGCTGTTGATAGCAACTCAGAAGAAATCCCACAGGCCAATGATGAGACCGTTCAATTGCCAGGTCACATCAAACATCGCATCAACGAGCCGGAGGCGGCCATGCAGCAGGACGAAGATGTATTGAAGGTTCAGACCAATGATGAAGAACGAGTAGTTACTTCCGAGATCCCCGTTCCTGATACTGAGAATAAGGATCTAGAAATGACCCAGGAGAAGATAGAAGCACTGACTGATTCCGGTATTCAAGATCATATTCCATATGTAGAGGATTTAAACACACCTGGTCCTGAAGAGTTTGAAGGCACTGGAGAAGCGACCTTAACTTTGGATGTTGGGTCTCCACTTCCCTCCCCTACAGTTCCACAAGTTACCAACGACAGTGAAGAAAGCACCCGAGCGGAAGATGATGTTGCTCAAAATGTTAGAGACTTGGAGGCAGTAAACCATGAAGAAGAACACACCGAAGTTAGCGGCTCTTCTCTGACCCAGTGGGATGATGAAGCGAGACAGGAGACGTCAAGTCTAATGCCATCCGAGCACGATGAGACTGCGGAACTGGTTAAGAGTGAGCAATCGACTTCGGAAAATGATGTATGGATACATCAAGAGGACGAAGAAGCCTCCAAACAGGCAGTTGATCATACTTCGCTCGAGAGCCCAGAGCTTCATCAAGAAAAAGACCTCCATTCTAATTCTGTGGAGGATTTGGTGCAAGACAATAATGATCAGGATCATGAAATCTCCCAGGAGATTGATATGCAACCTGAAAGCAAGAGTTTTGGTTTCCAGTTTGAAAACACCAGCTCGGTTTCAGAGACGTCTGCATTAGAACATCCGGTTGATGAAGTTTTCGAGGTGCCAAATGTGGCGGAACAGGTACAAACTGAGATTCATGACGAGTCTGTAATTGTTAAGGACAGCGCAAATGGGCAAAGTACTGATGCTGTTCAAGTAGATGGAGAAATTGATCAGACAAAAGATTATCACGCTGAAAAGTCCGGAGAATTCGAGCATCCAATGACCACCCAGACAATGATTATACGAGAGTCAATCCCAAGTACTTCGACAATTTCTGAAGTCATCGACAATGAATCATCACGTCAAGAAAACGAACAGCCAGCCGTTGTTGAAGATGAACAGGTCAATACTTTACCGAAAGTAAAACCAACCAGCCAAGATATTCCATCACAATCTCAGCATATACAACACGAAGACCCCGAAGATGTTCGTGCTAGAGAGGAGGTTGCTCGTCTAAACGCAGAATTTTTGAAGGCTATCGAAGAGGAACAAGCTAATGAATCTGCCGAATCAATTATAGGGGACGATGACATGAGTGTGGATGAAAATGAAACCGTGAAAGAGGAACAAGAAAAACCGAGAAGAGAAAGTGCCGAGGACAGCGCAGCGAGAGAAGAGATTGCAATTCTGAACGAGCAAGTAAGGTTGCTCAATCAACGACAGAGTGTGGACGGGCCTGCTGAGACTGAAGGTGCAAAGGACGAAGGTCACGAAGTTTCTGAGGATAGTAAACCTCGAAAGCTTGAACTGGAACAACCATCGATCAGCTTGAGTAAAGTTCATCATATTGAACATGTTGAAGATCGGAAACTCAATGCCATTCCCGGCTCACCAGTCCAGCAACACGAGAACCCGAAAATAGCCGATCAATCTGATCTTATCTTGAATCCGGAAAATGGAATAGAACAAACCATCGATGAATCAAGCCAAGAAATCGAGTATTTGCAGCCCGACCATGCAGTTCACGAGCTTCAAGATCCCGGCTCGGAAGATGAAGAAACCGAATCTCATTATGAAAGCGAGAACGAATGGGAAGGTTCTGTAGAGGATGAAGATGAACCCCTCCCGTATCTTGAGACTATTCACGAAGAATTACATGAAGGTGTTCCTCATATTGGAGAAGTTCACAAGGATGAGGATGAAGAAGGAATGCCAACGAGTAGATTTTTCCATCCACATTGGAAATATGAGGATTTGGATGATGAGCTTCTGAAGGAGAAAAGTGGATCCGAGCATGCTGCCTTGGAAGACAATAGCTCTCGCGATTTACAGTCCCAAGATGTTGCAGCCAAAGAATCTTCCCAAAATCCACAAGTTAATCAACAGCACGCGGAGCTATCGGTTTTACCTGTCATCGATAACAGTGCAGGCCAATATTCCGAGAGTGTAATTCCAGAAGTCGAGGATTTAGAAAAGAGACCATTAGTCTTAGAGGCCGGAAACTCAGCCGATAAGGACATCTCACCAAAAACTCTTCAAGATGGATTAGAGCGTCAGAGTGAAAACAGTCTTGGTGTTTCGAAGCCTCGGTTAAACCTACCACAAACCCCAATGGTATTCTTTTCAAATGTTTCCGATGATAAAGAAGTGGAATCGCCTCACTTCATCAACGATACAGATGCATTAATCGATGATGAGGGGTCGAAAGCAACAACGGAGAATATAGACCATTCTAATGCTACGGATCTACCACGAGTATTAGAGCCAAGCCCTATTTTAATAGAGAAGTCTGAAAAATCCGAACAGGAGGAGCCAGAATCGCTAGTCCAAAATAGTAACCTCACCCCAGAAGCTATACATCGAGGTCCAAAACCACTTTATCGTCGAAGTAGTGATTTGAGTCCAGAACATGAAGCAGTGTTCTCAAGAGTTTCTAAGATTCGGAATAGTCTAACTCCTTCACCTGAACCACATCAATCATCAAATTGTGCACTGAGTCCTAGATCACCATCTGGGGGTTTCCCACCTGATGAACATCGAAATTACTTGGATGCTTCTATCAACAGCGCATACAATGGGTGGGGATATTCTACCTCAGATGAAGATCAGCCTCAAAACGACTACGGAACTCAATTGAACGATGATAATGGTCGTAACCGTTCTCATACTGTTGATACAGTTCCTTCTTTCGAACATTATGCATCGGATGATGGTGATTCAGGACCTCCAACTCCACCTCAGAAACCGCAGTATTCTGATCCCGTGACTCAGCAACCGCATATTAGTCAAATGATAGCGTCAGAATTACAATCTTCGGAAGGATGGTCACTTCCAAATGATGATACCCAGGATTCGGCAAATCAAGAGCAAAATCATGACGAAGTGATTAAACCCCCAAACCTTCAAGAAAAAGCGGAATTCGATCCTTTCAATCCACAAGAATATAAATCTCCGATACCAAGCCCAGAACATTCATCGACATTTCATGTAAGCAATGTACATGTCGATCAGGAATATCCTCCAACTTTATCATCCAATCCACCATCCCTCGTATCGCCTGAAAAGATTTTAGGCTCGAATGCACCATCCTCTGCCGCGATATTTACATCCCAAACTCCAGCCCAAACTCCAGCCCAAACGGAAGAGAAATCAGTTTCTCAGCTCCCTGCAAATGTTTATTCTGTTCCCTGGACACAAATAGAAGGCCCATATAAAGCCGCAAATCAAGAAAAGGAAACAGCATCTCCACAACGTAGTTCAAGACCAGTCAGCTCCATCTTCGCTAGAACACGCTCGCTATTTGAATCAGCAGGTACCAATGATTCAAACCCAGCTAAACAAAGACCTTTATCAGGAATGAGCATATTCAATGTCGCATCACCATCTCGCTCAACACCTTCTTCTACACCTGCTCAAAGTCGTCCACACAGTCTCTCGAACTCGAGTTTGCGTAGCGCGAACGGTTCTAAGAGATCGAGTGTTTATTTAGCGGAAAATGCTCATACTAATGGAAATGCAAATTCAAATGAAAATAGAAATGGAACTGCGAGTTCAAACATAGATTATGATCCAAACACCGATGCAGATTTCTTACCAAAGTGTCTAGATGGTGACGGAAGATTACCTAGTCCAGCTTATGGATTACCTGGACATAGGAGTAGTAGTAGTAGTTTTGATAAGGAGAGATTGTATGGTGATGAGGAGGATCCTTATTATATGCAGAAAGGGGGGAACGCTGGTAGTTTTATGGGTTTGAGTGGTGTTACGAGAGGAGCTCGTGTGGCGGAGGGTGAACCGTTGTTGAGGGATGAGAAGTAATTTGTGGTTGGCATTTTTGCATCTTTGAGGGATAATGGGGTGTTGATGGTTGAGAAGATGGGGGAGGAGGATATCAGAGGATTGATTCACGTGGTTGGGGGGAGTGATTGGAGGATTGCGTGGGGAAGGCAGTTGGGAATTCCTCATTAGAAAAGTTTGTTTTGTTTTGTTTTTGGGAGGTGGGATGGCGACGCAAATGCGGAGTTGAAAGTAGGGCTCGAAAGGGATGTCGGTTTTCATGATGTAAGACTACGATATGGGCAAGGCATACGGTAAAACGGCGTTTGAAAGGTACGGCAGCTGTATCTGTATATGTATATCAATGTTTATATTTATATTTATCCACTTATATCCTCCACATTATTATTATTATCACGATATCTATTCTTAGCTAGGTAATCTTACTCTGTATAATTAAAATGCAAAATTCAGTAATTGTAAGATCTTAACATAACATTGAGTCTGACATTCTGAATCCTGATGATATCTTCTAAGAATCAGATTACATTCCATTTGCAACTCATCACGTCAGTTCCTTCTAGTCGAATAAGGCTATGTTAAGTCAATTAGAGAGCGTTGCTCCATCCGCGCATTTTGCTTCCAGCTGCATACCCTGCATTTGATACATTACATTCTCGTTCGAATATTTTGTTATTATACTAGGTAAGGTAGGTAGGTAAGGTAAGATTTTAAACTAACTGGGTAGTACTCGATACTCAATACTCGATGAAGATAAAGCTGAAAGATAAAGAAAAAGGCACAATTGTAAGATTATGATGAGCGATATCTAACCCTCTTCCCCTTTTCTCCCCTCCTCCCTTTCCGCACGCCCGCTCCTTTCTTCCCGCCGGCCTGCCCGGCCGCCCACCAAAACACAACAATTCATTTCAAACCTCACGTTTCCGTAAATCAAGCCAAATATCCTCCCAATGAAATAAACCACCCAGAATAACGCGTCTAGGAGGCCCAGGAGTTTCTTTACTCGGTGCACATAATTTGAAGTTGAAATTGCGGAAGAACTGTAGTAATCGGGAAATTTTAGCGGTGTTGTTTGATTGCATAGCGAGAATTAATTGCATAGTTAGTTGAATAGAATGCATAGGAGACGTACCATCAAAGGGGATTTCATCAATTCCATATAAGCGAGATCTTTACCTAAACATACCCTTGATCCATATCCCCAGGTAAAATTGTACTTTTCGAACATTTTAGTCTTTTCGTTGTCTTCGAGCCATCTTTCGGGTCGAAATATATCGGCGTCTTCGCCGTAGATTTCTTTATCTCTGTTTGTGATGTATGAGCAACAAGTGATTTCCGTGCCGATGGGGATGGTTTTGCCATCGATTACTAAAGGAGGTTGATCGGCGGTTACTTCTCGTGGGAAAAGTGCTGGTGAGGATGGAGTGAGTCGGAGGGATTCTTTCACGCATGCTGCGTAGAATGGGCAGTGCTTTGATACTTCTGCTGCTTTGGGGATTGGTTGGGAGAGATTGCCACTTGTGAATCCGGTGTCTATCTCTTCCATCATTCGAGCGTAGTCGCTAGGGGATGAGAGGATGTCGGTTAATATGGAGCTAAATGATGTGCCTGTAGTGTCGGCTCCAGCGACTAGTACAACCAAAACTTCGGCTTCTAATTCGGTTCTGCTTAATGGTTTGCCTTGGGGTGTTCTGGCCTCGAAAAATCTTGAGGTATCATAGTTTAGTTGGATAGCGATGTATTTTGATGGCAGGAAGATACTCACGATTCTAAAAGGTCGAGTTGGTCTCTTTCTTTTCCTTCCTCATTTTCTGTAATCCTAGCATTAATGATCTTATCCCTCCATCTCATCAACTGACCCATGCCATTCTTCATATCAGGTGTTGCAGTGAAAAATGACTTTAGTGGTCCTGATGTCAACCTTTCTACGAAAGGATATAAATGTGCCAAAACACCAAAAATCTCAACTCCATCATGTACACTTTGAATCAATCCACCTACATCCTCTTCCTTTTCCACGAAACCCAGAGCTTGCCCAAAACCCACTTCGCTGATTGTATCAAAAGCAAAATATGTGGCCCAGCTTGTCATATTCACGGATTTTCCCGTCTCTGCGAAAATAGTTCTCAACTTCGTAAGCCATGCCGAGATGATTTTATCAACGAGGGGCTCCGCTTTAACTATCTTCGAGTATGAGTAAGGAGGTCCGACGAGCCTTCGACGATCTGAATGTGCTTGATGACCTCGTATAGAGATAGCAGGTTCAGAAGGGAAACCTCCATTACTGTAGAACCTAGATTTAACTGCGGTACGGTGATATATGAGGGGTAGAGCGAATGCTGATTTGACGAGAAGGGTTGTTGGTGAAATACGCAGAACAGGAGCTATTTCGGTAATATTTAACGCCTATCGTCTAAAACCATATGGATAATAATTACCTTTAGTTTCTTCGAATAGATTTTGATATGTCGTCAATTCGGTTTGATTAAAGCTCTGGAAAGCATACCAGAGTCTGGTTACAGTGCCCCAAAATGGACCTGGATATAGTCTAAGAGGGTGAAAGAAGCGATAATAGATGATTTGATAGAGAAAAGGTACAATTATCCAGCCAAGTATTAATAAAATTAGATTGGCAAAGGTTAAGTAAGAAGAGACAACTGATGATATTGTCTGAGAGTTTTCCATCGCGACGAAAAAGTCGTATGTACAGCTGTGATAATCGGGGACCAGCTTTGCGATTAGATCGTCCAGATTAAAGGTTGTGTAGCAACAATGTAACAATGTAAAGATGCGGATGATGGTTGAAAACTCTAATGGTTAATATTCTTGATGAGAGGTAGAATATTGGCATCATATATATCACCAAATGGCGTGAATAAAGCCTTTGTGAGCCATCATCTCTTGAACATAGTTGCAACGTTTCGACTCATTTTCACTCATTTTCAATCATTGTAACCTTACAGCATGCATGTGTGTACTCATTTCAGCTGCTACAAATCGGGAAAAGGTACATATATATTAGCCCGCTTAATGAGACATGGATTTGGTGACTCTGAAAACATCAGTTGGAACTCTTCAAGTATGTATAGATATAAAAGCATAGAAAGAAAGTCCTTACTGATCTGTGCAAAACGGATTATCGATCTTCAATGTTTCGATGTCTTAAAGTGTATGTTAAGGAGGGCGGTGACCACAAATGGCGATTCTAAGGGCAGAACTCAAGTTTAGAACTCCATGGCGAAACGAGGCCCAGACACGACTTTAACAACTTCACCGGATAGAACACGCGTAAGTACCAAAAGTACGCGACGACATCCAGGTATTCAGTTCTCACATGCCGTTCTGAAGAACCTTAGTCTTTTCCATACTGGCGTCCGAATATGGTGCTAAAGAGCCCTAAATACAGATCTTACTCCCCTCCAACGCGCTCGAACGAATGATTGAACCCCAATCGAAGCCATTCATCACGATATCGACCTCGAAGATTATCGAATTGTTATGGAAATTAAGGCATTGATATCCTAAGTTACTCGCACATGTTTTCGAAACTAGACTCTACATTTACGGAGAAGATGTCCCCAAGAGGATGACTTGTTATGGGAAGGTCAAACCCGCAACGTGGTTGTTGGGATTCATTCATATATTCTCAACGCCATTGAATGTCTTTGGATTGTCTAGATGGTACATACAGCGCCATTTGCCAACCAAGAATGCAGAATCGATTTAAGCTCGAGAAAGTGGCTTGAGAAATGATCAAACCTTAATCCAAAGCGAGTGAAGTCTGAGGAGTTAAAGGCACGAAATATTTTCGGTGTGGTCAGCATTTAGATAATATCATGATGTTGTTGGATGATATTTAATTATTCAATTTATCTGGGGCATAATGGATGGATAAGAGATCTTTATGGCGGCAAATGTCTTGGAACGAGATCCTCCTTAAAGGTCATCGACATCTTGAGCCTCAACCTTGGATCCTCTAACATTTACCACAGACGCTGGCGGCGTAAATGTGTTATTTATACTGGCGACATATCTTAGGAAGATTGCTACAGAGATCTTGAGGTGATCTGACAATTTGTGGCTGAGTGTGTTGCCATCATCACGTTAACGGTTTGTTGCTTCCTTTTGAGTTCGATGATAGTTCAAGCTCGAAGCTTCGAGACAATTTTCTGGGATTTCTCGAGCAGCACAGTATAGATCTGTACGATTTGCGAATATTCCATATCTTGACTTGATCGATGAGTCCTTTTTGTCAAAAAATTTCATTAATCTAGAACTTTGTTGAATCAGCAGCAGAATGTTAGTCAAGCATTTTCCCGGGCGCTGGAATTATTGTTCCGGAATTACTAGTGAATGAATTTAGCATCCAGCTACAGTAACGCAAAATCTTCCTTTTCTCAGCCTGCAGTCGACAATGTATATGACTTCATCGAATGTCACATCATCCCTGCCAGGTAACTTGGTACCTCGTACGTGCATTGTTATGTCCTTCGGGTTTCGTTTGACTTCTTAGATTCTTTTCCAAAAAGGTAATCGCAAGAGTGTAGCGAATGCGGCCCTTTCATGCTCTCGTGAACATTTATGTCTGAATCCATCCCTGCGCCCGATTTCAGAACCCTCTGTCATTTTGTTAACAATACTAACAGTATAGCTAAGAGGATGTATTTCTTGTTCCTGCAGTCGCAGATATAATCTTACCACTCCCTTTACCATATTCTGCTTGTTGTCACCATGTATTAACGGGAATTGAGAACTTACGGCTGTACCACTACCATCTGTTTGAAACAGCATGTCCGGAATCACGAACTTCCCCAATCTTCTTACCTCTATGATCAGTCTTTTTAACCTCATCCGTGGTACTCTTTGAGGACCCTTTGGTCAGCTTTAATTATGATCTTATGCATTCTCGTTGCACTGCGGTAAGTAAACGCTAATTCATGTATTCGAATTGATTATGCTAAGTGCCAATTTCCAGGACTGGGCGAGCCCTATACATACATTTTGGCCCAATATTGTCGTCTAAAAGCCATGAATAACCCTGCTTTGAAGGAACATACGAAGATGCGCCGCAATGAAATCGTTAGAAGGATGAACGATGCAATGCAACTGCTAGTTGGCGCTGGCGATAATGTTGAAAAGCTTCACGAAGCTCTGATGGACATCATCATGGAATTGCATTTGAAAGCGCATGCATACTCTGGAGTCTTGGAAGCATCTAGACTAGTACTGGAACAAAATTCAATCCCATTCTACACGCTCTTGAGGATTCAGAACCCGAACCTACTGATACGTTTTCAGCATATATCCTCACTACAGCATGTTTCAGTGTCAAACACAAAGCGCGTTGAAAGAACAGGAGGTTCTGTGTACCGGCAAATGTCATTTTCACAACGTCGAAAACGGCTGGGACAACATTGAAGAGCCGTAAAGCGGAGAGATTAACAGAGCAGACTTCTTCGCCTGCTCGGACGCCTCGGAGATGAGATCTTTTATAGATTAAAAATGCGGAGTAACCCTGTAGGAACTTCACTGCATTCAGGTCAAGCATGTCAAGGAAACACTATGGCCAGGTCCGTTTGGCGAGTCCGTGGCATTTCCGAAGCTGATCGATATTCCAAAATTAAAAGCTTTTTATTGTCGAGTTTGGTAATTGAGTCAAGGATTTCACTGGATATGAATCAAATATTCCGCTATTCCGGCGACGTATCCCATTCACAATTGGTATCTCAACGTTTTATCCTGTGGTTAGGCTGGTGTTAGGCTGGTGTTAGGCTTGCGAGATAGGAACAGGTCAAATTTCTTGGTTATGGCCCCGCTGCCGTGCTTGACTTGGTTGCATTGCATGTGGCTAGCGCTAGAAGCCACGTTTACAACAGTCAGCGAATAATTAATAATTCTGTACTTGGTACCTGCTGCGTAACCATCGTCATTTACCCCAGAGTTTCCCCAGATTTTTCTCCACAATTGTTACCTCTTGGCTGCAGGATCCGGAGAAATGCTGAAAAGTTTCTCCACCTACAATGAGAGTCCGAAAGCACGGATCGGCGGGTTCATTTCCCTTTTTGCAAAACTATATTATACGGAGTAAATACGAGTTTTCTGAAGTAAAGATTCTAGACACGCCCCCTCCTTCGTTTGAATCATTCCAAAAAGAAGAAAGGGTTAATCTCCGGGAGAAACGATAAAGTGCAATAGTGGAATTTTTCTGAGGAGTTGCTCTTTTTGCAGATCGAATGTTTTTATCTTTCTCTCTTTCTACATCATACATCTAGGGATGGGCATGGACCCACCTCGGGCCACGGGCCACGGGCCAACGGGCCCACAGTTCGGCACTATTCTTGGTATTTTGAAGCAGTAATCAGGTAGTATCCTTCCGCTCTAGCAGGTGATAATTGGTCGGATGACGTGCTATACACTTTCTCTATCTCAAGCCACTTTGCAGGATGGCGTCGTTCAACGTCAGTCGTTCACGCGTCGGTGCCAGATATACCGAAAATGCTAGATCCAAAACGCATCCGATAGGATGAACCATTAAAGTTCGTTCATGGTTCTATATACACGACGACATGCTACCCTGAAAATGCAAGGTCCATCTATCCCAGGATCATTCAATGGGACGAACGATAAGGTTTGTGGTTCTCTTTCCACGGTTTGCAGCTACAAAAATACTAGGCCCATCTATTTCGAAATCACTTGATAGGATGAACGACACGGTAGGGTTTTCAATAGTCCCGATTATAGTTCGATCCTTTCATTGATCTGACCCAGCGACAAGGTTCGTTCATGGTTCTCTACTCGCGGTTGCAGCTATCCCGAAACCATCTTTGATAGTGGCAGCCTATACGCCAGCTACTTTTGATACTTGGGATATTTAAACAATTCCATATCGCCATTACGCTGATAGATACTTTCTTGTGCATTGCGTTTTCGTCCATACCTCTCATCCTTTTCAAAATGAAGTCTGCTGTACTTTCATTCGTTGCCACCTCTCTATTGGCTTTGCCAGCTCTTGTTTCTGCACAATTATCTGGTACCGTTGGTCCTACCACAAGCACTGCTTCTAAGGCTGCTAAGAAAATATGTAATATTCTTGACTATGGAGGTGTTGCTTCTGCTACTACCGACAACGGTCCTGCTATTTCGAGTGCCTGGACTGCATGTAAATCTGGAGGTGAAGGTAGGATATTTGCCATATGCTTAGTATTTGTGCAGTTACTGACTATCTCAAGTCTATATTCCTTCTGGAAGCTATGGTCTAGACACTTGGGTCACCCTCACTGGAGGAACTGGCGTGTCTATTAACTTGGAAGGAACAATTTATCGAACTGGGTACGAAATCACCTCATTGATCAACTAATCGTGACACCTATTGACATGTATTCTTGCTAGAACTGCTGGAGGGAACATGATATTCGTCGAGCACACAACCGATTTCGAATTTTACAGTGGTAACTCTAAGGGTGCTATCCAGGGTTACGGCTATGTCTTTCATTCAGGTTAGTAATCCAACATTCAAGCATTTGAATTTGCGAAGGTATGGTATATGGTCTGGTTTTGTCTCACCGCCCGTCGCCCGCAACAATTAATTTGGTTGGTGGTATGATCAAGGCGGTGAGACAAGAATCAGACGATATACCTCCGTATATTAACAATATCTTATAGCGAGCACATATGGTCCAAGAATCTTGCGTCTTTATCAGGTTACCAGCTTTTCTGTGCACGGCATTGTCTTGGTCGACTGTAAGTATTTCCTTTGACGAAATATGGTTACCTCATACTAATTTCTTTTTGCTAGCTCCTGCCTTCCACTTGACACTTGATACTTGCACAGATGGTGAATTATACAATTTAGTCATTCGTGGTGGTAATGAAGGTGGTTTAGACGGTGTTGATATTTGGGGAGTCAACATCTGGGCACATGACATTGAAGTCACCAACAAAGATGAATGTGTTACAGTCAAGGTACGACATCTTCTATTGCCCCCATCGTCCAAGAAACCCAATAGTCCGGACTGCAATTCAACAATGAGAAACTTTGAATTCTTGAATTTATTTGGGATATTCATATCAATTGGAATATTGAAAGAATTTCGATCATTGAAACTTACGTGATCAAATTTCATTTCACCGCCATCGCTCGCCACAATTAATCTGTGTAGACAGAATAATAGTGGCAAAATCGAGGCGGTTAGACAAAAATTAGACTATTCTGGACTGAGCACCCTACCACTACCTTACTAACTGCTTTGCAGAGTCCCGCCAGCTACATCCTAGTCGAGAACATCTTCTGTAACTGGAGCGGAGGAAGTGCGATTGGAAGTCTTGGTGCTAACACTGGTATGCTTCATTTCCCTCCTTGATTTTATTCTTCGCCTAACACTTTTCCAAGCGATCTCCAATGTCGAATATAACCACGTCTACTCTCAAAACTGTAATCAAATGATGTTGATCAAATCTAACGGGGGCAACGGTACATTCTCCGGCGCTACATTCAATAATTTCATGGGGCACAGTAACGCCTACACCCTCGATATCGACACCGCCTGGTCAGGCCAATCCGTTGTTACCGGCAACGGTGTTACCTACAGCGATATTTCATTTAGCCACTGGCACGGAACCTGCTCAAATGGTGCAGCTAGAGCTCCCATCCAATTACTATGTCCCTCAGGCATCCCTTGCAAAGATATCACCATTTCATCTTACTACATCTGGACCGATACAGGAAGTTCCGTGTTATACAAGTGTAATAACGCTTATGGAAGCGGTCCTTGTCTTAAGACTGGTACTACTTATACTACGTATACATCTACCGGAACTGTAACTTCTGTTCCTACCGCGTAAGTTTTTTTCTCTCTCTTGTTCTCTTTCACCAAGACATACAGCTAACCACCAATCTAGTTCCTACGCCTACACGACCATGCCGGGAGAAATCACCTCAGGTCTAGGTCTCACAGCCAGTATCGCCATCCCAACTCATCCCGCATCATACTACCCAGGTATCGCTCCCTACAGCGCTCTCGCCTAGATCCTCATCTTACATTTTAATGACTCATCCGCGGATAATCCCTGCGATATTGTTCCTTGTTTGTTGGACTTTTGGTTCGATGTTTGTACATACCCGGTTTCATGTTTATAGTCTTCCATTTTTGAAAAATTGTATATATATCACCAGAAATTGCGTGTTGCTAGTGTTGTCTGTGGTGGGTTTGTGCGTGCGTGATGTTTTATGTAGTAAATCAAAACTTATATACGAGCTTGGAATTCATGCGAATAGATCTAAGATTAGATACTAGATGATTTTTTGTTTCTAGTCTTATCTAGGTATTGTTGTGCTCGTCGGTGTTGAGTAATTTACTGACTTTAATTAACTGATAGTTCTTTGAAAGAGCTAATCGCGGTACGCAAGATCCTTCCAATGTCAAGCTATTTGATTATGTGTTTATGGAAATCAGAGCTGGGTAAAGGGTAGGGTATATCTGGGGTAACCTGGGAGGGATGATCCCTGTCGAAAAGCTATCCTGTTAACACCCACCGATATTTCCAAGTAACCATTCTACAAAACCTGTACGGAGTAGGATACAGGTGTCTAGCCCTAATGGAAATCAAGAGTTTTAACGTGATTTTCTGAGGGAGGACATATCGCTATTGTCACTCTAAGACAGTGTTTTGTTCCGAAGATCCTAACTTTTGGATCTATGGGGTAGTGTAGTCAACAGGCATTTCTTGTTTTCCAAGGCTCTCTTTGATACGCCTCTCCTTTTTCTGTCTCTTGTACCCAAGTTTACTCAACCTCTCCAATCACCTGATGGTTCATGTGTGTTAACGTGAAGATCTCAAATTCCGATCTTTGCATTGCGTCGTTCCTGGACTCTATCTGCGTATTTTTTCTCTAGACGCTCTGTGTTACGTCGTTTATGCTCCTTCGCTCTATCCTTGGCGAGTTGCACAATTCTTTCGTGTTCTGGGCAGTACACTGGTGGTGTTGATCGCCTACCTCGGGTTATAACCCACAGCACGTCATACAATTCCGTATGGCCATTTGCGATATCTATGAGGGCGGATAGAAACGATCCGGCGTTTAAATTTTGGTAATAATCCGATATGCACTTTGCTAGTACATTAAGATCAACACCTATTGGTAAGTCTTGCTTAGTGGCATTGAATGCTTCCAACATTAGCTTGATGATCAGTGTCTGCCGTTCCTTTGTTTCAAACAATTCAGTCCATTGGCACCCAAATTTAATTGAGGCTAACAGTAACACTTCAAAAGGTATCATCGATTCCAATTTATCTAGGCGAGTATGATGATCGTTCCATGCGTGACTATAAACTCCAAGCGATTGATTGTTGATGGCATTTCCGAGTATTTGCAACATATAATGGGAAAAGTTCTGTCGGCGAGCTGCAGGTCGACTTGAATTTCTGCTGGCTGACACCACAGGGTAGTCAGTGTAATGAAGTCCAGCACCCTTTTTCATGAAAGACCCAACCATCGTGGTGTATTGCTTTGTGGAATGGCTTTCCTCTTCGGAGTTTGAATCAATTTCAGAGCCTGCCGTGGAGTCTTTCTGGTATTGAATAAAGTTTACACGCTCACCTCGTATGGGAAATGCAACAGAAGATATGTTATGCCAATTATCGGGGAGGTTCGCTAGTGGTAGTCTAAGAGACATAGTGAAGAAAATTGGTGGACATGCTTCTCTAGAGAAACTCTTCGTCAACTCCTCCATCAGACCAGTACTGCGAGATCCAATCATGATAGTAGAATCTTGGGTCAACCGATAGGTAATTTTTTCAACAAGTTTTAGTAATAGATGATCTCTAACCAAACATATTAAATTGTAGATGGATCGCATTTCGATTTCATCTAAAAGTAATCTTCGAAGTTTTCTCTTATAATCTGGATTTTGGAGAGATTGATTGGAAGAACTTCCACCGTCATGCACATCGGATTCAATCCGATCTGGTGAATTCTCGAGGTATTTTCGATCTTGTTCGTCTAGTGGGTCAAGTGTGATGACGAGTCGTACCCCAGATGTCAATACACTCCTCATGCCTCCTTTACCCTGTGAAATATCCGAGAATACGCTCGGAACGAATTCCATACCCTACTCCAGAAATCACGCTTTTTTCAAAGTTCCTGGCTTGATATCTCATCGTAAGCTTGCCACCTTGATGTTCGAATTCGCTAAGCGGCTCAAGTGTAAATATAAGAAAGGTGATTGGTGGAGGGTTCGGTAAAGATGCTAGAGCATGTGCTAAGAACTTTGCTTAAACACTCAACCCCATAATATAGATTCTCCTTCGATCATCATCGGTAGCGGGTCGCAGAGGCCTTGAGGTGGAGCTTGATTTATATCGACGTGATATTATGGTATTACTGTGAAACGTACTTCTTAAGCAAGTACTGGTAATGGATAGAATGATTGGGGTGGGTATTAATCGTGGCAAGGACGTCAACATGTTCAATTGATTATGTGCATCTGATTGGAGCTAGTGGGAGTGACGGACGATCTCGAGGTTAAATTTGGCTGTTCGCGTTGCATGTCAAAACTCGATTGGAAAAGGAAAGGAGAAGTCAATCAGCCTGAGATCAGAAGTTTATTGCTGTCGTCCTCATTAGCCACATATGCATTTCATGGAGCTAGTCCATTTTGAGAGATATTATTTAACACGTGAATAACTCCAGCAACTCGTGATGTCCGCTCGATGACCAATTCATCATAATCTTACTTACGGATCAAGTCATTACTTTCAAGATAAATCATTTCATACACCCAATGCAGGAAGATAAATGAGAATATAATTGATATGACAATAGGAACTCAGTGTCAGATCTAGACTTGTGTTCTCAGCAGCTAACTCTTGCTCCAAAAGTCTATGAAGCGGTGTTGAACTGGACAACCAATGATCGAACATCATTCAATTTCTCAAAGGCCTCTTCCAAATGTGCTGCATTTGCCAATGATCGTTCTCGTTCCTATTCATGTCAGATATTATTTGATATCTTTCAGAGAACTTACCTCAACTCTACTCCAACCAATCATTCCTATAAACAATCTCTCAGGCAAGTTTACACTAACACCACTGAGAAAGTTTGCATCTCCTGATGCCTTCATCCATTCTTCCCATGCTGTTTTGGCAGCAATTTCTTTTGTAGCATCGTCACGAATGTTGACTCTGAAGACATCAATTATTCGCGACGCTAAAATATCTCTTGATGAGATATCAGTCTCATAAAGCTCTGCACCCGCTGGACCGGCAACATGGGGCTTTATGTATGGGAGAAAAGCTCGAAATTCTGTGCTCTGGAGGAACTCGTGGAGATATTTCAGATCCTTCCACTCTATGTGATATCAGCCCGATTTCTCCACCAGTTCACATATTCTAGCTGCGATAGTTCAACGCAACCACCTACGATTACAATTGTAACATCTCATACCGTACTCAATAACCTCATATCACAAGAAACACTTTTGAACTAAGGCTAGTTATTATTTCCTATGTTCGGTTGGAAGAATCGACAAAGTGGATTAGATATTTACAACTTTATTCCATAGTAGGAGAAGTGTGAAGGTACAAGCTATTTCTAGCTCCGTTCATAACACAAAAATCGTGAAGGAGAGGTAAGCACCCGGAATTCCGCCTATATAAGGTTTCATGGTAGAACTGGCAGAACTCCGCTAGGCAAAGCGGGGTATGCGTACGTCCAAAAGCATCTACTGCGCACAACAGCTTGTTTAAAAGCAATATCGGTCTCAAATTATACTCTATTTAGAACACATTGAAGTGGAATTTCCCTCATACAAATAACTGTTGTATTTTTGGTAGGAAGTTCTACTAAGGGCAATGAGTATGGCTACAGTTTTAGTCCACCAGAGCAAGACTCGAAGGAAGGCGTGCGAGGGTTGTGTTAAAACAAACGGAGATGCGATGTATTATTGCCAATATGTTCCAGATGCAGGATAAAGAGCTGTGACTGTATTTATGTAAGTAAAGTGTTGGCTTAATCGTCCCGCAAAAGCCTTACGATGCATGGGAAGCTAAAGTTTTGGATATAGGTAGATAATGTATCACGGAAGAAATCAAAAAGATCACAAGGTCGTACATCAATTCCTGACTCCGCGAAGAGCACGGCAGCGACACAATTCTCCGCTAGCCCACATGAAGTTTGCCTCGATTTTCAACCCCAAGATAATACCGACATACCAGTTTTGGACCCCCAAAGTCAGCAGCTTGGCCGGGATCTCACACCGTGGAGCTCCGTCACTATCACATCTTTACCACCTGATGTATTACATCCAAACGCCAATCTAATCACATCACTTAATCCGCATACCCTATCTATCCCCACTGATACATTTCCATCGCCCTACTTATCCCTCCAATATTCTCTCCACACCACACTAAGCTCCACTCAGGCCACTTATCTTGTGACTCAACTAAAGTCATTCCTCCCAACTTTCGCCCTCCATTCTCACAATTCCTTTATTCACCCACTTAGTTTCCGCAACGCTGATCTACCTCTTTCCGCATCATATACCGACGCTCTTTCTATCGCGCACTTCACACTCCTAAATCTCCTCAAGCCTTCTCTATCCTCGATTCTAAACTATTCTGCCTCATCTCCTCGAGCAAAAAAGATAATTGGGACACTCATGATTGGCTTTCTGCAGTCCAAGTCTTCATTCTTTGCCAGACCATACGTCTTTGGTCTTCGAATGAAAGAGAGAATTTAAATGCTGAGAGGCATATTCCTTTGATGGTGCAATGGACAAATCAACTACAAATCGAGTATATAGGATTACTAGCACAAGGTATAGAGTTAGGATTCCCGATAAGCAACAGTGAAAGGGTGAGATGCATGGTTATCACAGGCGATGGGTACTTATGGAAAGTATCAGACGAACTGTTATGATAAGTTTCATGTTACAATGCTTGTATGGCGGAGTTAAAGATGGTTATATAGGGCGGCTATTGCCTATTTTGTTTTGGATTATCTGTTAGTCCTAGTTTGGGGCGAGTATTGGAAGCTTTGGGTAAAAGATTGATGATGTTCAAGGTGAATGGAAAGATCAATCGCTATTCATGTTTAATTTGGCGAGGTTTATACATATGAGTATTGGAGTGAAGATTGAAAACTTGGGATAATGGGAGAAGGTGAGATGGAACAGGAGATTTATGAAAGGATGTTGTTAGTAGCGTGTCCTAGAACCGGGGCGTCTGAAAGGTGGGGAATGGAGATTGAGATGGTGAATGAAGAAGCGTTGGGGGTTTTGAGATAGGTACACACCTTTATTGGAATAGCTCGGATAATTCTTTATTAAAGTCAATGATATAGTTGCGTCTTAAACCGGTTTGGTTTGAAGAGGCGATATTGTTGGTAAGCTAGTATCTTTTTGCTCAGCTATGATTACTATAGCACTAATAGCACATGAAACAAGTACCTGATATTCCATTTATGAATACAACTTAGAAACTATAAAGCAATTCTCAATATGAAACGTAAATATAGTTACTAATAGCACTAAATGTTCCTACAAATTATAAAAAAGGGACGTCTCATACCTCTTTGTTTTATAAAATTAACATTCCTCTCTGCAAATTAACAACCTACCTATTCTGGAATTAACTTCCCCTTTTAAAAACTATCTTTAGACATATGCCCAGAACCTCACACTGCACCTTATGATCTTTAGCAACTTCAAAAGTACCCTAGCTTCATCCACTCTATACAATCTCGTCGCATATTCCCCGATGACGACGTAGGGAAGGAATTAAAACGCGCATTATCCTGTCCGACCTCGTGCCTGTTGTTGTAATCACCTTTCCAATTACTGTTTTGTACTTTAGACTTTATTAGATGAATTGCTCAACACTCACTTAAAGCCTAAATGCATATTAAACCCGGCTCTTTAATAAAAAATCTCTTTTTCATTCCTGTTTTCTTTCTAACCTCCCCTCTTCCACTCTCATATCATCCTTCCTACCTATTGTTACCCACGAATCCGTTTTTCTACCTACCTCGTCCCTTCCATCTCATCTACCTACCCTACTGCCCAACTCCTCTGATTACCTTCACACATTCCCATCAACAAAATACCACACACTGCATTTCCTACCTCATAAAACTCCCTTCATGATTCATCCCACTCCATTTCTCACCCATTTTTCCTAAATACCAATCATACCATATAAAACTTCGGCTAATCATAATAAATCTACTTCAATCCTTCCACACCACCCCATCTATCCCCAAAAGTAATGCAATGATAAAATACATACTCCCTGCAAAATTCCTCCGGAGCCTATTTGAAAATCACTAAAGCCCTCTTACTCCTAACCACTAATGTAAGATACAAATCCATATAACTCAACAATCCTGCACTCCAACCCCTCTTCAAGCTCCGCGGAATAATCCACCAAAATTTCTATAATATCCTTATTTACATTTTATATCAATAAGGAGATATATACCAAGGTGTACATGGTATCAGGGCTCCGAACATTGTATTCGCTTTCATTTTATTTAGTTAGTGAGTGCAGCCTCGAATTTTCTTACTCATTCCATCAATCTAATCTCGACATTTTTTCCTTCCCCTGACCTTTTTTTACGCTAGTGCATGATTTGATATAATACTTATCTGATGTTTTCAGAGAAAATAATCATATTCATATCAAGATTGAACACTCATATATCTTTCTAGCAATAGATTTTGGACATTGGTAAATAATGTGGATATATTACACGATAAATATGTACTACAAGAAACATTCAAAATATCCATAACCTTACATCCCCTTCATCAATATCCATAAAACATTAAGCGTTCTCACATTTTTCCAACGCAGCATTAAAAATTTGTACGAACCTCCATACATCCTCATACGTATTATACAACGGTACAGGTGCCACACGAATAACATCTGGTTTTCTCTTGTCGGCTACAATACCCGCTTCTTCTAACATATCGGAGAGCGTTTCTAAGCGTCCGGGTTTTAATAGGACGCTTAGTTGAGTTCCTCTTGCTGAAGGATCAGAGGGGGTAATGATGCGGAAAGCGGGGTTTTTGTTGGAGGGATTGGAGGTTAGGAGAAGATGTTCGAGGTAGGCGGTTAGGTGGAGGGTTTTTTGACTTATTTCTTCCATGGAGGTTTGGTTGAAAATGGAAAGGGCAGCGCAAAGAGAGGTGAGATCTACGACTGAGGGATTGCTGACTTGGTAACCGGAGGCACCAGGCGATGGACGGAATTCTGTGGTATTGTTAATACTCATCCAAAAGCATAAGATGGGGATACTTACTGTTATTCATCAAAAATCGACAACTTTGATCACCACCATACCATCCCATTAATCTATGCCTATATTTTGGTTTTTCCTCTCCTTCACTATAATCCACCTCTCCATGTCTCTCATGAATAAATGCACCTGCAATACTTCCCGGGCCGGCATTCATATATTTATACGTGCACCAAACTGCAAAATCGACATTCCAATCATGAAGTTGTAATGGTACATTTCCAGCCGCATGTGCCAAATCCCATCCTACTATTAAACCCTTAGATTGAGCATATGCGGTAATAGTCTTGATATCGAAAAGTTGACCCGTGTAATATTGGATACCAGGTAGAAGGACAAGTGCAGTCGTGGAAGCATGTTCGTCGATAGTACGGAGGATTTTCTCGGTAGATATTTCGTAACTTCCTTCTTCCGGTCCTATCATCACCATAGCTTCTTCGGGATTATATCCATGACCTCGAATTTGTGATTCGATGGCATAGTGATCACTTGGGAATGCTTTCCATTCCATGATAATCTTGTTTTTTTCAGGAGTAGGCGTGTAGAAAGAAGCCATTAACAGATGTAAATTCGTAGTTAAAGTACCCATCATAGCTACCTCGGAAGCTCTAGCTCCAACAATTGGTGCACATTGTTTGGAAGCATGTTCGGCAAGTAATTGCCATTGTGTTAAAGGAGAATCTTCCAAATCGCGGAAATGTCCATGAACACCAATTGATGACCATGTATCTAAATGGGCTTGAAGATAATCTTTCACGCATTTAGGTTGGAGACCTAAACTATTTCCACAGAAATATATTGAAGATTCATCGGAAAGACCTGGTTGATGATAAGTTTATATTCTTAAATCATGTGATGGCGGGGTAAATGTTGGAAAAGTGCAAACGAACCTGGTTTCTCCAACTTGGTTGCTTTGATGTTGGCTTTTGATGGAATAATGAATTGATCGCGAAATCTTCGCATATGATCTTTTGCATCAAGTGATTGAGCATATTCAAGCGTATTTGCTTTTGATGAAAATGTTGGCCTTTCAACATTTGATGGTTGTTCTTCTTTTGCTATGGAACCCATTTTGATGAGATGTGGCAAATCTTGTGATGGTGGTAATATGATGTCGATGATGTCGATGATGTCGATGATGATGATGATGATGATGATGAGATGATGGATATGCAACGACTACTCAATACTTCCTTCTGAAGAATACTTTGCGACACAATTGATCAGAGAAAATGAGATGGATGAATGTGATTTAATTTCAAAGTCAACTTTCATCACTTTGTATGCGCTCCCACTCTTCAAACTTTCATGAAGTCATGATGTTATCATCCGCGTTCCGTCGTCCGCTTCCGTCGGATACGGAAGCGGATGAATTTCACTTTCTCCTCCTATTCTTACGCGATAATAATTATGCGCACAGTATCACTGTTTTTTGAATGAATGGATACCGGTTTGAGGAATGTCCGAAGCGGTATTCCTTGTTGCCGTAAAGTAAATAAAATGTACGGACTTTATGATTATGAGATGGAAGTAAGAAAGTATTACTAGTATCTTCGTTTCCAGTCGAGTCTATAGAGTTTCTTACTAGTCCTTCCATCTTCATCCCGATCTTTCATGCAAAAGCAACAGTCGAAATCCCAATATAACAAAAATAGTTATTGAGATACCATTCTTTAATTTTGTATTACATATATTCATCATCATCATGCTCGGTCCTTTGAATATCAATCTCTCCGAATATGGGGTTTCAACAAAAAATGGATTTCTCCCAAATATTAATCCTCTTCCACGATTGATTGAATATTCCCAATGGGAAGATCTAGTCGATGAAATTCCATTTTTAATCAAAGAAGGATTATTCAGACAAAATGCAGATGCATTACCGATATTAGATACTTCGAATTTACAAGAGGAAGATGAATGGCGAAGAGCCTACCATTTATTATCTTTCATGACCCATTCATATATCTGGGGTGGAAAACTTCCATCAGAGGTAAATCCACATCCCAAATCAAAACATTTCTATGCTAATTGACCCAGATATTACCGCCTCAAATATCCAAACCCTTCCTAGTCGTATCATCTCATTTAGGTCTCCCACCAACCGCCACATATGCCGCCCTTAACCTTTGGAACTTCACCAGTACATCTCCCACACAAGATCTAACCGATCTAGACCATTTATTCTGTCAACATACCTTCACCAATACACCCGATGAATCCTGGTTTTATCTCGTATCCGTGGCTATCGAAGCTCGAGGCGCGGAAGTCATTCCTCTTATGATTAAAGCAATGAATGCTATTCGAGCAGACGAGCCATCCATCTTAATATCATGTTTAGAAAAGTTTTCGACCTGTATACATGATTGTGGTATTCTTCTTCAACGGATGTATGAGCGATGCGATCCAGAGGTCTTCTATCACGTCATTCGACCATTTTTAGCAGGGAGCAAAAATATGGCTGCGGCTGGATTACCTAGAGGTGTGTTTTATGATGAGGGAGAGGGGAAGGGTGAATGGAGACAGTATAGTGGAGGAAGTAATGCTCAGAGTAGTTTGATACAATTCTGGGATGCAGTATTGGGTGTTAAACATGTACCTACTCGGACTATGGGGAAATCACAAAGTGAAGTTGTGCCACCGAAGAAAGGTGGTCATGGTTACCTAGATGTATGTTCTTACTCTCATCTTCATCTCCCTTTCACACCACATCATCAATCCCACTAACATCATCACCCCAGGAAATGCGCAATTACATGCCCGGAACCCACCGTTCCTTCCTCCAATACATCGCCACCAACTCTCCCATCCACACCTACATCCACGAAACCGCCTGTTCAACCGAAGCAAGTCAAGCCTACAACCAAGCCGTAGAAACCCTAACCAGTTTCCGCGACATCCACATACAAATCGTTACTCGATATATAATTATGCCATCACGAAAAGCCATGGCTCAAGGTACGGAAAAGGAAAATGCGGGGTTGAATTTGGCGGTTGCGACGACGAGGAAGGGAGGGAAGGATTTTAGGGGAACGGGGGGGACACAGTTGATTCCGTTTTTGAAACAGAGTCGAGATGAGACGAGGGAGATGGTTGTGGATGTTGTGGGGAGTCCGTAGATATTGGTGGTGGAGGTTGAGGGGAGGATGGAAATATGGAGATTATGTTGTATATATGGGATTAGGGATTGGAATGGGGATGGAATGGGGATGGAATGAAATGGTGTTTAGACGAATTACGATAGAGCTACATAATAATACCCTTATAAGATTTGGAAGCACAAAGTTCATGAATATCTATGTATATTGCTGTTGTGTGAAGATATGAGTTTTGGATTCAATCAATCCGTTGCTCAGTTACATTCTTTCTCATTGCTTCATGGATATCCACATACGGACATACACGAGCTACAGTCCATAAAGTCTGTATGAGCTATGATAGAGCTAATAATAGTATAATGCCCCTCAGCTATGAAATTTTGAGGTAAAAAGATTTAGAATGTTATTGAATATGCTTTGACTTGATTTAATATCCTACCTATCTAGTAATTAACTAGCTAGAAAAGATAATGAGAGATCTGATACAGGTCCTGGCTTTCACAGATCTTGGTTTGTGATTATTATAATAAGTCTATATTCATCTGGACACACGCAAAGATATATATATCGGGTATACTTATATTTATATTAAAATAGCTTTAAATTTGATCAATGCTTCAATGCTTCAGCCCTTCTCGATTCCACCAGTCATATTCCTTTCCTATTGAGTTATTATATTTATAAATACCTATCTCTACCTAGGTATATATAGATAGATGGATACATATACATATGTAGATCTGATCTATAATCATCTATTAACACTACCTATATATGTTTATACTGAGCCATTGAACCTCTATGTAAATCCTATAACCGTAAATTCAATTGCGCATTAAACATTTCATACTCATCAACCTCACCAACCTTACCAACCCTTTAAACTCCATCAAACTCCATCATCTATCATCCATCAACCCTCTAATTAAAAAGTACTTTATCTCTAAACCCAAACCCAATTTTCTATTCTATCCATTCCATCTATTCTCTCTCATCATATCCAATTCCATCAAACTTATACATACCCAGTAATTAATTCCTTAAATTCGAATATTTTGATATCTAATAATCTGCTAATTAGCCATCAAGCTCATCAAGCTCAACCCCTTCCATCTCAACCCCTCCCATCTCATTCCCATCTCCCTACCATCATCAACCCCCTCAACCTCACTATACATAAACCCCATCCATCTACTTCACATTTTCCCTTTTCCATCTCCATCCCCATCTCATCCCCTTCCATCCCACCCCCCTCCCCAAATCACAAAACATTTCATCTTTATATATATATATATTTTTCCCCCATTTAATTACATATCTCTTTACATCTCTCTATTCTATCTATCTCTTAATATAATTTCAGAATCTTTGTATTTATTTTTTGTATATATATATATATATATCTTATCAATTGATATTATATTGATAGTAGAGTTTGGATTTTGAGATTTGAAATTTGAGATTTGATATATATGACTTGTGTACTGTGTTACTATATCACTATCCTATAGCAAAGACATTCTATATCCATCAAATTCATCATCATTTTTTATATATAATGACATACAACTAACACTCTACGCACCTATCTATCTACCAACAGAACATCAACCCTTCCTTCACCACTAACCCAAATTTACAACTTACTCCCCACCTTCCCTCCCTCACCCTCCTCCTTTCCCTCCCCCTCCTCACCCTCCCCCTTAACCACAACAACCAATTTCCCAAACTGACTCCCCACCTTCATCATCCCAAATAACTCATCAATCTCGCTCAAATTATCAATTCCTTTCACCACTCTCGAAATAACCGGTTTAATCTTCCGTTCATTAACAAAGTTAATCATTTCTTTGAATTCTTTTCTCGATCCCATGGTTGATCCTTTGAGTTCGAGATTCATGAGGTTGGCTGACATGGACCAGTCCATTTTGGGGGAGAGAGTCATGCCGTATTGGACTATTGTGCCGCCGAGCTGTGGAGGGGGAGAGGGAGGGTGTTAGTTTATTGGGTGTGTATGTGGGTGGGTATGGGGATGAGGATGGTGATAGAGATGATGATGAAAATAAATATGTAGAGAGGTAACTGCCCAGCTCAGAAGAAAAATGAAAAATAAACGAAAGAAAACAACACACCTTCAACAACTTCGTAGCTCTCCTAACAATATCACCTCCCGCCCCATCAATAATCAAATCCAACTTCCCCTTCCCAAACCCCTTTAACAAACCTTTTAATTCCTTCTCCCACCCGTCACTCTTATAACTAACACCCCCCTTCGCTCCTAACACTTTCGCCTTTTCAATCTTCTCAACATCACCACTAGTAACAAAAACATTACTCCCCAACGCCACTGCAAAAAGCAAAACACTCAACGCCACACCACCCCCAATCCCCGTGATCAAAATATTCTTCCCTGTCCCAATATTCCCCTCTCCGCCTTTAACAACCAAGGCCCTCCAAGCCGTCAATCCCACCAACGGCAAAGCCGCCGCTTCCACATCCGACAAATGCGACGGAGCCTCTTCTACCTCCTCCTGCTCAATAACTACCTCTTCAATCAACGTTCCAATAGGAACACTACTCGTCCCACCTAAAATCTTATACCCATCTACATCCTCGGGACCGAACGGATCATCTCTCCATCCGCGGCCGGGAGTAAGAATGACGCGTTTCCCGAGCCATTTTTCATCGGCTTTACTGCCGATCTGGGAGACGATACCGCAGGCATCGGCTAGGAGGGGAGTGGTAAAGGATGGAGATGGATAGAGATGTTGGCGGAGAAATAGATCCCGGTGATTGAGTGCCGCGGTGTGGATTTGGATGAGTAGGGAAGTGGGGGTTAGCGGGGGGGTGGGATGGTTGGTGAGGTTCAGACTGTGGGCGCGTGGGAGGTTAGTTTGTTGGTTTACGCAATTCCGTGCCTACCTATTAGATTGGATGTTTTACGAATAGGTATCAATTGTGGAGAGAAGGATGGGATACCGGTGGATGGTGGAATGGTCATGGATGAAGGGGAGATAGGATGGATGGAAGAGAATTGAAGAGAAATGAAATGAAACCCACGGGTAGTAAACCTGACCCGGTTTTCCCCCCTCTATCTTTTGCATCGTTATCGCCTTGGGCATGATGAATGATGACGAATCCCTAATAATTCCGAAGATATACTCGTTAGCCGCCGCTATGTAAGATTAATCAATATTGAGTTCGTACTCACTGCTAAGTGCTCAGTGCAGTGCTGCAAGCTTGCGGTTCAGGATCAATAGTAGATGTAAGACTGAGTACCGGCCGGTATACTCAGTCAGCAATAACGCAATAGACGACAGACAATAAGATAAGGTTATCGGGAATATATTATCAGGCAAGGCTATCTTCATCTGATTTTGATATGAAGCATGAAGCTAGACTGTGGAGGATCTAGTGAGAAGATACTGTAGGCAGATTTGATAAGCCTTGTGCAGTGTGCAGACAGCCGCCATTGCATTGTTTAAGGTTCTATCCATGTTCTATGTTCTACCATGTAGTTCCATATAATGATGCATCCATATTGGTCCATTCATATTCATATTCATATTCATCCTATGGCCGGTTCCATATAATAGCCCACTTATATAAGCGCCCCACTATTGCCCGCCCGGCCGCCCTTAGTGAAGCCTCGGGCTCGGCTAATCTATCTTATCCTTTGTATGGGTGGGTACCTACTTGATGATAGCGGGAGTAGGTAGGGAGTGGGTGAAGTGGGTATAGTGGGTGAGAACCTAGACCTCAAAAGGGTACTTCCGCCAATCTTTGACATATGCATACACACCAGGTTTAACCTTACGTATTTTATACCAGGGGTGATTCAAGGATTGCAAATTTATTCTTTGTATATCGCAATATCATTTATATCTATTGATTGAATAGTCGGCTGAAGATCTTTCCGCCGACGGCAGGACCCTTCTTTCTCAAGGCCGGCCCTACGGTGTCTTCTCCATTCAAAGACCATTAGACTTTTGACTCCAGTCAATTAATTCAGTTTACTATTAGACAGGTGGGGGGGTGGGGACTCCGTGCATCTCTCAAACTCCTTTCCTCTTCAAACCAACCTCCTTCCAAGCTATGCCCTATTCCAAATAAATAAAGAAAACTAAACGCTCTAAGCCCTAAACGGTATAAACGCACCACACCAAACGCTGCACAAAAATACGACATGCGACATGCGACATGCGACGCCGACATGTGCCATGCTATGCCATGCCACGCCACGCCACGTTAAAAACCATGAATGCATATGTCAAGACAAGACCAAAAACCATGAATGCACATGTCAAGAAACTGTCAAATCCATCAAATCCATCAGTCAGGCAGACAAAACAAACCTTCTCTCGCAGACACCCACCCACCACAGATAAAATAAAAATCCCACGCTCCACTTCCGCACATGCCAACCCAGGGAACCACACCCTATTACCTAGGTAAGTGAGTGGATAGCCTTACAAAGATAAACTTTTCTGAGCAGCAAACGGCACGAGTACAGGACAGTACAGTACGGTAAGCACAAGCAACCGCCTGTACGGAGTAATCCACCGTGTCAATCGGCGGGTATCGGAGACCAGGATTATGGTAGAGTAAGTAGTAAGGAATAAAACTCGCGAGTCGAGTCGTTCGTTCGTAAGGAAGAAAGGAATGCTAAATCTACTAGACTCCTTCGCATCGAAGATCCATATTTTCACTGCGTAATCATAATCTAATAGGTATCCATTCCCTTTCTCCGAATGAAGATTTTGGGCGTGAGACATACATATGGTTACATTTCTTCTGTTATTGTTAGGGTAGGGTTACACTCATACTACACTAGTATATTACACTCACATTTGCATTTACACCGTACCTACACGAATGGCATATGTATGTACGTTTAGTTTCATGCAGATGGAAACACATGTCACACATACCCACCTACCTTGTCGATTATGTATTAGTGTGTCGAGTGAGAGTAGGAACAGAGAAATCAGGGGTTAAAAGTTTAAATTGTTCATTCCGACTAGATTTTCAGGATACCTAGGACCTAGGTACGGTCCGTAGATAGGGTAGATACTAGAGACTAAATAGGTTCACAATATTTATCTACAAGGAGCAAGGAGGAAGAATTGGTGTATCTAGCTAGCTAGAAACTAGATAAGATAGTCCTAGAATCGAGATGCCTAAGGTACCTAGGTAGATAAAGTAAAGCGTTCCACAATAACCTTATTCCTCTCTCCCGCCTAAACTGCGTGCGTACCTACTCATCCTCCACATATTACTGGTAAGGATACGGAGTGCATACATGCAAAAACTTCATCGTCTTCTCTTCTTCCAAATTCAACGTACGGAGTATCTAATCATAACCAACTCCGTAGATCTACATTAACCTACTCCTCAGGACTTACGACTTCAGCATACGCAACCAGAACCACAAGCCATCCCTACAGTAAAGTAAGACTCAACCAAGTATCTAAATATCCAAGCATCAAATGTCAAGTATCAACATAGGAAAAAGGTATCGAGAATGTAGATCCCTATATCGGAGAATTCTCCCGTCTCCATCCACCTCATCTCATCTCATCTCATCTCAATCTGAAAATCTAAAATCTTAGCCCAGAACAAAACAAACAGAGCAACGATACGCGTCCCCGTCCCGTTCCGTCCCATCCCATCCTATACTATACCGTAATATCTTGCAAATTTGCATCATAGTTTCATACTATCATACTATCGTACACCAGTAATAACTCAAATCTAGAACAGGCAAGTACCCATAAATTTAAATCTGTCTAATTTTTAGGTCGTGTCAAAATGTCAATCCTAAAGCCTAAAGCCTAAAGCCTAATTGCTATATCCTTATATCCCCATCCGAACAATCAATCCCTACCCGCTCAACAAAATAAACTTTCACGCCTCCAAGCCTCCAAGCCCCCAATCCAAGCCCTCAGGCCCCCAATCCAAGCCCTCAGGCCCTCAAACCAAGCCCTCAAACCCCCAAACCCCCAACAGCCAGCCAAGCCACCAAGCCACCAAGCCTCCAAGCCTCAAGCCACTCAGCTGATAATCTCAAACAACTCCGAATCTAGTCCTCTAGTCTTCTTCTCTATCCGGAAACAAAATAAGGTTAACTACGCCAAGCTCCCTGCCAAGTTTTCCAATAACCTCACGCCAAGCACTGCCAAGTTTGAAGTTGCAAGATTTACAAAGATTTACAAAGATTTACAAAGATTTACAAAGATTTACAAAGATTAACATTTACATATTTAGGAGAATACGAAGATCCAAGACCAGAAGCACTCGCAAGCAGCTCTCGGTCCGCACTTTTCTTTAGTGTCTAACTTTATTTTATTGCTAGAATTGCCAGAATTGCTACATTGGTACGGACTTGGTACGTACTTAGGGTTTCTTGGGTATCTTGGTATCGTATCATTGAAGCTGATTCTTCAGCCTCTAGTCTCTAGTCTCTAGTCTCTAGTCTCTAGCCTTCTATTCCGTCCTCCCACTACGGTACTACCCCAGGTCCCAGTACATCACAGACCTCATCCAATATGAATCTGATCTAGGATTACAAACCGGGAGCGCAAGGAAAAGAACAAAACAGAACAGAACTGCAAAGTACCGGATACCTAAACATCATCTAAGCTTTCATAGTTTATACTATACATACCAACCATACTAGGCAACCTAGCTATAGCTAGCTACTCCGTACAGTCCGACGAAAGAAAAGCAGCGCAAATCGCGGGTTTTCGATGTGATATTACTACACCTACCTATAGCTAGCCCATGCAATTAATGCCCATCATACCATACCATACTGCGTAGACTGACTGACTAGACTAGACTAGACTGAACAAACACAAAATCAGCCCCACGCGAGGACTTCCCACTTTCGTTATAGTATGTGATGATGATATACAGATACAGATAGAGTAGTACTAGTATTATTAGTATAGTAGTACCTACCTAGTACCTAGCCTAGGGAGCAAAAAAAAACCAAAAAAATCAAATGCGAAAGAAGGTTAAAAAAAATTGAAGGCTGAGCTAGGATTATAATAGTTGTACTGTACTGTACTCCGTACTCGTATATACGCACTGTACTACCTATCTACCACAAGGAGCAAGTTTACTATCTTACTACAGCATCTTATCGATTACCGATCCGACACGATACTACTACTACTACTACTACTACACAATTCTAAAAGCTAGAGCTAGAGCTAGCTGAAGATTTGGAATTGGAATTGAACGGGGATTATTTGGAATAAACTCATGATATGCATATGGTTATGGTTATGGTTATGGTTATGGTGTGATTGATTGATTGATTGATGATATACAGGTAGCTGGTGATGACATATTAGGTAGTGATGATTTACGATGATGTTATAATGATGACAACATATCATATCATATTATATTATATTTACAAATGAATCAATGAATTAATTACACATGATGAATTAACCTTACATGCATGTGAAAGACCTGATATCCTTTTCCCTGCCAAAAATCAAATCATAGAAAAGATGTTCATGACAAAATGGCTAAATGGTAGGTAAGTCTTACTTAGATTTTAATATCAAATACCTATCTATGCATACCGACAGACTACGAAGCTACAAGGCAACCAATCAATACACCCCCAAAAATGCAAAGCTTACTCTTCTCTCTATCATCTTCTTCTTTTTCCGCCCCCACCACCATCAGTATCAGCTCTTCTCTTCTTACCCTCCTTCCTCCAATATTCCTGTTTTTCCTTCTTCTCCCTCTCACCCCTCTTTTCCTCATTTTCCGCCACCTTTTTCCGATACACCTCTCTCCTCTTCTCATTTGCTACTTTCCTCTTCGCCACCTTATCATTACGGAGCGTCATCAACTTTTGCATCAAATCTCGAGCTTTCTTTTCTTCTCCTCCTACTACCACTGCTCTCTTTTGCATGTACGTAGGTTTACTCTGTTTCTTCATTTGTACAATTTGACTTTTGTAAGGAAGTTCTGCTGCCAAGGCACGTGGAACTCGTAAAGGATTGAAATGTCGAGTTACTCTTTCCACCGGTTTGTAGTGACTATTTTTTTGATCGGGGGTCGGCAGATTTTGATCACGTCGAACTTCCCCGGTCAATCGCATACCTCCCCATCCGATGAGGTTGGTGACCGGATTATAGAACCGATGAGGTTTAATCGGGTACCAAGCTCGTAAGAAGACGATATCACTCATGAGGATCTTATCTTCAAATGTAGCACGGAAATAACCTTCCGGCTTGGCCAATGCACGCTTAATTTGACCTCTAATACCAGAGACTGTCTTGATAGAAGCTCCCTCAAACTTGGCAATTTCCAATGAGGTATTGAACATGTCTTTAATGAAAGCAGTATTCTTGTAAATTTTGTATGGTGTACCAGTAAGCTTGAGTTTTTTGACGGTCTCGGAAGTTTCATCAACTGTCATGACAGTTCCGGTAGCCGCAATCCGGAAACCAGGGTTCTTATTGGAGAATGATTGATAACAGGAAAATCCAGTATTGGGTGCAATGAATGGTCCATAAAATGTACCAAAACAATGCATATGCTCTGGAGTATACTTGAGCATACGATTTCGCGTTCGATTGTCCGAAGTACTGTAAATTGGTAGAGTTTGAAATCGTCTCCATCCAAGAGAAATGATGAGGGGATCATTGGTTTTAAGAATTTTCTTATGCCATCTGTGTCTCTTGATTTTGACCTGTACAAATCCAAAACGGTCCTCGGTTGGTGTTAAACCTCCAACGATGATCGGCATTCGTGGACTAAATCGAGTAACGAACTCAGATGCGACTCCTTCGATAACAATCTTCGCATACATTCCAGCGCGATAACCTTCAACATTGATTCTTTGACTTTCGTCAAGATTCTCGAATTCGGCCTTATTGATATCGAGTTGTTTTTGAATTTGTGCTTTCTGTGCATCATACCATTCATCCTCACCAAATTCGTCATCTCCACCAGCTTCTCTCCTTGCATTTGCTTTATCATTGTTGAATCCATCTCTGTCTTCCTCTTCGAATCGCAATTTGAGCTCCTCTTTCCTCCTGGCATTCTTCTCTCGCTCGGCATCAATATCTTCAGGTTCATCTGCTTTGTGCTCTTCACCAGTTTCTAAATCCTTAAACTCTCCATCACCCTCATCATCTTCATCTTCCTCATCTTCATCATCATCACTACCACTGCCGTTACCCTTGCCCTTCAATAAATCAGCTGTCGCAAATCTTTTTCGAAGGGCTTCAATATTATCCTCCACAGACCATTTTGATTCCAACTTCTCATAATCAAGGAATGGAATTGCTCGGTCATCCATGATTGCATCTTCATCTTCTCTACCAGTCTTTTTAAAGAACTCATCTTCATCTTCAGATTGTTCAATATCCTCCTCTTCCTCTTCAATCTCTCCTCTCCATCTTTGAAGTACTTCTGTAGGTGTGAGCGATTCATCATACATAAGTTTCGCTAGATCTGCAGTTCGGTATGATTTTCTTTGTCCATGAAGCTTACGCGCAGTTTCCAACATATTTTGTTTCCAACGAGCTGCTCCATCTTCATCATCTGAATCTTCATCTGAATCGTCTTCGTCATCATCCAAGTCTTCACCAGATATAGAACCAAGATCCGAATCACTATCAGCGAATTCAATATCACCAGCATCCTCATCCTTATCTTTCTTAAATGCCTTTCCTAATTTGTCTTCGGTAATCTCTGCTTCATCACCGGAATCAAATTCTTCATCACTGGCAACATCTCCAAAATCTTCATTATCCGAATCTTGGTCTTTGCTGACAAATCTTGCGGATCTTTGATGTTTTCTTCCCGAGTCTTCTTCCTGAGGAATTGACTTGATAGTCTCACCGTTACTGAATAACCTCACACCCTCTTCAGTTTCACCTAAAAGTCTTCTTTCCCCTTGCAAACCAACAATCATCTCTTCTCCTTCTCCACGTTCTTCATCCTCGGCATCCGCGTCAAAATTAAATCCCTTGTCACGGGTGATCCAGATAGTGTCTCCATCAATTTTCAACCCACTTTTATCTGACATGGGTGCATGAAGTTTCTTTTCCTTCTCGTTTAAACGTCGCCTGCCAGTTTTTCCTGACGCTTTGGCAATTGCTGCGTCCATAAATGGCGTAGGACAAGGATCAGGTAATGCCTCCATAGCAGAGACTGAAAAATCCCCAAGCCCAGGTATATGAACCCTTTGACCCTGTGCGGCAAAATTTGTTCCTCGTAAGTATCCAGATAACACAACCGTCCGATCGCACTTCTCGTCTTCCTCAATCTTCGTAGGATGAGTGATATCCCTGAAACTATCGATAATAGTATAAGGATGTGTATTGCGCCAAATCAAAGGTCGAGGATTCTTCATGACGGAAATAAATCTTGACAAATTATGAATTTCCCGATCCGGGTAACGTCCATTGATAACTCCAGAGAGGTAGAATAGATGGGCACCCTGGTATAATTCGCTCCAAAATCGATTCTTGAGTCGTTTTTTCGCATCCTTCAAAGTTTGTGGTTTCTTGAAGAGATCAAGATGTGTGAGAATTCCAAAAACATTACCCGGCATACCACTTGAAGATAAAATGTTCAAAAACTCCATAGTCTCCATCTCAAACCCGAAATTGCCATCAATCATTAATAATACAATATCTGCCACCTTTGACATATCCACCATAGCCTCGAGTTCGTTCGGACATTCTACAAATGTAAGTCTTTGACGTTTCGACGTAACAACCGTAATTGGTCCTTGAGGATCTGATAGTGTTTCTTTCGCATATCGTTTGACTAAGGATTTGAGTAAAGTCGTCTTTCCAACACCTGGTGGTCCAACAATTGTAACAAGTCGTGGCGGCGGTTCTTCTGGCAATCGATCAATTTGAGGAACATGAAGACGTCTTTCTTTGATCTGCGAAAGTTAATAAGCTGGCGCATTGAATTCTAAATACTTGAACATACATCATGCGATCGTGCAGCACTCTTTGCCAATCTTCCTGGGTTTGCGAAACTGAATGCTTTTGGATTTCGGTCTGTTGGTAAGGTTAGCATACGAAAAGGGCCAATTGAGATAGTAATTACTAACCTCCAGTCTGCTTCTTCTTCTCTTTAGGCGCCCTATGAGGCCTATTCTTTTGTTCCTCCATGACGAATTAGTTGAAGTAGCTGGAAAAACTAACTTCGTAATGCGCCGACAATATCGAAATTCTTCTCCAGATCCAAAATAATTTTTTTTAGCCTTGCCCATCGGAAAATTCAGCACCGATCATAGAGGCTAAGCCATTAATAGTTAGATCCAAGCAGAGATACACATTCTTATCACTTATCAAATTACAAGGATGATAAATTCATGGTTTTGATTGAGATTCTTATAATCATATAACAGCTATATTCAATAGACTATTCAATAGACTAGCAACAGCTAGCTGCTGCTAGCCTGGCTAGATATACAGAAGAAATAATTAGATCTTGATGAAACGATGAAGAGAAGACGACTTGCACATTCATTCTTGCGGCAAACGATTGATCTGACAGTCTATATTCATCTATACCTCTATATATTAGTTCTATTCTATTCATAATTACCCATCTAATCATATTACCCATATCTTTCATCAGTATGTACAGTTCTAAACCTCTATATCCCAAATGCAACCTTCAAAACTTCAATCTTTTATACCTTTTGCTTCCAGCATCCCCAAGTCAGCGTCATTAGGATTTTACAACCACCGGCTACCCAGAGCATAGGGCTGACGCTCTTAGTAATCTTGCTCACCCAACCACCAACAATCGCGCCTAGGAGTGTCAAGGTAAAAGCAATTGCTCGTCGATTTCTCTTTACGTTTGCTGACGGGCGAGCAAAGAGAGCCGGGTCGGATAAGAGATCGCAAAGAAGTGAGGTGATGACGATGGTAGGAACTTCTCCCACGCCCAAAAGGCGGGATGAGACGATTTGGCCTGCTGCTTCTGTGAAAGTGTTAAAAGTGGGGTCGAGGTGGATGGATTTTATGGAAAAGGGTTCTTGAGATTCTAGGAAATGCAACAATTGATAGAAAGTTGCAAGAGCACGAAAATCGCGACGAAGGAAAAGAGCAAGATAAATTTGACGTACGGAAACTCAACAAAGCAATTGCAGCAATTTGATTCCAATAATTAATTAGTCCCGCTGGTACCGCGCCTTCAATCACACCGCCTTGAACTAAACTGGCTGCCAGCAAGATACAACAACTCTGGAGGAGATACGAAGCGACGAGCGTACTTCGTTGAAGCGGGTTAAGGAAGCGGTGGAATCGCGAGAAGACGAAGGAACCAAAGCAGAAGAAACCGATGGAGATGAGTGATCGTGCCCAACCAAAAGGTCGGTTGTTTTGTCCTGATGCGCCAAGAGCTAAGAAGATTGTGTTACCTATACAAAATGATTAGACTTCTGAACTAACAAATGGTGAATCGTCGTGAATTTTGTTGAATGTTGTTGAATGTTGTTGAATGTTGAATTGAACTGCCGGCGGAAAAGAATGGACAAGTGAAGGTAAGAGTGGTGTGATGGGGTAAGAAAGTAAGAATTTGATCTCGTGATGGATGACTTACCAGTTTGCATAGAAACGAAGGTCTTGAAGGCTATAATCATTCAATTGTCAGCTAGCTGTAACCTCACTGCGTGCTACTACACTCGTTTTGAGGGAATTTCAAACTATACCATTATACAGAGTGCTATCCAAGAATCCAGTGATGAGACAACAAAGCAACATGAGAATATCTGCATGATCTGTGCTTACTTCTTGTGCAAAATGTTTCTTCATTCTCGCAGAAAAAGGCTTCTCAGTTCCATTATCGGATCGTTCAATGTCCACACTGTTGGTACGTGGCAGTGAGGACTCTTCTGTTTCCTTCATGATGAAAAAGGCGTTGCTGTTGACTCGGATTGATTCGACTGGATTCAATTTGATTCAACTTGATTCAATCTGATTCAACGTGATGCGACTAATTTGACTTGGGGTTGATTCGTCTGATAATCTGATTCGTCTGACTCGGTCAAAAGACTTCCGAAGTCAATTCGAAAAGTTGGACGAAAATGAATGTGAAGATGGGCGTACGAATGAAGTAGGGTTTAAGAAAGCGGGCGAAAAACGGAGATACTTAGATTCATTTAGTAGTAGTAGTCAGATAGTACGGAGTAGTAGTAGTCAGATAACTAGATAAGCGCCAAACCCGCTCCTTTATGGAAATGCGCACCAGCGGAGTTTTTTTGGATCTTTTCAGTTGACCGGAGAACCGCATCCATCAATAATCAATCCATCATTAAAAAATAAATAAAAAAATTAAAAATAAAAAAATAAAAAAATTAAAATAAAAAATAAATAATTGCCCATCTCCCCCACGTTGCCTAATCCGAAAAACTTTGGTTTATCAGCGTAACATCGTTTCCTGCCAAGCCGGAATTTCCATAACTTTGTTTCCGCTACCCGTGAAGGAAGAGGGGATCGGGACTATTTCTACATATCGTAGATAGCGGGGCCACACCGACATCGCCACACGCCAATTATTTCCAAGACGGGTGATGACTGGTGATGACTGCTGAATTTTAATATGCCGTATTTTGACAAGCCTGGGCAAAAACTAAACACCTAAACCTTATCTCCTAAATCTCCCTCATGCATTACAAAAACTCGGGCCAGTCCGTTATCTTGTCTTTTCCTTGGGAATCTGCGTGCTCCATCTTTGCGTGCTCCATCTTCGCTAATAGCCGTTTGAAAGCAGTGGAGCAATATGCGAGCCCCCTTTCAGCTTTTAGCCTTCCCGCAAAAAATGGGCGAGCACTAGACAGGTAGCCTCCCTTTTCCATCTGCTGGACTATCGTGTAACAAACCTTACACACCGCTGTAGCTAAACTCAACATATCACTTTCTGACCAAATAATGACACATTTTTCTGGGGACATCACAGCCTAGTTTGGTGATGGTCTTTTTTTCGTTACAGTAGGGTAAGATACATGTTGTGGATAGTTCAGTCTTGGCTGGACCAGCTTGGCTCTTGGAGCGTCTCTTTCATCAAATTAAAAAGGGCCTTTTTAGCGCTGTAACCATATGGGAAGAAAATGCAGCTGAAGGCTGGAAAATATGATACTAAAAACACAAATTGTGACACCGGCCCGGCTTATCAAAACCCTGGTGATTCAGATCGAGCCCTCGAAATACGAATGAATTACCGATAACTTAGTTTTTAAGATATAGCAAACTCTATTCTGTGTGGGGACTGATATTATAATCCTCCACGAACCCGTGAATTTGACGAGGGGAGGGGGGGCCTGAATGACTACCAAGCGAGAGAATAAGCTTGAAGAGATTATCGCCAAGGGCTGGGTACTTAGGAATTATTCGGCTTTAAAATTTCCTGTAGCCCTTGGTATTACTTTGTAGGGTAGTGAGATGCAATTTCTGATAATGCCTGCATCGCTTGGTATTGCTTTACAGAATAACTAGTCTTAACGTCAACTGGATTGCGGTTCTTCATGTATTCCTTGGTATTGCTTGACAAGGTAAGGGCATTGAGTCATGTTCTTCCTGCATATCTTAGTAAATCTTAGTACAATCTTAGCAGATACATACGCGCCTCTGATGTTGATTCTTCATGTACCCCTTGGTATTGTTTCAGCGGGAGTGATGACGCCTAGCACTCGCATCAAACGGTGATAGCCAATCTAGGATATGTGATAAGGACGTGACATTGAGGGATTTTCTGCATCAATATCCTCGTGGATGTAGAATACGACTGGAACTACAGTACCAAGACGTTACATTATCGTTCTCACTCTGCGACATGATACATTGGGTGTCGATCAGTGAGGGTCGAGATTCGTCCTTTGGGCGCATCTCGTCTTTAGATGGTGCTGACTGGACGGAAAAATAATCCACACGTAGATGGCAAGAGGCAAAGAAGGTTGATACAGTAGATTGATGCGGGGAAGACTCCGTCGTAGAAATCTATAAAGCCCCTTCGTTCGCTGCTTGAAGTCAACTCGACCAGAAGCACACCAATAACACAGTGACATATCCACATCACAATCATCTTCAACAACATCAACATCAACTCTTACCACTACTTCCTTCTCGACTTATCACAATGGCTCCCATCATGGATGCACTCCCAATCGTCGAGGACAAGCCTACTGCCGCTGTCACTGACTTCTCGGTATGCAAGATTCCTCAAAGTGATTGCTCATAGCTAATCGAGATATCCAGGTCTCAAGCCCCCAAGATGGAGCTGTTGTTGCGCCACCCACCACAGTCTACCAAACCGGTGCCACCAAGTTGAAGAACATGCTCAGGGACTCGAATGAGTTGATTGTCTGCCCTGGTGTCTATGATGGGATCTCAACCCGAGTTGCCCTTCAAGTTGGCTTCCCAGCCCTTTACATGGTACGTTCTAGATTCCTTGGGAGGACTAACTACCCGATAGAAGAACACTATGCTAACATGTAGTGATAGACCGGAGCAGGCACTACTGCTTCCCGCCTGGGAATGGCAGATCTCGGCATTGCTCATCTTTCCGACATGAAGGACCATGCTGAGATGATTGCAAACCTTGATCCTTTCGGACCACCCTTGATTGCCGATATGGACACCGGATACGGTGGTAAGTAAAATCGCAGACGAAAAAATCAAAGAAAGCGCTGACATTTCTCTTCAACTTGTAGGACCTCTCATTGTTGACAAAGCCGTCAAGGCCTACATCAGAGCTGGTGTCGCTGGGTTCCACATCGAAGATCAAATTCAAAACAAGCGTTGTGGTCATCTTGCAGGCAAGAAGGTTGTCCCTGAAGAAGAGTACTACATGAGAATTCGTGCCGCCAAAGGTGCCAAAGATGCCATGAAATCCGATATCGTGTTGATTGCACGCACAGATGCGCTACAACAACTTGGTTACGATGAGTGCGTCAAACGTTTGAAGGTTGCTCGAGAGCTTGGTGCAGATGTTGGCTTGCTCGAGGGTTACACTTCAAAGGAGATGGCTGCAAAGACTGTCAAGGAGTTCGCCCCATGGCCAATACTCTTGAACATGGTTGAGAACGGCGCTACTCCCATTATCACCACCAAGGAGGCACAAGAGATGGGATTCCGTATCATGATCTTCTCCTTTGCTGCTCTCGCCCCAGCTATGTTGGCTATTCAAGAGACTTTCGTGCGATTGAAGAATGAGGGTGTTGTAGGAACTCCAAAGAATGTTACACCAAGGGCCTTGTTTGAGGTATGCGGTTTGCAAGAGAGTATTGTCATTGATACTGCGGCTGGTGGTGGGGCTTTCGCTGATGGTGTTTAAATTACATTTGGGTTTTCAGTTTCTCTAGTTTGTTAGGTTATCATCTAGTAACTGGTTGGTTCTAGATATGGTGCAAGTATATTAGGTATTGGACTTCCATCGAAGTAGAATTTGTTTATAGGTTGAATATATTTTTACATTTTTTTTTTGGATTAAAAATAGTATCTTATGGTCTATATATATATTGGTGAACAATGCTGCTGTACTCGTGCTCCGTCCAGCCTTATCATCAAAGTGAGGAAGGTGTAAAAATGTGGCGTAACCTTATCGCGATGCGACAAGTTTCCATTGGCGCCACAAGGTAAGGATATAAATATACCTCCCTACCTACCTAAAAATATCTGTATTGCACAACCTACCTTCCCTTTTATCGGATATTGGGATTGGGATTAGGACTGGGATTACGACTGAAGTTGATTTAAGATTACAGGATATTCTATTGGAACGGCTCTTGGACTGACTCCTAGACTTAGCAAATACAGATGAAGAAATGGAATCAATAACACCTGACGAAGAACTTCATGCATATCATATCAAAAGTGTAAAACCGTAAACCTTGGAAGATATACAATATAATCTTACATTGAAAGCTGAAAGCCCTCTGGAAAGCCTCTAACCCTCTAATCCTCCTCAACCAATCTACTCAACCCTACATTGCCTCACGCGGCTTGCTATACACTTCTTGGTAATCTTGTGAGCCAATAGCTTTCGAAAGCTTATCCCTTCTTTACCCGCAGACGTGTCAGCCCATGTGATGACGTATGAAGTACCCAGTAGACCGTCATGAGTCGCACTCGAAGACCCCCGCCATTTTCTATACAGAGTAAGTAGTTACTACAGAGTATATAGTCTCAGTCATTGTCCTCCAGCCATTACTATCCCATCCGAACCTTCATCTGAACTTCCATCTGAAAGACTGAAACCGAAAGAGAAATCCAACTGCTTCATCATTAGCTTTACGACATCACACCACTACCAAGAACCTCGCTAGCCAAACGTCAAGATGCCACAATACATTGTAATTAACTTTGGTCAAGATATCTATCGTCTAATGTGCTGATTCAAGACCTAGATCACTCTGGAAGAGGATTCTACCAGGTCTAACGCCCCTGAGAAATACGAACAGCAAGTGTATTGTACATGGCTATCTGCATATCAGTAACTGACACATAGTAGGGCTCTCAAAGCCGCTAAAGACCATGGAGGAAGTATTGCAGAGGGCAATGACTTTGATTGGGGTTTTATGTAAGAGTGCTCTTCCTCATTCCTCTCTCTGTCTCTTTTCCTCTTTCTCTTTCTCTTTCTCTTTCTCGCTTGCATATAACCTTACTGATCGGGTGAATTAGTGTCGACTTCCCTGATGATTCTGTTTCCGTATCTGCAATCATGGAAAATAAGACTTTCAAAACAATTGAGGATGGGCAAGGCCAAGTTACGACCCAAGAAGGTTAGAAAGAGCAGCCTGAATTGTTTGATATAATATATATATACATATATTTGATAGATAGAGAAAAGAGTAATTTTAAATGCATTATTTGGATGCTTCTGATGTCATTGCTCAAAACTGTGATGATTTATATATATATATACCTATATATACATGTGTGTGTGTGGCCGTGTGTGTTGTTGTGAAAGCTGCCATTTACGGAATTAGAACGATCTCTGCTCTCTTATCACAAGGCTTTTGGCTTCTTGACAACTTTCTTGTGCAATAACATTCCGACCGTACACCAAATTTTCCACACGAAACACACAAATCACCAATGCTGTCATGAATTGTTACCTTCCTCTTTCGCGGCCTTATCGTGGCCAGAATATACGCCATTCAAGATCGTTTTTCAGATATGCCAGCCTCAATCGTTACCCATCCCCGTCAGCCCACAAATGGTCACATCCACCAAGCTCAACCATCATTGCAGATAATGAGATAGCAAGACTGGCTAGCAAGCCTCTGCATACATTGAGCCTGGGAGATCTGGTGAAGTGTGGATTTGGACATTGCTTGATATATATATAATACATGCTTACATGGCTTGCAGACATGGCCGACCGCCACTATCTACGGTAGCATTGTTTTCATCTGCAAACTTCACCCTCGATCTCCTTCCGAATCGTCTTGCGCACCGGATACAAGCTTTGCGGAACCTGCCTTTCATAGTCGTCTCCAATCCGAACATATCGAGGATTTACAACAATTATCTCCATTCCTTGTCAACACTATTACCATACAAAACTATATCTACGTTGGAAGATGAGATAAGATTCACCGAGGTATTGGCAGACCTTGTCGAAACACACTCGCACACTATTCCAACTCTTGCCAAAGGTTTTCTCGAATGCAGGAAATATATAAGCCCGATCGAAGTAACGCGATTTTTGGACGAGCATCTCCGTGCCCGGATAGGCACTCGATTGATTGCAGAGCAACACATCGCATTACATCTTTCATCTCAAGCACATCAAGGAAGCCATACTGAGCCCGACCCTGGAAGTTCTTCATCTTATATTGGTGTTATAGATACAGCTCTTAACCCGGCGTCAATAGTAAATTCGTGTGGCAATTTTGTGTCGGAAATCTGCGAGCTCAAGTATGGCGTGCGACCAAGTTGGATTATAGATGGGGAGCCGGAGACAACGTTTGCATTTGTGCCAGTGCACTTGGAATATATAATTACTGAATTGCTGAAAAACGCATTCCGCGCGACTGTCGAGTCTGGTAGATCCAATGAACCAGTAGTCATAACGATAGCTGCAGAGCCAGAGCTCTCCGCGGTAAATGATTCGCTGAACAAGTTTAGCTCAGGTCTAATTCTAGATGACAATCCTAACTTTTCGATCAAACCTTTTGAGGAATCCGCCCCAGGGATTACGATTCGTATTCGAGATCGAGGAGGTGGAATTAGCCCAGAGGTATTACCAAACGTATGGTCGTATTCATTCACGACATTCTCGGAAGAAGACGAGTTACCCGGACAAAGTCACAACAATGGGAATATGGATGCATTGAATGTTTTGTCAGGTGCTGGAGGGGAGAGTAGCTCGATCGCTGGATTAGGATACGGGCTACCCCTCGGGAGAGCATATGCTGAATACTTTGGGGGTGGCATTGAAATTCAGTCACTTTATGGATGGGGCTGTGATGTTTATCTACGACTCAAAGGACTCGGAAGGCCAAAAAGCTAACGAACCCATCATGTGGGTGAAAACATATGGCACTGGCGGCAAATGGACTTTTTCGAGGATATAATTAGAATTTGCCATCTTCAGTCAACTGAAACCATTACCATTATCTCACATCCAATTAAATTTTTGAGGTGTGGTATAGAGTTATGGAAGCGGAGTTCGCTGACAGGGCTACTGACGTGGATAAACACCCCCCTGCATCTGCTTAGGCGCCCGGCGCTTCATTGAGAACAATGTCGAACAGTATGTTAACCTTTGATGAAGCCTCGTGCTACTCACAATCATCTGCAGATTTTGTTATCTTTACTGTGTTCATTTTTTTCAATATGGAAGGTCTTTCCAGTGCTTCAGCTGCTTTCGCCGTCATATCTCTCGCTGTGCAGCTAGCCGAAAGTGTCAAGAAGCTAGTGGAGTTTTGGCAAGCTATCGAAGATGCACCAGGAGATGTTAGTGAACTGTTTTCTGACCTAGAACTCCTGTCAGCCTTTCTAGTGAACAATCAGAAAAAGTTTGCTCGACACAGCCCCTATGACCTGATTGCCCAGCGAATCTTCAGCAAATGTCAAAAAAGGATTGAAAAACTTCATGAAAAACTTCATCCCACAATGGTCGCCTTCACGTCGTCGTCTTCTCGTAAAAGGAAGTGGGCCGCACTGAAAGTCACTCTAAAAAACGAAGAGATCAAGAAGATGCGTACGTCGGTAGGAGAATCTTTGGTGGCTGTGCAGATGATTCAGCAAGATGCTATCTCGTATGTTAACCTTCTTCAATGTCCGTCAAGTAGAAAGACTTTCTAAACTCAATTTTCCACTTTCAATAGTGATATGGCAGAAATGGCTCTCCGGCACCAAGAAGAAACTTCGAAAGGCATAAGCGCCATACAGGAGATTGTTGTACAGTATTCGCAAAACCTCAACCCTATGCATGGGTCTAAATCGCTATCTTCAACATATGCTTCTTCCATGCTCTTGGAGGAAAAGAAGACCACAGAGCTAAGCCTACTAGATTTGCACCGAGATAAGGAGAGTCATGGTTATTCTCAGCCTACTAGTACAACGATAGATGCAAGAAATGCCATGATCTTCCAAAACAGCTCACCTGCAATTTTGGATGAAGTTGGAAGCTCAGTCAATGACATCAAAAAACAGATCATTGGGCATACATCGTCCAAAACTAGATTGTGGGAGACTGATGGCCAGACACCTATTTTCTCATTTCGTGTCAGCTCCGCCTCGACCAAAACTACAAGTGCAAATGAATTGAGTTCTCACGAAACTATTGAGACGAGAATTGGCATAGTATTCTACCCAGCAAAATGGCTGTATCGCCTTGGCGTAACTATGGGGATTCGCATGTCGGCGACCGTTGATAACGGCTGGATGTTTACATTCTCCTCCTTTGGGGCTGTTCCAGAAGATGCGTTGATTTTTGATCTTTGCCGACAAGGCAATGTTGCCGGTGTAAAAATTCTTTTGGGTCGTGGGGATGCTTCCCTTGAATGTGAAAACCCTCAGGGTAAAACGCCGTTGTGGGTAGGTTTTCTCACGCTCCCTACAGCTTCTCGTAGCTAATCACTCAATTGCTGCAGACCGCCGTCAACTATGGCCAAGTCGACGTCGCGAGATTTTTGATCGCCGCTGGAGCCAAGAATACAGCCAACAAAATCAACCTATGGCAGAACCCCGTCGTGCTTGATGCTCGTCGGAAGATTGCCATAATTGAGACCTTAGAATTTTACTCAAAGTACAAAGGTAATAGTATATATGGCACTATTGGTCGCTTATCGATATTTTACACCCCAAGCAAACGACTTGATATGACCCAAGAAGAAATCTCGGACAATATGTTGTGTGTGTTTAAAGCCTTAACTCCCTCTCTACGCACCGGAAATGCTGCTGCCATTCGTTATCTTCATGAAATGCTATCAAGTGGTCATTGTGGGAGCCTCATTCATTGGCTAATAAGTAGACTCGAAGGCAATCTCGATGTACATGAAGACAGTGTCACTTCCTACTCATTACTACACTGTTTGATTGGTGCCCGATTCCTTCATAGGGATTTGCTTTCCGTGAGAATGATCATGGAGAAAACAACAGACTTACATAGTTGCCACGGTTACGGGGCTTGGGGTCAATACCAACCACAGACACCCACAGTTCTTGCAATGTATGACCAGGATTTGTTCATTCCATGGCGACAACTTCTTCTAGAATCTAAACAGGATATGGATACCTTCATCGAGCGGGAGGTTGATGCTAAGCAATTGACGTCCATGGGTTGGACTAAAGCAACGTTGAAAGCCTTATTCCGGCATCAGTTCAACACGCCGAGCTACGAGGGAAGAAGACCATTTCATGGGTTTCCTGTATGTGACAGATGCAATCATGTCAATATCTCCATTAGCATGCTTCGCCTCAAGATAGATCTTGAGTTTAGGAGACAGCTTCGAGAGATCAGAACTGGTCGTTCTCAAATACCACTTTTCTCGCATACAACAGATGTCAGGAGCGGCTCATCCTTGAGCTTAAGTGTCGACGAAAATGGGCATCCTATATCAAATAGTTCACAGAAGACATGGCCACCATTACCCTACCGCTTTGTATGTTCTGACAGCTGCCGTGATGGCATTTCTGTTCACGACGTATTTGAAAATAATTTGGAGGATTTGCCAGTATTTCCACCATATATCTCTAAGGAGGAACAGGAACGCCTTGAGCAATTACGTTTGGCAGAGGAGGAAGCAAAATGTCCCACTTATAAGATGCCTGGGGCTTTTTGATATGACTCGCGACTGGGAGAGAAGGCCTAAGACCCTAGTCGGGTCATCACGTCCCAATTCAATAATGAAATCACCCTAAGGATTTCAAAGGCTCATGCCGCATTTATAATTCAAATTTAAATGCTTGTCAGATTTGACACTCAAATGATCCTTTACGCTCCAAAGAGCCTACACTTTGCAAACTGACAATCGAATAGCCTTTCACCATTTGTATCTTGCTTGTTCGTTTTCTTTTTTTTTTAGGTCTTGAGCATGGGCCGAGTTCATAGAATATACAAGACCGAGCAGAATTGTTACAAATCTGCTGAAGCATCAAATTTTGGAATCTGCCTCTTGTTTTGCAGCTGAAACCCGTGTCGTTTGCTGACATCGAATCAATTTGTTTGATGTGGCCCCAGTGCAGAAGCGAGACGCATGACAGGGCTACCGACATCTTGGATCGACATGCCCCCTGGATACATTACGCGCCTACCACATCGACCTAGTTTAAGGAGGCAGTGCTAACTCTACAGAATGGGCACACAAGATGTATGCCTTATATGAGGCTTCGCGCACTATTGTCCTATTTCAATGTAGTTTATTCTCCCCGCTACTTTCCAACAGTGGCATTCGTCATGGATGGCCTTTCTAGTGCTTCCGCTGTGTTTGCTGTTGTGTCTCTTGCTGTCCAGCTGGCAGAGACTATTCACAAGTTAGTCGAGTTTTGGAAAGCAGTCGAGGATGCTCCTGATAATATTACGAGGATCTTCCAAGAACTTGGACTCCTGTCCAAGATTTTAACACAAAGTCAAGAACTAGCGCAATGCCACTCGTTCTCTGATATATTTGATGAAGCGCTGGAAGATTGCAGTTCCAAGATTTTCAAACTTTATTCGAAGGTTGAGGAGACAAGAAAGAATCTCAAATCTGGAAAGCTACGCAAACGGAAATGGGCAGCGTGGAAGATTGTATTGCAAAAAGCTGAAATAGACTCTTTACAAAGATCTATCTCGGACGCGAAACTAACCATACTACTAGTACAAAACAATAGCCTTTTGTGAGTACTTCAACTAGGCATGCATGGGGCAGATACTGATCTTTGATAGGGCGCGCCCATTTTCAACATCTAACGTTTATCAATTCAACCAAAAGACATCTCATGCCAACACTCAGATATTCCAAAGCATGCAAATAACCGAACAAGAGCTTTCAAAGAGCTTGGCAGAAAAACAGAGTCTGCTGAGTTCGGGGTATCTCAATGAAAACCTTGTGCCATTCCACCCTGTCACAACAAGGCAGCGCTTCATTGAACAAGGCCATGATAAGCAACATGATCAGTCATCGCTCAGGTATGCAGCTATCCCCCAGTCGGTGGGTGTCAGCTCTCGCGAACGGCATGTACATGGGAAAAAGGGGCGCCAGATTACGGGACCATTCTCGAATATATGGACTGTGTCTCAGGAGGTTCGAGAACAGGTTGCCCATGCATCAGGAGCCAAGAAAAATGTGCAGGCAGAATCCCAACTAATCTTGTACCCTTCAAAGTGGCTTGCCAAAATTGGCATGGTATATGGCGTCAAATTCTCGGTCCTAGCATCAAGGGGATGGCAGTACTCGCTCCAGCCTTTTCGCGCCGTGCCCGAAAATGCCTTGATTTTCGAATTCTGCCGTGAAGGAAATCTCGAGGGGATAAGAACATTACTGAGCCGAGGAGATGCTTCTCCTTATGATAAGGATCCTTTAGGAAGGACACCTTTATGGGTATGTTGACCACACTAGTGTGTCTGCAATTGCTGACTTATTTAGTACGCTGTGCTTCATCATCAATTGGATATATCTGCACTGCTGCTTTCGGAGGGTGCAGACGTACAGGAGATGGATTGGGTAGATAGAAGGTAATGAATTTTCCTTTGTCAGTGTTTCCAGTAGTCTGGAATACAGTGCTACGATGAAGGATTGCTCATGAGTACATCTTGAGGGATTGAATTCACTGCAGAGATCAAAATTTAATCGAATTATCAAGTTCATTCACAATATTCACCCCACTTTCAGGTGTTTGGGGATTAAATAGTCTCATATCTATCCTGCTAGCTCAGACTATTCTGTCGGATACCTGTTGAATTCATGCTAACAACCTAACTAGGAAACCGATATCGAATCTTTGTTTTGGTGACTGCCACAACATAAAGCTAAAATTGGCACTAGCCAATCTGCTGGCTCATCACGATTTTCTAGACGATGATGTTAATTTTTGGGCTATCGGAAGACTGATTATGTTTTATAGACCAAACAGAATAATAGATCTGGAAGTCGCAAAAAGGAATGAGTCGGTTATGGTAGTCTTGCAGTATTTGGAATCCTTTTTCCATCGCACCAATTACAATTTCAATGGCCTTTTTTCTGATCTATTGAGTATGGGATATGATGGCATGGTATTGCAGTGGTCTTTACGCAATATTCCGGGCAAGCTGCGTGGTAACGAAAATGGATCTCTTATTCAGCGCGCAATTAGGAGGCTCCTTCTAATACAAGAACCTCTTACGATGAAGACCATTATTCATAAAAGCATAACAGCCGATCTTCATCTTTACATTGATCCATCACCATCACAGGTTTACGGAAGAGAGACCCCCACGTCGTTGGCAATGTATGATTTGGAAGGGTTCTTGGTTTGGCGTAGACTTTTGAAAGAGCTTGGCTTCGATATATCAGATTTTGTCGCCCAGGAACTAGAAGCCGGGGCATGGAAAAGTAATGGATGGACTCAACCGACGCTTCTTGCATTGTTTAAGCAAGAATTGACGCTCCCAAGACTTCCCAAACCGTCCAATCCAATGGGTTGCCGTCCTTGCGACAGATGTCAGCAGCCTAAAAATATAACCGATATGAATAAAGTAGATCTTGAATGGCGACGGAAACTCCGGGCGATTAGAACAGGAAAGACACAGGACATTTTGGATTATTGTTCGGCACTAGCCCCAACAGTGGGTGTTAGATATGATATCACCGATCGCGTTAATGGGAATGAAGCGGAAAGTACTTTCGGTAAGTTCTCTTCGGTGCCTGGTAGTCTGGGTTGAAAGGCTTTGAGTCCTTGAAATGATTTGAATATTCAAATTAATTTCAGTGTTCCGTTGGTTATAATTTCTACAAATACTTGACTAATAATGGTTTTATAGATCCTCTACCGTATCGCATAGTCTGTCCAAGGAAGTGCGAAGACGGAATTTGTGTGGCGTGGGAATTCGAAAATTTTGAGTCGCCGAATCTTCCACCTTACGTTCCGAAAGAGGAAAGAAAACGTCTCGAACGGCTTCGCTTATTGGAAGAGGAAGCTAAATGTCCCACTTACACTATGCCCGGTGCTTTCAGAATCCAATAGTCCGAACCTAGACCGATTATAAGGGACGTTTAAAGAATGTATTCATTATGATTGTTGGATTTTTCTGAAACTAAAATTATTGAGTCGATTAGCCATTTTCAAACATGCAAAGATCAGAGAACCTACGGGACTTACGGTTGTACTATTGGATACCCAGGAGCTTTCAAGATTTTAGCTTCATATTTTTTAAGAGGCTAATGTGATCAGGGTTAGGGAAACTGTTAGTATAAAATAGCAGCTGTGAGGAAGACACCGGTGGATTTTTACTTCAGACTTCAACACTAAGTACTCAGTAGCGTTATAACGGCGCATTACTCTATGAAATAAACTCTTAGCCCACACACAATAATTTTTTAATCTTCTTTTCCTTATTCCTGAAAATCTCTTCATCTGTGTCTTCGCTCTGCTTCAACATCCCGAATATTTTTGTCAATAAAGCTTGGGCGCGAACGATGAAAGGCTTCATGGGCTCCAAACCTGGTAGTGAGTATATATTACCATCATACTGTCTCTTTTCGTTTTTTCAGTAACCCACGTCATATCAATTAGTTTTGCGTATTGTCCACAATCTGGCGTGTAGGATTTTGTTATTTAGATTTTTCACACATCGATACTGCCTTTCGTCGTCCCCAACTGCGCCTTGTTTTAACTGATCGCTTGTCTAATATCTATCATCAACCCAATATCACACCAAAGGGCTGCGTTGTCGCACGTTCCTTTCTGGATATAGACTTACTAATGTTGACCAGATGCTTCTAAGAGGCAGGATCAAACTCCGAAAGTCAAGCATCGATCTCCCAAATTCATGTGTAATGTCTTGGCTAAAGCTCGTATCGGCGGCAAATTTAGCACATTTCACCCTTTTGAACGTCTCCCAATCGAGTTACAAAACATTATTTGGGAATTTTCCATCGAACCACGATTTGTTCTTCACAGAGAACGGGACATCAGATCAAAGAGGAATAGGAAAGGAACGCTGGAAGAAGTTGATGATAGCGAAATCTACCATGACGATCTTCCATCTGATGAACTTCCATTTTGGCCTCGTGAATACAGTCATCATATTGTCATCGATTGGATCACGATTCCTGGCTGTCGCCATACACCGGCAATCTTGCATGTATCTAAGAAAGCTAGGGAGGTCGGGCTTCGCCATTATAAAGCACAAAAATCGTTGCAAGTAATTCTCCAGGAACATGACCCGCCTCGATTTCACAACCGATTAAAAGGCAGAGCCCAGTTCAATTTAAACTCATCGAAATCAATGTATCTCTCCCAAAAACATGACTTGCGGTGCTGGGAATCTTATTTTTATTACAACAAGGTTTATGAACCTCTTCCAATTATGTCCGTCGACGTGCGGGATTTTATCCACGGGTTTCTCCATCAACTGGTGACCTTGAGAACTTATAACCGATTTAAATTTCGTGAACGATTCGTTCCTGAAGATTTTATTGGCGATGAGAAATCGCCGCGGAAGGAGAGAGCGACATTTATCATTGATATGTCACCAAACGTCGATAACGATTCTCCCATGGATAGGAGGGAAGAGTTCAGGCAGTTGGTAAAGGAATTACGTGGCTCCAAGCAAGTAGTTATGCCGTATTTCGACGCCGCAGGTATTCAAAATTATCGCACAATCAACTTGAAGTATAGTCGATTCGGCTTTTGCAAGGAGTGTCTGAAGGCAACAGAGGATGTTGCTATTGAGGCGGATATGGAAGCCAACTTAGAAACTTGGGCTAAGCCAAAGCATTTACGTAAAGAGCTTCGAAAGTTGAAAGGCTCAATATTACATAATAAATGCAAGTCGTCATGCGATTTAACGTGGGGGATTCCCTACTATAATACTGCGGTCGGTCGGCTGGTGAGGTATGGGGTGCTAATCCTGAGCATACCACTCATTCCGTTCCTGCTATGAATATCCCGATATTTATACCACCCGCAAGAATGTCGGTTTGCATCCTCATTGGAAATCTTGGAAATATATGCAGTCGTTCCAAGGCTTAGGCTTGTGCCCACCCGAGGTTTAGAGAAACTGATCAAGATTTCTTCATCTTTTTTTTTACACCTTCCAGAATCATTCTAAGCTATCTACAAACCATATTCATTCGGAATCTTCTGCGATCTCGAAAATACATTCACTATGCCGTATTAAGCTTTTGGGCGTCTGATTCAGCTTCCGGACGGTTTCTAGAAATACTCAACTTTCATACATCGGGATTTAAAATTTACAGATTTAAGGCTCTAGACGCAAGACTCAATCATTCAGGTTCGCCGAATCGCATGCGAAACAACTCCTCAAGTGGCGTCGGAACTTATCACGCTTCAAAAACTCTTGGAATCGCTAAAGGGGGCTGGACTCGCGTAAGTAACTTTAATTGGGAATTTTAGTAAAGATTTGTTTGTTCGTATCGTTGTTGCATATTATTACATTGTACGTTCTGGCACAATAAGGGCTTGGGCATTTGGAGACCTATCATGAGGATCTGGAAATTGGTGGATTCGCTTGAGTGGACATCTTTGCACGATAAGGAAATCGCAGGGCGAATTAGTCTTTATGCCTATAAGAGGTTCCATTGAAGAAGGAGTATAAGTCTATTATATGCTGGTTTCGTCACTCATTTAGACTTTGCGAACCAAATGTCCGGCAATATTCGACGTGGACCTTCGGTAGGTATTCAAGATTAGTTTTGAGAATTCAGTGGAATTTCGTGATATTGCAACACACCGTGACCTTTTACAGAGGGTTTGGGGTTTGCTTGAGGATAGTCTGTATTGTGTCTAGGTAGAATTTTGTAGTTTGTTGTGGGGACTTTTATTCTGGAATAATTTCAAATGGGAGGTTTGGTTGAATAAGCCGTTTATCTTGATGAAACAAGGATTTGTGTTTGTGAGAATCTTGGAATGAATGCTGGAAAGGTGACCTGCGGGATAAGAGTGGCTCTTATTTTGCACTGTTTATGCAATAATCAGAAATATTGTGTGGCAGCTTAAGAAATTGAATCATATGTTACTGTTCTACTTGGAATCATAAAGAATAGCTTTTGCTCTCATGCATACTGCATACCTCTCACTAATCGTCCCGTTTCAACCAAGGGGTACAGGCCTCATATACTCTTCCCAAAGAGTCCTCCATTTCTACTAAACGTGCGAAGATTTTGGCATCAATCCTGTTTAACATTTGCAAAGTAGCAACGATAAAGAAATCTGCATACGAAGCTATCAAATTTTTCTATGTCAGCGACTCATTTCTCAATTCATATGCACAACTTTGGTGTGTAACTTACGAGTATCTCCCTCAATAAATGGCCCACCATTAGTCTTTAACAATCTTCCCAATTCCCGGACAATGGGCTCAGCAGCTACCCAGCACTTCTCTCCACCTTCCTTCTCACCATACTCGGATAAAGGCATACCCACTCTTTTCTTTCGAGTCTCCTCAAAATAAGCACGCGAATGATCATTTAAGATGTTTGTGGGAAGAAGTGGCATCCAGAGGGGACGTGTTGAAAGCTGGAGTTTGGTAATTAAATCTTCGGCTTGAGACAGATAAGGAGAGTCGATTCTGAGAGGGGGAGTAGGATAATTTGTCTCTAGGGTGGAGGCGATGGAGCGGGAATCTTGGATATAGGTGGAATCAGGGAGACGAATTGTGGGGATTGTGTATGGCAAGCCTGTTGCATTTGGGGTAATACCGCTGTATGAAGAAAGTGGTTAATGACATGCTAGGAAGTATAATAGTGTGTAGATTCACGGACAGGGACTTGAAAGTTGGAGATATCTCTGGATATTCAATCCAAACAGTTTTGTATGGAATCTCCTTGTAATTTAGAACTAGACGTGCTGGTGATTATTAGCTTGGGAAAGATAGTACAAATAGACTATCTCACATACCTTTCAATGCATTGTGTGACCAACTAGCACAATGTCCCTTGCTAGCGAGATCGTAGAGAGTGATCTCCGAGCCAGTTGCCTGACTCTGGGGTTCAGACATATGTATTTATTTTAGGACTGGCAATGTTAAATTTCTTTGTAAGTTAAACTAGTTTATTCTAGAATCTGTGAACGCAAAACTTGGAGTGAACCTGAGCTTATATATGTGTACCCCGCATTCTGGAAAAGGGAAACCACGAGGTGTAATCTCACATGTTTGAGAAGATCTAAAGCACTTTTAACTTTCAAGGACGACGTAGTATCTTATCATTAGTACGCTAGTCACTCGACATGTGTCTAAATCATAGAAACCAATAGACTTCCCAACCAGCAGGAGACGCCGCCAAAAGGAAGTGCAATGGAAATTGCTGGAATGTTGTCGGAATCACGTGCCTGGTCGTGCATTTAAGGTTTAGCGTTTGCTCTCCCCCGCCATCAGCACTTTTTGGTTTTCGATTATCTTCACATTGTCGCAACAAGAAGTCTATCAATATCACCACATTCAAATTAATACAACCTCCTCAAACATGGGTTCTGTCGTTCTTCCTCATCTCGTCACAGGCTGGCATGTTGACCAGGCTATCATGTCAGAAGAAGAGAGACTTGTCGTGATCCGCTTTGGGCGCGATATTGATCCTGATTGTATGCGACAGGATGAGGTACTTTATAGTATGTGCCATTTTGCTTGGTTATTCCCTCACATCCCTTCTCCTTTTATCTATCTCACTGGGTCGTGTGCTAACGAAAGTTTAACAGAGGTGGCTGAATTAGTCAAAAACTTTGCCGTCATCTATGTCTGCGACATCGACCAAGTCCCTGATTTCAAAACCATGTACGAATTATATGATCCCGTCACGACCATGTTCTTTTTTCGCAATAAACATATGATGTGCGATTTTGGCACAGGTAATAATAATAAGTTGAACTGGGTGTTGGAAGATAAGCAGGAGATGATTGATATTATCGAGACGATTTATAAGGGCGCAAAGAAGGGGAGAGGTTTGGTTGTTAGTCCTAAAGGTATGTGGTGTTTTTGTTCGATTTCAAGGCTTGAAATTGCGGAAGGTCAGGTTGAGGAAGAATGCTAATTTTGAGATAGATTACTCTACCAGATATCGGTACTGAGATCTCCTCATGAAGGCGTTACGGCAAGAAACACTTGTGGGCCCTCTGAGTATAAATGCTTGGTGGGCGCATGGAAAGGCGTTAATGGCGGATTAATCTGATGGAAAATAGATCCAGAGGAAGTCAAAGGGTTGGTCTCACACAATGAATTCTATGATCGTATCTGAAGATGCTAATACTGCTCAAAGTATGTGAACATTTCCGGAAAATAAATGGTAGGTCGACTTTTTTCATTTCTGGGGAAAGAGTTTCGGTCAGATCTTGAGGGCTCTTTCCCTACGATTGTGCAAATATTTATTTTGCTTAGACTACTTTTACCTTTTCCAATACCTCTGCAAATTGGTGTCACACATGCCAAGTGGTGTACTCCGTTTGCTATTTAGCTTGCAGGAATCTTTGCTCCTTACTCTGTCAAACCATGCCTCCACAGACATGATGCAATTATGCCAATCTCCATATATTTCACAACCAGAAATCAGTCTCAGACCTCGTTTTGAGAGGCTCATGTAGGTTAATATGCTATACTGCACAATTCATGTTGTGTTCGGACGTGCAACGGAATATCCGGTACTTTTTACCGTCTCCACCGGAAAAATTATTGAGCGACTAATACCCCTCTTTATTGAGTTCCACATCAGTTTATAGCTTAAACTTGCATGCACTTTCCATCGAAACGTCGGGGGATGGATGCTTCAATGGAATTAGTCTCTCACTTCGGGTCGTATAGTGTAATCCACTTAATTGGTTGATATTCTACTTATTGGGACGCGGAGGCACATTTTCCGCTCCGGCTAAAATGAGAGGTACAAGTTTCACCTCTTATACCTTTTCCCATATACTTTCGGACTAGCCAACAATCCTAGATGCCTTTTTACACTATGTATGTCATTCTTGCGGAGGTTACCCAAGACTATTTAGGAACCCTTGTAATTAATCCTGAGGGGTAAGGGATCCTTCATCGCTTTTAAAAAGAATCCAAGGTGCTCCCCTTTGGTGAGTATTGTTGTTCAAAGGAAATCTCGAATCTTCAAAATGAAGTCCTTTCTCGCAGCTCTCGTTTCCCTCCTTCCTTTAACGACAGCTCTTCCCTTAATCTCATCAGAATCATCCATTGCACAGCCCAGTTCACTCTATTCGTTTTCATCCAGTGGTAGTAATGCTAAAGTAGCTGGTCGATTATTCAACATCGATGGCAACATTGGATATTTTGCAGGCACAAATGCTTGGTGGCTTGCGCATCTCTCATCCAACAGCGATGTCGACATCACTTTCTCACAAATGGCTGCTACGGGTTACAAAATCGTACGTGTATGGGGCTTCGGCGACGCAAATACCCCTCCGCCTTCCACCAACACAGATCCGAACCTTGTCTATTTCCAAATCCTCAATTCTACAGGAGCATATATCAATTACGGAGCGGATGGCCTTGAGAGATTAGACTACGTCGTCCATACAGCATCTAAATATGGCCTGAAGCTGGTTCTGAACTTCGTTAACAATTGGAGTGATTATGGTGGTATCGCTGCTTATACTAACGCTTTCAATTGCTCATCGACATCCTTCTACACTGATGCAACCTGCCAAAAAGTCTACAAAAATTACGTCAACACAATCGTCACCCGTTACCGCTCCAGCACGGCGATCTTCGCTTGGGAACTTGCCAATGAACCGCGTTGTAACGGCTGCGATACCTCCGTTATTACCCACTGGGCTACAGATGTATCAAAATATATCAAATCGCTCGATGCGCAACATATGGTTACGTTGGGTGATGAGGGATGGTTCGCACCGGCTGATGGCATTGGTGACGGTAGTTATGCATATAGTGGCAGCGAGGGCGTTGATTGGGTGGCGAATTTAAAAATCAAGACATTGGACTATGGAGTGTTCCATCTGTATCCAAATACATGGGGATATAATTATACGTGGGGAAATGAGTTCATTGAACAGCACGATATTGCTGGGAAGCAGATTGGAAAACCAGTTATCTTGGAGGAGTATGGTTCACCGTTTCCAAATAATCATACGGAGACTGAGGCACCTTGGTATGTTGATTATGTTCCTCTTTGATTCACTTTGAGCCAGAGAAGGAGAGGAGTGAGTGGATAAAAGTACATGGCTAACTAGATCATCCTTGCAGGCAAGCAGCAGTACTTAAATCGGGAATAGCGGCCGACCAAATCTGGCAATTTGGACCGAATGGGACGAGTGTGCAAGCAGAGGATCTTGGTGATGTTAATACCATCTATTACAAGACCCCTGAGTATGCTACGCTTGGGACAGCTCATGCTAATGCAATGTTAAAGAAGAAAGTTTGATTGCGGGAAAGTGTGTGTAGCATTTATATACATACGATGTGATCTAATAAAGTTTGTCACGGCCTTTATTCAAGAGAATCTAGAATTTTGAAATCTTGTATTGGAGGATATCCATATATCCGAATGTCAGGCATCTTAGGCATATATCTCCTCAAAGAGATGTTTTTGTTGCATGTCGCAAACGCCAGGCAGGAATATGAGGCATTCCATTTGCTGAAGCAAACAACCCGAAGTCTGAATGTCTTTGGACTTTTCGAAAAGCTGGTGGTTTTGTACAGCAATGTTGGTGACGAATATCGTAAAATACAGATGTTAACTCTGTATTTCATCAAAGCTGCGGCAAATGATTGAATGTGTATATTCAAATTAGAATTTACATAAAGCCTTATGATCCGGGTTGGGTATGATGGATTGTCGTTTCTAAGTGATGCACATAGAGTACATTAGGTGATATTCCTTCCGATAATTGAAAAATCCTTAAGTATATCCTCATCATTCGGTCAAGTACTACTTTTGAAGATGCTGATGACTAATCAAGCCTGGCTAGGCTCGGCAAGAGTTCTTTGTGAACTTCCGAGCCGAGGTATCTTCAATGAAGATGTCTCGGTATTTTCCCATGGAACTGCCGCCTCCCCAGATTCCTTCAAAAACAGCTTCAATACCGCTTCAATTCCTCCTTCTTCATCTATACAAACATTAAAAGAACACTTCACATCATATATTAAAAATGGCCGTTGAAAGAATCAGCTCAATTGTTAAGCATTTGTCTCCTGGTGCATCAGGATTGTCTGCAATGTAAGTAAACATTCCAGCCCCTTCATCACCAAATACATACTTACAGATGTGTCAACAGTACCTCTAAAAATGCCGATGATATTGTTATCACACTTGCAGTTCGCACACCATTAACAAAGGCTTACAAGGGAGGATTTAAGGACACACAGCTCGATTACCTTGTGTACTCTCTTCTCCAGAAAGTCCGGGAGAAGTCCAACCTCGATCCAGCTCTCGTGGAAGACGTGTGCTGTGGAAATGTAAGCAAGGATTCCTCTCGTGCAAGGCAAAAGCTAACCGATGGTATTCAATAGGTAAGCGATGGCCATGCCGCCTACAAAGTCCGTGCCGCTGTCTTAGCAGCAGGATACCCCAACACCGTCGCCGCCTCCGTTGTTAACCGATTCTGCTCCTCCGGTCTCAAAGCTACCCAAGATATCGCCAATCAAATTGCCGAGGGCAGCATTGACATTGGTATTGCTTTGGGTGCAGAAATGATGTCCGTTGGAGGGGACAAACTCGAAGGTAGTTTCTCCCCTGAGGTACTTCAGTGCCAAGAAGCTGCGGACTGTATGCAACCCATGGGACAAACATCAGAGAATGTAGGAAAGGACTTCAATGTTTCTCGTGAACAACAAGATAGATATGCAGCGGAAAGTTTCAACCGTGCGGAGCTTGCTCAGAAAGCCGGATGGTTCGATGATGAGATTGTCCCAATTGTTACAGAAGTTAAGGATCCAAAGACTGGAGAAGTCAAGAAGGTTACTTTGGCTAGAGATGAAGGTCCAAGATATGGAACTACTTTTGAAAGTTTGAACAAGATCAGACCAGCTTTCCCGCAATTTGGTGATAAATCAACTGGTGGAAACTCTAGTCAGGTCACTGATGGTGGTACGTAACATAGTCCGCAATCCCTTGACAAGCATATATACTTATGTTATCCTATAGCCGCCGCCGTTCTCCTCATGAAGCGTTCCCGCGCCATCGAACTTGGTCAGCCAATCCTCGCCAAGTTCGTCGGAGCCACCGTAGCAGGTCTCGCTCCACGAATCATGGGTATCGGCCCATCCATTGCCATCCCAAAACTCCTCAGCAAATATAACATCACAATTGACGATTGCGACGTCATCGAAGTCAACGAAGCATTTGCTTCCATGGCTGTATACTGCAAAGATGTCCTCAAGATCCCTCACGAGAAAATGAACATTAGAGGTGGTGCTATCGCACTTGGTCATCCATTAGGTGCAACTGGTGCTAGACAGATTGTCACTGGATTGAGTGAGTGTAGGAGACAAAAGAAGAAGATTTTGTTGACTAGTATGTGTATTGGTACTGGACAGGGAATGGCAGGTTTGTTTGTTAATGAACAATTGTAAATTATGAAGAGATGGGATGTTGATATTAATGGCTAAGCTTTGATGCATTTGTATGTATGTAATGTCATGTTGACAGGGATAAAATTGAATATATTTTAGATTGTGTTTGATATTATGATGTGATGGATGTGATCTAAAGGCTTGGTCAGATTATAGTAAGACTTGTAAGTATATGATAATTATCTCTTCATATTTTTACCGTTAGTAGGTATGTAGTCAAGTCTACTCTTCATAGAGGTAACTGACAGTACCTAGGTAGGTGTCGTTCACTCCGACATCATTCTTAAACTAACTTGCCCTATCTCACTCATTTCACCCCCTCAACTTATCAACTTATCAAAACAACTTTATAATTATTTCATTTTACCCCTCTCATCCCTCTCGTCTTTTTTATTCTAATAATAACCCAAAACCAAATATATATAAAAATATATAGAATAAAAAAAAATATCTAAAATATTAATATGTTAAATTATGAATTTACAACCTATTCGTTTAAAGTCTAGATATATATATATGTGTGTGTGTGTGTATATTGTTGGAGTTTGGCGTAAGGTGAATAGGATGTATGGTTTCTTTTTGGTGGTTTTTGGGGAGTTGAAAGGTCAGAGAGTTGGGGAGTTGGGGAGTTGAGGAGTTGGGGAGTTGAGGAGAGGGATGGGAAGGGATAGGAGAGGAGAGGAATGGAAGAAGGATAAAAGAGGGATAGAAAAGAGATGGGGAGAATTCGGGAGAATTCGTAAGAATTTGGAAGAATTGAGAAGAACTGAGAAGAAAGAGTTGGAGTGGATAAAGTAAAAAGGGAATTAAGAGATGGAAATATATAAAAATGTATTATAATATATATAAGAAAGTGGGTTGTAGCACTATGTGGAATGGGGTGGAGGGGGGTTATTTTGTGAAGGAAATATTTACAAAGGTAAAGAATTTGTTGGATGGAGATGGAGGTGGTATTAGGGGGTAGATGGGAAGTAATATATTCAAGCTTCTCTTTTCTTCTTCTTCTTTTCTCTTCTAGTATTTGAAAAGCTATCAAATCCTGTCAATCAACATCCTATATATTCATTCCTTTCTTGATGAGAGGGACATAAATCAACTATATGATTACGTTTTATATGAATGATAAGTCACCCTGAATTCAATTTGATATTATTATATGAAGTTTGGTTTTCCTTTTTTCATTTGATTAGTCTGTAAACTACTATATCTTGACCACTTTTGATAGTTATTTCCCCTTCCTGAGGTCATTTTAATGGATTAAAGAATTTCCGTCATTCTTTTCATATAAAAAAAATAGAGGAGAAGGGTTTGCATAGGCTTAGGGGACAGAAGTTAAAGCAGGGGGAGAGAATGAAAAAATTGTTTGGGGCTATGTGCTGGAAGCGAAGGGGTTACGGGAATGAGGGAAGTTTCCTATAAATTAATGATATCATTTCCTTGAGCTTCGCTTCATTACATATACGCTCGTTGAGTCAGTCCATCCCTAATCTGTGATGTCGGAACATGTATGAAAGGGTTCTGGAGAGTGATGATTACAGAAACAAGTCATATGGAAGGAGCACTATGTACTGACGCCAGGGAGTTAGAGGCCGTTGTCAAATTTGTAAGATGTGGTTGTGAGTATGTATTTTGTGCTATTATAGTTTGGTGACTTACTGAGCGTGCCATATTATATTCTACTAGGTAGGAGCACAAAAGAATGTGTTAGAACCAGTTCTAGAGACATGATTTTGAGTTGTTTTGGTGCTCTATAGACGACGAAACAATCTGAGAGAGAACAAAGTAGGAGGTTATAGAACGTCGGTGAGTCCTCGACGGCCTCGTTTAAGGAAAACCTAAGGTACCCGACTTGAGATAAAAGGCTTCTATAGAGCAATCCTCACATCAACTCAATCACAAAAAGATCAAGGAACACCAAGCAACAAAAGCGAAAATGGGTCGCAAAGCTCGAGCAACAAAGTCATCAATCAAAGCTGACAAGCCCGCACTTCCTCAAACCATCTTTTCCCTTCCTCTCAAAGAATACAACATCCCTCTTGTAAAACACATACTCTCCATTTTCTATCAACAAAGCACCTTCAAAAAACGCAAATCACAAACTAGTCTCCTGCATAAGCTAGCACAGGTAGAACAAACCCTCCCAAAACATCAACAAGAAGCGGTAACTCAACTTCTTCATCATGATATGCCCATCACAAGAGCCGCTATTGAAGCGGGACCACAAAAAGAAGATGCAGATGGAAAGCTTGTAAGGATAAGCAAGGGTAAAAAGCTAGAGTGCGAAATTTGTTTGAAAGTTTTGCCCTCGAAAGCTTTTCCGCAGTCGGTTGCTGCAAATAAATGCGACCATACGACGCATATTTGTAAAAGGTGTCTAAGACAAGCAATCACCAAGAGCGTGGAAATTAATCCATGGGACAAAATACCCTGTCCTTTTTCCACATGCAGAAACATGTTAGAGCCAGAGATTGTGGGGAAGTATATCCAAGACAAGCTACTCAAGAAGTACAAACCGCCCCAATGTCCGCAGCCGTACGAAAGCTAATTATGACACAGCTATAAAAACTACATCCATATGCTTGAGATCCGCAATCGACCAAACTTTCGATGGTGCTTGAATACCGCATGCAACGCTGGCCAACTTCACAAACACGGGTTTAATGACTTCAGGGTTACATGCCATGTTTGTAAATCCGAGAGCTGCTTTCGACATCAAGTTCCATTAGCTAAAGCTCGAAAGACAATGCGGTGTAAAGTCTGTGAGAATGGCTTGGATAGCTTAAAACCTGCCGGAACAAAACTATGTTCGAAGTGCAAAGTACCGACTATTATGGAACCGATCGGATGTGGGGGAGCAACTTGTAAGTACCAATTAGTATCCATGCTTATGGTGTGTCTTGTATGTACTAATTTTTGTTTCCGACTAGGTCATTGTGGATATCGCTGGGTGGGTTCCACAAAAGCTAGTTGATACAAGTTTGTTGTAAGATTATCTTAGTCTTGAGCGTTTATCACTGTAACTGAGGTAGAAATATAGCCACTGGTACTGTTCTCACGCTACTTAACCAAATTTACCGCACTTGCAAAGTCATGAATCTGTCATTGAAATGCGAAATTTATGACTGGACATAATTATATTCATAATACAATGAATTATTGTCCTGTATTGTGCTGCAAAAGTGGTACATACCATACAACCTCAGGAGGCTCAGGCTCTTCTCTTAACATCCGGCTCAAATTCAATCAGATGAATTCTAGATCGCTTTATAAATAAAGATTTTAATCTAACCAGTATATCTAAGATTCAGATTGCAGAACAGATTAGATGTTCTAAAGTAAGTAATTGAATTTAAATTCATTAGAAAGTTAAATAATCTATTCTGGATAGTATAAATCCCTAATAAGTTAGATTACAATCCAAGCGAGTTGAATTTATCATTAAATAATAACATTATATTATATAATAGTTATATTATAAAGGACTATATAATTCTTAAATTTTTTGATATACTTTATCAAATCATACAATAATAAAAATCAGATTAAATTTTAAATCTTTTTCTTATTAGATTATCTAATCTAGTTTCTTTATACTAAAGGTCTTAAGAGTAGAAAAAGGATGAAAACTTTTTATTAACTTTCTGATTCTTTCAAAAGAATTACCTATACATAGTACAAAAACTCCGCAATCTAGTGTATATGTAAAAACCTCTTCAATATCGGCTCCCTTTCGGCTTCCCTACAACCCCCTTTTAAATGCGTAAGAACAACTTGCTAATATACCAAAAATATCAAGTAGAAAAGATATAAATATTCGTCCGCCGTGCAAGTCCGAATATCTGGAGATAATTACTCAGCCCAATGTCGTCTCTGACTTAGACGGCCGACTCCGGTAGTAAGAATACGATTACGAAGGTCCGCCCCTTTCCCGAGAAGCTAGCATTTCGCGACCACGATCATTAATAATGTCCCTGGTAACTTACTGAAACACTTTTATTTCTAAACTCGATATTAGAATAAAAATTAAGAATTAGAGCTTAATTCTTTGTAAACATAAATACATGTCGGTTGTGCGGCGGGGTATAGGGAAGTGAAGCTTCAATACATATCTTGATAATATTCGTATTGATTGTTTAAAGAACTAAAACTTTGAAAATAGAGAACTATATGAATATGTGATCCCTCTTTGCCGATACACTAGCGTCAATTGACGCTAGTGGTTTATGTGATCAATATCTCAACAATATAGAATCACTTTAGAATATAATCTATATTTTCAGATTAATTTATTTAACATTATTATAGAATTATAAAAGAAATAACAATTGCTTTACTAATTTTGATGAGATTAATAAAATGATATAATACTGACCCGATGCTCGCTAGAGTAACATCTGCTTTCCCACTAGCAAAAATCACCGATGACATCTAAAGTATCAAGCTATATAGAAATTAATCTACAACACCTAGAATCTCGTTGTAACGGACAAAACTATACCCGAACCCCGTATATACCGAGCGTTTTCCCGCTCCGACATTATAGCATTTTCGTACACATACAAGGTTACGATATTCCCAACACAAAAAATTGTTGAAAAGAGGGTCGTGTACCTTTTTTCACGAATCTGACTCTGATAAACCGGTACTCAGTTATATGTACCAAAATAGATCTGCCAAATTTGGCAATGCGGTACAACGGGGTTCTACCGTAATAGCTCCGTGGTAGTAGCCGAGTTAGAACTATATATATCGTTGGCAATCTCGCTCAACAAAACATTCTAGCTCAACTACGTATTCAAAAAACAAAACAATCAACGGAAGTTATTCATAAAATGTCCGGCCTTTTCGATATAACTGGCAACTTTTCCCTCTATACTGTAAGACTTGCAATTCACACCCTCATCAATGCTGAGTCCTCACATCCATCCAGATCCCTGTAGCATGGCTTTTTGCCAACGTCTGTCATATTTACGCCGTCTCCGCAACTAAATCTTTCGATAATTGTTCTCCCAGAGACTTTCCAAAGAGTCTTGAGTCAGATCAAAGCATTGACAAAGCGGTGCGCCCCCTACTCGGTATCTGTGTCTCAGGAAGAGAAGCTAACATTCCCTCAGAAAAAGAACCGTATTCGTCGAGCTCACGCCGCCGGAGCTAATGGCTTCGAAAACATAGGACTCTTTGCTTCGGCAGTAGTGGCAGGAAATGTTGCAGGGCTTTCCAATTCCACGCTCAATACTCTTAGCGGAGGATATTTGATTAGTCGCGCCGTTTACCATTTCATCTATATCAATAATTATAGTCAAGGAATAGCAGCAAGCAGATCTTTGATTTTTCTTGTCGGGATAGGACACATTTTCGCATTGTTCATCAAAAGTGGAAATGCCCTGAGGGATAGAGGTACGAATTTGTAGTAGTGGATGAGCCGTGGCTACCGGAATAAGAACAGTGGCTACACCGAAGTTGTATGTATTCACAAAAGATAATAAAGTAAAAACTGAAACCGCAACGGGACAATTCTATGTGTTTTGTCAAAATGATTTACTGAACATAGGATCACTCTGAAATAAAAACAGGATTTATGACATGATCTGACGAAACTCAGATTGATCGAAAAATATTCTCTGGATACCACTTCATCCGCGCAATTTCATAAGAGTAATGATTATCGTGTTACGAGGGTTGCCGTCTAGATCATGTGGAAGTGCTCTAGGCTCTCGAGGTGGTTTATAACTAGGCGTCAAGCAGGGACTTAAGTAATAACAGTGAATGATTGTAATTCGTAATTAATAGTAGATTATACTAAATGATTGATTTTGAGTACGAAGCTTTACAGTAAAGAAATCCATCCTCATTATATAGACCTTCGTGTTCTGAAAGTCGGTCGGCTTTTGGATCAGATGACACTTGTCACGGGATCCTATTAGCTAATTGGTCACATGGTGTAGGATATGTTACGCTATCGTAACGTATCGAGATAATCCTAGATGTAAAAAATCTTTACATGGACCTGTCTTATTGTCCAAGGAGCATACGTGTAACCTCATGATGTCAGAAATCCGAGTAAGAATTCAACCAAACTATTGGGGTCGATATAGAAATTGAAAAATCGTCCAGGAAAGGCACATGTAAGTATCATGATATTTCACAGAAGCCTTCCAAAATCAAAATTATGCCATATCACCAAGGACAAACTTGATTGTGGTCGAGCACCGCTCATTGCATGCCCACATGCCTGCCGATATCTTTCATACGGAAATAATCTTATGCCCTCCAACAGATTGAAGATACATGTACTAATAAGAATGACGTCCAACGAGAGTTGATCTTGCTTCAAGGCCTTCGAGACTGTCATATTTTGTACGAAGTGCTTCGCGAAGGAAATCAAGACATAGTCTTCGGCCCTAGAATGAGGATATCTAGTATACAGCAGAAGACGTGATTAAAAAAGCAATCGATGCTATAGTCTCGGTAGAAGAGATGGTGAGATTGATGGGATGAAATGAAGGAGAGCCTGACATTAAGAAAACAGAATAGGAAATCTGGTAGAAGATAACATCACTTGCGTTGAGAGGATACGAAAACAAATGCAGTCAGTGTTTGCCTTTGTCATCAAGAAAAAGGGGCAAATTATTTCGTACGATTGATACTGTTTCTCTGGGATAATGATCTGTTGGTGGATCATATCTTACTTTTAGGATAAATGGCAGCAAAACACCTGGTAAAACATTTCTGGATAGATAGACACAGCTGCCAGAAATGTAAAGTCGTTGGAATGGAAATTTGAATTGATGTAAAGATTTCGAGGTTGTCAAGGAATCTAATAAGCACGCCATGTGTAACCTTTAGTAAAATTATACCGGCAAATTGTTCACCGCCAAATTGTTCACCGCCAAATTAAGGACCAACTCTTACTTGACATGATTTTGTATGCTTTGGCCTCCGATATTCATACTTGACAATCAATCCTTATCAGCATCAGCTCTGCTCAGATTATTCAGATGGCTTCATTCCCTCCCGTATATGGTATCTTTCTTCGCTCTCAAATGGGGTGGTCGATCATCTCCGTCTATGAGTCGGATTGTACCGTTCTCTGACGTCAACAATATTTCTTCTTGAGTAGGCTTGAATACACACGGGATTGACAAGGTGGACTTTGAGAGCTCAGTCAATTGGTAGCAATTCACAATGACGGTCGGCTTTCTGGTCCGTCAACTGTGGTTATTCATTTTGCTGGCACAGCCTCCATACTCCTCATATGTGGCCACATAATATTAACAAGTCCCAGCCCATGCCCATGCCCAAAACATGCTCGTATGCATCAGCGCGCTCTTTCTAGCCAACACTCGCAGTACACACAATAAAATCGAAGTCAGCAACGAGTTCGTTGTGGCTTCAATCATAAATCCAGTTCCAAAACGTCTGGAGTATGTTTTCCATAAGGAGATGCCAAGTAACATTCCTTTAAAGAGAACCATGATATTGATCCCGAAGATGCGTACCCTCCGTACAAAATCTGCGGGGAGTAGATCTGTCGTTAGAGAATCTAGTAAGGGTATTCCTTGGATCTTATGCTCCCTTGAATTTCTGGTAATAGTTTGCCTTGTGTTATCGTGTTTCTTTTTGGCGGATTCTCAGTGTAGCTCGTAAACAAGGCTTGTTAGAGCGTTACAAAAACTTTTGCAATTTTTGAGCCGCGGCCCCTTATTAGAAAAAAGGGTAGTGTATTGGATGAGAGCATGATAACTTCATCCATCTTGACTCTTGAGATGTCCGTGTCTGGTCAGTGCCAGTTGACGGTTGTCAGGAGCACATCGAGTGGATTTGAATCGAGGAGTGCCATCAATACAGCAAATAAGGACATTGCAAAAGGCTGTCAAAATTTATTGACCAGAGTAATTCTCAGCTTGAGATTGCTTCGCTGCGGCGTTGCATTATAAGGCTGTGAACCATATATTATGGCATTGAGGTACCCATGAGGCTGAGGCTATTTGTCGTATTTCTTTCCGATTGCTACTCCCTTTACTCATCGTCAGGCTCGTTCCCCTGAAATCGTTCATTCTTGACTCTCGGAAAATTTGAAATACATGTTCAATTCTCGTGCTTCACCTCCAGCAATATTTACAATTGTAGTGGTACTAGCTGCAGCGCCGCTTAAGGAGTGGGACGAGCCTCACCCAGTGTTGGAATTGGTTCCTCTTTCCGAATTTTTCAGTCGATTTGAGATAGTGTCTCTTGTATTGTCTGTAATGATGATTGGTGAAAAAGTGAGACTGTCGACAATGGATTTAGAGAATGGAATGCAGGATAATATAATGGCGAGGGAAGTGTGTAAATTTGTCAGTAATGCTAGATTAAATGCATCCCAAGTATAGTTGGTTGAATGCATGGTATCATAAAGATAGACCAAGCGGAGAGCGAGAAGAGGTAAAGTCCTTTTATTGTGGTTTGGATTAGCTATGCATTTAAGGGAACAGAGACGGGAGAACGAGAAAGGACAGCAGGGCTTACAAAAGATTGGGCGAGAACAAGAGCATTGTAAGCTGCTTCTTAGATCTCTCCAGTTTCAGGGCACGTAGAATATATATCGGAAGCAGGCAGATAAACACTTGGGTTATGGCATCTGTCGCCGCATTAATTGTCCAAAAAACTCTCTGGAAGACAAAAGCTGAAGTTAGAATGTTCTATAGGAGAAGTGGAGTTATCCTTACGATGTCAATACATCGCCCCTTCCGGAAAATCCAAGGATCTGGAAATTGGCATTGCAGAGCAACCACAATTACACTGGTTAAAATCCACATTCCGACGCAAGTGATGCTTCTATATATCAACCGTCGTTTAGCGCTGTCCTCTCTCGTGAGACAAACAAAGAAACAGAGAGTTGAGAGTTTTGTCATGAAGATTGCGAGAATATATATGATATTACCAACATATTGAGCCTGTTATTTGTCAGTATCTGTTGATGCTCGATATGTGTCGTAGGAGTTATCCTACAATATAGAAGCTATTCAACTCATTTGGAAGGATAGTGTCCTGGTTTTGTCCAAGTCCATACACAATTTGTTCTGATGTGCACACGCATTGAGCTACCGATAACAGCTATTATGGCAGGCAAATTGTGAGCCTAGAATACGAAAAGGACACTCTTTGGAGAGTAGATAAGAATTCAATGGACATACCATGGCAATGAGCCCGAAATAATCATCGAGCTGGATTTTCCGAAGCGTGTCGTATTTACTGTAGACTTTTGTTAATGTTAAAATAACCATTGGTACCAGCACAATCCACATGGCGACGTTTAGAAGAGGGCCATGATTATCTGCCGTGACTACAGCCATCTTTTCGTGATGACTGTTTAGCTTTCAACTCTGACTTTAAGTTGTTGTGTACAGATCAGATCATTCATGGAATAGATAACGCTGAAGTCAAGGCAGTAAAATTGTAGGATTGGCTAGGCTGCGCGACGGGGCTCCGCGTGGAGAATTATTGCTCTGGTGGATAATCCATGGATGATCTGTTTGCAGGACGGATTGTTAGAAAATTTAAATGGATAATTTGTAGGGCGGATAGATGAATAATTTATAGATAGTTTACTGATAATTTGTAAATAATTTATAATTTATATATATCCACAAATAATCTGCTTTATAGATTATTTATAAAGTTTTGCGGATTATCTGCAGGGTAGGTGAAGTTCCAATGGATAATCCATGGGGCGGATTATCCATGGATATCCGCGGGTTGCGGATGGTGATTATTTCTGCGCAGCCTAGGATTGGCTTTCAGGATATGGTTTGCCTTCTCTGCTCAAAAACAACGTCCCTCTCAGGTACTGAAATTAAAATCCATTTCCAATGGCCAAGGAGGATCATCATTCAAGTATGTCTGTAACAATCACTACCGAACAACAGTCTCGGCAATGACATGAGAAGTTGGGCTGCAAGGAGTCTAGTGTACACTTATGTGCTGTGCCTCATTTCATACTCTTTGCTGGATTTACGGAAATGAAGATACGGGGTGTGGAATTCAGCTGAACTTATTATTCTGTAAATAGAGTAAGAAAAGTAGGTATTTATTACCACTCTTGTAGTTTCATGCACTGAACAGATCTAGACATGTTGAATTTTGACTAATTTTGAATGAGACTCGAACTTATTTGTATCCGGCTTGACTTCTTTTGGCTTCGGATACCAATTCCCGTCATAAATTAATGCGACATGGGTGAAACTTGAAAGTTGTGGAAGTAAATTTGCGGCATATATCCTTGACAATCTAGATCTTTCCTCATAATGGCAAGTTCCATCGATCCAAGCCACCGGTAGAGCTTGAAGTTGCACTCATTGTTGGAGTTATTGAGCTGAGGTTTTGCGCGCTGTGATGTAATAATGTGGCTCAATATCACATTCCGCCTCCGGAGGTGCTTGGAATGGTACCATCTCTGTCTTCACCACCTCAAATCCGACCTTTCGTAATAAGTTGACCCAGCCCTCTCTGGTATACAGAAGATTACCAATCCGTTTCCCCATGAATGTGTGCTCGATTCCTCTTGCGCACTCTCCATCCTCGTCAAACATGTGCGGCTTAGTCGGGAAATCTTCTGCTACCATGGTCCCGATAAACAGATAGCCTCCTGGAGCAATCCACTGTGAAATCTTCCCAGCAGCTATATCCATTTCCTCACGAGAGAAATGGAATAAGGAGAATATGGCAAAGGCCCCTTGGAAAGAAGACCCAGGGGAAAATTCGAGCATATTAGTCAGTTCGAAAGTTCCGCCCGGAACTTGTCGTGTGCTCAATTCGATCATGACGGGAGAGAAATCAATGCCGTGTAATTTGCGACCACTTTGGACAACGAGACTGGACGTTGGAATCCCGGTTCCGCTACCGATGTCGAGGACCCTCGCATCCGGGTTTGTAGGGAGAAGTTTCAAACTGTCGGTAACGAACGCTATGAGCCCTTCATCGTGTCCGAAACCCTCCTCGTATCTAATTCCTAGATTGTTATAAAAATCGGCTGCTGGATTGATAGGTGCCATTTCACTGATTTGTGCTGGATGTTTGAGGTGTGTTAAAATTGCTTTATCCTCTGAACGATACATGAACCTTACTTCTAGCAAGGTAGACACGTAGGGTTATGGCTAAATACATCCGACATCTGAGCTACATATTCCGCTCTCGGTTACAGTATTGATAAGGTATTGCATCCCCTGTTGATGTTGCAAATTAACACCCGCTCCCCCGCAGGTCTAGAACATGGGGGCTAAATTTGGACAAGTGGTGTTTAAAGAATGTGATGCAAGCCGCCGTTCTTGTAGTTCGGTAGTGGATCAAGTATGCAGGCTCTGGTTTAGCTCTACATGAGCATGGTAGGGACAAGAAATGGAGTGAAAAATAAACGTTCGCTATTGAATGACAGCTCCCTCGTCTCTCTACCCTCGATTCACTTTCACTTTCTTCATTTTTGTTCTGTGACTGTATAACTCAAAATGTCTTCCTACGAGCTCGGCGGTGTTAAGCCTGGTGTGCTGCAAGGAATACAAGTCACCACTGCCACCGGCGTTGATTTGGATCAGGAGAATGGCAATACGAACGTAACAGAACGAGGGAAAATGTCCGAGAAATATTACGCTAGCCAAGTTCAAGATGAGGCGACACTTGCTGTGTTTGGGAAAAAGCAACAGCTCAAGGTGCGATTGAATAGACAACCAAAATACTCGACGTCTTCGCTAACTGATTCTCTAGCGACGATTTAAATCATTATCTTCAGTGGGCTTAACATGCGGCTTGATGTTAACATGGGAGGTTATTTTGTTGTAAGACTTCCGCGATATTTTTCTTCACCTAGAAGCAAATCATGACTTACCATTCAAAGCACCCTTCAATTTGGTCTACAGAATGGCGGTCCTGCTGGATTGATCTACGGATATTTAGCAGCATGGACTGGATCTATGCTACAAGCTTTAGTCATGGCTGAAATGTCATCAATGTGAGTCAAAAACTCGGAGTAATCGACCTAATCCAAATGCGTTGTACTCATCAGATGTAGGATTCCTTTGGCTGGTGGACCTTTTAACTGGGTTGCAATCTTGTCTCCTCCTTGGTGCAAGAAGTTTCTTAGCTACTTGGCTGGATGGCTTACCGTCATTTGCTGGCAGGCTTTTGTTGCAGAAACATGCTACACGGTTGCTTCTCTGATCCAAGGTCTCCTCATTCTCAATTACCCGGATTATGACCCCAAATTGTGGCAAGCGACTCTGCTCTTCTATGCCATCGCTCTCTTCGGGGCTTTCGTCAATACTTATCTTGGCGGTCTTTTACCACGAATTGAAGCTATGATGCTGATTGTGTATATTCTGGGCTTCATTGGTGTACTAATTCCCCTAGTCTATTTGTCGCCACATACATCTGCTGAAAAAGTTTTCACAACTTTCCAGAATTTAGGGGGCTGGAATAGTATGGGCCTATCATTCTTTGTTGGGTGGATTACATCTGTCAGTTCGTTTGTAGGAAATGACGGCGCAGACCATATTGGTAAGAGTTCCTTTTTCTTCGTTAAAGAGCCACCTAAAAGTAGTTCAAAACTTGGATTAACAACTCGTGTGCAGCCGAAGAAATCAATCAGGCGGCCAAGGTTATACCTTTCAGTATCTGGTTCTCAACCTTGTTCAATGGCATGCTAGGATTTTCCATGATGATCGCGGTATTGTTCAGTGTCCAGGATATCGTCGCTGCTACCCAATCGTCCACTGGATTTCCGTTCATGGAGATCTTTCAAACAGCATTAGGATCAAAAAAAGGAGCCAATGCATTGGTATGTCTGCATTCAGGACTGAAGATTCCAATCTAACTTCACCAGATTATTGTCATCACTGGAGTGAACGTCTTTTCCGTCAGTAGTGTTTTGGCCACAGCTTCACGGACTTTATGGGCCTTTTCAAGAGAGAATGGACTGCCATTTTCTAGCTTTCTCGTCAAGGTATTAGCCACAACATCGCAAAACCTTTTCAGGAACTAATGATTACCATTTAGGTCGATCCCAAAACCCGGTTACCTATTAACGCTATCATAGGAACACTTATAATCAACGTCCTCCTTGCACTTGTAAGTGTCGGCTCATACACCGCATTCGAAGCTTTTTACTCCGTTGTTTTGGCCGCCTATCAATCATCTTTCCTGTTAGCCGCAAGTGTGATGCTGGTAAAGAGATTAAAAACACCAGCCTCCGAAATGCCTTGGGGCCCTTTTCGACTTAGGAAACTGGGTGTACCTATCACTGTTGTGGCCATGATTTACACTGTCATCGCGCTCTTCTTTTCGTTCTGGCCTGCCTTCTCAACGGTGGATGCGGCGGGTATGAATTGGAATTGTTTGATTTTTGGAGGGGCGGTTATTTTCAGTATGGTGTTTTGGCTTTTGTATGGACGGAAAGTCTATGTAGGCCCCATATGGGAGTTTGAGGGTCAATTTGTTAGAGTAAAGTGATTACAATCTGTGGTATCTAATATGCTTGTTATCATCGAACTCAGACAATAGATTGGCTTTATTGATTTAACAAGTATTAGAGTGGATAAGTTCACTTACAGCCCATTTTAAGAGACATTATCGCTGACACTGACTTCCAGGTTTCTTTTTTGTGAAAATGCAAAGTAGGCCAACGGAAAAATGCAACCACAAAATTGTGTTCATAGAATCGTAAGTCTGTTCCCTTCATCCGATCCGTTGATGGAAAGTATTGAAAGCCCAACCATTTGCCCAACCAACAATAATATGCCGGCTGGCAGTACCAAAAACACAGCACAAGGTAGCATACCAAATGATACAACAAATCGCCTCTCTTGAAAATTCGTACTAATTTGCGATAATCTCAAAATGTCTCCACATTCATATGTGTAGTATATCTATAACGTATCATATACCCAGTAAATAATACAAAAGGCTCTAGCACGTACCGACAGGTCGGTACGGCCCGCTCCTCTAACACATAACTAGTCGTTGAAGCCAGGAATCCATGCTCATCCTATTAGTTATTTGTTGGTTCCCCACTTTCGATGAACCAAACTATTTCCTAATGGGGATGGTGGTGCGGTATTGAGATCATCTAGAACTTCAAAGTCTTTCCAGATATGGTAGTTTGACTGCCAATTCATGAAAGTGGACTGATCGCGATCCACTTCCCTTTTTCCGAGTACACTTGAACGCGACAACAAAGCTACACGATCTGCCGGTCAGCTTGACTCTTGGGCTAGTTGTCCAAAAGTGCTGGAATGAAATAAGAAATTCCAAAATAGAATGGCTAAGAGATCACTTTAGAAATAGGCTGCTAAAAAGTATTGTGATGAATATCGTGAAGGCCCCATCTATCAATTCTGATTCTTATTACTTTATAGCTGTATTAGTCTAATCACCGTTTTTCAAATCCTGGTTTGTTTTGCATCGTAGGGACCCAGATGCCAGATGGAGATGTGGATCTGACTTGCGAATGCTTCATCGAACACCACGACACTGTTGGTGGTGAGAAATGCTATTCCTTGATATTATGTCAGATACTTAAGAAATACTGGACGTCTCATGTTTAAGGAGTAGTTATGGTTATGGAAAATAAGGCCATGGAAAAACGGAAAACAAATCCGTAGCTAGACTGTTGCGCTAAAAGATATGAGCGGTACACTCTTCGAGATATACATCTGCTTCGTCAATTAGAAGAATGGCTCCCATCGTCGAGCTTTCACCGTCCATCATCGTAGCTTCGACTCTTCTGTATCAGGGCCAGGGCCGATGTGGTTATTAGTAAGTGAGATAATGGGTTTCTCGGCAAACTCGGCTGCAAATTTCTGGATATGTTGTGAGTCTTTGTATTCATGATAAACCGCTTTCATACCTGCCATACATTTATTTCCATACCAGATGGCTCCATACTAGGTTATCATCAGGTGTTACATGAACAGGTCCAGAGGCTTCCAGAAGCCTAGTTTCTTACCGTGTAACCATATAGTTGCCCTTCCCCTTTCCCTTTCAGAAAATCAACGGCCCGTCTCTTCTCCAACTACTCTCCACAACCATCATACCATCTTTGATAGCCGCCGCCACATCAATACTATGCCGTTTCTGTTCTCATCGTTTGGTAAGAGCTTTAAGCAAGGGCTTGTTTTCCTCAAAGTCAACAGGTAATTGTGACCTCCGGATTGAAAGATATGTCGCGTATTGCATTAATATCAAGCATATCTGTATTCGATAGCCTCGAGAAAGACTACGTTTTATTAGCTTAGTTCCACACATCCCATATCATTAGTTTGAGTACAAACTCTCATCATATATCAACCACCGAGTTTGTGGAATATCAGTTTGTATCCAGTTACTCGTCGACTATTGGCTTCCTGGGCCGGAAGTTGAAAAGATATTGACTAAAGTCTTGCACAATTCTCAACTTAATAAACCTTCAGAAGCCTAAAGATGTATTATCACTTCTTACGAAGCCGTTAAATCTAGCAGTACACGAATTCTTCTTTGTTTTACCGATGGTTCTGAGTATATCGACTTTAGTAAAGGGGAGGCGATGTGTCATTATATATCTTGGCGGTAGTAAAGAACAAAAATGTTTTAGCGAACGCAAAAGGAGTGATTCTCTTCACACAGTTAGTTCTTGGGGGCCTTTGTGTAACAGCCTTGTAGCAGATGAGAGAATTTTTATTGATGAATGGAGACGTCAAAATTATGGGAAAGCATGTCAGGATAAAGTCGTTCTTGCGCTGAATAGGTGATCATACCGGTAACACCTCCGTCAGGTGGATGGGACCTTCCTTACCCATAGATATGCAACAAACTCGTCTTGTCCTACCTCGTCACGTGCCCGTCCACCACCCCACCCATCACTTCCCCCGCATTATGTACACTGTACATCAATTTGACGTTCAGTTCAGTTAAGTTAAATCAGTTCAATTTGGTTCAGTTCAAGTATCTTCTGTTCTCTTCTCTCTTCTAGATAACTACATATATAATTTTACAACAATATAAAAAATGGCATCAGAAGCAACAGTGCGCTATGCATGTCGGGAAGGTAAAGTTAATTGCCTTTATTTACACATACAACCAACATCCCTCTCATTACTAAATCACCAAACCTAAATACTAACCCATATCTCACACCAGATATCCCCGGAATCCTCAAACTCATCCATGAACTAGCAGACTACGAGCACGAATCGGCCTCCGTACTAGCTACTCCGGAATCTCTAGGCAAAACCCTCGCTTTCGCGCCTTCAGGTCTCGTGTCTCCGTCCAATACCACTCTCTCAACAGGAGACTCTATTTCCCCAACACGACCCGCGCGCTGTCTCCTCCTCTTCCCTCCATCTACAGAATCCTCTAATGACAGTGAACCCGCAGCAATGGCGCTCTATTTCTACAATTACAGTACGTGGCGTGCTTCCGCTGGGATATATGTCGAAGATTTGTATGTACGGGAAAGTTTTCGGGGGAAAGGGTATGGAGGGAAATTGTTGTCGATACTTGCAAAAGAGGTTGTGGATATGAAGGGTGGGAGGTTGGAGTGGAGTGTTTTGAAGTGGAATGAGCCGAGTATAAAGTTCTATCAGGGGCCGAGTGTAGGAGCTAAGGCGATGGATGATTGGCAGATCATGAGGGTAGACAATGAGGCGTTGGTGGAGTTGGCTAAGAGGGCTCAGTAGGTTGGTGGGGAAAGAAGGTAGCTGTACAGTTTCCTGGGCGCATAGCACAGTGACTCTGAGCTCTTGCGGCATCACTTGCATCAGTCAAGCTAGCAATTAATTGTATGAAAATTATGGTATAAAGTTTCTCCTAGCACAGGAAGTATGCTACATCTTAGACAATGACGAAATCTCTACCTTGCCAGTTGTTTTGCTTCACGCTCAGCCGACTTTCTAATTTTTCTGTCCGTGGTAGCCTGAAGCAACCCATCCTTTGGCATTTCGAAAAATTCATTATCTTTTAATGATGGTTTGGTGATTTCTCCTGCAGCAGCCAGTGAACGTTGTCCTCCCCAAGTTATTGTGTATTTTCTAGTATTTTCATCCTGCACCATTTTCGATGAAAGACTCCAAATCATGCGATACATTCTTCGCCTCGCTCGTGTCGAATTATGTTTTACATCATCAGGGATTTCCGGAGTCTCTGAACGTACTTTTCCCATTGATTCGGCCCAAAAATTTGCATGCAGTCTGGCTGGTTCATTATATAGCGAATTCATTTCTTCTCCGATGGACTTGTCGGATGGATCCAAATTGAGAAGAATCGCTGGTTTCCGCCTTGGAGGTGCGTATTCGATGGGTTGCATTCCTTCTGCTAAATCTCTCAACCTATTCCATTCATGTTCAGGTAATGGAGGTAGAACTCGTTCCAGAAGATTAGCCCACCATGTACGTAGCATGTTGGCTTTGCGCTTCACTGGAAGTTTGCGTCCCCATGCATTCGTTAATGGTATATCTGGTTTGATATTTTTTATCCTTCCCCGCATCGATTCCATCGGATTGGTTTCTTGTTGACTTGCGATAAATAATGCTATTTCTTTGTGCTCACGGCGTTGCCTCTTGGATACATCTGTTGCCTTGTCTATATCGACATCTCTTGTCGCGTCCAGTTTTTTTGCAATTTGACTATCAATGATATGCGACAATGCTGTGTCATCTTGCGGAACCTCCTCCTCTCCAGGTCTCAACAATTGAGAAAGTAATTCCCTTCTCTTTACCCCAGCTCGTCCATATGTCCTCAGTAAAACATGTTGCAGATCCTTGGAACTTCCTTCAAGGTTTACACGCTCTAGTAAATGTAATTTTTGTGCCGTCTTTTTAGATCTTGATTCCAATTTCTTCACATCAACTTTTGACCGAAAAAAATCGGTGCCCCAAAATCTCGGATTGAGTTTTGTGGGATTGGGAGGATTGTATCGTTGGACGATTTGATCGTGTACGAAAGTTCGAGCGGCGGAGTCAGGAAGATAGGTTGCTTCGCGCAGTAGGGCTCGATATTTTTGTCGAAAAGTTGGGAGATATTGCCTTACTTCATGAGAAACCTCGTACGCAGCTCTAGGTACAGACGGCATTGGAGTTTGTAAGATCAGCCAGCAATCAAGAAGAAAAGTAAATGAAGTAGAAGGAAAAGAATGATGAGAAGTACAAGTTTTACTTCAATATGGAGATGGGAAGCTACCAAACTTCTGGTGGAAGGAAGTTGTTCAAGAAAATATTATTGTAGCCTTCATATACAGGCATCAAGTCGCGTATTGAGGGAAATTATTGTAGGAACGAATATTATAATCACATTCAAATTGAATCACAAATTGATATTGTTAGTGTAGAAGACTTTGTTTCTTAACAATGCCCAGGTGACACGTAGAAGTAAATGTATTTCGACGATGACGAGGTGATTGTATTTGTATACATATAAAAGCTTATGTAGTTATTGTTTACTGTACTCTGCAAAGTCATTCTGGCTCGCGAACTGTCGCGTCAAATTTCTTTCAATTAGCCAATTAAATTTCCCATATCAATCCACCCCCACACAACACTAACTTCATACATTGTCGGTAACACCAAAAACCAAAACCACTTTACTTCCCTCGCGCTTGAGACACGAAAGACACGTCGACCTCACCCCTGCCTGGATATCGGCGCGTTCCCTTATCGTCATTGATCTGAGTATCATTGCAGATGAATGCGCTCAGTAAGTATTGAATTGACAGAGCTCTTTATTTTAAGGATCCTGCTGCCCTCGGAGACGCGATTGGCTTTTGGCCAATACCTACCGTCGCAACACCTCAACACCTATCGATATTGAATACTTCTCCTTAATCTATGGCAGCGACGACAATTGCACCGAACTCTCAACCTCTTGCGACTACATCAGACTCGAAACGGAACCAACTACCACCAAATACATATTCTACAAGCAATAGCGCATACGGAGGTGGTCAGGACTCGGCTCGATTTCATCGCGAAATGTCGCTCGGCATGAGTCAAGGATCGCAGTCCGGTGGGATGATGATGCAACCAGGAGGAGCTTTTCGTCAATACGAGTCACCCAATACCATGAATCGTAGAGATATAGCACCTCAGATTTACTCGGTAAGCTTGCGTTCGGTCATTGAGCGCCAAGCTGTTACTAATCTTTCATAGGCTGTATATTCCGGTGTCGATGTATATGAAATGGAGGTTAATTGTATTGCGGTTATGCGGCGACGAAAAGATAGTTGGCTCAACGCTACCCAGATATTGAAGGTAGCTGGGATCGAAAAGGGAAAGCGAACAAAGGTCCTTGAAAAGGAGATTTTGATTGGAGATCATGAGAAAGTTCAAGGTGGATATGGGAAATATCAAGGAACCTGGATCCGATTTGAAAGAGGGGTTGAATTTTGCAAACAGTATGGTGTGGAAGAACTTCTGCGACCACTATTAAGCTATGATATGGGCCAGGATGGAGGTATTGCAGGACAAGGTGGAATTGATACCCCAACAAAGGAACAAGCTATGGCCGCGCAACGAAAGAGACTTTATAACTCAGGAGCCGAGAACCGTAATAATGGACAATCCGGAACATTTTTTAAGAATATTTCGAATCAAGCTTCACTCGCAGTTGCAGCTATTAGCAAAGCCCGATTTGATTCACCTGTTCCCAGGAATCGCAATGGTAGTGCAAGACCTCCCACTTTCAGTAGGCAATCATCCCAACAACAACCCAATAGTCAGGAGACTGCATTCCCAGGTAACTCGCAACAAAGCATGCAAAGTTTCGTATCTAATGAGGGCTTAACAAATGGAGATTCGGCTTATGCAACTCAATCCCAGTTTCAATTCTCACATACCGGTAGGGAGGACGGAGATTTCCAGGAGCCACCACGAAAGAGACGAAGAGAATCTCCAGAACCCCCGAATGATAGTCAGCAGTCGATGAATGGCGGTCATTATAATATGTCAATGCGAGAACCATCTCCGACTGAACCTAGTGATTCATTCTTCTATCGTCAAGAACCAAAGCTCTCCCAAGGGGAAGAAGCTCCAATGCCATTACCACCCCTACCCGAAAATCATCATCATGGGAAAAAGAGTTTGACTTTGTTATCACTTTTCCACAATGAGAACTCGTACTTGGGCACGAACGAACATAATGACCAGGAAGCCTTTCGCACGATGTCCGGTGTAGAGCTCGATATTCCTATAGATAAGTCAGCCAACACTGCTGTTCATTGGGCCGCTACTCTTGCACGATTACCCGTTCTACAAAAACTCATTCAATCAGGCGCAAGCATATATCGAGTTAATCTCAGGGGAGAGACTGCATTGATGAGAGCATGTTGTGTGGCTAATAATTTAGATCAGGGCAGTTTCCCTGACCTTCTTGAGCTACTTGGCAACACTATTGGTTTCCAAGATAATCGTGGCCGAACTGTTCTACATCACATAGCTGTCACATCGGCTGTCAAAGGGCGTAGTCCTGCCAGCAAGTATTATCTTGAATCACTTCTCGAATTTGTCGTTAGGAAGGGTCGTTCATTTAATGGTCAATCACAGAATACTGAACCTTCGAATCCTCATGCCATGGATATTGGTCGATTCATGTCTGAAATGGTAAATGCACAGGATAATTCAGGTGACACTGCTCTTAACATTGCAGCTAGAGTGGGTAACAAGAGCATCATATCTCAACTTATGGAAGTTGGAGCAGATCCTGAAATTCAAAACAATTCCAAGCTGCGTCCATCAGATTTCATTGGCGGTTTGACAAATCCTGGTGATCGTTTAGGTGTCGCAAGTCCTGATAAGAGAGGAAATAAAGCCACACGGGAGACCAGTGGTGAAATAATTGACTGTAAGATACATAATATCCTCATACCTCCGATTTGACTCTAATATACTTCCAGCCATAAATGCGACGCTTCAGTCAACTCTTCAGGACTTTGGAAAAGAAGTAGAAGCCAAACAAGCTCAAATCGACTCCATCCATGCCAAACTTCGAGAAGCATCCGCCAGCCTAGGTGAAGAACGACGTGCTATGGAAGCAAAACAAGAACGCAACAGACAACGTGAAGAACGTGACCTCAAAATCGCAAATCTTACTCGGGCCGCGGAAGAAGAAAGTGCAAAATTACTTCAACTTCAACAACAATTTAACCAACCAATTTCTGATCTAGACCTCGAGATGCATCTTGGTGATGCCGATAAATCCTTGGCGATTCCACCTATTCCTGCTGATATCAATATTACTCCTACTCGAAACTCGAATGTTGAATACGATCATGCTCAAAGACAATTGTTATTACAACAATTACCTTCGATGCATATACTTCAAGCGAGAATTAATGCATACAAAGCTATTAACGATTCGTTGGAAAGAAGCGTGCAAGAATTAAAAAGTAAAGATACAGGCAGGATAGCAAAGTATAAGAAAATTATCAGTTTGTGTACGGGTGTAGATATTTCGAAGGTTGATGGTGTTATTGAGGGGCTGGCTAGGGCCGTGGAGAGTGAGAGTGATGTTGATTTAAATCGGGTTAGAGAATTTTTGACGAGGGTGGAGGGGGTATAGAGGGATTGATGAGTTTCAGAGGTAAGGAAAGGACAAAGTGGGCTAATGTAGGAAGGCGTGAGGAAAGAGTGCATATAGGGTATATTGTGGATTCGTTCAATGTGCATGGATGGCGTTTGGATTGCAATGGAACGGAATGGCATCACTCATGCGGATATGATTATATGCGAGGAGCATTACTATTACTTTGTATATGGATATGGATTGAGGGAAGAAAAATACTGGTTTGTGGTAGTCTGGAGTGGGAGTGGAAACGTATCTGTGTCTGTGTCTGTAGTTATAGGTATAGGTATATGATAGGGTGGAATAGCTAGCTTAGCTAATGCGTGGGGAGAAGCCTACCTAGTAACTAGCTATATAACTGAGTGTTAAATCCAATACGCCCCCGTTTGCTACTTATCCCCTTTTGACTTTTGCATATTTTTGAGGTAGGAATAATAGGTGAAGGAATATACTAGGATAAGATTGTCATGACGAGGTATATGAAATAGGAAATAGGCTCCAAGTAAGATTAAAGAGAGAGTGTCGATCTAGTAATATACCAATCTTACAATGTGAGTTTTGTTTGAAGTTATAAGTTGTTTATTTCCTGGTGTTGAAAGATTTATAAGATGAGAGATGAGAGATGAGAGAGAGAGATGTGAGGTTTGAGGTTAATAAGGTTGGTTAATCAATAGAGTTATGTTGAGTTCATGTTCATATTCAAGCTATGGTACTTGATTACTTTATTGTGTATTACAGTATAGAATTTGATGGATCAAATGTGAGATCTTGGGTAGGTTGAGTCATATTTTACTTACTTATTATTCGATTCGATTCGTTAGTTTTTTTTAAAAAAAAGTTTGATTTGTTAAGGACCCAGTGACTCGGGAACTCATCCATTTCGTACAAGATGTTGTGTTTTCTTTCAGTCAATCCTCCTTCGATGTATCTACTATCTGCGCAGATTTTAATCTTACCTTTAAGAGGTAGATGGGGTGGACTACTTTGGACTCTCTGTTCCTGCCCGGGGGGTTGGGAAGGAGGAAGTTTATTCTTTGAGGTTAATAAAACTTTCTTTTTTCTTTCTTTCTATTTTTCTTTCTTTCTTTTTCTTTTTTCCTTGGGTACTTTTATTAATATTTTATATATAACCGTATGTATTCACAAAAATCAAAATCAGAAATGGAAAATGAAGAAATCGTCATATAACTTATGATAATAATGCAAATCAGTAAGATGTCTATAGAAGATGGAAGCGATGAAGTAGTTGCATCGCGGTATCATTGTCGGATACAGTTAGGGGATATTTAAGGGTTGTAGGTTTACTTAGTATTGGGAATTCCTGTGGATATTGGATGGATTTCGATACAGTTTTATAGAAATAGAAATAGAAATAGAAATAGAAATAGAAATAGAAATAGAAATAGAAATAGAAATAGAAATAGAAACATTAGCAAATATAGAAGAACATCATAATAATAACGATAGATTTACCGACATAAGTAGTAATGACCTCGTTAATGGCATCGAATACGTGAACCACGGATACTAGGAGGATATCCTGACCAGCTGGCAAGATATCCTACTTTTTCGCCGCATAGCAAACATGACGGTGCGGTGATCGTTCAATTATACCTTATAATATCACGTAGAAGATTCGAGAGTGGTGGCTTAGTGCAAGAAATTCTGCTTGTGCATACGTTTAATAAACATATAACTCTCTGTTGGAGGACCAAGAGTGCAGGTGCAGCGTGTAAACTTGGATCGTGCAGGGATATACTCGTATATTAAATGCCATCTCATGCGTCCTGTCCTCCAGGAAGGAGTAGGGTTTATCGCTCTTCTCTATCGTGCAGAATCTGGGGTAATCGCCGAGCCTTCGCATGAGACTCGGTGTGAGCTAGGCGTGGGAATTTTGCATGTCATTTTTGTTCATTGCATTCGCTTTCAAGCTATATACTTTCTTACGGCTGTTCAATTACTTTATTTGCATCTGTAAGATAAGCTTTAACTATAGATCTAATAATACAACACGCCAACATGGATATATATCTATGGCTGCGATTCCATCTTCATGATGCTGGGGGCAGGAAACTGTAGATGATTACCGGCTAGGTAAGATCCTACTTATGATCGCCCTCATCAACCGAGCATTCATGACGCCTGTCGCTGCTGTCATCATGAATATTTCCAACTCGATTTTCAGCAAAACTTTTCATTCAAAGGGACATCTAAGAATGCTCCACCTCGTTGATATCATGGAAAGTCCAGAGAAAAGCGCGATCCGGTATTGAGTTTCTTCGGTGAATAATTATGTAAACATTGGCCATGATACATAAGAGTATGATGCTATAAAATTCATTCTCGCTCTTTTAAATTTCCTGTACCTGTCACAGAGTAGCCAGTGTTCTCAAACTAGGAATCTTCAGCACTGTTAGACCACAGACCGGTATACATATGATCGCCATAACCATGAAGATACATGTACCTGACACTACCAAGCAATCCTGAGATTTTTGTAGAGGATGTATGCCGATGTTTACGTGTTGGGTTATGGAGGAGGATAAAATTCAAGATTTGGTCCCCTAAATCATTAAAGGACCATACCATTTCACAACTTCAATGATAACTTTATCATCGCATGACTGCATAATCTCTAATGAATTCATTCTGCAGAATTCCAATCATACTACACTAATAGTTGAATTCCTCATTCCTTCCATAGAATTACTGCCCAGAACATCTCACTCCATTTCCACATAACCATCATAATCAACCTTCACCTCTCCATCATAAATCCTGCACCCTCACTCCACACATCCTCCTTCGCAAACTCTACAAACCTCACATTACCATTCCACCATTCCATCTTTTCATCCTCCCTTCTCTTCCCTCTCCACGAAAAGTGGAGAATCATCATCGTGGCGAACACATGTCCTTACTCCGTATGTATACCTGCCGACTCCGCACACCAACACTAATCAACGCCACGCAACATTGAGATATGCAACATTTGGGATAAACGTTACGATAGAGATTTGGTGGCAAGTTATTATTAGGAGGAAAGTGGAAATGTGGAGGCTTGTTTCGCATGAGATCGCCACAGGTTTTGAAAGTTTGCAAGTTTGCAAGTTTGCAAGTGTGCAAGTATGCTCCGTAGATAAGAGCACACAGTAAGTAGAGGTTGGATGACTAATATCTGTCATACCGATATGAAGAAACTCAGTCTCAATTGCATATATCATTTGGAAAAGAGGTATCTCATAAAGGAGATCAGATGTGAGATCACCTTACCAAATATAAAACTCAAAAATACAAAGTAAAAGTTTACAGCCAGCTGACCTTTAAACCTCTTACCTCTTATTCGCCACAATGGCACAATCATTCACCTCCATCTGTTTTGTATGCTCACCCCTGCACAATCCCACCACCACGTCGGAAGCACCGAAATATAACGATATGCAACAAACCAGAACTTTACCCAGTACAGCACTTCCGATCATCTCTCCTCTCTCCATAACAATCAATCAATAAACAATCTCAAAAACACAGACAACTAACTCCGTACATGCAATCCATCCACCCAATCAATATAAAAACCCAGCTAGCGAAGAAGAAGCTACGGTGGACGTCCAAATGAACCAATCAATCTACGATACATCTCCAACCGCAAATGCATCACTTATGTTTCGGGACGTCCGAAATTGCCCAGCCAAGTTCACTCACTCAGGTGGGGTGGGGTGGATTATATAAGTAAGTAAGACGTACTTGGGTACTAAGTAGGTAGGTACTAGGTAGGTAGGTACTAGGTAGGTAGGTACTAGGTAGGTAGGTACTTAGCTATGATAAGTTTATCTTTTTACCAATAATTGGTAACAATCATAATCTACCTTGAGATCTTATCGAGTGAGTCCATTTTACCTGTCTGTCTGTGTAGAGTATGTCTTGCGAAACTAGTGGGGAAATATAGGGAATGGGAATAGGAACGTTTAAGGTCATGTTGTGAACTAAACTTACATAATAAGACAAGACAAAAGAAGACAAGACAAAAGAAGACAAGACAAAACAAAACATTAGCTACCTAGATATGTAGAGTATAACATATCATAAAAATAACTCGTGCAGAATATGTACGGTGCGTAAAATATACCATCGCAAATCAGCCAATCAACCAATCAAATCATCAATCTCGCACCCCTCAACTCTAGAACCTTCGAACCTCAGACCTCATCAAAGCTCAAGCTCCCAACCTCGAAGAATCAGGAAATTTAGTATTTGAAGGACGGCCACCCCGAAATGTTGAGATGTGCAACAAATTGATCTTGTTGCTTTTAATGTCAATTGTGAATAGATTCTAGATTTTGGAAACGGACACCCCGAGATCTTTAGATGTGCAACAAATTCATCTCGCAAGTCCCAACCTCTCTCCTCAGACCTCAACGCAAACCAACGGATCAAAGATTGTAGAATCTGCGGACACCCCGAGATTCTTAGATATGCAACAAACCTGTCTACATCTCCCACCCTCGGTGCCAAACCTCAGCCAGCTCCAAACCTAGAGTAAAGAAAGAATCAAAGAGTTCAGAATAGAATCTCGAATTCAAAAGTCCGAACACCCCGAAATTCTCAGATATGCAACAAACCCAGCCACCCACTCCTTCCTCTCCAATCCATCTCACATCCCTAAACCCTGAGATCGACTCAAGATCTGTATGTACAGTACTTCGGACTATCCGAAATCTTTAGATATGCAACAAACCCACGATACCCCGCTCCAATTATCTCATACCTCTCATACCTCTCAGCCTCAAAACTCAAACCTCAAACCTCAAACCTCAAATCTCAACCCCCAATCCCAGAACCCGGAATCCACAACCCAGAATCTATAGTCCAAAAACGGGCACCCCGAAACCCTCAGATACAATCTACCCCGCTCCATCTCAACTCCCCACACTCAAACCTCCCCAAGTCTCACCCAAGAACCCAGAACCCAGAACCCAGAACCCAGAACCCACCCAGATTTCAGAATCTGTATATCGGACTGTCCGAAATTCTCAGATATGCAACAAACCCATCTCCCACCCCTCAACCCTCAAACCAGACCTCTTTCTCAACTCCCAACTTTTACCCAAGAATGCAGAACCCAGATTTCAGAATCTGTATACGGAATGTCCGAAATCTTTAGATATGCAACAAACCCCTCCTCCTCCCTTCCAATTCCCACCATTCCCTCCCTTCCAAGTTCTAACCTAAAAATCTCCATCCCTAATCCCCAAACAAATCACACATCGGAGTATCCGAAAGGTTTCGATATGCAACAAAACCTCCTTTACACTTATGGACCCTACTAATCATAGCCTTACTAACCAATTTATTAGTAATCTACTAAGTAGCTATATACGTATCGGTGGAATTTTGAAGGCCCCTCTGCAATCTATACATGCACAGACACAGACACAAGACACGTAGAAGCTATAAAATCAGTTATTCAAGGATCCAAGATTCCATGATAAGATATGACGGATATACCGAAGAAATGAGATGAGATGTGCACAAAACTTCCTATTTGATCTTGGACATTAGGTGCTTTAAGTTTATATATGGAATAACATAACCTTAACTCCAAACTCCAAACTACAAACTTCAAAACCCCTCCCCCGATCAATCCATATACAAAACGGACACAGATACACCGAAAACTCTCGATATACAACAAAACTCCTCAACTTCCTATCAACCTAACCCCGGAAAAACCCCTTCAATATAAATCTCAAGGTCTTATATAGATAATCCCAAAATCAGCTAGCTACTCCGAACTCCCCTCCTTCCTCCCTCTACCCATCCACCAAGCCAAAAAAAAAAAGTCAAAACAGATATCCCAAATCATTAATCTATTATAAACTAAGATTTATACTCCTCCATAGATTATATTATATTTAAAGTTAAAAGTTAAAACTTAAAACTTAAAAGTTAAACCTTAAAAATTAAAAAGTTAAAGAATTAAAAATTAAATTCAAAATTCAAAACTAATTAACTATAGATCCCTCTACTTCTACTCCATCTTCGATATCTCCAAGCTGCATCTTAAAACTTTCATCATCAAGACTTCAAGACTTCAAGACTTCCAGACTTCCAGACTTCAACCAAACGACCCAGATCAAAAACCCAATATCCAATATCTAACATCTAACATCTAACATCTAATAAAACTCTTAATAAATTTTCAGTATCCAATAAAGTTATTTCTCAACCCAAATATCCTAGGAACCTAAGCACCTAAGCACCTAAGAACCTAAGAACCTAAGAATCCAAGAATCTAAGAATCTAAGAACCTAAAATCTTTCTTCAGTTACCTACTACCTACCCACCTACCTATCTAGGTATACAATCTATATAACTTTTAACTTTAACTGTAATTTCATATTCATATTTCATAATACCTACCTAGGGTAACCTAGGGTAACCTAGGGACCTTAGGTATATGTATGTATATATATATATTTTAAGTTCTCTGGTGTAAGTTTCATTGTGATTGTGGTAAAGTTACAATTACTGCGTGTCATCATATCCTTATCGTTACTTATGGATGATACAACTCACATAAAGTAATTGAAGAAAGTAAATAAGTAAACCATTCACATCCCTTAATGCAACTCCAATTCAGTACAATTCAATTCGATCAATCATTACCTGTAAATACCTAGTCCGTTCATTCCTAACTTAACTCCATCCATGCATTTGTTCATGCATCAATTCATCATCCTCAGCTATGCGAAAATATCATAAAGAAGTTGCCTCCCTCCCTCCACCTTCCTTTCCTTTCCTAAACCCTTCCCTGCCCTTTATCTCCATCCCCTCCCATCCTCTCCCATCCTCTCCCATCTTCTCCCATTCCCCATACCTTCACCAATCCACTCAAGTATAAATACTCTCCGTCCAACTATTAACCTGCAAACCCGTCTCCGCCATCGGTGCATCCTTCAAAAAATCCAAAGGCATCCAAACAAGATGTCCCTTAATCTGATCCAACTTCTCTCTAATTTCCTGTGGAGGAATCATACGATCATAAATGTGACCTGAGCGAATTCCCTTTGGTGGAAGGAATTTATCATAGTCGTCGAAGGTTTTGACTATTTGGTGTTAGTAAGGTAGTCAGATGACAGAATAAGATGTGGGTGGGAAACGAGAGAAGAAGAAAAGAGAGAAAGGAGAAAAGAGAGAAAGGAAGAAAACAAGTTGATTAGAGTGACCAAGAAACAAAACCTTACCAAAATTATCCGGATCGGCATGAAATAATTGTCTAAACATTTGAGAATTCTTCGTAGCCCTACTAGTCCACATTTCCCAAACATCATCACTTAATGGATCTTCCACAAATTGATATGTTTCTCCTTCATGAATATCATTTGGAACATTAGGAGGTTGAGCATTAGGATCATTATCCGCATCTAAATCTTGCGGTAACAACAATCCTAAATGTTCACGCCAGAGATACCTCCTCAAAGTAGCTGCATGATAACCTGCTTCGTATGGTTGTCCATTCATTGTACTTGGAATAGTTCTTGTATCTGTCATGACAATTGATAGTTCACTATCATGAATACCAAGTTGTGAACGATCGTTAAGGTTAGAACTTCCGCAAATAACTGTTCTGTCATCAACGATTAGAACTTTACCATGAATATAAAGTTCTTCTTGAATCCAATTATCGGCTTCTCCTTCAAGATCACCCTCCCATGGCTCATCAACCAAGTTCCCTTGCATATGCATAGCATTTTTAGCCACACTGTCAGTACTCGTTGGTTTTTGATCCGTACCGGCTGCTTCTGCCTTGGCTTCGAATTTTCTCTTCGCATCAGTTCTTCTCTCTAGACTTTCATCTCCAGAGTCATCATGATGTAAAGCATTTTTAGCTCTATCTTTCAACTCATCATGCTTTTCAACCCTTTCAACACCCTTTCCATGAATACCCGAGTCCATAATTTCCTCTGCCTCTGCTCTTTGCACATCTTGATATTTGACCCCAGATTCTTCCTCTTGTTTCTTAATTGCTGGAGTAACATTTAAACGATCATAAGATCGTAAGTTAAAGAAAAAGATATGTTCTTCAGGATCGACACCTTCCTTCCTAACTTGCTCAAATATCGAATGTTCACCTCGACAGATAGATTTATATTGATAATCCATAATAGCTCTCGTTCCTGTCGCTGCCTCATTTCTAAGATCACCTGCAAAACCTGGAATGGAAGGAATCAAAATGATGACTCGGAATTTTCTACCCTCTTTTCCAGCTTTGACAACAGCATCAACAATTGCTCTTCCAATAGTATTTCTAATTGGAGCTTGTTGATCACCAGTCGCAGTGATAAAGAATTGATTCTCGATATAAACGTAATGTTGGGCGTTTCTAATGAGTTCACTGTAAGCATTCTGAATGCTGTGTTCCACAAGAATACCACTGGACCAATCGGCACTACTTCGAACGACTTGAGCATGAACAGTTCCTTGCTCTCCTAATGACTTCGTATTTAATGGTGTAAGTGGGTGAACGATGTATTCTCCAACGGGATGTTTTGGTCTTTGTACTCCAATCAAATCTTCATCCTCACCATCCCTACCCTCAAGAATCAACCAATCGAATCGTTCATCACGTTTATATTTGTCTCTTTTGACAAAATTCCACCTCAAGACGAAATGTTCCGCGATATCATAAACACAATCTCCAACGACACCCATAGCAACATCATGCCATGGCATACGTCCATATTCAGCTTTTGATAATTCGTTGGCTTTCCAATCTTTCACATCTTGAAAATCCATAACCCGGTTATTGTTGAAATCCTGTCCCGGCCAAACTTCAGTCGAAACCCCCTCTGGATGTACATCAGCGAGAGGATGTTGATGGTTATCCCATCTTCCGAAGCATAAATCTAAACCACCAATAAATGCCAAATTGTAATCAATTACAATAAACTTTTCGTGATGGGCCCAATAGAATGTCATATCTGCAGCATTCTCGAAAACATTATGATCGGGATGACGCATAATTTGAATATTTCCATATCCTGGAGTTCCTTCAGGGCATAAAGCTTGAAGAGCATGTTTCGTGTGTTCAGAATTGCAAGTAAGAGCAGCCTAAGGAAGGAGTCAATAACTAAGACCTCAAGAATTCCGTTCGCAAAACATACCTCAACTTCTCGATAAACAATAACGAAAATCTTAACACCAGCTTCCGCCCGACGCTTAAGGATTTGATCCAAACGCCATTGTTGATTATAATATGGAGGCCTTCGCATGAAAAGTTCTGGCGATAACCACCAGTCGGCGATATATATAGTTTCCTTCGCAGCTTCAAGCGCAATCGATACAGCCCAAAAGTAATCCCTCCCATCCACATACCACTTTATATTATTTCCCGGTCTTTCCGGCGCAAATGATTCGAAGCGATGAGACTCAGCAACCTTTGATCTCTTCTCATCTGTGATCTTCTCATGTTCTTCGTCATGACGATGATTTGGATTAAACTAGATGAAGGTTAACATGTATTTGGAAGGTTATCTAGAGTATGAGCGAACTTACTAGATTTCCTAATTTGCCAATTTGATGCCTGCCTGGTGGTCAATAAAGTAAATTTTAGACGCCCATTCTTCAACCTACTTCTTCTGTATTAAACCAACCTTCACATCATGAAGTTTGGTATCATGTAACTTTTCTCGCAAACTAGCCAAAGGATTCTTCATCTTCTCCTTCAACTTCGAGGGATTAGATCCGCCATCTGCGGGAGCTTGAGTAGCCATATTGAAGGTCGCTATCTAGTCAGGTACTTAGCGTACTATGACGCCAGTGTAGATATCGTGAGCCTGCACGTAAATAGACGGTCGACGTGGTAAGTAATGACTTGCTGTAGAAGAAAGAAGTCTCAGTATCCTTAGTCCTGGCAAAATACAACACGATTTGGGTGTTTAGTAAATGTTTCCAGTCCCTTCTTAAAATCGAATGAGGGGCTGAATCGCGGGGCAATCAAGGTTAGTTTTTCCAAATTGAAGCTTGGTTTTAGTGAATGCCCAGCCTTATAATACGTCACTGTACTGTACCGCGTATCTCATAATATATCTGTGCCTACGCCTACTGTTGATGTGCCATGAGACATGAGATGAGAGATGAAATGAATCTGAAGCCCTGAAAATTAAGCTCAACTTTCTCATGCGCTACAATAAAAATGGTTCGTGAATCCTAACATGTCCTCTTGTACTTATGATAGATATACTCATAGACTTACAATATCAGACACCGCTATTCTATTTGTACAAGAATGCAAAGTTCTTTCAATCATCATTTCTCTCTCTCTCTCTTACAAATAGCGACAATGGCTGAAAACGGGGTGTATTGCGAAAATAGTGTGAACGCGACTCCACCGATCCACCAAATTCCCATGCGACTGAGCCTAAGGTCTTCCTCTCCCCTGCAATATTGGAGCCGAACTTTTGGCAACGATAACAATCCAGATATCTCCATGCTGGCGATAACAGGAAAGGGAAGCTTTCCTTGATACCTATTGCATAAGTGGAATGTCGCATGATAAACGTAGTACTTATCATTCATTCAGCCCAATGAATCTCAATCATAAGATCGTACAACCGGCCTCCTAGCACAATATTCTGTCGCTTTGATAGGTTAACCTCAGCTCTGCCGTATGAGCGACGATGAACCTCAGAATATGCTAAGATAAACCTATTGCTCAAGCTCTCTCTCTACACATACACCAAATAAGCATACCGAAGATTCCGGTAAACCACCTCACCTCACCAATCCAATCCCATCCCTACTTACCCCATATCTCCTCTTCCTCACAAACAAAATCTCAAATCTCAAATCTCAAATCTTCAATTTTCTCTACATATTTCTAGGTACCAAACAGTTGATATGTATCTTCAAGTACTTATTTTCTCATTTTTCCATCTATCATGCATGACCATATATATAAAAATATTCCACCATACCATATCTTGCCAATATCCCTATCATATCCACATCATATCTTACAAAGTAAACCAAAGCAAAGCAATTGATTCACAACCCAGATTCCAAACCATCTAAACCATTTAGTGAATGTGAGTCCTCACTCATCTATTTTGAATTCCATTTGATGCAATTCGAACGAGACCAGATGGAAAGTGTAGGTAAAAAATACTTTTGGTAGAGCCCTCAACCCTTTACCATACCAATACCGATGCCGGAAGACATGATTCCACCAAACACCAAATTCGAAAATCCTATAACTGCCCACCTACCCATTCACCCCAGTTACCCATCATGACCCAACCAAAAGCAAAAGATATCAAAACACCTAATAGTATGACTTCTCCTCAATCTTATGAGTAGAACACTCATGTATCATCACAAATTCGCCACTGTTTGTCCCACTCTCCCACCAACCAATCCCCTCCTATTTCTGCCCGTTCTACCTCTTCCCAACCAGTTCAGCTTAAGTCCACGTCCTAGATCTTCCATTTTCTCCTGACTTGAATCATTTCCTGCTCGTATACCCACGCTACTAAGCACACTCATACACTGTAACATTCTACCCACAGCCTCCGTAAGTTTCTTTGAAGAATCTTCTACATTTGCCTGTCTCCTCTCCCTAGCACTCAATCCATATCCCACCGCAGGATGTGTAGTACTTGGCGTAAAAGGTCTTGGAGGGGGTGGCATCCCGGAAATACCAAGACCGCCGCCTCCACCTGCGGATTGCTCAGAACCATAACTCACATTTGAGATGGCCCGTGAGCGTGAACCCGGACCATCACCAGCCGAACTACCACCTCCTAGAAGCGTAGTATTTTGAGAAGAATAAGATCCATGACTGGGATCTAAACTGATAGCTGTACCTGGTCTTCCTTGGCTATCTGGACTAATAGATCTTATATCAGAGTTAGGGATGCTGAGACTGATTGAATCGAGTGAGAGACGTGAGAATAGCCCCTTTAAGATTTCATAACGAGGAATAATTACTGTGTCGCGGTATGCAATGAGGACTATTTTGCGTACCTCAAGCGGACGAATTTTAGGGACACTGGGAGAGGAGTCGGGTTGAGGTGGAGGAAGGGTACCCCAGGCCTCGCGTGCTGCTTCTGGTGACATTAGTGGGCCATGGCCGGAAAATTCGAGATCAAGTGGAAGGAAGACGGCTTGCATGTAAGGGAGGACGGATGTAAAAGTAAAGATCCACATTTCCACGAGGTGGGGTATTAGCCGATCATCGGGAGTTCGACGTAAAGTTTGGTCAAGAGATCTAAAGCCTGTTTCGAGTAACTCTCTTAGATCGTCTAAAATAGAACTTGGGCATCTTTTTTGTATACATCGCTGGATATGGGTGCTGTAATATTGTCAGTCCAGTAAGATCTATGAAGGGATAAAAAGACTTACGTGACTAGACGATTGAGATCCTCCACACACAACCTTAGATCTTCGCCCTCAAATATAACCAATAATTTTGCTTTTAAGAATGGCCATGCATCATCTGCTGCCATGTTGTTCAATCCATATTTTCCCAAATCCGATGTGTCAGGTCCAAAAGTGCTGGAAGGATAGCCTACACCCGCGGGACCTAAGTATGACGCTGCCCCTGCCGAACCAAGACTAGATGGTCCAGGCCATTCGTTACTATTTTGATATGATAACTCTCCTTCTCTCAACGTTTCACTTTTCTCTTCCTTTTTCTTCTCTCTCAATGCCCTTCCACCATGCCTTAGGTCCAAACCGCTCATGCTCTTTGCAAAACTTGTAGATGTAGGACCTGGACTTGGTGGAAGGTTGAAATTATATAGACTGCTCGGTGCACTAGGATCCACAGGTTTGGAGTTTGATGCCGCTGATGATAATGGTAGATGATGATCGTCTTTACTGCTCAGCTTGTGTTTCTGCCGAGATAAAAAGTGGTGTTTATGTTTCTCCTTGTCTTTCTCCTTTTCTGGTTGTGGTGTATCAATTGGTCGTATCGTCGCCGAGGAAGAATTCGCCATGCTGTACATACTTGCGGAACCTAAAGCACCTACGTAGTGGTCAGTTTTGCATATTCCTCATATTCAATTTACAGAAGCAAGCATACTAGGACTTGGAAGAGCTCCAGATTTTACTTCTTTATCCTTGCTTATACCAATCTTTCCAGGCCTCGAGAATAATTTGACTTTAGACTTTTCTGTTTTAGCAGGCTTTTCGGTTTGTACCTGCGTCGGAGGCTGTGCTTGCGCCTGCAACTGGGCTTGAGCTTGCGCTTTTGCTTGAGCCTGAGCATGCGCTTGGTTTCGTTGTTCATATTCCGTGGATGTCAATGCTGGTGATGATCCAGGGGATTTTGAAAACACAACACTTGCAGCTGTTTGAGCCGCACTCGATCCTCCCCCAAGCAATCCATTGTGATACCCTTGTCCACCGAATGAAGGATCCCTCGGAGCTGAAGCTTCTGTCAAACTCAATAAAGGTGGTGAAATAGGACCTTTTGAAGGTCTGCGACTTTCAGAGTCATTCGACGAGTTATCCAATTGTGGAGTCGGTACAGTCTGGGATCTTTGGCGCGCATGTTGTGATTGGTGTTGCATAGCAGCCTGAGCAGCTATGTGACTCGCAGAAATTCCAGTGTTTAAATTCGACATACTTCCCAAATTGGATGATGCGGCTGTTGGCAAGTAAGGCTCAAAAGAACCTTGAGTTTGTGAATGCTTGCGCCCGTGACCCTTGAAATCGCTAAGCGATGATTTTGGAGCTACAGGAGTGAGAGGTGATGCATTCCTCAATGGCGTACCGCCAATATCAGTTCTTACTTGTGCGAGGGTTGGTCGCGAGAAGTTTTGTAGACTGGTGGTGCTTGAGTTGCTCTTGGTTGATTGGGCGTAGAAAGGTCGTGGAGGGGCAGGCGCATTCTGCGACTGTGGACGAACTTTGCTGGAAAGGGATGGAGGTAGAGGTAAATCTTCCGACGACGAGGACTCAACTCTTCGCAGCGGGAGTCGTTGAGTCGTTGAGGCCTGTTGCACAATTGGAGAAAAGCTCCCTGGTGCCCTTGGCACAGGAGGCCCTGTTGACTGTGACATGGTTATCTTTGTGGAAGTGGGACTTTTATATGTTTTGCGTTAGTCTTCCGTATCTTTCAGGGTACAACAGCGGGGCATCGATTGTAGCGAACGACGCTGTGTCTTGGACATTTCCGCAAGGGGGAGAAGAATGAAGAAGATCTGATCATGAATCCAGACGACGATGATGATGTTGGTGTGGATGAGGTTTTGAATATCGTAGGGATCAAAAAAATGGGGTGTATGACATGCGATGCAGTAGTATCTGGGATTTTAATCCATGTCTGATGGTAACAAGTCCCTTGTTAAATTTTGGAGTTGTTTGATGTTGCTTTGGCTTTTCATTTGTTGACTCGGGCCTTGTCGTTTGGACTTTGGCGGGGGATCTTAGACCTAGTCTCCGGCGCCAAAACAAGAAAGCCGACCTAAACTAACAAATTCAATTCCAAACCTCTCATTTTTGGCCTGAAATGCTATATCAAAAATTAAAAATACATCCTCTCAATACTTTTGATTGTGCGAATACAAAGGAAAGAAGGAAAGAAAGAAGATAGCAATGGCGATACCAGATACAACCACCACCCCCTCTGCGGCTGAACATGAGACTTCGCACCAGATCTTGTCGGCAACATATTCTTCTCCGAACAACGAAACGTTTGAGCACGTCCATAAGCTACCCACGCTTACACCAGACAAAGTGAGCGATAGGACCTCATATTTAGGGGCATTGCGAAAAGCTACAGTGGATATGCAAGAGAGGATCAATAAGGAGTTGACTGCACGAATGGAGGAAGATAAAGTACGAGAGACTGGAAATGCAAATGGATCAAAGGTCGATGGTGGGGTAATTGATGAAGCCAAGGAAGAAGATAATTATGGTGAAGAGGTTGTGGAAGAGGATGATTGAATTATTTCATGATTATAATGCTCGATGCTACATTGCCAATCCCTCCAAAAACTCCATCGCTGTGTAACCATCACCATTCACACAAGCTAAATATTATCGTCCTCCCCACGAGCCTCGCGACGAAGATGGACGTTGAACATTTGCTCGACCCAAACACCCATAATGTACAACCGAACTATCCGGCAAGACCGCAATAACACTACCTCCCAATCTCTTATGACAAACACCACATACCCTCTCATCGCTTACGACAACTCTCCTATTCCTCCCCCCTTGACCATTGGGTAAACCGTCACCTAGCAATAACGTTGCTTGCGCACGCACAACTTCACTTTTTCTCAATCCTGCCACGACCCGAGATTCATTGACGATCGAATTTGCGGCTCGTATACGACCACGGAAATATGATTCGAGTTCTGCCACAGGAAGTTTTTCCGGAATCAGATCAAGGGTAGAGGATGCAGGTAGACGTGATCCATGTCTTGATAGAAGCTGCAAAGCAGGTGGCCAGTTAGGTTTATATGGAGGTAATGGCTTAAGATAAAGAGAAAGAAGGGTGTGATATATAGATGGTAGAGGGTCACCCTTCTCTGATCTCGATGCGCGGTGTGTTGGGACTGGTGATGATGTTGAAGCTTCTTGGTTCATATGGACCCTGTTACAATATCTGAGGATGTTAGCATAAGCAATCTCAACAAAAGTCAAGCTCGGATACTCACTCTTCGGCCTTCTCAAAGTCCTTGATCTTGAATACATATATTTCAAGTGCCTGTTTGTGTGAACCCATGTTACTTAATACAACAGCCTGGGCTTCGTAGAAATTCGGATCTATAATGAATGTTAATGAATTTACGTTCCATCTTTAGTAATTGAATCATACCTTCTCTGTCTATCAACCCAAATGCCCTTCCACAAGAATATATGTTACTCGACCGTAAGAACGATACCATTCGTCCCATCAGATCTTTCCATTGTTCGGAATCTCTATCCAGCCTCTGCTTCAATTCTTGCATATATGCCCCAACAAGTCGATTATGAAAATCGGCAGTCATATCATTAAGCTCATTGATCACATGCTCCAAGTACCTAACCTCAAGATTGATATCGATGTTGTGCAGAAAATTGAGGACTTTCTCTCTCGGTAATGTCTCCGCATTCTCTGTATCAGCTAGGAATATTTCCATACCAAGATCAGGATCAGCTCGTAGAGGCCATTCTGCGAATTCGAGAATCAGATCAATCATCTCGGGAGGTAAATGTTGAAGATAGCCAACGGTTCTTTGAGGTCCATGTAACGTTGGAGCTTGTTCATTCTCCTCTTCTCCCATACCAAACTTCTTGAGAAGCTCCAATGCAGGACGATGCAATTTTTTGCCATGGAAGAAATCAACGAGGTCATTGTATCTTCCGGTCTCTAATAGTTTCTCATTGACCACATCTGGATCACAGAAGTTTGGCAATCGAAAGAGTGGTCCCGCCAAACTCGGCATTGATAGCATATAAGAACGGAAAAGAGTAGTATCTACTAATTTCGCGGTTTCCAGCAATTTTTGCTCGCGGTCTTTCTCTGCTTCAGCTTCGGACTCGGGAGCAGCCAGAAGAGAATCAAATGTGGGTTCAGGTGCTTCTCCGTGGCCATTTTCTTTCGGATGAATGATTTTGCCGGTCTCGGAATCTAAGAACTTCTTCAGTCTCGTTCGCGCATCCACAAGGAAAGCGTTAAGCTCCTTGGCTGCTGTAATGAGATCTTTGCCTTCGAGAGGGCCATCTTCAACTGGAACTGCTTTTATACTTGCATTGTCATTGTCTGAGTTATCATGCTTCACAAAGGATCTAATTGACGATGCATCCGAGCTAGATTTTTGATGGTTCCTAATTAATTTCTTGACGGCGGCTGGCTTTAGGGAATCCTTGGAATCTGAATCGCTATTTGCACTACCATTGGCTTCATCGTTATCTGTTTCGACATCGCCATTTTTCTCCTCAACTACCGATAGATCACCAGCAATTGCCTTCGGATACAACTTGATCACATGTTCCGGAGGTGCTTCAATAGCAATAAATATATCGATTGCTGCACGGTACTTGCGTTGATTAAACAAAGCCTGAGCTTGCTCAATTTGTTGATCAAAGTGAAGTTTCGACTTGAGAGCTTCTACTTGTTGTACCCGTTCAGTCTTATTATTTAGTAAAGCATCTTCGAGCATATTAAGGATGCTAAGTGCTTCATCGTAACGTCCCTTTGCAACGAGTTCGTCAATTTGTGAATCATAATCCGTAGCGCCCATTCGCCATATACATCGCTCACTAGCCACATGGAAACCTTTTCCAGCGTGTGCTAAGCTAATATTCGGAGGTGGGAAATGCAATTGATTCGCGTTAGGCAGCGGTATCGTTTGCAAAAGGGATAGGGTATCCGGATTCCTAACCTCGAGCATTCCTTTAGATGGTGCTTGAAGAATAATAATATATGGATACGAATATCCAATAGCGTCTGGCGCTGGCTGCCAAGGGATTTGTCTTTTCTCTATTGGCTTCCCTTCCGATGTTATGAAAAGAGAATTTATATCCTTCGCAAGCAGAATTTCTCCATCTGCAAGCTTCGTCGCCAATGGCTTGGGTATATAGCCTCCTAGACCCATATAACCCATGCTTGCAGAACCCATACCACCAAATCTACCGCCTTGATTACTTGTCGCGCCTCCAATAGCTCCTGGCCCAACAATATCTTCAATTTCATGGGAATTGATATCGACAATGACATATCCAGAGTTCATGCCACAAATTATCTTAGTCGCAGATGCCCAAGTCAAAGTTCGAATAGATTCTGCGAGCGTAATTTCCGTCGTCTCGGACGACAACTCAGATTGGTGCCATGACCATATCAACAACCTTCGTTTGACGGCAACTGCAAGTCTTGATATAATTTCTGGTATTCCCGTGGCTGGGTCTTTGACAATATTTGATGTTACGGCGAAAGTGGAAGCATTCTTAGTCCTCGTCAACTGTTCCTGCAAGGCATACGTCTGCAGATCATGTATCGAGACATAGTAATTCGATAAAGATATCAAAACATTGGCCTCCTTTATTCGTGCGAGTTGCTCTATTGCTCGAGTAGAGAACTTCTCGACCTCTCGAAGTAAACCGACATCGCCCGGTGTGTCGTTCACTTGATATATGCGTAAACTTCCCGTATTTAGACCAACTATTAATCGATCGCCTGTATATAATTAGTTGAAGCTTCTTCCTCAAGCTGTAAACTTACCAAATGCAAGTATAGACTCAATCTTCGATTTGTCTCGCTGGCGAAGCTCAACGATAGGTCGAGCTGTAAAGGCGGAAAGCATGGCGTCTAACTGCCAGCTTTAAATAAAATGAAGATTGTAGCTGGAGAACCATTCATTGATCCTCAGTACATCTTATGTTCATATATCCATTCGGGTTGTGGGTTATTTCATTCATTGGCGCATGTAGCTTTATTTTCGTGTTGTATCCTCTCACCTCTACTTAGAGATGACGATGGTGATTTTACCGAGCTTCTACCGACCACAAATGGCATTAGGCCATCCATGGGAAAATGTTACAACTCACCCAATGTTGTTCAAATATTGAACCTCTTAGGATGACTACTTTTCGGTAACTACACTACCTTTATTGATGGATTGGTGGATTTTACGTGGGAAATCTGTGCTGAGTAACGATTTCTTCAGTTACATTGCTGCTTGGGCTACATTTCTGCCCGAAAAGATGCTGCAAGGCTGCTTCTTATGATTGGATATCTAAGGTTACTTGACTTACATGCATAGCAAGGCATTTACAATCCACCGCCGTGGGGAGAATCCTACATTAAACTGTCAAGAAACAAAGATGCACTACACTACATATGCTCAAAATGCGCTTTGTGTTAACGCGCAGATTCTACTTTACTTCCGAGTTATGATCACATCATCAATGAATGAGAGCGGTTGAACAATGGTTACAATCTACCCTTAATGATATTTCACAATGGGACATCGCAGATTATCTCGAAAGACCCAGGGCGTGGTGACTATCAATCATTGTCGCCCAGTTGTCAGGATGATACATCGAACGAGCAGTATCAGCCCTTCTCTTGCTCGCTGGTAGTTGACCACGGACTTGGAGGTTGAACCGGAAATCCACAAATTCCTAGAGAATGATTGACTCCAAGATCTCAACTATCGGATCACCTCTCTCTCCGCGCCTGTATTTTAGCAGTCGCTCAATCTTTCCAAATCCACTTCACTTCCCTTAATCTTCTCCGTGCAATCTCTCGAGGGAATCCCTTCTTACCCATTTCCACTATCAGCTCACCAACTTATGGTGCTCGCCTGACCCCTCCATAGCAATTTTGGGACCAAAACTTTTCCTTCCACATTGAAACATTTGATTTGTTCTTCATAGAGATCTGTGCAGATATCGGCTTGAAGACATGCAAGAAAGTATCACAGACCTTTACCTACATCACTATTGGGACCTGAGTCCCAGAGAGAAGTGCGAGTGCGGAACAGGCTCATTATTCGAACACTGTCAGAATTGGGATCTTCTCTCTTCGTTCTTTTCTACCATATCAATTCTCCCATGTCCTCCCTACCACATCTCCCCCAGCACATCTTTCCCACCATATCTTTCCCACCACATCTTTCCTACTGCACTCTCCGCCGCCACCCGTCCCCTCCACTCCTCTCTCTCTCCGTTTTCAATTCCCACAAAAGCCGAATGCCCGCATCTACAAACCACAAATCTCCTACTCACTACAAAATGTTACTCCTGGAGCTAAGTCCCCTCACCTCCTAAACAAACCATAATCTGGCTCAGCACATCCCTATCCTATCCTCACCACAGTATTACCCAAAGAAACAACTAATTCCTTATTATACAAAAATCAGATATTTAGAAAAGACCAATTTTGATTTCGAGGGTCATTTTAATATCTCGTCTTTAACTACTTGTGTGATCTGTGATCTGTCCACATACAATCACTGTCCAGTATCTGTAGTCCATCGTTTATTTTTTTTTAACCATCTATTTCTACATAGTCCACTTACCCTCAACAGCACAGAACAAAGAAAACCATTCATACTTCAAGATATCTAACGTTACAGGTAGCAAGCCGAAAGGAAAAGCAATTAGAAAACCCATTTCATACATGGAGATCACAATCGCAATCGCAATCGTTGAAGGAAAATATGAAATTGAAATATCACTAGACGCTAGACGAGAAAATATTACAGATTACAAGATTAATTTTTTCTGTGCCTGGGAATAGATTCAAGTGAGATTTCTCTAGAAGATTTTCTGAAAACTAAGTTGCTGAAAATCGTGTAATTTGAACATATAAAATATTCCTTCTGTCTAATTTATGTATTACATAAGTTGGATTTACAGGGAATTGTTCATGGTTCATGGATAGGATTGTAGGATGGTAGAGTGGTATGGGTGGAATAGATTGAGGGTTTGGCTGATGTTTTGGTGGTTTTGCCTTGTTACGATCTTATATGGAGAGAAGAAGAATTTCTACAGTTACTTTTTGTGTGTAAAGATTGTTGTGTGTTCATGAGATAGGTGTGTATGTATGTGTGTATGTATGTGTGTATGTATGTGTGTATGTATGTATGTATGTAATTAAATGCCTATCATAATAGCCAAAGCCTTAATCCATCCATCCCTCACAAACCCCTTCCTCTCCCTCTCCTTCTCCCAATCCCTAAGAACCCACCTGCGTCCCCCCATTAGGATGCAAACTCTGCCCACTAATAAAACTACTATCCTTACTTGCCAAAAACACAAAACAAGTCGCCACCTCAACAGGTTGTCCCGGTCTCCCCATCGGCGACGTAAATTCCCTCTGAGCTTTTTCATTCATAGTTGCCGGGATGAGGGGCGTCCAGATAGGACCTGGACATACGGCGTTGACGCGGATTCCCTTGCTGATTTGTTGGTTGGAGAGCGCACGTGTGAAGGCTACGATGGCGCCTTTGGTTGCGGTGTAGCTAGGACGGGGGTTGGTTGTTAGTGGGGGTTTGAAGCTTGGAGGGAATGGATGAATGGATGTTGAGTTGATGGTTGAGGGGGAGTGGAAGGAGAGACTTACTCGAGGAGATCTGGACGTCCGACGTAGGGGTTCACGGAGGCACAGGTGATGATTGTGTCTCCGCGTGACATTTGAGGGAGGATATACTTGGAAAGGAAGAAGAATGGATGAATATTCACATTGAAAGTGTCAACCCATTGTTCCCTATTGATATTAGTATCATATCATATACCTATTTCCTCAACAATAAGCACAAGGAAAGAACATACTCAGTTAAATCATCAATAGTCTCAACCATCATCTGAGTACCATGATTCAAAACCAAAATATTAATTTTCCCCATCGTCTCCTTAGCTTTCTCAGCTACAGTCTTACAAGCCTGATGACTCTTCAAATCAGCCGAGAATAAATGCAATTTTCCTCCCTTAGCTTCAACCAATTCCTTGGTTTCTTGTGCATCTTTTTCTTCATCTGGTGTGTAGATGATGGAACTTTCTGCTCCTTCCATTGCATATAGTATTGCGACGGCACGACCAATTCCACTATCTCCACCGGTAATTAAGGCTTTCTTGCCCTTCAGCTTGCCGGCGGCGACATAGGGTTGATAACCACCATCGTCGGTGGGAAGCTGATCGTTGATGGCTTCTTTTGGTAATTCAGTTTGTTGACCTGGGGTTTTAGATTGATGGGAAACGGGAGTTTGGTGACCTGTAGGTTTTTTTGTTAGTATACTGAATGGTTGTGTTGTGGAGAGTGTATGGGAGCCGTGGTAGAATACAAGAAGGGGAATTAGGAGTATCTTCAACATACCCTCTTCGAAATGACCCTTATCAGCAGACATATTTAATTCGTCGAGTGAGGGACTTTGATTTTCTATTTTGATTTACTGAAGTTGCTGAAGAAGAGAAAAGTATTCAAGTAATCAAGACACAATTCTTCATGGAAAGAGAATTCTCAACCAATTCACACAGAATTCCATCTTTTCTTATACCTACTATTTTCTGTATGATGTAGATACCTACTTGATCAATATTCATTTCTCAATCAACAAGGGACCAAATGCTCCGGAACACTCTATATTAAGGGGGACAATTGGTTAGGACAATTGGTTAGTAGTATTATGAAATCAATGCTTGATACTCAACGGAGGGGTAGCTTCTATAGATTTTGTCTTTTTGAGCCGAGAGCGATGATGTAAGGAGTTTTCTGGTAGGCTCACGTAGGATGGATAAATAAGAGTCTAGATGAATACCTAGGATGTATATTGTGAAGTTTGAAGGTTAACGTCAGAGGCATATTAATTCTCAATGAAGGGGATCAGTAGTTCGGATGGGAAATCGATGATGTAAAAAGATTTCGATGGTAAGATCCTACGATGGTATGATGGACATGGTATAATATAATAGATGAGCTAAGATGTCTGAAAGTAGTAATTGAGTACATAGTTGAAAGCCAATAGATAGAAGTTTGTATAGAGCTCAAAGACTGCTTAACGTCAGAGATTCTAAATCGAGGGGTTACGTCGGAAGAGTTGCCGAGAATTGAACCAATCAAATGGCTTGGGTTGTTGATCAAGGCATTGGATGAACATAGAGAATTTATAAATGCCATCTAAATTTACGAGATGGGTATTTGGAATACTGTTCATGACTGAAGTATAAGAGACCATAACATCCCCTCATCATTTTTGTGTTAAACCATCAACATTTGACACAAGAGATTATTATATACTGGTGTGCTAAAAGCAATACGAGTATTTTTATTTCGTACAGATCTGTATACTTTTGAGGATGTCTGTATGCCAGGTATCGAATACCTATCGCGCGAATCGACTACCTCGACTTGAGGTAAAATATCTCATGTAGTTATGAGTCCTACCGAGTCATCAAGTCGAAGGTCATTGTTCTTCCATATCGGTACAGTACTGGCCTTGGTATTTATCGCCAGCAGCTTATTCATGGTGCGACGGATATCGCAATATGACTTTCACGAGTGGATGAACAAGGTCGCATCTCAAGAATTGAATCGTTTATCTTCGTCTCTGTCTTTGTCCTTGCACGTCTGGCAAATTTCTTCCATCTTCCTTTTGTTACGAGCCACATCTATCATCCAGCACAGCCACCAGCCACCAGCCACAACCTACTCGTGTAACCGCTTTACGTCATTTTTAACATCAAGAAATCAAGTTTCTCTCCAACCGTCTTCAGTTATCTTTGGTTACTAGGTCGTAGGTGGTTATCTTGAGCCACAGGACCCTGAAAATTCTTTTAGCTAAGCCACAGAAGTACCGTCAGCCAAGACCATCTTCCCCGGCCTTTTCAACCTGATTTGCAGACAGAGTCTCGAAAGTATGTCCTGTCAAGATATCCCTTCCCTCTCATTCGTGTGAATTTCAGAATCCCCTTGAAATGACGTTTACCTATATCCTACCAAAAACATCGTCATATGTACATCACTTTTAAATTACCATCACGCACATTCACCACATCTATTCCATCATAGTATCATCGATCCTTCCCAGTCCACAATTCCCCTGCAATGAGTACCTCTCACAATGCATCAATCTCTATAAAGACTCCTAGAATGTCCCCTCAAATCCCCATTCCAATCCCCTTAACATCAACAAGTTCATTCCAAAATCAAAACATCCACACAATACCAAAAATTAAAAACAACGATCAGTTACCCGATAGAGCAACTCTCAAAACCCTCTCATCTTTTATAAAAAGCTGTCAGAATTCTCCTACGCAATCTACTACTTCATTGTCGATTTCTATACCATTACAACATACGCCTCCTCCAACACTCACAACAGCAACAACAACAACAACTCGAAGTTCACTAAGACAACCTGCAATTGCAACTCCAACCCTATTGCAAACACAAACAAACCATCAAATCCTCTCAGCTTCACCACTAGATCAAACCCCAACTATCAATATGTCCCACACAACCACAACCGTCACCACCCGCACTACCCGCGGCCAACCAGCTCATCACCACCATCGCAAACCAAGCATAGGCGATAAGATAAGTGGTGCTTTATTGAAATTAAGAGGAAGTTTAACTAGACGTCCTGGTTTAAAGGTATGGATATTTCTTGAGTTCATTTTTCATTTTCATTTTTCCTTTTTTGGAAGGGAGTTGAAGAAGTAAAGTGAAGTCCTTTGTGGAAAGTTCATGGCTAATTGATGTAATAATAAAACAGGCAGCAGGAACAAGAAGAATGAGAGGAACGGATGGGAGGGGTAGTCATCATGTTTCTGCTTACTAGGTAATTAGGTGGTGTTGTGTTTTACAGTATACAGTACTACACTATTACACTATTACCAAGTAGCAAACAAGCAAGCAAGTAGTGATGACTGCCTTCGACTACTACAGACCAGACCTGTGATATCTTGGTTTGGTTTGGTTTGCTCCGGATTGCTTTCTTGTGTACTTGAATGAATGATGGACGAAGAGACAAGTCAGGGCAAGAGGAATGAGGCTAAATAACGAGTTACGATTGATTGTATTTTATAGATAGGTTATTAATATATGGAAACGGAGGAACGGAGGATACGGAGGTACATAAATCACGATACCCAGGATAGAAGTTAAGCGGAGGAAAGTAGAACAACAGCAAGAGCAAATGTTGTACCATCTAAATATCTAAGATTACCCATCTAATTCCTTCTCAACACTTGACGTACGATTAATACTTTTTGATGTTTTTTCAATACTTTTTTATTTTGCCTTTTTAAAGTTAGAGAGAATGTGTGTGGTTGCTAGGATTGGTGTGGGTATATAATTACTTCATCAATCTCCAATAATGGTATCTTCTATATCTATCTAGATAGCTACTCATTATACCGTAAAAGCATCGCGTACACATACATACATACACGCATCACTTCGCTAAAATATAAAAGAAATTTATATATTTCATACATCCATTCATTCCACTTCTGAAATCCCTTTCTTCATAATCCCCCAAAGATATTTATTTATCATCAAACCATCTTCCCCATCCTGATTCCCTTCCTCTCTCAGCTCCTGCACCACCAGCATATTTCTTTTCTTCCTCCTCCCACTTCAACCTCTCGACTCTCGATCTCGCCAAATATGCCCTAGCAAATCTCCACGCTTCTGTATCGGCTAAATTCCACGCTTCAACCGCTCCCCTAATCTTTAAATCTCCAGGATTTTTACTACCACCAAACATTTTTGCTTTTTCTAATAGAGATTCCTCTTTCGTTTTATCTTCTTCTGCTGGAATTGGTCCATCTTGTGGATCATGAACTGGCTTTGGTCTACGTTCTGGACCTGGAACTGGAGTTTCGGATTTTCCTGTATCAGTAGCGTTACGCGGGATGGTGAAGCCGAAATACCAGTCTAAATCCGAAGGAACTTCCTTTTCGGCCGTGAGCCAGAGAGAATGAGATGTTCCATGAGGGCTTGCAACGGCTTCTTTGAATTTTATGATACGTGGAGTACCAGAAACTCCTGTACCAAGAAGTTCTTGAGTAAGTCTCGAGAGCCAAGGATCACGAGGGGACTCTCGTCTAATCCATGGGACATCGATATTCTCTCGAAAGCTAGTCAGTGTAGACATTGTGTAAGGATGAGGAACAGTTCCGATGGTATAAAGGCCGGAAGTATTGCGATAAAAAGCTGGAGTACTAATTTTCATCGGGGATGAAGCAACACATGGTTTACATTTTGGTCGGTTTGGTGGACAAGAAGCTGGCATTGCTGACTCGGGACATTGAGAAAGGTATTCAGCAAGTCGTAAAGCTGGCTCGACAAGATATGACATATGTTCTGGTTCTGGTTTGACCACGGAAATTCCTTTGGTGAAGATATTTTGCCATGTTTGATGAAGATGAGATATCATGAGTTTGTTTAGTGATTGCATACCCGCTGCCTTATCTTCTTCATACTCTTTTGAAATGTGTGGATATTTTTCCTCGAGGACCTTCGTCTGGTAGAAGGCTAAAGAATCGTGGGAAGGATCAATCTGGAAGGTATCTTTGGGTACAGCACTGACAAAATCTTTGGCATCTTTCAAATTCGGATTTGCTAAAGCCGCTTTCACCGCTGCTGTGATGTCTGCTTTTGATCCTGAAAAGATACCACTTCCCATTTCATCATATCTTGTCAACAATGGATATTCTCCTCTTCTCAAATAACTCAAGGTTTGATCTTCGTAAGGACCCATTGGAAGTGTGAGGTAATTGCAGAGCAATCCAGTACCCATATTTTCCCAAGCCAACCATCTGGTCAAATCCGTTTTCAGTGAATCTTCGACTTCAATTCGTTGTAATTCGGGGTATAATGGATTGTTCATGGCTTCCGCAGGACTTAGAATTATAGGTTTAAAGCCTTGTGCCCACCATGCCCTTCTCCATGTAACCAAGAGCGCATTCTCGGCATCTTTCAATTTATCATCCTTTTGGATTGTGTGATCATAGTATGTATAAATGGTTGGTCGTTCCCTGAGAGGTGGTAGCAAGGATCGATTTTCATCCAATGTCACCGATGATGAAAATGGACTCAACCAATTCCAATTAGCATGCCATTTCGATTCACCATATGTGCTATTCTTTTGAACTGGCGGAGCATGTGCTGCTTGTCGGAAAGGATTGAGGATACTCGGTGAGGGTAATTGTTTAGGTAGTTTTGGTAATGACATGCGATGATCTGTGAACCTGCCAAGGGATGGACCGGATGGTATCGAGTTGGGAAGTGTAAACACTAATGTTATAACAGCGAAAACGGCAACGGTGCCGAGAAGAACGGCCATGCGACGAGGAGGGACATGAGGTATGGGTGTCCCGAAGAGGGTTCGTTGAACAGGCATTGTGAGAAAAGGAATAGAGACAGTAGATATTGTATTAAACCACAAGATGAACACTGTCTAGTATCGCATTGGAAATTCGTATGGTAAGATTGAAGTTTAAAAGGATTGATGAAGGTTGTCTCCTAGATGAGCTGACGTATGCTGTTGTCGTTAACCATGTATCGAATGCGGTTCTTCTTAAAAATCCAAGACTTTCTGGAGTAGAGATGAAAGCCTTGGCTGGGTATAAAATCTGCTGTGACAAAAGAATGAAGTTCGAATATCGATAAACTCGAAGGAAGGAATGAGATGTGGAGAAATGACAGAAATTGAGAATAAAGTTATTAAAACAGTTAAAACAGTCGAGATGATGAAATTCGAATTCTAGAAAGGAGAAATGTAAAGTATCTTGTCTCCTTACCCCAAGCCCAAGTCTATTTTTGAGCCAATATCCAATATCCAATAATAAAAGTGGAATAGGAATGTCCCCACAATTGTAAGGGTGAACTTAATTTGATTGGGTTTTGACGGGACAGTCAGGAGTATCGGATAAACCTTTCTCCTTCTCTCTTCTTGAAGATCTCGTCAAGGGTGATTGAACGAACATGATTGGCATGGCAGGGGTGAACAGGATCGGAAGAATTGGGGTTTGAAAATTACATCGGCGACGTGAGGGGCCGATGACGGAATTAAAATAAATTTATTGCATATTCTGCGAGGTGCAAAGGCTGAAAAGGCTGGCTGGCTGATTTTCGGCAATTTTCTTTTATGTGTTGGATGGGAGCAGATGCAGAAAATTGATTGATCAGTTGTATGACTCCCAATGCTTTCATCCCGTTGAATTTTTTATAAAGCCCAACAATATCTTCTGCATTTCCTTCTTCTTCTTCTTCTTCTTCTTCTTCTTTTCAATTAACAAAGCATCGCAAGCTACAACTTCCCCATCTCCTCATCTCCCAAACTCATCAATTCGTTCATCTATCTCCAATTTATCCGGTGATTCATGCGCTTAAAAGCTTAAAAGCATCACTCAGACCACCAGCAATTGATCTATCTTCCATACGAGTAGGGTGATTGAACCATACAAAAATTGAGCACAGAGCATATAAAGGATCCCTTGAACTTGTTTGATTTGAAGTAGGTAGCTGAAATCCTTCACAAATCATACAGTTCAAACTTCTTTAAATTCTTGTTCAATTTTACCCCTCCAGAATTCAACCCCACCATTCAAAAATCCAACAACCATGGCGTCAACAAGTTTTGAGCTACCAGACCCAACTTCAGATCTTCACTGGTCTGCTTTTCGTGGTGCTATTCAAGATATCTTCACTGCAAATGCTGAAGCCCATCCTGATAGACTTTGTGTAGTGGAAACTGCCTCTGCCTCTTCCCCAAGGAGAGAATTTACCTATCGCCAAATCAATGAAGCTTCCAATATTCTAGCTCATCACTTGGTGGAGCGCGGAGTTAAACGAGATGAAGTTGTCATGTCATATAGTTATCGTGGCGTGGATTTGGTTGTCACAGTCATGGGTATCTTGAAAGCTGGTGCTATTTTCTCAGTCATTGATCCTTCATATCCTCCTGATCGACAAAACATCTATCTTGATGTCGCAAGACCAAGAGCTTTAGTAGTCATCGATAAAGCCACTCAGGAGGCTGGAGAGTTGACGGAGAAAGTACGCAACTTCATTGCCGAGAATTTGGATTTAAAGACCTATATCCCAGGTCTCGAATTGAAGGATGATGGATCTTTAGTTGGTGGTGATGATCAAGGAAAGGATATCTTCCAAAGTCAACAATCATTGAAGTCTAAGAGTCCAGGTGTTATTGTTGGTCCAGATTCTACACCAACTTTATCATTTACTTCCGGTTCCGAAGGTCGTCCAAAGGGTGTTCGAGGAAGACATTACTCTCTTGCATACTATTTTGACTGGATGGCAGAGAGATTTGGTTTATCCAAGAATGACAAGTTCACCATGTTAAGTGGTATTGCTCATGATCCTATTCAAAGAGATATCTTTACACCTCTCTTTCTTGGTGCTCAATTATTGGTTCCATCCAAGGATGATATTCAGCATGAAAGATTGGCTGAATGGATGAGGGAGCATGGTGCTACTGTGACTCACTTAACACCGGCAATGGGCCAAATTTTGGTTGGGGGAGCTAGTGCTGAATTCCCCGCTCTTCATCACTCCTTTTTTGTCGGAGATATTTTGATTAAGAGGGATTGTAAGGCTCTTCAAAAGTTAGCTCCAAATGTGTTCATTGTGAACATGTATGGAACAACCGAAACGCAGCGTGCAGTCAGTTACTTTGAGATCCCAAGTCGAGCTTCGGATCCACAATATTTGGAGAGTATGGGAAATGTGATTCCCGCTGGTAAGGGAATGAAGGACGTGCAATTACTTATTGTCGATCGGGAAAATCGGAACCGTATTTGTGACATTGGCGAAATTGGCGAGATTTACGTTCGAGCTGCTGGACTTGCTGAAGGTTATCTTGGAAGTGACGAACTCAACAAGGCGAAGTTCATTGATAGTTGGTTTGTTGATAATTCCAAGTGGGTCGAAGAAGACGCAAAAAACGCCAAATCCTTGTCCGAAGAACCATGGAGAGAGTTCTACAAGGGTCCAAGAGATCGAATGTATCGATCAGGTGATCTTGGTCGATACACTCAAACTGGAGATGTAGAATGTGTTGGTCGCGCAGATGATCAAGTTAAGATTCGTGGGTTCAGAATTGAACTTGGTGAGATCGATAAATACCTCTCAGATCACGTTATGGTTATGGATAATGCCACTTTGGTCAGAAGAAATAAGGATGAAGAACAAACACTTGTCAGCTATATCGTACCTGATATGCAGAAGTGGGCACAATGGTTAGAGCAATCGGGTCTCGAGGATGACGTCTCAGGTGGTGAAGGGATTCAAGGAAGACTTCGGAGATTCTGGCCTCTGGGTGAAGATATCAAGAAATACCTCAAGACGAAGTTGCCTACCTACGCAATTCCAGAAGTCATCATTCCATTGGAGAAGTTTCCTCTCAATCCAAATGGAAAGAAGGACAAGCCTGCACTTCCATTCCCGGATGCTGCACAATTAGCAGCAGCAAGACCTGTTGGGGCTTATTCCGAACTTTCAGACGGTGAAAAAGAGGTTGCGGCAATTTGGGGATCATTGATTCCTACCATTGACGAAAGAACAATCAACCCTGATGATTCCTTCTTCGATATTGGAGGACACAGTATCTTGGCACAACAAATGCTTTTCAAGGTCAACAAGAAATGGATTGGAATCAACATTAACATGAGCGTCATCTTCCGAAACCCAACCTTGAAAGGATTCGCCGCGGAGATTACTCGCAGGTCCTCATCCGATGGTGATGTAAAAGAGGACGTTGAAGTTGCTGAGGATTATGAAGGAGATGCCTATGCGCTTGCTAAAACTCTTCCATCAAAATTTCCCTCGGCAGATGAGAAGATCACATCAACCACACCTCTTACTGTCTTCCTTACTGGTGCTACAGGTTTCCTCGGTTCATACCTTATGCGCGATCTTCTCTCCCGCTCTCAACCTATTAAAATCATTGCTCATGTGCGTGCACTGGACTCCAAAGCAGCTCTTGATCGTGTTATCCAAACTTGCCAAGCATATGGAGTTTGGGATCCTTCTTGGACATCACGCATTTCCTGCGTAACCGGTAACCTTGGAGAACCACAACTTGGTCTTACTCCCGAGGACTGGAAGACCGTCTCCGAGACTGCAAACGTAGTTATACACAACGGAGCTCAAGTTCATTGGGTCTACCCATACCAAAACCTCAAGCCCGCAAACGTAAAGGGAACCCTAGATATTCTTTCTCTCTGCGCGACTGGTATTCCCAAACGTCTTTCATTTGTCTCATCAACATCCGTCCTTGACACCGACCACTTCGTCCAACAATCAAAATCCGGCATCCCCGTCTCCGAAGAAGATGATCTTTCTGGTTCAGCAAAGGGTCTCGGAACAGGCTACGGGCAATCAAAATGGGTAGCCGAATACCTCGTCCGACAAGCCGGCGCACGTGGTCTTCGTGGCACAGTCGTCCGACCTGGCTACATCACCGGTGACAAAACCTCTGGAGTAACAAATACCGATGATTTCCTAATCCGCATGGCAAAAGGCTGCATCCAACTCTCATGTCGTCCACGCATCGAAAATACAGTCAACCAAGTCCCAGTTAATCACGTCGCACGCGTCGTTATAGCCTGTGCATTACACCCTGCCAAAACACCCCTCGGCGTTGCACAAGTAACTTCGCACCCTAGACTAACATTCCCTCAATACCTCTCTACGCTAGAAACCTACGGCTACAACGTCCCCGAAGTAGAATACCCTATCTGGAGCCAAAAACTTCAAGCCTATGCCGCAGACAGCACTCCCGAAAAAGAACAACATGCCCTAATGCCCCTCTACCATTTCGCCACCTCGGATCTCCCAGCCGACACCATCGCACCGGAGATGGATGATAGCAACGCAGCTGCATCACTCAAAGCTGACGCCGAATTCACGGGCGAGGATTGGAGTAAGGGGGGATATCTAGATGAGGGGATCATGGGCATTTATTTGGCTTATTTGAAAGGAATTGGATTTCTGCCTCTTCCGGAGGAGGGTAAGGGGAAGCCGTTACCGGCGGTAACGATTAGTCCTGAGCAGAAGATTGCGTTGTTGAGGGTTGGAGGAAGGGGTGCTTTGGTTTGATAAGGGGACTGGTAGAGGTTTACTTGCTTGTTTACTTGCATGTAAGTATGGAATGATATCAAGGATGAATAGCTAGATAGAAAAATAGATAGGTAGAAAGCGAATACAGCGAATACAGCGAATACAGCGAATACAGCGTATTAGAAGGAGAATAGTATACATACATATTCTATAAACAGGATAGTATTCCTAAATACAAACATGTCTCTATATTTCTACGTACTCAAATATTGAACACCCACCTTCCTTCCATCCCCTCTTCATACCTTCCCTCCCCCAATTCCACTCTCCATCTCAATCCCAAGGTTATCAAAAGTATCAAAAATATCAAAAATATTACATAAATCCCCAAACCCCTAAATACCCATCTCAAATCAAATCAAATCAAATCAAATCAAATTAAATCAATTTTTATAAATAAACTCACTCTCACTCTCAAGCTCAATAAAAATAAACTAGAAATAATCTTACATCAGCGATACGAGCGATATATGTAAGAAGTGACAAAGATAAATATATTATATCATAATAATATCTCATTGCCATGAGGTAGATATCTATGTCGTGTTTAGTATCTGGTGTGTATGTATATGCGTTCTTGACATCCATCTAGTTGTATATTGTCATCGTTGGCTTTAGGAAGGATGGGCGATGGATGGGTGCTAGGATAGATGGTGGTGTTGTGGAGAAGTATAGATTGATTTCTCGTTTGACTATCCTCTGAAATGTTCAGGCAATTTGAGATTTGAGGTTTGCGGAATGAATATTGCTGTTGGTCGTGGAGAACGGCATGGGAAGGTGAAGTTGTGATGTGCAGTCACCAGATATTTCACAACTCAAATGTGTGGTACAATTGTTCAGAGTCAATTCAGGAAAGGAGTTTTGTTCAAGGTGTTTATTTCTATTCAAAGTGTCAATGGTGATAGCAGTCATTGAAAGTTGAACCAAGCAACAAAAGTTTGTTGGCCAAAAGATATGGACCAAAATATCCACTACCCTCGAAAGGATACAAGATACCTCGGTGAGTAATCGGACAAAATCAATCTTCTTCCTCCAAAAATAGGCCTATACCACAGGTTGAACCGATCCTCGATGGGAAAGGGGGTAAGGGCCAGAGTGTTTGGGAAGTATTTTCTCATCAGGTAGGGGAGAAGTAATCGTGTGTACACCATGAGAAGCACATGTGCAGTGAGAAGAATGTCTTGTTGATGAGTATTGTATTGTTTGAATGTTCTACATAGTTCAATGGCTGCGCCACTGTTTCTATTAATGTAAAGCCGGATAAAGTTTCCTGTCTTTGGAGCAATGTTAGCTTTGGTTCGAAAGTTACTGCAGTAATAAAATGATAGATTGATTGCTTAAATCAGACATCCAAGGAAGATTGACCCTCATCTGTCCTCTATTTAGGTTCTAAGGCGAGGACTCGAGTGAAAACTGCGAATGTGGTATGTGTTTCATCATAGTGAAGCATGGGGAAGTATGAAAGTTGATAAAACTGACCTTTGATGATAGAAAACATAGCAACGATGTGCTTTTTGTTAGTTCGTGAAAAGAGATAGCAAATAATAAGCGCGATCACATTTGTTGCAGCGGTGATCAGATTGGATCAAATATGCTTGTAAGCATTACCGTTGAACCATGACAACATATTCCTGGAGACTTGAGCCGCATGGTTGTGCAGCAGAAGTGTACCGCGATGATGTTGCATTGGCGCATGTTGATCAGTTACGCGGGAAGAAAATTTGTAAGCTAGAAAGAAAAACTCTGCATGGTGGTCAGCAAGAAAATTCCAAAACCACAGGAGCTAGATGAAAAATTTGAAGAAGAATCTTTCAGACAACATGTACTGGCAAGTAACAAGATCAACTCGTAAGTATCTCTCGAACAGCGTAATTTTAATCATGGTCGATTAATTTGGGAAAAGAAGTATCGATTGAAATTGTCATCATTAGATTTGGGGGGGAAATGGAGATAGAAAAATGTATTCAAAAAAGATTTTGACATACCATTGTGAAGTGAGTTAGAGCTCATCATTGTTGCGACCATTGCAGTAATAAATTCATCTTGAAGATGTATTCTTGCAGTTGTTGTCGGTTGAAAAGAAAGAGGAAAGTGATGTAGTGGAAAAGGAATGTGAAGCCTTCGCGATCGAGAAGATAAAATTTTATATTGGAGAGCTCAGAGCTTTTCCTAAGCGAATATCTGATATGACGCTAGGATTATTTAGTGTGCATATCACATGACTATGATAAAAAGTACTATCTCTAATTAGGCTTAGACTTGACTTTCGGATCTTTTTTCAATCTTGAAGTTGGTTAAGGTTTGGTTGACAGGTTGGGAGTAGAGTTGCAATTGAGAGAAACTTCGATCGATCGATCGATTGATTGATTGATTGATTGATTTATATGAGATTGAAAAGGAAGAGAAAGTTGTTGTGTACGATGGTTTTGAGTAGGTATTTGGAGTGGAGTGACATAATTAAGTTTTGTACGGTCAAAGAGCGCAAAGAACGAGAAGAACCTTAGCGGGAATAAAAACGTCACCATACAAAGCAGACCACATTAACAATCGACATTGTTCAACAGACTGACTTGGCAGTTTCATGGCCGATTTCTCTATCGTTCTTTTCTTAACTAGGTACGGAGAACAACACCGATAACATCACAACGTCACTTCAAAATGGCATCAGCTTTACCATATAACCCTATGTATACATTATTCTGACAGCTCATATAACTGATATTCTTTTCTTCCCCTATTCTTCTAATAGATATACCTACTACCTAGGTGCCTACTTTCTATATCACTCAGCCCACAGCCCAAATGACCCCATTTTCTTGGTCACCTACTCGATCGAAATGTAGAGTATAAGTACGGTCACTATACCTGAGGACTGAGGACTACGGTCACCAATATCATCTTACCATAGATACTACGGTCACCCTTTCACCTCATCATCATTTCGCCATAAAATAGTACGGTTAACCTTTTGTGCCTAACCTTTCTACCCTATCATATTGATTATGTATAACTATATCACCCTGCCATATATCACGGTGACCTTTCAAAAGTCCAAACCACACTATTGGTATCTAAATCCCACCCTACTCTATACATAGTACCTTCACTCACCCACACAAAACTCTCACACACATTGCAGGATTAATCATTAATCGGACTTGTTGCGCCAAATCCTCTCGCATCCCATCCCATCGTGACAGGGTCCTCTTTCTCGACCAGACCACAGAACAATTCACCACCCGCAAGGATTCCCAAAGCAGGCCCAGAAGTATATCACCTCGCGGTTATTTATCCCCGGATTCTCCTTTCACATTATATTTCGCGCAAATTAATAGGTATACTGTATACTTTATTCCAAACTCACTCTCACAGTCGAATAACATTGTGCATATTTGGGGGGAGTTTCTTTAAATTGTTGTTCACTACCTGCCTACCTCGTAGCTATTCATTCTATTACCATCTTTCCGCGGATTACATATCGGCGAGGTCAGAAAAGACGGCCAACACGGCTTTTTCACCATTAACATTTTGCTTTCGAGGCGGCTCTTTTTCAGACGACATTGATCGTCGCACTTTCGCTGCGGTACTCCTCTGCCGATCAGACCTTCTAATAATTATTGCTCAAATTACCTCGATCCGTTGATACGTTACTGTCTTCGAGAATTCCGACACCATTCGCGGTTTAAAAAGAGTACCCACTTTAGAGGAAGCATCGTGCGCGATCGGGGTCAGTTTGTATAATCCCTCGCGACGGCATTGTATTCATCTCCCACGACAACGTATAGTTGAGCAGACAATTGGCGGATTCTAGTAGAACGTAGATTGAACGAAAAACAAGATCGTGGCACAGATATCTCGATTGGATAACGGCGGAGGTGGAAATTGCGGCTCGAGGCGCATGTTACTTGCTTAATCAATATTGCTCGAATATCCACATTCTGTGGATAATCGACCTTAAAGCAAGATGATGACGAGTTTACAACAAGCACATTCACCATATCCAGGACTTCAACATCAAGGTGTTCCTCAGGGTCATATGGCTGGGATGCCTCACGCTCAAGGTCAGCAAGGCCAGCCAGGTCCAGGTATGCCTCAGCAGATGCATATGGGGGTCTCTGGACCAGGCGGACCCCAAGTCACTCAAGCTGGTGCTATGATGGCTGGCATGCCACCTGGAGCTGGCGGACCAAATGCACATGCTTTACAGCATTTGAATCCAAATCAGCAGGCGCAAGCAGCAATGTTCCAACAACAGCAGCAGATGAGTAAGCCATACCTCCTATCGCCCTTGCCCTTTTTCCGCTATACTTCACGTGAATGCTACATAGTGTCATTGCAGGCAATCACCATTCTCACATGACGCTGACGATGAATCTTCCCAGTGAACGCGCATCCTCAGTTGATGCAACAGCAAATGTTGGCACAACAGCAAGCGGCCAGACAACGTCAGGTCCTAATGCAACAACAATACAGTGGTGGGATGCCAAATGGAATGCCAATGAATATGCATGGGATGAATCCAAACCAAATGAACGGTCAATTTGCCATGCGGCATGGTACCCCCGGATTGGCACGCCCAGTAAATCTACCACAACATCTTGCGCAGCAACAACAAATGGCTCAAGATAACGTCAATCAACAACAAGCACATCAACAGGTAAGCTCTTATCCACAATTCCACAATTTGTGTACTAATACATATGCGTGCTAGAATCATCAGATGATGCTGGCGATGCAACAACAAAATGCCCAAAACCATGGACCAAATGGCCAAGCAGGACATCCGCAAATGACTCCCCAGCAATTACAACAATTCCAACAACAGCATCTGGCCCAGCAGCAGCATCAACAACAACAACAACAACAACAGCAGCAACAGCAGCAGCAGCAGCAGCAGCAGCAGCAACAGCAACAGCAACAGCAGCAAGCTCATGCTCAAGCTCAAGCTCAAGCTCAAGCAGCACAAGCACAGGCACAAGCTCAGGCCCAGGCTCAAGCTCAAGCTGTTTCTCAACAAAACCAAAATCAATCACAACCTCAGAGTCAACCACCTCAGTCAGCCTCAACGCCCCAATCTCAACCACCACAACAACCAGCAACACAAGCTCAGCAACCACCGGGAGCGCTTCAGCAGCAACAACAACAGCAGCAGCAGCAGCAACAGCAACAGCAACAACAACAACAACAACATGCTGCCGTAATTCTACAACAACAGCAACAAGCGGCAAGGCAAGGAGATAAATTAAAAGGGCAATGTCTGATGCGACTAGCGCAATTCAGTGACCATCTCAGCGGCTTTTGCAAGGTTACTAAGCCGTTATCTGCTTATATGGCGAATGGTACTCCGCGGCTGATTGCTGAGACCGCGAAACAGAAAGATGATTTGGGATATTGGGGAAGCTTTGTGGATCGGTTCTTCTCTCGGGCAGGAGTTTTACGCCATTCCGTATTCGTTACCGATGAAAATTCAAACAAGCAGTACGAGATAACATCTCCCGCACTTCCGAGATATTTCCATACCCATTTCGAAAGTGGCATTAAAAACATGCAGATGATATTGGAGAAAGGCACTGAAAAGGAATTACCGCTCAATGCTCACTATATTGAGAGTCAGACCTCAAGCTTCGTCTACTGGTTTGACAATGGCTCTCACGTAAGTCATAAACTAAACCCTTGGACTCCAAATTTCTTGTGCTAATTAGATGCAGTTGGTTGCAAATGGCACACTACGTGCTCATTTTGATGGAGAGCAAAAGCTCGAGTTACTTGATTTCGTGACTAGTAATCACGAAGAGTATGTTCCGCGTAGTATGGCTTTAGAAGCTGCAAGGCCACTTCATAATTGGGGAAAAGAATGGAAGACCATGAATACTGGACCAGATGGCAAATCCTCGCCTGAAATGAACAAAAGAAACAAAGATGATGAAGTCCCCACCAAATGCCCCTCCTGATTTCGATCTACCAGAAACGAAACTGAAAGTTAATTTTGGAATCACCCCTGCAGTGTTTCGGTATCTTGAGGTATGTCTTGTCTCTCACTTCTTCAGCCTATAAGTTTCTAACAATTCTAGCTTGTCGAGGTTTTGGGTCAAATGAATCCTCTATTCCAGTTCTCGCATTCAAATCCAGGACTTTCGCCATATGACGCCTTGGATTCGTACGTTGCGCAAGTAAGTTCTAATGGAGCCAACGGTGTTCAGCAAAATCCTTCTGGTCCACGGACACCGGGGATGAATAACTTTCCCATTGGTGCCTCTCCCGCAGCTACACACTTACAGTTGCCCGAAGGATCGCCGCACATGGGTGGAAGTCCAGCTCAAGCTCCAGGAATGCAGCTCCAACCGAGTCAGCATGGAACTACGTCAAGTGGCCCAAGTGCAAACACAAGCCCTAATGCGAGCAACAAACGAAGAAGACCAAGTACAGTAAAGACCGAGGAAGACGGACAAGTAAACGGGACAGGCAAGAACAATGTCAAGCCTAGTCCACGAATAACTAAGAGACAAAAAGGAAACCCTGCTTGATCGTCTTGCTCATGCTAGACGAATTACCCTTTGATATCATCTCACCTTTAATGCCCACAGATAAGAGAAAGTGAGTCAACAAGATGTTGACAAATCTCGAGCTAGACTTATACTTTCATCTGGCAACTTCTATCAACCATCTAAATACACTCTGTCTTTTTGGTTAATCATCAGCTTCATGATGAAGCTGTTAGTCCTTGTCACATTATTATCTATTTAGTTCCATGCGTTTTTCACAGGTGGGGAAATGCACAAAGTCTATATTTACAAGCGTTGGCGTACAGATCAGTTTCTACATAAGTCTCTTACATATCTACTTGGCGTTTTGTCAAACTCTGCTTCTTTTTGCTAAAAGGAGATGGCGAATTTGGATGGGGTAACCGGCAATTTTGGGGCGATGTGGGGAAGGAGAAAGGGAATGAGGATGTCATAAATGTGGTGGTAATATTCCTTGTATACTATTCTCATTTTCAGTGTCAGGGTTGGGATTTTTCTATGCAATGGGTGGTGGGCAAGGTCGTGGTGCATTTTTGTCATTTTGCTATACCCGTGATTTGGGGCTTTTGCGGTAGTTGGAGGATGTGGGCAGTTAGCTGAGCAGTAGGAAGTGATGGGATTTGAAGGAGAAGGAATTGGAAAAAGAGATTCATGAATGAGGGGGTAGATTGGATAGTCTATGGATGGAGAAGATTTGTGGGACGGGGAAGTGTGGGGAGGTGGTTCGAGGTATAGGGTGATTGAACTGTACTGATGTTCAGATGGAATAAAGTGGCAGTGGAAAGACAAGATGGTAGTGCGAGATGACAGGCGGAAGGTGTAGTGTGATGATGAGACACTTCAAAGATCCTCAGAGATCAATGACCAAGTAATCAAAAAGTTTCCAAAGTTTAACATGAATTGACTTAGGTTGTGATGTGTGCATGATTTCTATTTTATATCATAGTGTTGAAATAAACATGTCCTTCCTTTACATCAGTCATGTTAAACCTAATATGGTTATGCGTCGTGCGAAGAATATTGATATTGCCTAGGTATTCATTCACGAGTGTATTCATTTAGTACAAACTACCTATAAAAGTAACCAACTACCCAGTAAGTACCTAGGTAAGTGAACATAAATTCGTACTCTGATTAGATGATAGTAACAACACGTCAGAGCTTAAGAAATGATGTGTGGATGATAGAGAATGGTCAAAATTAATCATCATCATTAGATTAGGAACTAATTGAATTGACTCCTTTGGAAAATTCATATATTCATATACTAATTAACTACTAGGTGACTTCTTTGTGTGTTTATCCCCTTTCCTTTCCACCATCCTTATCCTGCCTGCCTGCCTGCCTGCCTTCACATCCTAACCCTAATCCCAACCCAAATCCTAAGCCTAAGCCTCCTTCCACTCAAAATGTCTCTCCCCCGTCACCGGCCTCTCCTCCCCACCAGAATCAAACCTCTTACTCTCAAACATATGCTTCCCGAAATAATCCAACTCCGCCTCGTAAAACTGCGTCGGTAACTCCATGTTCCCGCTATATTTGAGATATTCTAGCGTAGCGGATATACTAGGCGTGATGGCGTTGTAGTGGACGCTGAGCGAGACGATGTGTTTCAGGGGTGCGAAACCAGTTGTTAGGGCGGTGATTAGGAGGGGTGGAGAGGGGTCTGGGGTTTGGGAGTTGGAGTTGGGAGATTTGGGGTGGGGGGTGGAAGGATAGGTTTGAGAAAGGAGGGTGGATATTTGCGGACTTTGGATTATGCAGCCTGCGCGCCAGATTTGGATGATGTTCGGAAAGTTTATGTTCCATTTGTTTTGGTGGTTGGCTTTGCTGATAATGTTCATGCCTTGAATGTGGGAAGCGAGACAGGTGGTGTAGACTGCTTGGCGGAGATCTTCTATGATTTTTCCCTTTTCATCTGCGTCTTGGATGCTGATACGGCACGATTTGAAGGAATCGTGGAAGGCTTCGTGCACGTGTTGTCTATGTCCGCGATAGGCGGAGACGATGCGGAGGTAGTGGGCTGTGGAGAGGGTGGGAGCCGGAACGTGAAGTGATGTTGCTTGGGTGTTGGACCAGATTCCTGTGCCTTCGGTATTGTCGGTGTCTTGTACTACCTTGTCTTTTACATCTGCTAGAACGTGGTTTCCCGATTTATCTTTTTGTTCGCAGATGTCTGCACCGATTTGGATAAGGAAGGTATTTTTCTATTTCGTTTAGGATCAGTATCTACTCATTCTCTTCATTCAACAGGACATTGAAGTAAGTGAAAAACATACCAATTCTCCTTCAGCAGACCACTTCTCAAATACCTTACCAATCTCATCATATTCCATTCCCAAATGTTTATTCATAAAAGTCCAAGCTTCACTAATGGCACTCATCATTCCATGTTCAATTCCATTATGAATCATCTTGACATAATGTCCCGCACCACCATCTCCAATCTTCGCTACACATGGTGTTCCATCACTTGCTTTTGCAGCAATTTTTTCTAATAACGGCATGACGATATCCAATGCTTGTTCTTGACCTCCAGGACACATACTAGGTCCTCTTCGTGCAGCTTGATAACCTCCAGATACACCACATCCTATGTAATACACACCCTGTGCTATCAATTTCCCCTGTCTCCTTTGTGTATTAAGCCAATTCTCATTCGAGCAATCAATTATTATATCACCTTTCTCGAGAAACGGATGGAGCCCTTCAACAACAGTATCACCTACATTTCCATGTGGCAAGGAAAAGAAGATGACTCTTGGAGAAGAGAGAGAATCGATGAGAGATTTGTATTCGGTATGTTTAGACAGGGTTCCCGATGTGATATTTTGATCTTTGGCGGATTGAATGAGGGAATCGACTGTAGAGGTTGAAGGATCGTTGATGGAGACTGAGATACCATTTTCGGCGAGGAGGAGAGACATCCCTCCTCCCATGGAACCGGCTCCTATCATTCCTACCTGTGAGTTGTTAAAAAAAGTTTCGATTATTGAAATGAAGGATGGTGATCACTTGCTCTTGTAATTTCCATGGTTGCTCTGCTTGACTCTGCACTGGGGTAGTTATGTATTGATATTGAAAATCTGTGAGTGAACTAACAGGAAATTGGAAGAAATTGGCAGAGAGGAAGTAAGAAGAGAGCTCCAACTGATCTTTTAAATCTATCATTCAAATATAAACAACCTACATCCTACACACGCCTACTCAGATACTCTATGACGACCTACAAACCTCTACTATACATCAACAGGAATAACGTCACTGAATATGACGTAGACTCATTAAGCAATGAATGTTGATTAGTTGAGCTTTACATCCAATTCGATATCATCTCATTGTTGATGAGGGGTATTTTACTCCTTCTTTGAATGGACGCAATCGAAACTTCGAAAGATGTACTCAAAGAATGCCAAGATCAGGAATATATTCCCAATAGAGATGATGATGAAAGGTGCTTGCTTACATAATGCATCTTGTATTGTATTGTACCCCCCGCTTCCGTACAGAAAGACATGCAGCCAAGTATGCTTTATTATAAAGATAGATATATATATATATCCTCAACCCCTTTCCTTTCTCCCGTTTCCTTATATCAGAACTCAAAAAGCCTTGATTACTAAACCTCAAAATCCTGCACCCAACGTGACCCTGCCCCACCACGCCGTTGAATTCTCCCACTCCACCTCCCTCCATCTGCATCTCCATCTATCCCTCAATACCTCGGCCTCGGCACACATCTCTAGACTCGGTTTTGCGAAAAGAGCGGGTACATACTATCCAGTAGTACTCCGTTAGTACTCGTACTAATAGTACGGTGCGTATGTAAGACCACTCCGTACCTTACATGATGCATCATCATAATGCACGCACGTAGGGCTTTTACTACTTTGCAATCTTGATTCATATAAGGTAATAGAATTGGATATATTATACGTCTTTTTCTACTGGCCTGGATGATCAATGATGGATGGATCGGATGTTTGATATGCTTGGTTAATCCTATTGTTGGATACCTATGTATGTGTCATTTATATTTATGTATGCAAAGAGAAATGATCCATCTGGCCGATGGAAGCTCGGAGGAGGGGATAAGCTCTTCAGGAGCTAGCTAGCTAGTTGGAAGGGATAGGTAGGTATGAGATGAAGCTTAGTTTTGAGATAAGATGTTTGGCATGTGTTGGATCGTTTTTCTCTTCTTTTATCTACCCACGTATTTCTTCTTTCTTTCTTTCTTTCTTCCTTTCTTTCTTTCTGCTCGATACAACGAATCCAATACGACAGATTGTCAAAAAGAAATTCCAAGAATTACATCCCACCCTTCTTGAAAGAAGCGATCATCAAATCATCAAACCCCAATCCCATTCACCACCGAAATCCGGCCCAGCACCCAACCCCACCTCAAAATAACCTCAAAATTTCCCAATCCAGCTAAAACAACTATCGCCAATAAAACACACCTCTCAAGAACCAAACCGAACCAAAGCCAAACCCTGCTCAGAAAAAAGAAAGATGGCACCCGTCAAACCCTTCTGGTCCCAACCCTCCCACCCACACATCCAAGAAGTGATCTACGGCGAAGACGAAAACGGATACACCACGAAATCCATCTCTAGAGTTTCTCTACCGCCATACGCCGTGTTTGCAAAAATGGTAGTTTTTACCCTCTAGAAACACATATTAATGCTTTTTCTACAAGATTATGGAAAAGCACCTCTCTATATATATGTATATAGTGAAAGTAGGAAGTGAAAGGAATAGGACTTAATAACTAACCAAGATATCTAATTAGGAATTTCCCCCATGTACTGTTGCCCCTGAGGCTACTTATGCAACTGTACAGACAGGTACCAATACGCATTTAAACCTCAATTCGGATTTATTATATATAAACCATTCCTGTGAACCCTCTCTCGTACGTAGTATTCCGTATTCCATGATTCAATACATTCCCCCTCCTCCCTTTCCCCCAAGTAACCCCCCGTTCTAACAACCCACCCACACCACAGATCTTCGACCCCCAAAACCAACACATTCTCACTTCCCACAATGGCCTAAACCAAGGCCAAGAACTAACATTCTTCTACCCCTCCACCGAATGGAAGATGTCCCAATCCTTCTCCTGTAACTGTGGTACTGCTTCTTGTGTGGGTGAGATCAGTGGAGCGGGACAGATGAGCGCGAGTGCGCTAGAGGGGAAATGGTTGAGTGGACATATTCGGCGGGCGTTGGAGGAGAGGGATGTGGTGAAGAATGGGGATGTGGTGAAGAATGGGGGGAATGGTGGGAAGAGTGTTAATGGGGGGAAGAAACTGAATGGAGTTAATGGGGAGAAGTTAAATGGAGGGATTGATGGACAGGGAGAAATCAACGGACGTAGAGGTGTGACGAGTAGGGAGATGAGCGGGGAGATGGGTGGAGATACTTTGTAGATTTCTGGGGGGATGATTGGGAGGAGGTTTCCTTCGTGTCTAGTTTTGTGATTTGTTGATTTCAGTGTTTTTGTCCTTCAACAGGATATGCGAGTTTGGTATGTTGAGATTTAACATCTCGTAGGTGTCACATTACGCATTATACATACATACATACATATACATTTCTTAAACTGCGTGTCCTAGCAAATCGAATGTTTGAATTCCTTCTGCCTATCTATGTACTGGAGATACCAGCTCTAGTCTCACACCATGCCATGCAGTAACCATATAAAGATAAGTCCTTTCTAAAATTAAGAACATAACGCAAATAGTGTTGAAGTAAACCCTTCCTGTTTGTAAGCCTATTCATCATCATTCGTAAGTGAGCTTGGTCCATTGATAGCCATCCCTCATGTTCCAAAACCATGTGTCATCCCCCGCACGAATAATCAACGAAAGTCTCAAACGAGAAAATTCGTAGGCCAAAGAAGACCAGATACTATGCAATCAATCCCCTGTCACATCATGACTCCATACGTAATATTCCCCACGTCCTTACAATTCTTCGGTATATCCCCCTATTTTTCCTCCAACCGATTATCCATCCACAACATTACCCCTATTTCCATCCGAACAAACAAGATGTGAAATTCAAATTGTCCATTCATCCACACCATTAGCCCACACTCTGGTTCCGCCAAGCAGTATATAATTGTACAAAGCACCAAAGAAATCCATCAAAAAGCAGAAACAAGTTTGTATATATCATCCCAGGTCATTCATTCATCGTATCAAAACAATCCATTATAACCCCCCCACCCCAAAATATAAGCAAAGTACCACAACACAGTAAAAGCAGGCCTATAATAAGGGTCATCAGCTCAAAGAATAGCGCCTGGAAGCACAAAAACTACCAATGTTGAGTTGATCAATCCTTCAAGCAAGAGAGTTTGCTACACAGCTCGAGAGAAAAAGAATAAAAGCATAAGAAGTTCATAGCATAAAGGATGAAGCAGGTAATCAAATCGCAAGTTCGAATCCAGATAAAGCTCCAAGAAATTATAGGGTATCGCAACAACAATGCGAAGTCTGAATCAGTGAAGGCATAGGAAATCTTGGGTCGATTGGGCTCTAGAAATGCCTCATGCCGACATCATACATAGTTTCGTCCCATCTGATACCCATTCGTTAGTAAGTAAAAAATTTATTTCTTAGAAAGCGATAAGGTCGTCACAGCTCTCATTGCTATGAAAAGATTGGGTTGGAAGTGGTGGTGTGACTAACTGTAATTCATCCAGATCCATCATTGAATCGTCCTGATCCATGATGTTTCTAGGTTGAACAGAAGCTCCCACCTCCAAACCCTCAACACCAAGGGCGGGTGATGACTGGCTTGCGGATATTGGTCTGGACGATAGATTGATAAGTGGCAAAGATGCAGAAACCCTTGTTAACATATTATCTTTCCGAGGAAAACTCTGCTCCGTGTCCTCACTCTCTTCACTGTCCTGACTATCCTCATCTGAAGTGAGCAGTCCTTCTAAGAGCTCCTTATTTTCTTGATCGTCGTGCTTACGCTTTTCCCGCAAAGCAAAAGTTGCCTTGTGTATGTCATTACTATCTCTGTGCTTGTGAGCACGATAGAGAATAGGCTCTGGCTCAGGGAAATATGGAAGATTTTTGCTCAATTCCTCTAGTCGTGCCTTACTTGGGGAAGGGTTCTTCTTCCACTTCCGATTGAGAGGGGCAAAACCTGAATCGCTTGCGGATCCGGATAAGGTTTGGACGGCCGCGACAAAATTGTTGACAGTCTTCTCTCTTAGCATTCCGACCTGCTGTACTAAGTTTCGGCGGTGCTCAGGTTGGTTTTGGTCTTTGACTTTCACTGGACTATCAGCGAGCATACCTTGATAGACCTCGCTGTTTTCAATAAAAGCATTGTGATCGAGGACAGATGGAGATCCTGCATCCACCTTCTGCATTCTTCTGGTTCTGTCCGGATCGGTATGATTGCACTCTAGTCGCAGTCTCGGAGTGGACTGGGCCAAAGGACTCGAGGTAAGTAAAGAGTCCAAATCGTCGAAGCCTTTGTTGTTTCGATGAGACGAAACCTTCTTGTTTGTACGAGGAGGGCTTGAAAATTCCGGCAAGGATCCAATCGCAAGCATCTGACTATTGAAAATGGAACGGGGCATGGTTTGATCACTCGAACTTCGCGGCTCTATAAACGGGTCTGCCAGTGCTGAATGCTGGCTGTGGAAGGATCTCTCGTCATTGTTAAGTGGTTTTCTGTGAATCCTAGGATTTCCCGTTAAATTTTCAAGCTTTGCACTGCTTTTCAGATTTTGAACTATTGGAATAGTTAGTACTGTCAATGCTAATTAGAAGAGAGATTTGAAGTGCATTTACCTTCATCCAGTCTTAGGTCGATATCATTAACAGATTCCGAGCGTCTAACGATGTGTTCCTGAACCTGTGGCGTGGCGACGAGACTGGGGTTAAGCGAGGAATCCTCTTGGGTGATATCGTTCTTTCGACGACGAAAACTCCCTTGCAAAACGCTCTTAACCTTCAAAAAGGCCCCAGCCTTCAAGCGTCGCTTTTTTTCAACTACCAAAGTTTTCGTTGATCCCGGCTTGAGCTCTTCCATTGCCTTCAATGTCTGCGCAACTGAAGCATTTATAGCACTGGGATCTGACGGGCTAACAGCTGGATGGGATTTCTCATTGGAGCTGTTCAATACTCGACTGATTGGTTCCTTGGGAAATCTTCGAGTTTGAGAGTCTTTCGTTGGGCTTCTACGGCGAGCTGTCTTAGCTAACGCCGACTGTCTCTTGGATGACTTTCTCGGAATAGGAGGCGCAGAGTTCTTTCTTGTGTGGGATACTTTTCCCGTATGGCAATCAATGTTTGAGTCATTGGCTCCTGTAGTAGTGCCCTTTCCCGCAATCCACATCTCTTGTTCACTGAAATTGAGACTAGGCAATTGCGGTAGAATATCCTCAATGGTTGTAGTCGTATTGTGTGGTTGATGGATGATAGGCTCCTCTGCCACCGCATCCCCCTCCTCACTCGGGCCTTTTTCGACGAAATCCTGTTTTTCAATGCCAGATGTTGGGTGGAAAGCTGATAATTGGCGCGTACTTGGCTCTATTGATAATCTCGAATTAGCGTAATTTCACAACTTGAGCCAAGTCACGATTGAGGGAAATACATGAGATGGCATTCAAATCATCTGCAAGAACCCCTCGAGGTGGTGTCGGTTTGTCGACTGTTTGCTAAGTGCCCGAGCATGGTTAGAGGTGAAGGGATAAGTGAAGTGACTAAATTTGAGTAGAATTGTATAGATTGACCTTTTGGATGGGAGAAAGTGATTTGTGAATGGATAAACTAACCTCTCCTGTTGGCTCTATTCTTCTTTGATTTGTTGTACTCTGAGTTCCTGAGTGTAGCGAACGAACCCATCAGAGTCTTCTTCTTTTTGCCATAAGTCTCCATGATGGAGAATTGGGACCGTGGTTTATAAGAGAGGAGACGATAGTGTACAAAATATAATGAAGTTTAAGTTCTGGATTGTATGGGAGGCGGTAATGATGGCTAGGTACTGTAGACCGCGGATAATATTAGCCAAGGTAATGTCGATGACGTGTAAGATGGAAGGATATGAGGAAGGAGTGAATTGGATTAAGTGGTAGAGTGTAGGTTATTTCAATTTAGTGAATAGTTTGATAGACATGAATTGATCGTGTAAACATAGCTCAGTAATTCAGTACTCTGAATTGATTTTTGTTCAAATCATGAAGAGGAGAGCAAGATATAGACTGAAGCAGGATCGAACGTTAGGAGGAATAAAGTTCGAAGAACATAGTCCACGGCGATTGACTATGAGACCTCAGCTCAAGACTCCGATGCTTTTGATTCAAGAATTGCATGATAGCATCACGTCTCTTTGAAGTGAAATTGGAGAAGGAAAGGGAAAGGGAAATGAGACTAGAATACGATCTCACCTCAAAAGCGCAGAGCGATTGTCTGTACATCAAGCCTGAATAGCAGCACTTTCATCTTATCAAATGGGTAGAGAGCTTGATAAACTAGGAGCTTTGCGCACTTGACAATAGACTTTTGGTAGAGATTGAAATGGTAATGGTGGCCGTAGCAGTGGTAGGAGGTAGAAATCGAGAAAGAGAATATTGGTAAAGCTTGCAATAAACAAATCTGTACTTTGAATCAAGGTACCTCACCAGGTACATGGTGACGGGGGATATGCACGGAAAAGCTTAATCTCGGTTTAACGACAGTAAGGTCCAAATGAGGAAGTAGTGGACTGGTGGACTGCAAAGGGTGACTGACCTGGAAAATTGATCTGAGGTCTCGCTTGAGTGAAAATAACAAAATGAAATAATATAGACTTAATCCAAATGAAAATTTCATTTTCTGTTAAAAAAAAGAAACTCCTAAAAATCATACAGGAAGTTTCCCCCAACACAGTTGTTACCTTACCGACCTACGTCGAGCTGTTTAAAACCCAAATTTTGACATCACAACTACCTTTCTTACTATACATATCTAAAGGACTCAGCAGTGGCCCTTTGCTTAAAACTAACAGCAATACCATTAGAACTCCAATCCCTTATGGAGTTGAGAAAGATAGGATAGATTCTGAATCAATTAAGCAACTATTAATATCTTCAATGTCTCTCTGTAGAAGCTCCGGAGAGGCCGGACAGCTCTGTGAGCTGCAACAGTACACTTTTTAGCAAGTTAAATGAGCTGCGCCATTTAATAGACTCTCCAGCATTTCCCCACAAGGTTCGAGGGAAGCCAAATGGCTGCTGAAGTCACAGCAGAAGCTTTTCTAATTGCAACAGCTCTGGCAGCTTCTACAATTTTCACTACCCTTCATCCTAGCTCTGAAAGGACCAAAAAGCTTCCTGCATTTTCTGAAACGAAAATCTTCTCCAGGGCAAGGATAGTTCTTGAGCCAGCGGCACCCAGCAACCAGAGACTTTTGAGGTTTTTGTCTACCACTTTACCCACGTCAACTGGAACATGAACCTACTCAAGCATCGTACCGGACAGTGAAGCACAACAACCGCAGATGCATTCCTGTCATATTGCAGCAACAAGAGCAACAGTATACCCGGAGATACATACGCAGAAGCAACGTACCAGGAGCCACATACCTAGAGTATCCTTCGACATTAAGGCCATCAGAAGCAATCTGATTGACAAGTGCTTAAATTCAACTCTTCGACCCACTTCCAAGCCAACATCATAATCTTGGACATTTTTTAATTGGATTATGTGGATATTTCAAACCTAAATAACCACCAACCCTTCGTCCGTCATTAAATATTCTATAAACTAATGATTTGCCGGTAAGTCCACTGCTCAAGGTTGAGAGGAGAAGCGTGTACGCAGTTCACATTGTGAACCCACGACGCTCAGCTCTGGCTACCCATCAGCATTAGACAAGTAGCTAACAGCACCTCAGACTAGAATTCATATTAGAGTTGCAATGGACCCAAGTTGCCTGGTGCTTTCCAGCCTTCAAATACCATCACATATACACAAATGGATCTATGCGCTGCACGGCCCGTATTCTGAAGAAGCCCTTAACAGCCCTAACAATTGCTATTCATACTTAGTTAGCAGGGATGTCAAACGATTATCAGCACCATACACTTGAGCATAACCCACCACTGAGTTTAGAAGCTCAAACTTGTATCAAGCCAATTCACCATATTCAATCATGAAGATACAATTCTATCCCCCAGCGTACAAAGTCCTTATACCGGTAGTCCTTCATCTTTAAAAATTGTTGATTATTTTCCATAAGTAAATGATCAAAAGACTTACATCTTGGTATCCCCAAAAAAGGAAAAAATCTCAGCAGCTTAACCTCACGGAACGGCTTTCAAAAAAGGAGGATCAGAAATCATCATATAAGGCCATTTATTCCGCTGTTGATAAGTGTTTTCTATAAATCCAATCTTATACAGGAACTTACACAATTCAGTCCTCGACCATTGTCCTACTGGCACATCCATCACTCAAAAACATATAATAGTATTCAGAGATTCGGATGATGTTGACAAGTACGGCATCATAACGAGCACCTTCCTCTTATGGCCCAAAATTTTTACTGTTTATCTTAACCACATCAGATCCGCAGTTTTGTCATCCGACCCCTGATTACCCGAGTTCAGCTGAATACCTGGACCAAGATCTTCAATCTTTTATTTCAGCTCGCCTTGCGTTTCACATAACCGCTGATTTTGCATGTTCTTAGCCACAAAAAAGATATGCAATCATTTACTGATTGATGCATGAACAAACTTGTGCACTATTTCTGTTTTGTTATATTAGCGGACATTGGCTAGGTACTAAGCTACTACTTTTTTGTCTCAACTCCAGACTAAATCTGTAGTCATGCTTTAGGCTCAACCAGACAGTCAACTATGAAATCTCTGTGGTTGTCTAATCTATGATCGAGTGGTCAACAACGGAGGAAGGGTGGAAGTTGATACTATGGCAAGCGGCTAACTTATACCTTAATATCTGAGACTGAATTTCTTAAAAAAAAAATTCACATGTTGTACTTGTGAAGCCTGTTCATTCATACAAAATTTCGATTGAAGCAAGCACCAGCAACTCATAACTACGGCCTTTACACTAGAAACGTCTGTAGTGACACCTTTCTACTGTGTGAATATGTTTTCCAGAACATCACAAGGATATCAAGCCGGATTTTGATTGAGAGTATGCTATGGGAAGCACGCTAGTGCCATCTTCATCACTATTAAATACATTCATCAACATCGTTTTTTGACTTCTTGTATCACTTCATACTCAAAACTATTATCAAGACCAGACACTCAGTAACATCGTAGAAACGACAGAAATAAAGAAGAAACAAAATAATTCCGAGACTATGATGTCGTTTGCTACTGTCCCAATGCTGCCATCCAACCAATGCTCCAAATACTGTTCCCGTAAGTGGGGAGTGCTTACTCCGCCTATCCTGCTCCGGCTGATGCTACTCCGGGAACAAGTTTCCCAATGTAGGAACAGAAGCAAATGTCAAGGCCTGACATACGCACAAGCCTCTTGTGCGGCACATATCTGGAGGTGTTTGCGGTTGGTGGGCTGAGATATGTAGATTCGAAGGATTGGACCCGAGAATACTCATTCCTGAATCATATGGAAGGGCTACCTTTTTATATCGATGACGATCGACATGGCTTAGGAAAGCATACATGCAGACTGGCAGAACCGGAGCACGGAATATGTTGAATTCGGCCTTCGTTCGGATTGTCATCATTACGGTGAGCTACAGGCAAAACTACTCTCAAGGTCTTCAGATTTCTTATACTTACTATTTGATGTGCATTCATTTATCATGTTAGACAACGAATCTTTACCCTTTCGTATGCAACTCTTTGTGAATTTTATACGACAGTGAGGGAGGAAACACTAAACCTTATTCTTTTCCATTCACAGGGAAAATTGGCGGTCAGCCTTTGAACGAGGTTGTTTGAAAATCTTTTTAAGTTTGGAGCAAACCTACTTGGCCGACGTATTCATTACAGTAGTACCCCATTATACCGGCCTCAAAAATTCGATCACATCAATTCCGGCTTACGGTTAATGGGCTTTCCGGTATGTTGAAGTTAGGCAATAAGGCATCAATGAAATTTGTATCATCAACTCAAGCGTGATAGCTCTTGCTAGAAATTTCATGTCTTTTCTATGCAATTTTTTTACAGGAATTGTAAATTTTCAACGGAAATCTTTAATCTACCGGAAATCCGATACTTATATTTGTATAAAGAATAAGGTTTTATAGGGAAATAACTAATGGAGACGGGGTTCGGGTATACTGTATTAGCTAAATCAACCTATCGGTTATTGGATGATGGCTGACGTTAGAGTCCATGAGACATTCGAAACTCGGAGAAATCGCATTAGGAATCTGTGCGACTTGAAAATTATTTACCGCAGGCTGCATCTTTATAAGATCGCAGGAAACTTCCTCTCTCTGTTCATTGTTCTTATAACCCTTTTTTTGGTAGTTTGTCTTTGATAAAAGTTATATCCAATCAGAGCTATCGGATTCAAAACCCACAGATACAGAACACGATTTAACCCGACTCCATAATTTTCTAAACTTCCGCCTCGTTTCTACGCCACCTTTGTCCAGTTTACATCAACCTTTGATTGACACTCTTAACATTTTCAATTCTTAATACATCCATTCTTTCCACCAGAACCATCACTACATACCCAACATGTCTTTCTCTAGTCTCGTACAAGATTTATCATTCAGAGATGCTGCTGGTGAGCGACGACCACCAATTCGAGCTGCGGCATCGGTTTCGACTTATGATGATCGTGCATCTTATGTTTCCAGAGCCGACTCGCACATCTCCAGAGCCAGATCATATGCAAGCACGGCGGCGACGAGTGTGAGCATATCTGGGGATATTGGTAGTCAATTGCACGGTGGTTACTGCCATCCTTTGGCAAGAACATGGCAGGCTGAGAGACAATTGACAAAGGTAAGACTCACGTCGCTACGTACACTACTTTTCAGCTTCTGACAGCCCTCACAGTCAATGCTTATCTATCCCCTGTTTGTTTCCGACATTGATGACGAAGAAACCCTTATCCCCTCCCTTCCCGATCAACACCGTCGAGGCATCAACAAGGTCGTGCCATTCCTGGAACCTCTTGTTCGCAAGGGTTTGAGATCAGTCATATTATTCGGTGTACCGATTGCGCCTAATGCCAAGGACGCTCTCGGAACAAGCGCAGATGATCCACAAGGTCCAGTCATTGCTACAATTCGACTCCTCCGTCAGCGATTTCCACAACTCTTCATCGTGGCAGATGTTTGCCTTTGCGAATACACTTCTCACGGACATTGCGGTATTTTGAGGGATGATGGTAGTCTCAACAACCAGTTGTCAGTCGACCGTGTCTCAGATGTCGCGATCGCATATGCTCACGCCGGTGCGCATTGCGTTGCCCCTTCAGATATGAATGACGGACGCATTCGTGCTATTAAACTCAAGTTGATCGAGGAGGGTATTGCACACAAAGTCGTATTGATGTCATACGCTGCTAAGTTCTCTGGTTGCTTATACGGACCATTCCGTGATGCAGCAGGATCTGTCCCTTCGTTCGGCGATCGAAAATGCTATCAATTACCACCAGGAGGGCGTGGTCTTGCTCGCAGAGCCATTGAAAGAGATATCGGTGAAGGTGCAGACATTATCATGGTCAAGCCGGCTAGCCAATATCTCGATATTATTAGCGATGCAAAGGAGATTGGAAAAAATATGCCTATCGCAGCATATCAAGTTAGTGGAGAATTTGCGATGATTCATGCCGGCGCAAAGGCTGGTGTTTTTGACTTGAAGACAATGGCTCTTGAGTCTTCTGAAGGTATTCTGAGAGCTGGTGCCACCATCATTGTCAGCTATTTCACACCACAATTGCTTGACTGGTTAGAGTCATAGACATGGTTTATTATGGAGTATGGGATCATTTTAGAGCTTTTTGTTTAAGCTTATCAACGGCGTTTGGGGACGACATTAATGAACGGACTGGAAATGGAGTTAGACAAAATTACTGTCAGATTATCATGAATTTAATGCTACTATTAAGAACTCTACTTCATCACTACTCATTTGCGTTCATATTCTGAATCAGTGGGTCTAAAACAAATTTCCTTACTTTACATTCATGTCGTAGCGATGTTATTTCTATACTCTGTATACCATCAACCTGTCTTATCCATGTCAATCACTATCAAGTTCGCGGGGTGTCACTTATTTCCAGGCCGACTGCGGGGGCTACTTAGTCGGCTAATTTGCGCCGGAGGGATGGCCTGCGTAGCTTTGTGCCGAATACAGCCTCGTGGAAGCGTCATTAATCCTCAAAGCCATGAATCAATCAAACATATAAACCCTTCTATTAATTTTCTATAAGATCTTCCCGCGTCCCAACTCCATTATCAATCCACTCGTTGCGTGAAAAATCTAACAAAACACAATCATGAAGTGCTTTGCGCCCAGGCGCATCTCAATTCGTCCGGTATCCTTCCTCGAAGATTGCGCTTTGAATACGAATAGGAGGACGGTTTATCCAGCTACTACATATCGATTGCGGGTTTCGAGGGAGAGGAGAGAGAGATGTTATGCTTCGGCTAGTAAATCCTCGAGGCCGAAAACTGCGCTGTTTTTTCCGGGTATGATTGCATGTTTACTTCCTACCGACTGTTTGTGTTACTTTGTTTGTATTTAGGTTACTAATAATTAATAGGTCAGGGGGTCCAGAGAGTTGGCATGTTAACTCCATGGCTTGAAGCTTTTCCTTCTACTGCTGGCCCTATAGTTGAGGAGATCGATGATCTGCTAGGTTATAAACTTTCGTCGATTATAGCAAATGGACCAAATAGTACGCTTACAGCTACGGGGAACGCACAACCTGCCATTATGGCATCTTCCATTTTGATTTTACGAGTACTAGAACGCGAGTTCGGTTTCAAAACACATGAACGGGTCGATTTTACACTGGGACATTCATTAGGAGAATTCGCTTCATTGGTTGTTGGGGGATATGTGGAGTTTGAAGATAGTTTATACCTAGTGCGCAAACGGGCGGAGGTCATGGCTGAATGTTCACGGCGAGCAAGTGAAAAACATGGAGGTGAATATGGAATGGTAGCTCTAGTCACCGAGCCCAATCATCTTTCTCCTCTCATCGAGGCTATATACGGATTCCTCGGACATTCCGCAGGCTCGAAATCTGAAAGCGCGGAAGTTCCTCCTATACAACAGGTCTTGATTGCGAATATTAATAGTAAGAATCAGATTGTTTTGAGTGGGAATATTGGGAGGATAAAAGAATTGTTGACGCATTTGAGACAATTTGGAGGTCATGATCCTAGAGCTGTGAGGTTGAAGAGTGATAGTCCTTTTCATAGTCCGTTGATGAGACCGGCGGCGAAGATTATGGCTAAGTTGTTGGAGGGGAAGAGCAGGGTGAAGGGAAAAGAAGATAGGGATTTATTAATATTTCCTGGGACGATGGAATGCATAAGTAACGTCAGTGCCAGGCCGTTTCGGAGTAGAGATGAATTGAAGGACCTTTGGGCGAGAAGTTGCGTAGAGACGGTCAGATGGTGGGATTCGATAAAGTATCTAGATCAGGAAAAGAAAGTGAGGAGGTGGATTGGTATAGGACCAGGAAAGGTTGGACGGAATTTGGTAGGAAAAGAAGTCGGGATGAGGGGAATGGATACTTTAAAGGGAGGTGGAGTTTGGGGTATTAGTGATCCAATGGAAATAGAAGAGGCCTTGAAAGCTTTGGATGAGACGGAATCTCTTGGTGTAGAGGATGAAACTGCTTAGGATTTCGCAGTTTTTGTCATTTCTCTGTAGAAGAGGCACCAGAAAATGACCGGAGAAAACTACCTGAACGACATCTAGGTTATGAAAAAGTTGGTGTGGAAGGATTTCTGGTTTCAATGAGCGCTTTTGCATGTATTCCAGGTGGGGTGGTTGTGAACGGGACGAGGCTACGAGGCTGGATTGATTATACAATACCCAAATAAGCAATGTGTTGAATCTCTATACTCTATTTAAATTCCCATAAATCTGCTCTTGCGATCGCCAAACCGGATTTTAATGTATCTACTATTTTGACTGTAAAAATCTGGTAAAGTTCCCAAATGTAAATATTTCCCATTTCGTCGTTGTGTTGATCGCAGCCTTGCGAGTTCTCGGCAACTATCAATGCTTCAGTCGCAGCGCATCGCATTGCATCGCATCACAACCTCACTCTCTAGAATTTACCAAATCATCCACGCGCTCCGTGCAATTGGAAAGGAAATCTAAAGTCGCATAGTATTAATCATGACAACAATTCCTTCAATAGCCTGTCTAGGCGTAATAGGCAAAAATGTAAGTCCCCCAATTTCTCTCCCATTCTCATCCACCACCCCGTCCATCCCTATCTCAAGTCCCATTATAGCATCTCACCTACAAACAAACTAACCAACATCCCCAGAACAACCCGCTCCACATCTCCATCTTCCCACCCCACTCCCCGCCCTACCCAACATCCTCAAGCACCCTCCAAACCCACACCCCCGTCCACGAAACCCTCCGCACCCCCCTCCAATACTCCCTCCTCCTCAGCTCCACCCTCGACATCTTCGACGCAAGAAATCGTACCTCTACCGGGAATCAAAATCTGACGGGTGATTTGGGACTCTTGTATGCGGTAGATGAGAGATTAGCGGCTTATGGATTCGAGACGAATACTGGGGTGCGATTTGTGGTTTTGTGGATGCGAGGGGAGGGTTGTTAAAGGGGTGGAGGGGCGGGTGCGGGCGGTGGTGGAGGTGCTGCCGGAGGGAGAATGGTGTTGCGGGGGTGGAGTGAGGGAGGCGGATGTTAGGAGTGTGAGTTCTCTTTTGGGGGTTTTGTTTGGATTTTAGGAGGAGGACGAAAGGGAGAAGGAAAAGGGAGGAAAGTCAGAGAATAAAATGCTAATGCTACAAATAGATATTCAAAGCCATGCAAGCAGCCTACATCCGCCTCCTACAAAACCCCTTCTACGACCCAGATGAACATTGTCCGGTAAATGGCAAGGGCGGGAAGAAAATCAACAGTAGGAAATTTGTAGAGGATATGAGGAGGATTGGAGAGGCTTGGGTACCGGGAAATATCTGATGTGTTGATTGGAGATTTGGAGGAGGGTGTACCGGTGTAGGGAGGTGCTGAGGATAATTCGATTCGGTTCGACCCGAGACTTGAGTTATTTGGTTTCTGATCTTCTAGGAACGATTGAAGTTTGCTGATACCTTTATACGTATACGTATGCGTATAGAGAGGGCCGGCCAGGGAAACGCAAAGATGATTAGGCGAAAAGAAATAGGAGCTGGGAGTTTATACCTTGAGATGATTTGTTTGCATACATGCATGGATGGAGTTTGGGGAACTGTTAGTATTGTGAGCATTTTTAGGTCCTAGCTGGTATAATATAAATATTTATTTAAAACCAGATATTTCCCCTGCTATTGGGTTTATGAGTATACATCCTGCTCATTTATATGATTTTCCAGTCCCTTTTTTTTTTAATTTGGAGAGTGGTGAAGGCTCAGTCTAATTGTATGTATCATACATATCATACATACACATAGATTTATAAGCCTTCATAAAAAGCAACAGTAATTAGAATATCTATATCCGATATCCGATATATTATAATCAGAACATAAAACAAATAATGCATCTATATATACATACATCGCATCAAATCATATATTTAAATTTATATATCATAACCCTAATTTCACCCTCCACGATTTTCAATCTTTTACTCCTGGATTAGCGGGCTGTCGAGGAGAGAGCGTGTATAGATGTGGGGTCTGGTTTGGTATAGTGGGTGATATTGCTTGTGGCTTGTTGGTTGTTGGTTGTAAGGGAGGAAGGGGATGGTACGTCTGTGGGTGGAGCCGTCTAGGGCGAGGGTGTGATATGAGTGCCGGGTGTAGTGTTAAAGTTATGAGGTCTATAGAGGCGGGTGTGTGTATTTAGGAGGTTAGGGTGAGATCAGAGTCTGTGGAGATAGCTGGATGGAATAATTTGTCTCCATTACTTTGAGGTATCATGTATAGGGTAAGGGGGAACACTTGCGAGTTAGAGGTATTGGCGTAATGGGAGAATGGCGCAAAGGAACCATTCGAAATTCAAGGCTTGGGATCATAGAGTCATCATTTGGACTGTCTTGTAAACATTGTAGTGTATTGCATCCCTAAATTTAAGTCCGAATCATGAGCCTTAGCCCATAACAACAACCATCATCGCCAACACACCAAACGCCTTCGTAAACTCAAAGCAAAAAATGGTCAATTCAATGAGCTTTCAACCATGCCAAGATTTGGTCATATGCCTCAGCTTGTGCCTGCTTGATATTTAATTGCTCGTAATCACCTAAGATCGCAAATCCGTGAGGTACGCCAGAGTACGTCTTGAATTCATGTTCGATGTTGTTTTCATTCAAGTATGTCTTGCCGACCTCTTGGACTTCACGTGAGAACAATTGGTCGTCCTCAACACAAACAAATGTCAATGGAACTTTAGTTCCCTCCCAATCCTCCTTTCCAACTAATGTTGCGTGAGCGATTGCACCAACTTTGATGTATGGACCTTTCTTTTCAACAGCCGCTTCCTCGTCCTTCACATGATGGTGACCCCAATGGACAGCATCTGATTTCTCGCCTGCTAGTAAGAGAGTCATTTTCCCGCCTAAGCAGTAACCAACAGAATATATCCCTCCCCCATTAGCTACAGCATCTGCGAATTCGTCCTTTGCAGCCTCTATAACTTTATGGATAATCGGTAGGATCTTTTCCGGTGTCTGTCTTGCGAGCCACATATCTGCTAGAAAGCTTTTGGCTGCCTCTGCGGCATGGAGCTTCAGTTTTTCAATCAAAGAAGGATCCTTTTCTTCTACATAAGTCACGGATCCAGGTAATGGGTCGTTGTGGAACATATCGGGCATGATAACAAGGAAGCCTTCGCCAGCGAATTTATCGGCTTGAATTTGGTTATTGACTGAATGCATGCCAGTCGCACCAGTAAGGAGTAGTAAAAGTTTCGATGGCGCATGAGGATATTCGCTTGGCTTTGAAATATAAACGTCTATTCCTCCGAGTTGTGTAATTTCTCCAGATGAACCATGACCGGAAGCTATTTCCGTCAGCAATTGATTCCTTTATTATAGAGAATTTGCAGACTCTCTGCGCAAGAGTACTGACGTGTTGGTCTATCCTTCACACAATGCTCCTTTTAAAAGTTAGTAATGCTCTTCCTATTCATGTCTCAAAGACGTACACCCAAACTCGCACCGCTTTGCGCTGGAGTGTCTCCCGGGAATGGGCTTGATTCGACTTGAGGAACCTCTTTCGATTCCTCCATAGCATCACTTTCTGGAGCTCTGGTAGCAGTTTCGTCGGCCATTGTGTATGATTTTTTAGGTATCCGTATGTTATTGTTGTTTTGTTAACAAGGAGGTGGGAGACCACGTGAAGAGGGGTGACGGGGGAACTTCGTGACATAATCAGGCTGCTAGCGTGATCACAGCACGTTCCAAGACGCGTAAAATAAATCAATTTACACGAACGGCGCGACTCATTATCATTTACGACAGTTGACCAGTCAATCAATCAACCATATACATTTTCAGTCTTTTAACTACAAGAGTGCATATAGTTGTCGATAACCATGGAGGTTGCAAAAGCTCAAATTACTCAAGGTGCCTTGAAGTAAGTACATTTAACCTTTTAAATCATTTTTCTATACTAACTGTTCGTAGTGCAATCTTCAATGACACTGATCGTGTGGTAAAGGACTTTCCAGTACCAGTATGCCAAGTGGTACAAATCAAACCAATGGGTGCGGGAGTAAATGGACAGGCCGAAAGATTCAGACTGGTTGTGAGCGACATTCAGAACTTTGTACAGTGCATGCTTGCCACTCGTAAGTAGAATCCAGTTGTAGCTATTTAGGCCTTTGCCAGCACGATTTGACTGATGAGATTTCAGAGGCAAATCATGTAATACACGATGGAAAATTGACAAAAGGTTGCTTCATTCGTCTGAAGAACTACCAGGCAAATGAAGTTAAAGGCAAAAGGTCAGTTGGATATTCACAGATGTCTTCCTATGGGATGTTGTTGCCTAACTTTTTTTTTTAGAATTTTGATTATTCTCGATGTCGATGTCATCGAGAGTTTGGGAACGATGGAAAAGATCGGAGAACCAACTGCGGTCAAGGTCGAAGAAGATGTCAAACCACACAATACTACAATTGGCGGAGGTGGCTTTTATGGAACTAAACCTCAACCCCAACAACCTGCCGCTCAAGATCGTGCGCTCCCATCCCGCAATGGTCCGTCCAACTCCTCGTCTCACGCCACCATATATCCTATTGAGTCACTATCACCGTACGCTCATAAATGGACAATCAAAGCAAGAGTTACGAGTAAATCGGATATCAGAACATGGCACAAACAAAACAGTGAAGGCAAGCTCTTTAGCGTCAATCTTCTGGATGAGAGTGGCGAGATTAAGGCAACGGGCTTCAACGAGCAGTGCGACGCTTTATATGAGCTTTTCCAGGAAGGCAACGTCTATTATATTACGAGTCCTTGTCGAGTTCAAATTGCGAAGAAGCAATTTTCCAATATCAATAATGACTACGAGCTCATGTTCGAACGAGATACCCTGGTGGAGAAAGCCGAAGACCAAGATAATGTCCCTCAAGTACGATACAACTTTTCCAACATTGGAGATTTACAAACAATCGAAAAAGACAGCACAGTTGATCTCATCGCTGTGCTCAAGGAAGTTGGAGAAACCTCAGAAATTACGTCAAAGACGACTAATAAACCATACAGCAAGAGAGAGTTGACATTAGTTGATGATACTGGATATTCCGTCAGATTAACTATATGGGGCAAGACTGCAACCTCTTTTGATGCTAGCCCGGAGTCGGTCGTAGCCTTTAAGGGTGTCAAAGTTTCCGATTTTGGGGGTAGAAGTCTAAGTTTGCTGTCTTCTGGTTCCATGTCCTTTGACCCGGATATTCAAGAAGCCCACAAGCTTAAGGGATGGTACGACTCCCAAGGTCGCACAGAAAACTTTGCCTCACATAGCAACATGGCTAGTGCTGGAGCAGCAGGCGGCCGTCAGGACCCCTCAAGACCGTTGCCCAAATCAAAGAGGAAGGTCTTGGAATGTCCGAGGAGAACACAGATTATTTTTCAATCAGAGCCACCATCGTCTACATCAAACAAGACAATTTCTGCTACCCCTGCTGTCTCAACGAAAATTGCAGTAAAAAAGTCGTCGACCAAAATGATGGCACATGGCGCTGCGAAAAATGTAACCAAACCCATCCTAAAGCCGAATATCGCTACATCCTCTCCCTAAACGTCAATGATCATACCGGCCAATTATGGTTAACGGCATTTGAAGAAGTGGGAAGACTCATAATGGGAATGAGTGCAGATGAGATGATGGAGTTGAAGGAAAATGATCAGTCGGCCTTGGAAAAGGTATTCGATGATGCAAATTGCAAGATGATAATATTCAAATGCAGAGGCAAAACGGAAAACTTCCAAGAGCAAGCGAGGTATGTGAACTTCAACTTTATATTCTCACGACTTCAATTCGCGAACGTGTGACTAACCATCAATTGCAGGGTCCGTTATCAAGTCAATTCTGCTTCGGCTGTGAACTATGGTGTTGATGCCTTGAAGTTGGCGGAGATGATCAAGGCGTATAATATTGATTAGATGTATAAGTATATGGCTAGCATGTTGCGATTATAACCTAAGAATAAGAAAATGAGGTTGGTGGCGCCTGAGGCTGGCGAGCTTTATCAATGAGCATGATACGTTTGATGAATTGGTGAATGTACTTCATACAATTTGGCGTTGCGTGGTTACTCTCATTTCATGTCCAATAAGCCGATAAAGTTTTGCACGAAAATGATGAAAATATTGCCACAAATAGTGCATGCCCATTTGCTTGCTTGCTCGTTCCTTCATTCATATCATTGCTTCCTCTAGTTCATAGAATCATTCCTATCATATCTTCATAAGACGCCGCCCCATACGCCACTGCTTTCGATTTCTTCGAAAAGCTTAACTGTGTATCACACCATGCACCAGATATCGCTTTTCACGACTTATTATCCATATCGTGTCTTCCCGAAAAGCAAAACCCTTCCGTTTTGACGGCTAACTTGATCCTCTTCCACCGTAACTAAAATCAATACATCTCCGTCATTATATCCTCATCCTCGATTACGGTATTCCAATCCATAGGATCCACAGTCACACCACCAACCTTCTTCGCCTTGCTCTTAGCTCTCTGAGCACTGTCGAGATATCGCTTATCATGTGTCAATACTCTGTCTGTGACTTTGATTTGTTTGGCTAGAGATTGGATACGTCGAGTCGATGCCACTAAATCAATTTGAACCTGGGTTTCCGAAAGGACAGGTCCAGTTGGTGAGAAAGCGAGGACTGCATGTCCAGATTGATCTCGAATCATAGTTGCAGGTAAGGTGCCGTCGGCAATCATGCTTTGTATAAGATCTTCAATTTGTTTAATTGAAGTCAACTTTACACCAGTTTCTGCACTCGTCGTGAGGCTCATAATATCCGCAGCTCCAATTTTCGAATAAATATTAGCGAGGTTACGGATTTGAAATTTTGATAGGCGCACAGAACACAGTACATTAGACCGAAATTACCATCGTCAGTCCATAATTGTCGACCGAACTCGGCTTCACTCTTTAGTCGCGCAGCTGATCCAGTTTCAAAAATGCTGGCGAGAGCTTCATATGGTTTTGCAATAATATGGTATGCTTTAGCGGCAGGAGCAGAAGTGGTTTGTGGAAGCTGGAGAACCCTTCCATATTGAAGAATTCCAACGAGTAACCATTTTTTATATGCTTCAACCATAACGAGACTTACACCACCTTCGTTCACCGGGTACGTTATAGCATCCTCCAACATCTCTAATGCAGCATCCCATTTATGTAAACCAATGTAGACTGATCCGGCGTAATAGAAATACTCTAGAACGTCAAGAGGTTTTAGTTTGGAAGTGAAGCCCGATTTGATCGTCACATAGGATTGTGCTGGTAAGTCGGCCTCGCAAAGAAATTTTGTGTATGATACTGGCTCTTTGGCGGGGATGTAAAGGACAGGTTTGTCAAGAAGTTCTGTGATGGCAGTGAAACATCGTGTTTGGAGAGCCAATCGAACAAGAAATAAATGATTCGAGGTCAGGACTGATCCCGAGGGGTCGATTCGAAGTAGAGGTTCTCGAATTGGTGGGATGGCAGCGCCGGGCTTTACGAGCTTTAGTATTTCTTAATGTAACACCAAAAGCGTTACTTTTACGCACCTGATGTTGCTGCGAAGCAACTTCCGCTACAAAACTCATGATATCTTGCAATTCCTCACCAAGATATCGAATCTGCCTTCGATCGAAACTGTGTAGGAAACTTGTCGCTTTATCCCATAAATCGTCGATGTTGATTCCCTTCTCATTTTTGTAAGCTGCAGCGATATGGGCATTTAGAATGTAAATATATGGAACAGTATTTAACGAGGGGTTGATAACCTAATATAAACATATTAGCTCATGGCTGACGGTAATATATACACCACTGCTCACATCTAAAGGACTTTCACCACCCGCAGTGCTCTGTAGCAAAGTCTTCTCTGATGTTTTCTTCAAAGTCTCGATTTGCGATATGATACCAGCATCGTATTGCGAATCTGAGAGAGGTACCAAAGGCGCGGGATGAGGGGAAATAAAAGCATCCGGGACAGGAAATTATCCATCTTGAAAGTAGGGTATGCGACCAGATAATGAGCGTTTGATTAATTGCACACCTCTCGAGGGTTCGAATCGGTCTCAGATAGCTTTCCGTAAAAAATCAACGGGGCAATCTCAAATTCTCAAATTTGACACCCGAATCACCAAAGATAGTTTCGAGATATTGTGTTTGGAGTCTCAACGCTAACACTACCATGTAGAATGAGGGGACGGAGATGCGAGAGGCTATGATGTTGCCTTGGAGCTCCAGCCAGGTCTGGGGTTAATTTAAGCTAGCGGCCGCCTGCTCCGGCTCTAATCACGTGTTATCAGAAATCAGTCATCGCATTGAGGGGTGGAACAAAAGCATTCATTACTTTTTTACCAATACTATTTCGAGTGGATCTATAACACGCTCTTGAGCTTTTACCATAAATCTCGGTGGTGATAAATTTATAATCATTCTAGAATCATTATCGAGTCTTTCACTCGTGACTCTTTCAATTTCCATGTCTCTCACAAACGCAACCCCAGCAGAAGCTGCAAGCGGGGCAAAGACTGCGTCTCACATTCTGGCTACACTTCCAACGTCCTCGAGAAATGTAGCTTTGACTGCTATTCACGATGCACTCCTACAGAATAAAGAAAATATACTAGCCGCTAATGCCCGGGATCTCGAATTGGCTAAAAGGGAAGCCGAGAGTGGTCGCTTGAGCTTAAGTATAGTGTCGAGATTGGATTTGGGGAAGAAAGGAAAATATGAAGATATGTTGAAGGGAATTTTGGATGTCAGAGATCTTGACGACCCTGGTATTTTGCTTTGTTCCCTATGAAAATAAACTTCTGCTGATCGCTCAACACAGTTGGAAAAGTCACACTACGAACACGACTTGACGATGGTCTGGACCTTGAGAGAGTGTCATGTCCGATTGGAGTACTTCTGATCATTTTTGAAGCACGTCCTGAAGTGATTGCCAACATCGCGTCGTTAGCAATAAAGTCCGGGAATGCTGCTATCTTAAAAGGTAGGACAAAATATTATTTTAATTATTCACATGAGAGCTAATACTTTGCAGGTGGCAAAGAATCTACCGAATCTTTCATTGCTATCTCCACGGTGATATCAGTGGCCTTGCAGTCAACTGAAGTTCCAGCAGCTGCTATACAATTAGTCACAACCAGGGACGTAATCCCTCAATTATTGGCATTGGACCAATATATTGATCTTGTAATCCCAAGAGGTTCAAATGAATTGGTCAGATACATCAAGGAAAATACTAAAATTCCAGTCATGGGTCACGCAGATGGCCTCTGCTCGATATATCTTGAGAATACTGCTGACCCGGCAATGGCAATAAGAGTCATCGTTGACTCGAAAACTTCATATCCAGCAGCATGCAACAGCGTGGAGACTTTGTTAGTCGAGCAAGCTGCTCTAGAGACAGTTCTACCACAAGCTGCGGAAGCACTTCTAGAGAAGGGTGTCTCGTTAAGATGTGATGTTTCTAGCAAAGCAGCTCTCTCGTCAAAACTTCCTTCTCACCAAGCAGTTTTCCTTCAGGATGCAGTGGACAGTGATTTTGATACGGAACACCTATCACTTACTCTTGCCATCAAAACCGTTTCTAATCTCAACGAGGCCATCTCACATATCAATATCCATGGTTCCCACCACACTGATGTAATTCTCACCTCATCCTCTGAACTTGCTGAGCGATTTATGGCTAGTGTGGACTCGGCAGGTGTTTTCTGGAACACTTCCAGTCGTATGGCTGATGGAATGCGGTTCGGATTCGGTACTGAAGTAGGAATATCAACAAACAAGATCCATGCACGAGGACCAGTTGGTTTGGAAGGTCTCATGATCTATAAATACAAAATTCGCGGTAATGGCCAGATGTCTGTTGAATATGGAGAGGGAGAGGGGCAAAAAAGATTTAAGCATGAAAATCTCTCGATATAAATTACTTGTCGCGTTAGCAAAAGCACCCATTCGATGACAAGCGTACCGGCCACATGTAGGTATGATCCGCCAAACGTGTGATAGCGTGCGTCTTTCTTTTCGCCCCTTCAAACCTCCAAGAAATTGGTCCAAACATCATTTCTCCACTTATTCTGTCACGGTATCGACTCCATTTCTTGGCATGCCTGTCGGTACTTCCTCCCCAAACTTACCGTCCCTTGGCTTTCTTTCTAATAAATCATTACCATCCATAGGATCTCCTCCTAAGCTTATGCAAGCTTAGTTTAAAGCTTTTCAAGTGGTTTACCACGTTTCCTGATGGATATTTTCTCGCTTCCCAAATGCATGCTCGATAGGTTAACTTAAAACCAACGACCCCTGAAGCCCCTTGACACAAACCAGGTAACAAACTCATGTAGCCAATGACATTCAACCTTGGAATGATATTTTGACATTTTTAATACCTTTTACTTGCGGTTGATTTGTCCATCTACTCAATTGAGATATATTGATCTGAAAAATATGGGGAGAGTGATATGCTTGCCACTTGCAAAACATCGAGCTTTGCAGCCGCCCGCTTGGCGTATAGGCTTGGAGTAGAAATGTTTAAGTATGAGCGTCGCCCGTGGATATTGGAAGGTTACGGCCGGCCGCAGATTGCTTCAAGAAAGAGTCCCAGATATTTCCATTCGATTGAGGTGTAATATTTTTTTAAAATAAGAATTCTTACGTCGGAGCAAGAATATCCAAAATAAAATGTTGGTTTCTAATTTGTTTACGACGGTGGCATTTGGCACGGTTGTGTGTGCGAGGGCTGTTGAAAGGAGTGACCGTGAGTAATTCTAGGTTTCCTAGCATTCCAACTTCATCCCAATTCATCGTCAATTATTATTTCCATGGGGCTTCTTCCCACCCAGATCACCTCGAAAATATGACGGAAGCTAACAATTTGTCACAGGCTCATCTCAACAACCCATAACCGATCCCTCTTTGCCTCGTCCAAATCCTTCGTCACAATTTTGCATTTTCACGCCATCGCTTCCAATGCCACCCGTTTCCTTCACATCCACACTTCCTTCATCTCTTCACCATCATCTTCCGAACGTCCTTCTCTCCCATTCATTCTTTAACTCCAATCTCCCAGCTTCAGGCTCCACGGTTCCCATGATCTCAAGTCTCGCTCTCCGAAGAAACCGGCGACGCTTCTCTTCAAGGAATCTTCCTCGGTCTCGTCTACACACCCAGTAGCAGTAAATCTTCCTCTGCACCTCCTTCCACCTCTCTCCCAAAGCCGCAGGAATCAAAACCGGAATCAAAATCCCATCGCTGTTCTCGACCTTCTAAATCTAAAGTGGATGAACAAGACGATTTCGATAAATCGTGGGGTCATATTAGTAATCATGAGATTCGTTCCCCTATTTTGTCGGTACCACAGTCGAGTCCCTCCATGGAGATGAGAAGATGTTTTACAGAGGCAGTGGAGGGAATAAGGGGGAGTGAAATGGTGGAGGGTACGTTAAATTTTCCGGAGGATGGAGGACGGATGCGATTCTTGATTTGGCGGGTTGATTGAGTAATGTGAATGAAATATATCTAATTTCACGAATTGGCTGTTTATGAATGGATGGATATGGTACTGGAATGGCGAGCGCGGAGAGTTCTTAAAACAATTGGCGTCAGGACATGAATTCTATTATTTTTATTTTGGCGTATATGATATTGTTGGAGCCGGACTTGACAGAGATGAGATAGGATGGATTGTGTGTAACAATGATTAAGCATAAATCTATTAACTAACGACAATAAACGACCTCGTAAAAGAGGACTGCTAGGATTCATCAGTCATACAATCTTCTACCAAATAATGATTTTAAATAGTCTATTCAATTTGCGTGAATATTATTCGAAATAGATCTCATTTTTACTTCTCTCAACAATGCCGCAAGTAACGGCCTGTCGCTCATCTAGGTTTAGACTTCTACGTTAACAAGACATTAATACAGAGTTTTAAATCTCATGTTTTGTTTTGGCTGCGTAAAGTTACGAGCGAAACTTTTTTTTACTTGTCTGTTGATGATATTGGTTGTGTTTGGTTTACTGCTCCAGTTTCTTCATGCTATCATCCTATTCGCTCTCATTCTCGTTATGTATATTGTGTATCTTATCATCTACTCGATTTTCATTAAAATCAACCCCTAATTAATTGAGCCGCTCTCCACCAGTCACAAGGATAAGGTTTGTCCCGAACGCTCCAAAAGCATGTGGAACAGCCCTCGTTTCATACTTGCTTCTTTGCAGGAGGTGATATATTGAGAGTGGTACTCTTATGAAGTATGAAGCGTATGCTTATAAGATGGAAAATGGATGTGAATAGGGGAAAAGGGGATTAACCATGCTTTTTGCGCTGAGTGTGCTAAAGGGGATGGTTGGGGCTTTTGATCGAGGATATTTTCACTGTTTATTAGTTATTTGTTTAAATAGGTATTTCGTGCTGGAATTACTTATTGGCCCCTCCCTCTATAAATATACCTATAGAACAAGAAAACCCCGAGAAATCTTTACAATGCATTGACATAGGGAGTTAGTAGAAACATGGGACCTACCCGCCAAGGGTTTTTGCTCAGTGTTTGAACAGATGACGGTATTTTGCATTTTACCGTGACACACAACATGATTGGAACATTTGGATTTTGATAATGGTACAGCTACACAGACAAAGATATGCACCTCTCAACATACATACTCACCGTCGCGAACTACAACTTATTTTATCATCGCCCATCTTGCACGTTTATCACAACCACGGCCACAAAACTTAAACCTTCGAATTTTCATTCTCTATTCTAATACCTCCTTCCACTCTCCGAATCTGTATTTTCTACTTCATTCTTGCACATCCCATACAATTCAATAAATCCTACTCGAACTTTCTATCTTCAAAAGTTCGTGAAGATATCAGTTGTAAAGATTTATGTCTTCTTTATTAATGACTTATATTGAATGAGTCATTCTCTATTCACTCATCTATAGACTCCTGAGTTCTCACCAGATCCTATTTCAGTAGGTATCTCAGCACCTGGTGTGTTTCTGTGTTTCTTAGCTATAAATATAAATACATCTTGTTATTAAGAAATATCAAAATTGAAAGGAAAAAATCGGGTGGAACGTTTTCCTGGTGGCTGATGATTGAGAATTTTTGGAGTACTGTGATTCTATTGGAAGTTTAATTTTGGATACATAGAATTTGGGAATTTTGTTACAAGAGATGAAAGGTGGAGAGGATCGTTGAAGGATTATGTATAGTAGAAATTTGGATAATCTTAGTCTTAACTTCTTCTGACAACTACTTCCTCTGTATCTATTTTATTGATAGTAAGAACTCCGTGTTCATGATCATTACTACCGATATAATTATATGATTGATCACTTATATCTTGTATATTCCCCCAACCCAAAGGATTCGCAATCAAAAACCCCCAATTTCATCCCTTTAATTTTAAAAGTAGATCTAGTAATTAGGATCAGAAAGTGTTGCGAAACCATTTCCCAATTGTTGTATCTCTTTCCGTTTCGCTACTGTATTGAAATCCTATACAATGATGATATTTTATAATCTCCCTCGGAAAACCACTCTGGAATCAAACGTTGTCGCGCGGTGGGAAAGAAGAGCCTTAATAATAACTGTTCTGTGTAAATATTATATTCTACCACTTAATAATACCTAATTAGACTCAAATCAGGCTTATCTGTATATTGTTCTGAAGAATAACTATTACTTGATTGTATATCATTTAAATTTTTAAAATTTGAGTATATAAACTTCCAGATTCTTAGTTATTTCTCTTCATAGAACATCCATCACTGGGGCAATATTATAGATTTTGAAGATTTGAATTTTCTTTTGCAATTCATTAGCAAATTCAAGGTTAATTAAAGTGAGGAAGAAAGTCCAGAAGTAAAGAAAGACTTCTAAATAGTGGTTGAAGGAAAAGGGACTGAGAGGTAGCGAGGATAGGAGATTCAGTTGAGTGATAATTAGGTTATATCTTGAAGATGATGATAAGATTACAAGTTTTCCAGTGATGGTATTCTCGCTGCTATTATAGCAATATAATCACTATCAAAACTAAATCCTTTACGTTTCTTGTTCATCTGTTGAACACTTTGCATCAAATCCCAAATAATTTGTCAATAGCAATAACATAGAAATTTCCAATAGGAAATAACTATAAAACCTACTGCAGAACAGTTGAACAGCATTCAGACTAAGAAGATAATTAGGCATTAATTAGCCCAATACTATCCAATATTTCGTGATATATCAAACAAACTCAACGCTGATAAAATAAACGGGATTACAATAAATAGGTCAATTAAAATAATTATTCTGATCCTGTATGAAAAATAAAAAGTTAACTAATTCCCAAACTTCCACTAATTATACAAGAATTAGTTTCTTGAATCTCTTCTGTTATCATCCATATCTATGAGAAAAACTGCCAGACAGACAGATAGATTCCGATTAATTATAATAAGGTTAAGCGGAGACGAGTAGTAAGATTATTAGGTTTGGTAATAGTATTATTAGACTAGACCACTCCATGGTCAAGATTTATTTTCTGTTTGAAGTGATGGAAGTGGAGCGGAATATTTGAACCATAAACCACAGAACCACATACAACATGGCGACAAACATCTTAAAAACCAAACACCCATCCTGAAAAACTTATAATGTGAAGTGAATCCATGATTCCTCTTGTGATGGAAAAGAAGAGAAGGATGGATTTGAAGGAGTTTCTTAGGATGAAGAAGGGGATGAAGAAGGGGAATATTTTGTATTTGTATTTGTATTTGTTTTTGTTTGAATTGGGTTGGGTTGGTTGGATTGATTGGGCTGGTGAGATTTTGAGTTGATGCGAGGTGTGAGGGATGAGGGTGAACGGATTATTCGGTGTATGGATTTGGTGTTGTGATTTTTGAGTGGTGCTTGGTAATTTGATATGTTTATTTGGATGTGTGATGGAAGACAGTGAAGTTAAGAACACAGAGACAAAACTTGAGTACAGGGGATAAAAGCTATATATATACACAATAAGTACCCTTCTTCAGATTTCTAGAAGAACTTGGAAAATCACTAGAGGTTCCCTGGATATTGCACCTTAGTTCTACGAGTATACTAGTATACCATCGCGATGTCTAGCTCTCATATGAAAGTCAAGAGATGATGGGAGAATATGTCTTAGATAGAGAGAAGAGTTGCGATATGTATTTCTTAGCATCCCATCACATTTATATGTGGAAATATAGAAATATGATGTTCTGCTTCAATATTCGGGATTGAGATTTGGGGTGGTTGTTTTTTCTTTTCTTTGATCTTAGTTCTTCAGATATATTGGAGTAAGATAAATTGACGCAGGTAGAAGCGGCTAAATTACCAAATTTTTGAATCTGGAAGAAGAATTGATAATTTATACGGCATGGCTTTGATTTGCTCGTGAACCACGTTTCTGTATATGCAGTGAACACAGTAGAAAGCTAGAATACAGACGATGACAGGAAGGATAAAGACGAGAAGAGAACTGAAGACGGTTTGGGAGAAATGGAAGTCAAAGAGTTGAAAGTGATAGATAGATATCATTGTATCTTAGAACGCAGAGCGCTAATAGACTCATGAGATAATTACATGTTGGACTTATTGGCACTTCAGACGAGATGGAGATGAATCTTCCAAGCTGATTGTCTAGTTCGATGCATTTAACATCTCAAAGTCGAATGTGCCAGTGAAACTTGAGGAATGATAGCTCACTGAGCCCTGGTTTCTCGCAGATTATATTGGTATAATCAATGCATTGCTTGCATGAAGCAATGAACACGCCATCTAGAATCTTCCCTTGACTTCGCGATTTGAAAGAATAGAGAGAATAGAAAGACTGCAAACATCTACTCCTTCCAAATTGAGATACGAGAACGAAACGGAAGTGTTAATTTGATGTTTTGAAACGATAGACCTACTGGGTGTCACGATACTTTACTTGAGCATTGTAAACTCGGAACTCCAAACCGATACTTAGGTATGTTCTAGAACGAGACATCCTACTTTCTTGGCTTGAATAATATACCAAACTTTGAGACGTATGAATTATATCAAGCTGGCTGTATAATATGACTCGTCTTAACCGTTCCCTATTGATAACCACTTGGTCTCTACAATAGGAAAAGGATTTGATGTCAAAATACCTATGGATGGGATCACGGTGGATGATACAATTTCATACAAGGCGGGTAGAAACGGGATGAAATCAACTCGTGAAATGATTATTGTTCCCCAGCTTTAGCCTTATCAATTATCAATTATCAATTATCAATTTTCAGGGAAAATTTGCGTACAGGGATTGCTATGACAGATGAATATCGACTCCACTAATAAATCAAACCAACAATTGACTCGGAAATAGAAAAGATTGATTGATTAATGAATGAATGCCATATGGGTTTATGGGTTACAAGTACATTGTTCGGTAAATGATCAAAGCAAAATAATGGCGGCGTTATCGATAGGAAAAGATACGTCGGAGGGTGATAGAGAACATTGGGTCGAATCATCTACGGAGGATGCAATGCAGAGAAAAGAAATACCGCTCTTCAGATATTTAAGGTTACCATGTAGTATGTAGGTACGTATGTACAGTGTAAATCAGAGAAATTTAATATCAGAGTGCGGCGCAGTCCGTTCGGTTCCTCCGAACACCTAAAAGTATAAGGCGAAAGAAGGGTCCGCCAAGTGACTGGGCCCAGACTGCAGTAGGAATACAGTAGTAATACAGGACTGAGAAGCTTGCATGGAGTTGGGAATTCCAATTATCAACATAACCAGGTAAAGAGGGAGTAGCTGTATAGTGTATGTCACCCAGGCACCGTAGATATCAATCAGGAATTTGGCATACGACAGGATGGTCGATGCGTTCTGACGGAGGAGAGCGCCGTCATCAACATATCCGGATTCTTGTTTTACAACAGTGCTTGGATACCTAGGTAGCCACTGACAGTATTTGATTCATCCATCATTCTACCGGCTAAGTTGGCTCACCAGGCTCAAATTAGGCTCGAAGTGAGGTATATTCACACTTAGGTATGTACTCGGTAAGCAGACTGTTGGCTTTTGGCTTCTTCAGATAGGTAGGGTAAATAGTATGAAGATAGAGATGGATTAGATATCCCCTTACAAACTCTGGATGGTATCAAAAGTTGTCTCATGAGTGAATGCCATTTATCAATATCAATGTGTACTTCCCTGGGCAATCACCCCGCGAAGCAACGACGTGAATATTACTAGTGACTAGACAATTAGCTCGCCATACCTAGGTACCTACAGAGATGATTAACAGTATGGAAAGAATTTAATACGGTAAACCCTAATCCATCTACACCACGCCTAGGAAATAGGTTATAAAACAGCAATAATCAATCCCCTCGGGGCCATTCTTTTCCTGTTATTCACAAAGCACAAAAAACAAACATTCATCCAACGCACATCAAACCATTCATTCATTCATTCATTCATTCATTCGTTCATTCATTCAACCACCCAATCTATTCAATTATCGATCCTTTCTGGTCCCCCCACTCTGCTGTTTATAGATAAATAAGCGAATCACTTTTAGCGTTCTTTGCTCTCATCAATCCAGGAAAGAAGCGTCATTTTTAGTAGCACCAGTTTCTCTTTCCCTCCCAAAAACTGCACGCGATCTGCAAAGATAATTCTCCCAATCTCTACCATCACCTCCAAAAGATTGTCCAACTCGAAAGGTATCATCTCGCCGATAGTCATCATCTATCTACAATCTCTTCGGCCTTTTCTTTCCAAGGAAACTACGACCCCGCATCCCACCCATACATCTTTGCAATCTCTGTCAAGGAACACCAAGAATCCCGGAGACCTATAAATCTTGTGGAGAGAAGGATCTGAATTGTTTGTTGGATTTTTGTAGAGGACTAGATCTATCTGCAAGATGGGTCAGACTCTTTCGGAGCCGGTCGTGGAGAAGGTATGTTTGCTTTTGCTTGTTTGTTTACCGTGTCATTGTCGGCGCTGGTATCTCTTACCCAGGTATCGCACGTCTGGTATCCCATGCCAATGTTGAGTCTTCCCGCGCCCGCAGTAATACAAAGACTTTTATGCTGTTCGGGAAATGAGGACAGCTTTCTCACAAAATATGCCATAAAGACTCGGTGTGCAGCCGCAATCTTACTATCGAGATTTACCTACCACTTTCCATGATTACTAACCTTGTTCTCTCTATTAGAACTCAGCTATTGGAGGCGATGAGAGATTAGTCTATGGTGTCTCTTCTATGCAAGGATGGAGAATTAGTATGGAGGATGCGCACGCGACTATTCTTGATTTACAGAATACAAAGGGACAGGAATTTAAGCTAGCTCCAATCGAAAGCAGACTTTCCTTCTTCGGTGTTTACGATGGACATGGAGGAGACAGGGTAGCACTCTTTGCTGGCGACAATATACACCAAATCATTGCGAAACAAGAAGCATTTCAAAAGGGTGATATTGAACAAGCTTTGAAGGATGGCTTCCTCGCAACAGATAGAGCAATTTTGATGGGTTAGAAGACCTTCCATCTTTTATCAGAAAGGTTACTGATTCAAGTCGTAGATCCAAGGTACGAGGAAGAAGTTTCTGGCTGTACCGCATCCGTTGGTATCATTTCGCATAAGAAGATTTACGTGGTATGTTATATGGTATCAAAAGAAAGCCAAAATATACTTACTGTTTTCAAGGGAAATGCCGGAGATTCAAGAAGCGTTTTGGGAGTCAAGGGTCGGGCTAAGCCTCTGTCATTCGACCACAAGCCGCAAAACGAAGGTAGCTTTTCATCATCTTGATAATATGCTGCACAAAATACTAATATGCATCTGTGCAGGCGAAAAGGCTAGAATCAATGCGGCCGGAGGTTTCGTCGATTTTGGTCGTGTCAATGGCAATCTTGCGTTGTCAAGAGCTATTGGTGATTTCGAGTTCAAGAAGAGCGCAGGCCTTTCACCTGAACAACAAATTGTGACTGCATTCCCAGACGTTACTGTACATGACATTACAGACGATGACGAGTTCTTGGTGGTTGCTTGCGATGGTTAGTAGCTTGCGACGAATCATTGAGAAAGACAGGCTAACATAAATATACAGGTATCTGGGATTGCCAATCCTCCCAAGCTGTCATTGAATTTGTTCGACGAGGAATCGTTGCCAAGCAAGACCTATCTAAAATCTGTGAGAACATGATGGATAATTGCTTAGCATCCAATTCGGAAACTGGTGGTGTAGGTTGTGATAATATGACTATGATTATCATTGGTCTCTTGAACGGCAAAACTAAGGAAGAGTGGTACGATGAAATCGCAAAGCGTGTCGCGAATGGAGATGGTCCATGTGCCCCTCCGGAGTATGGCAAGTACTCCGCTAGTTCCTAGGATCGGAATATCCCCTAATATGTTTACTAGCTGAATTCCGAGGACCTGGTGTGCATCATAATTTTGATGACAGTGACAGTGGTTATGATGTTGATATGGACCAGAAGCTTAAATCTTTCGGTGGGAACCAACGTGGACGGATCATTCTTCTTGGAGATGGTACAGAAGTCCTCACTGATTCCGATGATACAGAGATGTTCGATCACGGCGAGGAAGACAAAGACCTCGTCAGCCAAGTCCCAAAAGGACAACCCCAATCCGAAGTCCCCGAATCTAATGCCTTGCCCGAAAAGCTCGACCCGAAAGATCCCAAGTACCAAGCTGTAGTCGATGAGGTTTTACCAAAAACGGCCAACTCGAAGGAATAGAAGATACTTCAAAGATTCTTGAGGTGAAGGATGGCGAGGGGGGAAGAGGTGAAGATATTAATGACTCGAGAAATTATGCAGACCAGATTCATCTTGATGAATGATTATTTTTGCAATTATGTCTGGAATAGAAAGAAACGGTTGCAAGTTGTTTACGTTTTTACTGGCAAAGCGTGAGATACATTCACGTGCTGCGAGATCTTCTGGGAGTCTTCGTGAATGCTCAGAGGGATTAGGGAGGATGGGATGAAGGAAGGCATAAAGGTTATGAATACTTTATATCTGGTAAACATTTTTGGAGATCCCCTTGGTGGTGGCTTCTCCTTCTCCATGAAATTTCTCGAACTTACGATCTTCACACGCAGCGAGTTATATTATCATTGGTCATGAGTCCACCATCTTTTCCATTTTACATTACAGATAGACTAGTAAGGCCAAGTTGCATTGCATTACTTTTGAAAAATCACCAATTGATTGATATCCTGATTAAATGGTTCATCTGATGTCTCTTTTCGGTTTGCATGTTTGTTCTCTTCCGAATGAAGTGTTCAGAGACTCCGTAGGTGGATAGGGATAGGGATAATCACCACCTACTAGGTAGGTAGCTAGCTAATGGTCACAGCTTGAAGTGGAGATTGGGTAGTAGGCTAGGTTCGGAGAAAGGATTAGAAACTAAGAGATTCTTTGGTTACCCCGCGAACCGCGCGAACTGCAGAGTGGGAAAATCATGTTTAGTATACGGAGGTGAGGTAAGGTAAGTAAGGTCTTTCTTTATAGATAAAAAATATACATTAGTCCATGAATGTAAGGTTACAAGGGATTTATTATACTAAGGTAGGTAAATACTTGTTTGGTGAATGCAATTAAGCTCTTTTGTTTTGCGAAGAGGATTGATTGATTGATAATGATAGTGATGATAGATAGTCTTGGGTTCGGGCTCGGAATTTCAAAGACGCCGCCCGATTTATTTGGTCGGGATGTTCTACGTGAACGGGAATGGCAATGGGAATGGGCAATGGGCAATGGGGAATGGGGAGTACCCAGATGAACGAACTTGTTATTTCTGTTCCCGGGTGGGTCTGGGTATTGATTGACTTGGTGTTGTGTTGGAGTTGTTTGATGGAGCGAGTGTAATGGTTTGGGTAGGTAGGCAGGTTTGATTTGGAGGGAATTATATAAATTGTTGACTATCACGATTTCATACTTTCCCTGGTGGGGAGTTCCAGCTCGTTCATGCATCATGAATCATCCAATCAACATTCACGAAAACAGCTCATTATTCCTTAGCGTCCCACGTGCTCTTACTCAATAAATACCTAGTTAGCAATGACGATGTTTTGGAATTTCCGGGTTATTCAGAAATTTGAACACCTTAAAGAAACCTGGCTGGGGATTTTTAATAAGATAGGATAGCTTGAAACTAGCTTTATGTGAGGACAACAAGACATCAACCTACCTCTCACTTACTTCCATTCTACCAATTATTTGATGCAGTCCGTACGCGTATCATATTCATCAAACCTTACATAAAGCTTTGATTAATTTTTTTCAAGATCATCACTTCGAAGTTCCATCAAAAATTATTATTGTTTTTGTCAAAATATCTGCATTTTCAAGCTTCAAAAGTTTACTCCCGATCGATATCTATCAACTTCTCGAATCCGCGCGATACTACTATAACACCACTATTGAACCCTGGTCAAAATTATTCAACTTTCGGGAAGCTCAGCCAGTATTCAAAAACTACCATCAAGAAACGAAAACCAGAAACCTAGGATCGATCATCCTAATTCCCGTCTATCAGTAGAATCAATTTTCAGATTGAACGTTCAAAATCTAAAATGTCTTCTCCATCATCTGGCGGAAGTGTAGGAAAGCGGAAGCGTACTGCTACTGGGCTATCGAGGACATCATCAACGCTCGATCAATTACAGAATTCATCAAGGGATGCATCTGGTGAAGATGGCGAATCTACAGCTCCGGAAACTCGAGAAACACGTAACTCGAGTCATAAAAAGGTTCTTTCGGTCGATTCTCAAAATCCACCAGCCAAACGCCTTCGATCGTCTACACATGATAAAGTAGCAGTTAATGGATCTGATAATGCGCGAGATCCGGGAGAGCCATCGGATACAACTGAGGGTAGTACAGATATTGCGAACAGAGTTGGAAAGAAGGGGAGAAAAAGTATTTCAAAAGGAGAGGATGGAGAGCAAGAGGTGAAGAAAGAGAAAGAGGAAAATGCACAATCGATGGCACCACCACCAATTGGAAAATTGATGGATCCTGTTGGATACAAAACCAATCCACCACCTACCGGTAGACCAGTTCGTGTTTATGCGGATGGTGTGTTTGATTTATTTCATCTTGGGTATGTAATTCAAAACTACGACCTTGGTAGTAGTAGCTAATTTATGGCAGACATATGCGACAGCTCGAACAAGCTAAAAAAGCATTCCCAGACGTTTACTTATTGGTCGGGGTTACGGGAGACGCGGAAACACACAAGAGAAAAGGACTTACAGTTCTATCCGGGCAAGAGCGAGCTGAGACTGTAAGACATTGCAAGTGGGTTGATGAGGTCGTCGAAAATTGCCCATGGATTGTTACTCCGGAATTTTTGGCAGAAAAAAGGATCGATTACGTCGCGCATGACGATCTCCCATACGGAGCAGATGAAGGAGATGATATTTACAAGCCAATCAAGGAACAAGGTAAATTTTTGGTTACACAGAGAACCGAGGGTGTTAGCACAACTGGTATCATTACAAAGTATGTTTCTGAACTTTTACTTCCTCAATCATTGCTAATCATCATCCAGAATCGTTCGTGACTATGAAAAATATATTGCGCGTCAATTCAAGCGAGGTACTACAAGACAAGAGCTTAACGTATCATGGCTTAAGAAGAATGAACTTGACCTAAAGCGTCATGTTGCAGAAATGAGAGAAGCTATCCGAACAAATTGGAGTACTACTGGTCAAGAATTGGGAAAAGAATTGAAACAATTCTGGCAATCTAGCCGTCCCGGTAGTCCTGCACGTATGCATAGCTTTGACGGAAATAGTACTGGAAGTCTTACAAGCCCATCTGCTCTGCAACACCTTACACGCCGTTTGGAAATTCCAAGAAATGATAATTCAGGTCCAGGTAGTGATTTTGCGACTGGATATAGTTTAGGTCTTATTGGTGGTGTACGATCATGGGTATGTTTTGTATCTTCTCAAAGCCTACTCAAGCTAACTTTACGTTCTAGATGACTCGAAGTCGATATAACAATCGCGATAGTTTACAAGGAAGTGAAAGTAGCGAAGAAGAAAGTGAGGAAAGGTTATCACCGAGAAGTAAAAGTGGAAAGGAAAACTTTAAACCTGATGAGAATGAGGTTGATGAAGAACAAGTCGATGCACAAATTGATGCTGCTATGGCGGAAAATGCTAAGAAATCTGGACAGTAAATGAGGAATACTCTATTTGGGTTCTTAATTTATGATGGGTTTTTGGGTGGCAGGGTTACATGACTTCAATATCAAAGTCTGTCCTCCTTGTTTATGTTCGAACTTATACTTCGTATATCTATTGCGTTGTTGTACTACATACATATCTATTTGCGCTTTAGCTATTCTGTATTATTTCTAGACTTAATGGAAAAAGGGCGAAGGGTAAAATGGAATTGTAATGAACTGGATTTTGGATAGACAAAAAACTCAATATGATAATTAGCAGACTAGCATAGAATTCATTTTAAAAGGAATAATTTTCGTAGTGTTTATATTGACGGGATACAATGCGTAAGTGGTGGCGGCAAGCATAAATAAACCACGTGATCTTGACCAATCATTGGATTCGAATTAATCAACCGAAATCAATAATTTGAACCTTAGGATCTTTAGTGACATCGATGACTTTGCGAGTTACCGATAGATAGATAACCTCGAGACGCCACGAAACTTTGGACTATTTTCACTTACCTGGTCCTTTTTTGTTCTATCGTCAATTGATATATTTTGATTGATTGATCGATTGGTTAGTTGATTAACTAGCCGGTTTAGTTACAGAGCGAGAAGAGAAGAGAAGAGGTATTGGGAATACGGATAGTGTAGCACAGGACAGGACAGGACAGACAAGATACATAGTCGGACGGACGGACGAAAAAGGCAAACTCAAGATGTTTAAAACTACTCGATCTGCGGGGGCGCTGGTATTGAGAGGTTTGTCTTCCCTTCCTTTTCCCTTTCCCTTTCTTTCCTCATCTTCCTATGTCCTATGTTTGCGAACATATTGTTGTATCCTCCTCGTTCGTATTAGTGGCGACTTCTTCCCTTCCTTCCCTTTCCTTTCCATCTCAATCACATTATATCACACCAAACCATCCCCTCAAAATAAGCCCCAAAAAACTAACAAAACCCCCACCCACAAACAGCCAAACCCGCCCATCACTCTCTCCTCCCAACCCGCTTCCTCCAAGCGGGAATCTCGTCCAGCGCGCCAAAGACGGCAAAAACTCAAGTGCAGGCTTTGGAGACTAGTCATCCGGATAATAGGGGAGGGTTGAAGTTGAGTGTTACGGGGAAGGAGAGGAGGGAGGTGCTACTTCCGAGTCAGGAGGGGAAGAAGGGCGTTATGCAGTATGCTTTGTAGGTGCTTGGTTTGTTTGGGGAGGGGCTTGTTTTGGTTTTGTGGGTTTTGGTGGGGAAGGGGTGGGAGAGAGAGAGGGGACGGAGGCGGGGTTGTTTGGAGGGGAGTGAAGGTTGAGGCGGGTTGAGGGGGAGATGAGGGAAATGGCGGGTAAAGGGATTATATTGGGGAGGGAGATACAGTGGCGGGCATAAGAGAATGGAAGAGAAAAGCAAGAAGGGGCAAGGTTGCTTCAAGCCTACCCTTTGCTTTGTTCTCGATCCACGCTCTTCTCGCTGCACTTTGAGTGGCGATCTGAAAGAAGTATCGAAACAAAAGCTAACAATATACAAATAGAACCACACTCGATCAAATTGCCAACTGGGCACGTCAAGGATCCCTTTGGCCTATGACATTCGGTCTCGCTTGTTGCGCCGTCGAAATGATGCATCTTTCCACCCCACGTTACGATCAAGATCGTTTTGGTATAATTTTCCGTGCTTCACCTCGTCAATCTGATGTTATGATTGTAGCCGGTACTCTTACCAACAAGATGGCTCCTGCTCTTCGACAAGTTTATGATCAAATGCCTGATCCAAGATGGGTTATTAGTATGGGCTCTTGTGCAAATGGTGGTGGCTATTATCATTATAGTTATAGTGTCACTAGGGGTTGTGATCGAATTGTTCCGGTCGATATCTATGTGCCTGGTTGTCCGCCTACGAGTGAGGCACTTATGTATGGTATCTTTCAATTGCAGAAGAAGATGAGACATACAAAGATTACGAGAATGTGGTATAGGAAGTAGAATGTTGGAAGGGTTGGAGAGATGTTATTGGGCTGGGATTGTTTCAAGGGCGGCTTCGAGGGAGAGCTTCGAGGGAGAGCTTCGCATTTGGAACATATTGCGATGCATAGATGCATAGATGGATATGTGGATGACGATGAAGTAGGTGGGTTCAAGAGTCTGTTTGTACAAAATGTACATAGTCTACTGGGAGTTTTCATCATAGTCATTTTTGAAGAATTGAGAACGGGAAAAATGCGATAAAATACAATGGAATAGAATGAAGATTCTTTGAATGTTTTATAATATGATGTTTTTTGTGAGTATTGTATTCTTATTAAGCTGTATCTCTTGCTTTTATACTTACTGGATTTAAGATCTTACAAGAGTATAATTTCTAGATCGTTTATTAAATGGTGTATAGACGGACTTATGATAAAGTTGGCTGTACTAATTGATAAGGTGGCTGATTGGTTGGTAGATAAATCGTTCATATTTCAAATAGATTATAGATTTAAAAATTCTTTTCTGCTTTTCTTCTTTTCTCGTATTTGATTTTGATTTTGATTTTGATCTTGGATTTTTTGAGTTATTCTGAATACTAAAGTTGTTTAAGTTATTCTATTCTGGTGAGGGGAGAGAGGGGTAAAGGGGTGTAAAGGGGAAATCGTTTTGTGGGGATGGGGATGGGGATGGGGATGCGGATTATTAGAAGGAAGAAAGAAGAGGGAGGGAGAAAGATTAGATGTTCTTTTTCCTTCTCTCTCTTGGGAGGTAGGAGGTTGGGGGTGGGGAGGGGCGAGTAGGGGCAGAATGAAGGGGGAGAGGGCTGGAGAGGGAGATGGAAAGATGGAGATGAGAAGATGGAAGGATGGAAGGGAAATGAGAAATGGAAGAAAGGTGAGGATGGAAAATGGAAGAGGAGGAGGAAAGGAATAAATCTAGGAAGAGAAGAAGTAAAAAGTAGAAAATAGGGAATAACGATTTGGGATATAGAGGTTAAAAGGTAGAGAAACTTGATTATTGGTAATTAGTATTAGCTACTTTATTTGTGGGTTAAAACCTAAGGGATGAAGAGAGGGGAGATGGGGAGATGGGGGATTTAGAAAGTTATGGATGTAGTTATGGATGTGTATGTTTTGAGGGTAGGATTAATTAGAGATATAGAGGTATAGAGGTGGGAAGTATGTGGATTTATTAATTATTGAGGAGAAATGGATATCTTTATATTTTTGTCAAGACACTGAGAATTTGAGAATTTGAGAATGGAAATTTAGGTGTGAAGATCTAGATGGAGGGGTGTAATGGCGTAATTGTGTAATGGTTTGTGAGTAAAGCACGAGGTGAGTGTGAGTTGGGAATGAAATAAGGAATTCGAATTTCGTATATGAATGTTAAGATGGATATGAACATGGGAGGTATGAATATGGGAGGTATAAATAAATAGATAGATGGATGGATGGATGGATAAAAGTCCCTACGGCAGGGGCGAGTAGGTGTAAATATATTCTCAGAATGCCAAGGAGAAATTCCCATATCTCTATTTCTGTGCATCAGAGGAAAAGATCAGTGCGGATAATCGACAAAGACGTGTAGAGATTTGAATGGATGGATGCATAGTTGGCCGGGACGCTTAAGGAGATCTGTTCTGTGGATTTAAAAACCCTGTTAATCATCAAGAGAGTGAGTGAGTTGGACATGTTAAACCACTCAATTTCATGGATAGAATCCGTGAACTGGTGAGAGATGATTGTGAATGGTTATTATCCGTCAGGAGTCGTGAATGAGGGGGGAAAGCTGTGCTTGGGTCATATTCCTCCAGGAGAATTTCCGTACTAAACCGAGAGGAGTGTCTCTCGCTTTTGGGGCTTGGGTTGGTTATATCCTATGTATTATGAGTTGGGTTGAGTTGGGTGAGTTGGAGGTCTATCACATCACACGGAATTGTATACTACCAGCTTTTATTATTGAACGAGGAAGGAATGTCTACTATATCTGTAAGATTTCGAGTGTGTAGTGAGATTAAGCATATGCCGTGAGATTTCGAATATTCTGTAAGAGGAGAGGCCGATATCAAGAGAAGCGAAGCAGTTAGTTTTGAAGCCGGGCAGTGTCATTGTGATGTGGTTATGGTTATGGTTGTAGTGAGTAATTAGTGAGTGGTTAAATCATGTTCTATAAATGGATAGAAAGTTTACATAAATCATAAAACTTCCTAACCAGAAATTAAATAACATTGCTATACCTAGAAATTTGAGGAAGTTATTGATAGTTAGTTCTTAGATGATACAGTAGTAAGGGGGCCGAATGTAAGGTCGCTAGACTTAATCGGTACTAGCTGGATCCTTCCCCGCATCCATATTCTAAGATCTGACTTGCTTTAACCTTAATGCAACTCATTATTGCGCATCTTTTTTGCTCCTCCTTTCTAGCCTTGCAATCTTACATCAATCCACTCTATCTGGAACATTATAGTATCCTTCATCATCATCATCAACATCAACGTCAATTATTTAACCGCCAAATACCCACGTACACAAGAAACCCGCACTGAATCCTACTAATTTAACCTTAATATTAACCCAATATCCTGGATCTAATAGAAGCTTACAGAATGATCTCATTCACAGCCCTATATTTTTACCTAAGTATACCTGTAACGGACCTTCCGAGTTCCTTCCCGCTTGGGCTGCGGTTAACCGCTAATTAGCGGTTATAATTCTCCACTTTTGATCCTGGCGGCAGTGCAGAGACGATGCAGGATGGCATGGCCATTATCCATGAATTGGTTAGGACAGATTGGCTGGGGATTTATTTTTGATTTTTATGGGTTTAGTGTTTTTTGGGTGAGCAGTATGCAATTATCCAGATTCTCGGTTGAGGTCAGCATCAAAGATTAGTGATTTTGTCACGATTCTCGCTTATCAACCCTTTTCAATGGGATTCATAGGGAATGTGTGATATTCTATTCTCAAGGTATTGAGATAAGGATGTAGTGCGTAGTAAGCTGGAACAATACTACATAAAATTTAACGTAAAGAAATTCCTTACCCGTGCTTACATGGCTTGGTAGGCCAAGTCCCGAAACGGCGTTTATTCATTCAGTAAGCGCCAAGTTGAGCAGTTTGGCTTAGATCTTTCTAGATGCATAATCTTTATTTCAGGATCGATCATCAGGATTGATAAGATTATAGAGGAATCAGATTAGAAGCGGTGATTACCGTTATAGATTCACTATAGGGTTTGTACGTCAAGGCCAAGAAGATGTAGATTGTTTACGAGATGGGTTTCCTGGTCGCGGAATATGCTGAGCTATGCTGAGCTAAGGAGAATGAAGATATTGGAGAACAATACTTGTTGATGAGAGACATGTAACGACTACTTGGGAAATACTGTACGTAGATGTCAGTTTCATGATCCTAATGGGATGACCGCCGAGGCTTTGTTACGAAATGAATGATGAAATGGAGGGTGATGAGATGATGATGTGTTTGTAGGACTGGGGATATTTCAAAGATATAAAGTATCGAGATGACACCTCGAGAACTACTTTCTAAATCATCAACATTCACATTCACACAATCAGAACAACAAACTCCCAACAACCAAATAACCAACCAACCACCAATCCACAACAAACCCCCCAAAAATCAATCAAAATGCAATTCTTCACTCTCCCAATCATCACCCTCCTCTTCACCAGCGTCCTCGCCGTCCCCACCGATCTCGAATCTCGTGATCTCGAATCCCGCGCTAATTGCTACAAGATTCTTCCAGCCTGTCAAGGGGGAAGTGTTTCTGGTCAAACGGATTGTCGATGCAAGGGACAGGTTGGAGCTTGTGATGTGATGGTTTGTCCTGGTAGTGGTTCTAACACTGTTGTAAGTTTTTTTTCTCTAGAAGGGGAGGTGGAATGGATGGTGCAGATGGAGTGAATTCACTGGATGAATATTTTGCTAATAAATTGATTTCTATAGATGGTTTGTGGCCAGAGTGGTACCGGATGTGTTTGGATCTAAGCTGGGTGTTCTTCTTTGAAAGGGCTCTTGGTTCTTGAGGCTTTATGGGGGAGGGTCTCGGGTTAGCTTTTACTACCTACCTCTATGAGGTCTTTTCGATTGCTTTCCTCACAGGATGCGAAGAGATGAGATTCGAGTCCCTCTCCAGCAGTGTTTTCTGAGGTTTAGGAGGAAACGACCAGTATACGCCTTGGGAGGAGTTGATGGAAAAGCATAGACAGAGTGGATGAAATGTATCGATATTTCCTTTTTGTTTCATGTTTGGATTTGATTTGATTGGATTGGACTGGATTAGCCTTTTATGTACTGGATATACATAGTCGCCCTTGTTAGAAAAATATAAGATTGCCTGGGCCCGGGTATTTCTTTATAACTTTTTATTGCTTTTTTACTTTGTTCATATGATTGATTGATTGGTGTTTGTGGGCGTGATATTTCTTTGGATTTGGATTGATTATTGATTATTGATTTGCAGATTGAGGTAGAGAGTGAATTGGTATTGGTTTGGGCATTTTATCGTGAACTTAGGTTAGGTATTGGAATTGGTTGATCGAGGAGGAAAACTACTTGTGGAGCTGTGTTGATGGTAGAATGGTTGTTGTATCCAGTATGGAGGCGTCAGTAATAGTACGGATGATACTACGATGAGATGTATGAGATATAAGATGGGAGTTTAAAATCATGCATGATATGAGACAATCAATCAGGAGGAAACGAGGTCATCCTGCAAAAGGAAGAACATGAAAGAACTCCAGTAACTAATTGGCGGAGACTAGGGCAGGTAAATATTGTCTTCGAAAACTTAGAAATCAATTTCGAGATAATAGTAAAAAAATGAAAAGGGATGCACAAATACAATTGTTAGGATAATGGATCATAAGAAGAAATAGAATATAGTGATTGGAAAGATGCACATGGGGTTCGGAGAGAGGTTGTTCTAATGTATACGAAATAGTGGCGTGGATAGATCGTGCAGATGGAAGAAGAGAGAACAAGATATAATTTGCTTTTCATTTACCACACAACATACATAGCGGATGACAGAGAAGAAGCGTTCATCACAAAGAAAAAATCACTCTCAAGCTATTCTTCGTCCCAACACACTCTAACTTGCACCCCTCAAATTCGCCCGCTACCTTCCATCTCCTCCACGTCCCCTACTCGAGCTGTTTCAAGAATTTTCCAGATTCTCCTTCTATTGCATAAACTTAGTGGTATATTCAAGCTTTTTGCTTCTCCTCCCAAATCTTCTTTTTCCTCTCCCTCGTTTGCCGTTACATCCAGTCCAATTTTCATACCCGAGGGTGATGCTGAACGTAGAATGTATATATCGCTGTTATAGGCCAGCATATTGCAGACATCAAGATGCCTCGCATTGGCAGTAGATTTGGAGGCGATGATGGATGTTATGTCCATGTCCCATAACCAGGGAATTGAAGGAAAATCTGATGGAGAAGGGATGAAATTAGAGGAGGAGGGTGAAGGAGAAGAGGATGTATGCTGTTGTATTATGCTTTCAAAATTGGAATTGGAAAGTGGATTTGCTTCGAGTAGCTATTTCAAATACATTATAATTAGATTAATTTTCACTTCTTTAAGAGATAAGGCAGGAAGAAAGAGAGGACACACCGGACCAAAAACTTCATTATCGTCTGGTTCCCAGTATATATTCCTACATTTTCTACCCCCATAATAATCATGTGATTCCTCCAGTATATAGGGATTCGATAACGGAACTGCCTCGCCAAGCAAGCGTCGATAGAGAACTTCCCATAGGGAATGAACGTCTGTGACTTTACCATTTGTTGAGAATGTTTCTTTCCCAGAGGTACTAGAATCGTGTGCAGCAGTAAAATAATGTTCAGCAATCTCCATGCAAGCTTCAGGAATGGGAATAAAGAGATCGCCTCCTCCATTTCGAATGGGAGATGGTGTGGAATTTTGAGTTTTAACTGCAAATGCTGTGACGGTTTGCCCGGGTAACATCAGTTCTCCAGTTGAAGAGCATAGTTTCGAAGTGGTAGATGATGAGCTAGACAGTTCGGAATTGGAAGTTAAGGTAGGTACCAAAATTAAGTCGAAGCTCGTCGATTCACCGTGGGATTTAGCAGGGATCTTCAGGATATGGCGGGTGAATCCTTGGGGTGGTGTAGGTCCCAAATGAAAGGAACAGGATGTACCAGGTGGACAATTGCGGGGGAAATATGCATCAAGCATGAATTCCGAGGAACTGACATGGGCAGTTGTTAGGAGGAGAGACTTGGTGAGCCATTCGGTTGGTTAATTGACTCTATATGAAGTGTGGTTAAAAATTGTATCGCAAATATGGTTGAATGACAGAAAGAACATGGACATAAAACGACACGAAAGGGTGTATCGATTACAAAATAGCATGCTAGGGCTTCATTTCAAAATAAACTGGCTTTTGTCCCGGGTCATAATGAGTTTGATTCGGATGTGCACTTGGACATCTAGGGAAAGTGAAGTAGATAACTCAGTGACAGCTCATGGGGGACTCTTTCCTGAAAAATACGGGCTCATCAGATACTCCATGCTAAAGCGGTAATAAAAGTAGAAGTGTATTGGATTGTTGGATTTGGAACTTACAAAGTACCGCCCTCATGTATGGGAGCTCCACACAGAGAGCAATAAATTTGAGGCATGATGTATAAGAAAGAATAAAGAACTGATGTGAACGTATATAAAATTCTTGAGTTAAATATGATGTGTATTGGAAATCCCAAAGCAATATCGATATGAGGTTTTTGCAAGCTGCTATCGATTAGCTATATAGCTATGCACCTGGATTCTTACGTTTCTATAATAGGTCAATACACCTCAATCAAGGCTACTCTGTATTTAAGATCCCACGTGTAGCAGATATGATATCATAGAGACGTACAAGGCTCTAGGGACTAGCAATAGTTTAAGATTGATTAGGATTCTAGTAATGAGTAGCTCTGCCATCTCACCCCGTACATATAAATAATAGATTGTTGCTAGTGTCAAATAGGAAAGGACATAATGAATCTGAGGTCGCACAACATGAAAGATTTACGTTATCTTCTAGCTCTCGAGAACCAAATTTATACCAACCATGAAAAATATCTTCTTTAAAGCTATGTCTCGCAATCATTTGATGCATATGGATTCTTCAGAGTCGGCATTTTCTGACAGTAAAGTGGCACAGGTTATTTCATCGATGGAGGTGGTCATAGTACCGTTATAACCTTACGTGACGTTGGAGGCCGTTTGTTTCATCCTTTCCGTATTATCAAGGCACAGCACTCTATGATTCCCATTATTTAATGCACTGGCTTACAAGACCATGGCTCAGCTCTACCTTGTCTCACTCGGCACGGATGGTATTTTGCCCTGGCTAAAAAGAGTATGTTACCGCGAACAGTTACGCCGATCTTCATCGAGAAATCCTTTCATGTATGTTGACAATGGAACAACCCAGCTCTGATCCGCAACGGGTAACAGTTAATGCGGATCCCAAGTTGGATACGCGTTTTGGCATATGAAACCATGGCTATAGCGGGTTGCGCGATAGATATAGCCACAATTACTGTGCCGAAGCCAGTGAGATCTAACGGGAGATACGAGGCTGAATTCGCCCAATGAAGTCTACGATTATGGTACGACTATCGCTTGATGTTACTTGGAATCATGTAGATAAATCCAGTTTTCCAACAAATGGGCTAGGGCGAGGGGAAGGGCGATAGCAATGCTGACCCTGTCAGTCAAAGACAGATTTGTTGACTTTTGATTTGGTCTAGTCAAGTGATTCCTAGATCAAAGTGTCAATTATGTATACCTGTAAAGCTGTGTATCACGATCCTTCATTTCCTTCTGATCCTGCGGATTTCGTGCAACTTGAATGTTTTCTAGGCTCTGAATACGCATGGCACAATGTTGAAAAGCCTTAAAAATGGAAATACTATATAGAGCATAGACAGTCATGGTGGAGAATCTTGGGGAAAGGACAAAATCGAGTTTTATATCGACAGTGACCGTACAAACACTTGCACAAGAGATGATGAAAGCTCCTACTCAGTATTCCACCATGCTTCTCTACGTTCTCCTTTTTCCTTTGTTGGCATACGCTCAGCCTGGGAGTAGGTTTCTTGTGAATCTATATCTCGAAGAACTTGTTCTGACACGTCTTTAGCAGGTGGTCTACCCGGATTTCCAACGAAATCTGTCAATAGCACCTCCGCATCTTTATCGAAAGCAACGTCAACAAAGTCTTCCAAGTCAATCGCTTCGTCCATCGGTACATCGTCAAAATCTAGTTATAGCTCCACAGTAATTTCTGTCTACAAAAATAACAACATTTTGAGTTCAACATCAACATCATCATCAAAGTCAAAAACCACAACTAAATCGAGTGTAATAAGTTCATCCTCTAATAGATTTACCATGATTCGGACTGGTACCTCTAAAAGTTCAACTATCTCTCGATCAATAACGACTGGGAAAGGTACAAGCAGCTCAGAAAAACCCTCTAAGACGACCACAATTAGCAAGTCCAGAAGTAGCACTTCAGAAACCAAATCAAAAACCACCTCAAGCAGCAGTTCTGGAACTAGAGGTATAACCACAAATCCCACATTTACAAGCGATACTGTCACGGGTACAATTACCTCTGCTCCATCAGGATTTAGTGCTCTAACACTTTCGGGCACCAAGTCTTATACAGAAAATGATCGGGTTACTACAACAGGATCAGACAGCTGCTCAACATTATTACCTCTTGTTATCGTACGGGGGGGACGTGGTGTTGTTTTCTGGAATTTACCACAAATACCACATGTTGAGTTTTCTTTGCCTGGGCTACCCAAGATTCACTTGCCATGTATCAGAATTTTTGGGGCTTCTATTGGATTGTAAATCTCCTCCAAGTAGCGATGGAGCTCCACCGGATAATGGTGAGCCAACTAGTAAGGGAACGAAAACAACGTCGGCCACAAAGACGTCGCATTCTGCCACTACTACTAAGACAAGCTCATCCTCCTCACGCTCCTCATCAAGCTCTTCAGCAAGCTGTACTGTCACGAAGACTGCATCTGATTGTTTAATTGTGTCAGTAAAACTTCTAGTGTCTCGGTAAGTGTTATCAGCCTCATAAGCTCACCCTTTTAATCCCAAATCAAAATCATATTATGATTACGTCTTCTGCTTGTACTTGCCTGCTTCTTTGGAACTTATCTTCTCTCTGAAATATGTAGTCAATATGAAAATACTAATTATTTAATTATTTAGTGCGCTACAGCATGTTCATCAACAGTCACTGGCTGCTCGGTCCAAGGGACTACAACCACAACAAGGTGAGCACAAGTTACGCTTCCAGATATTAGGACCTGGAATTTCAATATCACACGTCTTCTTTGTCTGCTCATTCAACCTAGACGACATTTATCTCTCCTTTTAAATAGTTACTAATCACACCGGTGCTTAGTGTTACTTCGGTTTGTACTGCTACCGCGTGTATCGGGGGTTGCATTCCAGGGCCTACCCAAGGAAAAAACGTACCATCATATACTACGCCTGAGCCCGTCACAACCGATCTTGATTTAAGGAGACATAACATAGCCGGTAGAGTTCCTCTCGACAAGCGCGGGGTAACATCCGATATCCTTAGTCTCGGTGGCTGCACAATGGCTAAAAGTCTCACTCAACCTGCTTGGCCTGCGATTACTAAAGATATAATGGGTCCTGATGGCAAAGGAAAGTTGGTGGCGAGTTATAAGTCCATATCCAGATACGATCGGGCTACTAATATTGGCTGTGTCTTTACTACTACGAGGTTAGATGTAGCAGCGTTCACTAATGCTCCTGCTTTTACGGATTATTCTGGGAAGGTGTATAAGAATAACAATGATGGTAGTCTTGATCATGCTTGTAAGTACATGGTCCAGAGAATGAGTTGTGCGTGACGAATAATCACTGACAAGAACGTTGTCCAGACGAGAAAGCTTGGCTAGAACAATTTTTCGATACTACTTTCAAAAATCAAATTGACGCTGGCAAGATCAGTTGTTCCGAAATTAATCAAATTTTCTTCCCTCCTGGCTGCACAAAATTATTACAACCCATCTTCGATGGACTTGCAAGCAATGACAGCCTAGACTTTATCATCATGTCCCAGTATATTAATGGATGGAAATCCATATTCTTTCCTGAACCTGGAGCAAAATTTTACCAAGAATATCTGACCTCGGACTGGTTGATTCCAGCGACTGGTGGTGATGCTGGTTGGAAATGGCCTAGTGGACATACTAGTACTCAATTTTCGGCAAAAGATGCTCTAGTCGTTATGTTGGGTTATTTTGAGAAAGTTCTTTATGGTTCGCTAGAGATGAAGGCGGCTAATATGTGGATTTGATTGATAAAACGAATAATAAAATTTATGGGCAACTGTAAGTGATTCAACTAATGTACATACCTATCTCTATTTACTGATAATCCGCTCATAGATTAAATGCCCACGACAAAATTATCAAACAAGACAACATAGCACCTTATAAATCCGCATTCCCCGGTACAGACGGCATCGCATCAGCATACAAAGATTTCATGACCAAAACAATCCTTCCACAAATCAACGCACCACCAAAATATCTCACAAATTTATGGAAAAATAGGATCATGCCTGATATTGCCAATGCGAAGAAACTTAAAGATGTAGGCACCGATTTAGCAAATACTAAGAACCCAGGCAAACATCTTCCCGAATGGACAAAGATTAATAACCTCATAACAGCGCATGAAAGCCACTACAATCCTGGTGGGACTTACTCTTGGGATTATAAGTTTGCTTTTACATGGAATGCCATCCGCAAACGAAGTGATGGACTAGATGAACGACAAGATTGCTCCGTCGAAGTTACCCCAACCCCAACATTGAAACGTACCTCTTCCAGAACCAGCACCAGTAAACTCTCAGGAACAAGTAAACCAAGATCTTCCACACAAATAACCCCGACTCTAGATACTTCAATTAGTCGTTCTACATCATCTGCCAATTCTCAAACACTTTCGTCGGCTATTACTTCGAGTCCTTCAGCTTCCACTTCCCTCTTGTCTTCATCTATACCCATCTCAAGCAGTAGCTCAAAATCATTGAGCTCTTCTACATCTTCAAGTGCTCGTGCACTACCGAGCGAATGTCCTTTGTGTTGTGAATGCTTTGACGATTCGAATGGTGGTTGCAATTGTTTGTGTTCATAAATTTGACTTATTACGTTTGGAAAACCAGCGGCTGGGATTAGGGAAGGGATGAATGTCGTCGTAGGATCATATTCCATTTCTATTTTATGGGACAGTGCAATCTGCTCTTGAAGATTCTAAGCGAGCCCTGATTCGAAAAAATAGATTTTATAGATTTTCTTTTGTGGATTAAAGTTTTAGATTTTAAATGAGAATATTCTTTTACAGGAACAAGTGCTCGGGTCATTCAGGCAGGAAATGAATCTAAGAAGTTAGGAGCTTTTCTCCAACGTCAATATCCTCGTGATAAGAAGTGGATCATTAGACCTCCATTAAACAGACTTGGTGACTGACTTCCTCTTCACTTGTTAATGGTAGTATGGTTTCTGATAAGGATTTAGTGTCAATGGAAAATTAGACAGAAGCAAGAATATTAATCATTTACGGTTTCTCGGGAGCTTCTGTATCTTGTCTGGGGAGCAATGATCAATACATTAAGTTACACAGTAAGATTTCTTACCTTATAATAAAAAGCGATCAAGAATTTCTCTAACTCATCTCATATAATCCTAGGTAGCGTGGGAGACTTCTGTTAGTTCAATCTTCATATACAAACCCAGAATCTGAGAACATATATATATATGAAGTATAAGTATCACGCGCCTAAGGAGTATAAATTCGATAAAGATATACATAATCTTACAAATTTTGAAGAGTAAATCGATGCAGAACAATGAAATGAGGACTAATAATCAAACCTTGGTTGCCTCTAAATCATTGTATACAATGAGCAAGACTAAACAGGACCAAAATCAGAATATGATAATCGGCAAGTATGATGGTAATTTGACAGTAATTAGTATGGCCCTGTAACCAGATACAAAATCAAAAGGGGAAGACGAAGTTTAGAATAAGCGATAATAATGAAGTTAACAACAATAATTTATTTAGATACTTATTTAACCCAGTTCATATGATTTATGCTCTTCAAAACTACATGTTTTACTAATCTATCTGATTTTCCTAGCCTAGTTTAGAATCAAGCAAAGATCAAGAGATAAAAAGTTCTCAAACGGTATAGGAATTTGCCGAATGTTATTTGAGGTTTCTCGACCTGAGAGCTTTGAAGGATTTTATATCTTGATGTTTGTGTATTTGTAGAGATATATTCACTTTTATATTATAATAGATGAATATATCTATAGTATTAGTTAATCTATTTATTGTAAAATAAGATATAATAATTAAAGTGAATCTCAGTATCAGAACAATCAATGGTATACAGAAACTTTTTACTTGAGTATATTTATAAAATAACAAAATTTATATAAATTTATAAATAATTCAAAATAAATAAGTTTAAAAATAATAACAGATAATATTATCATAATTAGTCAAATGAATGAATTCATTTTCAAAAATCATTTATGAAAATCCTTCTAATTAAAATATTATAATTTTTAATCTTTGTAAAAATTCAAAATATAAATAAAAGTTTTTTTTATGTAATTTAAAATACCAAATTTTATTCTATTATATATTATTTAATTTGAAGATTTCAAAAATATTTATGGTTTATTTTTAATAATTTTTATTGAAAAGTTATTTCAATTTTTAATGATTTTTAAATTTGTATATAAATTTTATATAAATTAAAAATTATAATTTCAACTTTCAATTTCTCAATCAATAAGATCATGAAAAATCCGGAAATTTCAGAATTTATTAATAATTATATAATAAATCTAAAATTAAAGTTTCAATTGATTTTATTTATTCATTATTGAAATATTAATAGTTGAAAATCACGATTTTTGATATAAAAGAATGGCCCAAATTAAGGGTGGCCCGAAAGTAGGGTACTAGACTTATAATTAGATTCCTCAATCGTATCTAATTACTAGCTTCCTCAATCACATCTATCCCACCCCCCTCAAAAACACGAACTAACCACCCCTCTCAAACAACAAAGGAAGCCATCCCAACCCCCAATTTCGCCCTCCCAAACCAAGGATCCCTCAAAATCTTACTCGCCAAAGATCGTTTACTAACATCATACTGCAAAATCCGTCTCAATAAACGCAAAACCTCACTCGATTCTTCACAATCCATTTTTATCGATTTAAACTGATCGAATAGTTCTTCTAGCGTAGGTTGATTATCAAGAATACTCGTATCGAATCCTTTTGGAAGATTCTTGATGTAGTTTTTTATATTTTCATCGCTGGAGTTGAAGTATATATTCGCTCTGGTCTATTTCGATAGGATTTCTTAGGGAATAGGGCCTAGTGTACTGGATAATTGGAGGATATGATCATCATTTGTATCATTCTCATCGCCGGTGTTATCGACTACGAATAGTGGTCTTCCGGTGATAAACTCAAAGATTAGACAGCCAAAACTCCATATGTCTTGATTGCTAGTGGGAATTTCTTTGAGGATGGTTTCGGGACTGCGAAGGCTAACTGGTGTGACTAGTTTTTTTGGTGGTCTGTCTTTAAAAAATGCTATGATTAACTAGTCAATAAGAATTCAATAAAAGTTCGTCCTGATAATGAAGGAAGTAATTACAATATACCTCCACCCATATCTGAGATTTTGATAACAAAATTAGAATCAAATTTCATAAACTCTATCAACGGCTGATTGAGAGCTAGATACTTCGGAGCCCAACGATCAATCTTCCCATCCTGTCTTTCGATGGATACCATTGACTAGGGCAAGACATCTTTTTGTTACAAACGAGTCTCCTCCACAGATATCAAATCTGTAGCTACGAAAAGAAGATTTCCAGGCTGTATATCGCCATGGACAATACCAATTTGATGTAGAAAATCCATACCTAGAAGAACTTGCTGAAGTACAGATCTTGCCATCCAAATTGGATACCGATTTTTAGGATTTATCTCGCCGAGTAATTCTTCAGGAAGATGTTCCACTACCGTCGCGGTACTGGGACCCATAGCTGTGAATACAAGACATGTATGCTCTCCATTGGGACCTTGGTGTTTGAACGAATCTTTCAGGGATATGATATGATCTTTGCCTGGATGTGAAAGTGTGTTCTGGGCTAGATATTCGTATATAGATGATTCATTAGGGTTATCCGAGTCTGTTGATTGAGCTGCCAAGATTTTAAGAGCAACATAACATTTCATACTATTATGTATATTAGCTGACGCAAAAATTATTGTTTCCTAGATGAACAAAGTATCAGGCAAAGAAAGAATATAATACCATACTGTTCATCTCTTGCTAGCCATACAGTCGAGTATGCTCCATATCCCGCTTTCTAAGAATCCTGTATCGTCCGTCTTTGAATTGGTCTCCAAAGTGAACGGATGGAATTTGCCAGGACGATAATCGTAATCCCTTCTGTTGATACTGTGATAGAACAAAAGCACCATTCAGATCTAGTTGGAACTAGATTTGATGGGGTTGGCGGAGGAGAAGCCATAGCAGTAATTATGAAGCTGAAAATAATACTGATGCTGAATGGAAAGGAGATTTTCTACAATAGATAAAGATTATGTTTGAAATATATATATAACCATTATAAATATCTCAATATAATAACATATTATTTTCATTTTATTTCTTATACAAATTAAACAATTTTTTTGAAATTAAATTTTTTTTTTTCAAATTTCAAATATAATATTATATAATTTTTAAAAAAATTATTCAAGTTAACTTTTAAACAATTTCAAGTAATTGATCTTCTTTTTATGATGTAAAATTTAGTAAATTATTTCAAGATTTAATTTTTATATATATTAATGTCACGGAAATCATATACTTTTATATACTTCTATATGATCTTTAATATTATAATATTTATTTGTTTATGTTTTCCTTATATCTGATTGATCTTATATAATTATATCGATTATATAACTGTTTACAAAACTCTATCTATTTAGTTTATTTCCTTATCAGGATGATCATTGGTTGGATAATTGATTAAATCTTATATATATGAAACCCTTAATCAATAAAATCAAGGACAAGTCTATTCACTTCAATATAACTTTATATACTCTTATATATTATCTACACCAAGATTGTTTATATACTTTGTGATCATACTATTCGTGATAATTAATATGAGTTCGCTCAATGTATAATACAAATACAGCAGGTAGATATAGAATTCTTACATCATCCATTATACGTCTATCTTATATATAGACAGAGAATCACTTCACTTCACATATTGCATTACATCACATCAAATCAAATCATTCACATCAATATCATAAACCCCAAAAAATTCAACAACTTTTAAATTTTTGTATCTTGATCAGTCAAATATTCCAATATTACCCCCAACCCATCCATTCACCCTTTCATCCATCCATCCATACCATCATCCTAACCATTCAACCATCTTCATCATAAAGTCATTCAACATTCAATTCCTATTCCATTGGATTGCATTTTAAAATGAGTTACAAAACATTCAAGCTTCATAACTCTTTCATCGACACCTTCCATCCATCCCTTTCATTTATATCAAAATCATCCATCATAGATAGAATTTCATACCATCTTCATCTCCACAAAAATCCAAGAAACCAACAACTGCAACAAATAACAAGATAAAAAGGAAAAGGTCATAAATCATCATAAAATTGTGTGTAAATAATTCAAGCTCTAAATAAGAGCTCAACCAAAACGCAAAGAAACCCGAAGTCGGTTAAAGGATGAAGAACTAAAAACATTAAACAAAACTCTTAGGTTCCTGTTCAGTGATCCAGTTTTCCTTCTCTATCCATCCTTCCCGACATCATAAAAAAAGACATTGAGATAGGTTTCTCGGTGTTGTAAAAATCGAAGAGAAAGGTGGCCCATTCATTATTTTGGTCATTCATCTGAACAAAAACAAATCATTTAAGCCTTTCCCATGAATGAAAAACACAAAAAAAAGCCCAAGATCCCAAATGTTTCATGTCGACGCCTAGAGTGTCATTAATAGGCGTGTTTCGTTTTTTGTTCTCGAGTGTAAAAGAAAACCCCCAAGTCAAAAAAATAAAAATATCCCGCTTGCATGTGTATCTTCGGGATCATTTCTCAACAGATTATTTCCTTTCCCATGTTTGCAAAGCGTAATTCGTTAGGCGTTTCGATGATCCGCATCAAGGTCATCTAAGAAATTTCAGTCATAAACTCGTCGTCATTCCAGGTTCGAATAATTTGCCAAATCTATGTTCGGCGAATACAAAGACAATCGTGAAAATAAAAAGGAAATTTTCTTTCAAAGAGTGTGCTTATGATTGCCGACAATGCTTTTATGGCGCGAGCCAAGAATGAATGAAAAAGACAGTTGATCATGATTAGAAAAATCAGATCACTGGAAGAAAGTGTAAAATATGCGTCCAAAATATCGATCCGAGTTACCGGCGTCGTTGTGTAATGGTTGATTGAGCTCGGTTTAGCCCTGCATTGTAAGATGGACCAGAAATGGATCCCTCACGAATTGTTTTCCGTCTCTTCAAACCATCAGCATCAGCCATTCCTGGACCTCTACTTGATGGTCGACCGTCCTCATCATCATCTCTGCCACGTTTGTTATTCGTCGGGGCTCCGTTCATGATGTTTTGCTGGCCAGCATAACCATTAGACATTGAAGATCCAAGATCTGATTGTGGCGCGTACACATCACCACCTGTACTTCCATTAGCTGTTCCACGTTCTTGGCTCACTACATTGTACAAATTACTCGAAGGTGGTTGGATTCTCGGAGGGGTACTGTAGCCTCCTTGCTGTTGAGCATAGTATGACTGTGGCGCTGATGCGGTTCTTGGAGTTGCTCGACCGGAAGCTGGATGATTTGGTGAGCCAGTCATCTCGGGTGACAAATGAGTATGTTCACCTGTTATTGATCCTACAGCGGGACCGTTTGAATAATTGTATGGCCGACGACTTGAATCGTAATTGCCCTGGCTATCATGAGTGTATTCACCACCATCATGATCCTGATCATGTTCTTCTTCAACTTGACCGTTTCCTTGGTGATGAATCATTCCATTCGAATCCTTTGGTTCATGATGTTGAGGTTCAGCATCTGGTGCTCTCGATAATGGTGGTCCCATTTCATTCTTGATGTATGAATTTGGCTGTTGCGAGTATTGAGGCATGCTTTGCTGAGAGGGTGGGGCTTGTGCGTAAGCGTTTTGAGGTGGAGGTGCTTGAGAATACATCTGTCTTGAGTCGTAAGGTTGTTGAGTTTGTTGATACTGTTGCATCGATTGGACCGACGTTCCTGGAGGGGTAGTAGCTGGAGTGGTTGGCATTGAGCGAGCATTACTTAATCCAGTGTCAATAGACAGGGGATTGGTACCTTGCACATTGCCCATAGATTGCCCTGGCCATTGGAAGTTGCCATTAGAATTATCCATGCTACCCATTACACTGGACGCACTCGTGGGAGGCGTAGGGAACGTGTGTGATCTTTCGAGAGCAGGTCGACCAACATTTGGATGAGGTGCGAGGGAGTGTTGAGGACCTGGAAGAGGAGCGCCAATTGAGTTAGTCATTGAGTGATGGTGATGTTGGTGTAATGAAGGCAAACCAGGTGCTTGTGGATTCCGCATTTGGTTTTGCTCATTCTTTCGACGCTCTGCGGCTGCCATTACTGCGTTCGTTCGCGTCTGATTCGTTGGGTGGTACAAAAGAGCACCGATGTTGTGAACGAATAATGGATACAATAATTCCGTGATTTTTTCCTTGTTTGCAAAATCCAATGCACGCTCGAAAGGAATCCTGATACTTGGTCAGATGTGCACAAGGATGGATAAAAACGAGCATTACTTACCAAACACCCTTGAGATGCATAGGACCAATCTTCACAACATGTCTCATCTTCTCGCTTTTCAGAATGCCATCTCGTCTTCCACGAGTCATACCCGCAACATTCAATAATTTTGTGCCATTAATCATGTGGTTGTCTTACTTGTTAGCATAATTTAGCAAATCGAAAGAGCTGCGCTTACCTTCACGTCTAGCAACACAAACGCCCTTTGCCTCTACTTGGAAACACAAACTACCTTCATCTTCCCAAAGAGTTGCCGTCACTCTGGGCTTCATTCCAGGTGGAGCAACTTGGCCAGTTTGGTCAAATTGTTGTGGTCCACCATAACCTTGGCTTGGCATACCAGGTTGAGTGGTCATCGCTGGAAGTGGTAGAACGTTACCTTGGCCACCCATTGAACCCGGGATTTGAGCTGACTGTGGAGATTGAAGTCCATTGCCGTAATATTGGCCATATGGTGCCTGTTGCGCTGGTGAATAATGTGCAGGTCCAGGCTGAAGTAATGGTGGCTGATGTTGAGGATATTGACTCAATGCACCTGATGTAGCAGTCTGAGGTGGCGGAGGTTGTCCAGCCGACATGTGTGGAGGATAATACATATCTTGGGGACCGTGGTTCATGGTGTTTTGATAAGGCTCTTGGCTGTAAGAGTATGCTGGGTTCGACGGTGGAGTGCTGTAGGATCCCTGGGGAAGAGAAACAGGTAAACCACTACTAGCTGGAGTAGGGGAAGGGGTCTTGGGACCGTTCGAGGAACTCGCTGTGGTATAGGATGAATGAGAGCTTCCGTTCAAGATTGAAGAAGATCCAAGGGAGCTAAGTGAGCCAACCCGGGGAGACGAAGTACCAGAGGAATATGCCTGTTGCGGCGGTGGCAAAGGCAAAGCGGGCAACCTTTCATTCACATACAGTGGTCGCTGCGCGGCGTGATGGTTGTAATATGGTATTTCGTTTGGCCCCCGGGTTTGCACTTGCGATATCGACGGAAGATCCAGTTTTTCGGTTGGAATGATCAAGTCCTAAACGGACAATGATCTGGCAGACTCAATAAAGGGTCTTCCGGGAAGAAAGGTATGATTTTTACTTTCAGACAACAAGAGTTAAAACTTGTGGTCTATTCGTGTGTGTGGGTAGATGATAGATGACTTTAGGGATATGATGGGAAATTTTGTAAAGCAAGTTAAAGGTCGCTAGAACCAAGCAGGAACAATGAGGCTTGGGTATAATGGCAGAGACTATCGTCGACGTGAAGGAACAAAATAATCACTGCTTTTTACAACGAGCGCAAATGTAATGGATCGTTTATCTTTCGTGAAATAAGATGCATATGCCAAAGACGCAGAAGCAGAAGCAAAACGATCTTGTAAAACCTCAAAAAAAAATTGACTCGAAAAAGAAGACGTTTGGCTCGTAGAAGTCGTTACAAAAAGGACTTGAAGCTTTGTTAATCCAATTGAGGTGCGACTGAAGCTCCACGACAGGATCGTTGGCAGTTACGCGAACCTGCAGGTATGTATGCTTGTGCTTGTCGCTTCTTTGGAAGGAATCTGATCCGTGCTTCAATTCGAGGGATGCGAACGTAAAAGTCGTGAAGCTCGTGAAATATTCGTTGACACTGATAGGGAAGATGCAAAAGTGCGGTGGAGTTTAGTTTGACAGAGGCGTGATGTGTACTTGTGGATAGGTTGTTGAGTCGGTCAAAAAAAGAAATTGAGGATATCTGCCAGCTCTAATGCAGGTACACCAGTCAGCGCTGCAGCAATTGCAATAAGAAACGATGCGCAAATCTATATGATGGTAGTATAATTGGAGGAGTGTGGATGGAAGGACGCGGGAAGCATTGGACATTGAGCATTGAACAATGAGGTACATACCTTTTGTTTGAACTTTCTAGGATTTTCCCTCTGTGTTTTTTTTTACTTTTTCTTTTCCCTGCACCTCGTCGAGGTTTAAGAAATGGGGGAGGTCGGGAAAGGGAGGATAAGAGAGTGGATTGGAGAAATAAAAAAAAAAGGCGCGGAGGGAGAGAAGAATAGAAACGACGGAGGAGGTTGGGCGGTGATGTGTGTGTGAGTGTGAGTGTGTGAGTGTGTGGTGGAGGTGGGTTTATGGAAAGTTTAAAGGGTTATTGGTCGAACGGGTTAGCTTTTAACGAGTGTGTATGGGACCTGGGTTTTGGTAAGAGTAGCCGTAGCCGTAGAAAAATAGATTGAATGGATGAGGTAAGGTGTGTCAAGGTGGTCAAGGTGGTCAAGGTGGTCAAGGTCAAGGTATGGGTGGAAATGTTTTTGGAGGTAGTGAGGTCGTGAGGTCGTGAGGGAGCGAGGGAGCGAGGGAGCGAGGGAGCGAGGTAGTAATTGAAGTGGGTGAGTGGAGTAGAGTTAAGTCTGAAGTGTAAAAGTAGAATGAAGTAATAATAAATAAATGTGAAGAGTGAAGGAAGTATGGAGGATGGAGTACGGCTAAGAGTAAAATAGAAGTGGAAATAAATAATAAAATATTAAATAAATAAATAATAAACGAATTAGACAAAACTTCAAAGATGGAGTAGTTTTCCCAATTAGTGGTTGATGATGAAAGAGGAGGAGTAGCGGTAGTACTAGTGGGAGGGCGGATGTAAATAAATAAATGCTGATGCTGATGTTGATGATGTTGATGAACAGGACAAAAGATCAAAAAGATCAAACATGGAAAGCAGGACAATGTTCTTCTTCTTCTTCTTCTTCTTCTCCTTCTTCTTGTTCCTCTTCTCCGTTTCCTCTCTTCCCTTCTCTGCCTTGTCTCGCTGGCCCTTGTAGCTGTAATGCTTTTGGTGTGTAGTACGGTAAGGAAGAGTGGCAGCGTCCGGGTGGAAATGGTATGAAGGGTTGTGTGAAAAAAAAAGAGGCGTAAGAGTCTTCAATTTCCTGGTGGATTGTAAGATGATAGCGAGTGGTTGATAGTGGATGAATTTCCAAAAGAAGCTGTTGATAGACTTTTCTTTTACGTCTTGTTTCTGTTTCCTCTTGATTGTGGAGTGAAGGAAGGGGTGGATCTTTTTTTGATTTTTCTCTTCCTGGCCCTGTTTTCCCTTTTCTGCAATGTCTTCCTCTCTCTTCCTCTTCTTATTAATTCAATGGTAATTGTGTTAATGTTGATATTCACTTAATTTTCTCCTCCCTTCTCCCTTTGGATTGGAGTAAACTTGGTTTTGGGCTGGGTGCTTCTAAAATGGATGTTTGCGCCGTAGCTTTTCCTTCCGGAATCAAGCTTAGCTTGGTGACATGTAAAATGTAAAATGTATTAAGGTGTGAATGTACGGAGGATGAACTTGTGAACCCCAACTAAATCTTGAACTAAAAAATGCACTTCTTCTTTACGAAAGGACCTAACCTAGAGCGTGGTCTAAAGTTGATGAGGGGAAGAGTAGACCGTAGTGTAGATGGTCGTGAAGCTTTACACTATGGCGCTTGATGTGATGTGTAGAGTTTGAAGCGATAGATTCTTGAATGATGTTTGGATATTTGGATATTTGGAGATTCGGATATTCTGATATCTAGGTGTTTGAATCTTCACTCATTCAATGTTTCATGTTTTGTTCTTCTCGTCTACAGCAATACAATAGAAATGCATCTCTTCATCTGTTGTCCAGATGATAACTTACTCGACTTCCACTTCACTGCGATATCCAGGTGACATTTCCACTTTTAGTCTAAGCCTTTCGCCCAGAAGAAAATCAAAATAAATAAAAAGGTTGAGATGCTTATCAGGAAAGCTGGCAACGTAAGGTCCGTAGTTATCGCCTGGTTTTTCTAATCCCTGGGTGAAGGGTGACTAGGATATTTCTGGCGAGGGGAGAAAGCAGCAAAGGAAGGATGGTGAAAGGGGACTAAACTAAATATCCCTCTCATGTTTCGCATGTTAGCTAGCGTACACTTGGAATTTCTTAGTTGGGTAGTAAAATGGCTAGGTATCGAAAGACCAAAGCTTTTTTCTTCTCATCCCTACCAGACCGCGCCAAATCTTGAACCCTGCACAGGGGACCGGGACCGGGGGTGGTTGAACAGCACGATTGTTAATTGTTACTCTCAATCAAAATAGTGCGAGGATTGGTCCGACCCGGATTACAAGGCAAGAAGGAGCAGGTGAGTGGAGAGGGACGAAACCAAAGAATGAGTGACTACTGACTGACTCCTGACTGACTCCTGATTGACTACTGACTGGCTATCCCAGCAGCAGATGATACAATATCTAGATAATTCATATCTCTCAAGTTACATTCATGATTCGGGAGTTATTTGGTTTAAAATTCAATCATGTATACATCATGTATACATGATACAAATACCAACACCAACATGGTCGTCACTTTTCTTCAATACATGATCGTGGTTCCTTGTGGTGCTTTGTGTTGTTGTACTTTTCACTATATTTTGCTGAGTTGGTTGTATCCTACTTGTATCGTGGGGTATGTGTGTCGAAAATGTGAACGTGATACCTCTTGATCCCTACCTCTTCGCTCTTCCCTCGTCCCTCGTCCCTCGTCCTCTCTTCCTCTAACCTCTCACCCTTTACCCATCGAGGACTAAATCCAATCCGGAGTTAGGATAAAAATGATAAAATATGATAAACACACAATCAATGACCGGAGGAAGACGGAAAATGCGAGGTGGCAGTATGGGGCCAATCCATCTATCAAAAGTGGCAGAGTCGCAGAGTGGCCGTGACTGTGACCGTGGCCGGCCGAGTGAGTTCTGGCCGCTCGAAACAATGGATATCTTTACTAGGTACAAGGATTCTAAGGACTGGTTCTCAATGGAAAAAAAAAAAAAGATACAGAAAAATGGAGAAAATGAATTGAGCTAGGGGTCTTTTAATACGGAGTATGTGGTCGCTGACGATCAAGTAAATGATTGGGTGATATTGATAGCAAACCGTTCCGATTCGAAAATATCAATGGTTATCAATTGACTGGATACTGGATGGATGAATGTGAGGGAGCACAAGAAGGACGAGAGGAGACGAGGAGAGAGTTATTTTTACTTTCCCTTCCGATTGTTTACTGAGGAGATGGTGTGTGGTGTGGTGTGGTGTGGTGTGGTTGGTGTTGTTGTCATTGTTTTACCTCTACACATATCCGATGAAGGGGGTGGTTGGGTTGGTGTTCAAATTTATTTTCCTGATGGACGTGTAGATTACTTTCGCATTCTTCCGGATCCGAAAAGAATCAAGGATGAATAACAATCTCAAGATAGTGTAGTGAGGAATTGCACAAGAGGCAATGAATGTCAATGAGACTATCGGGTGTGTGAAGTAAAGGCTGCTTTAAACATATCTCATACGTACATAGTATATCTATCTAGATAACAGCTTCAGATCTTCTAGCTGATCTCTCCTTGACACTCCGTACTCATTCAACGAACCCTTGGACTTTCATAAAAAGTGGCCAAGAGTCAGGACAATGATTGATAAGCCGCTTTAAGCTTGATCCAAGCAACGACAAGGTAAACGCGGGACAGCGATGATGATGATGATGATGGTGATGAGGGTAACGATGATCTGATGCGAGTTATTTACTTGTGGGGCGATCATTTTGATTGTTCATGATTGAATCAATCAATCAATACATGGGTAGGAGACAGTAAGTAGTTGGAAAGTGGCGACTGGCGACTGGCGACTGGCGAGCCTTTGCCTTTGCCTTTGCCTATTCCCCTCTTGTCTATTCCTACATCCGGAATATGATGGATGATCTTGCTTGACAAATGGATCTCACATATCAATCATATCGTATCGTATCCCATCCCGTCTTATTACCAGGGGATCGATCAAAACCCTTCTTCAACAGCCATCCAAGCTCACTCCAAGCATTCTTCTTTGCATTTGAACCTTGCTTTACCGATCAAGCCCGCATCGCATTACCTGCTGCGACGTTTTCCCTCCTGGCGGCGGCGTAGGCGTATTCTTACTGTACCTCGAATGCGATCCTGTTTAACTGATTGCCATCAAACCATCATTGACCAATAATCACGCACTACATCACACTCTACACCACACACTACTTTATTTTACATCTTGTTGCTGCGCCCAAAAAGCTAAAATTGGGCTGAGCATGGCAACCATTCCATTATTGGGGACCACCGAAATGCACTCCAGACTTTTTAACCTTTACAAAGAACGAACGCACCGTGCCCTCTTTTCTGCACAGGTTTCTGCGTCCTGTAGATTTGCGGGAAGGAAAGAAACGGAAAGTCATAGTAAGGTATGAGGGCAAAAAGAATCTTATCGGATATTTCTCATGCTCATGCTTCTCATGCTCATGCTTCTCATGCTTCCCATGCTTCTCATGCTCATGCTTCAATGGCTATGTCACATTACGCCTTTATGCTCATTCAAATTGTCCGACTTGTGTCCTGTGCGGCGGACGGGCTTGTTCTTTCAAGCTTGATCGCTGCGAGATAGGTTCGGTAGGTTACTGCGATGCAGTCTTTAAGCTTGTTCCGCCTGCAAGACGGGATCTCCTGCTTTTGCATATCGTTTCTCCTTTTTGATCCCGTCCCTTTGTTTTTTACTACGATCAATCCTAGAAGCTTGAGCTTGAGCTTGAGCTTGATGATGATTAAAATATCTGGTGGAATGAACGCAATGACAGTGCACGCCAACATCCCCATGGGATATCAATGACATTGCCGGCATAACATGACATGGCATGGCATGGCATGGCATGGCATTAACAAATAAATAACATGAAGTTTATTAACCCATAACCTTGTATGAGATTGAGATTACACCTTGTCCATCATTATCATTTTCATCATTATCATTTTCATCATCATCCATCATACAAACACCCAAGTAATCTAGCTACCTCCGTGTCTACCGATTAGATACACGAGCCGCTGAACCATTTTCAACCGCCGTCTGCTTTGCATTACGCCCTTAATATCTGAATCTTCCGTGCTTTCTTAAAACTACTTTCCTTGCCACAACATTTGCCAGATCTGCCACCAGCACGATCGCATATCTAGCTTCGAACGCCTCAAGAACACTACCTTTCACTTGTCACCCGTTGTTAATCCTCGGACCTTTTTTCTTTTTTTTTCAACTTCCCTCATCAAACCCTAATCTCCTACAATGCAAATCCAGTCCTTGATCATATCATACCATATCATATCTGTACGAGTAGAGTATCAATAAAATCTGTCGAGTTCACATCGCACTATAAAACTACTCCGTACATACGATACATACATACATACATACATACATACAAACTCCGACTCCGAGAATAAATATTCCGTCTTTTCGTAGCTACGGAAGAAAAAAAAGAAGAAAAAAGTATTGTAATGCATGCGTATGCCAATCACTCCATAATTATTATTTAACTTTTCGTGCTTATTCATCCCTGGTCCCTGCCTGATTCCTAGTTCTGCTGTTCTGTTCTAGTAATAGCTCCCTAGTCGCAACGATAACATCCGAGAATCATCCACGGGCTGAGCCTTCATTTGGTTGGGGGTCAAGTCAAGCGTTGTGTCACAGACTTACAGTACTTACTTGTCTGTACTAGACAGAATGACTAGACGGAACGGTATGATCTACCACATTACACTACGGAGATGGATTATCATTTTACTCTTTGAAAATAAAATATAAAATATAAAATATAAAATATAAAATATAAAATATAAAATATAAAATAGATAAAATAGATAAAATAAAAATCCTGACTAACACGACTCATGTCCACAGGATATATTCCATCCGCTGCTAGTTTTGATTTTGAACGACCATGTATGTAGAACAAGGGATTGGTAAAGTTATTTGTTTATTTGCTGATTGATTGATTGATCTAGTGGGAGTGGAGTATAGATGGAGTATGGAGTACGTACGGGAGAACTTCGATGTCATTCATTGATAAGTTTGAGGTTAGAAGGAAGTTAGAAGTTAGAACTAACTAACTCTTGGAGACAGAGACAGAGACGGACTACAGACTACAGACTACAGACTCCGTACACCTCGGCTTCCGGACAATTTTACGATGGTGGCTCAAGCCTCATGTTTTTTTGCCTCGAGGTTTTTAGCTGCTCCACCGGCTAGATGGTGGGGCGTCTCCTCTCAGGACTAGACGGACTAGATGGGGAGGGAGGGGTTCTCTAGTGTGATGGTGAGGTGAGGACCGTAAGATGGACGACGTGAGGTGTATTTGATTATTGATCGTCTCATTCATCGTTACTTTTAGTATCCGTACGTACTGCTAGTCACATGAACGGATGATGAAACAAACCATTGATTATAAATCAATAATCTACACAGCTCTCCTTAGAAAGGCCTTGGAAAGGATATCGATATTATCCAAGGCAGTTATGATTCTCCCAGCCATTGAGGTGAGGATATTAGGGTATTGTATTTTGAAGGAGACGTTCTTTCTATTCAGCCAGTAAAAGGTATTCTCCCTCCCATCTCATTATATTCTTAAAGCAGCTTCGGTTGTGTCTTCCTCCTGCCACTTTGCAACATCCACGTATCGCGGCTTCGGCTCTTTTACCCGCCACTTTACCACCAGGAGCTTTTTTAAGTATCAAGT